GTTGATTATATGAATATGAGTGTATGATTGAAATTGAGCAGGTAATTTAATTGTGAAGTCATCTAAATGAGCTTGATATTCTGCTGCTAGTTGTCTTGAAATAACTCCTGTCTCTGATGGATTGAAGTTATTTGAAATGATAGATTTTGCTTTGGATTTATATGATCCTGTTATAGTGCAATTGTTTTGATATAAGTGTGATCTAATATCCTCGAAGCATGCTTCATTTTGGAGCTGTGCTTCTTGTATGGAGTGCAAGTGGAAAAAGTTGTTATTGCTGAATTCGGTACTTATAATGTTATTAATGAAATTTGTATTTGGTGATATGATTGCTCTTTGAATATTTGAGCTCTTTATGCTAATAGTTGATTGATAGTTCATAAAGACATATTTGTATCTGAAGAGGAGCTGGTTGTTTCATTGTGCTCTTCTCCTAAATTGGTTTCTTTATTATTTTCATTTTCAAATAAACTGTTCGGTCACGTGAGGCGCACAACTCGACTGTAAAATAAGCAAAACTTTCAAAAAAACAGGGAGGTCCCTTGGCCCAGTTGGTTAAGGCGTGGTGCTAATAACGCCAAGATCAGCAGTTCGATCCTGCTAGGGACCATTCTAATTTTTTGGTTCGGGCACGCTCACACGATGAAAATGACACCAAATTTTCTTCTTTTGCATTTGAGCGTTTCCAATAAAAACTATACCTTTTTTGAAGCTAGAGTCTCAAGATTCCAATATTTGTCACTTGTGAATATTCAATATAATAATCTAATGTTTCGCCTATAGCTGTTCCTAGAATGTCCCTTGTTTCGTGCTTCGGATTGCTTCCCAACTTGGCAGCTCCTCCGCGATTCATGTTCACGATTGTTCACAACAATCACATGCAGATTAATCAACCAGTTTACTGGATTGTTAAAATGTTCAAATTCGAAGCTTTGACCATTCTCAATTAACTGCTAACTGGTAGAGTTGAAACCATCTTCAACCGGTATTATAGACTCAATCAATCTACAAACAGACATATCAATTCTGGTTCATCGCCCCCGCTATATTTGAACAAAGACGATACTATAGATGGCAATTAATATGACTGATCATTCTGGTGGTATTTCAGAAGCTCACAAGCTAACCACCGTGGACAGTGATAATAGTACAGTCAGGTCAATAACTGATCAACCTAGCGAGTCTGTTGACCCAACTTTAGCTGCTGAATATCTCAAAGAATCCAAGAATTACAAATCAGATAAGAGACCTGTTGGTAAAACTCCGGATGGCACTACTTTTGAGGTCCCAGAGACTCATGATATGGTTAGATCTCTATTTGATCCAACTTTAAGGAAATCATATGCTGAAATACTCATTTGTTTGTGTCTCGCTTCAAATTTCTTGATCTATAGATGGTTAGAGACTAAAAGTGATAGAATTGTTGGCTTCATTGCCTTGTATGCGTTTTGGAGACTGGCTTATAACTTTGGTATCGGTGTCATCTTGTACTTTCAATCAAATCACAACACTTTAGTTGAGTTTGCTAAACGTCACTCATTGTTTAAGTCATCAAACAAGACGCTTTTACAAAAATTGGCTAATTTGGAGATCAAATCCAAAATGGGCAATACTTACAAACCAGAAAGCTACCCAATTGAATTCAACACTTGGTTGTTGTTTAGGCAATTTGTTGACTTGATATTAATGCAAGATTTCACAACTTATATGTTTTTGGTTTATACTTGTGGTCAAGGGAATACTCTAAGTCAATCAACATTCTTGAACACCACAAGAATTGTTCTGGGTTCTTTGTTAATTGGATTCAACTTTTGGGTCAAAGTGGACGCTCATAGAGTTGTTAAAGATTATGCTTGGTATTGGGGTGATTTCTTCTTTCTAGAGGAAAATGAATTAATCTTCGATGGTGTTTTTAACTTATCACCACATCCAATGTATTCAATTGGTTATCTTGGTTACTATGGTTTTGCATTGATCACCAAATCATATATTGTTCTTATTGTCTCATTAGCAGCTCATGCTTTGCAATTCGTGTTTTTAACGTGGGTTGAAAATCCTCATATTGAAAAGATTTATGGATCAGAAACTGTCAACAACCAAGCCAGTGAAGAATTCGAGTCAAATGAATCTTACCTCAAGCCATTGATTGTCTTTAGCAATTTCAACCCAATTAGAATATCTGATTACTTGGCTGCGCTGTTGGTAATTTATACAATTGTTGCACCATTTGTGATTCAACCTAAAAATGAATTATGGACAAGAATTTTTTTTGCTGCTGCTGTCATCATCAAACTGGGTCAATCATTTGGTGTCTCCTTGATCTTACACAAACAAAGTGTTGACAAATCATGGACTAAATTGTACTTGAAGTATGGTTTAGATAACGTTGCCGCGTACTCGAACTGGCAAGTTTTGTACAACTTATCATTGGTCCTTTCTTATAGTTCCTTAATCAGTGTTGTTGTTCGTGAGCTAATTAATGGTCAATATAAACTTGGTAATTGGTTATTATTGAGGTTCATTATTGGTGGGTTAATGGTTTTATTACAAGTATGGACTAGTTATTCAATCTATGAATCCATTGGTGAATTTGGTTGGTTCTATGGTGATTTCTTCTTACCCAAATTATCGAATAGACAGTTGACAAACTCTGGTATTTATAGATATTTGAATGATCCTGAAAGATTATTAGGTATTAGTGGTATCTGGGGTGCAACTTTGGTTACTTATTCACCATTTGTGTTTGTTTTAGCTATGCTTTGGACTGCTCACATCACTATCTTCATTACATTTGTCGAGAAGCCTCATATGGTCAAAGTTTATGGAGAACAACAGGTTTCCAAAAACATTTCTGGTGTTTCATTAACATTGAAACAAATGATGCCTGAAAAATTCAACAATACAATTGATTCATTCTACAACAAGACATTCAATAAAGTTGATGGTTACATCAAGAAGAAGAGATCTCAATCTGAAACTGTCAATAGAAAACATGTCAAACCAATTTTACACCAACATAACCAGTTGTCTAGTGAATATTCTATTGAGTTACTGAACCTTGAAATTGACTCTACAGTGGAAGTTGGTAAACCAATCAGAGCAAAATGGACAGCACCAAAATTCCATTCTAAGAAGGATTGGATTGGTCTTTACAAAGTGATCAGTACAGGTAGCTCTAGAAGACAAACATCAATCTCAAGCTCTGGTAGATGGATTGGTGTCAGTAAAGAAGGCTACAATAGACCTGTTGGCGTTATTAAAGATGAAGTAACATGTGATAAAGATACAGTCACTGGGATTGTTGAGTATTCAGGTGATTTATTAAATTTCGAGAAAGGTGTTTATGAATTAAGATATCATGCAAATTCATCTCACAAAGTTTTATCAATTTCACATCCTTTTGAGATTGTTGTTCCTACAATAAAAGTTGAAGATTCTCAAAAATTTACCTCATCATTGTTAGAATTGATTCAAAGAGCTACAGACGTTGCTACCGACAAGGAACCATTGAATTTCAACCATATTTCACCAAAGTTGGTTAGTGAATTAGTCAAAAATGCCACAAGTATTGATATTGCCAAAGACGTTGTTTCGAAATTGAAAACAGTTTCAAACATTGCAGATAGAATTAGAAGATCTAAAAAAATTCTTGATGAATTAAATAGTACAGAATAAGAATCTTGTTCCGGTGACATGTATATAAGTCTCAACATTCAATCTATTTACTATTGCTTATTAGGTATGTAGTCAATGCATTCTTCACAACGGCAGATTTCTTTTGAGTTTTTCTTATAACTTCTGATAAATTATCCAAGGAATCTTCAGATTCACTCAATAACCCCACAATTTCATTAGTTTTGATAAAACTCAACACTGAATTATTATTCAAATCAAACCCCGAGACAACAAGATCTATAATTTCAATACCAGCATTTACTAAAGCCAATGTAGTTGCATCAGAAACCAAACTTAATGTTTTCAAATATAATTTTTCAGCATCTTGCACCGATATTATATTTATAAAGATATCAATACCAGATTTTGGATACTTTGACAAATTTATCACACTAAGGAAATTATTTTCAATATAGTTGCAAAATTTCTTATTCAATAGATCACTGAACAAATCTGTACTATCTTCCAAATGAACACTTAATGTGGTCTTTTCAACAAATGAACCTCTAATTGGTCTTGGTCCATAAACTGAGACTGATATAATATTACCATCAACTTCTATGAATGATGATCCATTAGCATTTGTTATTAATCCTGTCTTTATGAATGTTCTTGAAATTTGAGCTTCAATATCATCTTCTTTTGTTTTGTCAATTAGGGTTTTTTGTTGATCTTTCTCAGATAATGGGGCAAATATCAATGGTTTAGCATTTGGAGGGCCTAAAAGTCTTCTTCTATCTATAGTATTACTCATGATATTGGTGAATTGCTTATGAATAGAAGGTTTCTAATATTTTTATGGAAGCTAGTTGAAGCTATAAACTTTTTTTAAATCTCAAATTCCGAGGTCCTCGGATTTATGATACACTTATAGAAATGGCAGCTCACTTAAGATGAAGCTTTGACAACCTACAAGATTCTATAACTATAACTCATTAATATTACCAGAACATAAAAATACATATATCACAAAACTAGCCTTCCAATAAAACAAACCCCAAAATTCCATGTAAAAATTCGCACATGGCATTTAACAAAACTTTGATATAAAAACATAACTAGCGTAAAAAGTAGCAATAAACAACAACTGATTTGATCTGAGAAATTAGAGTATATACCAGCATAAATATTCTCCACATCATGTAGAGCTCTCCCTTAAAGTTTTTAGTTCACTTGAGCAACCACCATTTGTATTTTGATCAATAATTGTATCCTGGCCAGCGGGATCATACTCAGGAACATAGTCAAATTCAGGTGGATCACTCTCTAAATCTTGTAATCTTCTTCTTTCTAATTCAGCCTTATCGGTATCTCCTGAGACATTAGTATTGAGGATGGTTTCAGTTGCATTTGTAGCTGTGGTGGTGGCTGAAGATGATGAAGGAACTGGCAAGACCATATTCATTTCTTCACTTGTTCCAGCAGCTTGTGAATAACTTGGTGCAGGAGCAAAATCATCAGACAAGATTGGTGGCTCAGAAGGTAATAATGCTTGTTCTCTTAATCTCAAGCGTTCTTTTTCTGACAAGTTTGGATCTTCTGGAGGAATGAATATTTCTTCACCCGTGGAAATAACACTGTTGTTATTCTTGTTATTAGTTGTGTTTCCATTTATACTTAAAGGACTGATTGAAGTTTGAGAGAATGTTTCAAGCATTGAATTATCAGACTCAAAATGAACAGGACTATCACCATTACAACTTGAAGCACCTGAAATATTTGAACTTCCATTACCATTGTGTCCATTAACATTATTAGTTCCATATAATGCATTTCCAACAACTGTTTTCTTTCCAATTTGAGCTCTTTTATGATTTCTTTCAGTGCCCACAATTATTTCAGTATTTAAACCCAAGAAATTCTTTATTCTTTTCAACTTATCAACATTCAAAACACCTTGTTCAGAGCGTAACATTTCCCGTTCCTGTGGAGTTTCAGTATTGAAAACTAATGAATGTGAAAACTTATTTTTAGAAGATTTTGAACCTTGACTTGAACCATTACTTGATATTAAGTTTTTACTTGAAATATTTGCCAAAACTTCAATATAATACTGGAATGTGACAAGGTCTGAACCAACTATAGTGGGGAAAGCATCAACTGGAACCTTCAAAGAAGTAGATATTTCAGAAGTTAGACTTTCTGGATCAATATATAAGGGTGCTATGGTTTGTGCCAAATCTTTTCTAAATGATTGAATTGGAGCCTCTGGGCCATTATCCACCCGACATATTCTGATAAGTGTTGCAATTATTCCACTTGATGATTGAATTGGCTTATAGTGATGTAGTTTAATTTTCAAAGGAATCATTTCACCCCTCAAAAATCCCGATTCTGTTATATCAACAAATAAACGAACTTCTGGAGGTGCTCCATTTTGTAAAGCTTGATTGTTTTGAGATGATTGATTATTCATTGAATCCATACTATTATCACTAGCTACTGTAAATTGTGTAACATTTGAATTCACTGTTGAAGTGGATGATACTGTTTTTTTCAATTTTTTATCTGAAGGTTTCAGGATGGCAACTTTTGTGCTAGGTTTGGGTATTTTGGCAACATTTATAGGCACAATGATTTGTAAATTTTTATCACAGTGTTGAATGGAATTTTTAGGATTGGGTATAAGACTTCCTGGTGATTGTGATTGTAAGGATGCTGGGGATGATGCTATGGAAGATAGTGGTGAGGCTTGATTATGGTTTATTGATGCTCTAAGGGAATATGATATTGAACCTTTTTCAAAAGTGATGGATGTATAAATATTCTTTCTGGGAAGCTTTATTGAAAATGGAAATCTATGTTCACCTTTACTCAAACCTGATAACGACAATGTTTGTTCATCATCCAAGTCACTTTCAGTTTCTTGATGATCTTGACAGTTTTCTTTATTTGAATCTTCACCATATATTACTGTGGTGTGCTGGAATAACAAATTTGGTTTACTCCTCACTGTTGTTGTGTTATTGGTCTGTTTAATCTTGATGAACCCTATCAAGGTCATTGTTATATTGATATCTGCTATATTTTTCTTCAAGTCCAAAACAATAGTTCCCTTTATAGATTCACCAGGTCTGAATACCTTATGTGGTTCATCTAAATCTATGTAAAAATCTTGTATCAAATTTATACTGTCAAACTTCAAAGATTTTCTAATCGAGTTTGTGGAACCTTGTACTTGAGATCTTGAGGGTAGGAACCTTTGAACCGCTCGTCTCATGGTGTATTTATTTTGAAGCAACAACGTCTCCTTTTCTTCTCTCTTGTTCAACTTTGTTGTTCTTTCTTTTGTGTATTTTGTACGGAGTGCTCTTCAGAAGCCAGTATTTAAAGATGGATTGTGTAGAAGTAGCACCTGGAATGAGTATCTCTGGATCCTTCTCTTATATAATAATCACTATTAAAGAGATGTGTTTGTTGTGCTTTTTCTTGCCTTCAACAACACACTAGATGATGGAATTTGAAGCCAGGATTGGGATGAGTATTTTGTAGTGGATGGAAGCAGTTAGCAGCAGTAGATGGTAGAAGCAAGGGTAGGTAAGCGATAATAAGTAGTTTGCAAAGTGGTTATTAACAGCTTTGTTCGTTTTGGATAGTCAAGCTTTTCCAAGTGTATAGATAAAAACCCCAAACTTCAACAACAGTTTCAATTTGCAACGCCTAATTTCTAGGCTGCACAGTGCAATTCCGCGACCGAGCGCCAAAAAGGGGGTCGCCCTACCGTGTTCCAGGCCCGCTGGGCTGGTGGTCATTAGGCGGAGCCCTGCCAAACGCTAGGGAGTGGGCTGATATTGATGAGCCCGTGGGCGCTCTCCAGAGTCCAGTGCAGCCACACCAACCTACACCTTCTTTTCTGCAGAGAATTGGGCACAAATGGGTTACCTTTCATTGATTGAGTCTTGATAATTGTTGAATTGAACTAGAGAGTACTGGTGTTTTTTAGCCGATTCAAGGTCCAACGTTCAGCGATGAGCCTTGATATTTGAATAGGCGATCGACGTGCTGCCTGGGGGTTTTTAGTGGATGAAGTTACGAAGAAAATATTTCCTTCACAGGACAAAGTTGGACCAAATAACTGATGGATCTCGCAAGAACCCATGGCTTGATAATGGTGAGAGTGAAAGGAAAGTATTGAGTCAAATCAGTTCGCACAAGCTTTTATTGTGTCTTTAGAGATCTCTTTGTGCTGAGATAAGAGCTTTTACGGAGGCTGGGCATCAAAACGGTGAATGTACCCAACTTCCAATTTCCAAGATCCAAGCGATACATAACAATAAAACTTGAACTTGGCTCGTCTGAACGGTCGAAATATGACAGAATTAGATCTAGTTGTTGAATAGTATTGGAAGCTTGTATTCTAAACTATGGAGTGTTCTGGAACCTACAATATTATAGATAAATTTCCGGCACGAGTACAATATGATTGTATGTTGTACAGAGTCCAGACCTGTCAAGGCTCAGACGACAAATAAAGTATAAGCTGATATTAGTCAATATCTAAGCCGGTAAAGCTTCAATTCCAACTATGTGTAAAGCAATTCGAAGACTTTTACTTAAATATGAAGTAGTACCCATTTCACCATCATTGATCTGGATCTAGTGCTCACTGCTCAGCTATATTATTGTCAAATATTACATAGCTGACATCTATAACTTACGTCGACTTATACTGCAATCTGCTCCCATATATGTATCCATTAATTGCAACATGTCAACATGTCGAATATGATCCGGCACGAATAGTCATAAGCTTTAATAATCTTCTTGAATTTATCCAGCTCAGCACATACACATCGACTTCGGCATTTATTAAAGAAAAACACCGGCCCTTATAACTACATCTGATAATAAAACACAATGTATATTACATCTGAACAGCTCGATCAACAGGAAAACAATAAAATATATTAATGATATAAAGAATAAAAATACAAATCAACTTTTCAGTTTAAATTATAATGTGGTCAATTACGATCACTTGTATAACCTTAATCAAACCAATTCCATTATATATGCAAGTACAACATCACACACCAATCCAAAACACTCATGAGTTAATCAATTGAATCTAATCAAAAGTTTTTTTGGTACCTTTGAAGTCAGCAGTAACTGGAGCACGGTTGGAACCAGTTGGGGTAAATGATTTTCTTTCTCTACCACCGAAAGATTTTCTATCATTACCACCAAATGATTTTCTATCGTTACCACCAAATGATCTGTTGCTGTTATCTCTTGGAGCAGAGTAATCTAAACGAACTGGTCTACCTTCAATGTATTCACCATTCAAAGCTTGATGAGCAGCTTTAGCTTCATCGATTGAAGAATATTGAACATAACCGAAACCTTTTGGTTGTTCGGTATCTGGATGAGTTGGAATTCTAACTGAAATAACTGAACCATATTCAGAAAAGGTGTTGAAAATGTTATCTTTGTTAGCATTGAAAGACAAGTTACCCAAGAATAAAGTATCAGATGGAGCTGATGGAGTATCACCGAATTTTGAAGCTCTGTCACCAGCTTTGTTGTTAGAGGTATGTTGTTTACCAGTAGACATATCCAAGTTGATTGGTCTACCATCAATTTCACGACCTTGGTATTCTTTCAAAGCTTTTTCAGCAGCACTTTTGCTTTCGAAATCAACGTAACCGTAACCTCTTGATTTACCAGAAGCTCTTTCGAAAATAACTCTGGCACTTAAAACACCACCTAATGGTTCAAATTCACGTTTTAACCATTCATCATCAACACTCCATGACAATCTACCAACGAATAAAGTAGCTGGTTCTTCATCAACTTTTTGTTTTTTAACTGGAGTAGCTTCTTCTTCAACCTTACGTTTCTTTGATGGTTCTTCAACTTCCTTCTTTTCTTCTTCTTCATCTGATGAAGAGTCTGAGTCTGAATCGGAATCTGAAGAGTCTGAAGAGTCTGAATCTGATGAATCTGAAGAATCTGATGATTCTTTTTTAGCTTCTTCTTTCTTTTCTTCTTCATCATCGGAAGAATCTGAGGATGATGATGAGTCTGAATCTGAAGATGATGATTCTTCTTTCTTAGATTCTTCTTTTTTTTCTTCTTCTTCGTCATCAGAAGAGTCTGAATCTGAATCTGATGAATCTGATGAGTCGGATGATGATGAAGATGAAGATGATTCTTCTTTCTTTGGTTCAACAGCATCTTTAACTTCTTCATCTGAGTCTGAATCGGAATCTGAGCTTGAGTCTGAATCTGATGATGATGATGAGGAGGAGGAATCAGAGTCTGAGTCTGAATCTGATGATGAGCTTGAATCTTCTTCTTCAGCAGCTTTCTTTTTAGCTTCTTCTTCAGCAAGTCTTTTCTTTTCAGCTTCTTTCAATGCAGCTTCAGCTTTTTTAGCATCTTTTTTTGATTCTTTAGTAGACTTTGGCTTTGTAACTTTATCAGCTTTGGAGGTTGTCTTCTTAGAGACTTTTTTGTCTTTGACTTGCTTTGTTGGTTTACCCATTTTTACCTTTTATTATATATAACTTGATGAATAACTTATTAACCAGAATTGAGGAAAAGGTATCAATTATGTCTCTTATATGAATTATAAATTTTTCACCTCTATGAGAAAAGAAAAAAAAAAATTTAAAAAAATTTCAGCCCGGGTAAACGAAGAGGTTATCTGCCAAAGGTTTCCATAGCAACCTTTATTATTATCAAATACGAGGGCAAACGGTTCAGTCATGTGACTTCACCTTAGAAATTCGAAAGTAATGTACACAAACGCGAATTTGTCAACTACATGAAAACAATTAAAACCAAAACCTTCTGATAAAACAAAAATTAAAAGCACCGTCAATATAATAAAATAAATCTGTTGTAAAATATGATTCGTTGGAACCAATGGAATAGAAAGGCCGAATGAAAGAATTCATTCTTGACACGATAAGAGAAAAAGAATGGTCAAATGAACAAAACGTGTTAAAAAGCACACATCATGAAAGAATCATAAAAAGAATAAAATAATAGAAAAGATTGTCATTTTTAAGTTAATGGACAATGTAACACCTTCACCTTCAGAATAGGAAATAACAGCTGTTGTTGAGGATCCAGAACCATAAATAGCTGTTGTTGAACCATCCATCACAATAGTACTCATCCAGTTGTGTTCACTTGAACTTTGTGAATCTCTAATAGTACCAGTACTGGAAGATTGGATATTAGTTATTGTTGGGGTATTTGTGCTGGAGTTGAAGTCTTGAGAGGTTGATTCATCCACTGGATTAGTTTTTGTTGAAGCTACAGCCACTGACATTATTGGGTTGGTATCTGTGCTTGTCCAATCATCTAGGTTTGAACTGCTTCGTTCAGCTGGAGGTAAACTGCTTACCGTGGATTCTGATACTGTTGTGGACTCCGATTTTTCACTTTCATTGGTATGTGTTGGAGTCGGTGATAGCAAGTCTGTTGAACTTGTGACAGAATCATTGTTACCTAAATTTGGCGATGAGGACGTTGATATCATCGTTGTTAAATCGGTTTGACTTTCCGAAGTGCTAGAACCATCCTGCTCTGAACCGCTTGCTGTTGATGGTATGCCTGTTGAACCATTCAGCTCGGATGAAATGACTGAACCTGTTGGTAACGTATTAATTTGAGCTTCACCTGATGAAACAACGTCAGATCTGTTTGGTATAATATTTGTGACCGAACCAAATGTTGTTGTTGTTTGCACTGTTGATACCAAGGTTGGTTCACCAATTGATGGTGTATCATCCTCTGATGTGTCAGTAGTACCATTGAAATCAATTGAAGTTGTTTGAACAGTATTTTCTGGATTTGTTGTCACCGTATTAGCCGTGGAGAATGAATTTGAAGTAGGATCAGTTGATGATGATAACGTGGAACCAGCTGGTAAACTTGATGTATCAGTAGGAGCTGTCTTGGAATCAGTGTTTGAAACCAAACTAGTCTGCTGTTGCTCTTCACTAGAGGTATCACTGTCAATTGTTGTTGAGCTTGTAATATCATCCTTCACGCTAGAAACTGTTGAATGTTCAGTTAAAGAAAGATCAGAACGGGTCAAAGCTGTCTCAGATGGTGTCTTAGTCGATGAAGTGCCTTCCAATGTTGAGATAAATGATGATACCAAGTTTGATGGATGCAAAACAGTTGATTTTCCAGAAGATCTAAAACTTGTGGTATGATCACTTGTTGAATCTAACAGTTTTGAGGAATGAGAAACACTCATGCTTTCCAAATTTGAACTTTGACTTGAACTTGATTTATATGTATCAGTCACTGTACTAATAGTTGAAGCATCATCAATTGATGTTGTTAAAACAACACTAGTGCTTGACGAATTAACAACTTCCTTAAAAGTGGATGTTGTGCTAGGTCTTTCAGTGAAAGAAACTGTCAAGCTGCTTTCTCCAACAATACTAGAAGCTGGATCAACAATGGAGATTGAAGCAAAAGAGGATGATGAATCTGTTGCTGGTGTTGAAATTGATGGGTATGGCTGCTGCTGTGTACCAGATATTGTATCTATCGAAGAGGATAAAGTCACCGATGACCATTCTGCAGAACTTGTGGATTGAGGTAACATGCTTGTTATTGGATTGGATGTCTCTGTACCAAAGGCTAATGAACTTTCCATTAATGATGTTGTGAGACTGGAACTTTCTTCATCTGAGCTGGACAAATCCAAGGTATCGATTGAAGACGCTTGCTCACCAGGAATAACACTTGAGATGGCCGTCACCACTAAACTTGATGATACAACACTAGAGCTCTCCTGATCAATTGGTTGACTTGTGGTGCTTGCTTTGATAGAGCTGGTGTAACTTGATATCACATTGGATATGAAACTTGAGACTGGTGAAACAATAACATATGATGATGGCAACGAAGAAACTGTATGAAGTGTTGATGAGCTGAACTGACTTTCTGATGACTCATTTGACTCAGAGTTGAGAATGGATGAAAATGAACTTGTCTGCTGGGATGTATTTGTTGGATTGAAACTAGCAAGAGAAGTCTGGTAAGATGAACTTGATTCGGCCGAGCTAAATTCCAAGCTTAGTGTCGAAGTTGTCAGTTGTGTTTCAATGTGTGATGATGATCCACTTGAAGTACTAGTTGCTGAGGGTATCAATGAACTAATACCATATGATGATGAGCTTAACTCTATTGAATTCTCCGATGATGAACTTGCTTGAACATCTGAAGCTGAAGCTGGAGTTGTAATAGAAGGCGTCCCCAACGCTATAGATTCACTCAAGCTCTTGCTAGTGCTGGATGATTCCTGTGAGCTAACTGTGCTTGAACCCGAAGACGAACTTGTTTGGCTGCTTTTCAAGAATTCGATTGAGGAGCTCGAAAACTGGCCATTTGATTCAACTGAGCTGCTTAACAAACTTGACAACGAAAATGATGATCTAAAGCTTTCAGTGGACAGCTCGAAATATGAGGTTTGACTTGAACCTTCCATTGAAGTTGAAGATGCACTTGAAACAACACTTGAAGCATCTGATGAAGCCAACAAAGTAGACGATGGATGTTGTGTAGATGAAATGGAAGAAGATAAATCTGTGACAATTGATGGTGAGGCTAATTCCGATGATAAGCTAGTCAATGTTGATCCAGGTGCTATAGTATGATATGATGTCAAGGAACTTGTTGATGAGAAGCTTTGAGTAGACTGAGTTGACAAGGAAAGATCGTTCGAGCTTGTTGCTGATTTGCTGCTTGATCTTGAGGATTCATCAAATGACAAGCTAGAAGTGAAGAAGCTGAAGGATGTGGAATAACTGCTTGAGCCAAAAGATTTTGAACTTTGTGATGAACTTTCCAATGAAAAACCAACAGATGATGATGAAGCATATGTGCTAGCTGATGATAAACCACCAGATGATAATGATTTATATGTGCTAGCTGACACAAGATCTGACCTTGACGAGTCTTGTGAACTGGATAGTTCCATTTGACTTGTTTCAGAAGATACCATTGAAACACTATCTGACGTGCTTGAAATCTGAGATGTATGTGAACCATTATCAACCACTGAGCTCAACATTGGCGCACTTGTACCAATACTAGATTCACTTGAAGAAGTTAAGCTGTCATATCCAATTCCAGATGACAAATCACTCACAGAAGATCCCCAATTAAAAGATGAATAAGTGAAGGACATTGATGATGTCTTCAGTAATGATGATCCTGATGGTTTATCCTCTTCTGATGAAATGAAGGTTGCAGTTGGATCAACTGTTGTTGTTCTTGAGAACAAGGACTGGGAACTTGATAGTGTGCTGCTTGGTAATTCAGAATGTGGTAGGACTGACGATGATATTTCACTGCTAGATAAAGCTGTTGATTGTTCTTGAGACGTCAATTGCATGCTTGATGAAAAAACAATTGAGTCACTTGAAAAGGATAAAGGACTTTCTGGACCTGAAACAGATCGATATAAGACACTTGAAGCTGTCGAAACTGGTTCCTGGGGAAGACTTGAAGCATATGAAGCAATAGAATCAGAACTCAATGTTGACGTGAAGTAAATAAAAGAATTTTCTGAATTGCTTTCAAAAGAATGGAAAGAAACACCAGATGACGACTCACTAACAAATGTTGAATAAGATGAGGAAGTGTTCAAATATCCAAACCAACTTGAGCTTTGTGTGCTCCAACTTGAAGCACTTGATGCAGATAACCCAGATGTTTGTGTTAGATGATCTTGTGAGCTATCTTCGGTTGATTGTTGTGGTCCAGAAACATTTGAAGATGATGAAAGTGTTGCTAAAGATTCCGAAGTGTAACTTGAGATCTTACTTGGACTGGCTTCAGTACTAGAACTTTGTGACAAAAAACCTGAAGAACTCAACCCAGGACTCGACGATACGTCCATTTCCTTGCTGGAAGAAATACTTGAAGATTCTTCTTGCCCGAAGCTTGGACCTGAGATACCGGATGTGGTGCTTTGAGAAGATGGCTGTAACCAACTTGAAACACTGAAAGATGATGATTGGTCTGTTGTGCTCAAAGATGGTATAAATGACGAGGATGATGATGAAGGAAAAGCAGACGAACTTGATAGTGAGGATGAAGCCAAGTAACTTGAGGATGATGCAAACGACCAAAATGTGGTTTGTTCTGGAGCTAATGTTGTCACGAATGATTGAGTTGAACTTGAACTGGATGAGAATGATGAAAATGAACTCAATGATTGACTGGTGGATGATGTTGAAAGTTCCGATGAGACAATGCTAGTTGCTATAAATGAAATCATTGAAGACAAAGATGCAGTTGAGAGAACAGAACTTTGACTGGAATAACCATCTGAAGAAAGAGTGCTGTCTATATCTGTGCTTTCAGAGTTAACAGAGCTTAATTGTTGTGAGCTCGTCATGATTGGGACATTGCTAGTCAAAGAAACTAAACCAGAAGATGATGAAGTACTGTATGGGGCAGATTCCGATCCAGCTGATGAAACATTGTTATATGGTGGTAGTGAAGTTGATGTGAAGTAAGAGATCCCAGTAGATGAATAACTTGATGATAATGAACCTGACTCAAATGGTGAAGCAAAACTAGAAGGAGAAGAGCTTGCTGATAATGAACTTGACTCAGATAATGAAGCAAGACTAGAAGAAATATCATCCGATGAAGAACTTGCTAGTAATGAGCTTGACTCAAAACTAGAAATAGAAGAACCTGATGGTACTGAACTTGACTCAGATGATGAAGCAAAACTAGAAGCAACAGAACTTGCTGGTAATGAACTTGACTCAAAACTAGACTCAAAACTAGAAATAGAAGAACTTGATGATACTGAACTTGACTCAAATGATGAAGCTAAACGAGAAGCAGAATAGCTTGTTGGTAATGAACTTGACTCAAATGATGAAGCTAAACTAGAAGCAGAAGAACTTGATGGTAATGAACTTGACTCAGATGATGAAGCTAAACTAGAAATAGAAGAACTTGCTGGTAATGAACATGACTCAAAACTAGACTCAGAACCAGGAATAGAAGAGCTTGTTGGTAATGAGCTTGACTCAAATGATGAAGCAAAACTAGAAGAAATACCACTAGTTGTGAAAGATGTTGGTGCGTAAACACTTGACTGAGATGGTGAGCTGTCGCTTGATGGAGAAACAAAACTAGACATGATAATGCTTGATGAAACACCTGTTGCTGAATAAGTTGATACAAAAGATGGAATCACATTTGAGGATGAACTACCAACAGTATCACTGGATAAAAAGCTTTGTTTACTTGAGCTTGAACCTGGTGATGAGATAGCTCCTGGTAAAGAAGAACCGGACTTAAATGATGAAGACATATCTGCGGAAGAATATGATGGCAATGAACTTGATTCAGATGGTAATGATAGCCATATTGACGAAGAACTCGTTGCTGAAGAATCTGTTTCAAAAGTGGAGAGCACATTCGAGGAAGAAAGAGCACTAGACACGTCCATGCTCGAAGAAGCACTTGATTTTAATGGACCTGAATCAGGGAACGAACTCATACTCGATGAGAAACTTGCTAAAGAACCTTGGATAGAAGAAGTGACACTATCTTGAGAACTTGGTTGTAATGAATTTGAACCAGAATATGAAATGTCACTGGACAAAGACGCTATCAATGATGAAGAACCTGCTGTCAAATAACTTGTTTGAATTGATGATAGCACACTAGATGAAGAATCAGCGGTGTACGAAATCACACTTGATGAAGAGCTTATTGGCAGTAAACTTGATAAAGAAGCAACGCTCGATGATGAGACCAACGATGAAGCAGAACTTGATTCAAAAGCCGAGGAGCTTGTTGACACTAAAATTGATTTTGAGGATGAAAAAACAGCTGGTGTACTTTTCTCTAAACTTGATGATGATGATTTCGTATTTAGGAAAGAACTCTGCTCTAAAGAGCTTGAAAGAACCACACTTGAAGAAATGCTTGTTGTTGAAGAGCTTGCTTCAGAAGACTCAACACCGGATAAAGTTCCAGATGAAGAAGAGCTTGGTGACGATGAACCAGATGACAATGAACTACTAGTCGAAACCACACTAGGAATGAAACTTGACTCCGAAGATGAATTCACAACTAATGAAGAGCTTTGTGCTAAAGTTGGGCCGAATGATGAGCTACCACTAGCTGAAGAATCAGTACCGGGTGGAATCACGCTAGATGAAGGATTTGATTGTAATGAGCTTGAACTCACACTTGGTGACGAGCTTGCTTCAGAATATGAACTAGCACTCGGTGTTGATATTGAATCTGTTTCGGTTGATGAGATGAAACTTGAGCAAGATGGACTAACAATAGTTGAGGAGCTTAATGGTGATGTTGATTCGTATGATGAAACCAAACTTGATCTCGCCAGTGAGGAAGTTGATGAAACTTTACTCGATTCAGATGATATGAAATTACTGGAACCAATGTCACCAGACGAAAAGCTTTTTGAGCTAACAAAACTTGAAGAAGTTTCCTGCAATGAGTTTGAGGCCAAATGACTGCTAGATACGGTTGTTTCACTTGAACTTAAACAATCCGTGGGTGTATGGTCACTTATGGTGCTGAATAATGAACCAGACGAGGAGTTTTCTGTATTTATCATTGAGCTTGATGATGAATCATGGGACGGTGTTTCAGAAGGAATACTTGATGTACTCGATGGCTCAAAGTCTGGATGTGTTGGATTCGAGCTGGAACTAGCTCCTGAGGAATTTATTGAACTTGTTGGGTAATATGAAGTTATACAACTGGCACATGTAGCAAATTCAAATATTTCAGTGTGACCGGCATATGTATAAACTGTGCCATCACTAGTCACTGTTAAAGAATAGTTGAAAATGTGGTTCCCAGCGCTGATATAGGTGAGATCTCCAATGGTGTTGGTTGGTTGCCCTTGTGTTGTGGTTGATGTTGTATCCATTGGTGTAATAGTATCACTGGAACTTGTTGGATAATATGAAGTCAAACAACTTGCACAAGTACCATATTCAAATATCTCAGTGTGAGCAGCATAGGTATAAACAGTACCATTGCTAGTAATTGTTGAAGAATAGTTGAAAATTTGATTACCGGCACTAATATAGGTGAGATCTCCAATAGTGTTTGTTGGTTGCCCTTGTGTTGTGGTTGATGTAATGGTATCCATTGGTGTAATAGTATCACTGGAACTTGTTGGATAATATGAAGTCAAACAACTTGCACAAGTACCATATTCAAATATCTCAGTGTGAGCAGCATAGGTATAAACAGTACCATTGCTAGTAACTGTTGAAGAATAGTTGAAAATTTGATTACCGGCACTAATATAAGTAAGATCCCCAATAGTGCTTGTTATTTTGGCAGTATTGGTGGTAGCTTGAGCTTGGGATAATCCAATGATAGATATGATAAACCATATCAGTACCTTTATAATCATTTCGATATATTAATGTAGCTTTGACTTCAGAGCATTGGATGGTAAGTGATGAACAAGTTGAGCTCAATTTTTTTTCACACCAATACCATTGTGAAGACTTTTTGAGGTTAGGCCTACATTCGACTCTTGAACTGTTGATGAATAAACGGATTTTGAAGGTTTTCCAAAGATTTTTCGAAGGTTCGTTTTCGGTTCTTCAATAGCTGATGTGCTTTCGTTTTTCACATTTTCGGAAATACAAAGTTCGATCATGGTACCTTTTCGGATTAAACAATAGTCGCTTTGCAGAAGTTCAAAAGCTTCAGCGCATAAAAAGAAACAATCGCCTCAACTCAATCTGTTCAGATCTGAGATGAGCAAGAAGCAAGGGCTTACTCGCTTTGAGAGCCCTCAGGCGAAAATAGAAACAATGAAAAACCATTCGCTCAGGGGAGGATAAGTGCGAAAAGTCAAGACTCAAATTGTAAAGATAAAGTCGAAAGTCTGCGTACCATAGTGACCGAAAAATATTTGTATTTGTGCAAAGTTGCAAAGTAACAGTAAAGTTGAAGCAATTCGACTTTCAAAAAGTTGGCAAGCTAATATTGTTTAGCAGCTGTCTCAGTCCTCCAGGTTCTCGAGAACTTCAATTTTTCTTGAGGTGTTGTACACATGAAAGTTACGAAGTTTATAATATTGTCAATGCGTTTGTACAATTCAAACCCGCTAGTTGGCAACTATGACAATGAGTAAATAATTAAGAAAATTATGGGATGTTTTTCAGCATTAAGTTCTATTTGAAATCAAATAATTTATTACCTCTAGTAGCCAATTCATTAGTTAATCAGTGCTATCTATAGTTATGGTTACTGGCCCATCATTCACCAAGGCAACATCCATCATGGCACCAAAGACTCCATCTTGAACATTTTCATGACCTATGTTCGCTTTCAGTTTGGACAAGAATGATTCATAAAGCACCTTAGCATCAGCACCTAATATCATATACTGTTAGTTCTGTTAATGTTTGGGTAAGTTCAAATTTACCTACCTTTAGCAGCCAAGTGGAAATCTGGTTTTGAACCTTTCTTAGTTCTCGCCATTAAGGTGAATTGTGAAACTTAAAATTGTTAGCTGTTTGATTCATTAAATGCTGAGACCCGTCACATACCAGAGAGTATCTGTCCATTAATTTCAGTGATAGGCTTTTTCCACATTGTACCACTCTCATCTTCGAAAAGTCTAAGCTTCAATATCTTGGATGATAATTTTTCAACCTCCTGTTCAGTATCCTCGGTCGATATACCAACTAGAAGCATCAATCCCTTCTGAATGCTGGTTGACAATTGTTAGACTGAATTCACTGAGAACATCACAAATAAAACTTACGATGAAACGACTTTTGTGTCCACTGTAACAGATGCCGATTTCACTTTTTGTATCACAACCTTCATTGTGGTCTAGTCTATCAGTTCTATAGCGTTGATCTGACAGCTACGCATTGATGATTGTATGAGTATATCCCTCAGATAAGTCGACAAATTATTAGCTTCGCGAATCTTCGCGAATTGGTTCTTCAAAATCATGTAGACATGGTACAATGATCGTATAATTAGTACATCAGTGTCTATTTAATTAGTCTATTTATCAAATAATAGATGGTTCCTAGCAGCCTAAATGCTGCCATGAATGCCACAATCCATAATATCACCGTTAGGAATATTTCTGATCTATTACTTATAGCATCATTTGCATCTGTTGTTGAGGAACTAGAAAGTTGATTCACACCCCCAGTTTCTAACACTAATGCAATGATGACAAAATTAGTAGTAATCCATGTTAAAACGACCATTGACCTAATGAATGCATAATAATCCTTCTTTTTCTCTTCCTCTTTCTCTTTGCGTTGCTGTTCTTCCCGTCTCAAAGATTCTTCTGTAACGGCAGGTTTTGGCTTTGCGACATGTGCCAAAATGTCCATCTGTCTTTCATACAAATTATTAATCTCATCAGTGGTTATTGGTGCATCAATGAATTCAACTTTACCATCCTCAGTAATCTTAGCATCACCTAAGCTCTCAGCTGTAGCACCTTTTGTACCCCAACTTATATCATGTAAGTTACAGAAAGCATAAATGTTCAACACGTTCACATATGAAGGACTCAACAACAAATATTGAACAAAAGACGTGATCATATGCATTGGTTTTAAATGTAAGATTGAACCAACAAAATATAATGCATAAGTCGATAAACTTGAGATAATTAAATCTCTAAAAGTTCTATTCTCAAACACCACTTTTGCCGTTATTTTTCCACCAGAAACAACCTCTTTTATAGCATTAACAGACATGATAATTGCAGCAGCGATCATATAAGCCATAAGTACAGCAAAGAAAATAATAATAATCAAATAGAACTTTGGTGTACCCCTCGGTGTGTTACCAAATGATAAGACAAAAGTTGTGACAACAGACAACAAATATAGCCATAAAAACACAACCGATAGATATTTGCATGGTTCATAAAGATCACCAAGTGAAGTTGTCAAAATTCTGAAAACCAAAAAAAAAGATGCTAAAGAGAACCACGAAATCAACAGAGAAAGAAATTGATAAAAAAACTCAATGATCAAAGCAGTTTTTCTTCCAAAAGAATGGGAACTTGACATAAGTTTGTGAAAATGAACAATTGAATAGATAGCAGCGAAGAAAGACCCGTTTAACCAACGTCTTCTTTGAGAAACAAAATCATGAACTTCTTCAGGAACATCAGTTTCTGCAGATGCACTTCTGCAATATCTCAAGATCCAAGAACAATTTTTCTTTGCAACTAATTCAAAACATAAGATACGATCTTCAGCAAGATACATGTTTGCTTTGAAAACACCAGCTTGTTTATCATGTAATGTCTCACCTTCAAAATATTTAGCTAATGGACCATCACCATCTGGTTGATTTAGTAATGCAGTGTAACGATAAGCAGAGAATGCACCAGGTAAGACTGAAATAAACCCAAAAGAAGACTCCATGGGTTTATCCAATATGTTGGACATTTTATATTCAAAATTTTGAGCAGCAACTAATGGGTTGATTAATTTTTCATATTTGGATCCCAACATAGCCTTAATTTCACCACAAGTTCCTGCAACTGCTGGATCTTTATCAAATTCTTTCCATAAATGATAAATTGAATCTTTTGAAGGTTGGGTACCAGCATCTAACAAAACAACAACATTTGGGTTTAAAACTTTACCAAATGCCTCAAGAGCCCATCTATGAGAATTGATTTTTTTCTTATTCTCTTCCTTCAAGCAGAATAACAATTGTACTGGCACTGCTCCAGTTGTTAGCTTCACTGTATCTTTCTCCACAGAGGAAACACCAATCATGGAACTATATTCATAGATATGACTAACAACTTTTTTATCATTAACTGCATTTCTTGCAAAACCTTCTTGATAGACACCAAGACCTGCTAATAAAGCCTGTGCTCTTTCATTAATCTTGGAACGACCATCAGCCACAATACACACAACAACTTTTTTCCAAGAATCTTGACCCCAAGTGTGTGATCTATTTCTTCCTTCAAGATGTTTAATATTATCGAAAACACCTTTCAAAGTTCTAGCCAATAATACATCAGATTCATTATAAAGTGTCACAACAACCATAATTTCAATTTCTCTTGGTCTTTTGTAATAACGTTGTCTTAAACTGAAATTATCATTTGAAAAATCTCTCGGATCACAAGTTGCAGCTTGATATCTCATAAATTTAAACTCTCTTGAATCATCCATTATTTTCCCATCATACCTATCCAAAATCCTATCAGGCACAGGACAATCTAAGATCAAATTACCATTCAATAGACCAACTTCGATTTTTCTTCTTTGAGAATCTGGAGGAATTTCATAATCTTCAGCTTCACTTTCATCACCAAATGAATAATCTTCATCATTAAACTCTTTTTGGAAAGTGTTCAACTCATAGTTATCACCCGATATTTGGTGATCAAATCCAACATTCATCTCTTCATTATTGTTAAAACTATCTTGTAATTCAATGCCATTACTATATGGCCCATTCAAAGGCAATTCAGACATAGATCCACCAGAACCATAATAACGAGTGTCCTGAGTAGGTGGTAGTGGTATTTCATTACCAGCAGTTGGAAATGCGTTGAAAGAAGCAGCTGAGACGGTTTCATTGTTGTAGAATTGATCATCATAACGATGACTATTTTGTGGATAATCCACAGTTATATTAGGGATCTGTGGAGCTCCTGTTTCTAATGGAGAATATTGACCAAATTGAGCTGGTTGGTTGGCTTCCGTTTGATAATGGTTATTGCGGAGACTATCATAATGTTGATATCTATCGTCTGAATGGTATGCACCTGTGTACTCTGTCTCTGGGTTATTGTAACCAGTACTTGGATCATAAGTTTGGGTAGTGCTTCTTCTATGAGGTGATGTTGATTGGGGCCTTATATGGGAAGGTGGAACTGTCTGAAGTCTCTCTCTTGAATCATCATCATAATAGGATGTCACTGTGAAAGGGTCGGTATGCTGGTTTTGAGGTTCATCATTATAATATTGATCGTTATGGTACCCATATGAACCATTCGTCTGTTCATACCTGTTTTGGTTATTATTGTTGTGGTTGTAGCTCATTCTCTGAATCCAAGTTTGCACCAAACGAGAGCACCAACAGCTAAGGGTCTTCTAATGGCTTTGGCAAAAGGTTCACCAACTTGTTTTATATAGGAACATCAAATTCTCGTTGTTTTGATCTCTGACGCGTCTAAAAAAAGAACGATTTCCGGGTTCCTAACCGGATCTCAGCCTAGCACTGCGCCTAAAACAAAAGCTACTTTTAGTAGTGAGGCTTGAAACAAATGTGACACAAAAAGATGATTGTATGTATTCGAACTTCGTACTAAGCAGGTACGTGCTGAGCCTCTGGTACACTTTGAGTTTTGATACTTGGATGGCGTACGTTAAACCCTTGAAGATTCAAAATAAACGTTGTGATAAGGTCATTGATGGAGGCTTGGGGAAAACGATAACAAATCGGCTAGAGATATGTATGTAATTTAGCATGTACTAATATGTAGTAGCACCAGTTTTAAATTAGGCAATGAACAGGAAATATTGATGGTAAAATTGAATGCTACACCAGTTTCATAAATTGAAGCATCCATTTTGCTGAAGGTTGGTTCATTTATATTTTGAAGTACCTGATATTTCAATTATTTAGTGAAGTGCAGCAATATGATTCTGGGCTCCAATGACAGATTGTTATCTGTTAATTAGAACCAACACCATTTATCATTATTTAACCATAAGTAATCACCTTTTTGGGTCTTGTTGTGTAGTCTGATGGCTGACACCGATGAGTTTGGTTGTAAAGTCTTTACACCTTTCAACCCTCTAATATATTCAAAAGCTTCATCATGATGTTTTTCCCCACCTAGGGAAGAGTCCCAAAGAGTAATTTCTTTAAAATTGTATAATTGGGCCTCTTCAAGAGCAATGTTGATCAATTTTTTGAATGCCTCAAGATCATGTTCATTTTCATTGTATATTCTAACGATAACCAACTTTTCTTCGTTCCAATCATGTAACCAAATAATATGGTCGTTTGTCTGATTCAAAACTGCACCAAAATGTTTCAATTGAATTTCCGGTCTCAAAATTTTCGAAATAAAGATGTCTCTATCGTGAAACCAACTAAAGATATCAATATCTGGGGCAAGTGTAACCAGTGTTTTATCAGTATCACAGGCATTTTGTATCAAATCCTGTTTAACATGCGAGTATTGAGATTCAACAAGTTTTTGATAATCATCATATTTCAAAAAATGGTAATGAGCTTTTGGAACTTTTGTTGAAGAAACGTTTTCAGTAGGAATACTATGAGTAGGAACTTCAAAACTGTCATAGCCGAACTTTGAATAGTATTCACCAACTTCACTGTATAAAAATGTAAATGATTTTGATCCCAATTGTCTATCTAATGCATCATTCAATCTATTAATCATCTCGGCGGCATAACCTTTCTTTCTGTGGTTTGGTAAAGTGAAGACTCCACCAATACAGGCACATATAACCTCTGTTAATTCTCCTTCTTTCCCATCAATTCTCCAAGCAATTCTATTCATAGTCTCACAGGATGCAACAATGTTATCATGATTGTTCTCTGCCTTTATTGACAAATCTCTTAAAACATAATGAAACACCCCCAAATTTTGAGATTCTTTTCTTTTACCAAGGCTGGATTGACAACCAATTGTCCACTCTCTATCAGCGTATTGCTCTTTTGTCAATTTAGATCTCCATGCTTCTGAATTTTCCAAATGTGTGAATCTGATAAGTTCTGGATCACTTATGAGTTCTAAGACCAAGTCACTGTTTTTAGTCATGGCGGTTTAATCAAATAGGTGTAGAATGTACTGTTCTAGTTACGCGCCAGTGGATGGAGAAGTGTACGAAGGATCTGAATGAGTCAAGGGATTGAAAAAGGATAAGCTTGTCTTTTTATAACTTCATTTAGACTTCTCCGACTCACGTATGCACAAACTCATCGAAGCGATGCTTTGTGGAAAAAAAAAGTTAACGGCATTTCAAAACGACAAGTAGGCCGTTAACGTCAACTACAGGCTAACAATTGAAATCTAAACAAACTTTATCAGCACAAGACTCTGAAAGGTTCAAGATGTACAATTAGTTATCAGGTTAATCGAGGTTATCGAAGGCATCCATATGAAAGAACAAGTCCTTAAAGACGTCTCTAATTTTCTGGTGACTCGAAGATTAATGGGAGAAACTGGCGTTGGTCGACCGCGTTCTAACTTTTCAGACATGTTTCGGAAGCCTACGACAGCTTGAATCACGTTGAAACTAGTGATATTAAATAAACGATAGAGACAATGATATAGATTTCAAAAAAAAATGAAAGATTTAACACAAAACTACAAAGTCTGGTTTATATAGTATTGAGAGTGCCCTAACCGAAAAATTCGCGGCCAAAAATAAAAAGGAGTGCCTCCTGCCAGAATTGAACTAGCGACCTTTGCATTACAAGTGCAACGCTCTACCACTAAGCTAAGGGGGCAATTTTCGAAAAATTAAAATTTACACAGCTTTATCATATTTTGAGCGCTGAATCCAAATTTTGCCCCGATTTTGGACTGAAATAATAGCAAGTCGAACTGTATGTTACTCTAGTTAGTTTTATTGTTAATTTTGAGTCTTGGGAAATAATACTTGTCTTGTTTTGAGTTAATTTGGCTGTTTTAAGGTGATGTTGAAGTTCGGGCTCAAACCGTCGTGTAGTGAAATACATTGTCCTGAACTTCACTTCTCAGCTCATTACAGCTAGCGCAGGCGTACACGACCCTCCACAATGATTATATTGTTCATGATGTATTTGTATACTAGTACTGGTATAATATATTGCAAGGTTTATACCCACAAATTAACGTCTGAATCATTCGAAGGTATATTATAAGTACTTGAGACTTGTCGAATTAGTCTGTTCGATCTGATGGAGCAAAAATAATTAATTCCAGTCAACTAATCCAAAGGTGACTATAAGATGGTTTGAGGTGGACTATCTCAGCTTGTAAAAGATCATGGGTTGCATTGTAGTTAGTCTCTAGTATTAGACACTAGCCTTTCTACATTCATACCTACTCATAAAACTAGTTCTATTCAAATTCAAAAGAAAGTCTAGAACTCTCTGTCTCCGGACTATTTTTTCTTCTTGGACTCAACCTTCACATCTTCACCATCTTTTGGTTCAACATCAACGTCATCTTCACCAACTTGGCCAAACTCATTGACCCTTGAATAATCAACTCTATAGATCCATGTTTGATAAATATAAATCAAAAAGATAACATCATCTCTGAGTGTGGCTAGTCTATGTAACCAAGGCATTTTAATAACGAATGCAAATAAATCATCAATGAAAGTATTGACAAATTTATAAGCCATTGCCTTCTTTGGAATATGTGCCACTGATTTCAATCTATAATTAATGTAAACTGAAGGAACTAAAGTCAAGAACCCATAGGTGTACACAAATCCAACTAGTGTTGTAACAATAAATGAATACCAGGACTTATGTTCTTTGTAAAGCAATGAATAAACCGCATAGGCTGATAACAATGGGATTGAAACCCAATATAAATATTTGAAAGCAATTGAATCGTATTCTTTTGTTTTCTCTTCAGTCTCTGTTAACTTGAATTTATCACTAACTAAAACCTTAGGAATTGAACCTTCCCATTGGATTTCAAATTTCAAGATAGTTGTGATTTTCCAAGCTTCAACTAAAATACCAATCCCTTGAGATGCCAATATCATAAAAGAAGTACCATCACTATTATCAATCAAATATAATAATATAATAACTTGTTGAATAACATTTGCAATAATTGAACGAACTGAAACACCAACGTTATCTTTCTTATTTCTCCAATGTGAAATATCATTTTTGAAAGCCAAAAATTCTAATAATGAATGTAATAAAGAAACTGCAATTGTAATTGCTAATAAGTAAGGATTGGTATCCAACAAGATTTTCTTGACAGCATCAATTTCAGATCCATCACTTAGTCCAGCACCAGCCATTGGATTGTTTTCTTGTTGTTTCAACCCATCAGTGAATATTGCTAATGCTTGAATTTTCCAAAATTTGGCAAAATCTAAACTCAAATTTAGTTCTAATTCGTCAGTTGTTGCATTAATTTCATTCATATGATCTTTCAGTTGCCAAAACTTGTTTTGATACATGATTGGGAAGTACTGAGTGACTAATCCTGTTAAATTATCACGACGATCTAATGGATCTAACGGGAAAACCTCTAATAATGGAGGTGGTAAAGTTTTGGTATCTATTAGTCCAGGAGGTTTTGTTATGGAAATAGTGACATTTGGATGCCAATATGATGCAATTGGTTGTGTTGAGGCTTCTTCAACATCAGATTCTTGGAATTCTTCTTCAGCTTCATCACCACCAACTAGTTTATGAAGTTTGATTTCTTTCTTCTTTGGTAAGTAGGTGTTTAATTGAAACTTTTTAGATCCAACAACATCAACGTCATCATAGATCAAATATGAATGCAAGTATAGTGAAGCATTAGCTTTGACTGATTCTGGTGCCTTGAATTTGAAGTGATGAGTCAAGGAATTTTTAGAAGCAAGTTCAATATGATCTAATTTCAAGACAGGTGTTTCAACATTTTTATCAATAGATTCATCGTCACTAATATAGAACTCCAAAGTTATTGATTCGTCGCCTTTCACAATTGGTGCATAATAAACAGGAGGATTTTGAGAATTTTCATATAAAGCTTGTTCGAATGATTTAACTTCAAATTCATGAACTGTACCATTTTCATCCTGTCTTGTTGCAATTATGAATTTCTCTTGAGGTTCTTGGATATTAACAAATGAAGATTTTGCTAGATCGGGATCAAATTTATAATTGGATATACTATCAACAGGGAAATTAGATGAGCTAGATCCTTGAGAGACATTTTTTGATGATGATTTATCAGAGTTCATCCAATTTGAAAAAGTGTTTACCGCTAAGAACACCAACACAACCATCTTTAAGTTTGACATAATCCCACCACCTTGGCCATTTTGAGCCTGCTCGGGCTGTTGTGGGTCAGCCATTTGCAAAGAACGTTGTGGTTGTTGAACGATAAAGCGTAGTTTATCTCCAATGTTTTGAATTTATCCCGTAGAAAAACCCAGAGACATCCACTTTCGCGAACGTGACTTCAGAGTGTGGCTGATGGAAATCGGCGGCTGCAGTCTGGAGGAGCACTAGTCACATAATGAGGTCTAAGGAAATAAGAATAGAACAATGTTCAAAGGTTTTTAAGAGTACTATTGATGGTTAACGATAGGTTGCTCACGCTTGAGATGTACGTCTGCTAATCTATCACCATTATCGTTTACAAAGAAGTGGGTTCGCCAGATTCTGGTCATCAACGTCTTCAATTAATTATATCGGGAGTTCAAACAATGCAACGTCTTTTTTAACATGATATTACTTCAAATAATTAATTAATGCAATAAACCTTTTTTTTAAAATGCTTTGAAGGTAAGATAAATAATGGAAACAAATTCTTCTGAAAAAAACATTAAACTAGAACAACACCAACCCTAAAAGAACAAACTATGAGGAAGAAACAATATCAGAACTAAAAAACCAGAAACAATGATAAGTCAATAGAGAAAAGATTACACCTTGATTGGTTTATGCTCATCTTTTTTATCACCACCTTCACTATCTTTCTTTTCAATGCCATTTTCACCATTATTAGAACTCTTATTGTTACCAGATTCATTTATTTTAAAAGAAGGTGAGTTTGAATCATTGTTCATTCTATAGTTCCCATCACTATTATTATTCAACATGGCGCTAACACTCATATTTTGTTGAATTATTGGAGGTAGAGTAGGTGATAATCGATCTAAAGGATGTAATGCTGGCGAGGTGCGCCTTATTATAGTTGGTGCTGCTGATGATGATTGTGCTTGTTGAGGTGGTGGAGTCGTTGATTGTTGTTGTTGTTGGTTTTGTAATGCAGATGATGGTTGAGGTGATGGTTGGTTTGAACCAAAACGTTTGGCAAACATAGATGTGAAGTCCACTGCTGGTGGGTATGTCTTGTTTTGATAGTTTGAAGAATTATTTGTAGGTGGAGTTGTGTTGTCGTTATTATTGTTGTTGTTGTTCTCATTATTGTTGATAGGTAGCATCCTTATTGGTGGTAATTTTATTGGTTGGTCTTCAGTACTATTAGCAGGTGTTAAAGTTGGAATGGTTGGTGTAGTATTAGCAGATACTGATGGAGATGCTGAGGAATCTTTTTTGTCATCAGTCTTTAGTTTCTTGTTACCAACAGATGCAATTTCATATTCACCAGTATGAGGATTTCTTTTTCTTCTTTTAATAACACCTCTTTTCATCTTTATAGGTCTATGTAATCCATGTAATCTATAGTACAACCCACAAGCATTACAAATAGTATCACCATTATCATCTCTTCTCCATAATGGGGTCACGGTAGTACCACAATTTGTGCAAGCAATAGCAACATTTCCAATTTGTTCAGCACCAATCACGCTTCCAACTTGAACATTTTCATTATTACTTTTAGGGGTTGATTCATTGGATATACTTGGGACATCATTAGGACTTGGAGCTCCATTATCTTCTCTCTTCACAGTTGAAGCATTTTGTAAAATTATTCTATTATTAAAAGCTGGACAACCTTTACAACCAGCAGCACCACCAGTCCCATTACAACGACCATCACCTTTACAAGTACCAGCATGTAATTCATTGGAATCCACTGTGACGACATGAGGAGGCCTTTTCAAGTTGATTGGACGATGAGAATTGTTTGCACGGTAATATAAACCGCAAGCATTACATATTAATAAACCATCTGGAGCTCTTCTCCAAAGTGGTGTTTTAGTAGTGGCACAATTTGAACATACTTGAGCAGTTGATTGAGTATTTGGGGAAGTTACTGCACAAATATTGGGAGGAGATGCACTCTGATTGTTTGGACTTTGTGTAGACGACATATTTGTATGAAGTCCTTAATTGGTATTGTAGGTTCTTGTTGTTGAAAAAAAATTCTCGTTAAACTATAAATTATTTGAGTATTTGATCCAAGATGAAGCAAGACCTAAGTTTGAAGATGTATAAGCTTTCTGCAAATTAATGAGCGTGTAGACCTAGTTGTGAGCTTATGAGTATGGTTATAACATCCACTGGAATGGCTTGTTCAAGATAAGATGATCCATGACAAAGTACACCATCTCGACTACACACTTTTTCGATTAGTGATATTTGATCCCAGGCTCATCTCTCGCTATACGGATTATATAACCCCAACGTGTGTGCTTATGTCAGAGTCTTCCATAAGAATTGCTTTTAGCGATCTTCAGCCAATCACAGAAAAGCCAATTATAAGCATGCTGGGCCTACCGCATCTTGTAGGTGTCACGGATACGGTCCGAAGTGCTGAAGAACCACATGCAAACGCGGTGAACGAAATTAATAAAATTCAACAGTCACAGATTGCTATGTAGAGTGTAGCCATTGAAGTAATTGAAGTGTAGCTAGGTATGGTTACTTATTAGTTTCTTGCAACATTAGTTTCTGTCGAAGGTTCTGTTGAGGGTGTGCTGTACGAATAATTTTCCAAGCCCAACCGTTTTCAAACGTGTACGCGTACTGTTCTTCATTCACTACAAGTTCATGCAACTTTCACAATACATCTCAAAAACACCCGAAATTACCAATGACAAGGATCTTATAGGCTCATGTTGTTCACCTCATCGCATGGACTGATTTTTCTCCATCTTGACATCTCCATACTTTGAATTCTCATCTCTCTAACAAAAAAAATTTGCGGGTGTCAAATTTGGATTTCCACCCAAATATTATCAATCAATCAACCATTACTGGCTCGGATTTCTTGATGACAACACACTGATAAAGCACTCTACATACCCCTTAAACAAGATCAGTCGTACACACATTTGAAGAAATTCACTCTATTAGACTCTAGGGGTGTTGAACTTGAGCTTGACTTTGAAGGTTGAACAATCGCTTTGAGAATCGGCGCATGCCACAATCTCAGGGAATCTGAATCTTTGTCGCGCTAAAAATTATCTGAAACCATCTGTAGCCAATCTCGTTCAGGGAAATAACTTTAATAATATGAGTCCAGAAACCTGATGTATTCCAATTTCCAGCCTACTCTGTAAAACCACACCTTCAAATTCAAAACTTTTGAGCCGATGTCTACGTGCTTTGCACCTGGAAAGGCTGATGTGCACCCCTTTCTATAATTCATCAGAATCATAGTAAGATCACAGTCGTCATGCTGTCATGCTACACAGACTCGAAATCTTAACTATGAGAAACGATACATATTCACTAATTTAATTTCAACAACGTGAGGTTCTTCAATCGAGCAGTTTCACTCACATTAGCAATTTTTTAGATCTACTCATTGTCACAGTGTGCTATCTATTCTATTTATAATACAAACAATGTCCATTAACAATGTCCATTAACAATTGAATCTCGAAACGATTGACTGTCGAGCATCTGATTTATTCTTATCTTCTTGTACAAGCAGGCCATTTGGGGTGCCAATATAAACTGCTTTAAAAACGTATGATAAGTTCAGTTGCTTGAAATTTGGGCCACTAACATTTCGGACAATGGAATCTAGTGTTCTGGTAGACAATGCGATCTGTCACTCAGTTGTAATTTGTGCCCATAGTCAATCACTTCAACATTTTTCAATCCGTCAAATCAATAACTTCAGAGTCTGGTGTGATAGATTTAGCTTTTCCAGTAGTGATCTGAGTAATAGGTGTAACTTCTTCATCTGATTCATCAAGTATGATAACCTCTTCTTTTTTCTTCTTTGAATTATTAACCTCGTCAATTGACTCCAACCCCCGCTTCTTTTCGACAGGTTTCACATTCTCTTCAATGTCATCTTCGCTATCTATTTCAATAATATCCAATTCATCATCATCCGGTATATCACCTTTACCAGCTCCATGACACCATTTATTATCCTCGTATCTTTTAATTGCAGCCTCTCTGACAAGATCTTTCAAATCGGCCTTTTTATCACTAGTTCCACCTAGTTTTTTAACACCGCCTTCATATTTAATATCCAACCGTTTCAATCTTGAATCTCGAACATTTGTCAATTCTTTTCCCCCAAGTTTATTACCAAGTCCCTGAAATGGCGCTTGCTCAAAAACAGGACCTCCTTTAGCTAAAATCATCTCTTGTTTAGTGGTTAACTCATCCAATAACTTGTAAAATTTAGCATCATGTGGACCATGTTTATTATGAGTCAACTCGTGTAACATTGTTCCAATCAGTTCATTCATTGGATAAAAAACATTATCGTTATGAGGTGGTCTTAATCTAATGAAAATTTTAAACCCACTATTCATATTCATTCCTAATAAATTATCAGCCTTTGGTGAAAATTCACAGAGGTTTCGAACCTTGAACCCATATTCTTTCATAATAGGCGTCACTGTATTTGCAATATCATAAAGAATATTCAACGCTTCTTGTTGATTTGGTTTTCTCTTAAGAGCAGCGATGTTTGAGATGAATGTGTTATGAAGTTTGGGTATCACTATCTCTGGAGGTGGTGCCTTCCTGGAAAACCTTCCCTTGACCACCATAGAGTCATATGGTTAAGATATTTATGGATAAAGGGTGGCGTTCGTCTTATTAGATAGAGAAGAGGTGCCAAATTTTCATGTTTACCTTTTCTTGTGCTCGAAAAAAAAAATCAAATTCGCGAAAAGAAATAAAGCCGTGTTTCTATGGCAGACCAACAGTTTTTTCAGTTACAAGCTATCATCTTTTCCTTTATAAACAGTTAGTTGAATATTAAGCTAAACACAAAATACAAAGAAGGAGCACAGCTCTTAAACCTCAGCTGGAACTGGACGCTTGACATCACCAAGCTCAATGTTGTTACTCAAGTTTGAATTAGAAGAACCAGCTTGCTCTCCAGTCAAATATTCGACATGGGAGTTATCTTCAAACCCTTTGATGAATGGATCAGCAGTTTCAGCCATCTCATAGAGATCCAAACCCATTTCTTCTGCTTCTTCAGAAACTCTCATTTTTAGACCTGGAATCTTATCAATGATGAAACATAGAGCATATGTCATGATAAAAGTCCAAGAAATAATGGCAGCATCACCAGCTAATTGGTAACCCACTTGTTTCCAATGGTGAAAGATCCAACCACCTTCAATTTCAGTGACACCGTCCATTGCTGCAATGTTTGGGGATGCAAAGACACCAGTACAAAGTGAACCCAAGACACCACCTAAAGCATGGACATTGAATGAGTGTGAAGTATCATCAATACCCATCCAAGCATGAATATTGTAAGTTGAACGACAAACAAGTGCTGTGAAGATAGAGCCAACCACAATAGCCCATGGTGCAAGCCATCCACCTAAAAAAATGTTAGTTTTGTTCTTTGTGTGATTGATTTTACCTAGAATAAAAATACTTACATGCTGGAGTAGCGAAAACAAGACCCACAATTAAACCTTCAGCGGCAGCTTGAATTGACCATTTCTTTGTCACAGCATAATCATAAAAGACAAAAGTTGCCATTGCAAAAGAGGCAGCCAAGTGAGTATTTGTTAGAATGTATAAAGTTCTTGGTGTGGTGATTGTGGTTAAAGTTCCACTGTTGAAGAATAACCATGGGAAATAAATCAATAAAGAACCAATGAATGACAAGACTGGTGAATATGGTTTGAATTTTGGTGGTTTACCGTCAATCCAACCTTTTCTTCTACCTAAAAAGAATGAATAAGCTAAAGAGGCAGTACCACTACTAACATGGACTGGACCACCACCTGCAAAGTCCAAACTTCCTAACTTATACAACCAACCATTTGCTGACCAAGTCCAATAGGCAAATGGACAATAACATAATGTACACCAAACAAAACCAAGGACTAAAGAAGGTAATAATCTACCTCTTTCTGAGATAGCACCAAGGAAAATTTGGACAGTACAAACTGCAAAGATTGCATTAAATGTGAATGTTAAAATAGCTGGAATTGTTCCGCCTTCAGCTAAAGGTCCTGCACTAACATTTTTCAAAGCACCGAAAGTAAAATTACCCATAATAACACTTGAAGAAGTTGTTGAACAAGCTAAAGAAAACCCAAATAAATAAAACTGAATAGTGATCAAAGAGGTAACCATATATGATTGTATAATTAAAGTCATGAAATTCTTACCACGTAACATACCACCATAGAATAGTGCAATACCTGGAGTAATAACCAAGATCATAACAGTGGCCACGGCAACATAAGCCATATCTGCTGGCACTAGAGATGCAACTTCTTCATCATAGTTTTCTATGACTCTTTTGAAAAGTGACATTTTGGTGAGAAATGAAGCTTCAAGAAGGTGTCTGTTTGATGTTCTGCTAAGGTAGTTGAACGTTTCACGATAATGATGAATCATGTTCTCAAGGGATGTTTATATACAGATGGATGCTACACAGCGGTGTTTAGTGGCTATTCAAGAAAGCTGATAAGCCATGATTCACTAGCAAGCGGCCCATACAGTAATTGGAACAAGATAGGATCATGATTCAAGTACATGGCCAAGAATACGATTATGAAATCTAACATTTCAATTTATGGAGCACGCACTAAAGTGACACACACTTTCGATATTGCAAACAGCGTCTTTGGCGTACCGAATGAGCCTTCATGAACTGCAGGTTTTTGTAGATAAAGTTGGGCGTTTTGATCCAATAAGAAGCTCGAGATCGGTGCATTCGCATCTTGAGCGCAACAGGACCCTGTGAAAAGGGGATCATCTAATAATAATTCTGCTTCACCAAGGTTTAATTCAAAGTTTTAGCTGACGTTGTAAAGTATTGTGTGTATCTTTGTGCTTTGGCTAACAAAAATTTCTTTATCATGTCAAGTTTTTTTTGACGTTGTGATGAAATTTTTGATAAGAACAGTCCGTTATCTTTCGCATCAAAAGTGAATTGGGCAAGAAAAAACCTCCCGTTTAAATAGCGAGAGGGTCCCGTGAAAGTGACGGAATTCATGGTTGAATTATTATGACAAAAGTGACAGCTTTCATATAAGCCATGTAGTCTGTGTATGTTCATGAGGGCTAACAGGTTGTTTAAATACCAACCATCGAACGAGCAAAATAGTGGACAGTTGTTCTCATACCAGAGCACAACTCGTATGATACGGTGGCCAGAGATTCCAGAGCGTAATTCCCTTCCTAATTCAATGCTTCGTCGATGCTTATCTGCTCCATCCTGCCTGTTGCGGAAGGTGGGTGCTCACGCAGAGATTTTTGCAATCGGTTAAAAATCCATAGGTGTTCGCGAATTCAGAACTTGATCACTTCAAGTTCAATAAACATTTAAGAAACCATACACCCGCCAGAATTCAATTGAGCTGTGCTGATGTATTGAATGGTATTTAGGTACAGAACTACATCTGATAGCTTTGTAGCTGGTAATTGCTACAGGTTGTGGCTGATAAGTGATCTAGTCCAGAATCCGCGCGGTAGTGCAAGATGTCGATAGATCTGAGCTGTCATAGCATCGTGTCAAATTGATAGTGTGCATTTGTTTGACATATAACTAATACTAGCATAACTTACAGTTTTTAAATGGTTAAATGAATTCAATGAAGCTTTGATACATCAGATTCTTTTGGTCCGTCAAATTCCGTTTCTCAAATTCCTATATAGTTCGACTTGATTAATATGTGTCAAACTCAATCTGATCGGTTTTCATGAACATGTTCCATCATCCTACATCACGATTTAGTCGTCTAATTACATTACTCTATCATAAGTCTATTTATCTTCAGCTTCAGGATCTGGGTATTCAAAATATTTGGCATCCTCCAATTCTTTCAAAGAATAAGCTGGTCTACCTTTATCCTTCATGTATTTGATGTAGCCTTCTTTGATCTGTTTGATAGCTGATCTAATCTTGGTCTGCTCTTCATCCCAATGAACTGCAAAATAACCATAATCACCAATTGCTTTCTTCACTTGCTCGTTTAGCTCGTTTGAATAGTCGACATCTTTTGGGTAATTCAAATCATGATATTTCCGATCTTCACAAGTTATTGATTTGTCAAACTTAATCATTTCTTCTAATGGCGGCAGCTCAATTCTTCCTGACCAGATTCTTGCCAGCCAACATCCTTGTGTTTCAGCTAATCTTGTTGGTAGGACAAATCTTGGAAGACCAATAACCGCCAAAGTTGGGTTATTATAATAAATTAAATGCTTGTATAAACCATGAACTTTTTGTCCATCAGTGATTAATGGTTCATCTTTGATGAATGGAATTGATTTCAAGTAACCTGTTGCAAATATTATTCTATCAACATTTTCCAACTTGGATCCATCTTTGAAATGAACTGTCTTTGAAATTGGGTCAAAGCTTGATAAATCTGGAACATCTTTAATTCTGTCATCTTTACCAGCTGGTAAAGGGTTTTCAGATCTAATTGACTTGTAAATGGTTCTATCCAGTCCAGTGGCTAATTGGTAAGCAATATCGGCACCTGAAGCAGAATTACCAACAACTAATATGGTTCCATCTTTCAAAAATTGTGCAGGTTCATCATAGCTCTTTGCGTGTAGTACTGAGCTAGGGTATTTTTCTGACCACTCTTTCAACCCTGGGACATCTGGAATCATAGGTTTGTCATAAGATCCTGTGGCAATTGCAACAGCATCATAAAGTTCAGTTGTCTTTTCCTGGTTTTTCAAAGAGTTGGAAATAACCTGCCACTTTTTAATTTCCTTGATAAATTTCACACTTGTGACCTCCTCATTAAAACTGACATTATCTGTGATTTCTTTAGAATACCTCTCAATATAATTCAAAATTTGATCATGACGTGGGAATAGTGGTACATTATCATCAAATGGGAAATTATTATAAGCCATCAAATCTTTAGGAACATTTGCATCAAGGTATTTGTAAACAGGTGATTCGAAAAATGATTCACCTTCAGCATTTATCTTTGTAACAGATTCATTCGGGTTGATTGAAGGTATTTTGACAACTTGTTCTTTGCATTTTGACTTCAATTGTGTATAGTTCCATAGTCCACCAAACTTCTCACGACGTTCATAAACTTTGATCTTGGAGAAAGCATTTTCAGCGAGTAAAGCTTTTGTGAATCCTGCTCCACACGGACCTGCACCGATAACAGCTATATCTTTGATCTTTGAAGGATTCATGATTGAACTACCGTGAACCTATGAGCAACTAGTTCTTGAGCCTATATTTGGTATTTGATCCAACACAGTTTCAGAGGGTTTTATAGTACGTGTAAGCTATTTTTTTTGCCAAAAGTCTTTCGATTTCGATAAGAGTCAACATAGTTCGGTTTTATAAATATTTTTCACACTTAACTCCGTCCAACACCATTTCGGAGCCACAGTTTCTAATCACGTTTAATTTTACGATCAACAACGTTTCAACGGTTTTTAAATTTTGATCAAGTCAATCTACGGTGAATCGTCTGGTTAATAAAATAATGGTTTGTATTTTTGTTTTCTCACTATAGGATTCCTCAAGCTATTGTTCTATCGAGAAGAACCTTTGAGATCAATTTGTTTGATTTGATTACATTTGGACTGTGGGATAATATTCCTTATCAATTAGATTGCGTATCATCACTAGACATCACGAATCATCTAGATGATTTGTACTATATGGGCTGATTGATTTGGGACCCTAGAGTCGCTCAGCTACAGCCTGCGCATAAGGTGATTTGAAAGTCTTCTACTAGCTGGGTGAATTGGCTTTTGGAGTTTGAAGAATATCCATTAATCAATATTATTTTTCCATGGCGTCCAGAGTCCAGACGTATGAGCCGGTCCTTCAAAAGGATTGTAGTGACAAAATCGCCCATAATTTATCATTGGCACAGTAAATTAATGCTTTTATTGTTACGTGATGCTAGGGTCGATATTAATAATTCTCGACGTGCAGTGCTATCAGCACTAGCATCTGCTCAATTAAGACATGAATTTGAAGCAGTTTAAACTGTATCAATATTTATAAATATATTATATAATATATATATGTGAATCGATCACGCTCGATCTTCGGAGTCGTTGACACAATTCTAGTTCTATATAAATTTAGCAATTAGTAGTATTGTATTGATATTATTAATTTGGCCTTGGTCACGTGACTGAATTTTCAAACTAAAATAACAAATCAATAATATATGATAAGAATATTTACAACTATATGCTTATAATCTAAGATCTCTAAAGTTTATAGTAATGCATAATTTATGTCTATTTTAAGCTGTTTGGTTTTTTGTTTCAAAATTTAAAGAATATTTACGATGTAGTTATCAATAATCTATAAAACAAATAAGGGTATATCTTTACCACTGAGGAAAAATTTCTCAAAACACCCTAAAACTGCACTCATTGTATAGAGTGTCCAGTTTAATTTAGTATAAACGTTTTTTAATAGATGTTTTTAATACAAAGTGTGTTGAATAATGCTGTCTGAAAATGAGAATTTTGAGTGGCCGGTTTTTTTTCACGATCTCATAGTTGATTTCGGTCGCAAAAACGTATGCTAACTTTCAAGTGCAGAATAGATCATCACATATATATTATAAACATATATATTTCAGGTGGAACAATATCTTCATAGAAATCGAACGATTGAAATCCAACTTTTGCATGCAAAATTAGCCTGTTTTAGCGTCGATAGCCTGAATCATTGAGATACTTTAAAGTTGAATGAAGCAAATGCTTGATCACTTGGAAAGTAATACGTTTTGTAATCTCTCATAGTTTTTTGCAGGTTATCAAAAACTTTCACCATTTATAGTTCCTACTAGATACTCCAAAAGACCATAGTCGTTTCGCGATTGATCATTAACACTATTATACACCAAATTCCAACAACCATGAGTAAGCTTGGAAACCTGGGAATACACCACTACTAGCAGGCAAATCTGAACGCTTCAATTTCAAAATGAATGTTGAGACGTCCTCAAAAGAACGTCATCATCTATTGAATAACTCACATTCCAGTCATGTGATCACCGGCGTTGCCAAGTGTTACGTGTCAATAAACCACATTAATCTTTAAAGTTCTGTGAACAATCAATTTTATGTACGTAAAGCTATTGACAACAGAGTGAGCACCAATTATATCATGTATCTTATCGTTGATATTATAATCAAATACTTTGGACAGAAAGCAGTTTCAAGCTACGTATACATATGATCATTATATAAACGTATTAAAATTAGTTATTATTAAACATGAAGCCTTTTGAGAATTGAGAAAAACACTGGTATATATATATTTATCATTAGGGAAGAAACGAAGAAAGCTCTTAAACGGCAGATTTCTTTTCAACTTCACCAGTGGAGTTGGTACCATCTGTATTGATTTGATCATCAATCAAGTTGTGTTTTGGAGCTTCTCTTTGTGAAGTATGAGATCTAACTGGCTCTGGAATGTAAATTTCTTCTTCTTGATAAGTGAATTCACCAATTTGAACGTTATCAGTACCTAATTCTTCTTCTTCTGGTCTCAATCTTAATCTCAAAAATGGGATTCTGTCTTGAACAAGCAAGATAATGGAAGTACAAGTACATGTGTAAGCAATAGTAGCACAGATCGCAGCCAACTGATAACCAACTTGTTTGTAATTATGATTGATCCAACCACCATCAATAACAGTAGCACCATCAGTAGCAGTAACGTAATCAGCTGCGAAAATACCAGTAAGGACACTACCGATAGCACCTCCCACACCGTGGAGTGCATAAACATCTAAACCATCATCGATACGCAATAAGTTCTTCAAATCAACAGCAAAATTACAACCAACACCAACACAAACACCAATAGGAATAGCAGCCCAGACTGGCACGAAACCAGCTGCAGGAGTTATTCCCACAAGACCTGCGATTGCACCTGAACACAAACCGACTGTGGTCCATTTACCTCCAGATCTAAAATAATCAACAAACATCCAAGTTAAAGCTGCAACAGCCGCACATAAATTGGTAGAGACAGCTGAATACCATGCTCTAATAGTAGCGTTACCAGCAGAACCAGCGTTGAATCCAAACCAACCAAACCATAGGAAGACAGTACCTAAAACGACTGATGTGACTGAATGTGGTTTATACTTTGGTAAACCTTTGCCAGCAACAGGATCATTTCTCTTACCTAAAATCAAAGCATAGATTAAAGCACCATGACCTGAACTGATATGGACTGGACCACCACCAGCGTAATCAAGAGCACCCAACTTGGCTAACCAACCTTCAGGGTTCCAAGTCCAGCAGGCAATTGGACAATAGACAACAGTAATCCAAATGAACAAAAACACCATCATTGGACCTAATCTAGCTCTTTCACAAGCACCACCAATCATCAAACAACCGGTGACACAGGCAAACATACCTTGGAAGAAGCAAAATAAGATATCAGGAACACTTGAAACAACAGATGGAGCACCTAAAACGTTTCTCAAACCGATGAATTGTAATGAACCCAAGAATTGACCATAAACATTATGTGAAAAGACTAAAGAGTAACCCCAAAAGAACCATTGGAAGGAGACTAAAGAGACAGCCATCATTGAGGCCCATAATAGAGAAAGAGCATGCTTTTTTCTTGATAAACCAGAATATAAAAGCCCAATACCTGGAATCATAATCCAAACCAAAACACCAGCAACACCAATCCAAGCCATGTTAGCTAAATCAAATTGTTTATTCATATCAGTGGTTAATGAGTCACCACCAGTACCAGTACCAGTTGGTTCACCTGTGAAATCAGACATCTTGGTTATAATTGATAATTAGTGAACAATTTAGGGACTTTGGAAAAAGCGAAACAAGTAAGGGTGCGAAAATTGGGAATGAGGGAAGCTTTATATTATGGAGCCAACCAAGAGTCAGACGCATACTGAGTAGTTTAATTTTTTTTTGTCTTGAAATGTACAATGTAAACACATTATCTTGCGTCGGAAATGAATGAGCTGTTTGGAAAGGGCCCACTAGACTTCATCAAAATTCGACTAGAACACAAGGAATAACAATCAGTAGATCCTGGGACCGATCTAATAGTAGTTATCATCCAGCATCCAGATACACCAGTTCAAGTTCCATTCTTTACCACTTTCTCGTTGCTCAAGCCCATCTCAAAGCTTCTCGATTTTCAGCAGATTCAATTTTTTTTCCTTATCAGTTGAACCAAGAATTAGGCTCTTGAGAATTAGAGTCTCAGCGTTGAAGTCTTCTCTGATTGGTGGATTTGAGGCCTAATCGAGGCGCTTATCTCTGGCAACAGTGGGCTTAGGGACTTAGACCATCGGTGTTAGACAAAGAAGTGAGACTGAGACCCGACTATTTTGAAAAGTGAAAACCAACAAAACCATTATAAACAGATTTCTAGCAAATAAAGTCAATTGATTGAACCTAGTGCTACATGAATATTGGAGGTACTGAACTTACCGGTAAATTAACTGAAAACAATTGAAAGTTTAGCTTTCCCTCTGTCTTTTTACGACCTATTTTCTCGTAAATGAGTCAACCAGCGCTTTATACGCTTCACGTTAGCTGAGCGGATCTCGTATTCGGATTTATCACCAACCAATAGAATGTCCACTTGCAGGCTTTCAACATTTAACCTCATCTGAACCAGATACAGAGACCAGACGTCCAGACCGGGTTCAAATCAACAGCATCATCTTCTACATATTAATGCACAGAACCGTTAGCGGACGAAAATGTTGAGCTATGTATATGTAACTTCATGAAGGAAGAAAGGCCAGTGACTCGTGAGTGCTAAATCTATAAGCTGAACTTACTTGAATATTTTGAAGGCTCTGTACAGATTATTATTGAATTTAGTCAAATTAACTAGTGCACAGGTACAGTAAGCTGGTCCAGACTCCAGATTACACTCAAGCCTGGGGCTTAAAGTTCACATCCAATCAGTTCAACCAATTAATCAATTGGCTTCTTGTAGGTTCTCTTTGATCGCAAAGTGATCTTTATCTAGTCTCTGTAAAGTTATCTTGTCATAACGATGACCCTCATTAATTCAGTTCCAACTTCCAGTGTAAAAGCTGGTATGAAAAGCTCGTCAAGATAGCAATTTAATTCACTACATCTCCCAATATCAGATTGCGGACCCCATATTTATTTCAAAATTTGTACGTGTAGCAAATCATCTCCAATCAAACGCACACCATTATTTAGCCTTTGTGTATCATGGATCCCTTCAAACCTTAAAACCTTAACCCAAAACCGATCTACCCAGGGGCCAACACCTAATAAAATGGTAACAAAATCTCTGTTGTATTCTTTCCAGCAGATATCAATCCTGCAACACTTGCACCTGCTAATGCTGAAGTCTCCATTGTACTTATAAACTCCTCAATTGAATTCAAATACCATAACTTCTCGCCTATTTGAAAGTTCTTGAAATGATCTTTAGGCTTTAAAATTGGATATGGATTCCATAGCTTGGTGAAAACTATAGAAACATCTGTCAAATCTTCAAAGAGATATTCAGACAGTATCTTCTCATCTATTGGATCTGGTGAAAAAATCTTGTAAAATATGGTGTCTGTAGCATTATCATATTCGACAATATTTATGCTAAAAAATGGAATATTTGAGGTGCTGGATCTTGTTAAGATCAATTCTGGAACTGGTCCTTCCCCAAAGTATTCATGTTTAATTGGGTTTGACTTTGGTGCTAAGACGAATGTCACATGTAAGTCTCTGTATTGAACTTCTTCCAACTCAGTTATATTCTCACCATCAATCACAACCTGTGAAAGATGTAATGGAGCTGCTATTATAACTTGGTCAAACTCATCAATTTGGCCAGATCCTGTTTCAACAATCCATTTACCATTTAACTGTTTAAGTTTGGTAACACGAGTATTCAACAACAGATTCGCACCAGAATGTTTAATGAATCCTTCAAAGATCTGATAATTACCCCCAACAACTTGAACAGCTTCTTCAGCAGCCATGCTAACAACAGTTTCTAGTCCATGAATTCCATTCAAGTTACTGGCATAGTTTACCCTTGTGGATGCTTCAACAATATCATTTGCGAAATCTTCACTAATTTTCTTTTTGGCAAGATAGAAAGCACCAGTAGAATTCGTCAATTGATCAAACCCAATTCTTGAAACAATTTCATCTAATTGAAATGGAAAATATGTATAATAGAAAAAGTGAACAAAATCCCCAACTGTATTTCTAACTAGCCAATAAAGTCTTAATGGAGATAATCCATACTTCCAAAATACCTTGAAAACCCCACCAATTGTACTCTCATCACCATTTGTTCTGAAGACAAAATCCGTACCATTCCAAACACCAAAATCACCTTTGAATTTATCTGGATATTTATCACTCAGATCAAAAGATGTAGTTGTTAAATTGAATTCCCGAACACCATTCCATAAAATTCTATTAGCACCAACGAAAACCGAGGCACCTAGTTCAATTGAAAGGTTTGTACTATTATTAGGCGAGTAATTTGAAATAGTAGTAGATCTCCCTCCAATATAATGTTCAGCTTCAAATAAAGTGATGTTGAAACCATCTGAAGTGAATTTTTGTAAATAATATGAAGCTGAAGAACCACCTGCCCCGGCTCCTATTATTGCAATTTTTTCCTTTGAAGGGGTCAATGGTGACTGGAGTTCCCCCAGGGAGGCTCCAAGTAGTGTGAATGATAGCAAGAGCTTGTAGAAGTGCATCTCGTGGACTAATACCAGGATCAGTACCAATTTAAAAACAACGTTAAACGTAATTGTTTAATCTGCTTTATCTTTTTCAAGGACATGGGCCACACTTTTTCCAGATTTTGAAAAATTGCAAAACTTTGAATGGAAATTAAACAAGAATTTTGTGCTACAAGACATCATTTAAACAGTTTTGACCCGCCTAAAATTGTTCAAAATAATAGATGGCACTGTTTATATGTCTTTAGCATCAAATTTGGGTGAAATTTTCAGAACATTTGAGGAAGAATCTGAAACTTCAAAGCCCTGGAAAAATATAAGCTAGGCAACTTGGCCGAGTGGTTAAGGCGAAAGATTAGAAATCTTTTGGGTTTACCCGCGCAGGTTCGAATCCTGCAGTTGTCGTAATTATTTTTTCGCGAATTTACCCTCGGAATTGCTTCTGGAGCGGTGAATTTTTTTTTTGATTATGACTGAGATATACGTTTCGCCCTAAAAATAACAATTATTTTCAATTATTTACGAACGTGATAAATTACCATCTTATACATAGATGTTTGGGACCACGGATAACGGTTAGTTGGTAGCACTTTCTGTTGGATTACAAATCTTAAATACACAGCCCTCGGAAATCAAGACATTTTTATGCCAAAAAAGTATCAAGTCCGCAACATTGCGACAAGAACAAAAGGAAAAAAGTATATAAATACTCAAATTTAGTATAAATACTCAAATTTAGTTTCAAAATTTATTGCTTGATATTGCTTTTCATCATAAAGACGAACAATGGCAGGATATCCAACGCCTTTAGGTGGTGTCACTAGACAAATAAACCCTTCAACAATCATACATTCAACAAGTTTCAAAAGAGGTAGCTTTTTGAATTTTGGTAACAGAACTGCTATAATAAATATTCCAAATACTAATAAATTGATCATTTGGAGTTCAATCCCTGTGGGTCCTGAGCTAGAACAAGTTATTCAATTGGCTTCCAAAAACTTCACACTAGAGAATGCTGAAATTATTGCTGGTATCTTGCCAGATAAAGAACACACTATGGCTGCAATCGATTTAAAGAAGAAATACCCAAATATTTTTTTGATTGGACCTTCTGGAATTACAGATAAACCAAATTTGAAATTAGATTATGCCTTTTCAGATTCCGAGGCAAACCAAGTTGTCAAAGGTTCATCAATCTTGAAAGATTTAACAAATTTGGATTTTGTGTTTTTGAATGGCCATGCAAACAGAGAGGTTGTTACATTTGATAAAAATACAAATACGTTATTTGAAGCTGATCTATTTTTCAATATCCCATGGGATGGTGTTAATAAAGATCAATACCCAAATTCTAATCAAAATGCAGGTCTTTCCTTCCTGACCAGATTTTTGAATCCTGATTCAAGAGTTGGTGGATTCTTGTTGAGAAAATTGATACTTCATGGTAATGCTGAAAATAGAAAGGGTATCAGTGCTATTTACAATGAATTTGAATTTGACTCAATTGTGATGTCACATGGATCTATCGTTGAAAAGGACGGTAAAGCTGAGTTCAAAAAGATCTTTGGTTCATATTTGTAACTTTACGGGACGTGTGCATTCTATCAACAAATTAATGAATCTTTAAATATAATATACAAATTAATAACACATCGGATCTAAAAGTTATCCCATTTTTCTTCTTCTTTAGCCCAATTCTTGTTAGACAATCCTTGTAATTTAGTCTTTTGTTTAGGACGATCAATACCAAAAGCTGGTTTAATACCTTCATCTTCATCATTTGCACCTAAATCATCAAACAATTTACCATACTTACCACCCCCATCTTGTTGTTGACCAGCAAGGTTTTTATTCAATTTGTTGAACGCATCATAACCATAAGCACTTGTTTCTTGGAATCTTTGTCCAAATTGCGCAGCAGCCCTTTTAGCTTCATGTCCAAAATCACGTTCATTTATTTGTTGAACACCAGGTTTTATGACAGATTCATGAACTTCTTCTAGAGATTTTGAAACAGAATTAGAAAATAAACCCCAGCCTTTGGTGAAAGTACCCAATGGATCTTTTTGGAAGTTGTCTAGTGTAAATGATGATAATGAACCACCTTGTTGAGATTGTTGAGGTTGTGGAGTATTACCAAAACCAGCATATTTACCACCTTGACTTGGAGCCAAGTCAGCAGGTCTTGAATCATTTTTAGCACCCAATTCAGCAAAATATGATTCATTTTTGGCCTTTTGATTGCCTGGTAATGTTGGTGTTCCTCTTCTTGAAGCTAATGGAGTATTATTACTACTAGTGTTATTAGCTGTGTTTGATGTAGTGGTAGTTGCAGGTTTAGCTAATTTAGAATAATCTCTAGGAGTGAATGGTTTACCTTCTATTTCAGCAGTCAATTTTTCTTTGTAATCTTCTGCAACTGGATTATCATATTTCACTTTAGCTTCAGATTTTAAATCAATTCCATTTGATTCTAAGTATTCAGCACATTTTTCATTACCACCATGTTCCATTCTTTGAACTTCTTCAGGTTTGAACTGATCCATAGTGATTGATCTAACGAATGAAATATGAACACCTAACCCACGATGAACACCAGCACATTCAAGACATATAAAGATACCAAATTTTGGAGATGCCCACTGAGGATTTGGAGCATTACAGTCGAAGCATCTCTTGTTTGCACCGGTTTTTTGGAGACCTAATAGTTTTCTTCTTGTTTCTGGATCAACAGTCCAATCTGAACCCATTTTCTGTTCTTCTTTGGATTAGTGTATGGTTTGGTATCTTTAAAAGTTGTTGATGAATGCTGATTTCAGATAAATATTGTTGTTCAAAACGCCAAAAATCGATCGACGCAACAAAATCGCGTGACCCTCCTTTCGCGAATTATTTTTTGAATTTCAATTTTGCAGAACGCATTCGCGAGCCTTTCAAAAACCCGAGGCTCGTTGTTTTGTGGGGATTTGAGCTTTAAATGATATAAAAACAGCACTAAATTTCCAAAGTTCTTATGTGACAAGGACTATGAATCAATCAATTCAGCAAAGATGGGGTTGGATAAATCATATGTGGACAGAGTAAGCTTCAAGAAGGACCTTTTCAAAGGCAAAGTGGTGTTTGTTACAGGTGGTGCAGGGACAATTTGTAGGGTTCAAACTGAAGCATTAGTGTTATTGGGTGCCGATGCTGCTATCATTGGTAGAAACCCAGAAAAGACTGAAACTGCAGCTAAAGAAATTGGTCAATTGAGAAATGGAGCTAAAGTTATTGGGATTGGTGGAACTGATGTTCGTAATGTCAAGAGTTTGAAAGAAGCTGTTGATCGTACTGTTCAAGAGTTGGGAAAAATTGATTTTGTTATTGCTGGTGCAGCTGGTAATTTCATATGTGATATCAATTCATTATCTTCAAATGCTTTCAAATCAGTCATTGACATTGATCTTTTAGGAAGTTACAATACAGTTAAGGCTTGTTATGAACAATTGGTTAAGAACAAAGGTGCTGTCATTTTCGTTTCAGCAACACTACATTATTACGGTGTTCCTTTCCAAGTACATGTTGGAGCTGCCAAAGCGGGTATAGATGCATTGTCTCAAACTCTTGCAGTGGAGCTAGGACCTTTAGGTGTTAGGTCAAATATTATTGCCCCAGGGATAGTTGGCGATACTGAAGGTTTCAAAAGATTGAGGATGGGTAGTACTTTAGAAGAAATAACAAAAAGAATCCCATTACAAAGAGCTGCTACAACTGAGGATATTGCCAATGCTACAGTCTTTTTATTTAGTCCTGCCGGAAACTACATTACGGGTGATATAATGGTTGTTGATGGTGGTCAATGGCACATTGGTACTGGAATGTCAGCTAGTGGTTATCCAGATATGGTTAAAAAGAGATCCTTAGGTCCTTCAAAGTTATGAGAATGATTATGAAATGCTACAACTATGATTATCTGTAGTGTTACATTGTTATTAAATATTTAGCTATATCTCATTTGAATTTTGATGCAATTTTCTTTCCTGCATTTGAAAATTTCTCTCTCAGTGAATTCTTCTTTTTAATTTCATGCGATGATTCGAAGTCTTCTTCTCTTGATCTTTTTTCAGGAACTTTGTTTGATGTTCTGTTCAAACTTTTCTCTTTTAAAATTTCTTCGTTATTCAAAACATCCTCTTCATCTAATGGTTCTGTTGAAATTTCTGGTGGTCTTGTCAGTGTATCATCATCTTCATAGTTTTCATCATCATTTAACTCATTTGTTGTTGTAGAGGTATTCACAACATCTTGTTCAGCAAATTTGATCAAATCCTTACCAGAACTAACAGAATCAACTGAGTCTAAACTTGCTTTGAAATTGGAAACGATATAAGTAGCCAAAAGTTTGACATTTTTCCTCTTATCAAGTTTATCAATCCCCAATAAGATCATTTCTAAAAGATCAAGAACAGTTGAGTTTGCCAAATTAGATATTCCATTAGTTTCGTCAAAAAGCTCGAAAACTTGCTCTAAAATGTTATTGGATATAATATATCTGGTGTAATAATCGTCATTCAACAGTATTATAGACTTGATACTTCTAACAGCAGCTAATCTCAGTTGTAATTTATGAGTTGGTTTGATCAGTTGTGTTATTCCAATTAAAATGTGATTTTCAAGAAAGAATGATCTTGATATTGATTTATCTTTGGAGCAAAAGTTGATCAATTCACAAAGGTAAATGAACAATTCATCGTTATGTTGATTATCATCTTTTCTTTCAATGTTCATTAATGGTTTGAACAAAATTGGAGCAACTTTATCATAAAATGCCTTGAAAAATTTAGTTGCATCTAATTGATCAATCATTGAATCATCATTATTCATGATTGCAGAGTTCAAGTTATTAACAGGATCTAATAATGATTTCAATGCTTCAAATGCTTGGATTTTTAAACCTGGATCATTATCTTCCAACAAAAACTGTGTCAAGATGATTAACAAAGTCATATCATCAGATAAAACGATTTCTCTATGTCTGTATGTGATATGCGGTGGCTCTTCATCTTGCTCATAGTCAAAACCGTTGAAAAAATTGCCATTACCATGTTTAAAATCGTCATTATCGTCATTATCATCATCTTCATCATTTATATTGCTATCAATTTCTTGATTTTCATCGTTATTGTTGCTCTCATTCTTGCCTTTATCATGTTCATCATTACCATTCACTTCTTCTCCTTCTTCTTCTTCATCATCTACGACACCATTAATTAATAATACATCATGCTCAATTATTGTTACAATCAGTTCAGTTCCAATGACCCGTATTTCAGTTGAATTATCCTTCATAACAAAGTTTATGGTTTTGAACAAGCCTTTCTTTATTAAACTTTTGAAAAAACTTGTCTTTTGATGTGGTTGTAAATTTTTTGCTATAAGAATGAATTGATGTAATAACTTTATACCATCTCTTTTCTGTATTGTTGTATCTTCAGTATTATCTTCATCTTGGTATAATTTGAACAACTCATCAATAAAAGTTCCCTTTTCAAGAAACTCAATAATCTCAACCTGGTTAAAATGTATTAAAGTTGATATTAAGTTAAAAGTTGGATCATCTAATAATCTTGCCAAAACAACATCTTTCAAAAATTGTAATTTAAAAGTTTTTTTGATCAATTTTTTAATATGCTCATCTTTAACGGGGAGAACTTCTTTAAACTTAGAATCATCTCGAAGGAAACTTCTATGATTTGATTTGAATTGAGGAAAGTCTGGATCATATTCCAACATACCCACAACACCCATTATATTTTCATCATCTAGGATCATTTCAATAATTAAGCCTTCATTGAACAGTATTAAAGTCTTCACAATGTTGCAAAGTAAATGAAGGTTTTTGATTTTCCTATTTTGTTCACTTTCATTGAAAATGTCAATTAATTTGGATATATAATTACCGTTTTTGATGAAATTTGATATTGATTGTTTTTGGTATGATGAATTGGGGTTTTCATTGAAACAATTTGAAATCTCAATTAAATCACCAGCAGTTGGTTCTAATGGAGGATAATTTATTGGTCCAGTAATCAATTCTGTTATGTCACCATCCATGTCATTAGATATGACTGCTATTAATGAAATTAACGGGGCAAATTTCCCACGATGACACTTTATAATAAAATCACATAAGGATAAACAACCTTCTTTTTCTTGAAACGATAAGGCAATATTATGACCTTTGGTATCAGTCCATACTATAAGAGTATCTTGTTGTCTCTGGAATTGAATTGAGCCTTCTATTTTAGCTTTCAACAATACATCTTTTTGGTCCAATTCATTTCTGACAATTAAATATGGAACTTTATCTTCGTCAATCTCTCCGAAACAATACCCTGTTCCATTATCTATCCATGCGTCTTCTAACAAGTACACTTTGACTCTTCTAAGCGCCTGATGCTTGGGTGTTTTTGTCATTATAATGATATGTTGATGAAACCCTCTCTGAAAACTTTAAAAACACCAAAAACCTATTGAACTTTCTCAAAACTCCATGGAATAATTCAGGGCGGCACAAGATGTGGATGGATAAAGTATAGCTAAATTGGCAAGTTCGATAGCTTTGAACAAAATAATGAGAATCTGGGGGTCAGTTGTATGGTCTTGTGTCCCTAATTTTACGTCAAAAAGGAAAAACAATCCACGTAGATCCAGGTATAGTACAGCACCTCCGCTTGATGCTCTAAAAATATTGTTGGGGTTCTAATTGCCACAGAGCAGAGCCGGCTCTTTTTATCTGATTGATTTTGTATTTGAGATATCAAGTTCCTTGAACTTTTTTGGCTGAACAATTTGTTGATCTTTTTTAATCTTTTGAGAAGCGTATTTTTTTTTCGTGATGAAAAAGCAATTGGGTTAGGGGCAACAGCGGCATAAAGTGGTTTAAGCGAGATTTCTACAAAGTTTGTTAAGGAAAAGTGCATATCGTTAAAAATTGTGTCGTTAATTGGTGAATAGATGTTTGTAATATTTGATATTTGAGATTTTGGGATACGTGTGGCTTTTTCTGGTTGAGATATCGTTGGTTTTCAAATCTTGGATAATTTCAACACTTGATCGTATCCTCTATAATCATATTGATCAATTCCATACTTCTTTGCAAATTTAGGTCCAATAAACCTTCCTCCAACATAGTGTTGGGTCTTTTCACTGATATGGTTGGCCACTGGTTTTGGTGCTGTCAAACTAACCAAAACATCTGGGTTTCTTAATCCACCTTCAACAAATCCATCATCAACGTCCCAACCCGATGGAATATCCACAGACAAGATTGGAATTGATGTCTTGTTAACAGTTTGAATAACTTCATTAAATGGAGGTCTGATACCACCTTGTGGCTTGAAGGAGAAACCAAAGATGGAATCAATAATTAATTGGTAATTGTTGATTGCATTCAATGAAGAGATGAACTCAATATCTAAATTCTTCAATTGTGTTTCCAAATTTTGAAACAATGGTTTTGAAGAATGTTTTGGGTAATATATGGATGGATTGTAACCCCAAAGCTTTAAATGTCTAGCTGCAACTAACCCATCACCACCTTTAATTTCCAGTTAGTAACTAGACAAGAAGGACGTCAAATTGAATACTCACCATTATTACCTGGTCCAACTAAGACTAAAACATCTTTCAACAAAGGAAATGATTTATGAGTAGCCTCTGCAACAGCAAGCCCTGCCAATTCCATCTTTAATCATATTAGATCCTGTACTTGCTCAGTTTTCAAAAGATATACTCACCAATTGATCAATTGAGAAGCCACCTGTGCTCATCAATTCTTGGTCAGCTGCAGCTGCTAGCTTGGCTGAAAGAACTTTGAATGACATTACGGGAATGAAATACTATAATTGGTGTTCCCTTTGCTCTATTGTTCAAGTTATAAACTTGTTTGGAAACAATCTGATGATGATTTTTGAGAAATGTTCAGGGCCACTATTAAGCAGCTATAAAATCTGGGGAATAAACGGAACTTTGACACTACATTTGTATCTTGATTGCTTGTAAAGAAAGCTTTTTGTATTTGTATAAACTAGCATTGGACGTCGTAAGTGGATATAAAAATAATAGCTGTAAAAAAATAAGAAAACAAAACAGAAAACATTGTATAGACATTACGATTCATTAATTTTTTTTTTGATGGATGGGGCTGTTGCATGTTCATGACGAGGGTTTTGATGAAGGGGTGATTAATGCTTTTGGGTCACTAGTTCCAGTAGGACTAGTTGTTGATGGTTGGTGTGCTGGTTCATTAATTTTATGACGGATGTATGATAGATCTTCCTTAATCATATTTTTCAAAAATGCAATCTCTTGATCTCTTGCGTGCATACCTTCTTTTAATAATTGAATTTCTTTATCTTGAACAGATATTGAAGTTTCAAGAGTCTTTATCTTCTCTTTCAATTGTTTTGTTATCGATGAACCCGATCCATTTTCACCACCATCATTATAACCGGCCAGTTTTAATAGTTCTTCTTCTGCAGCTTCACCTTTTGATTCTTCATTGATGTTTAGCACTGGAGTTTGATGTGATACACTTAAATTATCATCATCTTCATCATCATACAGATCTGGTAATGGAGGTTTCAAATTTGCAATACTTGAGCCCAACACTTCTTTGATTGCATCATCTAATGTTGGAAACTTAATATATTTTAATATTTCATCACTTCCAGCATTTGTAAAATCTGGAACCCATTCTTTTGGATTATATTTATTTTGTTTGAAAAAATCCAAGTATTCAGTTTCCCCATGATTTAAACCATGTTGGATTCTTTTATATTTTTGATATAATTGATCTGATGTACGTTCTTTAAAACCTTGTCTATTGGCTTCTTCATTGAATAGTATCCCGACAATTTTGAACAAATCAATCAATACCAAGTTTGGATGTCTATCAGAGATTGTTTTGAAAGCTTTAACAATATATAATGATTCATATCTTGAATATAATGGCTTCTTAACACCAGCGCCTTGAAGTTTTCTTGATCGTTTAGGTTTTGGAGTATCTTCTGGAACTTCTGAATCCTTTCGCTTGCTAATTGGAGTATTTGCACCATTTGTGTCATTAGGGTCATTATTACCTGTATCATCATTATGCTTAGTTGTCATTCCTTCATCTTCAGACTGAGCTGAGTCTTCTTTCGCATCAACAACTGAGTTCGGTGTAGGTATGTTTGACTCTTCATTATTGCATACGGCCGGTAACTTGTTGTCATTCTTTGATTTTGACTTTTCAATCTCATTACTTAAATCTGGGGACGTTTGATGATCACCATCAGCTTCACCTCCACCGTTTTTAGCCATCGAGGCGTTTACAGAGCTCAATTGATTCAATTGGTCGTCTTTATCATGATCATTGGCAGCCGACGAGGTTGTTTTAGTTGAATTCGGTAGTTGTTGTTGTTGTTCATCATCTGCGACACCTGATGACATTGTTGACAGAACACACTAAAAAAAATCTGGAGCGCTTAACGACAATCAAGAGCTGGCGATGGAGTTTAGATAATTGTCAGTTGTTGTGTAGTTGATGTAGTTGTTGATGATGGTTTTGGAATTGGTTGTAGTTACCATACAGCGATTCCCCAGTTGTCCACGAGCCAGGTGTATAATCTGATTAATCAGTCAATTATGGATGGACCAATGATTGAATTGATGTCAAACTTAACGTGTAGAGACCGTTGAGCTTTGATGGAGTTGGAGGTGGGAATCTGTGTGCTTTTAGGTGTTCCCCAGAGGATGGATAAGGGGCTTTAGCAGGATGAACGAGTGTGGGAGTGAAAGAAAGGATATTTTGTTGTCGTTATTACTGTTGTCGCTGTCATCACGATCACCAGCATCAACTGCTCGAAGGCCATAACCTGAGGTGACAACAGCTGAGTGCCAACGCGGCTGCCACACCGCAACGTGCCACTAAGCGTTAGCCAATTACATAAGAATCGCTACCATTAGCTAATTATGGAGGTGAAGCAGTTGTGTAGGGAAGAGAAGGAGAGAGGTGGATATTTGAGACTGCCGAAGTGTTGAGCCTATGTGCTTATTGCTAGTGAGCTGATACTGTACCTGATGCGTTGTGAGTAAATGATTTTCCGTGAAACAAATTCTGGCAAGAACAAGCCCAAGTGAGAACCATTAATGCCATCGAAGCATAATGTGAAGGTTCGCTAGTGAAGCAATGGTTAGTTTCCGAGTTTCCGTCATCTTTTGTTGCTTACTCTAGTATCTTTCCTCAAAAGCTACTTCATCGACCGTGAAAGCTTTTTGATTTGACATTGAAGGCTTTGACAACAACCACACCATGTCAATTCGGCGACCATAATGAATACCTAAAATCTATCATGGTGACTGTACCAAGGTACGCCAGAAAGGTTTTTGTGAAGAGAGAATTGAGCTAGGGCTAGACGTTTAATACTGAACTATCCAATATCATAGCTTATTCTTTTTGAGCTTTCTTAGGCAAGGAACATTCCATTAGAAAGTTGATCTTATTATCATGATTTTTAACTCCACGGGTTAGCCAGACTTCAAAAGAACATTTTATGACTTAGATACTTATCGTCTTGTGGCTGAAATTGATCGAACCATATTGGATGTTGTTAAAAGTCTCACAATTTGTCTGTAATGTTTTTCCACACAAGCACAGTACTAGATTAGAGCGTATAGACTGTACAGCTTTGACTCTCCGGTATATTACCCCATCAGTCTTTCTAAAGAACTTATCCCTTCTCAACCCTGACATATAATTGTCTAATTCATCATCCCCAAACTCAAACCATCAAGAACAAACTAAATTGAATAAATATCTTTATAATCATAGTCACGTGATTGGAATTGATCTTCGCTTACATAATTAAAATTTCCTAATTTGGGCTAAATTTTTCGCGTTTGATGAAGGAATTTTTCGAAGCCAAATCTCCATTTTTGTTGAACAACAAAGCTAAAAAAAGGTTATAATTAGATTGGTTAAAACCTAACAAGTATAGAATTGTCTTCCCATAATTGAAGGACCATCCCAATATAGCTCACTATAATCAATTGCAAAATGGCTAGTACAGCTTTGAGATATAAAAATGATGCAAAGCGTGGTATCAAATACACCATAATGATAACTGGTGCTTCAGGTACGGGAAAAACAACATTTATCAATTCATTATTAGACACAAAACTACTACCTCACAGATACCAGCCTATTGGATCTTCTATTGAAGAACCTACATTGGTCTCATATATTGGTGATTCTGATTGTAACTATGATTCAAGGGAATTCAATCCATTACGTCAATACACTGAATCAACTATGTCAATTACTTCAAGTAAAATTGAAATTGCAGATGATGATGGTTCAAAAGTGATGCTCACTGTTATTGATACTCCTGGTTTCGGTGATAACATTGATAATGAATTATGTTTTGCAGAAATTGTTGGTTTTTTGGAACAACAATTTGACCATGTCTTAGCAGAAGAAACAAGAATTAGAAGAAATCCAAAATTCGAAGATACAAGAGTTCATATATGTTTATATTTTTTGGAACCTACAGGTCATGGACTAAGAGAGTTAGATGTTGAATGTATAAAAAAGATGTCCAAATTTGTTAATGTCTTACCAGTTATAAGTAAAGCTGATTCATTCACACAATCTGAATTACATGCTTTCAAGAGAAACGTCTTGTATGATATCAAAAAATATAACGTTCCAATTTTTGAATTCAATTATGATGAAGATGAAGATGATATAGAGACAATAGAAGAGAATAAAGTTTTGAGAAATTTACAACCATTTGCAGTCATGGGGTCAAAGGAGAAATTTGACGTTAATGGTGAACTAAAATATGCAAGAAAATATCCTTGGGGTTTGATAGATATTGAACAAAACTCTGATTTCTTAAAATTGAAAAATGTCCTATTTGGCTCCCATTTACAAGATTTCAAAGATTTAACTACAAATTTCCTTTATGAAAATTATAGAAGTGAAAAATTATCATTAGTGACAGAACAAGAAAGTAAATCAATAAGTAATGGTAATGAGGACTTGAATGAAGATCATATTGGTGGTGGTGGTGCTGGTCAATTTGATACTGCCAATCCATCATTATCAAACTTAGCTGCATTAACAGCCCTAGATAATAATTCTGATAAGGAATCAATCAAGACTCCATCAATGAAGTCAACAGGTTCATTCTCATCAAAGCCTGATGTCAAGACTTCACCATTGAAGGAAATTTCACAATCAATTAAACATGAAAATGAATCAATAATATCTTCAATCAAAAACTCTCCAAGGGTTCCATATTCTCCAGATCCAAGCAGAAATCAATTAAGAGTCATAAGTGAAACTGTTCCATATGTGCTAAAACATGAACGTATTATCTCAAGACAGGCAAAATTACAAGAACTAGAAGAGAGATCTGCAAGAGAACTAGCTATTAGAGCTGCTGCTTTAGAGAAAAAAGCTGCAGAATTGAAAAGAAGAGAAAAAATATTGAAATATGGTGGTGGTCTTGGTACTTTGAAAAAGGAAAACACATCTACTGATTTATCTTCAATAATCAATCAATCTCCATGAGAAAGTATGTACTCTTTTGTATAGCTAAACTTATGAACACTTTTTCCAAATCAACTCATATTTGTCTGTATGTTGAATGATACACTTGGAAATTTTGTTATCTCTGGAGTAACTAAACTTTCCACACTGAAACTTTTCAAAACACCTCTTATTATACCTGCAGGTATCCATAAATATGGTTTTGATTTATTTATAGTGTCATTGAAATCTATTGGACTATCAAGTCTATTGAAATTCTTGAAACTATTATCAATCAAGACAAACGTTCCTCTATGATTTGTTCTTAAGTTGTCCATTTGCTTACCATAGACCAATTTCCAAACATCTCGACAAACAAATTTCATTATATTCAGTAGTTCCAAGTTTTTAAGGATTTCATTATTTGAATTATTATAGATTAGAATCTCAGCCATTCTTAAGCCTATACTGAATCCATATTGTTCTATTTTATAATTGACATCTTCACTATTCAAAAATTCACTGTCAAATATCTCCACACCTCCAGCTAGTGGTTGTTCCAATGACAATTGGGAAGTTTTGTCATCTAATGCTTGATTAATTGGTTTCGATTGTTCCTCTGTTGTTCTTATAGCTAACGGCACAATTTCATTAAGTAGAAGATCTAAGCATGTAGAGTTCACAAGTGACGTTGGTTCTGTAGCCATTATATGTTATTAGAATTGAGTAGTTCCTAGATGATCATCTTTAATCAACATCTTTCTCTATTGATTTGATTTTTATGTGGTTCTTTGGAAGAAATGAATACAGGGCACCAATTTCCGGCATTACCCTACTGAACAATCAGATGCCAGCGCACATGACCAAAAATTACCGAATCAAGAAACATCCGATGTAGTGTAACGGCTAGCACGGTTCGCTTTCACCGAGCAGACCGGGGTTCGACTCCCCGCATCGGAATTCTATTTTTTTGCCAAATTCACGTGATCCAAGGGAGGGTAAAAAGCGCGATGTATTTTTTATCTGTCAGTTGGGTTTCAATATTTACACTTTTATTGGGAGTTAGAATAGTTGAACTCGTAACAACTTTTCCCAATTTTAGTGAATCAAGATGTCCACTGAAACTAAAGTTGACACTGCGACCTCGCAGTATATTGAAAATGAAAAACTGATAAATGAAGAATTCAAAATTTGGAAGAAAACTGTTCCTTTATTATATGACACTATACAGACATTTGTTCAAGAATCTCCCTCATTAACAATAGAACCATTGTCAAAAGTGGAACTCTCGAGTGATAAGAATGAAGTGGAGGTTAAATTCTTATTGGGAACCTATGCTCATTCACCAGATGCTACAAACTATTTGAAGTTGGCTGGTATCAAATTACCATCAACTTTAACACCAGATTTTAAGAACTCAATTCCAATCCCAGCTGGTGGTGCAATAATCCCAAAATTTCAACTTTTACAAAAATGGATTCATCCAAATGAAGTTAATAAGGCAAGATATAATAAATTCAATGATAAAATCGCAACTTTTACCAAGACTGGTGATATTAAAGTCTGGGATTTTAAACATGAAGAACCAATAAAGACTTTGAAATTTCATAAAAAAGATGGTTTCGGTTTAGAATGGGGGATTGATAATGAATTATTATTAACTGGTGGTGAAGATGCGAAAATTGCTCTTTGGGATCTTTCGAGTTCAACAAATTCTCCATCAAGAGTCTTCAAAAATCATGATTCCATTGTTAATGATTTTTCATGGAATCATAAAATTCCAACATTATTTGGTTCAGTTAGCGACGATCGTTCTATTCAATTTGTTGACATTAGAAGCTCTGATGATAAACCTTTAATCAAGATAACAGATGCTCATAAAGATGTTATAAATGCCATTCAATTTAATCCAAGTCTTGATAATTTATTCGTCACTGGTTCTGCTGATAATTTGATTTCTATTTGGGATTTAAGAAACCCTGTCGAACCAATAAGACAGCTTTATGGTCACAACAATGCAATCACTCAATTACAATTCAATCCTACAAGTCCAAATTTGTTGGCTTCATCATCAAATGATCGTAGAATAATGATCTGGGATTTGAACAAATTGGATGAAGAATTTGATGTTGATGATTATATCAAAAATGAAGCTGATGATCCAACTTTGGCTTTTATCCATGGTGGTCATACTTCAAGAATCTCAGAGTTTTCATGGATCCCAGGTGTTAATAATACTATTATAAGTGCCGGTGAAGATAATTTGATACAAGTTTGGAAACCACATTTTGAAAATGATGACGAACAAGAAGAAGAGGAGGAACAAGAGACTGAAAAGAAAGATGATAAAGAAAATGATAAATCTGAAAGCAAAGAATAGAGTCCTACAAGGTGTGTATTATTAATGCAAAAAAAAAGAAACCTATATTTCTTGTATGTCTATGTAAATATTACATTTGCTTTTCGAAAAAGTCCATCTTGAGAGTTTTAAGAATCTTTTCAATAATGGCCTCGTTCTTTCCTATTTTTTGATCAATCTCTCGTAATCTCAATTCAATATCATCAATAATAACAGATTGCCATCCATTATGTTTTTGGCATTTCTTTTTATCAACAAAGCAAAAACTTGTTTCATTTACTTCTTCTTCAATGTATTTTCCATATTTAGATTTCAATTGCTCAGTATCATTTGAAATTAACATTGACTCGTCTAGTTGTTCATTCTCAAACTTATCATCATTGAAGATCAAATCATACCCACAGATATCAATCTTTTTAGCCTTCTTTTTACTAGAACCTTGATCCAAATTTGCAGATAATGCTTCGTTCAATTTTTTAACATTTTCTCTACTTTTCAACAATACTTTTTTCTTGTTTAGAGTTATATCTCTCTCTTCTTTCAATAATCCAATAGAATCTCTTAGATTCACGATTCTTTCATCATTTGCAAAATCATTATTTGGGACATCAGGCATCTTATCACCCAGACGTTTGAATTGTTCAATATTCACAGAAATCTTCACCATTTCCCCAACTTGGTCTCTGTTTAGTACACCTGCATTCTTTGATTGTTTCACTAGTTTATTATCCAATAAATTTGTGAAATATAATAAACCATGTTCTTTTGAACAATATTTGGAATTATTCTCCAGGATAGGTTTGAAACATGTTCGTATTCTGCACTTCCGTTTCCATAAAGTTGTACCTTTACCATCTATTTCACAATACGGGCAAAAATATCTAGCTATTAATTCTTGATACTTGATATCAATCTTCATACATTTAAAATGATACCAATCATCACATCCATCACAACCAACCATCAGGTCACCATTATCCGGTTTGCGGCAGATACAGAACAGCTCTTCACTATTATCATTATACATCTTTGTGGATTTTGGTCCAAGATTTGGATATTTTGTGGCCTTTATATATTCTGGATCATGCTTTTGTTGTTGTTGAACATCATTATTTTGATGTGACATGTCTAACGCGTAATAATGCTGTTTCTTGTCGTTGATCTTTCTTTTTTTAATCTTTTGTGGTGATTCCTCTACTGTGCTTTCTGCTGATAGACTTTTTTCTGTTTCTGCATCAGACTCTATTGTCATAGCAGGTTGTGTACACTAGCGACGTTGTCTAAAGAGCGATGAGCTGAGGTTACTCTTGTGATCTTAAATTTTTAAGCCCTTTCAAAATAAAAAAAAAGCACATATGCGTCGCGGTCGCGACATACAAAATTGATATGTTCAAGCAAAATTAAAGAGGTCGACGATGTTACAATCATTTCAATTGTATGTACATTTATATTCATAGCTTATTATACCTTGATTTCATAATAATAAATAACCAGATCATGAAGTTGTTCAACTAATAAAAAAAAGACAAAAAAAAACCACACTCAAAAAGAATAAAACTATTCAACGCCATTTCCCATTACCATCATTATTATTGTTTCTATAATTTGTGCTCAAGCCACTCTTATTTCTTTGGAAAGCTAATATTCCATCAATTTTTTGTAATGCTAATTCAAGCAACTCTTTACGCTGTTGTAACTCAATGTGTCTCTTGATCTTTGGATCTTCTTTAGCAAATTCTTCAATTTGATCTTCTGTTAAATTGATATTTAATCTTGAATCCAACTCCCTTGGAAATTTATAGAAGAAATCAGTCAATAGTTCAACATTCAAAAATAAAACAGCTGTCGTGGTTAATTTTTCACTCACAACATTTAAAAATACTTCTGGACATTTGAATTTATTATCTTTTGTTTTACATGAGTTTGATTTTAAAGCCTTGAGTCTTAACCCTAAAATGATTGAACGATCTCTCAAGAATTGAGCTTCACGACCTCTATCCAACAGCACTTTTGAGAAACCTAAAGTCTCTTCATGATTCTTACCACCTTCATCTAGATATTTGATAACTTGTGATAATTTACGACCACCAATTGAGGTTTTCAAAACTTGTAAAGTGTCATTGACTTGGGTTAATTCTTCTTTCAATAATTGTATAGAGTGTTCTCTAGAGATGGTCCATTCCCGATCCTCAACATCAACTTCATATTTATATGGTTTGATACAATTTTCCACTTGATCAGCTGTTGAGAAATATCTAGAGTTCAAGACACTTTGGGCAGCTTCTTTCACAGCTTCTTTGGCTAATGGATGATTCTTCAATTGAGTTCCATCAACAATATTTTCCACTTCAGAAACAATTGCATTAGTGATTAATGTAGTTGATAATCTACCAACTCCCAATTTTGTTAATGAACTTGTTGTTAAATCTAATTTTTTCAACCAATATGAATCATCTTTTTTCATCTCATTCAAAGCTGTCAAATTTTCAATCAAAACTTTAGTTCCAACTTCATCTTCGCTAGGTTTATTCCAATATCTTGCAGCTAATAAATCCAACACCTTTTGATCAAGTTCATTTCTAAGGATGGAACGTAATTCAGATCTTCCAAAATGTTCATTGAATTCTTTGATAGCCAATTTCAAAGTGTCAACATTTTCAGCAAGATATGTCTTTGGGGTTAATTGACGATCATTGAATTCAACTTTGAATTTATAAGCTGTTTCATCCAATTCTTGCTGAACTAAACTGGCAGTTGGAGCTAGTGACATTGACATTGTTCTTTCCAAAACTTTGATTAATTTTTTCTTCAATATTCTTGTGGAGACATTACATTGGCCAAATTCTTCTTTATTTGTCTTTAGGTATTGATATTCAAAGTTTTGTTGAGCAACAAACGCATCATGACCAACACTCTTTCTGAATAACGATTTTGTAGGAGCTTTTGTTATCACACCAACATAACCCATTTTCAATGGGTACTTCTTGTTTAACAAAATATTTCTAGCAACTTGAGGTTCAACAAGATCTAATTTTGTAATGACACCGATTGTTCTTTCACCTTTTGGATCTGCAATTTTACTAGCTCTCAAGGCAGAACTATTTGCTAAATCAACATCTGCAGAAGAGATTGCCAAAATGACGTTTGGTGCCTCTAGATATTTATCACATAATTCTCTGATTCTTTGTTTCAAAACAGTTGGTTGATCAGCTGCTTCAACTTGAATGTAACCTGGTAAATCAACCAATGAAAGATCAGGTATAGTTGGTGATCTAATTGTTAATTGGATTGGATCACTAGAAATAGCTTCAGTAGCAGGAACAGCCATATTCAAATCAAACAATATCTTTTGGACTTCTGAGAAATCAGTTAAATTGAACATTTTCAATGCTGGAAAATCTGCAGTTTCAGCTGCTGTATTTGGTGTATTAACTAAGGTTAATTCAATTGGTCTTCTAGTAACCATATTAGAACCTTTTGGTAAAAATTCTTGACCAACAATTGATTCCAAGACTGAAGATTTACCTGAAGATTGAGAGCCAATAACAACAATAGATGGTAATTTCAATGTATCTGAAGATCTATCAATCTCTTGTAATAAAGTTCTAATTTCAATCATTTGTCTTGTAAGACTCATAATTTGATCATCAGTTGAATCATCTTCTGGTTCATCATCTTCATCTTGATCTATTAACTCCTCTTTCTCTTCTTCATCTGTGGCTTCCTCCTCTTCTTCTTGTGAATTGACACCAGCAATTGCAGCAGCAGTACCAACAGCGGCAGCTGAATCACCACCATTTCCACCACTACCACCACCTTCACCTCCAGCACCACTACCAAAATTCAACCCATTGAAGAAATCCGAAGCTTTATCATAAGCGTTACCACCAAATTCCTTCATCTGGTTCAATCGATCCTGTGTATAGTTTGAAGCTTCCTCCACTTTATAAGCAACATAACTTCCAGCAGCAGCTAAGCTCCCTCCCAAATAAGCTGGTGCCTTAACGGCTTTCCCTAGTATTTTAGGAATTGAAGTGAATGAGAAAGGTCTATGACCTAAAAGGTGTGTTGTATTGCCTCTTTGTAGTATCCTGGAAGCAGCTGATGATAGTAGTAATGGGGAGTGTGATAAGAAGCGTCTGTTGAGCACCGAATAGTTCTGCTTGAGCACAAAGAGCGGTGAGATCTTAAAGATTCCCCTGTGAAGAGCCCTGGAGGCATTAGAGCCACCCCATAGCGGCCTCATATTGTCCAAGTTAAACGAATAATTTTGATTGCGTTTGATGTGTTTTCACTCTTTGTTTTGATAATTTTTTTTTGCCCTTTACAAAGTGGCGATATAAAAAATCAAAAAATGTTTGGATGTGATGGAGCTTAACTATGTGATCCAATGAAAGCGAAAAAAGGCTACAAAATAGTTAACTAATAGTTTCAGATTTCATAATATACAGAGATTTCACATAGAAGAAAGTGGTATAAGTGCGTTGTTGATTGTTTTGTAGTTTGTTGTGGATTGAAATTGTGTCAAATGTTGAAAACAATGGATAATATCAATCATAATCCTTATTTCTTCATATGCAATAAAAGAGTTGGTTTCATTATAGTACATTTGGTTGCTTTTAATCATAGTGAGCTTTTAATAAATCAGTTTGGAACAACTTCTCTCTTTTCCAATGGGTTGTAACGCAAGAATTTTTCAATAAGATCAACATGAGTCAAAATCATTCTTCTGCAACAGTATCTTTTCAATTTCAATTTATCTAGAGCTTGACCTTCATTTGCAGTTGTATCATCTTCCAAAAGTTTTAAATATGATTCCCATTTGTCACCAACAACCTAGTTCGCATCATGTTAGTAATAATTCACTCAAAACAAAACCTAATAACACCAGAAAAAACAAGAAGTGCTGTCATCTATTGAATATACCTACTTTACCACATGAAAAACAACGGACAGGAACAATCATTTCGAACTACTCTGATGGAAAACCCTCTTTGTCTGTTTAAATCAGTTGAATCTCACGTTAAATTTTGGTTTTTCACTTAAAATTTTCTAAGAACCGTTCATAGCCGGGTAAAATTACAGGTAAAAAAAATTTTAATGTATGCGATGAGCTGAAAAATATCTATTTATCACAAATCAATAAACAGATTCCTATTCTATTAGGTTCAAAAGGGAAATCATGTCTGAAGATTATAGATTGACACTGGTCTCAGGTGGTCAACCGTTGCCTCAAGGTGCCACCTTCACAGCTGATGGTCGTCACTATATCGTTCCTTTCAACAATCAACTAAAAGTTTACTTTATTTCAACTAGACAATGCATTAGATCTCTAAAATTCAACAAGGTCAACAACATAAGCTTTGAGGATTTGGTTGGTTTGAAATTGGATACCCAAGATCAAAACCTTATATGGGCTTTCTTGGCTAATGGTGAAGTGTTGATAATAAATTGGAAAGAAAAATTGATTAACCCAATAATTAAAAGATTTAATCTTGAAAAGGCTAAAGATGATTCCATTTTACACATTATAGAATTCACAAATGAATCATTCACAGTCGTGACTGGTAAAGATTCAAATAAACCTCATACTAGAAACATTATCAAATATACTCAAGTTTCAGAATCATCTGAAAATTATACATCATCATCATTATCAACTATTAGAAATGTTATATTATACAGCAACTCCAAGGGTTTAACCAAAGTTGTCATGTTGAGTAAAAACACTAGCCAAAGAGTTTTCACTACAATAGATTTAACTAAACCTGAAGAGAAGAAAACTATTGAATTCCCATATAAATCATATATTAGTACATTAGCCATCTCAAATGATGGAACTATAGCAGCTGGTACTTCATCAGGTGTTATCCATTTACTATATGAAAATGCTTCACGTATCTTAAAATGGCATATAGATCAAGTTAATTCTTTATCTTTTTCAATAGATTCAAATTATTTGTTATCAGGTGGTTCAGAAAGAGTCTTGGTGTTTTGGCAATTAGATACTGAAAAGCAGCAATTTTTACCAAGATTAAATGGTGATATCGTTAAAATTGATTCTCAACATGAAGAATATTATACCTTAACTTTGAAGCTCGATAATCAAAATCATTATGAAATTTTATTGTTATCTTCATTGGATTTACAATCAAGATTATCAGTTACTGGTCCAAGACAAGATTTCAATTCAGATTTATCAAATTTGAAAAAATTGTTCAAATCATATCAAAAACAATCAAATACTGATGTTACTAAATTAAAATATGATTTCACAAGTAATTTCAAAATCCATCCAACTTCAAAACAATTATATTTTATAAATGGTGCAAATTTACAAGTTTTTGATTTTTTCAAAAATGAACAATTTCTCATTCAAAAAATCGCAGATACTTTACAAACTGGTAAAGTTAGATCAGAACATAAATTATTGGATCCAGTGATTAAACAATTTAGCTTCACAAATGATGGTAAATGGATGGCTACAGTGGAGGAACATCATCATGGTGAAATTGATAATTTATTATCCAAGAATGATTTGACTTATGTTTTGAAAATTTGGAAATTTGTTGAATCTCAAGCAAAATCAACAACTAGTAACATTTCTATTTCAAATTCATGGGAATTAGTCACCAAGATTATTAATCCTCATGGATTACATGTTCCAATCATTTCAATACTTCAAGCACCAACATCATACTTCAAAGGTGTTGCATTTTTAACTGCTGATAATAACGGTGGTGTGAGGCTATGGAGAAGTAATGGTAATGGTGAACGTATTAGTTGGTCATTAAGAAAATTGAAACCAAGTAGTAATTTATATTCAAACTCTGTCAGTTTAGCATGGTCAAATGATTCAAGTTTAATCTTTTTAGGGTTTGAAGATTCTATTATTCCAATTGATACAAATACTTTTGAAGAAATTGAGTCATCAGAGATTGGTGTTTTACAGAATATAAGTGGATCAAGAATAAAATATCTTGATATTGTGGATAATAATTTGATTGTCTTATCCAAGACAACATTGAAATCAATCAATTTGTTAAATATGCAAGAAAATGATTTAGTTTTAAGTATAAACCCACCAAAGAATGGTGAGAATTTAATAACAACCAATCAATCTAAAAATTTGATAGCTGTTGCAGTGAATTATTATAATCAAGAATCATCAAAACTAAACTCCAAAATTTTCATTTTTAAGCCATACACCAAAATTCCTGTGTTTATAGGTGACCATGATGATTACATCACTTCTATACAATGGAACCTTGAAAATGACTTCATCTTTATAGATATGAAGTCAAGAATCGGTATTGTTTCAAATTCAAAGATTTCCGATGATGTTGAAGTTTCACAAGTTGATTATGCTCAAGAAATGAGTGTTTTGTTACAAAATGCACAATCCTCAAGTGAGATTTACAAACAAAATGATGATGTTGATAACACTGGTGAAATTAATGGTTATACTAAATCTCTTGATGTCAATTCATTTAGTAATTTGTATGAGAATTTGGATAGTATTCAATTGGAAACATTGTTTGATCGTGTGATGCAAGTTATCTATTGAGCTTAAGCATAGTTAGTATTTACAATTTAATGGCATATTTTTTTTCATTTACCATTGGCGTAGCCTACATAAGGATGATATCGGTATGACACATTTTGAGTCACACCAAAACGAGGAAATGACACCTTACAACTGGGTGTTTTCAAGGCAGAAAAGCGTATAAATAAGAGAATTTCTTGCTCAAATTCATTCCATATACTTGAATTTCCAAATAAAGTCAATTTGACAAGGCTTATTGGGAAAAATCAAATTTGTCTCTTTACCATCATCAGGCTGCTAGTTTTCGGCTTTCACGAAAAGACCAGAAAAAAAACATCTTCAAATTCAGGAACAACCCAGCTTTAATACCCATCAACCACACTGATAAAAGAGGATAGAAGTGACAATGGAACCAGTGATCAAGTCATTTCTAGACACTGATCTTTACAAGATCACAATGCACGCAGCCGTGCACAAGAACTTCCCAGATGCCATTGTCTCCTACAACTTTACCAACAGAACTCCCGAGAAAAAATTGACTAATGAAGCTTTGGACTGGCTAAGGTCACAAATTGAGCTATTGGGTGAACTAAGGTTTTCAAAAGATGAAATTGAGTATCTAAAGGAAGCTGTACCATATCTTCCACAAGAATACTTTCAATTTATCCAGGATTTCAAATTATCACCAAAAGATCAAGTTGTTATAATTGTTGAAGACGATAACAAATTGGATTTAAAAGTTAATGGGAAATGGCAAGACACCATATTGTATGAAATTCCTCTATTGGCATTGATCTCAGAAGCTTATTTCAGATTTGTTGATACTGATTGGAATTTGGATGGCCAAGTTGAAAAAATACAAGATAAAGCCAAAAGATTAATTGATGCTAAAATCCCATTTTCTGAATTTGGTACAAGAAGAAGAAGATCATTTGAAGTTCAGGAATTAATAGTGAAATCAATAACTTCTTACACTGAGACTTTACCAGCTAATGAAAAAGGATTGTTTTTAGGGACATCTAATGTCTTATTCGCTAAAGAATTTAATGTCAAACCAATTGGTACCGTGGCACATGAATGGATGATGGGTATCGCTTCAATCACAGATGATTACAGATCAGCTAATAAGGACTCACTCAAATATTGGGTTGATACATTTGGTCCTGAACATGCTGGATTAGCATTGACTGATACTTTCGGTACTGATGACTTCTTGAAATATTTCATACCACCTTACTCTGATTGTTATACAGGTGTTAGACAAGATTCAGGTGATCCATTATTGTATGCTGAAAAGATTGCAAACCACTATTATAACAAGTTGGGACTAGAGAAGTTCTCTAAAGTGATTTGCTTTTCAGATTCTCTTGATGTTGACAAGGCTATTTTGTACAAGAAGAAAGCTGATGAAGTTGGATTGAAATCAATCTTCGGTATTGGTACAAACTTTACAAATGATTTCAAGAGACTAAGTGATGGATCTAAATCAGAGCCATTAAACATTGTTATCAAGATTTGTGAAGCAAATGGTAATCCTTCAGTGAAAATTAGTGACAATCTCGGTAAAAACACTGGTGACCCAGCCACTGTGGAAAGAGTGAAAAGAGAATTGGGCTACACAGAACGTGATTGGGAAGGTGGCGATGAGTCCCACAGATGGTGATTAATATCATTTGCTTAATTTTAATATAGATGTTTTCAATTCACTGACGTAGTATTTCGCGAACTAATTGCGCGTATGACTCTGGTGTTCGGATGCAGCATACTAAATTTTTATATGGCCTCATATTGAGCTGAGATGACTTGGAACAACAACAACAAAAGCCACCATCAATCCTGTGTATTTACACTGAACTTGGAAGAATGAGCCTGGATCTCATATCGCTAACAAATGTTCTGGAGCAGGCGAATGGGTCTGAGCGAGGCGCTGCCCAGAAATTAGCTGAAACCCAATTGAAAGAATGGGAAACTCAACCAGGTTTCCATTACTTGTTACAAGTGAGTTGCGTTGAGTTTTGATCTCGTTTGGTATTTAACTAACTAAAGTCAGTCTGTATATAATGACTTGTCAATCCCTTTGCAAACAAGGTGGCTAGCTGTCATCAATTTTAAGAATGGAATAGAAAAATATTGGAGATCATCCAGAAAGAAGTGAGTATGAAAGTACTTTCGTTGAGGAATATAGATAACATATCTAGTGCAATCTCAAAAGAAGAAAAAATAAACATTAGGGCAAGACTATTTGAATTGATAGATGAACCAAACCAGCAATTGGCTATTCAGAATGCACAAGGATCATCAAGAATTTGTCGATTCGATTTTCCTCAAGAATGGCCAACTTTGTTTGATGAACTTGAATCATTACTACAACAAGCTTTACGCGAGGATAACCATGTTAAGGTCAATAACTTGCTGATAATACTAAATCAAGTGATTAAAACTTTGTCAATGGCTAAAATTGGGAGAACTAGACCGGCCTTACAATCCAAGGTACCAATTATCACACCAATTTTGATCAAAATCTATACAAAATTCTACAATGAAGGTGTGCAAGGAATGGATTTGACAATAATGCAAGTGGGTTATATGAGCTTGAAGGTCTTGAGAAGAATAGTGGTTGACGTTTATGATAGTGCGTATCAATCAACCGAAGTTTCAGAATTTTTATCATTATCCGTGGAACATTTCCAGCTCCTGGTTCAAAAATACACACAAAGTGACATTTTGGATAAATATATCAAATGTTATAGTAAAATCTATCATTCATTGGCTAAAGCCAACCCAACAAACTTGATATTATTACCATGCTCAAAGCAGATTTTATATTCGTTATTAAACATCATTCAAAATAAGGCACAAACAGTTTACGAAAGTGAAGATTCTGAGGATTCTGATAATATCTGGGAGTTTTTAGTTATTAAGTCACTATTAATTTTCAAATACTTGATCAACTTTTTATTCAAGAAGGGTGCAGTGTTGACGTTGAAATCAAAATCAAATAAATCAGAAATTGAAAGTGCTATCAATATTTTGACACATGATTTTTTCAATGAACAACTGATCAAAAATCTCACTGATTTACTAATTAGCTACTACATCAAACTAAGGCCAAAAGATCTAGAGTGTTGGGTTATTGAACCTGAAGAGTGGGCAAATGATGAAGTTAACCAAAATTATGAATATCAAGTTAGACAATGTGCTGAGAATTTCTTTCAAGATTTAATGAACAACTTTAAAGATTTACTAGCACCATATGTCTTGAATAAAGTACAAAATGAAGTTGTCTCATACAATGAAGCTTCTGTTCAAAACATTTTGATTAAGGATTCTATATTCACAATTTTCCAATTGAGTGCCAATTCAATTCACGAAGTTCTTGATTTCAACAGCTTGCTAAACCAGATCTTTTTCCCAGAAGCTTTGAAAAATGATTTAGTTGAAAACAAAATCTTGAAAAGACGTGTATGTCTATTGATTAATGAGTGGATTGGCTTGAATGTTATTAATGATGAAAATATGGATAAGATTTACATGCTTTTGCAAAATCTCATTGATCCTTCCAATCCTATAAACGATAGGGTTGTGAAACTTACTGCAATTCAAACCTTGAAAACGATTTTGACTGATTGGGATTTCAAAAAGCAAATCATCAAGCCTTATTTGAAAGATTTCACATCATTATTGATCAAATTAGTTGGAGAGATGGAATTCACAGAGTCCAAATTGTTCACTTTGAATACAATTGCTGATTTGATTTATAAAACTAATCCATTGATCTCAATTGAAGAATTGGAAGAATTAGTCAGTATCGTTCCTAAATTCTGGGACGCTTCTAATGATAGTAATGAGTTGATTTTGAAAAATAGTTTATTGAGAATATTGAAAAACTTGATTGTTTCACTAAATGATAACTCACCAACAACTTGGGATTTGGCTATACCTTTGATCAAAGCATGTTGTTCACCACAGTCTGAATACTATGCTATGTTGTCAGAAGATGGATATGAACTTTGGTTAGCCTTGTTACAATTTTATCCAATAAATCATAATGATGGTGCTGAAGATGCTATGATTCAAAGTCTTTTGGAACTTTACATAAATGCATTGATGAATCAGACAGAAATATTGCCATTGATTTTAGAAATTTTGAGAAGTTATACCTTGTTAGTACCAGGTTTAGTTGTCGCTGATAACACAAGAGATTTCATCAGAGGTTCATTCAAAATCTTGACTAAATACATTGGGAATATGAGAGATGATTCATTAGATATTTTGATTTCAGATTTAGAAATTACAATTATGGAGTCATATCATGATTTAAATCAATTTGAAAAATTGTTGTCATTGTTGATGGAGTCTGGATTACTACCAAAGATTATTTCAATGATTCTTGATGATGAACAATCCCCAATCACCGTTGGAAAATTATTGTTGATTATTGCAAGAATTGCATATATTGAACCATCAAATTTAATTCAAGCTATTCATTATATTTATCCTGATGAAACTCAATTCAATACAAATTTGAAAAAATTCACAACTGTTTGGTATGCAAGAATGGATAGCAATATTGGGAATCCCCGTAGCAGAAAAATTCACACTTTGGGGTTGACTTCTATATTGAGAACTGGACAAGTAATTTTTTTCCAAGACATGTCAACATTGATATCTTTATGGATATCATCTTTAGAAGAGATTGTTGAAACAAATGGTGATTGTGAAAAATATCACTCAAATTTCATGTATGAGTTCCATTATAATGATGATTTTACTATCCAAGAAAATGGTGAATATCTAAGATTCCAGAAATTAATGAAAGAGGTAGATCCAGTTCATAATTTGATATTGAAAGATTACCTAAAAGATACAATGAGATTGGTTAAAGAAACAATCGGTGAAGCAAATTTCACAGCATTGATGGGAAATCTTGATAAGAATTTGGTTGAGAATTTTGAATACTTCTTGTATCAAATCAATAACTAGATTGAACTACAGCTTGAAATTATTGATAACAATAAATGAAACTATACAAACTATGCGATCATTGGGAAATCATGAGAATAAATGCAAAACATAAACAAAATTAATTAGTAAAACATATGATCGTCAATTATGAAATGTGTGAGATGTATCTGTTAAAAAAAAATATGCAAAAATGTAGTTAAATGGGATGATGATAAACTTTTCTTCGTAAAATAATAAATAAGAGGACATGTGATCCAATATCTTCAAATATAATGGTATTGCTTTTGTTCTAAATTGTTGAAAAATTCCAAAACAGTTTCATAACAAAAGATAAATTGGTTCAAGCTTTGAACCATGGAAATTCTTTGCTTTCTCAATTGTTGAACAGTGAAATAGATCAAATCGTTCTGAGTATTCCAAATATCAATTTCTTCACCTGTCTCATTCCCATCGTCATCCAGTGAATGTTTCTTTAACAAGTTCACATTTCCTTTGATTAGATGAGTATTTGTTTTAGATTTGAAAGCATTAGTGATCAAGTCAACAGTTATGAAAACACCCGTACGACCACAACCTGCAGAACAATGAACAACAACAGGTGCTGATTTCTTTGTAGTGAATTCATCTTTGATTTCAGTTAATTTCAGCAACGAACTATAATCAGCAACACCATGATCTGGCCAATCTTTGAAATGTAATTGTGTAATGATTCTTGATTGAGATTTTCTTGTTAGTTGGATTTTACGAACAGTTAAATTCTTCAATCCATTATAATCTTCATGTTCCTCCAACAGTTGAACTTTTTTGGTATTTTGCCAATAAACATCTGATTTCTTGATACCATATTCATTCAAATCTGTCAAGGAAACAATAATCTCAGAATTATTGTGCCATACAACTTTCCAAAAATCATCAATAGTGGATGGTAATGGTGCTTGAGTGGCAATGTAGCGAGCCTCTTTGTTGATTTGTGGGACATTGATGAAATTAGCATTGAAATAGTCATCATGTGGGCGAAGATGTGATAATTGAGGACTTGTGCCAGTAACAGCAACAGCTGAGTTTGTTGTGGCAGTTAAATGTAACTTGTTTTGAGATGAAGCAGATGGTGAAACTTTTGGGAAATATTTGTTTGGTGAGTTGTTGTTACTACTCATGATTGGTGACAACAATGGAGATTCAATCAATCTAACTCTTGAATGTTCATAAGGTAAAATATTAGGGTATCTATTTTTGTAACCATGTTCAGAACCATCCAAAATGTTATAATTTAATTGATCACAACATGGGCAAAGACAGCTTGGAGAGCAAATTGATGGTGAATGAGACTTTTGAGAAACGACCGAAGTGATTCTGGCATTTTCAGCATTTTCAATTCTAACAAAGTTTTTGATAATCATATTGACAGAATTTGGAGCTAGATAAGGTTGCAACCAAGTTGGTAGTCTTTCAGGATTTTCAAGGTTTGGAACATGAATATTTGATGGATGGACACCATTTTCTTCCTCTGGTAATGCATGATTCTTTTTCATTGACATTAAAAATGATGAAGTTGGATTAGCTGAAGGTAATATAAAATCTGCAAATGAATCACCAGAGTTTGTTGATTTTATTTTCTTGAAGTCAAAGATACTATCTTCATCAGATATACCTTCTTGATGCAAAAATGAAGTGAAGCCTTTGTTTAAAAGGTATAAATCAATAGTTTTACCATACTGTTTAGCGTCACTTTGAAACTTCTTCAAGATCTGATACAGATGAAATGAACACTGCTCTGAACTTGAGTTTGAATCATAAAACACAATGTTTAGATTTTTGGAGCCTTTGAGTTTTAAATCAATAGCCTGTTGTTGTTGAGAAGTCATTGTTTTGAAAATATTTGATAAATGGAATGAACTTCTTTTCAATAGAGTTGAAGGAACACATATACTTAAAGCATCTTTTAATCTTGAAGTTGAGTATTGGTTAAAAGGTCTTGTGTCAATAACCAACAAGTCTGAAGTCTCATCATCTCTAAGATCTTTGAACTCACTCAAAGTATTTATTTCACTAATGTCCTCAAGGTCTTTGATATCAAAGTTTTTTGGATTAACATTTGTACTTAGTTTGAATGGTAAATTGAAACTTGAGCCAGCTATTGGTGAAGTTGGTGTCTTTAATTCTATGCTGCTGCTTGCACTATGACTTGACATTGGTTGCAGATTGTTTTTGTTTTTGATGATCGCATTGTCTTCATCTCCAGCTAGTGTGATCTTAACCTCTGGTATATAAGGTTGATACATCTGACTGTTATTTTTAGATGTGTTGTTGATGTTATTGCCACTTAAACCGGGCCCTGTTCCTAAAATACGATGGCTTGAACTATGCTGTAGCTGGTGGTTATGGTGATGATGGTTATTATGGGCTGAGCTTGTACTAGCGTCACCGCCAAAGTTGAAATAGCCGAAGGGTTCTGTTGATGAGCCTGAGCCTGCCGAGCTCGAGCTTGTCTGGAGCTGGCGTGGTGATGATTTTGTGGAGGCCATTACCATTGTTTGTTGAAGCTTGATATGGAGCAGTTCTGTGTTCTATGACAGATTGAATTAGTACTGAGTCTTGAGCTAGCGCGTTAACTTCGGCCAAACTGAGTTAATTTGGTCCTGTTTTGGTTGAGCTTGGATAAAAGATAGAAGTAGGATATGGTGCTCTTTTAATATGGAGTCGAGGATAGTTATTCTTAGCTAGCGGCTGATGGATGATTCATCTGTTTGATGATGTTGAAGAAATCACTTGACAGTTTTTGACGATATGAATTTTGCAGTTGTTTATTTTATATCACTTTCGCTTTGAGGCGGTCAGCTGCCACTTTGGAACAAATTGACGTCTTTCCAACGTTCTAGAAGCGGGTTTGCGAAATGACGTAATTGACTGGAAAGTGAAAAATTACGTAATTGAAATCCGAGGGACAATATTACCACATGATTGATTATGTAAGAAGCGTCTCCGAGGGTGAGCATCTTTTCTCGAGAGTTTCCATAGCAACCACATAAGATTTGGTTTTTGTAAACAAAAGCTGTATAAACCGTTTAAAAGAATGTCACAAAACCAAAGAAACAACAGTAACGTCAATTCCAATTAAAGTACATCTTAGAAATTCCACTCATCATCAAGCACCCCTAATATTTGGCACCTGCTCGTCATCAACTTCATCAACATACCCACCTACACACACCAGCTATTGTTCAACCCAAAAAAAGGGCTTTTCAGATATCAATTGCTTCGAAAAAGAATCGACATTTGCTTTCATCACCACCTCCACTGCATTGTCTTATTTTGACACATTTCCAACAGAAAACTACCCTTCAGATTCTTCACACAACTTGCTCTCAACATGACATCAATCAGTCCAGATAGAAATACAGTTTATGACTATGACTTATCAACTTTATCAAATATAAGATTAGACAATAGAAGAGCAAAACAAAAACTATCCAACAATGTTTTACATCAAGCTAACCCTTCAGCAACCAACCGTTATAACTACAACCCAACAAGATCTCGTAAATCTAAGCATGACTATCAGTTGGATGAGACAGCAGACCCAATAAGACTTTTTAAAGATTCCCCATCTCCAAACAAATATGATTACAAGTATAATAACATTAGTCCATTCAAGTACAACAGCTCAATCTCAAGAAAATATGATATTGACTCAAGTTTACTAGAGAAGGATAACTTGAAGTATCTTGATAGAGATTATTATTCAAATGGGTCCAAGTTAAACGAACAAAAAAGGGAAAGATTTTTGGACTCCATAAACTCAGCAAACAACACAAAATTTTCAAATCGTCAAAGTTCTCACTATGATGTCAGTCCTGTTAGGGATACAATAACAAGAAAGCCTTATGAAGATTTAGGATTCAGGCCCAGAAATAAGGATATAGGTATTCCTAACCTTAAACCAGATAATTATTACAGCAACCCTTTTTCAAAAAGCCCTATAAAAGCAGGTACATCAGGCTTTTCCAAGTCTGATATTTATAATGATAACATTGATCCTGATCGGTTAGATCGTGAAAGTGAAGAGCAACTGAGAAATTATGATAAAAGATTTCAACACCTGGTGGATAAGTACCAGTTAGATGAACTGTCAGCACATGAAGACAAAATTGCTTCCAGTGAACCAGAATCGAAATTAGATCGTTATAGATCGATGATAAGGAAACTTCAAGCTCAAAATCAACAAGAGGCTAACAACAATCAACAATTGAAAGAGAAAATCACAGAGCTCGAAAAATTTATTGAATTTTTAGAATCCAACTTTGATCAATTGTACAAACGATCAGGTATACTTAAATTGGAAAAACATGACATTCATAGGAAGAACCAAGAATTGATATTCATCAATAATTACTACAAAAGCTTGTTGAGAAAGCAAAAAATTTACAAACAAAGTGAAGATACAACTATTTCATTACTTGACCACAAATTTGAGGATGATGATTCTACAACTCAACTTTTAATAAACTTCAATACAACCAAGCCTAGTGCAACTTTCAACAAACTGAGTTCAATCAAAAAGTTTAGAGCTTTGGGGTTTGCTGTTTTAGCCTCTGTTAAATTACAACATAGACTTCAACATCGTCAAGCATACATCAAGAAGGTCCATGATTTAATGGGATTTTAATGTGTATAATGATATTTTTAATTAATGACTTTTAATAATTTATTCAAATTTCAAATTAAATTGAACTTCACCATCACCAGGAGCAACTGGAACTTTTTGAAATCCTGATGGGGTCTTATCAGCGTGCCATGTTTCTTGACCATTGACAGAAAGTAACTTGGAGCTCTCATCATAACCAAATTGGAATGGTTCATTACTTTGTGAGCATGATAAATCACCATTATTATCCAAGGCACAATAACCACCATTTGATCTCAAGTTATAACCACCAAATTCAGCAGCTTGTAATCTATAAGTAGCACAAGTACCACTAACATACCATTGACCATTTTTGATCAAACAACCTTGTTGGTTTTTTAATTTAACGAACCCAGTTTGGTAATCACCAGTAGGTTTTGGAGGTGAAGATGTCTTGGTCTGTGATGGGTTAGTTCCAGGATTTTTATAATTATCCTTTGGAACAAACTTAATCCCTTGATTTGGACATTTCGAATTTGAGAATGAATCAATATGATGAAATTGTTCACCTAATAATGAACCTTTCAATTGATGGAAATACCAAACTTCTTGTAATCCATTATTACGATCACATGCAATATAAACCTCTGAACCAAATTTATCAGCTAATGCTTTTGAAATTTCATCTTTGGTATAAGTTTTATCATGAGATGGGACGATACCTGCTTCGGATAACCATTCAAAAGTTGGTAATTTTTCATAAAGATTCATAGCAATTTTGAAATAATCAACAACATTTTGATTTGTTTTGAAATCATCACCATAACATGATGGGTTTATAGTATTAACACAGGTTCCATGTTTGTTAAACTCATGTTTCCATAAACTTGCATCATCTCCATTCATGTTCTTCCAATATTTCTTCATATTCGCAATTAGTTCATCTTCACCAAATGATTGTAAAACTTGCTCAACATTACCAACGTTTAACTTCGAATTGCAAAATTGTTGATATGACCCATCTTTAGAACAGTTATCTGGCCATAACCCATGAGCTGTGAATGAATCATTTGGACCGATTGATGGTGAATAATCCCAAAATTGAGTTTGTAGTAAAACACCACCTGGATATTCAAAACAACATGAATCTTTGACAACAGTATCATTTGAGCATGATAATGGAATTGAGGATGGACATTTCGAATTATCGAATGTTGTCTCTGAGGATAAGTCTCTGATGTACTCTAATTGAGCCATTCCTGGGAATCTTGAGCCCTCAACCAGGGCCAAGGCAGTTGATAACAGTGCTACTAAACTGAGTTGCATTGTGTTGAATTGATTAGGTTTTGCCTCCCTGCTTCTTTGTTTCAAGGGGATGAATTTAGATGTGATGAATTAGAGTCTGTTAATATAAAATATATAGTTATGTATAATTCAAAGAGGACCTCAAAATTTCATGATGGAATGATACTTTCAACTTCGAAAACGTTTACCGAGAAATGATTTTGGTTATCCATGTGCTTTTTTTGACGTGATAAGGGAAGGGCCTCGTGATTATGTCATCAGTATACGCTTTTTTGATAGGCCGAGATTTTAGACAACAACCTATTTGGCATTTTGAGGCACTTAAACGAGGTTAGAATGGGTTTGCTCGAGAAATCGAATAGTTGAAGCTATTTGGGATGGTTTTATTCTTTTGGGTACGCGTTTTTCTCGGTGAATTTTTGTTGGCTTGATGGTATTTTACCCAAGATGATACAAGGTCAAAGTATTTTGATTATCTAGGTTGAATAAATCTGTAGCTATCCTGGCTCTTTGGGCTCTTAATGTAAACAAAAGATACGACAAGCACAGACAGATCATAAATACACCTACATCCTTTTCTGCAGTGTATCCAACCAATCTACTGTAATTCAAGAGTTTGATCTTTTCGAGCCCTACACTTTTAATCCAGCATGCATCAAAAATTGTAATCCAGTTTGAAATATGCCATACAACAGATGTACATGATTGAAATTTGGCATGCCTTTTGCTTCAGTAAGTCAAGCTGGGTCAAGGCTAACACGCTAACACAGATTCCAGAGCGTGAAGTAGCTCTTTTTGTCCATATATTTACCATTCGCCTTACAGCTTACAAGTGCTCACCCTGAAAGTTTGGAACCTAGCTCAACTTGGTTAACCAATGCACAAGTACGTCTTGAGTCTACAATTGTGATATTTGAAATTCAAAACTTTTTTTGCCCCTATATACAAGTAATCGTTCTAGCAAATCTAATTCATTAATCCTCAGTTATATGTGCATGATGAAGTTCTATTAAATTGAGTGAAACTCAGGTCATTAAAATCATATTCAAATTTCAACCAGAACAACTATCACAGTTTTCTGGATCATCAATATTACATGACAGTGGTGTAGAAGAATGAATGTCATAATTTATCTCTCTTTCAAGCTCTCCTTGACTTTCTGGTGTTAAAGGTCTAACAACAATCAAAGGCTTTTTCTTTGGTGATGTTTCTGGAGTATTTGGATGTAAAGAAACATACTTTCTCTTTTTAGACAATACTTCAGTGACTGGCTTCTTTTCTTCAGCCTCAACAGATCTATCTATGGTAAATTTTATTGCAGAGCTGGCAGCTTGAGTTCTTAAGTAGTACATCCCTGTTTTCAAACCTTTATTCCAGCCATAAAAATGCATGCTTGTTAATTTACCCATAGTTGGTTCTTTAAGATGAATATTCATACTTTGTGATTGATCAATGAAAGGTGCTCTATCAGCTGCTAAATCAATAATAGTTTTTTGTGAAATTTCCCAGACAGTCTTATACAAATCTTTGATTTCTTGTGGAATTGACTTGATATCTTGTATAGATCCATCATTATCAACGATTCTATTTTTTAAGCCTTCGTCCCAAATTTCTAAATCAATCAAGTCTTTAACCAGGTACTTATTAACTATTTGGAACTCACCAGATAAAACTCTTCTGGAATAAACATTTGAAGTTAAAGGTTCAAAACATTCTGTGAACCCCAAGATTTGAGACGTGGATGCTGTTGGCATTGGAGCAACTAATAAAGAATTTCTTAATCCATGTTGTGCCATCTCGGCCTTTAAAGAATCCCAATCATACAAATCTGTTGGCTTCTTGTTCCAAAGGTCAAACTGGAGAAGCCCCTTAGAAGCTGGGGACCCTTCATATGATTCATAAGGCCCATACTTCTGGGATAATTCGATTGATGCCTCAATAGCAGCATGGTAAATAGTTTCAAATACTTGAATATTCAATTCTTTAGCCTCTGGACTTGTGAATGGCAAGCGTAACTCCATAAATAAATCAGCTAAACCTTGAACACCAACAGCTATTGGTCGATGTCTCTTATTACTCAACTCTGCTTCTGGAACAGGATAACTTCCAACATCAATCACCTTATTTAAATTCTTCACCACAACTTTAACAACATCATGTAGTTTCGAAAAATCAAACCACATCTTTTGGGAGTCATAATTAATAAATGATGGTAAACCAACCGATGCTAAATTGCAAACTGCAACTTCTTCGTTGGATGAGTACTCAACAACTTCGCAACACAGATTTGAAGATTTTATAGTACCCAAGTTTTTCTGATTACTCTTTTCATTACAAGCATCCTTGTATAGCATGAATGGACCTCCAGTTTCTGTTTGCGCTTCCAAGATTGCATACCAGAGCTTTTGAGCTCTCACTGTTTTCATTGGCAACCCTTCATCAACATATTGGTTGTAAAGCTTGACAAATTCTTCACCATAAACTTCATTTAAACCTTTAGCCTGATCTGGAGAAAATAGATGCCAATCCTCATCAGCTTTAACCTTCTCCATAAACAAATCTGGTATCCACAATGCATAAAACAAATCGCGTGCTCTCATTTCTTCTTTACCATGGTTTTTCCTTAAATCTAAAAATTCAAAAATATCACTATGCCACGGCTCCAAGTAAATTGCAAAAGCACCTGGTCTCTTATTCCCACCTTGATCGACATATCTCGCTGTGTTGTTGAAGACTCTAAGCATCGGCACTAGCCCATTTGAGGTACCATTTGATCCTGAAATATACGATCCTGATGATCTTATATTAGAAATATGGATCCCGATACCACCTGCAGCTTTTGAAATCAAAGCTGATCTATGTAGGGTTTCATAAATACCATCAATTGAATCATCAGTCATACCCAGTAGAAAACAGGATGAAAGATATGGATTTGGAGTTCCGGAGTTGAATAAAGTTGGTGATGCATGTATAAAATATCTTTCTGACATTAAATTGTAAGTCTCTATCGCAGAATCTAAATCTTCAAGATGGATACCTAAGGACACTCTCAAGAACATGAACTGGGGTGTCTCCGCTGTAATACCATCAATTTTCAATAAATATGCCTTCTCTAAAGTCTTCAACCCAAAGTATGTAAATGATAAGTCTCTTTCCTTATTGATAACGGAATTTAGTAGCTCTGAATTATCTTGGACAATCTGTTGAACCCTTTCAGAAACCAATGGTGAGTGCTTTTTGGTCTTGGTATTATAGAAATCATATAATCTCTGAGCAGCATCTGAAAATTTTGCTGGTATCTTCTTTTCAATCCTTTTGACACTAACTCTAGCTGCCAGAATTGCATGGTCGGGATGAATTGTGGTCATTGTTGCCAATGTCTCTGACGCAAGGTCCATAAGTTGATCAATTGAAACCTCTTCTGGTAAACTGTTAACTATCTTCAAAGCCAACTGTTCATAGTTGATATATTGGGTATCTAATCCTTTGGAAAGATCTCGTAGCCTTTTGATGAACCTTTCAGTATTGAACCTTTGTTTGGATCCGTCACTCTTGATAATCTGTACTTCTGTCATTTTATCTAATTATCCATGAACAAATCTAAGTACTATCTGGAATATGAAGTACTGTTTGCAATTTTTATTAAATATAAAAAGTGCAAATTAGTAATTGCAATAAATGTGTCCTATCACAAAAATATTTCCCTATTTTTTGGTGCTTAAAAATGAAACTGAAAGACTTGAGCTGGGAATATGATGTAAAGCAATGTGAGACTTATGGAACACGACAGGGGGCAAAGCAACAAGTGTATCAAGAAAAAGAGTGTCTGGATATTATGTGTCTGTTTAGTTTTGCCTTTGGAGTATATGATGAAATATTTTCATGCACTTTCTTTTGGCACTTTCGTAACGAAAAAACGGTCCCTGCACGCCAAATTACGCTATGCACGCCATTAGACTACCTAATCCGGAAATAAGAAACGCTTTGCACTACGCCATAAAAAAGAAACAGATTTCTTCAACTTTTAGCTTACAGATTCATATTTGTCACTATCGAGATGGAATATGGGCACTAGAATAAGCTAAAATCCATTTTGCACTAAAATATGGTGATTAGTATTAATGTTTCGTGATACTGAAGGAAAAAAAACTTACTTTGTTAAGAGGAACTTGCATGCACCAGTCCATTCTTCATTAGCCGTTTTAGAGGAGAGCCGTATACTGGCATCACCAATCTTATCTTTTGACATTTTGTATGGTAAATCAATATTTGAGTCAAGCTCTTTCAACTTGGTAGCAATTTGAGAAACAATTTCAAGCAATGCAATCATGGCATTGTCAAGCTTGGAGTGTGTGAATAACCTTTCAATTTGATATTCTCCTGATGAATAAACTTCTAATATTGTAACTTTTGGTTTGCTTGGATTTGATAAGTCTCTTTCGTATTTTTCGATCCTGGAAGTAGAACCCATAGGTTTCAATCTGTAGCCTTGTAATTTGAGATTCAATCTAGAACTCACTGTAGCCATCAATAGCACCAAATGGCCCAATGCTGCGTTTATTTCTTGCCATGGGACCCTGCAGCTATCTATACTTCCAAGTCTCAACCCATTAATAGTTCCAAATGGACCGTCGTGTGATATATTGAAAGTATCATTATAAACATTAGTTTTCCTTAGTCTATCCAATTGTGTTAAATTGAACTCATATTCAGCCTTTATTGTATCTCTTTCTTTCAAAAAACTTCTGACCTCTAGTTCCTTCTTATTTTCATCTTTAAAAAACATCTGCTCTTTCAATGTTAAACTATCAATCACATCTTGTACATCCTTGATTTCATCATCCAATTCTGATTTCTCGTGTTCAAGGGACATAAGTTCATCGAGCAATTCTTTTTCCTGTTTTTTTAACCTATCAATTTCATCAATGGATTCTTGTGATTTTTCCACTACTGGTGATTGTTTATTTTGTAATTTTTGAAGAAATTGAATGTAAACATCACGTTCTTTTGAAGATCTATCATACTGGCTTTTCATTTGGTTGAGCAATATCTGAGCACAGTCTTTACAGACTGGATAGTCAATCTCATTCTTGGATGACAAAATATCAAAAATATTTGATAAGGTGTTCAATCTATTTGAAAGAGCCTTGTTATCATCATCCAACCCTTCGTCTTCATCTTCATCTTGTTGTTCAAATTGAGGTAGTATCACAAACGAGTCTGTTGTATCATATAGTTTTCTACTCAGTGTTGCTTGGGTGCTTGAATTCTTAGAAGCATTTTGTAACAAGTTGAGTCTCTCTTCAGGAATGAAAGGTTCATTACCTAGATCAGTATTTTTGAGTTGTCCCTTCCCATATCCATTTCTTCCCGAAGTCAAAAGATTAGCCTGGACTTTACTCAGATTTGCTAGCGAGACATCAATAGATAATGGTAGTTTGCACCTTTGACAATGATGGGTGGATGGCATTGATTAGTTTCCATTTACCGTTTACTGCCTTCGTTCATTCATTTCAAAGTTGTTTTGTTTATCATCAAACAAAAATTTCGCGGGCGCCACTAGGTAGCCGTGAAAAATGGCAGAGATCAAGTCAAACAACAAAATTTTATTTTATATACATTTTATTTACAGACAACTTATTAATCATCAATCATAGATCTTTTCAATCCAATATTTGGTCTTTTGTGATTCAATTCCTTTACATTTGTTTCCGTTGAACCAAGTACTGCCTTCTTCATCTAGATGTTTTTCATATTGAAGCTTCATTTCAGCCCAAGTGTCCTCGCAATCAACAGGAACCCTATACAGACGAGTGAAAAGCTTTTCATTAGTTGGAAGATCCCTTGTTATGACTCTTTGAGCTCTATTTTTTGCCCATTTTTTCATTTTTTTACCTTTTTTGTCCAGTGGTACAGACTTGGTTACAAAACTGGCAATTGCTTGACGGACACCTACAACAACACCTTCAGGAGCCCAAACTTCAAACAGGTCACAAGTGTCATCATATCTACCGATTGGGGTTATTTGAAAATATCCGTAGTCTTTTATAACCAGATCAATTTTCCCATAGAAAGGCGGAATAACATATCTAACAAGATTCTTAGTTGTTTCTGGCTTGACGCAAATCCCTTGGAAGGACTTTGGCTGCTTAGCAATGACTTCCTTGGCTTTTTCCAAGTCTCTGAACGCATGTGGGTTACCTTTAGTTACAGAAACAATTTGCAACAAAGTTCCTTCAGGGGGAATAACATAGGCAATACCACCAGCAGTATAACATTGACCACCGTGAACCGAACGGTATCTTGCTTCTTTTATTCTAACAGAATACAAGGGCACACCTGTCATTGCAGACTTCACATAATCTGGTTTAATAGCATCATAAGTGGTTTTTGCAGGTAAAACTCCTGGGGTATCAAAAGTTCTTTTACCTGCTAAATCAACCTCTATATTTCCTCTTGTTAGACCAGGGAGGAATGAAGAACCTTGAGCAGGCTCCCATTTGTGCTGATCATTAACATTACTGAGAGCCCTATTCCTTAGTTTATTTGCCAATAGTGTTTTCCCAGTGTTGACATAACCAACCAAATATGATAGACGTGGTAGAGCATCCAATAAATCCGCTATATTCCATTGATTATTGGAACACACGAGATGAGTTGACTTAGAGCCAGTTAACCTTTCAACCACATCCGCGAAATACTGAATACCATACCTATTTGGGGCCTTGAAGTTTGAAAATAACAAATCAGCTTTATTGACGACATGAATGGCACGATTTCCTTTTTTGACTTTCATTAAACCTAACGGGAAATCATAAGCTGATGAAACATGAACCAAAGCGGCATTTTCTGGAATAGAATCCATGACTCTTTCATAATTTGAAATTCTATTTTCTGGAAGGTCAAACTTAGAATGGTGCACAGCATCATAACACCTCACACAACTCAAAGGTATACCTTCTTCTGTAATTTTGACACCTCTCTCTTTTTTTTCATTTAATATTCTCTCTTTGGTTAAATTGCTATTCAACTTTTCCATTCCTTCTTCCAATATTTTTTTCCCTTCGTCATCTAGCTTTGAATATGCCTTGTAATATTCAACATCTTTGCTTCTGGTTTGAAGATTCCAGCTTTTGAATTCTGGCACCTTACAAAACCCAACTTTGTCCTTATCAGTGAATTGTAGTCCAATACCACACGTCATACATTTTTGACGCTTTATTATGTTAGTTGAAGTAGTGGATGGTAGTGATGACTTATCTGTAAAAGAACTGACATCTGGTAAGGTGTATCTTGTAGGCAGAGAATCATCTGAACCATTTGATATGAATCTATGTTGTAGTATTCTTGGATTGGACAGAAGCCTGCTGAGGCACAGCTTTCTATAAGCCAGAAGGGAAAGGCTTCTTTTCGACATCAACGTTCTAAAAGGTAACACTATTAACTCTCTGTTGTAGTTCAATGTATTGTTTCTTTGCAATTCTTCAAAAAAATTCTTCCCATACAGTGTCCGTACCGCTTGATCATACAGAACGAGTTCGCGAAAATGAGCTACATTAATGGACTGCAATTTTGTAAACATTATTGAAACTCTTTTATATGCAAAATACTACGTACTGTACAGTCTATTCTTCATCTTCTTCGGCCTCGCTACTTTCCAAATCTTCCATAGCTTCATCAACATCTTCATCTTCACTGTCACCACCCATATCTTTAACTTCTTTAGCCTTCTTACGTTCTTCTTCATCCTCCAACAAACTTTCTCTCAAAATTCTAGCTCTTTCTTCTTTAACTTGTCTTTGAACAACAACATAACCACCTAATGGAGTTTTTTCCCAGTTGAAATCGATCAAGAATTTGTTAACTTCAACTCTGTTGGTTGGACTAAATTCAACATTAGCTCTTTTTTGTTGTATAAATTCAATATTTTGATTCAATTTTTCAACCAAGTTTGATAATTGTTTGTTGAATTTAACATTCTTGGATGACTTTATATAACGACGCAATGAAATAGTAACAGGGGTTGCTAATTCTGGGAATGAAATACTCTTTGAATATAAAACAAAATATTCACCAACTAAATCAACAAATTGTTCACAAACACCTTGTTGATACATTCTAGTACCCAAATAAGCAGAATTTGCTTTAATGTTATGATCAAAATCGAAAGCTTGTAAGTTTGAGTTCTTTGGATTCTTAGTCATTGTAGTTGAGTTCAAAATTTCTTGTAATAATGGAAATAATGGAATGAAAACACCAGTATTTTGAGATAAACGGATCATTGATCTAATCAAATAAAATCTGATTGGGAAAAATTGAGCAGTTGGGATCAATCTAGCAGCACCTAAAGTAACTTGAACCAATGGGTAGATCAATTGTCTCAATGGACTTTCTTTCTTGATTTCTCTTTCTGGGTTACAATGAACTGATAAGACTCTTGACCAGAAATCTAAGGAATGAGCATATTGCCAGTTATATATAGTTTTATAACCATCTTTGGTGTTGTTGATACTGTTTCTCAAATGGATAGCCAATTGACGAATATAATCAAACCCGATTTGATAAGCTAATGGCTCATCAATACCAAATAATTCAGCAGCTGAGTTCTTTTGGAAATTGACCATTGGCATGGTGTGAATATTTGTTTGACGACAATTTTTAATAAATGATGAATAAGTTAATTTCAAAACAGTTTCCAAGATAGATTTTGAAAATTCTCTTGATGAATTGTTTAAAAATGCAAAAGCAGCAATTTGAGTTTCAACTTCAGAAGTTGTTGACCAAACATTGACAACTGCAGTGATTAATTCTTTCAATAATCTTCTAAAACTGATGAAAAATGGTAATAATTCTTGAACAGATGATAAAACTAAAGCAGCAGTTTCGGTATTTGTAATATCATTCAATAACGTAAGTAATGAACCAGCATGTGATTTCAAAATTGTGTTTAATTGTTTAACTTTTGTTGATTTTGGAACAGTTCTAGAGTTTTTAACAACTTTATAAGGAACTAATTTTTGGACAGCAATTGGGATTTTTTTCAAACCTAAGAAAATCAATTCTTGGAATGCTTTTGGATCAGTGACTGTATATTTGTATTCTTGGTTTTCTTTATTGACGTTAACAGCGGACTTGAATGCTGAGACAATGTTTTTGATTAATTTCAAGCTTGGTTCTTCCAACTTTTTGTTCCAATCTTTTACAAGCTTGACAGTAACTTCAATTTTATCAGATGATTCTTCATCTTGTTGAGCCTTCTTGGAAACCTTCTTTTCAACTTGGTCTTCCTCATCATCTTCACCTTCACCATCTTCATCATCACTAATGGCATCTAATGGATTAGTTGGGTTGAAATCTAATAAATCTTTATCATTGTCTTGTAAATACTTGTAAAATTCAGGATCTTTTTCAGCCAATTTAGACAAATCATCTTGATGTTCCAAGATTTCTTCGTCTTCAGAAGAGCTTTCATCATCTTCTTCCTCTGCTTCCTTTTTTTGTTTCTTAGATTCTGTCTTTTTGCCCTTTTGTTCTTTAGGAACTTCAAATCCACCTTCGAAAAATTCTTCCACATTCATATCATCGAAGATTTCATTAGACTTTGCAGGTCTGGCTTCACCATCTTGATCACCACCATTCTTCTTCTTACGTCTATCAACTAATTGTTTATGTTTCTTGACTTCTTTACGATGATCTAAGGTACGTTTCAAATGTTTAGATTGAAACTTCTTTGTGGATTTAGATGTTTTACCCATTATGAACGATTGGTATAGTCTATAATCCGCAAATTTAACTCTAGTTTTGTTGTTCAGTTCAGAAGAGTTGAGATTCAGCTTCACTAATACTTTTTTTTACATCCTACAAAAGAAAATTTTCAATTTTTTTTTTTTTTTTGAGCGATGAGTTGAAATGGGCACACTTTTCGATCTTGACTATGGGAAAGCACTTTAAAATGGGAATTAATAGGAGCTTCATATACAAAATAGTGGGTGTAATTTAGATATTATATTTCTTGATGTTTCAGAAATTCTCTGTATAAATTAATAGCCTGATATTCTACTTGATAACTTCATTTTCCACTTATGAAAATTTTCAGATCCGGGTAAATATCCCCAGTTTTCCAGTAATTAAACGCGTTTTTACCATTTAAAGGTTATTTCAACTTCAACAAGCTGATCTGAGCTTGATCCTACTATACAGATCCAACCCAAAGCCATTGAGTATAAGCAAAGGTTCAATGATGTCAGATTTTGCGGAAAGTCCATCTAGAACGGAATTCAAGACTCCAAACGCCAAAAGCGTCAATTTAACAGCTGAGGCTACGACTAGAGGCGATGATGATGATGAAAAGGATACAAGTGTCATGATTCCTCACAAATCTTCACCTGTCGTTCAACTTCCTCCAGTGCAGTCAGATGACAACCCACAGCTCATAGTAAAGAAGAAAAGAAAGTTGCAATTGGTTGCTGATCCTGATGAGACTGTTGAACCTTCCCAAGTTATCCCATCAAAATCAAGAAGTAGCAGTAACGTTTCAACTCGTATACCTTCATTGAATGAGATTTCCAAACCTGAATTGTCACCACCAAGTCTCAATCTGTCTTATCGCTCGTTTGAAGAGAAAGAATCGCCAACAACAGCGCCTTCATCTTCTTCAAAAGATCAAATTGTGGCAAATACAGCAAGTGCAGCTACAAGAAACTTTTCATCTCCAATACGGCTAGATCAAAACGCCATCACAAGCACTCCAGATGATCCTAAAAAACTAATGATGAGCTTGCGCCGTCAAGAGAATAGTGTTGATTCAGAACTAGTTAAGGCTAGAAAAAAATTGGAGACGTTGAGAAGGGCTAAAGTGATTTTATCAAAGAAAGATGCTAAGAATAATGAAGAATTAATCGATAAATGGAGAGATGCTGCACAGAGAGCTTCAAATTACCTTTTGAATGCATCTGTGGAGAAAATAAATAAAGCAGGTGGGAAGAAAGAATATGAAAGAAGGGAAAGAGAAAAACTAAGAGATAATTTGGAATTTACAATGGATACTTCATTTCAAGAAAGAATTTCTGAAGTCACAAGATCGGAAGAATATGAGGCATTACCAGAAGATGAACAAGAAAGAATATTACAAGATTTGGAGGAAGAAGCTGAAAAGTCAATGAGACAACTAGAGAAAGATTTAGATGCTAAAAATAAACATGATGATGACAATGATGATAACGATGACGAGTTTACTATGAAAGATTTATATAAAAGGCTAAAATTGGATTATAAATTGGTGTTTCCTGAAAAATAGGGAAAATAATAAATGGGTATAAGGTATATTACACTTGTGTCGTAGTGGTAAAAAAAAAACTTTGATAACTCTATTAGACTATATGCAGAAACCTTTTTTTCTCTTAAAAAACATCACCAAGTTTTAGTCTTGGTGCAATGTTCATAGATAATAATTCTTGGAACAACAACTTAGCAGCATATGGAATTGTCATTCTTATAACATGCTCTGCACTCTTACATGATGTACACCAACCGTTATAACCCATCAAACCACACTTGTCACAAACATCAACATCAAAAGCATCAGATGATAACATTAATCTTTCCAATAATAATTGAGAAGCACCATATGCAATAACACAATCTCTTTCCATTTCACCCAATCTTAAACCACCATCTCTTGATCTACCTTCAGTAGGTTGTCTTGTTAAAACAGCTCTTGGACCTCTGGCTCTTGCATGCATCTTATCTAAAACCATATGTTTCAATTTTTGATAATAAATAGGACCAAAGAAGATATAAGCTTGTAAACATTCACCTGTAATACCTGAATACAACATATCTTTACCTGAATAATTAAAACCTTTGTCAATTAAGATCTTGGACATATCCTCTAATTTGGAACCACCAAAACATGTACCATATTCCAATGTACCATTCAAAACACCAGCTTTACCACTAATCAATTCAATCATTTTACCAACAGTCATACGAGATGGGAAACCATGAGGGTTCATGATAATATCAGGTGAAATACCATCATCATTAAATGGCAAATCTTCTTGTTGAACAATGATACCACAAACACCTTTTTGACCATGTCTTGATGAAAATTTATCACCCAATTCAGGTCTTCTTGTTTGTCTCAATAAAACTTTGATCAATGCTTGATCATTATCTGAAACAGACATCATGACTTGGTCAATATAACTTGGTTCTGGGGCCTTGTAGAAAACAGGTGTTTCTCTATGTTCAGAATCTGCATGATTCATTATACTATCAGTAGCATTAGTTGGAACACACTTGTTGATATAGACTTGACCACTTTCCACCCTTGTACCAACCTCACCTAACCCATCTGGACCTAATGAAGCATGTTGGAAAATTGGTTCACCATCATCATTGACTCTCATACCTGTCACTATATCCTTGGTATGATTTGGGTATTTTTTCAAAACAGTTGTGTTTTTACGTAAAACTTGACAACGACCAAACCCTCTATCAATTGATGATTTGTTTAAAACCAAGGCATCTTCAATATCATAACCTGAATATGACATAACTGCAACAGTAGCATTTTGACCAGCTGGTAATTTATCATAATCAATCAATTCAATTGTTTTAGTCTTCACCATAGGTTGTTGAGGATAAACCATCAAATATAATAATGTATCAATACGCTGAAATTGATTATATGCAATAGCACCAATGGCTTGTTTACCCATCGCACATTGATAGGTATTACGTGGAGATTGGTTATGATGAGGATATGGAATCAACCCAGCAACAGCACCCAACACGGTGAAAGGTTCAATTTCTAAATGTGTAATTTGTTCACTTAAATCATTTTCATAAAGTGCGATGAAACAATCATTTTCTTCATTAACATCAAGATATTCCACTAAACCTTGTTTTAAAAAATCATCGAATTGAGATTTTCCTTGTTTTAATCTTAATAAATGATGAGCTTTGACCTTTGATTCACCATTTTCCACAATAATCAATGGACGACAAATTCTACCACCATCAGTGGCAATGTGAACAGCTTTTTGATGCAAATTTGTATAGATTGAAATGAATTCAGAAACTTTACCTGAACGTCTTAGATTTCTAAACAATGAAACGAATTTTGTTGGAAATCTTGTAGTACCAATAATTGTACCATTCAAATAAACACCAAAATTTGAATGCAAAGAAGCACTGTCAATAACCGATATATCTTCAACACCAATCAAGTAACATAATTTCTTGATAGGTTCTTCTTCATCATCAGTGGTAATATGTGTCATTAAAGCTAAATTCTTAACCAACCCACATGCTTCACCTTCAGGAGTATCTGAAGTACACAACATACCAAATTGTGAAGGTTGCAAAGCTCTTGGTCCTGAAACTTTACGAGATTTTTCAAATTGTGAGGAAATTCTGGTCATCATACCTAGTGCCGATATATAACTCAATCTACTTAAAACATGTGTAACACCGGCTCTTTCCATCTTGAATCTTTTCAATGACCAATTACCTGTTGAGATGGCTCTGTTCAGCCCTGTTGTGATGTTATTAGAATGAATGTTTATAGATAACAATGCATCAAATTCTGTTGCTCTATTTGGCTTTTTCAAAATTTTATCAATATTGGCTTTAAAATCAGTGTTGAATTTCTTGAACAAATCTTCAAACAACAACGACATTAATTGACCAGCTAATTCTAAACGCTTGTTACCAACGTAATCTCTATCATCAACCATTTTTGGGTTATGCATAGCCATGATAACTCTTCTTGTCATTAAAGCAATGTATAGAGCTTTTTCTCTGAAATCTAAATCACTAACTGTTAAATGCGCAATAATTGTAGTGGCAATAGCTTCAATACCTTCTTGTAAAACAGACAATTTAGCTCTTCTCATAGTTTTCACTTTTGAACCAATAAATTCTAGAGCTTGTTGTTGAGTGTAAATACCTAATTTGGCACATTCTTCAAAATTAATAACAAATAAATCTTGATAAGTTGAATCATCACCAGCAACTAACTGCATAATTTCCAAATCTGAAATGATACCAGCGGCTTTCAACACCACAACAATTGGAACTTCCTCACTGATGGAGTTATGTTTCAAATAAATTTTATCATTTTTGGTAACAACATAAGTTTTAGATTTTCTTTCATGTGTAGAAGATGTGACAGATGCTTGAACAATTTGTTTTTTCTCATCAGCCTCCACGATGATACGATTCTTACTCAATTGTTCTTGAACCAAAATAACTTTTTCAGTACCATTAACGATGAAATAACCACCTGGATCTAACGGACATTCATTCAAGCTGGCCATTTTAGCTTCTGAAGCACCATCTAAGGTACATTTGTTGGATCTTAACATGATTGGCATTTTCCCGATCTCAAGATCTTTGTGCATGATAATTTTTCTTCCCCTTGTGTATTCCACATCAACATAGATTGGTGCTGAGTAGGTCAAATCTCTCAGTCTGCATTCATGGGGTGGTAAAATTGGATCTTTGGTGGATGAAGTAGATTTATGACCAACTCTAATATCCAAATATTTCAAATAAAATTCTGGATCCACATCACTCAATATTTTTTCATTAGCTTTTATAATTTTTTTAAGATCAACATCAACAAAATAGTTGAAAGAATCCAAATGTTGTTTAACCAAACCTTTAACTTTTAGAAAGGCTGGAAGCAAGTTCCACTTATCTTCAGCAGTATTGATTTCATCAGATAATTGTTTTCCCTTGTAAACAGGTTTCAACAATTCATTGAAAGAATCATCAGTGCCCATATGTTGGTGTTTACTATTCTGCCTCGTTGAACTCTTCAGCACAGAGTTTCTTCTCTTTGGAGGCATCTTCCTATTGATTTGAGATATGAGAACCTTGTGAAACTAATTGTAACTTGAATCTCACTTACAAATCAAACATCTTCATAAATTTTTGTCACTTTAAAAAAAAACTGCATGAGTTCGCGAACGGCCAAAAATCGATGAGGTTACCCTGGAAATTATGTTTTTGAGTTTGGAACATAGTAATATTCCGCTAAATTAGAGGCCAAAAGGCTGATAAATATTGATTCATTGTTTATTAATGAGAACTCTATATCTTTTGCTCATCTTGAGTCTCAATTTTCCCACTCTGGCTGCCATTTCAACAAATTTCAATGGAGATTTCATTTCGGTACATCCACTCTTAGGGCTTTCTATTTCGAAAATTGCAAGAAACGATAATAAGATCAATTGAATGTAGAAGTGGTACTTCTCAACTCAAAGCAAGAGGATAATGTCATCCTATTTATTCAAATCCAACGTCAATGAGTATCTTGAGGGTCTACCAGAATCTGTGCAGTCTAGATTGTACCAATCAGTGAGTGTTTTACTGTGCTTTTGAGGTGACCAAAATGAAGCATATTAACAAATTATTTCAGCCAGCAACATGTTTAGCCATATTCAGATTACTACCTAGTCTATCCAAGTTTTTCATCACCTCAATGATTTTCAATGAGAAGCCTGTTGTTGTAAGAGATTTCGATAGATGGGTTAAGCCAAATGGGAAGAAAGAATTAGTAGAGGCGTTAAGATCGATCAAGAGTTTACATTTATTGAAGGAAAACAATGGGATTGCCATACTAAACCCTGTTTTCAGAAAAAGTTTCAAAAATGTGTTGACAGGGGCTGAAGTTGGTAATTCGTTTGGTGTCTTGTGTGATACTGATGATGCTCATAAGGTTGGTATTGAATATCTAGATCAATATGCTGCGAATAAATGGGAGACAATTTTACATTTCATGGTTGGTACAGAGCTTGATCAAACACCAAGTCCCGGTGTTTTAAGCTTACTTACTCACAGTGGCTTGATGGAAGGGAAAACACCAAAAACCATGACGATTACAAATGAAGGATTCCAGTTTTTATTACAAGATGTTAATGCTCAATTATGGACATTGTTATTACAATACTTGAGAATGGCTGAAAGCTTGCAGATGGATCCTGTTGATGTTTTGAATTTCATATTTATGCTTGGTTCTTTAGAACTGGGGAAAGATTATTCATTATCCGCATTGAGTGAGACACAAGTTAATATGTTGGAAGATTTAAGAGATTATGGACTTATTTATCAAAGAAAGTCAAGTTCAAGAAGGTTTTATCCAACAAGACTTGCAACCACTTTAACTTCGGACACAACAACTCTTAGATCAGCTTCAAGTGCTATGAATAAAGTTATTGAAAACGCGAAACATAATGCATACGCTCCATCTGATATAGAGAATTCTGGAACAATCATTATAGAGACCAACTTCAAACTATATGCGTATACAAATTCACCATTACAAATTGCCATTTTAAATCTTTTCGTGCATCTCAAATCAAGGTTTTCCAATTTAGTGACTGGTCAACTAACAAGAGAATCTATTAGAAAAGCATTAGTTAGTGGTATAACGGCTGAACAAATTATATCATATTTAGAATCACATGCACATCCACAACTACGAAGAGCAGCTGAAGAACAACTTGAAAAGAAGATAGAATATGATAGTAACACTAATGAGAAATTAAACATTTTACAACCCACTATTGCAGATCAAATTAAACTATGGCAATTGGAACTGGATAGAATCCAAGCTTTTGACGGGTTCTTATTTACGGATTTTGCAAGCGAACAAGAGTATCAAGTTTTATCAAAGTATGCTGAAGAAATTGGGGTATTGTTGTGGAATGATTCAACTAAAAAGAAGTTCTTTGTTACAAAAGAAGGTAATGCGCAAGTTATTGCGTTTGCAAATAGAAAGTTAAGAAAGAAGGTTTGAGAGCTTTATCATGGTGTTAATAATTTAACGTTTGCAATTTGGGAGACTAAATTGATGTAGAGTTGTTGAGGGATCATATGGAACCAGTTGGAATTAAAAGTTTTTAGTCCTAGTACGAAGAAAACCTTTCTTGGTAGCAGTTGATCTAAATTTAAGAACACCATCCTAAGCTTCACCGCTTTGACTCCTTTAATCGTACGTACTATTCATTTGGTGAAAAACTGCTCTTGTAGATTCTTCTATTTGCACAATCTTCACTTATGAGTTTCATATACCCGTAATACGATGGCAGAATACAACCTCAACTAAAATAAGAAGTTTTCAGGCCGTAAAAAACAAGAAGTTGAATAAATATTTGAGATCTCAATGATTAATGGTAAATTATGTCATTTTCAACCTGTGTCGGAAACTATTTATTTATTACAAGCTAATTTTAATGTTGATTCAGCGATTGCGGACGGCCGTATAATAAATATCTAGTCGACGAAATCTTATACAGAGTTAAAATTCAGCTGGACTATTCAAACGCAAAAGAGAATGGCCTTCCTATTATCCACAGTGTCATATCATCCTGTTTTTATCTTAAATTAATTGTTTAATGTGATTATTAGGGCTTCAAATATAGAAAATCAAAAATATGGAAAATTCAAAAATTAATGATCTTGTACTTTATAAATTTAATTCAAAAATTCAAAAAACTGCAAAAATCAATTTTTCCGCGAAAACTTGTTAAATTTAAGGTAGAACACTTCTATCATATTAGATATTTTCCTACAAATATTTGCATGTATTATGTTTCAAAGAATTATTTTCATTAATGTAGCTGTGAAACGCCTCATTAAAAGTATAATTCACCATATGATCACGTGACCAAAGATAGTAGCTAGCTATTTTCCTCTTTTAAAATTGAGATTTCTTTGCGAAGTCACTCTGTGTTTTGAAGACTAAAAAAAGCTCGTTGTTCTGTGCTGTTCACAGTAAACTACACGTTGCTGTTATGCTTTTTCATCAAACCGGTTCTAATCGTACTTGATGCAAGTAGCAAGATCAAAAAAGCCGCGAAAGTCCATCATCTGAATTTGACAGATTCTCAGATTTAACAAACTCGAGTCTCGTGCTCATTTTAGATAAACGGGTGTCTCTTTAATCTAATTATTCCATTCTGATCATAAGTTAGGAATTAGAAGTAGTCTTACCAGCTGAAGCCAGTGGAAGGGTGCGAAGATCTTTATTTTTAAGTAAATTAATCAGAAAATTGGTTTTGAAACTGTTCAACATAAGAGAACACAAGCTACATTTTGAAAAAACAGATGCCCACCTTTAAAAGCTGCTTGTATTGAACTTGATTGTTTAAATACAATCCAACACCGGGGATTTCCATTGTATCCCACGCTTTCAACCTGTTGTAGCTTAATTCCTGACCTTTATCTTGATCTCGATTGGATTCGCTGAAAATTTCAGAAAGACTCACAATTATTGCCCAATACGGAACATTTTGGGAGTCACCAGTCAAAGTAGCATGAGTATTTGACCATCAATTTGACTCGACAACTCAACAGATTTTACAATGACATGGTGGCTCATACATAATTGGCTGCTGAATAGTTCCAGGCTTCATCACACATTTCGAACATCGACAAAAAAATCACACATAGGAATCTGATCTTATTTATTCACCTGAATATCTTCTTTTGTGTAAAGTTTCTTTCCATTTATTAAAGACCTATAGAACAAGATGAACAGATCTAGAACATTAACAGCATACACATTCAGACAATTAAGGTCATTCCATAATTCAATTGCACTAGCAAGACCCCCAGCAGTATCAGCTACAGCTCCAGAACCAGAACCAGAATTTTTTGAAGAACAAATCCAAGTTCAAGAAAATGTTGGAGGTCAATCAGCATTAGAATTAGCAATGACTACAAATAAACCATTAAACACATGGACAAAATCTCAAATTAAAGAAATTTATCAAACTCCTTTAATAGAATTAATCCATTCTGCTCAACTTCAACATAGAAAATTTCATGATCCAACAAAAGTTCAACTTTGTACATTGATGAATATTAAAAGTGGTGGTTGTACAGAAGATTGTAAATATTGTGCCCAATCAACTCGTTATAACACTGGTGTTAAAGCTGAACGTATGGTTCAAGTTGATGAAGTGATAAAAGCTGCAGAAGAAGCAAAAGCTAACGGTAGTACAAGATTTTGTATGGGTGCAGCATGGAGAGATATGACTGGTAGAAAGAATGGGTTGAAAAAAGTTGGTGAAATGGTTAAGGCTGTTAATGATATGGGTATGGAAAGTTGTGTCACATTAGGTATGGTTGATAAGGAACAAGCAAAACAATTGAAAGATGCTGGGTTAACAGCTTATAATCATAATATTGATACTTCAAGAGAACATTATAAGAAAGTTATTTCAACAAGATCTTATGATGATAGATTGAAAACTATCAAGAATGTTCAAGATTCAGGTATCAAAGCATGTACTGGTGGTATTCTTGGTCTTGGAGAAACTGAAGATGATCATATTGGATTTTTATATACATTATCCACCATGACAGCACATCCTGAATCATTACCAATTAATAGATTAGTTCCAATTAAAGGTACTCCAATGTATGAAGAAGTTAAACATAAACAAGTCAAATTTGATGAAATTGTTAGAACAGTTGCCACAGCAAGGTTAATTATGCCAGAAGCCATTATTAGATTAGCAGCTGGAAGATATACAATGAAAGAACATGAACAAGCAATGTGTTTTATGAGTGGTTGTAATGCTATTTTCACTGGTAAAAAAATGTTGACAACAATGTGTAATGGTTGGGATGAAGATAAGGCAATGTTGAAAAGATGGGGTTTAGAACCAATGGAGAGTTTTACCTATAAACCTAAAGAACAAGTTGCAGCTTGTGGATCTGCATAATTATAAAGAGTATGAGGTATATTTTGAACAATAATATATATTACACATAATTTATTAAGTATTTGGAAAACAGAAAACCGATTAAAAAAGTTTAGCCTGGAGAAATAACGCATTAGGGCTTTTGACAAAAGGAACAATAAGATGAAAAAAAACAGTGGAACTTGAAAAGAAATGAAAATCAATCATCATCATCATTTGGATTTGAAGAAAATTTTTTCAGTTGATCATCTAAACCAACTTTTTTCAAAACATCAGGTAATGAATTATATAACCAAGCAACAGATTTTTTTCTATTATCGTTTCCAAGTCTTAAATTCTCAAAATAATTAAAACTTTCCTCTAATGAACAATTTTTCAATTTTTTATAACGATCAATTCTAACAGCTAATGCTTTAATTTTTTGATATTTTCTAATTTTTTTAACTTTATAAGCTTTTGAAACTTTCTCCACTTGAGGTTTCAAACTATTGTAATATTCAAAATAAACATCTTCAACTTTGTTGAAATCATTATGAATAATCAAATCATAATTCTCAGCTTCAAATTCAGTATCAGTTCTATTATTTATTCTTTGTAGTCGACTATTGGCAATAGGATTATTGGCAGTAGTTGTAGTGCTTGTACTAGTTGGTAAAGTTATTTGGGTATCAGAACCTGAGGTCATTGAATCATCATCATGTCTTCCTGAAACATTTGATGAACCTAACGAATTTGAATGAACTCTATATTGACTTCTTTTATTAGCACTTGGATCCATAAAGACAAAATCTATTCTTTGGTTATGATTTGAAGTCCCATGGTTATTAGCTGCATTTATTTGAGCTTCGGTATCATCAACATATTGATTGTTTATGAACCTAATCATTGATCCACTTTGAGCATTATGATCATTGATTGAATTGTTATCCAAGACAGGAGTATGACCATTTGGGACTTGAGCAGGATGATGGTGTTGTTGTTGTTGCTGTTGATGATGAAGATTTTGTTGTTGCTGAGGAGGTATTTGTTGTTGATGTGGAGTAGATTGAGCAGGAGGATGATGATTATTTGGACTTTGTTGAGGTACACCTTGGGGATTGGCTGCTGCATTAGCACCATTTGGTAAAAAAGATGGATCTTGGAAAGGATTTATAGTATTAGCAGCACCTGGTGGAGGTGGGTGTGGGATATGTTGTTGATTACCACCAATTATTTGCCCTGAGGGACCTGATGTACTGTTATCTGTACTTCCTGGACCGATATTATACGGGTTGATTGGTTGAATAACAAATCTTTGATTTTGAATAATATTCTTCATTTCTTGGTTTTCCTTGATTAGCAAGTCAATCACAGTGTTTAGTTGGCCAAATCTTGTATTATCTCTTTCAACAAACTCATTCAACTTCTTATTTATATTTTCGTTATTTGCAGAAGCGACATTTTTTTGTTCTTGTAAAAGGCTCTTCAATTTCTCAACTTCATCTCTCAAAGAGGAGGTATCCTTCGAAAATGTTAGCCTCCATTAGTTTTCTTTCTTAATGCATAATTACTCACGTTTGACATTGTTGATATTGTCGTTTGGTGTTATAAAGGTACTTTACGCGAGAACCCTTAAAGGATCTCTATATTATTCTGTTGGCTGGAGGGGCCCTTGAGGTGACTGGTAGGCTAAAGACTGTTCTTTTGAGTGATATGGGCGTGATTGAGCACAACTGATTGCAAGCCCACTTGACTAGACCCTTTGGTGTTGATGTTTTTGATCGTGTGTAAATAATTTGCACTCAGATAGTTTTGTTTATTTATCCCGTTCAAGAAAAAATTGACCTTTTTTCGTTTTTGCAAATTTCGCAAAAAAAACTTTTTTCGCCAGAAAAAAAGGAGGCCAAAAATTATGTAATAGATTATGTAATTTTTATTCATATGTTTAATTCTGGGGAAGACATGATGGATAGAATTACATTTTATAGGGAATAGTGCAATTGAAATATAATAGAGGCGAGGCAGAAGATATTTTATTCTCTATTTTCTATCCCGCAAATTGACGACTAGGCTCTCTACTCTCTCAACTGTTCGTGTACTTTTTTCAATCTCATCCACGAGCAGACCCTGATAGACACGAGTAATTCTTGTCTGAGTCTGCCCGAAAACAGACGAATGTATACCCGCAACTATTCAGCAATAAATTACTTATACACTCAAATATTAATCAATTTACCATTCTGTTATATTAAAGCTATGAACCCACTCCGGATTATACACTCGGACTTTTCTCAGAGTTTAAAATGGCACCAAATCAGACCATCAAAGGCAACAAAGTTACTTCTGGAAAATACTTGCGGAGCTCTACAGACACAAGCTAATTGTAAATGATCAGCATCTAAACATCTCATGATACAGTTGATGTGAACAAAGAAAACATGGGGCACACTGCACACCGTTAATGGCCCCCATACTATTTCACACATGGGTATAAAAGGTGTACTTTATCTCCTTCTCGGACTTCATTTTATATCAAAACCTCATCAATTCAGTTGAAATCAATCAATATGTCAATGAAAGCTTTAGTATACAACGGTCCTGGTAAAAGAGTCCTACAATCTTTACCAATTCCAAAAGTTCAATCCCCAACAGATGCAATCATCAAGTTAGTTGCAACAACAATCTGTGGTACTGATCTTCATATCTTCAAAGGTGACACTCCTGAAGTCAAAGAAGGTACAATTGTGGGTCATGAAGGTGTTGGTATTGTTCATGAAGTCGGTTCAGGTGTGAAAAACTTCAAATTGAATGATAAGGTTTTGATCTCTTGTATCACTTCATGTGGTCAATGTGTTTATTGTAAGAAAAATTTACAATCTCATTGCGTTGATGGTGGTTGGAATTTAGGTCATTTCATTAATGGTACTCAAGCTGAATATGTCCGCATTCCTCATGCTGATTACTCTTTACATAATGTCAGTCAATACAAGGGCAAAATTTCTGACAAGGCTTTATTAATGTGTTCAGATATCTTGCCAACTGGTAATGAAATTGGTGCAATTAATGGACAAATTACAAAAGGTGATATCGTCGCAATTGTTGGTGCTGGATCTGTTGGTATTTCTGCTTTGATTGCTTCAAAATCTTATAATCCAGGGTTAGTGATTATGATTGATCCAGATGAAGAGAGATTGAGAATTTCTAAAGAAACTTTTGGTGCAGATATTGGAATCAATCCTACAAAAGTTGATGTTAAAGAGGAAATTGCTCAAATTGTCACCACTGTCAACAAAGGTGAAAGGGCTGATTTGGCTGAAGGTGTTGATGTTGCTATTGAATGTGTTGGTATTAAGGCAACTTTTGATACCTGTCAGAATATTATTGCTCCAGGTGGTAGAATCGCAAATGTCGGTGTTCATGGTGCTCCTGTTGAATTACAAATCCAAGATTTATGGTCTGCCAACATAACATTGGCCACAGGATTGGTTAACGCTTATTCTACTGCTGATTTGTTGGAGAAGATTCACCAAAAGACTTTAGATCCAACTAATCTTGTCACTCATAGTTATAAATTTGATCAAGTGTTGGAGGCTTATGAGACTTTTGCCGATTCCGCAAAAAACAAATGTATTAAAGTCTTCCTTGAATTTGATCAATAAATTAGCTTGTGCCCCCTTTTGAATATATTTAATGAAGTTTATGCCTATGCCATTCTTATGTTGACGTTGTAGTTTGGGTACTACGATCTGTCATTTTGACATGGCAAAATGAGAACCATGTTTTTTTTTTGAGTAAAGACTCATGAACAATTTCATCTTCTTTTCATTGGTGAATCAAAACTATTGAAATGATTCTAGAGGGATTTATCTTGTCGCGTGTGCACAGGGCAGGGTGCTTATATAAATGTGAAGTTTTGGCTGATCTTGGTTCATACACCACAACGTCGATAAGGTGTCATAACTCTCAAAGTGAATAACCCATGGGGTTATGAAGAAAACCACAACAGAAGATTCAAGGATAGAGTATAAATACTTTCAGCAACCCCAATAAGGCACTGCAAAATGCTTGAAGACAATTGATTCACGTTTTACGAACTAACTCTTAAATGTCTGAAATATTTGATATACCTGAATCAAACTTTTCCGAAGTTATTGTTATTGGTGGTGGTCCCTGTGGACTTGCTGTTAGTGCAAGATTATGCGAAGAAACCCCTGGTGCCATTTTCTCAGACGGTGAACACCAAAGATTCCACTGGTTACGTCAAAGAGGTAACTCTACAAATATCATTGGTAAGAAGAAGAGAGCTTTGATTTCATCAGATCAGAAATTCAAAAGTGATGATATCTTGGTTTTGGATAAAGTTAGTGATAAATTCATGGGACAATGGGATAACCAACTTGACACCACTGGTATATCTGTGTTGAGATCTCCAATGTTTTTCCATCCTGATCCTTTAGATATTGATGGCCTAACTGCTTTTGCCTATTCAAATGGCCGGGAAAAGGAATTAAAGGAAATCAATGGTGTTGTTGGACAAGAAATCTCAAAGCATAAACAGAAAAAGCTAAGAAATAAAAGAAAATTGTCACATGGCTCTCAAACTGATTCATCATCTTTAAAAGCCACTGGTAGAAATGTTGGTCTTGTTGAAATTGATAGAAGAAATTGGCAAGATTATTATAGACCTGGTACAAAATTATTCAAAGATTTTTGCCAAAGTATTATCGAAAGGTATGATTTGGAGAACGTTGTTCGTAAGGCTGAAGTTATTGACATCAAATATGGTGGTATTAATAAAATCATGTTGAATGGAGAAGTGGAAACAGGAATGGGATTCCAAATAGAAACAGCGGAAGGTGATATTTTTGGTGCCAAAGTGGCAATAATGGCTGCTGGTCCTGCTGGTGATATTAATTATCCTTTGTTAGCTGACGTGGATAATCATTTTCCCCTAGGTAGTTGTCACTCGAGTCATTTATTCTCAAGACAAGTAGAAGTTCCAAATGCAAAAGTTTTATCAAAAATTCAAAAGGGTAAACCAACAGAGGTTGTCGTTATTGGGGGTGGGTTGACTTCTGCGCAGTTCACTGAGAAATTGATTAATGAAGGAGTTGATAAAGTTCATTTCATAACTAGAGGGGAGATAAAGATCAAACATTTTGATTTCCATCTAGAGTGGGTGTCGAAATATCAAAATTATATGAAATCAACTTTTTGGATGAAAGATTCTGACAAAGAGAGATATCAAATGATTGAGGACGCAAGAGAAGGTGGGTCTGTGAACCCTCAATACCACAAGATCTTGATGAATTTGATAGCCAAGGGGAAAGTTGTGCTACACAAACATTGTGAAATAATCAACAAGGATTGGGATGAGTCCTTAAAATTATGGAACAATGTTCAGATTCTGGACAAGGTAAATAATGAAACTAAAACTATTGGGAATATTGACTATATTGTTTATGCCACTGGAAATAAACCAAATATAGAAGGGCTTCCAATGATGAAGAATATTTGCAAAGATTACCCAATTGACGTTATACAAGGTGTCCCATGCTTAACAGATGACTTGCAATGGAATAAAGAGATACCTCTGTTCTTTTTAGGTAGGTTTGCAATGCTAAAGACGGGTCCTTCTTCAGCAAATCTAGATGGTGGTAGGATTGGTGCTGAGAGATTAGGCTACAAAATCACACATTTGAAAGAGACTGGGGAACTTGATTACCAAAAGTCAATTACGATTGATGCTAAGATACCAACTCAAGCTTTTGACAAAATTGATGAAAACGCTAGTTCTATTCAGGAAAAGGCTAGTGGATTTGAAAATTTATTGTCGTGCACTGGCGGGAGGTTTAATTGGTACACCTTTTTGGATGATGTAACTGCTTGATTTCCAGGTTAATTAGCCATGTTGTTGCTATCCAGCCGTGTATGATTGACTATGGATATGAAGTATATTAAATGTGCAACAAATGAAAGTGTTTGTGAATTACGTCTTTGATCGACTGAAGTACGATGTACTAAGGTCTGACATCTATATATTATCTCTATAAACTACTATAGTTGATATATCAGACTATGTGAATATTTATAATATAACTAGTTTTGGTAATTTATAAGATGCACTGGCACTAGCGCCAAATTAGCTGAAGACGAGAATTCAACCAATCGTTCAGTTATTAATGATGAAGATGGCGACCAAGTTATTAATATTTGAGCTTAACCCGCGCCTACTATCAACTCGAACTAACTTAAATACTCAATATAACGTGTAACAATTATATCATAAAATGGTCAATGGTCATTAACATCTTCCTCTACCCACAAGATCTCTTAAAAAGTCAAAAAGACAGTCAGGTTTCAAGCTTATTGATATAATAATAAGAAGAATGGGGTGCTTGATTACGTAAGCACCAATACTATGGAAAGGCTTAAAATATTTTCTCAAAAGAAAGTAGCTTGTATGGCGCAGTGGTAGCGCAGCAGATTGCAAATCTGTTGGTCCTTAGTTCGATCCTGAGTGCAAGCTATTATTTTTTGCTCTTTTTTTGGCCGCTTTTTAAGGTTTTTTTTACTTTATATGATACTGTCAGCAATTTAAACTATGTCCTAACATTTTTCAAGACATTCAAAGAGGATCTAGGTGTGTTTATAGGTTCAGTTGAAAGATATTATCTGGTGTTCGGGTGTTCAACCGTAACCATGGCAACATTGTTCAATTACAAAAAAAAATGTAAACAAAAAAAACCCAGATCGATCTCAAAAATTGAAAACAAAATACACATTTCGTGTCTGTATATTGTGAACAACAGTTCACTTTGAACACTACCAATTCACCGTCTTTTGAAATTGATATACTGCTAGGTGAAAATGTCAGATGAACAACCTGACTATTCCAAACTACCTTTGGAGGAACGTTTAGTTCATAAGGTATGTGATTAATCAACTTCATTCAAGAAGCACTCTTTGTCAATTTACTAACTTTGAACTAGGTGTGGAAAGCTCGTTTAGAAGCCTATCAAGAGATTACAAAAGATTTTGAAAAAAGTCCAAATGAAGAGAGCGATGTTTTCACCCCATTCTTGTCAAATCCTGAATTATTTAAAAAAATCGTCACTGATAGTAATGTCGTTGCACAAGAGTCTGGTATTGCAGCCTTGAATGCTTTTCTTGAATTTGGTGGTCCAAGGGGTGCAATGAAGCTAAGATCACAAGTAGTAACGGGATTATGTGAAAAAGGGTTGTCATCCTCAAGGGCAGGAACCAAACAGAAGACTATTGACGCGTTACTTTGGCTCATTGAATTGGATATACCTGATCCTGTGATTGAACAAATGATACCTTCTTTATCCGCAAGACTTCCAAAACTAGTTTCTGGTACAGTGAAGGCTCTAGCTGATATTTATACAGCGTTTGGTGCTCAAACAATTAGCCCTAAGTTAGTTCTCCCAAGTTTGCCAAAATTATTTTCACACGCAGATAGAACAGTCAGAGCTGAAACTTCAAACTTGACAGTTGAATTATATAAATGGATGGGTCCAGCACTGGAGCAAGTCTTGTTTGCTGAGTTGAAACCTGTTCAACAGAAGGACCTAGCTGCAGCTTTTGAGAAAGTTAAAGATGACAAGCCAACCCAGACTAGACTTTTGAGATCACAACGTGAAGCCATGGAATCACAAACTGCTCAAAAAGAGTCCAATAATGAAGGTGCCGATGATGATATTGTTATGGGTGATACTGAGGAGGCAGGTCAGCTTGATGCTTACGACTTAATGGATCCTGTTGATGTTCTCTCAAAAATGCCTACTGATTTGGCTACAAAGATTGCGGCTCCTAAGTGGAAGGATAGACTAGATGTTATGAATGAAGTTCACCAAGCTATAAATGTAATCAAGTTAGCAGATGATGACTATTTAGAGTTGGTGAGAATTTTCGCAAAGTGCTTGAAAGATGTCAATATTCAAGTCGCATCTGTTGCAGCAAACTGTATTGATTGTCTTGCTAAAGGATTAAGAAAAAAGTTTCACAAGTATTACCAAATAGTGTTAAATCCTTTATTAGAAAGATCAAAGGAAAAGAAACAAAGTGTTTTGGATGCTTTAAATGGTGCACTTGATGCTGTTTTTGAAAGTACATCATTATCAGATATTTTAACTGACACTTTGGAGGCTATGAAACACAAAACTCCTCAAGTGAGACTGGCTTCTTCACAATATTTGATCAGATGTCTCAAAGAAACCAAAACTGCTCCAACAAAGCCGGAGATTGAAAGCATTATAACTACATCAATCAAATTGGTTGGGGATACATTACCAGGGGTTAGAACCAATGGATTTGAAGTTGTTGGTACATTGATGAAAATTACCGGTGAAAGAGAATTGAATCCTTATTTGGAGAAAGTGGACGATATTAAAAAAAACAAGATCAAAGAGTTCTATGACGTCGCAGAAGTCAAGTCTAAGGTCACAGCACCAAAGCCCAAAGCTGCTGCACCTTCAAAACCAACTTCCTCCACAAGTTCTTCAAAAACTCCTTCAAAGGCTGCTAGTATCAAGAGAAAGTCGTTAGTGGCACCAAAAGCATCTTCGATCTCCAAGTCAACTTTGGGCTCTACTTCATCATTACAGCAAAAGAAAAAACCTTTGACTGGCTCATCAACAATACCATCCAAGAGGGGACCAACCTCACCATTGAAGAATGATCCTGCAAGTACAAGAATAGGTGCACTTGGGAACCGTGGCTTGACAGGCCGTTCATTACAATCCTCAACTTCGTCCACTTTGAATAATGTTCCAAGTATAAAACAAGACAGTGGACTAAACGACGCTGAGAGAGCCGAATTGGAGGATTTGAGAATACAGAAGCAAAGCTGGTTGAAAGAGCGTGAAAAATTGAATTGGCAAGTTCAAGAATCAATAGCTGAAAGCTCAAGATTAATGACAGAGATTCAAACTATTTCAAACAATTCGGACAGATTGAATGAACAACATACAAATGATGTGATGACTATCAAATCTAAAGAAACCCAATTACAACGAGCAAATTCAGATTTAGAGATTTCACGTTTGAAAATATCACAACTTGAAAGTGAGATAATGTTATTGAAGAAGCAAAGAAGTTCTACAATGAATACCTTTTCAACATCCAATGGGTTGGACCTTTCATCGTCATCTAGCTTGGAGAATGAAAGACCAAGACAGTATGCACCATTACAAGAATCAAATGGCGTGAGATCCTCAGTAAATTCAGAGTTTTCAGCCAAATCACCAACACTTGATAATATAGACCAAAAAGTTGGTAATTTGAGTATAGATAATGATCAAAAGGAGAATAATGGTCTAAGTAGGACCATGTTGGATACTAATGATGAAAGTTGGAGAAGGGCTGCAGAAGTGACTTCACAATTGAAGGCAAGAATAGAGAAAATGAAAGCCAAGTCAAGAAATACAAATAATATACCTTCATCATCAGGATATAGAAGTTAATAATGGTAATAATGAGATGAATTTAGTTTGTAGCTCACGTATAAGTACACGGTTTTACAGAACTTTTACCCGTAACTTGGTTGGTACACTTTTTTTTTTTTTTTTTTTTTTGCCTTGCCTTGCGAAAAGCAGCCATATGGTAAAAATTAATTATTACTTGAACTTGAATTTATTTCAGTTGAATCAGATCAAAATTTTCTAGTCACTCACTTGAATCAACAAATCAAATTAGTACAAAATGCAAATTCAACAAGTCGTCGCCTCATTTTTAGCTTCATCTTCATTATTCAGTCAATCTGAACAAAACGATAACGAATTTGCTGTTGTTCGTCATGGTAAAAAAGTTATTTCTAACGGTTCAAACTTCTCAAATGGTTCCAACTCTACTTCATCATCCGCCAACGGTGCTGTTTTAGCTTCAGGTAACGTCGCTGTTGCTGCTGCTGGTGTTGCTGGTTTAGCTGCTTTCTTATTATAAGCAGGGTTTTCGAGCTTAATATTTTTTGTTAGTTTTTTATTTTGTCATTATGGTTGAGGTTTTTTATTAAAAGAAGTGATTTTTTTTGATTTTTATAATTGTTAGATTTTATTAATATAGATTCAGATTTAGTATTACTGAAATTTGGAGCTCAAGAGTATCCAGTTGTAGTTGATTTAAGCCTGGCTGATAGAGAATGTAGGGGGCTTAAAGTTTAGATCTCAGTAAATAAAGACGCGGTCTTTCGAGACAAAGAGACCTCTAAAATTCACGAAACCCGAGGTGAGTATAGCTGGCGTATTAATAATGATAGCGAACTACTTTTAATACAGTCAAGTGCCATAATTTCTTCTTCTCAAGACCACATACACACTTTTAATGATTGTGCGCCTTGATGTAGGTACTAAATCCAAAAAAACGCCAAATTGATGGTTCGCGAAAAGGTCGACTCATAAAGTGAAAAATTGCAATCATAACCTTTTTTGTTACTGAACCATTTGATCACAGTGAAAAGCTAGATAGAGTTTTAAATATGTCAGAAGTTGAGCTACTAAAGCAAAGGATAGAGAAGCTTGAGAAAGAGATTGATGATCTCAAGCAAGTCACAATTTTTTCAGATATTCAACCATATATCGAAGAGAACCAGGACAAATTCAAACAGCTAAAGATTTCTTCGATAGGTCTATCATACCTTATAAAATACCAAAAGGGAACAATACTGAAAGACATTTTTCAAAGAGTTGCCAAAGATTTACTTCAGGATGTGGAAGACATACAGTTATTGGACCCAAAGAGTGGTAAGGTCCTCACGGGGGAGGAAGATATGTCATTGTTTGAGCATGACGGTATTTTCCATTTAGATTTCCAGTATGCTAGTGCAAATTGTGGGCATAACCATCATGATCATGATCATTATGATTCAGATGAAGATTTCACGGATGATGAGAATTTTTATTCAAGTTGCAGTTGCACCCACCCACATTAATTGGTATAATGATAGATATGGAAGGGCTTGAAAAACATAAAACTGCCATATCAACAGTTGGGACTTTAACAGCATTATGAGTGTGTTATTACACTATTCCACCATACAAATTGCTGTAGATATATCGACTTCAAGCCAACTCTTATTGTTTTGTAGTGAGTGTGCTAACCGATTTTGTTTTTCAACAGAAAGAAAACAAAAAAAAAGAACACATCTTTTAAACTTCAAAGCTTTATCTTTTGACAACTTGTCAATAACGATACAACTTCAATCCAGCCATGAGTCACAATCCAAATTCAGCGCTTACCGACATAGCAATGCAAGAATTACCATTGCGTCCAAAATCCACAAGAGCAGGTACAAGAAACAGATACACCACTTCGATGAGACCAACACCAAAAGCTACCGAGATTTTTCCTGGGTTAAATGATATAACTGATGCGTTTGAAGCTTTACCAACCGATGTTATCAGATACTTCACATTATTGAAAGAGATTGATGCTAAATGTGTTAATGTCATACCTGTGCTAAATCATGAAATCAAAAAATTCATCGAAATGAAAAACATCCCTGAGCATAAAGAGGCTAGAACAAGAAAAATTCACCAGATTTGTGGTTTAATAAGAGATGTACTACCTTGCTTGGAGGAGAAAATGCATGTTGCTACAATTGCTGCTGATAAAACTGTTACATATATTGATAGAATTAATGATGATTTTGATTTGATCTTCAGAAATGAAGTTCCAGAACATATCAAATTTGGATCCGTTAATCATCCAGCAATTATAAATGAATCCAAATTACCAGATAACAAATCCGCTCAATCCCAAAGAAGTGAAAGCAGAAGAGAAGCCCTTGCAGCCAAGAAAGCTGCTAATGACACTGATAATGATGATAGTTCAACAAACTCAAGAGCCAAATCGAGAAGAGAAAAAGAAGCAACACCTGTGGCAACCACTACATCCACTACCGCTACAAAGAAGCGTAAGACCACAAGTACTACTGCCAATACAGGAAACTCAGCAAATATCAGCACTACTTCAAATACTGCCATCAATACCACTGGTTCCAAAAATGATGAGGTTCCATCAAGACCATCCACACCATCCACAAATAAGAGACGTCAAGCTCAAAAGAAAAAACAAACAACGGCTTCAGCTTCAAATGTAAACCAATCACAAAATCCTTCAAACCTACATGCTCAATCAGCCGCCTCCGCTGCCGCTGCTGCTGAATATGCTGATGAAATTGCCGCTAGACGAAATAACGCAGATGAACCACTGTATTGTTATTGTAATCAAGTTTCATATGGTGAAATGGTTGGGTGTGACGGTGATGATTGTAAAAGAGAGTGGTTTCACTTACCATGTACTGGATTGGCCACTTTACCAAAAGGGAAATGGTATTGTGATGATTGCAGTGCCAAACTGAAAAGGGCTAAAAAGATTTGAATTTATCATTAGCCGTGATGGTTTTGTGTAACCTTGGTTATGTGTTTTAATGGGATTTTATTGTTTTGTGTACTAGGAAATTGAGAATTATCAAAAAAAAATATGGAAAATTACAGATTGTACTATTCGATATATCTTGTTGACTAAGGAAGCTCATCAATATCATGTTTAGCATCAAAAAGGTACGACTAGTGACTGCTGCTATTGTCTGTTGCTCCGTTGTTGTTTCAAGTCGTCAAGTCTGGGAACAAAGGTACATGGCCAAACGTCTGGCTGATGATGGCGTAATTGAGAATTGGGATACCACAAACACATGGGATCAAGCTCAAGCAAATGAAGAACAAAATCCAGAAGCCACTGAATCATGGAAACTAGATAATACTGGGGATGCTTATTTTGATTTAGATAATTCAGATTGGGTTCCTGAAGAAGATTGTGGTGATAAATGGGACAATGAAGGTGAGGAATGGGAAGGTGATTCTTTAGGGGATTCACAAAATCAATGGCCGATTGCTGAACCTTGGACAGAGCCTTCAAGTGAACATGTTGAATGGACTGAACCTGAACCAGCTGAATGGGAATCATCAAATGAGGAAGAATGGGATGGCGCTGAGAATTCTGGTTCATCTGACGAGGATTGGGAACACGCTGATTGTGGTGAGGATCATGATGATGCTGGTGTGGTTGAGTCAGCTCCACAAGAACTACCTGCTGATGTTTATTCACAAGCTTATGTTGATGCTTTGAAGAGAATTGGAATTGAAAACATTGCAGCCGGAGCTAAAGGTATTACTTATTCATTCTATACAAGTGCTGGCTCATGTAAAACACCTGAAGACATTCAACGGGATATTTCAATGATTAAAAATTTTGAAGTTATTAGAATCTATGATACTGATTGTGATGGGTTGGCAAATATCTTGAAAAGTATGGGTCCAAATCAAAAAATATTTGCTGGTATTCACTATCCTGAAGTTGTTGATGCTTCGGTAGAGATAATTGGTAGAGCAATCCAGGAACAAGCCGATGGTGATTGGAGTAAAATAGATACTGTTTCTGTTGGTAATGAAATGGTTAATTTTGGTAAAGCTACTCCTGATCAATTACAAGCTTCCATAAATAGAGCCAGAGAATTATTGAGAGGGAAAGGTTATAACGGACCTGTTGTTACTACGGATACTTTAGTCGCGGTGTTAAATAACAGAGATCTTTGCCATGTGTCAGATTATATTGCTGTCAATTCACATCCTTACTGGGATGGTGGTGTTCCTGCTCAACAAGCTGGTCCATGGTTACAATCTCAATTGCAAATGTTGGATGATGTTTGTGGTCGAAATGGAAAGCAAATTTTCTTAGCTGAAACTGGTTGGCCTCACAAAGGGAAGAAATTTGGACAGCATGGTGACCCATCTAAAGATAACCAATTAGTTGCGGTCAAATCTATTGTGGATACACTTGGGCCTCGTACTATATTGTTTACTACTTTTAATGATTATTGGAAAGATGGTGGTACTCATGATGTTGAAAAGTTCTGGGGAATCTTTGAAGGTTGAGCAGAATTGAATGCTCTTCATAACCTTATATAACGTATTTATAATCATTTGATATTACCTAGTATATATATTTTATTGTGTATTAATCTTTAAAGTCATGTGACCTTTAATCGACCAAATAGGTAATTTCCACAAATAGCTATTTCCGTCTTTTTCTTCAATTTTTTTTTAAACTTTGGCTTTCGGGATGAAACTTCAGCTTTTGGCGCACGGTACGTTTGAAGAGAATTTGTCCATTTATAACAACCTTCAAGAACGAATTGACGTGTCATTGCTTGATAATTTCATTATTTTGAAAGGGTGAATCTCAAACTCATAAAGCGTAAGGAAGGAGCACAATGTCAGCAAAAGTGAGTATCTTTAAGTGATAGTTGAGGGAATGCAAGTTGAGGAAATGTTGTTATCTTATGAATTTTTTTTTCCATGGAACTCTTTTAAAAGGATTCAATATTTGAAACCTCGGTGTTTTTTCAATTGAATATAAAGGCTATCTTGAATTGACTCGATGGCATGTGGGTTTGGTTCTGTTGTTTTGATTAACGTATGATTTTTGATTGTTGGAAACAATAGAGAGCAAGAGACAAAGAAAAGACATATAAACCACAACTTGTTGTTCCTCTACCTGACTATATGGACCTTTATTGACATTTTCTTTAGAATCATACAGTAAAAGAATATAAATTAGTTGTTGTTGGTGGTGGTGGTGTTGGTAAATCCGCATTAACTATTCAATTTATTCAATCACATTTTGTTGATGAATATGATCCAACTATTGAAGATTCTTACAGAAAACAAGTTGCTATAGATAATGAAGTTGCATTATTAGATATCTTGGATACTGCTGGACAAGAAGAATATAGTGCAATGAGAGAACAATATATGAGAACAGGTGAAGGGTTTTTATTAGTTTATTCAGTTACTGAAAGGGAATCATATAATGAGTTGTTAACTTTTTATCAACAAATTTTGAGAGTTAAAGAAACTGAAGAAGTTCCAATTTTATTGGTTGGTAATAAAAGTGATTTGACAGAAGAGAGAAGTGTGAGTTATGAAGAAGGTGAAAAATTAGCAAAACAATTTCAATGTGAGTTTTTGGAAACTAGTGCTAAACAAGGTATCAATGTTGATCGTGCATTCTTCGATTTGGTTCGTAAGATTAGAATAAGAAATAATGAAGTACCAAGTGGTCAAATTGATGGTGGTGTAAATTCATCAGGTAAAGATTCAAATGCTAATGGTTCTGGATTGAACAATACTGTTTCAAATAAACAAGGCGCAGTGGCATCTCAAGGTGGTGTTGATGGTGGTGCTCAAAACCAAGCAACTTCAAGCAATGCTCAAGCTGGTGGTGCTTCTCAAGGGAAGACTAATGGAAGTGCGAATGCAAGAAAACAAAATGTTAAAGGTAATGATGGTGCCAAAGAATCTGGCGGTGGCTGTTGTGTTATTGCTTGAGATATTTCTAGTGTTTTGTTTCTTGATTAATCCTTTGTGTACGTGTGCGTGTTTTTCTTTGGTTGTTTTATGATTTATTTTGTCAACTTTGTTACTGATACTTTGAAGTTTGGTTTATCATGGCATAATGTTGTGAAGCATGTCGATATGCGTGTTCTTCATCTTTTTTTAATTCATTCAGTTCGGTTGTTCTATTTAAGTATTTGTTTTTTAATGTTTTTTCATCTTTTTAATTATATATAGTGGTTATGTGTATTTGTTACACTTTCTGGTGTCAATTTATCATGATCACAATTTCCATCATTTCCATATTATATAGTGCGAAATATTTCAAAAAAAAGTTTTACTGTTCCAAATTACAATTTCATTTCCAATATTTATAGTAGATTGTATATTGCTCTCCCTCCAAAATAAATTATATCTATTCCATGCAATATCTAATTGATGAAATGGTAAATGATGAAATGTAGAATCAAACTTGCAAATATGTAATCTCCAAGAGCACTAAAAAATAGTTAGTATTATATCACCTACTTCAGAATAGCGAGGAACACATACCGTTCTGGAGAAATTCTTTTGAAAAATTCTTTGTTTTGTGGGACAGATTGTAAACGTAATGAAACTGTCAAGACGAATTGACCAACAGTTGAGATAAAACCACCTAAAAACGCATTGAATGGGAAACTACCAACCAATATAACGAAAGCAAATTGCACAAGTGCTACTATCACTAAAAATGCTAGAAAGATATCAATAAGTTTTAATCTTGGGGTTAAAGTTTCAAAATATGAATGAATAGATTTTTCAATCGAATTGTTGAATTCTGCTATAGCATTTGTAGGAACCACAGCGGTTGTAGATGATGAAGAGTGTGCAGCAGAGGCATTGACAGCAGCAGCTTTGACCTTACTTTGTTTGGATGCTTTTGGAGCCATGATTGATACGTTTCAATTGGAATATATATCTTGATTTGAATTGATCAATCGGTGGTGTTTATACTTCAAACGTGTAATCTTTTTCAAGAAATTCGCGGAAATCTGATAGTTTCGGGGTTCCCAAGCACGTGATATTTAATTCATAGTTAAGACCTCATTCCGAGGGCATGGAATTTTTGGTGAAAATGAGCACATGAGGAAAATTCAATGGGAATAACGAGATCTATAAACTTTGGAATAGTTATAAAGATATTGGTAGTGAAGATGGCTGAAATAAATGAACAGTTCCATGATACTGATTTAGAGGACGAACATGATTATGTCGATGAAGAATTGGAAGAAGAACATTACACAAAGGCTAATGCAAGAACAATAACAATTAAAAACCCACCATCATTAAGAATAGTACCTCCATTGAATTTTTGTCCAGTTGAGAGACAACTTTATAGAAGTGGGCAACCATCAAATATCAATTTCGAATTTTTAAAAGAATTACATTTGAAAACTATAGTATGGCTTGCTTCAGAAGATCCAATTGATGAATTTATTGAATTTGTTCAAGAGGAAAAAATCAATCTTTATTTCGCTGGTATTAATCCAGACGGTGGTGATAATAACCCATGGGATGGGCTGACTGAGAATAGTATAATACAAGCATTAAATATCATAGTGAATAAGAATAACTATCCATTATTAGTGTGTTGTGGGATGGGGAGACATAGAACAGGAACTGTTATTGGATGTTTGAGAAGGCTGCAGGGCTGGAACCTTGCAAGGTGAGTATGGATTGATTCAAAAGCACTGTCATTGATACTAACTATTTCCCATCAGTGTTTCTGAAGAGTATAGAAGGTTTACTGGATCAAGAGGTGGTAGAATCTTGGTTGAATTATTGATTGAGGTAAGTGACATATTCGTGATTGGTATATTATGGAAATTAACAAACTATTATAGGCTTTTGACAAGAGAACGATAACGATAGATCCCGAGAATGCTCCAGAGTGGTTGCTAAATACTCGAGAAAATGTATGATGAACATGTGGTCAATTGATGAGAAGCTAGAGAGCTAAAAACCTTGTAGATTCTAGAACATCAGTTGAATCTACCACATCTCTAATGGGTGGTCTGGTATTATATTTTGTATTTTTGGTTATTTGTCTCTGTTGGGCTCGGTCATGATTCTGAATCGAGACATACGGCGAAACCAAAGCTCAATCTCCTCATAGTTTTATAGCAAAATCGAAGGATAATACAGGTTTATAATTAAGATCAACAGCCATCAACAGTTTATTGGGATAGATGATAGATGAAGAATCTAAATACTAATCGACCCCCATCTCAGCTCTTCAAGCCCTAATCAAGCATTGTGTCATCCTCTATCAGCACTGACCGATCAGTCACAAATCACGATTCGCGAATTTCAAATTGATAAGAAAAAAACGTAGTCATCAACAAACTCATCTCATCAACGTCAACAAATCACAACAACCAACAACAACCATCTTCATCCCACTTTCATTGATCTCATCCTATCCATTACCAATACCATAACTTAGTCTTACGATGACATCAACCCCAAAAAACATCGAAGGTGCCAGCAAAAGACAAAACTATAACCAAAACTTATCAGTGGGTGGTGCAGGTGGCAGCTATGGTTCAATCTCTCAACAAGCTTCAAGAAGACTGTCTACAGTGAGGTTAGGCTCACCAGTGATGCCAGATGATTCACCAAGAGCCAGATCCTTCTTAATGAATGGTGCTGTCGCCGGTGGAGGTAATACCCTAAATACCCCAAGTAATTTGAGACCAGATTCAGTCTATTCAACTTCAAATACTTCGAGTAACCATGTTTTGGTTAATGCTGATTCTCCTTCATTTGCTACAGATCACAAGGATCAAGATATAATAAAGAATACAGCAAATCTTTATTTCAACGATAGTTTACATACAGAAGGTGGTGATATAACAAGAGAATTAAAATCAAAAGGACAACCTCATAGTAATCAACCTTTGAAGAAAGTGAAGTCTTCAGGTGATTTGTTTGAAAATAGACGAGGCTCCACCGCAAGTGCCTTAAATGTTCCTGGTGGGTTTAGAAGAGAGTTCATAGTGAATAAAGCTAGAGAACGCGCAATTTTAAATGATGAAGAATTGAGAAAAGTTCCATTTTTAACTAAAAACTTTATGGAGTTTTTATACATTTATGGTCATTTCGCTGGTGAATCATTTGATGATGATTTCAACTATACTGATCAATCTGGCGATTCTGAAGCTGTTTCTTGGAATGAAGAAACTCCATTGATTCCAACACAAAGTAATACAAATAAGATAAGATATGAAGCTAAGGGAACAACATCCACCATGAAGGCCTTTTTGTTGATGTTGAAATCATTTATTGGTACAGGGGTATTGTTTTTACCAAAAGCTTTCAGTAATGGTGGGTTATTTTTCAGTATAGGGATGTTGGCAATATTTGGTGTTTATTCCTATTATTGTTATTATATCCTAGTCACTTCGAAAAATGCTGCAAAAGTGTCTTCATTTGGTGATATTGGTGGGAAATTATATGGTCCTTGGATGAAATTTTTAATCTTGATGTCATTAGTTTTAACCCAAATTGGATTTGCTTGTGCTTATATCATCTTCACAACTGGGAATCTAACAGCTTTCTTCAACAATGTTACAAATTGGAATATTAAACCTGATATGTTTTTCTTGTTACAAACTCTTATATTTATTCCACTATCATTTATAAGAAATGTTTCCAAATTATCATTACCTTCCTTGATGGCTAATTTCTTCATCTTTGCAGGTTTATTCATTGTTTTATTTTTCACCTCCAAAGAAATCATCAACAATGGGACCAAACCAATTGAGTTAATCGTTAACGAATCTCAATTTTCATTATTCATAGGTACTGCAATCTTTGCATTTGAAGGTATTGGATTAATCATCCCAGTGCAAGACTCAATGAGACATCCAGAAAAATTCCCATTAGTTTTGGGTTTAGTTCTTATTACGATCACCATTTTGATGATTGTCATTGCGTCAATTGGGTATCTAGCATATGGTGAAGATATCCAAACAGTTATTTTGTTAAACTTGCCACAGACCAATTTCTTTGTCAACTTGATTCAATTTTTCTACTCTTTAGCCATTTTATTATCAACACCATTACAATTATTCCCAGCAATTGGTATAATTGAAAAAAGAATCTTCAAAAAATCAAAATCAGGAAAATTCAATACAAAAGTGAAATGGTTCAAGAATTTATTCAGAACAGTATTTGTATTGTTTTGTATGAACGTTGCTTGGTTTGGTGCTAATGATTTGGATAAATTTGTTTCATTTGTTGGTTGTTTTGCATGTATCCCATTAGTGTATATGTATCCTCCATTGTTACATTTTAAAAGCTGTGCTCAAGGTGATAAATGGGGTCAAATTCTTGATGTGGTGTTGGTTATCATTGGTGGTTGTTCAATGGCTTACACTTCATATCAAATTATTCATGGCTAGAGGTTATACAGTTCGTATTTTTAGACGTTTGCATATTATTTAAATTCATAAACATATATTTTATTTACAGCTGGGCAGCTCGTTTGTAGCATTTTCACGGGTGAAAAGATTGATATTACACTGACTTGAATCAAGATACGTTGAAACTTCAGTATTAGGTGAGCATAGTCAAGCAGCCACTTCATTGAAGACAGCATGCTACGAATTCAAATACATACGACTTCGATCTTTCCTTTCATCAAACTTTAGTCAATGCTTCGTGCCCTTGACTTCACTGAAATGTCACTGGTTTTCTTTAGTTTGACCTCGTTTTCAGCATCACCGAAATCTACGAGATCGTGAAAAACTGAACACAACCAAAACAACACCAAGAAACACCCTGAAAGAAATGAAACATATCACACCAGAAAAAGCTGCATCATGGACAAAAAGGGGGTTATCGTAAACTCAGAACTAGGGCTCAGCACCCTTTCTGAAAGTTAAAGTTACATTAAATGATTCAGAAGTTGACTTGGATAGCTCTTGCAGGTTTAAATATCCTTTCATTCCCATTATATCAACTTTTGAACCAACCATGTTTCCTCATCTTCATAAATAAGTTCAGTAGCAATGAAATTATCCACTCGCTTTTCAGTTCCATTAGTTCTTGCAGCTTCGCTCGTTTCAAAAGTCTCAGCTGTTGCTATCCCAGAAGCTATCGCTCTCCCTTGGGCTCAAGCTAATCCTCAAGCTTACGCTGCTGCTAATGCCTACGCTGATGCCTATGCTGAAGCTGTTGCTATTGCTCATCCTGATCCAGAAGCCTATGCTTTAGCTGCTTCAGCCGATGATTGTGCCTCCATTTCTTGTCATGCTTCATGTGGATTATTGATTATTGAAGGTCAAGCTTGTTCTCAAAATTCTGAAAACTCCTATTCTGGACCTTATAATACTACCTGTCTATGCTCTTCAGGATCCAAATTCTTACAATATTATGCTCCATGTATGGATTGTGGTTGGACTTTGTGGAAATATTATGGTGGTTATGTCTCATCTGCTTTGGCTGCTTGTGAAACGTTATCCACTGAACCAACTGGTACATTGAGATGCTCCACCACTTTGACAGACTCTTATAGTATCGATACTGGTATTCAAGGTTGCTCATACTTGGGTAATTGTCCAACTGAAACTTCATCTACTGCTCAGACCACGGATTCCCCTGATCAAACTTCAGCAGCACCAACTTCAGCAGAACCAACCTCAGCAGCACCAACCTCAGATGCTCCATCATCCACTCAAGCTGCTCCATCAACCCAACAAACAGACCCTGCCGCTCCAACTTCAGAGGAAGCCCCAACAGCTCCAACTAGCTCAGCAGATGAGCCAAATGCACCAAGCTCAAATGAAGCTTCTGCTGTCCCAAGTAATTCAAATGGCGAACCAAGTGCTCCAAACTCAGATGCTAATACATCGGGCTCTCCAGCTCCAGGTGGTGCAACATCTGGTCAAGAAGATCCATCAGCATTGGATCCAGCTGCTTCAAGCACATCTGCTAAATTCTCAGGTTACACTAATGGCACTACAAGCACAGCTATTGTTTCCCATGGCTCGACAACATTGATTACTGTTACCTCTTGTGATGAAAACAAATGTACTGAAATCCCTTCAACTGCTCAAGTGTCCATTGCAACCACTACCATCAATGGGGTTGTTACTTCATACACCACTTATTGTCCATTAACAACTACTACTCCGCTAACAACCAAAGCTTCCACGGATAAACAAACCACTAAGGCTCCAGAAGACGTTACTAGTAAAGTTACTGCTACCACCACCAAAACGGGTGCATCTACATTAGCCTCAACCACTCCAGTTATTTCAACTTTTGAAGCAGTAGCTAATAAACTGGCTGGATCAGTTGGTGCTATTTTGATGGCGTTGTTATGCATTTAATTTCCATGATGTATGGTGAATTGTTTTAGTTTTTTCTTCTTTTTGTTCTTTTGATAAATGCTTCTACTTTCAAAAGCAACATCAATGTTTATTTTCTACTGACTCCGTCAAGTTGTTGACGTTCTATACAGTATATAGCTACATGGCCGCTTTTACTTTAATAAATATGCCATGTTCAAAAGATTATGATACTTATTTAGATGTTGAAAAAGAGCTCACTGAGATACATTTGCAGCTCGCAAAGTAATGTAGCGAATATAGATCAGGTAATATTAATATAATCCCAACTTCTGCCAAACAGCGCGTGACAAAATCTATTGACACGTAATCTGCCTTTGCTTCCTTCGAAAATTTCTAGCTAAACTTTGGAATGTGAACATGGAAGAATAGTTAAACTCCACAAGACGGATCAGAAACTTTTGATAAGATACCTACCAAGTTCCAACACATCATGCTTTGATTTTCAAACCCAGCTATATGCTTTTCAAATTTTCAAGGCAGCTTCATGCTCTGCTTTACGTTTTAAACTTTTAGGGGTGAGCAAGTTGTCGGCGATATCGAAATCAATCAAGATCAAGGACCAACTTACTCATGGTACCCAAACGTCAACTATGATCAATGATACACTTTATTAAGGCTCTAATATTGTATATAAGAGAGACCCTCTAGCTCCATATATTACATCAAATATCCAGACTCAAACGTTCAATCGTCTTTACAACTCTTTGACTTTTGTTTTTCAGCAAGAAGGTGTTTTCATTTTAAAATCCGTTAAACACCATAAAATACAGCAGCCAATCCACCAGATTCAATCTACAACATAGAACTTCCAAGATGGGTTTTCACATTGAGAAAATGGACACCCTTCCGAATTCGTTTACGAAATAATAAAGCCCAGAATCCTTAATGCACGTTTGTGTGGCTAGCTGGTGTTTTTTGTGTTAGTCCAAGCCGATTTGGAGAAGGTATTTGAGTTGATTGGCTTTCTTCAGTCTTGTTGCTCACAGAAGTTGTGACTTTGGCTCAAACGCCTATGAAATTGGATTGATTCGAGCTTTGTTTTGGTGAAAACGCGGTTAGCTTCAAATTTTTGAATTTTGAACGCATAGAAGCTGCATTTTCATGATCACTTGTGTCAACCTTCATGGTCAGGGTGTCGATCGTGTTTGTTTAAACTGTACGATACGCCAATGTGCGTGCTTTAACGGTGAAGAAGGAGTATTGATAATATATAAAGGGCGAGGTAGATCCAAATATACCACAATCTTGTTGACACATTTTACATAGAGCAACCTCTTATCCACCGGAATTTCATAGATCAATATGAAATCATTCATTCGTTTCATTCTTTCATTAGGGGTACTCACTACATTAGCTGCTTCTGTTGCTGTTCCAGAAGCTGATGCTCTTCCATGGGCTCAAGCTAATCCCCAAGCCTATGCTGCTGCTAATGCTTACGCTGATGCCTACGCAGAAGCTGTTGCAATTGCTCATCCTGACCCCGAAGCTTATGCTTTAGCTGCTTCAGCCGATGATTGTGCTTCCATTGCCTGTCATGCTTCATGTGGTTTGTTGATTATTGCTGGAACTGATTGTTCTTTAAACTCTGAAAACACATATGCTGGTCCTTATAACACAACTTGTCTTTGCTCTTCAGGCTCTAGTTTCTTACAATACTATACTCCATGTATGGATTGTGGTTGGACATTATGGAAATATTACGGTGGTTATGTCTCATCTGCTTTGGCTGCTTGTAAAACTCTATCCACGGAACCAACTGGTACATTGAGATGCTCCACCACTTTGACAGATTCTTACACTATTGATACCAGTATTCAAGGCTGCTCTTATTTAGGAAACTGCCCAACTGATACTTCAAAGGCAACTTCATCTTCATCATCCTCCACCACTTCCAACATCCCATCATCAACAAGTTCTTCTACATCAATCACTTCAAGCACATCCTCATCATCTGCAATCACAAGCTCCACATCAAGCTCTGCTAGCTCTGCAGTATCTAGCTCAAGCGCTCAAACAGTATCATCAATAACCACATACACTGGTACCACCTACACTGTCACCACTGATTTGTCATTCACTTATTCTTATTCACCAGGCGGAGAAACAACTGATTGTTTTACAACCTCTTACCATTATCCAACAGCAACTAACAATCCTATTGACATGGATTTCATTTCCTGGGATGATAAACATTACAGCACAACCAATTACACCACTTATTTCTTTTTGAATTTCACTTCAGACCAAAATGATGTTACCGATATCAAGCTGATCACCGGGACTGATATGAAAACTGCTGTATTGACTCCAGATTCTCAAATCTGGGTTAATTTGAAACAAGGTGTTTATGGTTTCGTTACTTCTGCTCAGAACAACATGGCTGCTTACAATTTAGGTGTCTTGATCACTTATAAAGGTACAAACTACCTATATGCTTACTCATGTCAAACTGATCGCTTAACTTTGAAGTACTTGCAACTTGATAAGAGTGAATATGATTCATGTTACAGAATGGGATTCTGGGGATACTGGAATGATGCTGGTTACTGTACCCATAGAAGTGATCCAATTACTACAACTGTCCAATACAGACCTACAGCCATCGCATCTGCTTCATCTGTTCCATCCTCATCCACATCATCAATTGGATCAAGCTTGTCTACTGCTGCTCTATCCAGCTCAGTGGAATCTTCACTTTCTTCAGTTGCTTCCTCAGTTACTTCATCTGGTTCCTCATCATTTGCTTCATCGATTGCTGCTTCTTCAACAGTGTCATCTGATCTATCATCAAGCATTCACTCTTCCTCAATCTCATCAGGAACATCTTCAGAGGTTTCAAGTCAACCAAGCTCTAGTGTGTTTGAAAGTTCTTCTGCTACAACTGATGCTTTATCTTCTGAAAGCTCAAGCTTCACCAATTCAATAGATTCATCTACTAGCTCATTTGTATCTTCATCTGCAGAATTATCATCATCCGTATCTTCAGGTTCATCAGCATCAGTCTCATCATCATCATCTTCCTCTTCATCACCAGCTTCATCATCACCAGTTGAGCCTGAATTGACTGGTGGGCTAGTCAACGGTCAACCACAATGGTCATTAGCCATTCCTGCTGCTCTTGGTCCATGGACTTCTGTTTCCTTAGTTGCTTCAAAGAATGAAACTGAGTCATTCAACTACAATGATGCTAAAGTTTTGGTCAACGGTGAAACTGTCAGTGATGTTACAGTGTCAGTATCTGATGACTCAGTTACTCTCTCCTTCACTTTCGCTGTTGATGAATCGGATGAATTAAGTATTGATTTTGGTGGTCAAATTGTTGGTGGTTCAAGCTTCACGGCCTTAGCTACTTTAACCATTACCACTCCAGATGGTAGAAGAGTTGTCAAAAGGGCAGAACAATCTTGGAATTTAAGTAACACAATTACTCTTGATGCATCTTCAGTCTCATCAGCTTCATCAAGTGCTATCTCAACATCTTCAAGTGTTTCCTCATCAGTTTCATCAAGCTTATCATCCATCTCTGAGAGTACTGTCTCTAGTGATTACTCCGTTCCATCAATCTCATCCAGTTTATCAATAACCTCTTCAGCATCTTATGCTAACGGTACTTCAACAGACGTTGTTACCAAACCTTCAACTACTTTAGTTACAATCACTTCTTGCTCTGAAGACAAATGCTCAGAAGTTGAATCAACTGCTCAAGTTACTGTTGTTACATCTACTCACAATGGTGTTGTTACCACATTCACTACTTATTGTCCATTGACTACTACTGAACAAAAAACCACGGTTGCTACTGTCACATCTTGTGATGAAAACAAATGTTCAGAAGTTCCATCAACTGCTCAAGTATCTATTGCAACTACAACAATCAATGGTGTTGTAACATCTTATACCACATACTGTCCATTAACAACTACTCCTACTGGTTACCAAACCATTTCAACTAGTGTTGATTCCATAAAAAGTCATGCTGAATCCACTGGTATTACTACAACTATTGTTACTGTTACTTCATGTGCTAATGGTGTTTGTACTGCTGTCCCATCTACTGGTAAGGTGTCTGTTGCGACAACTACTCAAAACGGTGTTGTGTCTTCTTATACTACATACGGTTCAATTGATTCAACTGATGTTGTCACTAAAATTGTCACTTCTACAAAAGGTGGTCAATCTGAGGCTTCAAAAATCACTACAGATACTACTGCTGGTACAGGATCTAGCGTTGCCACTAAGCAACAAGAATCTACTGGTTCTTTAAGCTCATCTACTTATGTTGTTTCAACCTTTGATGCTGCTGCTAATATGATTGCTGGTTCATTCATTGGTGTCTTATTCCCATTCTTGTTCATTTGATTTGAGTTTTGTTTCTCGTCAGATTGGTAATCGGATTACACAGGCTGACTTTTTTTATCAGATTCTTTTTTTCTTCTTGCCATATTCTCAGTTAATGGTAGATTGATCATTTTATTCGACTTCGTTTAAATTATCAGTCTTGTGTTTTATCTTCTTGAATCTTCGCAGTGTTGAAGGCTTTTTGTGTTAAATAGATCTATACCAATGTTATGACTTACTATACGTTTTTCTTTCCAGCTTGTAGAACTTCACTCTAGTGGAATACAACTACATTAATGGATAGGCTTTGTTCTTGACCCAAAATACAGATCAGATTCGCGACAAAATTCGCGAAGTTCTTTGTGATTTATTTTGAACGCAAAAACACAAACACTAGTGTTCTCTATCCTGATTACAAGCGAAAGTCACTTTAATTATAGACAAAAATGATTCAATCCTCAGAAGGTGAATAATCAATAGAATGCCAAAAGATGGTGCTTGTTATTTGTTGTGTCTTCTGCTGCTCAGGTGATTGATGTTTCTTCCAGTTGAGTTGAACCCAATTTTGGATCTGATTGTTCAGCGTGATCTTGTTGTGTCAAATTTCCATTCAACTCTTGCAGAAAACTATCATATGGGCTCAATTAACGTGCTATCGCTTTAGAAGCAGTCTAGGCTCTTGGTTGATGTTGAGGAGCTCAAATCTAACTGGTCCATATAGATAAGTTATACACCGATAGAATTCCCTGAGACTTTGGTCCTTCAGCATCTAAACACCCAGCCATACACTCAAAAACCATTAAGCCCTGAATATCATCTTTGAGCTCATCAACGATAGATCTACATTGTTGTTTTGGGGAGCGCATAACGGTAATGTTGCAGACATATTTACCTTATGATAAAAAGGGTGTCTAACTTTATACCATGCAAGCCAGCATTCTCTCCAGATTGGAATTAATATAAAAGGGACGGTGTTTCGTGATCTGATATGTTTTGAATGTTAATATCCACCTATCATCTATAAATCCATATTCCAGTATGAGATTATCCATTCGTTTCTTATTTACTTTTGGAGTTGTCACCACATTCGTTCAAGCTTTTGCAACTCCTGATGCTCTTGCCCTTCCATGGGCTCATGCTAATCCTCAAGCATATGCTGCTGCTCAAGCCTACGCGGATGCTTATGCTGAAGCAATTGCTATAGGTCATCCAGACCCAGAAGCTTATGCACTAGCTGCTTCTGATGATGACTGTGCTACTATTGCATGCCATGCTTCTTGTGGTTTATTGATTATTGCTGGTACTGAATGCTCTTTGAACTCCGAAAATACATATGCTGGTCCATACAATAAAACTTGTTTGTGTGATGATGATACTGATTTCATTAACTATTACACACCTTGTATGGATTGTGGCTGGACTTTCTGGAAATATTATGGAGGTTATGTCTCTTCTGCTTTGGCTGCTTGTGAAACTTTATCCACGGAACCAACTGGTACTTTAAGATGCTCAACGACTTTAACTGACTCTTACACTATTGATACTAGTATTCAAGGTTGTTCATACTTAGGAAATTGTCCAACTTCAACTGCTGAATCCACTACAACTTCAAGTTCAGTTTCACCAAGTGTTCCAACTACTCAAGCAACATCTACTAGCTCTAAATCATCAACTTCAACAGCTTCATCACCAAAAACTTACACTGGAACCACATATACTGTCACGACTGATTTATCATTCACTTACTCCTATTCACCTGGTGGAGAAACTACTGATTGTTTTACAACTTCTTACCATTATCCAACAGCAACCAATAATCCTATTGATATGGATTTTATTTCTTGGGATGATAAACATTTTGACACAACCAACTACACTACATATTTCTTCCTAAACTTTACTTCTGATCAATCAGATGTGACTGATATTAGATTAATCACAGGTACTGATATGGCAACTGCTGTTTTAACTCCTGATTCTCAAATTTGGGTCAACTTACATCAAGGTGTTATGGGATTTGTCACTTCTGCTCAAAACAATATGGCCGCTTACAATTTGGGTATTTTGATCACCTATAAGGGTACAAACTACCTATATGCTTACTCGTGCAAAACGGATCGTTTGACTCTGAAATATTTGCAACTTGATAAGAGTGAATATGATTCATGTTACACAATGAGTTTCTGGAGGTATTGGAATGATGCTGGCTATTGTACTCATAGAGAAGATCCAATCACTACTACAGTTGAATTTAGACCTGAGTCTAGTGAAACAACGTCAACTTCAAATGTTCCAAGTACTAGCAGCTCATCCTCATCTTCAAGCTCAAGTGATGCTACTACCACATCATCCAGCTCACCTGCTACTTCAGCTTCCACCGAAGTCCCTTCCACATATAGCTCGGAGAGAACTTCAAACTCTGTATCAACTGACTCATCATCCACTTCAAGTGATATAGTTCCACCAACATCAGCTTCAACTGCTCCATCGGCAAGTTTATCCTCACTCAGCTCAAGTCAATCCATTGCTCCAACTGTGTCCAATTCAACCTCTTCTGAATCTATGATTTCCTCATCTTCCACTTCATCTTCATCAAGTTCACCTACTGCAGAACCTTTTTTGAGTGGTGAATTGGTTAATGGTCAACCACAATGGGAATTATCAATTCCTGGTGCTTTAGGTCCATGGAATTCTGTTTCAGTTATTTGTTCTCAAAATCAAACAAATGTTTTCAATTATGACGACGCTGTTGTTTATGTTAATAATGTGGCTATGAACAACGTCAGTATTTCTTATGCTAACAATTCAGTTGATCTTTCATTTACGTTTAACATTGAAGTTGCTGATGTTGTTATTGTTCAATTTGGTGGTGAAGTTATTGGTGAAGGACAGGGGTTTACATCTTTGGTGCATCTGACCATTGTCGATTTGAATAATGAGAGAATTGTCAAAAGAGGTGAAATGTCATGGGATTTGAGTTATACAATTGATGCAGAAGTAACATCCAGTGAATCTGATATTTCATCATTAACTTCAACTGAATCATCTAATGGAATTAGTACTGCTACAACAATCCTCACTGAAGATACAACAACAATTGTTACTATAACTTCATGTTCAGAGGATCAATGTACTGAAGTTGAAACAACAGCTCAAGTTACCGTTGTCACTGTGACTGAAGATGATATTGTTACTTCATATACTACATATTGTCCAACTTCTAAACCTGAAACTACTATTGTCACTGTTACTTCTTGTTCTCAAGATAAATGTTCCCAAGTTGAATCCAGTGCTCATATTACCGTTATCACTTCAACTCAAGAAGGTGTTGTCACTACATTGACTACTTATTGTCCAATTAGTTCTGAAACTGCTGTTTCCAACACTGGAAGTTCTACAAAAACTATTGAAAGTACTAGTGAAACCGCTGGAGTTGCACAAAATGTTGGTTCAAGTAGTCAAGAAGTCACCACTACAAGTTAGGTTACACAAGTTGTTACTGTTGAATACACTAGTGTATCAGAAGGTGTTACAAAAGTCGGTACTACAACAAGTGAAGTTGTTAAGCCTGCTTCAAGTACACCTGCTGAGGTTTCTACTTATGAAGGGTCTGCTAATATGTTGATTAGATCTGGATTAGTTGGTCTTGTCTTTATGGTTCTTTTGTGAGGAATCAGCTCCTTGATACTTCTATTTGATATTTCTTTTGTCTTTGTTTTGCTATATGTTGAAATTCTATATTTTTCTATGATGTTCCATCGTATTTGAATAAAGAAAGTATAATCTCATCTTGTCTGTAATTTCTGGTTAATTAGTGTAAGTGTATACCCCTGGTTGATATAGCAATGACACGGTTAAATTTTTCTATGCGAAGAGATGTATCTATTGATCTTACGTCACTTGATGAACGATCCTTATTGTCCTTGAATGGTGTAGGATGGCCTAAACATACGGATTGACTAATTAATCTAATAGGAGATAGAAGGCTGTACAGTTGTGGGTAAAATTTGTAGTAATGGTTAGTAACAACTAGGGCTTACAATTTTTAAAGCTGGCAATTGCTACGAAAGGAACTGATTTTCAAGTCATCAAAAGATTGATATGATCTAGACTTGAGACATGGTACCCAGGTATACCACTCGACTGTGAAAATTAGCTAGTACTCTTGACGTGTTTCACCTGTCATTGATGAATACTTGAAACAAACTTGATGAGATGAGATGTGAAATTTTCTAAATTGTATACTGGTACCTCATTCCTCCATTAAGCCCATTTCATTACCTTTTTCGAATGTATCTGTACTTGCAATGCAATTTCATTCTGGTTACCAATTTCAAGCGAATGTATAATCCCACAAGTGTTTATTATTAGGTTGGATTAAATTTGGTCATCTTCACACCTTCCGGATATGGTAGTCTAATTGACAGGAACGCGTAAAAAACAATTTAAAACGCGAAAAAAAGAGGGTACCAAATCTCAAAATTACAAATTCAACTGTGAGACTACGTATCAATCTTCAACTTTAAATTACTAGATTGGCTTTTGTTATGGTTAGATTAAATTATTCCAGTATCAGATTGGGCCCCAGAGCTGTACTGAATGGGATGGATACTTTGGCGAGAAATATCAACTAAACCATTTCTAGTACTACACTTGAAACCCCTAAACGAAGCTCATCTCTACCAAATATTAAACACCCATATTATCATCGAACCACCAGTTTTAAACAAACTAAATCATCCATTTTCCATCCTCATTTCCCATTTCTGTTGCAATTTGTATGCTTCGTTTCCAAAGGGATGCGATTCTGCGATTGCCCAATTGGGAAATTGCATTTGCATTGCTTCGGTAAACGCGTCAGTCGCATCGCTCACAGGAACATTCGAATCTCGAGAATTACATACAATTCCTTTATATATAAGTCCCTGCTCTTTTTGTAAATTCGTCTGCTTTACCAAACACAGTTCAATAATACAAAAGTATATCAAGCTATTCATAATGCTACTCAACAAGTTCCCTTTACATCTTCAACTAAACACCTCTTTTAAAGATGAGGATATCGTCATGAAGGATCCATTAGGCACCCCTATAGGAACTCCTACAGGTGTTCAAACTCCAACGGATCAAGTCAATTTCAACAACTTACAATGGTTTAATGAACAAGGTGGTGGTGCTCCAAATCCTCCAAGATATGGTAGAACAGCTTCAACTTCAAGTATTGCTAGTTCAGTTTCAAATTTCTCCACAAATAACAACAATAATGATTTCAGTTATTCTAATTTTGCATCTCATTATAAATTAACTGATTTATTTGAAAAATTATTAATGGATACGTATCTAAATTATCAAATGAATCCAACTATTACCCCTTTCAATGAAAATAACCCACCATATGGAGTTATAAATAAAGTATCAAAAGAAGCATTACAAAAAGCAATGGATGATAATATTGAAGTTGGTATAGAAATCAATAACTATTCATTAACCATAATACGCCAAAAACTATTACAAATATGTCATCAAAACACAGTATCAACACCAACAGGTTCAAGACAAAATAGTTTCCAAGGTGCATTAAATTTACAATCAAAATTTAACAATATACCTTCAGGTTTCTCCACACCAAATAATATCTCCACAACTCCAATGAATGAATATTTCAATTTTGAAGTACCTCCACAACAACAATTACAACAACCTGCTCAATTTTCTCAACAACCTGCTCAACAATTACAACCTTCTTTTGATACATATGCTCCACCTCCTCCACAAAATAGATTGGAAAGATCAGATTCAAATGCTAGTTGTGGTTCTGGTGTGATAATACCGGATCTATTCAATGCCACTAGTAATAGAAAGAGAGAAAGTTTAAGATTGAAAAGATCTGGAAATAAAATCACTTATAATTAAGCTTTTATTGGGATGTTTTCTTTTGGGTTTTCGGTAATTTCTATGTTATGGGGGGTAGTGCATATGGTTATTCTTTTCTTTGACTTTCAATTCTTTTAATGATATTTTTGGTTTTAATTTTTATTTTTGTTTAGATTTATGTCATGTCTTTTTTTTAAAAATTCTGTTTACTTCTCTGTTTCAATACTTTTTTTGTTATGATCTTCTTTATAGAGTCATTATCCAAGGGACTATTTCACATTGTCATTCGTTAATATTCATACAAGTCATTCATTCACTCATATTCTTGTATTAATTGCCGAAGTATCTTTCTTAGTTTCCTATATCTGATTTTTTCATCTTGAACTTGTTCTACCAATTCACCCATCAAGTCTTTTGGACCTTCATCCTGTTCAATCCTTTTATTCACTTCATTTATATAAATCTCAAGCTTCCCATTAACTTCGTGCTTATCTTCAATCTCCTTGATCAATTGATTGTTTTGTTGTTCTAAATATATCACGTATTCTTCACTTTGTTTAACTTGTTCTGAGAACACAGTGTTTGCTAATGAGATCCCAATAGTGTCACCTCTTTCAAAATGGAATGGGATCTTATCATTACTAAGGTGTAATCCAACAATTTCATCTTGTGGATCTAGTTCTCTTTGGTGAGTTTTCGCAACATTCAAGAACTGGGTATATTTTGATACTTGATGCTCCAAATTTTGGTGATATTTTGTCTCTAGCGTGTTATTCAGCTCATCAGAGGATTGGAATATCCTTCTTAACTGGTTATATCTCTCTGAACTCATGTGATCTCTTTGTATTGCTTTGTTTTGTTTTGTTGTCATAGTTAAGAAGCCATTTTTTTTTGTTTACCTTTTTTTCTTGGAAAATCATGATCTCACAATTTGAACATTTAACCCATAAAAGTCTCATAAAATACACTTTCCATCATCACCACCATGTCCTCGCTTCCTGAAGGTTACTCAATCAGACGCTTGAAAGCCACTGATTTCGCTCGTGGTGTTCTCAACACTTTAACTGCTCTAACTACTGTTGGTGATGTCTCTCAACTTCAATTCGAAAACGTTGTTGCTAAATGGGATGCCTTGACTTTAATGAATGGTTCATATATTTATAACCCAGTGGTGATCATTAATGAGAAAGATGAAGTTGTTGCCACAGGTATGCTATTCATCGAGGAGAAATTGATCCATAATGCTGGTACTGTTGGTCATATTGAAGATATTGCGGTTAGAAAAGATCAACAAGGGAAATCTCTGGGGAAACTTTTAATTAAGAAATTATTAGAAATTGGTGACAAAGCTGGTGTTTATAAAATCATATTGGATTGTGATCCAAAGAATGTTGGATTTTATGAAAAATGTGGATTAAATGAAGCTGGTGTGGAAATGCAAATTAGATTTTGAGCTACAAAAAAACAGTCATGTTCTTGACTAAAGGTTTATTTATTCATAGCTAATGTACATTTCTCTTCTATATTGAATCCCACTTATATGTTTTCTAAACTCTCAATACTTAGAATCGAATTACCTCTAAGCACACATGATCCTATTTGTATTTTATCTTTTGTTTCATCAACTGTCTCCTCAAGCACAATGTTTAAAAATATCTGTATTTCTTCTAGTTAGTAAAAACAATCAAACTTCTCAAATCACTTAGGTATCTACTCACATCATAACCTCTCAAGTTCCCTGTAACTTTTCTTGAACCATTCAACTGTATTAGAACTCTTTTATCCATGTACTAAATAAAACATGTTAGTATTGACATCCCCCAATAACTAATACACTTTTAGATTCGACATACCTTCTTTAATTCTGGAGCTGAAACCATTTTATAATATCTGTCTGTATCTTATCAACTTATAATTTGATAGTTTGATTATTCTTCAATTAATCTTCAGTTCTATGATTTTTTTTCTATTTAGACAAAAGTGATTACTAAGTGATTAGTAATTCTGAAAGTATAAGTAATTCAACACATAAACAGTAATAAATGCCCCTTATTTGATGTAAAAGAAGACTAAATATCTTAGCAGTGACTTATACTATTCATTCCATCAACTTTCCCTTATTCGACTGAGCTTTGAATGTTGTAACGCAGTGAGTTAATCGTTGACTATAGCTTTCGCGAATCAGTTTTTTTATGTTTGTTTACTTCACGTAAACTTTTAATCACTTGAAGAACCTCAACAGCAAAAGATGGCAAACCCACTAGACCTATTCTCAGAAGATACACCCAATAGACACAGCTCTCAACTGATAAGACCATCTTCTCCAATCCAGGAAACAGAGACCCTCAAAGAGCTGAAACTGATTGAGCTACAGAAGGAATTGTTACAACAGAGAAATACATTGAAAGAAGATGTTCAAAGACTGGAGAGAGAATGGAATGATATGAGAAGTAATGTTGATATAGATGAAAATAATGAGGAGGATGATGCTATATTTGAATTACTAATACAGAAGGCTAATGAGGAGGAAAATACAACTCAAACCCAACCTAAGACAACAACAATAGATGATAATGATGCTGATGTTTTAGATAACTTTAGCGCTAAACCTTCCAAAAATTGGGATCTAAGGATTGAATATCTTCAAAAGTTTTATCCAGATGTTAGTATTACAAATTATTCATCAAAAGTCTCGTTGGAATATAATGATCCAACTAATCCTAAAAAATCACAATTCATCAAGACAATAGCTTTTGCATTAGGTTATACAAAGAATATAATAAGGTTAGAAGTTCAAGTGAAATTGACAAAAGTTGATAATATTTACAAGATTCATGATCTTATTATATCCAGAAAGTCAAATAATAGATTAAACACTATACTGATCACCATTATTAACCATTTTTCCCAAACAAAGAATGTTAATGAGTTTTTATACACCATAAACAAACTATACAAGACCTTGAACAACCGCCAAGAAACACTCAATAACCTTAATAAGATATACGGGAACGATACGACCAATATCTATGAAAATGAATTCAAATATAAGGATATATCCCTCTTATGGGATATAATATTTGAGAATGGTGAATTGAAAAGTTTGATCAATGTTAATGATGCTTATAATGATGTTTTCAATGACCTGACTGAACAATATGGTGTACAGAGAGGAACAGAATTACTCATAGCCACTATTTATCCAGAGGAGTCTAGGGATGTTGAGTAAATATTAAAAATGTCTAATGATTGAAATTTGTAGGTTATATGTTGGTGTCCGGGTGTTGTATCCCGCAAAATGAATTCGCGAATGGAATCGAGAAAAAAGCTCGAACTTTTTGGTGTAAAACAAACAAATGACGTGTGAGCTCTTTGTTAATTGATTATATACAAAGGGTGGTTAAATTGATCCTGAAATCATTTATTTGAATTTAATTAAAGATTGATATATTTTGCTGTCGAATAATTCTCCAAAATGCCACCAAGATACGATCCAATCCATGATATACTGATTGATGAAGCTGAACCATCAGATCAACCTGCCAAAGAGGAATCTATTGAAGAAAACCCAGAACAACCTCCAACTGAATCAACTTCGGATGAGAATGTGAAAGAAGAACAAAATGATGTTAAGACCAATGAGTTTGATACTGACGTTGAGATGAAGAATGAAGATACAGAGCCAGAAACAGAAACAGCACCACCACCACCTTCACTACAGCCTCAAGAGGACAATAATACATCTGAACAAAAGACTGAAGAAACAACTGATACAACCAATCCAAAGAAACACAAATTATCACCTTCACCTTCAAAAGTTCATTTGAAAAAAACAAAGAAACCAGGTAACAAGAGTGCAACAGTGCTAAGTTCAGCAAGATCTCGTCATTTAAAGAAGGATGATGGTAAACCATTCCTAAGAAAAGATATACAGTATCAATTTCTAAAAGATTTATTTGACAACAAAACAAGAGCCTTCCGTGACCCTTATGCAGATTCAAAGGATAAAGTCAACACAGAACCTGAAGATAGTACGGGGCATAAATTAACATTTGCAGAACTTTATATCAAGACAATTGCACATAGTTCGAAATGTTCCAAAATCTTGAGAGATCGGTTATTAAATGATATGAAAATGAGTATACCTACCAGCATGATCTGCTTGCTAGTTAATGTTGGTAGAATGAACACCACAATCAATTTTGTTCCAGATATGAAGTCACAATTGAGAACATATCATTCAATACCCTGTTTACAAGTTGATTATGATGCTTCGGAGAATAAATTCACCACTAGTGGTAACGGTGGTGATAAACAATTACAAGATACTCCTAGGTTGAAATCAATACTGAAGGCTTGTTGTGATGATACCGAGGAGCCAAATGCATTGGCTTTATTAGAGTCTGTGGAGAAGTTACCGAAAACTAGTGTTATAAATGTGATTTTCCTACTTTGTAATGCTGAAGAATCAATAAATAAGAAGTACTTGAATGGTGCTGGTTATACATTTTTTGATATTTTCATGAATGCTGATTATGATCCTGATAAAAGGGCATTATTGTTTTTATGGTTAGTTTATGCATATTTGGAAACAAACTTGACAGATGATGAAATTGCTGAAAATCCATTTGGCCATGGTGCTCCACCTGCTCTAACTAAAACTGATAAAGAACAAGATATTGATACACCAGAAGAAATTGAATTTGGTGAGAATTTGTATCATCAAAGAGTTAATTTCTTAGCAGAAGATGAAGCTGATCCTAAAAGGGAGGAGAAAGTTGAAAAGAAAAAAACATCTGAAACATCTTCTGCGTCTACTGAACCTTTACCAAAACCATTACTCATGAATACATCCAAAACAACAAGTGATAGTACTACAAAGACACCTATAAAGAAGTCCGAGAAGGCAACACCAATACAGAAATCAAACACGCCAGCTTCAAAGCAATCCATTGCAAAAGCCCACCAGGCTCAAACTCCATCATCATATTCACCTGTACCTCCATTCACACTACCACAATTACCAAAAAATGATATTGATACTGATAAAGTTAAGAAATCATTAAAATACCTAGCACGTATCTTTGGTAAGAAAAGGGACAAGATGGGACAAGTTAGATATGAGCACAACAGAATAGTGCTAGAGGAGCAGCTGGCAAAAGAGAAAGAGGAGGAGGAAATAAATGGTCCAGCACCAACTAATAACAGAATGAGACTCAAGAATTATAAAGGTGATTATGTGGAGAATAGTGACAAGTTTTATAAACTGTTCAATCTTTTGAAGAATGATTTTGTGGAGATGACCAAAGCTGATGAAGAACATGATGTTAGTGTAAACGTGGAGTATGAAGACACATCCAAGGACTTGACTTTGAAATCTTTTAGTTTGGACTTTTGAATTAAATTTATGATGGTGATAATTTTTTGTAAAACGAGTTCGCGAATTAATGATGTGATTACCTAATCTCTTGATAATTATTTTCGATACGGCCAGGCCCACGTGCCCATCAAGAGCCATACGCATTTTACGCCAGTTTGGAAACAGGAAAATGGCTGCTTCAAGCACATTCACACAGAGCATCGAGTTAGCTGCTGTATTTGTTATAAATTGTACCCACGCTGCCGTTGCAAGAGATTCAGAGCTATCCATCATAGAGTCCATATCCAAGACCATAATACTAGAAAGCAATTGCGGTTGACAGGATGTTATTTGGTGTCAGACTATCAAACGAAATATTCCCTCCATGGGCAGACTACTACATCGGTTATGACAAGTTGAAAAAACTGATGAAAGAATCAGCAGTCCCTGATTCTGGATCCAAGAAGAATAAAAAGGGTAAAGATGCTGAAGAGTTCACTGATCGTGATGAGAATATATTTGTTTCAGCGTTGGATAGTGAATTGGAAAAAGTTTACACTTTCCAAACAAGTCAATATAACCAGTTGTTGAAGAGAATTGAAGAAGTGGAAAATAAAGTGAGCTCTATGAATCTAGAAGATGCTGCTGGATCCAAAGATAAGTTCGATTGGACAGGTTTACAAACCGAATTGGAAAATATCCTTAGTGAATCTAAGGAATTGGATCATTTTGCAAGATTGAATTTCACTGGATTTCAAAAAATTGTCAAAAAGCATGATAGAATTCATCCAAATTATAGTTCTGTAAAAGCGTTATTATCAATCAGATTGAAAGAATTACCATTCCATTCAGAAGATTATTCCCCTTTATTACATAGAATCTCCAACTTATATTCATTCTTGAGAGAAAACATTTCATCAGCTTCATACCTTTCCAACATTGGCTCTCAAAGAGGAAGTGCCTCTTTACCAAATGCTAGTACTTCAGTTTCAAGTGTCACTGCTCATGAAGATGCTGAATTCCAATCATTTAAATTTTGGATCCATCCTGATAATTTGATGGAGGTCAAAACAAGAATTTTAAGACATTTACCAGTTTTAGTTTATTCAAATGATGAAGCTGATACTAATCATGGTGATACTTATGATCCAACCATTTCTTCATTATATTTTGATAATGGTTCTTTTGAAGTTTACAATTTGAAATTACTTAAATCAAATGCTTCCCCTACACTAAGATTAAGATGGTCTGGTAGATTATCTGATAAACCTGATATCTTTTTAGAGAAAAAAGTTGTTGATAAATCAGTTAATGATGAAAATTTGAATGAAGTTCGTTTGAAATTGAAGGAGAAATATTTAAAAGATTTCATTATTAATGGTGATGTTGATGAATTTAAACAGAAAACTTTGGGAAGATTCAAAGAGATGGGTTCATCTGCTGCTTATTTACAATCCTTAGAACATGATATTGATGATGTTGATAAATTTATCAAACAATTTGACTTACAACCTGCTTTACGTTCAGTTTATACAAGAACCGCATTCCAAATACCTGGTGATGATAGAGTTCGTATCACAATTGATTCTGATATTTTATTCATCAGAGAAGACTCATTTGATCAAGATAGACCAATCAGAAATCCAAAAGAATGGCATAGAACTGATATTGATCAAAATATTGAAAATCCTTATCAATTGTTGAGAAAGAATGAATTTACAAAATTCCCACATAGTGTTATGGAGATTAAAATTAAAAACACAACAGGTAGAAAAGGCTCAGATTTGAATGGTATTAGTATTCCATTTTCAAGAAAACATGGTAAATGGATTGAAGAATTAACCACTTCACATTTGGTTAAAGAAGTTCCAAATTTTTCAAAATTCATTCAAGGTATTGCTTCATTATTTTTGGAAGATGATAGATTAGACATTTTACCATTCTGGTTACCTGAATTGGAAGATGATATCCGTAAGAATCCAAATGATGCTTATGAAGAATTGAAAGCCAAGCAAAAATCTGATGATGAATACAAGAAAAAATTAAAGAGATTCTCAGTCTCACGCACAAACAGTCCTATTGTGCAAGCTCAAACACATTCAAATCAACAGATTGAAGAGATACATGACGCTGACTTGGAAGATCATGAATCATCAGATGAAGAAGGCCCTTCAAATCATCATCAAAGAAGTCATAGAAAGCAACGTGTTGCAAATTATCTTCCATTCTTCTCTGGTTCTTCAAAATTGAATGACGTTTATTCAGAAGATGAAGAAGTTGTCCTACCACCAGGTGTTCAGCAACCTAAAACTTTATTAAAACAAGCCGGTCCAGTTAAGGTGGAGACTAAAGTCTGGTTAGCAAATGAACGTACTTTTAATAGATGGTTGAGTGTTACCACATTGTTTTCAGCTTTAACTTTTTCAATTTATTCATCAGTTTCAAAAGCTCAATCTGAATTCACTGCTGAAGTTTTAGCCTACATTTATTTTGCATTAACCCTATTTTGTGGTATTTGGGGTTATGTCACTTATAACAAGCGTTTAAGCTTGATTAAATTAAGAGATGGTAAACATCTAGATGCTCCATTAGGTCCATTAGTTGTTGCTGCTGGTGTCCTTGGTGCTATTATTATTAATTTTATTGTTGGTTTTAGACAAGCAGCCTCAAGAATCAATATAATGGAGGATCAACAATTACATCCATTAATCAGAGCAGTTAATGAATACATTTTCAGATTAGTTGGTGCTAAACAATAATATAAAGACACAAGTACCAGCTTGTATAATAAAAACACTTAATTAATACAAATAATAATTTTTTCTTTATTGTCATGAATTTGGAACGTACATAAATATTATACATCGATTTTATCATCAACTTTACGTAAAAATCCAACAACCCTACCCATATCAACTTCATCAGGATCACTCTCCACGGCTTGAACTAAACCATCCAATATACTATCAATTGTATTCTCTTCAACACCAGTACATAATGCGACAACTCTTCTGAATTTTGATTCCAATTTTGATGAATTTGATCTCAATTCCTGTATGATATTGTTCAAATCTCTTTCATTCTCTTTATATGCAGTGATTCTGGCTTTCAACACAACTGATGGTGGGATATCTTGTAAATTGATATTTCTTGGATCTGGTGTTTGGTTTGGATGTTTTTGAAATTCATTATAGATAGGCCATACTCTAAATGGTTCATCTGCATCAAAATCAACATCATAATTACCTATTGAACCTAATTCAGTAGTTTGATCAATGAATCTTTGTTCCTCTTCTGAAGTTGCCTTATCTAGGTTTGCTATTCTTTGTTTCAATTCATTTAATTTAATTTCAGATTGTTTTAAAATATCTAAATTTTGACGACTTTCTGATAATTTTTGTGTAGATTCTCTTAATCTTGAATGTAATTCATCAATTTGCTTTTGCTTTGTGGAGATCTCTGATTTGAAATCATTATCTAATCTGGATAAAACTTTTTGCATTGAATCAAGGATTTTTTGCGAGCTTTGTCCACCATTCCCACTTATTTGATTATAAGGTGTAGTTCCATGACCTGCTGAACTAGTTGAGCTTAGTGTTCTTTGTTTAGCACTAGCTAGTCCATTAACATTAATACCAAAATCTATTGGTCTGAGTCCTGCTCTATTAGGTATGGATGGATCAGCACCAACATCTAATAATTGTTGCACTATAGCTTTATTACCAATTCTTGCGGCGATATTCAAACAAGTATCACCATTTTTATCTTGAGCATTGACAATCTCATTCATGAATTTCCCCAAACTTATAGCACTTTTAGGTAAATAAGTACCAGTCTTCACTATCCATTCCAATAAAGTTTCCAAATAATAGCGACTAGCTGCACTTCTTTTCTTAATACCAGCAGTAAGTGCAATGTGATGCAGTACTGAACGACGTTGATGATCCAAAAGTGGTATACAAGGATACAATAAATTTAACAATTCATGGAAAGAGCCTTGGTCATAATTGTTGGTAACCAAGACTGAACGTATAAGTGGACTTTCACCTGTTTTATTACCTCTAATACGAATAGAGCCACGACGTACTAATTCAGAAACTAGTGGAATCCGAGCTAACGCAGCAGCCCAATGTAGTGCAGTGTGACCCAGTTCATCAATTGATACATCTAAATTAACACCAGATAATGCTGACTCACCACCAACAGCGTCTGCTAAAGCGTTAGCCTCTTGTGACAGGAAAATTTGTGTTATGACATCTTTTGAATGTTCAAATTCAGGGATATAACCAGATAAAGGCTCTAAAGTGAATGGAGTATTTGGGTTATCAATATTCAAATCATGATCAAAAGTTTCAAATTGAATAGCATCACCATTTTCCAAATTTTCAGTAGGTATTGTTTTTTGCTTTTTAGTTGGTGATTCTGCATTGTTTATTAATTCTGTTTCATCATTTTCAGTTAATGTTGAATATGAACGACCTAAATTGGAAGGTTGTTGTTTTAAATCAAAGGATTCTTTTAATCCAAGCTTCTTCTTTTGAGCAGCAATAGCTTGTTCTTTTGTTGGTGTATCATTAGCTTCTTCACTTGAAACGTTGAATAAAAATAATGGTTTCAAATCTTCATAAACACCATATTGTTGTGATAAGGCAACTGCTCTATCATAAGGTATCCAAGTTCCTTGAAATTTACCATATCCGCCTTGAACTTTTTCATGAGTCCCTGTATGGACCTCCCTTTCCAGTATTTTAGTTCTTTTAGTTTTATCTAAACCTGCAACTTTTAAAATTTGAGTAGCATTGAATGAAGAATCGTTTCTTCTTCTCATAACGGAGACACCACGTACTGTCATTTCTATTACTTTAACACCAGAATACATGGCTGTATATATTGTGTTTATATCATAAGCGGCATTTTTATAAAAAGACTCGTTTGTTTGGTTAGGGTCTATCTCAGTGGAGTCAACATCTTGAGTGGTTGTAGCATCATGGTCTTCAATATCCAAAGACATCATAATTTAGTAAAGGGTTGTTCTGGGTGCCCTTTTTGCCTTAAATGAATGGGGTTTTTTCGATGAACTTGATTATACCGTATCACTGAACTTAGCAATGACCTTCAGAATGATTATTCCTTCTTCTCAGTACCTAATTCCACGGTTTAAAAGCGAGACAGAAGTCAAACTCAACATGTCGCGTCTAGTGAAAACTCGTGAAAATCCAAAAAATCGTGGTTTGTTCCGAAAAGGGAAATTGCTGGTTGGCCCAGCATATTCGCGAATATCTTTTTTTTTGCAAAACGAGTTCGCGGAAATCAGTTTTTTTTACCCGCAAATTCGCAAGTAGCCAAAGTAAAAATGTAAATAAACAGTTTCATGAGCTTTTAATATTCCAAACCACAATTCACCAGAATCACCACCATGTCTTTTGAGAGACAGGGCCCTGTGCTCGCAAGAAAGAGAAAGAGAAACACAGACTATAAACACACCAATTCACACCCTTCCAATCGTCAAATCATCAACTCATCCCATTTGCATAGAGACTCATCATTCAGTACACCAATTAAACCAAAGAGTGTTCCTGATAACTTTAGTAGGCGTAAGGGGAAAGACTGGACAAAAGTTGGTAAAAATGATGATGAAAAGGAAGACAATGATAATGCAAGATTTGTGCTGAAGTTGTTCACAAGTTTGACATCCACTATTTATAAGAAAGCTGCTCATCTGATCAAGGAACAATTTAAACATGAGCCTGAGGAGAAAACATCACCATCTAAAAGAAGAAAAGTGGATAAAGAAGCGGCAAAAGTAGAGGACAAGAAATCTAAGATTGATCGTAAAGCTGCATTAGAAGCTATTAATTTCAATCCAGACATTAAAGATGATTATAAGAATGTCTCATTTATCAAATCACCAATTGATTGGGATCTTAAGGAAACACTTGCAGTTGATGGGAGCTCAGAAGGTACGAATGATTATGGTACGAGTTTCATTAGACGTAAGAACAAATACACCAAACCAAACATTGAATCAAAATACATGAGATCTGTCTATAGTGGGCAATATAGAACACCAACTCCAACAAATACAACTCCACCAACACCTTCAAATAGCTCAGATGATGATAAGAAACTGCTTTCTTCAATGCATAGAATCACTGAAGATTTGAGAAAGAATTGGGGTGGAAAAAAGAAGAAGTCAGATGATGATGTTATTTTCCTGAAAGAAGTTAAACTACCGCCAGCTACTCCATCAAGATTCTCACTAACTTTTGATCTGACCAAATTGACATTTGAGCAAGAATTCAAATATTATCAAAAAATATTGAACGAAAGAAGAAAATTACAAGATAAGATACATAAGGATAAACTAGAGGCGGAATCGACTTCTAAATTAATTGAAAAACTATCTGAAGATGATGAAAATAAGGTGTTAAACATTTGGAAAAGTAAAGGCAGAGACTCACAGATGTTATTACAAGCATTTAATATTGATGTTAAAGTCATTGATTTCAAAACGTTAGCTGATAAACATTGGTTAAATGATGTTGTTATTGAATTATTCTTGAAAACTTTAATCACAGATAAAGTTTATGCCTTCAATTCATATTTCTTCACCACTATAGAATCTAGAGGTTATACAGGTGTTAATAGATGGATGAAAAGGGCAAAAGTTAATATTGCAGATATAGATAAGATCTTGATACCCATCAATGTCCATCAAACACATTGGGTTTTAGGGACTATTGATATGAAGAAGAAGAAAATATTGTACATGGATAGTTTAACTACTAGAAAGACACCACACGGTGAAAGAGCATTGAACTTGATGTATGATTTTGTTAAGGGAGAAACCAATAAACAAGGTGTACCTCAACTGGCTGAAGGTTTTACAATGGAGCATCTTTTAAAAGTTCCACAACAACAAAATGGGTTTGATTGTGGTGTCTTTACTTTATTGAATGCCTTTTATATTTCCAAAAACGAGGCCCTAACTTACCAACCAGCAGATGCCACCACGTTTAGAAGAATCATTGGAAATACGATATTATCACTGTCGTCCAAGAAATAATAAATAGTCTTTTTTCTTTGGCTTAATGTTGTAGTTTTTCACTTTATTTGGTACTCCGAAGTCATTTTGTTGCTCGATTTCAAATGGTCCCCATACAAAAAAAAAATCTTGATCATGTCTCAAAGATCAAAACCTCAATCAATTGTGAACCAAGACTCAATTCAATTGAAAAGAATCAATTCAAATGTCAATTTCTCAAAAGGACTTACAGAAAGTGGCTGCCATTCTCAAAAGTAGCCCAAAAGTCATCTTTATGGTGGGTGCTGGTATATCAACTGGGGCAGGTATTCCAGATTTCAGATCTCCAAAGACAGGACTTTACCACAATTTACAATCACTAGACTTACCATATGCTGAAGCTGTTTTCGATATCTCCTTCTTCAAATCTAATCCAAAACCCTTTTATACATTGGCTAAGGAGTTATATCCTGGTCAATATGTCCCTACAAAGTTCCATTTCTTTATGAAGCTGTTACAAGATAAGAAGTTGCTTCATAGAGTGTATACCCAAAACATTGACACATTGGAAAGAGTGGCGGGCGTTGAAGCTGACTATATAGTGGAGGCTCATGGAAGTTTTGCTGAAAATCATTGCATCAAGTGTCATAAAGAATTCTCTGGTGATGATTTTAAAAAAGATGTGTTTGATAAAAAAATACCAAGATGTAAAAGTTGTAAAGGGTTGGTGAAACCTGATATTGTGTTTTTTGGTGAAGGTTTGCCTGAAAGGTTCTTCAATCAATGGGAGGAAGATTTGGAGGATTTAGAGAGTGCTAAGGATGGAGAATTTTTAACAATTACAGCTGGTACTTCATTGACCGTGTATCCATTTGCTTCATTGCCTTCTGAAGTTCCTAAGAATCAGAAAAGAGTATTGGTGAATAAAGAACGTGTTGGAGATTTTAAATCCAAGAGGGAAAATGATGTGGTGTTTTTAGATGATAGTGATGAATTTGTTGAATCTTTATGTGATCTGTTAGGTTGGAGAAAAGAACTCGATAGTCTGATTGCAAAAGGTACTAAGGATATCAAAGGAATAAAACATGAAACTGCAGAAGAGAAAGCTAAAGAGATTACAGAAGATGTCAAAGAAGAATTGGAAGAGGAAGCAAAAGAAGATGAAAAGAATCTACAAGATCTTACAAAGGATTTGGGTACTCTAAATTTAGAAAAATCAAGAGATCCTACTTCCAAAAGTATATAAAATGTCATAAATATTCATACACATATTACTGACTCATTTAGAAAATGCCTTGATTGCAGCTTCTGCCTTGATGATGTTTTCATTTGATAAGTCAATCTTATCAGCTAGATAAGATAATCTTCCTCTAAATGCTCTCTCATTTGCAAAATATGATAATTTTTGAACTTCTTCCTCAAATTTCTGAATCTTTTGAGTTTCTGCACTAATGATTTTCAATAAATATGCAGTTTCCAATACTTTTGATACTGATTGATCTTTAACCAAGTTTTGGAATGCAGCTCTATAGATTGGTTTAGCTGGGACAATTTTATCCATGATACCACGATCCCTTGAAATACCAATCAATCCATTACGTTCCAATTCAATTAAGCCAGATTCTGGTGCAGATTTGAACAATGGATTGTAAATCAGCTTCTTAAAACTAACTTCTTCATTTTCAGCTAACAATTTCATCAATTCCCAAGCTTGAGCATTTTTCATTCCTTGATCTTTTGAAAGGAAAATTTGTGTAATTTGTTCCGCTGTTTGACTAACCATTCTATCCAAAGCTTCTAATGGAGCTTCCCCAGATTTCACACGTCTTACAAAAGCTTGTAAATCTAACATTCTACCACCGATTGGTCCCAATGCTTTATCTAAATCCTTAGAAATTGAGTGTAATTTCACTGCATCAAGTTTCTTTTCTTGCAAATTTTCATCATCTGAAGTATCTGCGACATTATCATCTTGTAATTGGCCCAATACATAGGATTTAGCAGATTCATGCGATGCATCAGATAATCCAATTGTTTTGAACACTTGGTCAGGTAAGGATTCTGATAAGAATTGAGAAGTGCCAACATCTTCTGTCAAAAAGATAACATGTGCCAAGTTCATTGAAATCAACATTGCAGTCCAGTCAGCCAATTCTTTATAGACAAAGGCATTACTTTCAGATTTATTAGTAGTGGAGAATCTATCAATAACAATAACTGGTTTCTTTTCAGGATGTTGTTGTAAGAAATCTTCCTCTTTCACAGGGGTTGCGTTTTCACCAGAACCGATAATTGCTTTATAACCTGATAATGAGATATTTCTGACCGCTATCAATACACTTGATAATATATTTCTGAATTGAACATCTTTTGACTCTGCGAATCCAGATTTTTGACCAGTTAACCCTTGAACACCTAAATCTATAACATTTGAGAATGAATTCAACCATGGGAACACAGGGAAATAACCAACTTCATGAGCAGCGTTAGAAATGAATTGAGAATCGGTTCTTGATTTCACTAGCTTATCACAATCAATGTATAAAATGTTATCACGATCATGAAGTGCATGTTGCATAACTAATTCATGTTTACCAGTACCTCTTGGACCTCTAACAATGATAAAAGTGTTGACATTTTCCTCAATCCATAATTTCAATTCTTTAACAATATCTAATCTCTCGGACCATAAACCTCTTCTTGGACCACCTTTAGCATCTTGACCAATCAATTTTTGGAATGAACTGATTGTGGTGTTTGTAAGATCATTCACCCATTTCACAACAGAATTCTTTTTACTCAAAATGAATTTGTTTGTAATCTTGTTTTCAATACAGAACTCTCTGATTGGATCAAAAATAACAACTGCCAATGTTGCAAGAACGGCCAATATTAAAGGAATTGCAATTCTAGTGTGATTAACTAACCAATCAATCAACACATTCTTACTATTATATTTCTCGTATTGGATATGTAATGTAGTATCATTCAATTTCATACCTGTAATACAATTTTTGGAACAAATGGCACCTCTAAAAGATCTGAAAATCACAGTTGCCTTCTTATCTTCTTCTGATGCGGGTTTGATGTCATAAATTGTACCATATCTTCTAAACAATGAATATAACTCTTCCTCACTCAATGCTGGACCAGTGAATTTAACTTTGATGGTTCTATTTGGAAATCTTCTTAAATCTTCAATCCATGGAACACCCTTCACAGGGAAAGCTGCAGATTGGGTTATCCAATTCAATAAGCCATGTTTACTTTCTTTAACAGTATTTTGTTGGATCTTGGAATTCAATTCAGAAACAGTATAGTTTGGAGGAACCTTAAATTTCACAAAAGCACCACCATCTCTCTTGATAGGAACTAATTTTGTAATTTCTAAGCCTGGAATTGAGACACTCCCATTTTCTTCAGGGTTTGCAAGTTTCATGACATGGGATTGAATAGCCTCAGGTCTCTTATCAGATACAATCACATATGAGATCCATTGTCTAACATCCCATATACTTGAACGGAATGGTAACACATGGTCAAAGTAAAGCATTGTTTCTTGATCATCTTTCTCAATAACACCAGTTTCATTTGCATCAACCGATTCACCAGCTTCGATGTCTTTTTTTTGGATATCATCACCTGCGAATCTTCTAGGAACGTAAAATGCTGGTCTCGGTGTTATTAGTCTTGTTCTAATTGGATTTGAAGCCAATTTAATGGATCTGGCACCAAGATATCTCATCACCATTATGTGCCAAATTGTTTATTCTCTAATCAGCTTAAGGAAATGATATTTGAATATTAACAGAACTCTTTAAGATCAGAACTAAAGCATGAATTTGAATGCAATCTTCTGTTTTCCTTGATTCCTAAAGGCCAATTGAGTGTATTCGATTCAATCACAAGTTGCTATTTAATTTTGCTTCCAAAGGGTTTCCAAATCTTGATCATCATAGAAAAACGGAAATACGAGGTCTGTGCTCGGAAGTTGCCACTCGCTGAAAAATTCATGAATCAAAAGAGTCCTGAGCTTTGGAATATTGGATCAGAATTCTCGAGAAGTTTTGCCATAAAATGAAGGTAAGTGATCTGGAAATACTGTTGATGGTTTATTTCGATTCTAACAGACCCTAGCAAAGAGTTACCTCGTTGGATTTGCAGATTTTGGTCTCAGAATTGCAAAATGAGATTACAAACTATAGATTGCAAAACATTTACAACATTGCAACTTCAAATAGGCAATATCTCTTGAAATTTGGATTACCAGACTCCAAGAAGAACTTGGTGTTGGATTGTGGATTCAAGCTTCATTTAACTGAGTTTTCAAGACCAACACCTCAGGCACCATCTAACTTTGTTGTCAAATTGAGAAAGCATTTGAAAAGTAGAAGATTATCAAGCATCAAGCAAGTTGGAATTGACAGGGTCCTTGTTCTAAGTTTCAGTGATGGTATGTACCATCTTGTATTGGAGTTTTTCAGTGCAGGTAATGTCGTGTTATTAGATCATGAACGTCGTATTATGGCCTTGCAAAGATTGGTTGAAGAAAAGGGTAATAATGATAGATATGCTGTTGGTGAGACTTACAATCTATTTGATGAAAGTTTGTTTGAAGAAGATGAACAAGTTGAACCAAAGTTTGTCCCAATTCAACATGATGCTTCAACTATCCAACAATGGATCAATGACAAAAAAGTCACACCTTCTGATGATAAAGGAAAGAAAAATAAAGTTTTATCAATTCAAAAAGTTTTATATCAAAAAGTTCCATACCTTTCAGCTGATTTAATATCTAAAAACTTGCACAAGCATTCAATCAACCCATCGTCATCAAGTTTGGAATACCTAGAGAGAGCTGATGAGCTTGACACTGTTCTTAAAGAAACAGAATCTGAAGTACAAACCATTTTACACACTAAACCATTGACCGGATATCTTGTTTTGAAGCACAATCCATTATATGATGCTTCAAAAGATGAAGAAGATACAAAGTTTTTATATGAACAATTTCACCCATTTGAACCTGCTCAGTTAAAAGATGATGAAGAGCTGGTGCAAATTCAAGGCTATAACAAGACTCTTGATAAATTCTTCTCGACTATTGAATCGTCAAAATATGCCTTGAGAATTCAAAACCAAGAAAATCAAGCAAAGAAAAGATTAGATCAAGCAAGAAATGATAAACAACAACAAGTTCAACGTTTGGTTGATGTTCAAGCTGTTAATAGTCTTAAAGGTGAAACTATCATTTTCAATGCTGATATTGTTGAAGAAGCTAAAGCTGCTGTCCAAGCTCTTTTGGATCAAAGTATGGATTGGAAAACTATTGAAAAATTGATCAAGATTGAAAAAGGTAAAAATAATAAAGTCGCCAGTGCTATTAATTTACCCTTAAACTTGAAAGAGAATAAGATTAGTTTGAATTTGTTAACTGAAGCTGCTTATGAAGATGATGAGGAAGAAGAAAGTGAAAGTTCAAGTGATTCTGACTCTGATTCTGATGAAGATGAAAAGCCAAAAGCAAAGAAGGATAATAAAGTGAAGAATAGCATCAATGTCACAATTAGTTTGGGTTTATCAGCCTTTGCAAATGCTTCTGAATATTTCACTGTGAAAAAATCAACTGTTGAAAAACAGAAAAAAGTTGAACAATCTGCTTCAAAAGCTTTAAAAAATATTGAACAAAGAATTGAAAAAGATTTGAAAAAGAATTTGAAACAGGAAAATGACATCTTGAGGAAATTGCGTAATCCATATTTCTTTGAAAAATTCAACTGGTTCATCTCAAATGAAAATTATTTGATCATTTCAGGTAAAGATGATTCACAAACAGATCTAATCTATCATAGATATGTTAATGACGACGATATCTATGTCAATGCTGATATTGATGGTTCAAGTCATGTTTTCATTAAGAATCCTAATAAAGGTGAAGTTTCCCCTTCAACTTTAATGCAAGCTGGTATTTTGTCCTTGGCCACTTCAAAAGCATGGGATAATAAGATGGTTACTTCTCCATGGTGGTTATATGCTTCAGATGTTACCAAGAATGATATTGATGGTACTATCTTAAAGGCTGGTTCATTCAGATATTTGAAGGAGAAGAATTTTCTGCCACCAAGTCAACTGGTTATGGGGTTTGCATTCTTGTGGAAGATTAAAACTGAAGAAAATCAAAAAGAATTGGAACAACAACTCGAAGAGTTGGATAATTTGGACATCAATGATATTCAGCAAGATGATAAAGAATCTAATGAGGTGGAAAGTAAAGCACCTGAGCCTGTTGAGGAAGTTAAAGAAGAAGAACCTGAAACCACTGAGGATGCGGAAGAAGCTGAAGAGGGAGAAGATCAAGAATCTGATGACCAAGAGGAAACACCTGAATTAGAATCACAGTTTGATACCATGTCATTAGCTTCAAAAGCTTCAAAACAAAAGAAACCAGTCAGAGGTAAAAAGAGTAAGATGAAAAAGATTGCTTCAAAATATGCTGATCAAGATGAAGAAGAAAGAAGACTCAGAATGGAGGCATTGGGTACCTTGAAGCAACAAAACCAAAGAGAAGAAGAATTAAAGAAACAACAAATACAAAAAATCAATCATTTGAAAAAAGTTGAGAAAAAGAAAAGACAAGAAGAGATCACAGCAAATAAATATGCAAATTACAAGGAAAATATCAACTATGATAAAATCATGAATGAATTGACACCAACTCTACATAAAGAAGATGAAATTCTGGAAGCCATTCCTGTTTTCGCCCCATGGAGTGCTTTACAAAAATACAGATATAGAGTTAAAATTCAACCTGGTAATACTAAAAAGGGTAAAGCCGTTCAAGAAGTTTTACATTATTTGAATATGAGACCTACAGACCCAAGTGAAAGTGATAGAAATTATGATTGGCCAAGAGAACATGAAGCAATTGCTGGTTTGAAAGATACTGAATTGTTACCATCCATTTATGTTGGTAAATTAAAAGTTTTACTACCTGGTAAGAGTTCTGCTGCTAAGAGTACAAACAAATTTGCAAACAGCAGAAAATCCAAAAAGAAATAGTTTTGATGAAATACAAACTTTTGGCATCTCTAGATACTGCTTTTTCTTGTTCATTGTAATTTACACGTATACACCACCTTCAGTTATTAAAGACCTTGTTGTAATCTTTCAGCTAATTTGCCTCTAGCAAAATTGAAAGCATTGAATAAACCTTTTTCACTCAAATCAATGTTTTTCAAACTTGGTTCATTAGTTGGGGCTTTTGAAGTTCTTGCTGCAATTATTGATGATTCAGTTTCTAAAATAATACCATCATCAATTGTTTCATCTGCAGCTATACTGACTTTATCATAATTTTCTTGAATAGTTTTTTTATCCACTTGGAAATTCAAAACTTTGTCTAAACCGTCTTTAAACCCTTCTAGAGTTGTGAATAATACAGATTCATTTTCATCTAAGCCACTAACTAAATATATCACCACGTCAGAAACTTCTTTATAAACAACGATATGATTTTCGAAAAGTATGATATCACCATTTTGTTTAAAAGTCTTTGCAAACAATGCTTTCTCGAATGATTTTTGAGCTTTCAAACTTGAAAACTTTGATTCTTCTTGCTCTTGTTGATGAGGTGCTTTATAGTATTTGGCATATAATCTTTTACCTTCATTATCTAGTATTAAAAACGCATCAACAGCGTAAAGTGATAGATTTTTTGACATTTGTATGGATTAATAGAGCTAACGAATCCAGTCTCTCCCAAACCAAGCAACCAATTGACGCTCTTGTGTGGCTAACTCTCGAGTCTGTTGTTTGATTTGACGTGTTTGAAAGAATGAAATGTTGATTTGATCGAAATCGATCCTGGCCCAATTCCGGGTAGCACTTTTCGCGAATTTTTATTTCTTGACCTCGAATTTGGAAAACATCAACACAATTGAAGCCTCTAAAAACCAACCAAAACAGAGGCAAATTAGGAGCTTGAAAGGTATCCAATGAGTCCCTCGTCATTCAATTTCTCGGTGCTTAGGGTCACAATTATACAGGTGAGCTTTTTTTTCATGTTTTTTCGCCTTAATAGAAAATACTAACACCACTAAACCAGTTGTTAAGATCCATAGGATTCGATAGATGTCCACCAACGCTGATAGATATATTGACTGATATTTACATAAGGCATCTCCAACTACTGGCTTCAGAATGTATATCTCTTGCTGATCTTCAGGGTAGACGGGAAATCAAAATTCAAGACATTACACAATCATTGGAAAACATTGGAATGATCAAACCAACAAACATACTAGATATTTATGATCAGTATGAAGGTCCAAACAAAGGCGCGGAAAACTTCTTGCTGTGGGTTGTGGGTAGCATTCCTGAAAATTCCCGTGTGGTTAGCAAACCAACACCAGAAATGTTGAATACAAATAAGGTGAAATCAAATCCGGTGATTCCTGAATATATCAATGCATTAAATAACAGGCAAGATCCTGATGAAATAAATGGTGATGCTCTAAGAAATGATCAACAAAGGCAACAACAGCAACAACAAGATGAGATCTTGGATGATGATTGGCTCAAGTTTTTGATGAAAAAACAATCCAAGATTGGTCATGAAGAGAGATTCAAAAATACAATTTTGAACACACAAACTTCAAATTCACATAGTGATTATACAGTTGTTGGTCCAAGAAATGAAAAATTGGAGGAAAAATTACCTTACAATATACGGTATGAGGAAGATGATGATGATGAAGATATAAATATAGGCTCAAGACAACAATCAGTGGAATATAGAAGCGATAGTTACTATTGAATCCTAATTTTTTTAATGAACAAAAAGTAATGATCACCTACGCATTTCAAATTACCTGTAGTTTTTCTATTAATATACAAAATGTGAATCCCCTCCATTAAAACTTCTTACGAGCTTTAAACTTTTGTCTTGGTTTACCAACTTTGTTGTTCTTATTAACGAATTTTGGTCTTTCATTTCTAGCTGGTCTTGAAGTTTCCTCACCATCATCCTCACCATCATCTTCATCATTATAAGCTTTAGCACCTCTCTTGAATTTGAATTTATTCTTTTGACCTTTAACTGGTCCAGATCTAACAGCTTCAACATAAGCATTAATACCTGATGTAATAGATTTCAATGGATCTTCATCATCGGCATTGTTTTTATCATTGAAATGCAATCTACCATCTTTTTCAAATTCTGATGCATTGATCTTTCTACCACCTTTCTTTTGTGGTTTTGATGAGGAAATGTGAGATAAAGCTTGACGATCTAATAAATCTAATGGTTCATCATTAGATTGTAGAATATATTGGTTACCTTTCTTATTATTTCCTTCTTCAGCATCGTCTTCATCTTCATCTTCTGATTCATAAAGAACTTCTTCATAAGCGTTAGAGAATTTAGATTTTTTAGAATCTTCAGCATCTTCTTCGCCTTCTTCAGCTTGTCTTCTCTTAGCTCTTGCCTTTGTTTTTCTAATATTGTTCAACAATTTCTTATCTTCTTCTGGGAAATTTTCCTCAATAGCTTCAAAACCAAATCTTCTAATTAATCTTTCAATAATATGTTTAACTTTTGATTTGAAATGACCAGTATGTTCATGTGACCAACGTAACAAGTTTTCCAACATGGTTTTCAATTTTGGTCTAACAAGTTCTTCTGGTAAACTAATAGCTGCGATTTTGGCAAATCCAATAGCAGATTTAGCAATTTCTTTATTATTAGTAGTCAAGAAAAGATCAACAGTTGAAGTTATTTCAACTAATAAATCTGTTGAAATTTGATCTTTAAATTCATAAATCAAACAACTAATAGCTGTGATGGTAATACTAATTTGATGGTTGTTATCACCACCTAACCCACCAAGAACCATCTTCAAATATTCTTCTAAACTACCTTCTGAATCTGGAGTATCATCTGGGAAACCATCAAGTTTTGAAAGTTTAACAACACCTCCTTTATTCATCACATTACCCATTTCAATCAAAGTTTTATATGATAATTCTCTTGTTTTTTCATTAACACTTGTAGTTGACAACGTTATTTCTGATAAAACACCAGGAATGAAATTTAAATGATCTGAAGGTAAGATTTCTAAAATTGTGGAGATGGCTGATAATCTTGCAGCTTTGGCAGAAGGATGAACATTATTGGTGTTATCAATGATAACTTTTTCAATAGATTCAATAAATTTACTCAAAGCTTGAGTACCAGTTGGAGTTTCAACAAGTTTAGAGATAATTCTATAAGCTCTTTTTTGTAATAATGGTTCTTCGGAAGTAACAACTTGGTTGAAAATCATGAATAAAGCATAATATGATGATTCTGGAACATATTTAGCCATGGCAACAACTAAATCCATCATGGTGACACTTAACTTAGATTTGTTTTTAGCTTGTTGTTGGTTAGCTTCACTTTCCAAGGCATCTTTCAACAATGATGAAACTTTGTTAAAAGTTGCTTCCAAATCAGTTGGTGAAGAAATACTCAAATAAGCATCAATTGTTTCCATAACAAAACCTCTTGATTCTGGAACTGTTTGTGAAAAAACATTAAATAAAACAGCCAATATGTTTGATGATTTTGTAGCCAAGTATTCAACATTAGATTGAGCTTCTTTGATAGAAAATTGTTGAGATAATAATTCATCATCGGCTAATGCACCATTAGCATATGCAACATTACTTTCAACCAACAATCTTAAAGCATGACAAACGTTAACTCTTAATTCAACATTTGAATACAACAATTGTGATAAAGTTTGAGCAAATTCATCAGTAAAAGATTTTTGTAAATCGTTTGGTAAATCAGCAAAATGTGGTAATAATGACCAAGTTTGATCAATAATAGTTTGGAAAATCTTGGAATGAACAGAGTTTTTATCTAGGGAACCCACTTTTTCAGAAAATGCTTCAATCAATGGCATGAAATGTTGAATGAAATATCCTAATCTTGCAAAACGGACATTATCCCTCAATAATGGTAATAACCAAGCTCTACCAGTTTTATTAGCATCAAGTAAATTCAGTGGCAAAACATTTAGGACAACTTCAGGGCCTAATTCTGTAATGGCATTACCAATGACAGCTTCAGCTTCAGCTTTATGTTCAAAGTCTTCATTAGTTCTCCATTCACCAACAATTTCTAATGGTTTTAAGAAATCAGGATTAGTTCTCATTCTTAATTTAGTGAAACATGTAGCAATAACTTCTAAAATTTCCTTTGTAGCACTAGTATATTTAACAGATAATAATTCAGTGATTATTTCAGAAATTCGTGTAATGACATCATCAACTTCTTCATATATTTCAGGTGTAATATCATCGCCATTTGGTAATAATAAAAACTTTTCTGGGATACCTTCACTTATAATGGCTATTATAGATTGAGAAGCACTAATATAAATATCTGAAACTTCAGAAGCGAAAAAAGCTTTTAAAATTTCTAAAACTTGTGGAATTTTCTTGACAGCTTCTAATGGTTCAATCTTGGAATAAGCAGTAACACCTTTTGAAACAACAGCAATCCAAGGAGCAGCTAAATGAGAATCATTAATTGATGGTTTTAGATCAAAGATGATATTTAAAACTTTAACAAACTTATCATTATCGATTTCATTAGTCATTGAATTGAATAAACCTTCAAACCCACCAAATGCAGCAGAAACTAAGTATTGATCATTAGTTTTTGAAATCTCTAATAATAAATCACACAAGTTTTCAATTTTAGCAGCTGGCCAAGTATTTGCAGAAGTGATTGAACTGATCAATTGTAAAGCATGAATTAATTGGGCAGAATGTTCTTTATTTGTCTTTTGATTTGGTTTAGTACTCAACAATGTAACAATTGATTTGATTGCAAAGTCAGCAGCCATACCACTTGCAACATGTTCCAATGCTGGACCTGGTGGTGGATTTGCTAAGATCTTGTGGATAGCTTCCTGAGCTCTCTTTCTAACTTTTGGTCTTGGATCTAATGAATACTCTAGTAACCCACCAAACCCTCTACGAGGATTAATATTTAATGAAGTGTTGTTCCATGAGTTCAAGTCTTGAGCAATCAACAAAGTTTCTAATGCACCAATGGCAGATCTAATTAATGCAGCTTCAGCATTTGAATTTGTAATAGCTGGTGCTAATTTTGTTAAAATTTCTGGGAATTTAGATTTTAATAAAGTTTTTGGAATAAATGGTAATGTTAAATCCAAGAAATAAGCACTTGAAATAGCTAAGGCTGAGTCCAAAATTTCATCACTTTCACTATCAATAGCTTGATCTAATAATGATAAGAATGAAACGAAATAAGCAACTGGGGATTTGGAATTATTTTGATCATTGATATTTTCTTCAACAGCAGATAAAATCAAGGCCAAATGTTTTTGGTTCTCCAACTTGGAAGTGATTTGGTTTCTGATTTTCTGGAGCTTGAACTCGAAATCGAGTTCTTCAAGACCCTTATCACCTTCAAAAGACATCACTTATCAGTAGAATTATTGGAAAGAGATCAAATTTGTCTTTATAAATGTTTTCATTAATATTAAAAACGTCTTAAATTTTTTTTCTTCCTCATCGCCCTCGTATTTTACCATTTTCAGAAACTATTTCCGGTCACTTTTTTTTTTCAGTTTTTGAAAAATTGAACAATTTTGAACAAAAAACATCGTTAAAAAGATTGAAATAAAATTGATTTAACGCTAAAAGATCAGTTTGAAGCTAAAGATGACCAAAGGTTTAGTGAGAATAAGACTTGCCAGATTCGGGAGAGTCAACCAACCTGTTTATAACATTGTTGTTGCTCAATCAAGAAAACCAAGAGATGGTAAACCAATTGAAGTGATAGGAACATATAATCCAATTGCCCCACCAGGTGATAAACTACCTTCGGGAAGACTAGCAGAGCCAAAGAAGAAGGTTGAACTAGATTTTGATAGAACTAAATACTGGTTGTCAGTTGGTGCTCAACCAACAAGTCCTGTGATTAAATTGTTGCAAAGAGCTAAATTGTGGGTTTAAGAGAGAAGAAAGAAGGTGAAAAAAGTTGAAAGTGTGGTCTTTCCGCAGATGATCAATAATAACCAAGTTATTGAAAGACCGAATGTTGTGTTGTTGCTGCAAAAGATTGATGATAGGTTATGTATATTATGTAAATAGTGTTTTGGGATAAATTGCATTTTTTATTTATGGTGAAAAAACTGTGATCTGTAAGACAGGATATTGTTATATGACATATGAATCAACATATGACTAGCATTAGCTCAATCATCAAGGCTCTACTCTGTTGATCTGGGTTCTCGATTTATTCGACAGATTCGCACACCAACAACTTTCAGCCTTCAACACTGCCATACAGTGCCGCAATAACCAGGGCTCAGAGCATACAAATCGACCTGATTCGCTTCTATTTTTAACAGAGAACACAAATTGATTATGGATTCGTTTTCAGGAGCACAAAAAGTATTGTAATTTTCGTGGGATCCGGTTCTCTTCATTCTGGAGCATTTGACAGGGGATTAAACAGCAAATGTCCACCTAAAACAAAGCAATCTTTTTATCCAACACACTATTCAAATCTTTTCCATATAAAACCATTTCAACTATCCCAAATTCATTAACAAAACTCCATTCCATACTCAAATAGCTCAAAAATCCGTGGAATCCTGCTGACATAAGTTTGTGGCCCATAATTAATCTCAAATCGACAACAAGTTTTTGTAAAAAAAGAAATCCTCATCATCATCATCATCATCATCGATATCATCGTTCATCTCATCTTTACTACCAAATTTCTACAATCTCATAATTCAATTGCACTTTTAAAGAACCAAGTCAAGCTCAAGAATACTCCAAACGTTTAGGCTTAAAAGACTATTATAGACTTGTCTTGAAAACACTTTATCATATTGTTCCATCACCAGATTTTTTGTTTTAAAACCACAAATATAAAAGAAATAATACAATGGCTTCACGTACAAGAAAAATCTCAGTTGTTGGTGCTCGTGGTGTTGGTAAATCCACCTTAGTTGTCCAATACGTTGATAACTATTTTTTAGAAAGTTATTATCCAACTATACAAAATCAATTTAATAAATCAATCAAATTTAGAAATCAAACTTATGAAGTTGAAATACTTGATACTGCTGGCCAGGATGAATTCACAATAATAAACGATTCCACTATCGTTCATGGTTATATCATGGTTTATGCTATAAATAGTAGATCATCATTTGAATTATTACCAGTTATAAGAGATAAGATTTTAGATTCAATCGGTACTGATAAAGTTCCAATGATTCTTGTTGGTAATAAATTGGATCTTGAAAGAAAAGTTTCTAAAGAAGAGGGTGTTAAAGTGGCTAAAGATTTTGGTATACCTTATATTGAAGTTAGTGCTAAGATGAGTAGTGGTGAAAATAGTGATATTAGTAAAATTTTTGTATCATTATTAGAACAAATTGAAGGTGAAAAGATTGACACTACAAATGAGAAATGTGTTATTGTTTAAGCTTTGTTTGGACTCCTTGTTGTTTGGATTTTATGATGCTTTTATTTTTTCCCTTATTTGGATTGCGTTTTTTTATTTTTACTACTTTAAATTAGTTTTGGTCTAAAGTGAATGGAACATATAATATATGAAGTGTTTTTGGTGATCCTGTATTGTTTTTCTAAATAATGAACTTCAAGTTAACATCTGTTGGATGTGAAGTTGATAATTGAGGTTTTTGTGAATATTTCCCAGTCATGATTTGTCTCATATTTTGTAACAATGAAAGATATGTTTGATGAGGAGTATTATTTAAGATCTTACAGAAAGCATAACTCATTGCACCTGTTGGAACACCATTTTCACTAGCATCTGCAGAAGTTTGATCATCTTTTGAACCTGAAAACATAACAACATCTGCTGGTGAAGTTTTAGTTCTTTTGGTCTTTTCATAAGCCTGTGAATTTGAACCACCAGATGTAGCTAATTTGAATAATCCTGCAACACCTCTCATAACACCTGCATTATCACCTTTCATATATGACATTGCAGTTTGTAATAAACCTTGACCGGCTTCTTCTGCCAAATTTGGTTCTTTTAAAACCCCCCTTGTAGAATAAGTATAAGGTAAATCCAATACTGATCCTGAATGACAACTATCAAATAATGCAGTTAATCTCACACCTGGTTTTAAAGGTGGAACTAAACGAGCATGTAATTCATCATCAACAATTTGACCATTTTTTTCAAAATCTAAAGGAACAATAGTTTCATCAATTCCATCTTCTTCATCACCATCGGTATCTTCTTGTTGAGACCCATGGCCTGAATAATGGAAGAATAAAGAATCATTAGGTTGAGCATCTGAAACTAACCAACCAATCGCTTTTATAATATTTTCTCTAATGGGGACTTTAACCATTTCACGTTGATCATCTGTTAACACAACAATATCACCTTCATCGTATCCATTCCTTGTTAGGTAATTCTTAACGTTTTGAACATCATTAATACAACCACGTAATTGATTCTGGGTACCAATATAATTTATACCAACTAATAAAGCCTTACGACGACCTGTACAGTTTGAATATTGATAATTATAACCATCAATACCGAATGATTGAGGATTTGTAGGTGGTACTTGGGCTTGTTGTGGTATTTGGAATTGAACATATTGGGCAGGGTCTTCTTTTTGGAAAATGGATTGGGAATTTGCAGCATTGTTGAAATCTTGGGTTGATACACGATGTGGTTCGCCTTGGGGCGGTCTATTATATCCACCTTGATGTCCACTTTGATTTCCTTGGTGATTACCTTGATAACCTTGTTGATAACCACCTTGGTGATTACCTTGGTTTCCTTGATTGTAGCCTTGATTATAACCTTGGTTCCCTTGATTGTAACCTTGATTACCTTGATTGTAGCCTTGATTATAACCTTGTGGAGGTCCCTGTTGATACTGTTGTTGTTGCATTCTAAAGTCCTGTGGAGACTGTTGAGAGTACTCGTTACGGCGTGGTCCTTGTCCTGGAAACATTCTTCAATTATTTCTTATCCAATTGATTATTCTATAAAGTAAACAAATCATCTTTCCAATTCAATTTGTTCAAATTCCAGATCTCAGCCAAATTTTTGACGTTTCAAGTTTCAACCGCCAAAAAAACGCCAAAAAAAACAAATTCGCGAAATTTGGGAAAAAATGAGATTCGAGGGTTAATAAAGTCACATGATAGTCATGTGATTGTCCTCGGATATACTTAAACCTAGAAGATACAGTAAAGTATAGCTATTAAACTGGATTCTCAGCTAGCTGATCCTGTCTCAATTTAAGTAAACAATATTTTCAACTATCCGTCAATATAATCAAGTTTATAAAGCCCAATATTCAAACCATCAACTCCCCAATTTTGTTTCTTCGCGAACATACAACCAAAAGTCATGAAATTTTGGAAAAAGCTCATGATTATGGGATGTAAATGTAGTACAAGCCAGTACACCAATCATTCCAGCTTAAAATCACCATGGGAAAGAAAAAAGGACCATCCTTGGATGAAAATGGCCATCCATACGATTACATAGTGGTGATAGATGCCGGTTCAAAAGGTTCAAGGGCTAATGTTTATCGTACGCGATATTTCAATTCCTCAACAACATTGACAACACGAGATTGGAAAGAACCTAAAACCAATGATATTAAAAATGGGAAACAATTTACATATCCTGAAATAATCAGCATGAACCCCAAGAATGTTAAGAAAATCAAACCAGGTATTGCAGATTTTATAAATAATCCAAAAAAATTACAAAAAAATATATGGGGAAATTATTAAAACATGTTTTAAAATATATCCCAAATGATCAAATCTATAGAACTCCAATTTTCCTACATGCGACAGGAGGTATGAGATTATTGAAACCTGAGGATCAACAAAAAATACTGAAGGAGATTTGTCAATACATTTCAGGGAAGTTTGATTTTTATTTACCAGATTGTTCAAGTCATATCAATTCAATAAGTGGAGAGATTGAAGGATTATATTCATGGATTGGGATTAATTATAAATATAGTGTATTGGACGCGACTACTGAGAAATCATCATTTGGGATCTTGGATATTGGTGGAGTGTCTTCACAAATTGCCCTGGAACCAAATTTAACAGATTCTGATATTTCATCAAATGATTATTTATTCAAGCTTCGTTTGAATTATCAAGATGGTGAAGATTCGAAAAATTCATTCAATGTATTTAGTGAATCATTCCTAGGTGGTATGAATCAAATACATACACATTATGATGAGATTTTAATCCAAGAGAATAAAACAACAGACCCATGCTTACCTGAAAATTCCGTCAAGACTATAACAACTAAAGATTCTCAAGGTTATGACATGGAGACACAATTGACAGGGACTGGTGAATTTACTGAATGCCTAACATCATTAAACACGTTATTAACCTCGATAACAAGTACCAAGTCATGTAATTTAACTTCATCAAGTTCATCAATCTCATCATGTTTGATAAGTGATTCAATGCCATTTTTGAAATTTAACATTGATAAATTCATTGGGATAAATGGTTTTTATTCAAATTTGAAAAATTTTTTAAATTATTCAGAATTTTATTCTAAAACTTCAAAATTATGCTCAACTAAATACACTGATTTATTAAACAGTGAAACTGATGATCGTGCTTCAGAGATGTGTTTCAAATCAAGTTGGTTAATAAACGTGTTGCACAATGGGTTGGGATTCCCAAGGTATGGTATTGATCAAGAGGAGGCAATTGATGAGAATATATCTGGGTTTGATGATTCTTTCAAGATATTGGATGAATTTTCATGGACTTTGGGGAGAGCTGTGTTGTATTCTTATTATGAGATTGCTGAGAGAACGTTGGGCAATGGTACTGAAAGACCAATGATTGGGTTTATTGAGCCAAGTTCATCTATTTTCCAATATGGTGGTGAGATCCCTGGTGTTGGATCTAGGCCTGAATATATTTTCAATAGATCTGTTAAAGAGTATGACGATAATGATGACGATGATGATGATGGTGATGATAGTGATTGGGATGATGTTTTAGAAGAACATAGATTATGGGGGTCGTTATTATTCTTGTTTATCTTGTTATTAGTTGGTTATTTAATGTTGGGACGTACAAAGAGACAAAATATTGTTGATGCTGTTAAAAAATTATATCATGATAAGTTTAAAAGTAGGTATAGAGTTGTGGAACAAGATGAATTGGAGTTGGATGAGAGAGGTCAAGAGCGTGGTGAAGGTGAAGTTGTTTTTGAAACTGATGATTCAAGACACAGAGATGATAGTTTTGAAGTTTGAAATTGTATATATAAATAATGAATATTCATGATCTACAAGTCAGTGTATTCAAACTTTTCAAAATCATTATTATAAAAAATCATTAAAACCAGAAAAGCTGGTTATAAAAGAATATTTCTATCTGTATATATCAAAAGAAGATAAAAAACCAAGTATTAATAAACGCATATGCAAAATGTGTAAAGAAAAAAGCACTAATGTACAAACCAAATCAATTGGCAAGAAAGGGGGAATCAATCACCAACATTGATAACCACCATCAACAATCAAGTTTTCACCAGTAGTGTATGAAGAAGCATCATGACTTGCAAAATACAAAACACTACCAACAAATTCTTTTGGATCAGCCATTCTATGCATTGGGATTTTTGATTCCCAAGCATTCTTCAAAGTGGTATCATTACCAATAACATGTTTAGTTAATGGGGTCAAGATATAACCAGGACTTAAACAGTTAACTCTGATACCATATTTAGCCCATTCAGTAGCTAATGATTTAGTTAAATGGATAACACCAGCTTTGGCCATGTTGTAGGCCACTTGAGGTTGTGGATCGTTAACGATAACACCAGACATTGAACCAATCAAGACTAAAGAACCTGGTTTTTGAGCATCAACTAAATGTTTAGCAACGGCTTTTGCGATATAATAAGAACCAACCAAGTTAACTTGAACCAAATCAGCAGCTTTTTGGTTTGGATATTCCAAAGCGGTATAGTTTTGACAATAACCAGCGGTATGGATTAATAAATCTGCAACGTCATTATAATATTCATTAATCTTGGAAACGGTTAATTCAACTTCATCAGCATTACCAATGTTACAACTCCATGATGAAATGTTTGGTAATGGGTTTAGGCCTTGATTTTGACCCCAAAGAGCCAAATCTTGGGCAGCAGCATCACAAACTTGTTGGTTCAAATCAACAAGGGCGATATGGGCACCTTGACTCAATAAAGCTCTAGTTAAAGTGATGGCTAACCCACCAGCACCACCGGTGACAACGGCGATTCTGCCATCTAGTCTGAATGAAGGGACGATGTCAGCGATTGTTTCTGCAACTTCTAATGTCATTATTTCTTGTGTAATTGTGTTCTTTTGTAAAGATAGTATGAGATGGAAGAGAAAGAAAGATCAAAGGGAATAGCCCAATCCTTTTATATCATTTTGGCCATGGCTTTCGATGTTGTTGATGTAAAAACTTGTTTCTTTTCTGTTTTGCTGCGATTTACATTCGATGGGAAAAAGAAAAGACGCGGTGCACATGGATAAGGGACAGAAAGAAACAGGGAAATGCGGTGATTGTGCTTGACACAGTGGGAAATTGGAAGAATAAATCAAATGAGAGGATAGCTGAGATCATAAGGAGCATAATGATGTAAATATTAATAGGTATCGTCTATATAAAATTGAAGGTAATTCGTTGTGTTTGTGGAAGGCAGCGCCTTTTTCTTTTTCCCAGAAAATTCACTTTTTTTGTCTGGGGCAAAAAACAAAATTCGAACAGAAACTGACAATTTCGATTTCGAGAGGCGACAAAAGGCGACAAAAGGCACAGTGATGACAATTGGCATGAGAGTAGAGTAGAGTAGGATAGAATGGTTTAGAGTAGTGGATGATGTAGTTGATGTAGATGTTGATGTTATAGCTGCTGTTGAAGCTCAAGCACTCTCAAACTCTATTCGATGACCTGGACGATGACCAGATGGACCATTTCTTCACTGTCAAGTGATTATTCTTGGGATCAGTTTTGGGTAACAATAGCCCTTGTATGGGGTAGAAGAGTATACAGTCCCAACGATAGCCAGCACTAGATCTCCCTCTCTCTCTCTGTTGGTCCTTGAAAGCAGGAGAGTATTATTAGAACAAAGCAATTGCCAAAGCACATCGAGCTAAAGCCCACACTTCCTATCTCATTAACAAGTACTCTTCCATCCACCTTATCTTGTTCTATCAGATATCCTTTCTCAAACTATAACTCTATAAGCCATCAAAATACCGTTCTTCTAGACATCTACACAAACTGTCAACCGTTGTTATAATTAATTAACCTTGACTCTGGGGTAAATCCGAGTAACGGTATTGATCAACAATTGTACTCAACTGTTCAACATCAAAGGCATCCAAGGTATTGAAACGTTTTGGCTTGTATCTCTAAAGTTCGTATAATTAATCCTAAACAACCCTTGTTCTTCGTTCATGTTTAGGTTCCTTTGATAGGGCATCAAGTTGAAAAGTGGTGAAGTCAATAATTAATTGATACAACCTGCTCTACAGTTCACACGCGATTTGCCCAGTTTTCAAACCATTCCCAGTGCCTTTCCTTTAAGCTGGTTCTAGCTCTTTGATGGATCACTAAACTCCATCCAGTTCATTCGATTCAAACTAATCTAGGTACAGTTGATTCAACCCTTCAAACCATCGGCTCCATACAAATCAAATATCTGGACTTCACCCACTACAGCTATAAATAACTCATTTCTCATTGGCTAGTATTCACCACAATCAATCTCACCATCAAAACAACCATCATCAAACATCAACACCTTTCCCTCAACTCACTTCAATTACTGCTCTGTATCATCATACTGTCTGTCTTTGTCCTCGATGTCCTTTGCCTAGTACGCTTCATGATGTTTTAACGCAGGTGAAGCTCGGAAAAACTAACGTCATGTTACGTAATCTCCATGCATAACGTTTACCCAAAAGGGAAGCAAAAAAAAGAAACGCAACGTCATTGAGTTTTTCCGGTGTTTGGATTAGATTCATCTTGGATAAGGTACCACAAGGAAAAGGAAAGATGGCAGAAAGAAGGTTTTTAGATATGTTTGAAGATGTAAGGAAAGAGGCTATTCTCGAGATGTGTTTTGAAGTGTGAATCTACATTGTTCAAATAAGAAAAGAGAAGTCAATTAAACGGTTCGAGATTTGAAATTTTTTGCACCATCGAATCAATTCTGATGAATTGAGTTCAGCGACGTTGTCAAATTTGAAGTGTTAGTAACTAATCAAGTGAGGTAAAAGAAAAGAGGTTGGAAAAGTTCAGCATTCAAACCATCAAGCGAGGTATCATTGGTCTTATGAATCACATATTCCTTGCACTATTCACAATGTTTTTACTACAAATCACTATTCCCAAAACCAAAACACATTCATTACTCATTAATAATTATACATCCATCACAAGAAGAAATCTTGTAAAATTCTTTTAACTTTTGCCCATCCTTTCAAACTATCCAATTTTTCTCTCAATTCCCTTTCTTCATCACTTTCAATATATCTATCAGTATCAAAATCCATCTCTTGAGCTTTTTTGAAACGATCTTTTCTATGAAAGACCCACCAGAACAATAAACAAACAGGGAAAACAAACAATTCTAAATAAAATGAAAAAAAATCAGAAACATTCCATGGTGCAAATGATGTCCAACCTTGAACCAACAATATAATTGAAGTGAAAATGATTACAAACCATGGACCATATGGATATGTCCAATTCTTATATTGTAATTCATGTAATCTCCCCTGTTTGGCCAAACCTTTTCTAAACCTGATAGATGTGATACCAATACATAACCATGAAATTTGATTAGAAACACCAACTAAATTTTGTAACCAACTCCATAAATCACCAGCCCCAATAAATGATGAACCAAAGCATAACCCACCGGCAAACCATGTAATTAAAACTGCAACGTATGGAATACCAAATCTATTCTTTCTTGCTAAAATTTTTGGTAAATATCCTTCAGTACCTAATGTGAAAGCTAATCTACTACCAGCATATAATGCATGATTCCCTGCACTTATCACTGAAGTTAAAATGACTGCATTCATAAATGAACCTGCACTCTTGGAACCAGCTTGTTGGAAAACAATGGTAAAAGGTGATGTAACAACTGATTTTGTTAATAAATTTGGATAATTATATGGAACATTCATACCAATGAAAAAAACACTAAAGATATAAAATATAACAATTCTCCAAAAAACTGTTTTCGTTATAATTCTTGTTGATCTAACAGGATTTGTCATTTCACCACTTGTTAATGTTAAACTTTCTGTACCTCCAAGTGCAAATGACGCTGTAACAAATAATTTAGCAAAACCTTTAAAACCATCAACAAAAGGAGCATCACCCATTGACCAATATTTGAAACCAATATATTCATGTTGTTCATTATGACCAACATTAACCACTATACTAACAATGAAAAATGCAATAATTGATAAAACTTTTAATAAAGCTAACCAATATTCAGTCTCACCATAAAATCTCACATGGAAAATATTTAAAAACAATAATAAAACCCAAAAGATTAAAGAAACAATCCAAAAATGGAAATCTGTCCAATATTTCATAACTAATTGTAATGCAGTCAAATCACTTGCCACACTAACTGCATCATTCAACCAATAATTAATCAATATAGCAAACCCCAACGATTCTGACCCAAACTTCTTTGCAAATGTACAAAAAGATCCAGCTATTGGCATATATGCACTCATTTCTCCTAATGCCAACATCATCAAATAAACCTCAAGACTCATTATGGAATAAGTTATTAATAAAGATAATGGCCCACCTTGAGCCAATGATTTACCTGTCCCCAAGTATAACCCAGTCCCAATGACACCTGCAATGGCAATCATGGAAACTTGACGAGTTGATAATGAACGGTTCAATTCTTTGATATTCTCAACATCACCATTTTGTTTACTGTTCGTTGATGTGGTTGATGCCTTTTCAAGATCTGAATCCACCGTTGTGGATAGTATTTCTTGTTTCTTTGGATCCATGATGTTGATCTATTGTCCAAGGGTTTACTAAACACGCCCATATTGACATATTGAGTCCTTTTCAATAGGTTTTATACTGAAGTTTTTTTTTTCGCTTTGGTATCATCATCTCATCAGTATTGCGAATATAAAAAACGCCACAGTTTAGAACAATCAAAAAGAAAAAAAACGTAGAAGAGAAAAAAACGGCAAAGTTTTTGACACATTAAAGAATGAGATTTGAACTTGTTATAAGGACATTTCTATTTTGAAATGTTTGAAAAGGTTTGGTGATTGATGAAGTTAGCTATCGATAATATGTTGAAAATTGTGTCATTTCTACTGGAAATTACAAATCTTGTACAATTCTACTTTTTAAGTCAACTGGCTTCAAATTTTCAGAGCCGTTCGAGTGTGAAGAAAATTTGTGTCATTTGTGGGAGGGAAAGATGGTTTGGGCACTTTATGGGAAAGTTGATTATAAATGATTGAATAATTAGGAAGTTTTATATAGTAATTATAGTGTTTTAATTGCTTGTTAAGTGCTTAATTTTAATGCTGTATTAGTGTATCTTTTTGAAAATCAGAAAACTCGAGTTTTTAATAATAATAATTAAAATTTTGGATTTTGATGTTTATAGAATTTGTGAATTTAAAATCGAAGAATCAGATTGCTACTCAGAACTTTAGAGAAAATGAATAATTATATATTTACTCATAAAACTATACTCAGCTTCATTTTCAGTGTTCATAATTAATTCTACTTCACTATACTATAGTGCAGTCAATCAATTGATCAGGGTGTTAATTATGAAAGATTCATGACCGGATCAAAAAAAAAGATGATCACGTGACCTCCTATTGTAATATTAACGACGTTTTACTATTATAATAGGTCACTGGAACCAAATCACAGCTTAAACTAATCAAAGATACTTGAAAACATTTCCAAATGTTTTACTATAGAATCCAGAGCTTACAGCAGTAAAGTGTATATTACACCTATAAGGGTTATAGTGTGATTAGGCCGTTATCTTAAATCCAACAAATTCATTAATGAAAGAACCTGCAAATCAATAATCCAGACGTTCGATATTAATCTTTGGAATGTACATAATTTCCAGAAAGTTTATATTTATAGTATCAACTGGATCTAGATCTAAATTTATTCAAGTTCTAAAGTGGTGTCAGACGTCGATCAATTGTGCTACATTCTTTGATTCTCCAAGTGAAGTTGTGTATTATTTGAAAAAAATTTAATAATCAATTATTCCAAATGAATCAATATATTTCCAATTGAATATCAGATGGGAATCAATTATTGTATTCAAGCATTATGCAAATAGACTGTTAATAATCAATTGTGTTATCGACTTTGAATTATCCTCTAATATAAGCAATTGCTTATGCCACTAAAATGGATAAAAAGCTTCATGACACTGTAACCTAAGTTTTAGCCCCGATTTTCCTAGTACCTGATAAATCAAATACCTATCGAGTCTCGACCTGTAAACGACTACCGTAGTGAATCCAAGAATACTGCTAGCTGAGGGTTGAAATTCATTTGCAAATTTTTCAATTTTCAAGCTCCTGATGGTGGTGTTCGGATGTATGTGAACACGCCCTTTTTTCTGTTGATAAGAAGCTGAAGAACGCTTCTTCGAAGTTGAGAGCACTGAAATTCTAAGCCAATAGCTCAACGATGCCTAAGAACTATGAAGAGATCCCCGTGGCTTATGAATCACTAGGTCGCTATGAAAGCCAGGAACATTTGAACGCAGCCCATAGGATTTCATCAAATTCACCTTCTGATAATACGGTCATTTTCAGTTTCTACAATGATAATATCCAACTATCATTATCTCAACTACGCTACTTCACATTCTTGAGTATAGGGATCTCTATACTGTGGCCCTGGAACTGTTTCCTATCTGCATCTGTTTATTTCATCAAGAAGTTTGGAACCGGTTCAGGATTGAGTAATAATTATTCATCAACAATGATGACTGTTTCTACTTTGACAAGTTTTTTATTAAACAGTTATTTATCTACAAAGCAATTTGCAAATTTTGTTAATAGAATCAAGACTGGAAGCTTGGTTAATTTCTCGATTTTTTTGTTATTATCGTTAATTGAATTATTCCTACCAGGTTTACACAATGCTGGTTATTTTGTATTCATTATGCTTTTGATACTGTTTAGCTCAATGGGTACCTGTTATCAACAAAATGGATGTATGGCTATTGTAAACGTTATGGGCCCAATATATGCCCAAGCTGTCATGGTTGGTCAAGCTATTGCCGGTGTCTTGCCTTCTATTGCATTGATGTTGTCAAATTTATTATACCCTGGTGATGCTAATGAAAGCTCAACAAGTATTGTTATTTATTTCTTCACAACTTCAATCATTACACTGTTTTCATTTGTGTTGTTAATGATCACAAATAGATATAAAGATGATCTTCCTCAGGATATTGAACACGAATCACCAGTTTCTGAAACAGAATATGTCCCATTCAAAGTCTTGTTTGCAAAGTTAAAATTCATTGTACTATCAATCTTTACAGTTTTTGTCATTACTTTAGTTTTCCCAGTTTTTGCATCAAATATCACTTCTGTCAACCCAGGTTTCGGTAAAATCACAACAGATGCCATTTATATTCCATTTATTTTCTTGGTTTGGAACTTGGGTGATTTAGCTGGTCGTTTAGCATGTGGATTCCCACAATTTGTCATTTCATCTGATAGAGTATTGTTTTTATACTCCATCTTAAGGTTCGCCATTGTTCCATTCTTCTTTTTATGCAACTTATCGAAAAAAGATGGTGATCCCGCTATAAATTCTGATTTCTTTTATATCTTGTTACAATTCATCTTTGGTTTCACCAATGGTCATTGTCTAAGTTGTTGTTTTATGAATGTTGGTAACTATGTTGAGGATGAGCAAAAAGAAGCAGCTGGTGGGTTTACAACAATCTTCCTCAGTCTTGGATTAGCTGCCGGTAGTATCTTCAGCTATTTGTTTGTTGTCATTATCAGTTAATAGTTTTATAGAGCATTTTTTACGTATACAAGTTTCGTTCTAATTCATTTTCTCATAGTTAATACTGACACGTATTATGTCGACAGTCGTTTCTATTTTTTTTTTGCCATGTCAAAAAATTGATTCGTGAAGTAAACAGAGAGCAGATTCAAAACTAAATCATTCAAACAACTTATAACCTTCCAGATTGATATTGGATAGCTTCTGGCTCATTAACTGTGACTGAATATCATTGAAAAGTCCATTGTGGGAGCCCTGTTGCTACAGAATGCCTCCTAGAAAGAGAAAGAGCGGTGGCCTCCTGCCGCGTAATGATTTGGGGTGAGTTACCATATTCTAATACAAGTTGAATGCATCACTAACTGAATTGAATATAGGTCGAAAAAGCAACAGAAACTAAGTCCCGAGAGGCCACAGAAACAAAACATATACATGCCAGAGTCACCAACTAAAATCCAATCAGATGAATTCTTATTATTGTCAAAACCTAAACCCAAAACCAAAAAAAGGGTATACACTAAATATATCCCACCACTAAAGGATTCAACGCGTCTACTAAACAATAAGACCTTTGTTAAACCCAATTCTAAAGATGATATATCCCCTGTTTACAAAGTCACATCCAAACCCAAGGCTAATTTTTCTGATGATGAAAGCAATGATTTAGTTATAAGGAGAGACTTAGCATTTGATATTAATGAATATGAAAGAGGAACAAAACTAGATGATTATGACAGCATTAAATTCGACGCTGTTAAAACAGTTATTGGTGATAATGAACGTTCAATAATTGCTCTGTTGAAATTTGTTGTTACAACTGACTTGAAAGAATTTTCAATTTTGAAAGAAGGAAAGACTATTTTCAAAGTAAACCTTTTGAAAGAAGCTCACCATATTTGCTTTACTCCAACAAAACTTTTTATCTTGTTTCAAGAACCACTTGAAATTGAGGGTATTGTATCAAATTCACTCTTCATTTATGTTGGTAAAACCAATATGCAAAATCTAAATGAAGCTTGGGGACAACTCACCCCGATTAAAAAAAATAAATCGGCTTTATTTGATGTCATGAACTTGCAAGAATTACAAAGACTTTTGAACAAGTACAGATTGTTGAATTTGGCGGCTTTGAATGGGAACTCCACTACAACGCCCTTGTCCACTCCAAGCAACACAACCATTAGTACACCAAAAAGTACATCAAGTTTACAAAATAAGGCTTTCACATCCTTGCAGCGGAAATCAACAAGACTAAATTCATTATCAAGACCTTTACACTCATTAGGGAAACCTTCCAGAATCAATACACCAAAGAATACATTGACAAATACTGCATCAAAAATATTATTACCAAGTGAACCAAAGAATTTTTATGGATCAAGCCCCTACACTCCAATCAGACAAACAAGATCTTGTACGAGAAATCCTACACCTGATGCAAATTTATCAACTGAATCAATATTAATTGATGATCCTGATAGACCACCAGCTAGAAGAGGTGCGAAACGTGAAGCTTTCAAACCTTCATTAGTTTACAGATTTCATGATAATTCATCATACAAGATTAGAAATGTTGATTTTCAATGTCTTTATAGAGGTCAATGGATTAATGATACTTTGATTGATTTTTTTCTAAAAATGTTTGCTGAAGAGACTTTTGAAAATGGACAGTTTAAAAGAGATGATTTACATATTTTCACAACTTTCTTCTTTACAAAATTGAAAAGTACACCACAATATTATGAAAATATTGAAAGATGGGTTTCTAAAATTGATTTTTCAAATAAAAAATATATCATTCTTCCTATAAATGAAAATTTACATTGGTATTGTTCAATAATTGTTGGGTTTGATAAAATTTTACAAAAAGATGATACTAAATCAAAATGTGTTATTTATGTGTTTGATTCATTAAGGCAAGAACACAAGAATATTTTAAAACCACTTCGAACATTTTTGATAAATTATGGTAAAGATAAGTTTGATGTTGAAATTGATCCAAACAGAATTCAATTAAAACCATCCGCCGTTCCCAAACAACCAAATTTTAATGATTGTGGTGTTCATGTTATGTACAATGTTTACAGATTCCTTGAAGACCCAGAAACTTGTTTGAATATTTGGAATACTGAAAATGATGCTAGTAGACATGTATTGTCAAGTTTTTTCAAAAAAAAGGATAGGGAAGATATGAGGGAAAAATTGAGAAAGATTTTGAAACGTTTACAGAGTGAACAAGAACATCGTGATGATGATTCAGATAAGGAGGATACAAACGCGGAAGATGAAGATGAGGATGATATTGTTTATATTGATGCTGATGAGTTTAATGAACTGAAAAATAAAACAAGAGAGACAAAGGAAAACTCTGCTGAAAGTGAACAATCGGAAAATAAAAACGCTTCTGAAGAGCCCAAGTTGAATCAAGGTGAAGAGGGTGATAAATCAAAAACCCCTGAGGAAAATGATAATGAACTACCTGCTGTGGAAAAAGAAGAAAAAGCCCAAGATGATGAAGGTGAAAGATTTTTTTCAAGTCAAGAAGAAAACGATAAGGATACTATTGAACCAGGGAAAGCTGTTGAAGGCTCCCCAGCAGTTAAAAGTCCGATTGTTGATACTGATAGTGCTAAACCACTCAAGGAAGATCTGATTGAGAATGATACACAAGTAGATACCCAAGCTGACTCATATGACAAATTCCAAGATGATTCTCAAGCTACGTCACAAAAGCAAGAGCAAGTGCAAGATGATGATATTGTTCAGATAAAATCGTTTGATTCACAAGAGAGTGTAAAAGCAGGTTATGAAGAAGTACCAGCTACGCAGGAAACTCAAGAGGACCAAAAAATGGAACATGATAATGAATTGGAGGTCAGCTCATTGGACAACGGTAAAATTTCCACTACACAAGAACAACCAACAACTGAAGACATCAAGTCAAGTGAACTTATAGAAGAATCCCAAGACGTTTCACAAGATGATGAAAAGAAAGATGAGATAGTGTCAAGTTTGATTGAAACATTTGAAGAAAAGAAGGAACCAGAGGAAGAAGTAGTGCATGAGGCTAAAATTGATTCACCAAAACCACCTAGAGAAAGCTCAATTGAGGTGAATGAGAAGGCTGTTGAGGTATTGGATGAAGATGAAGATGAAAATGGCAAGTCTAATCATGTTAATGAATCAAGAACCTATCTCTACAGCGAACCTTCGTCTCCCCTGACTGATGTTCCTCCTGCTGAAAGTCCATTACCAGTTGAAGAAAGTGAAGATGAGGATATTATAATGAATGATGGAGAACAATCAATGGACATTAAGAAATTTGCTTCAAAATATTTTTCACAAAAACAACAATCTTCAGATGAATTTGATATGAATATACCTGATTCATCACAATCAAATAATAATGAATCATTGAGGAAACCTTCAAGGGTCATACATATAAAGCGTGGCAAGTCCAAACTATCTGACCATGAACTTATCGATGTTGATAAAGAATCATCGGTTGAAATAGCCAGTTCTGATGAAGTTTCCACTGGGAAGAACTCTTCATTCAATAGAAGTTCTGGTCCAAGAGCTGGTACTGGTCCAAGAAAGCGTGGTGGTCGTGGACATCGTGGTCGTGGGAACCATGGCCGTGGTAGAGGAGGCCACAATGTTGGTCGTGGTGGCTTTGCTGGAAGACAAAGAGTTCAAAATCCTGAGAGAGAAGTGGTTAATGTTGAAGATGAACCAAACGATAAAGAAGATTCTACAGAGGGGAGACCAAGTAGAAGAACAAGATTGAGAGGCCACTGAGTGGTCTTGTGATCGGTAATACGTATTTAATGAAATAATAGTAGAAACCTAGAACTCTTACGTAGAAATAATTAACCATTATGGTGTTCCTTGTATAATTATTATTATTGTCACTTTTTATTCTGACAGTCATAATGTCACGTGAACATCTTTAATTATTGGGAGCCCCGATCGGAAATGGGTCAGATAAAAAAAAGGGAAATCAAATTACTAAAAAGTCACAAACATCAATCAACTACACTTCAAATTAACAAAACAAAGGTTAACAAATCCAAAATGAATATCACCAGAATGCTTCCTAGAGTTTCAAAACAAGCCGTTCAAACAGTGCTGAGAAATGGGCTGGTACTTCCGTCTACATTACAAAGATTCTATTCAACACCAAACATATCGAGTGAAGTCAAGAGAAGCCCTACATCATTAAGTAACACATCAAGAACATTTGGCAATAATCTGCCTAAAAGTCAGCTGAATATCATAAACAAGAAGTATTCAGATGAAGGCAAACTATTAGAATTAGATCTCACTGATCGTGCAGTGGAGAGATTGAATCAAATATCTAAAGAGGAAAATAATCCAAATGTTGCATTAAGAGTAAATGTTGAAAGTGGTGGATGTCATGGATTTCAATACAATTTGGAATTATCAGATATCTCCAAAAAGACTGAAGATGACTGTATTTTTGAAAGAGATAATGCCAAAATCATGGTTGATGAAAGTTCACTGAGTATTTTAAGAGAGAGTAAAATTGATTATACAAATGAATTGATTGGTAGTATGTTTAAAGTGGTGGATAGTCCTTACACCACCTCCAGCTGTGGCTGTGGTTCAAGTTTTGATTTTGATTTCTCCAAACTTGACAAGTGATGGTTTAATTATTTATTTGGTTTATAGCATATTAATGACATGAAGACATATTCGATTTATTTATCGTAGAGATACATTTTCACTTCCTAATGAGGAAGTCAACAATCCATGTTTCGTGCTCCAACCGATGAGCTTATCAAATTTCTAGCAGCTTCTAAAAAATCAAAAGTGTCATATTTAAAGGATCAAATTTGACCCTAAAGAACCAGATAAGATTACTTCAGTAAAGAACAATTCGACATGGGTATTTTCAGTAATTCACAACAGGACAAAGACTACACAGAAACACAAGTGGACAGAACAATCAACAATCGTTTTGCCTCTCCAAAGGATATAGCTGCTGTTAATGATTTCTTCAACAATCAAGTCATTTCGCCATTAGGCAATATCATTGATTTGGATGCAATCTCCAATGTTTTCAACAAGTCCAATTTCCCATTCCATGATAATGTCAATGAAATAATTGGTGGGTTCACAAGAGGCTTTGGTGCAGGTGACGAATCATTAACTACAGGATTGAAAGCTTATCCAACTCCAAGTGCCACTTTATATCAAAAATGTATGGATAAAGATGGTTTATCAGTTTGGGATGATAAAGGCTGGTGGAGATGCTTATTCCCAAAACTTGCGCTAGATGGTGAACATGTTTTATCAAAAGAGGATGTTTTGGATGATAAGTCTAATAAATTTGGGTTGTTTTTCAAAGATTACACTGGTTATTTAGACTGGAAGTCTCAAATGAAACAATTGGTTAAACAAAAGGATGAAGAACAGAAACTTGCAAGACATAGAGATAATATTGAAAGTATTTACAATGATTATAGCAAAGATTCCAATTTCGAATTCGGGCAAGGTGGTAATGATGTTATAAGCAGTAGCAAGTCTGTTTATTTCAAAACTTTACCTAACGGTGATGGTGAAGAGGTTACTGAAATTAGTAATGTCTTTAGAGATGGTAAATCAGAGAACAAGAAGTTTAAAAGATTGATTCCAAGAGATGGTGAACCATCAACCATTGAATATTTACCAGACGACAAGAATGACAGCAAATTGTCCAGTTGGATTTGGGGAAGTAAAGATTGATTTCACATAGTAAATTTGTCGGTTAGCAAGGATATACGTATACATACTTTTTTATATGGGGTTATGAATTTATGAACATGATTGAAATTTTTGTAAGTGGATCATCAGATTAGATCGATTAAATTCGCGAATCCTCGATCAACTGAAATTAAGCGAGGTTGAACTTTTCAATCCACAAGACACATCAAATTTAACCAACTTTTCTCCAATTTACACCATTCAAAATGGTTTTCAAGTACCTTATACGAAAGACACGAAGAATAGTGCTCTTGCTATTCACATCATTCCTAGTTTGGGGCCTTTTGGCCACTTTTTTCCAACAATTTCCATCGTCCGCTGATTCCATAGCCACATCATCAACAACATTTACACTCAACAAGATCCCAAAGTCATTGCAAAGCAGAACGATCCAAGTATTGATAGCTCATCCAGATGATGAAGTAATGTTCTTCGCTCCTTCAATTGTTGAATTAAGCAAACCAAAATATAAAAACAATATAACTTTAACCTGCTTATCAGTGGGAAATGATCAAGGTTTAGGAGAAACTAGATATAATGAATTAGTTAGAAGTTTGCAAATCTTGGGGATTGAGGATTTTGAAATAGTCAATGATGAAACAAAATTCAAAGACTCAATGGAACTAGAATGGGATGCTGATAAAATTGCCGAATACATCTCCAAAGATACAGATGTCATTTTAACTTTTGATAAATTTGGTATTTCAAATCATCCTAACCATAAATCTTTATATCATGGTGCAATCGCTTCAAAGAAGCCAGTATATGCATTGAAATCATGGAATATGGCTGAAAAATATTCATCTACATTATGCACAAATGCTGAAATCATGTTGAAATTGTTTGATCATTCAATATTATACCTTGTCGATGCATTTCATATTGAGTCATATTTACCTGTGAACCTATGGGCAATACTACATGAAGTCCTATACAAAAATGTTCATATTTATGCTGACCTGCCATCAACAATTCTTGGAATAGCAGCCATGTCAAATGCTCATCAATCTCAAATGGTTTGGTTTAGATGGGGTTGGTTAAGCGTTAGCAAATACGGCAACTCAAATGAATTGATAAAAATACAATAGAACAAGAATCATGTGTTTATTTCCTAAATTCTTATATTAATGCATATTGTGTCTCGTATTTACCATAATGAATTCTCATCATCTTCTTCATCATATTCTTTTTGAAGTTGGACAAATCTATCACGTCTTGCTTCTGCAACTTCTAATTCCTTTTTGTATAAATCTTGTAAATCTTTTAGATGACCTTCATCTAACGCAATTCTTTCACCAAGTTGTTTCAAATCAAATTCTTCCTCAACATTAGTGTGGAATACAACTGTACAACAACCTTGATACAATATACTCAATAATTTTTCTTCCCTTTTAAGTTTCAAACCTGCATAAGCCTTTTTGACTTGATCTTGAACTATTGCCATGTCAGAAACTAGGTCATCTAATTTATTCAAGGCAACTAAATGACGGGCTCTTTTTTGATAAAGCACTGTGTTGAAAGTAACATTATTAGATTCCATTAATGACCAAACAGAATCAAAAATTTCAGCTGCAACTTCAGGTTCTTCAGAATTTGTCATTTCTGTCCAATTAATAAACAATTTCCAAAAATGGTGAGCATGAGATAAATCCATGTTATAATAACGTTGGAATTCTGTAATGTAATGAAACGCTTCAAATAATTGATTATTCACACCAAATGTAGCAATTAAAGCTTCAAGTAATTCTATATCTGGGTATAATGGAGAGTTTGGTTCAACTTTTGCATTCAATTCTGATGATTTACCTTGTGGTGAAATCCCCCAAAAATCATTAATATGATGTCTAGCCAAGTCTAAAAGGTTATGTTTACCAGAACCCAACAAAATCAATTTATGACTTTCTAAATTGGGCACCATATCACCTATTTGTTGTGAAAAATCTTGTAATAAATTCCCAAATTGAGTTTTCCTTTCAAAACCTCCATGATTTCCCCTTTTCGATAATGTATAATAAGGGCTTGTAACGTTCCAATTACCAGGATCAGCATCTCCCACGATGCTCAATTTTAAATTCCAAAACTTTAAGGAACTGGGAATTTGATTTGTTTCCATATGATGTATCAATTCAATAGCTTGTTGGGTTCTATAATTTTTGGATTCAAGCGTAAGAAAAAGCTCATACTCATGGGGAGTGAATTTGAAACCTTCTTTTATCAAATTCAAATAGAGAAATGATATTATATATGCGTTCTCTTTAGATTTTTGAATCATTGTTTTATATTCTGGTGTAGATGCAACGAATTTGACTTGATTATGGTTTTCTATTTCTTTAAGTTGACCATCCACCAAGATTTTCAGGAAGTATGAAACTTCTTCACGAGTCAAACCTTTTGTTAATGAATCATATTGTCTTAATAATGTCATGGTTTCCGCTATTTTTAACAATTTCTTATAATTTTTTTGTTGTAAGTAAGGTCTAATATCTGATCCATGATCTATTTGTTCTTGAGTTAAAGTGATGAGGTTCTCAGTTCTGGTTCTATTTTGTATCTTGGTAAAACTAGGTATTCTTGTGGCTGTTTGGTTTACGAATTGTGCAACGGTGAGTTTTTTAGAAGCATTTATGTCTTTTGGGTGTTGTGTTACTTGATCTTGGGTGTTGTTTGATGCCTGTACTTCTGGGTTCATCACCATCGATATATTCCTTTTGGCTAGTAGCCTTAGAGGCTTGGATCTCGATATCAAGCTCATTGCAAACCTTCTCTATCCAGCAACAAGACCTATCTTTTGACCAAAGTTTTGTATTCCCCAAAGATGTCATTTTTCACTTTTTTGTTCCAAAATTCGAGATCGTGAAAAAAAAACGACATTCAGTTGGTGTTCGGATTAACGATTGGTCAGCTATTATGTGAGATTTTTAATCATATACTCAATTTCAATATAATAATTATCATTTTATTATACATTTTGGTTATATCATTTTTACGGAAAAAGGTTCAAAGTGCTTCCCAAACTGTTGAAGGTAATGAGGATATTTGTCTTTTCTGTTTAGTTTTACAAAACTGCAACAAATCGTCCTGAAAAGAAGAAACCAGCGAAAACGGTACTGCAGCAGGTTGAGATAACTGAATAATGGCCAGCTCCGTTACTATTTTGCACTTGAGGACTAACGTTGGCTAGTTCCAGAGCCATTTGAAATGGAACCACTGGGAACTTGAGCAGTGGAAGCTAGGAATCCCCACCATTCCTATCAGAAACGGTTTTGGTTAAGCATTTTAAGCTGATTGAACAGCCTTTGAAAAACTGAAAATACTATTTCATTCACTACTTATACCTCTTTCCTCTTTACCACACTGTTCGATGCATTCTATGGCTTATAACCAGCATAACGAAGCATTAAACGTTATTGAAAGAGCAAATTTAAGTTGAATCCCTGATTCTATCGTCATCATGAAGACAACATCTCGGCTTGTACTATATTTTTTTTTCCATTTCAGTTACAAAATTTGAAAGAATCTTCTACGTTACTTTCAGCAAGTCCACCAACGCCCGTGTCCCTATATGAACCCCCATCTTTGTTGGTTCCTCGGTTATTCTGTTGCATAAACGTTTACATTTTGGAAGCTTTCAGCCTCGTGTGAGCTAGTCTCGATGCTTATAAATCTGCTCAAATCGAAGAAATTATTTAAGCTTAAGTGCCTCTGCAGTTCATAACAATTACAACCAGGATAATAAGTGCTTAAAAGCTGAGTACCTAGAATCAACCATGAATAGAGAGGTGAGCTCATTGCTATTGAGGAGGAAGAACTATTTAAACCAACTAGTTCCTCAACTTAGAACACTGAAGTATGGTATATTGATCAACAAAAAGTACCTATAATGCAACTGTCTTTGATCTTGAAGTTTGCCAGTTTTGCTTCCTTAGTATTTGCTGCTGATGGAACTGTCCGCTTAGGAGCACTGAAAAAAGCTGCCAATTTTGATTCAGATGATGCTCGTCTGGCTAAAAGAGATGGTGGTTATCATGATGTGACACTAGATGATCGTGGCGTGGAGTATTTTCTGAACATTTCAATCGGTACACCACCTCAAAGATTGCAAGTTCAAATTGATACTGGTTCATCTGATTTATGGGTCCCTAGTAAATCGAATGGGTATTGTGATGATGCTGAAGGTGGCCATGGGAACTCAGTCAAGCTGTTTAAAAGGGCAAGTGGTGATGACTCAAATGAAACATCATCTACTGATTCATCAGATGCCAATCTTTGTAATGGCTCAATCCATGGATTTGAAAGTAATTCATCAACTTCTTGGAGAAAGAACTCTACTGATGCCAATTTTACTATTCAATATGGTGATCGTACTTTTGCTGAAGGTGATTGGGTCAATGATGTTGTATCTTTTGATGGTATGACCATTGAAAACTTTGATTTTGGTTTAGCAACAACATACAATAGTACTGAAGCTGTTTTTGGTATAGGCTTGACAAGTAATGAAGCAACAATTGATTCAGAATCTGATAGCTACACTTATCCAAACTTCCCAGTTCGTTTGAAGAATGATAAACTTATTTCCAAAATTGTCTACTCCATTTATTCCAAATCTGATCCTTCTAAAAGAACAGTCGCTGAGCTAGTGCATTCATCTACTGATGTTGAACTTTTATTTGGTGGTGTGAATCATGCTAAATATGAAGGCGTCTTGACTACTCTACCTGTTGCTTCAGATGATAATTATCTTGCTATTACATTGTCTGGTATTGGAATAACATCAAACTCTGGAAATACAACCAGAACTGTTTCAACCTCATTCTATAGTGCACATTTAGATACGGGGACCACTCTTAGTCAGTTCCCCAAAATGTTACTTGAAGCCTTTGCAAATTCAAATGAAAACTTTCAATATAATGAAGATTCTGGTCTAGTGATTACTCCTTGCTCCTTGATGAATTCCACAACTGACTATTTCATTTTTGATTTTGCTGGCGCGGTGATAAAAGTTCCAATGAACAATATTGTGGGAGAATTGAATGTAACAGCTAATCAAATATGTGGGTTTAATTTTCTTCCAAGTGAAGATGAAAAAGTTACTTTAGGTGACAATTTCTTGAGAAGTGCGTATGTTTTGTATGATTTAGAGGATAATGAAATATCAATTGCCCAAGCTAAATATAATAATGAAGATAATATCGAAGCTGTTGTTTCAAGCGTTCCTTCTGCAACAAGGGCTGCACAATATTCATCATCATTTTCAACTCCTGCAACTTCAAACACAGTCACTGGTGATATCATATCAAAATACATAGCAACTGCTAACAATACCAATGCTTCAAAAGTGGCAGTTTCTCAAAATTCAGCTCATGGCTCGGTGAGGTATTCTGCTTCAACAATAATTGGGATTTTGTCTTTGGTTGTTGCTGTCTTATTATTGTGAGCTTTATCAGTCAATTTAGATCATGGCTAAAGGACACAGAGGATATATAATTAAGGCGGATTAAAGCCAATACAATACCGAATGTTTAAATGGAAAGCCCATGTAATTATGTGTAGATGCAAATTCGCGAATTAACGACAATAAGAATTTCTCGACTCGTGTTGATTCGATGTTCGATGTTCTCAATGAAATTGAAGTGTTGAAACTCTATCCAATCGTTGTGCTATCGTTAGCGTTCTGATTGTCAAAGACCGAGCTGAAGATCAATCAATGATGCTGGTTGTTAACTATTTTGGGGGAAAGAAAGTCAATTCAGTGGCTCTTTGAACCATGGCCGATAGGGCAAATACAACCAGAGATCCAGTTTCATCTCAATAACCAGATCCAAATGACGCCATCTGAACGAGTATCTTGATCATTTGAATGTTTTCTAGCCTATCAAAGCACTCAGTTTTAATGAATTTCCCATACTTTAATGACCTTTCGGAGCCAATCACACTGAAACAGATCCAATGCTATCTCAGCTTTTCCTTGAATTTAACCCAGGCGCATTATTCATGACAGCTCGAAATCTCAATTACAGAGGACCTCAAAAGCTGTCAGAGTCAAGAAGAAGGATGAACAGGGGGTATACTTATCGAAAACTTTCACTCATACAGTCATTGAAACCGAAAACTGAACGGATCGACTTCGGTACATTGCTGCATCGTTATTCATTCTGATAAAGTGAGAAGTTGGTTTAGTCTCCTGTCAAAGAATACATTTCAAAAGGGTTGGCAACACTGATGCTTTTTGTGACAGGCTACACTTGGCTCTGTAATACCAAAGATGCTACACATCGTGCCTATGAGTTAAAAAAGGGAAGAAGATCAAGAGTACCGAAGCGATCTCTTTTGGTTAATGAATTGACAGTTTCAACAGATGTATCACAACAACTCTTTCACCTATCATACTATCAGTTTTGCAGATCAATATTCGGGAAAAGAATTCACCAAAGTTTCAATTCTTAAATGTTACTGTGATTGGACCTAAAGAAAAAAGTCAAACCTGTCAAACGACGGTGTTTTAACTCGTCATGCAGGTGTGTGTTAAAAAGAAGCTTTACAACGATTGGAATTTGAGGAGATATTTAGCCGTTGACCAATCAATGAGGCAAATGAGGTTATCCTCAAGCTATTGAATTCCAATGAATGATGAAATGGGTTGATAATACTTGAAAACTATTTAAGGAGGTTGAATCCTCGAGGAGCTGAATAGTTTCTCGAGAAAAATCCAAAGTGCTTGATAAAATCAGTATCAATTACAATGAAATTCATTCAAGCATTATCAATCAGTGCTCTTATCACCACAGCTTTAGCTATTGACAATGTTGTCAAATTACCAGTCACCAAAACTAAAACTAACAAACTGAGTAAAGCTGTCCATAGTGGATTAGTTAAAAGAGCTCAAGATCACCAAGAAAGTTTAGCTGATGATGGTGTTGGTTACTTTGCCACAATTGAGGTTGGATCACCAGCTCAAACAATTAGAGTCCAGATTGATACTGGTTCTTCAGATTTATGGTTCCCAGGTACTAATAATCCACAATGTCCACAGGGTACAGCAACTCCAATTGATCAAGGCTCTCCATACCAAGATGATTTTGATTATTGTTTGAGAAGTGCTCAGTATGATCCAGGTGCTTCATCTTCATGGAAGGTTGATTCCAGTGCACCTGCATTCCATATTGAGTATGTTGATTATTCATTCGCTACAGGTTCTTGGGGTACTGATAATGTTCAGTGGAATGATGTTACTATTGATAATTTCTTTTTGGCATCTGCTCAAAATTCAAATGCAACTTCAGTCTTCGGTATCGCATTAACTACAGATGAAAGTTCAAATGAAGGTAGTGATGCATTCCAATATCCAAACTTCCCTCAAAGATTGAAAAGCGATGGTTATATCTCCAAGATTGTTTATTCTTTATATCCAAGTGAGGATCCATACACCACTTCGGGCGATATTGATATTACTTTATTATTCGGTGGTGTTGATACTGCTAAATATTCAGGAACTTTGGAAGTTTTCCCACTTGATAGTAATTATGATTTAGCAATCACTTTAACAGGTATCAGCACTGATATTTCTGGCCAAACTTCAGTCGCTTCAACCCAATCATTATCAGCAGTCTTGGATTCAGGTACAACTTTACAAGCATTACCATATAACATCGTGGAACAATTGGCCTATAATCTAGGTGGTTCTGGTGAAACAGATAGTTATGGATACTTTATTGTTCCATGTAATTACGGCTCAGATGATCATATAACTTATACATTTGGTACTAAAAACATTAATGTCCCAGTGGAAGCAGTCGTTTCATCAGATGGTAATGGTAATTGTGCATTGGCTATTGAACCAACTAATGGGTTAACAATCTTGGGTGATACGTTCTTGATCAATGCCTATGTTGTTTATGATTTAGAAGATCGTGAAATTGCAATTGCACAGGCTAAATACACTAGTACTGAGAATATCCAACCTGTTATTAGTTCAATCCCTGGTGCTGTTAGGGCTGCTGCTGTTGCTGCTCCAAGTGTTGCTGCTAGTGCTACTGGTGGGTTTGTTACTTCCATAATTGATTCTTCTGCAACTAGCTCAGCATGAGGATTGTTTTACCTATTTCTTTAAAAGTTGACCTTTTTTCTTGTGTTCCTTCCAATGCTTTTTTTTTTGCTTTTGAGGACTCTTTTTTAATTCTATGTATAGTTCTGATTAGAACTGGAAAGAGTGTATTACTCTTTATTGACACTTATTTTATTTTGGATATAATACTATCTCAAGATGTAGCTGGTATTCGAGGTGACATCAAGTAACCATCTACAGACCAAAAAGCTAATGAAATAATGACAACGACTTTAAAAGAACTGTATAAATAATAAAACATGCAATAATACAAATAAAAACAACACAGCGAACACTAGAAAAAAGTAAAACCACTCAGTAAACACATCAATCGTAAGTCATGATATCTATATAAAAAAAAGCACCCCACTATGATGAACCACCACTTGTTCTTGCTTCAAAATCTTCCCAATACAATTTATTTTCATTAACAATCTGAGCACCAAATGCTAATTCTGGGAACACTATAGCAACTTCTTTAAATAAAGCTTCAGCAAATGTCTTTATGAAAAATAATTGACCTTTTGGTAAACTTGGATTCTTGGTTAAAGCTTCTTCAATACTTGGTGGGAAATAAGGACCTAATCTTGGGTCATTTAATTCATCAACATCAACGCCTTTATTCAAATTTTCATCCAATTGATTAATTTCATTAAACTCACGAGCCAATACAAACCCCCATTTTGTTGAGATTAATAGAGGTCTTGCCACATTGGAAATGTCTGCACATTTGATAATCATTGATAATATAACATTTGTTTGTTTTAAAGAATCTTTAATCTTTGATCTTGTTTCAGGATTGTTTAACAAGATTGAGATTTCATCAATTTTAGATAAATATTCAAAATGATTAGCCATATCAGTTGCTAATATACTTTGGACTTGCATAACTTTAGTATTCAATGGAGATTGAGGATTTTTGGTATTTGAATTATCCAAGAAAACTGGCCAATGATAAGATAAAATATCTTGGAAAATAGTTGAATGATAATTTTCTAGAACAGATTGATTTGAATAAATTTTAGCAATTGGTGATTCATTATTAATTAAGAAAGGGTTTGTTAAACCTGGATGACCAACATCATGACCAACACTTGAAACTAATAGTGCTAAAGTTTGAATTGGATTCAAAATAGAAGTTTCTTTATCAAATTGGGAGCCATTATTGAACAATATCTTGTTGGTAAAATGATCATTTGGATGACTTGATAAATCTTCAGTATAAAATGGGAATTTTGGTAAAGCATTAATTCTTAATAAGAAATAAAAAGTTGCTTGTAAAACATCAACAGCATGTCTAAAATTATGGAACGAATTACCACCTCTGTAGGAATCTCTTAAACTGAAAAGGAAACTCAAGATGGAGTTATCATCAATGATTAAAGGATCATTTGGTTCCAATATACTAAAGGCAATTTTAAAAATTTTAAAAGCACAAAAAGTTAATTCATCACAAGTTAATTCATGAGCAATAAACCCCCAATTACCAATACAATACATGTAGTAGTTTGCTTGTTTTGGCAAAGTTAATAATCTAATGAAATCAATTTCTGAATTGATTAATTGAACAAAATGTCTTAATTTATGAGATTTTTGATAATCTTTTTGTAAAATGATGTTTAAACAATTTGTCATACTATGTAGACAAGGACAGTTCTGGGTATTGTGATTGTTTAAACCGACCCATGATTTCATTCTAAGGATTCTATTCTTCAGTGTAATGTTATAATTTTCAATATCTTGATTAATTAATGATATGCTAAAAGTTGATAATTTATATGGTAATATGTTTAAATGTTTATAATGATTTGATAATAAAAGATGCATTTGGTCATAAGTTAAAGTGTTTAGTGGAGAGTTTGAGGCTCCTTCTATTAGAGGATCATTTGGAGTATAAACAATTTCATTGATTATCACAACAGTTGGATAATCTAAATCTAATTCAGAAGCACCAACAACACTAACATAGATCAATAGATCCACCAATTTTCTAAAATGTCTCACCAGAGATTTCCTTAGAGAGATGTCAAATAACTTGATGTTTTCATCAACAACTTTTTGACTAGAAGTTGAGTCTAGGTAAAGGATTTGTGACATTATGGAGCAAGCAAGATATGAACACAAACAAAACACCAGCAAAAACACACGAGACCAGATAGAACCAGATGAAATAACAATAATGTGATAGTATTATGAGGAGCTCAATGACTAATATCAGGTAGTGAACACTGTAAGGATAATGTCTCAGCTGTCAATTGTGATTCCAATATCTTAATTTTAAAGGATCTTTGGGTACAAAAGAAAAAACCGTTTTTTTTGCAAAGTTTCAAATCGAGATTTCAAGTTTCTTTTGGAATTCGCGAATTGTTAGGGACGGACATAGCCGGAGTCATATAGCCGTTGGCTGGTGACTCGGGATTTGACAGGTTGGGTTGGAAAAATTCATAGGATATCAGGTTATTAGTTATTAGGTTGATAGGTTAATAGGTTAATAGATTGATAGATTATAGATCAAAGTAATAAGCTAATGATTTGGTAGTTGTATCGATAATGTATTGTGTAATATATTAAAGTTGAGATGAGGTACCCTAGTTAAATCCGATCAAATGCCCTACAAACACTTAAGCTCATCTCTTCATATAAATTATACTATTATACACTATTACTCAAACAGCAACAGGTCCATACTGCTCACTGTTGATGGTAGCAACATCTAACCCTTTGGATTGTAAGAACTCTGTCACTAATCCCATGTAACCCAATGGTCCAATTAGGTAATAGTCATTATTTTGAACATTCTCATTAGTGAAGGCACCAGCAAGATCTTTTGCACTAACACGACGTGGATGGATATGATAATTTGATGTATTGTTTATATTAGCACCTGCAGTTGTGGAGATGAATTCATCAACACTTAATAAAGTTGGATATTCTTGAATTAATCTCTCTAACCAATTACCAAATGGTCTTGAGTTTACATCAGAATTTGATAGATATAATTGGACTTTTTTACCTTGTTTCAAGAAGTATTCAATTGATGAAATTGATGGAGTGATACCAATACCACCAATGAAGAAAACAACAGGTTTTGAATCATCTTTTGATTCCTTCACGGCATTGAAATGAGGTTCTAGTAATTTACCATATGGTGAACTAATCTTGATTGCATCACCAACTTTTAATTGATCATGAATATAATTGGAAACAACACCACCTGGGATTCTTCTAACAGAGATTCTATAATACTGTAAACCATTTTGTAATTCTGGATATTCATTACTTAGTGAATATTCTCTTGATTGAACAGTAGCTCCACTATCCGTGGAAATTCTAATTGTAGTGTATTGACCTGGGTAAAAATTTGCCAATTTCTCATCATTTGGCTTAATATAAACAGATTTAACAGAATCAGACTCTTGAACAATCTTGGATACAGTGGCATCTTTGAAGCCTAACCAAGCATCCTTAGTTGTCAATTCAGTAGCATATCTTTTTTTCTCTAAATCAATCAAGATGTTTGCCAAATCATAATAAGCAACTTTCCAAGCTTCCATGAATTCATCAGTTGCACCTTCACCAACCATTTCTTTCAAAGTTTTCAATAAACATGAACCAACAATGTCATATTGTTCTGGAGTAACTTGTAAACCAACATGTTTTTCAACAATTTGTCTAACAAAGCCTAATAAAGGAGTTAAATCATTGATATTTTCAGCATATTTAACTAATGAGAAAGCAAGGATCTTTGGTTGTTTCTTTGTGATTTGATGGGACTTGTTGAAAAAAGGACGAACTTCTGGATGGGTTTCAAGCATATATTTGTAGAAATTTGCAGTTAAATCCACACCATGTTCTTTCAAGAATGGGATTGAAGCTGTGATGATTTTCTTTTGAGATGTTGTAATTGCAGACATTTTGAACTAGTGATGATGATGATGATTCCAAAGTAGCCACTCATGGTCTTGGGAGATTCGTCGTCTCTTTATATAGTGCTCCCTAGCCTATTCTGCCCTTTGAAGAGCTCATCACCAACTGTATATCCTCCGCACTAAAACCGATACGTTATACCTGTGTCACGTGAATCTGAGCTGATGTTGCAATATCCTCCGCCTATAAAATAAACAGATGGGCAGTTTTGAAGGCCATCGAGAAATCGTGGGCCAAGTGGTGCATATTGTGACCAATTGTGGGCATATGATTGGCTGAGAGCCCTGCAACTTCTTTTTGTGCCATGTTCTTAAACAAGTGAACTTTGTAGGGTTGATGCTACAGTAGAATGAGCCAAGTGAAGATCCACAATATTTCACAGACTCTCAGTATCCATGATCAAGTTTTTAATGCTCAGTGCTTGGGGTAGCTACTAATAATATTATTTGCTTTCATAGTAGGATAGCCACCTAGTAGAACTCATTCAATACCAGTCAATTCTTTTGACTTTTAGAGTTGATTGGAGCCTTCAGCTTCTTGATGAAAAGTTTTTTTTTCATGAACTGAACAATTTGACAGATGATCATCAAGCTCAAAGAATAACATTGGTGAAAGTATGGACAAACAGGATCTAGAGCTTTTGAGAGAGTCCTTTAACGATATTTCCAAACAAGTACGCAAAAGCTCAAGATCTGTCAAAAACAGACTACATTCAATCCTACTTGATTCTCAATGGGTAGCCCAAGTACAGTCAGCATATAACAGACCTTTAATACCCAATGAACGTTGTGGTCTTTGGTACGTCCCTCCTGAGCTGATCAAAGAAACTGCTTATTTCAAATCAACAGATGGTCATACTTCACAATGGTCCTTCAGTACAAGACGTTTAAACTTCCATCTGTTTGATATCATGGTGGAGAATCAAGGTATAATAATCGTGGATTCAACAAGACGTGGGAAAACTATGCCAGATGCCCTGTCAAAGACAATCCCAATTTGGTGTGCCGTTTTGAATTTCATAATGTTTGGTGAACAGGAAGAGAATGGTAATAATTGGTGTTTCTTACCATTACAGATCATTTCCAAGAATGAAGCAAATTCAATAATCAAACTAATACCAAAATTTGCCCAAACTTTAATAGATTTGAAAATCATCAACAAAGAACAACTATTAACAAAATTCAAAGGGAAATATCTACGACCATTATGGATGTATCCAGGAATGTCACCACCTATTGAGCCTCCCATTTTCGAAGATTTCATTCCAATAATCAATTGTGTAGCGAGTTTTAGAGCTGATGATGGTTCAAAAACGATGAATGGGTTCACTTATGTTCAAGGTGCAGCTGATGATCATGAATTATGGGCTGAAAACTTAAACCCTCAACTATTTTGGGAAAATGTTGATGTTTTGCGAAATATGGAATTGAGTGATGAACAATTGTTGAATATTATTGATTCTTTGAAAATAAAGAAAATTGGCACTAGTTCATTAGAAAATGTTGTGGAATTGACAGATGAGTTAAGTATAGGGAAAGTTGTTGATAATATTAAACTAGCAGATGTTGGAAAATTTGATTCTATTGTTGTGTTTTCACCTAATTTCACTATCGAGGAAAATGAAAGTATGAAGTTTCATCATTATCCATTTGCTTGTGATAAAAAAGGTTCAAATGAGTTGAGGAAATCAATACCGTCAATTATACCATCACTCTCTGGTAGGATACTTGTATTATGTGAATCTGGTTCAGATCTTTCTGTTGGGATCGCATTGGTTTTATTATCAACTAGATACAATTTAGATTGGGAAAAAGTTGACACACAACCATTAACAACAAAAGATACAATCAAGAAACATCTAGCCAAAGTTTTAAACCATAAGAAAGTTAATCCTAGTAGAGCAACTTTACAAGCCATCAATTCCTACCTAATGTGAATAATTACATAGATTTGTTAAAATTATTAAACTTCTTTATTTTTATGCCCAAGGTAGACTATTAATTTAAACTAAAACAAAATAAGAAAAAACACAAACGACTGTGATCAAACAGCCTTTCCGAAAACTAAAATTAACTTCACTCTTTAACATCACCTTTTTCATAAGCTAATCTAACAATCTCAAATGCCTTCAAAAGCTTACCTCTAGCACCCATAGCACTAACACCTTTCAACTCCAATTGTTGATCATCATAATAAATCAACTCCCTCCATGGAACATCTTGTAATGCACTAGTGTATTTATGTAATCTTAATGTTTTCAACCAGGCTGGTATATCATTCAATAATTTCACACTAGTGATCTGCTTGGGGTTAATTGCTGGTGATCTTGGTGTTCCTTGATCCTTGGCAATTTGTTGCTTATAGGGTGTGGAAAATTCATCATTCAATGATAAATTTTTCGTTGCATTGTTTAAACTTGCTAATCTTGATAATCCATCAACTTGTTGCTGTGGTGGGCTTTGATCATTATTCATCCTTGTTTGAGATCTTTGCTTATTCATAACTCTGTTCACTGATGGTGATTGCATACCTAAATTGTCATAATAGTTTACTCGTTGTGGAGGTGGAACTGACATGGAATTTCTATTGGCATTATTGGTATCATCATTGAAATTGTAATATCTTTGTCCTGAAACTGTATTAAATGCATTGTTGTAAACATTAGTATTATTGTTTGATCTTCCTCTTTCATCAGGCTGTTGTTGATGAACTCTTTTCTTATTGGAATCCAACTGAGCTCTGCTGTTGATGGTGGATAATGCTGATAGTTTCAATGCATTATTGTTGTTATATTCATTCAATTTGATAGGCGTTTGAGTCAACTGTTGAGCCAAATTGGTGATATCATAAGAACGATTTTCATAAGTGTTATTATTAGTGGTATTATTATTTGGGAGCTTTTGTTGAGGTATATTTTGTTGATGCTGTTGTGGGAATTCATTATCTTTCAAGTCAAATCTAGAGGTCCTGCTCTTTGATGGTGTCTTGTTTGAATCCCAATCAGTTAAATTACCCAAGTTCCTATTAAACAGTTTAGAACTATAAGGGTCTGCTGATCTTGGTCTATTTGATCCAATATCTTGAAGGAATGATCTATCAAAAGTTGAATTGAAATTTGGCGATAATGCACGTTGAATATTTGATGGTGACCATGGTTGCTGTTGGGTTTCTGGAGGCTGATGATTACCACTGTTCAAAACGGCATCAAGTGTCAATGGTTCTTGAGTTGTTGGTTGGTAAATGAAATTACTTTGCGATGGAGATGAAACAAACCTGCTGTTATTATTATTGTTGGCAAAGCTAAAGCTTTCTAATTTGGATTTGGTATAGTTTAAAATTTCATCAGGTAATGAAGACAACAAATTATCAACCACAGTTCTATGTTGATTTGAGTTTAAGGTATTCAACCAACTAATCAAGTTACTCACATCGTTCTTAAAAGTTATTGAATCAATCTCCATAGAGCTTAACGGTCTTTCAGGAACACTAAACCCTTGGGCACTTAGGGGACGGTTATTGGGGTTCAAAAATGCATCACTGTTGTTATAGTTGAAATCTTGAGCACTCAACGGTCTATTATTTGACAAATTGTTGAAATTGGAATTGGCGCCAGTTAATAAAGGTGACATGGCAACATTATCTTGTGGTTCAAAAGCATATCTTGATCCAGGAGGTGACAATAATGCCATTGATGAATTTGTACCCGGTGAAGTGATTGTGTTTTTGAAGCCAACGCCACTATTACCAGTTGCATTAAAAGGCTCTGGTGATAAGATACGTGATCCAGGTCTAGCCTGTGGTGATAACAGAGCAGCCCCAGGTAATGTTCTTTGTGCTGTTGGTGATGAAGTTGAGATGGAGTTCAATATCGTTTCATCGAGATTTTGTTCAATCTCTCCTTGGTTTAAAGAGGCTTCAGGAAAATTTGACATGATTTCAGCAAGGAAAAGTAATACTCTAATCAATAAATATCTAATTTGGTTGAACTGAATAAGACTCTGCTATTGGTGTATGTTCCTGAACACAAATGAAAATTTGAGCAAAGCCGTGGACTTTTAAGATCTAGAAGGGATGAGCTTGCAAACTTCTAGAAAATGGTATGAAAAGGTGGATGGAATAATCAGACGAAGCCCTTGGTTTTGTTGAGTTGCAAATGAAAGTCTGGTGGTTGAAGGGCTTCTAATTGTTATTTGAATAGAATTGAATCAATAAAGACAAAGGGTTTCTCCTTCGAATACGTTAAAAGAAATTTCAAATGGCCTTGAGCTTTTCAATTTTTTTATGGCACTTTTTTTTTTCTTCGTACCTTTTTTTTTTTTTGAACTTTTTTTGAACTTGACACGAAAAAAAACAGATTCGCGAACATTTTCAGGGCCAAACTTCAACAAACGGCTACAATTACATAAATTATTTCAATAAAAATGTCCATTAATCATTAAAATATGAGTCTATAATCATAACATATACAGGGGTGAATTGGTGTAGTGTTAAAATTTGTTGGATTTGAAGCCATCCCAAGATTGTTTAACTGATTTATCTTTGGTTTTGAATGAACGATAACTGGTTTTGACAACTTTTTGACCAGGAGCTGCAAATGCAGAAGTTGGATATGTATTGTAATTGGAGTATGGTGATGAAGATGAGGTTGAGTATGATTTATAACTGAAATCTTCATATTTTTTGGTTCTTTCAGCTTCGAAAAAAGAATCAATAGCACTTGGACTGAACCCTTCTTTTGGACCTTTAGTTTGTTTCTCCTTCTTTTTAAAACCTTTTGATTTGGTTGAAGCTGAAGCCTTTGCTGATCTCTTCCTCTTCTTTGGTTGCTCTTCTTGGGCAGGTTGATCATAGTGAACCTCTTTAGCAAATAATTCCTCAATCTCAGCAAAGTCCAATTTTTTCAAATAAGTTTGATAATTCTTCCAATTTGCTTTAAACTCTTTTTCATCTTGAGAAATTTGCATCTGTAAATATGACTTCTTCCATTCAGGATTTTCAATTGAATATTTAAAATCATCCATCTTCAAGTTTTTACCATTACGAGCAACTGGTGGTATTTCAATTCTACTAAAACTTAACTTTTTCTCATCACCTAATTTGGCTTCTTCTTTACCTAATAATGTAACAATATCCAATGATTCACCAGGTGGAATGGCCTTTTGATTTGAAGGTGTAATACAATCCATATCAACCTCTTTTCTTAAAACATGATCAATATCAACAGCTGAAAAGAAAGCACAAGACTGAGGAACATCACTAATACCTAATCTTTCACAAAAAATTGCTCTTGTCCACAAATTACTAATTTGTAATGCTAATGAGGCTCTATATTTATCCTTTTCTCTAACCAAATATCGGATTTCATCATGAACACTAAGACATAATCTTGCATCAATACCATATAATTTGATCAAATAATTCATTGAGACACACAACAAATGCAAATAATCAACACCTGATGATTGAATAGCCCAATTAACTCTTGAAGGTAGGAAACTATTACTTTTCAAATTCTTCTTCAATAAAGCTTTTGTAATACCAGCACCTAACACTGGAGTCTTGGGACTATCCTGTTCTGCAATACTTTCTAGCCTATTGAAAAGGATAGACTCAGTACCACCAAACCACAATTTCATACGATCACCTTTTGGATAATATTGTGCAGATTTACCCTTTGTTGAATTATATAAACTTTGTGCACGTTCTGCACATTCAATATCTGTTAATTTTGGATTAAATTGTTTTAATAATCTAGTGGCAAATTTTAAACCAGCACCATAAATACGTCCATAATTGAAAATTTTAGCTTCATTTCTTGAAATCCCTAAAATACTGGCAGTTTTAGAATGTAAATCAGTACCTTCACTCTTTGTACCTTCTAAAGTCATCCATCCAATTGCTGTACCACCATGCATTTTAAACATCGAATCACCAACTAATGAGGCAATCCATAGTTCTTCCGAATCCACATCTGCACCAACAAGACAATAACCTGGAGGCGCTTTGATTTTAGATTTCAATTCTGATCCAATACGTGATTTTTTAGCATTTGAAGCTGTTAACCAAGTTTTCTCAACTGCTCTTCTTGTAACGGTACCCATTGTTAAAACTTGAGGTAAAATAATACTGTATTTTTTGGTTTTAGGAACAACAAATTGTGACATGATTCTTTCTCTTGAACTTATCCAGTAACTACAACTTGCATTGATTTTCAAAGCTTCTTGAGCAAATGAAGAGTCTGAACTTAGGATACCCTTCTCAAAAAAAGAACCAAATCCCTTAGCCAACAATAATGCAGTTCTAGCCTCTGGACCTTGATTATTCGGAACTCTGAAATAAGCATATTCATCACCTGGAGATGGACCAATCTCGGCATCACCACCATTGTTCATTGCATCAAAACTTTCAGATTGAAGTTTCTCCAATTGTAAATCAATTTCCTCCTGTTCCTCTGGTGTTGGTTTTGAAACTCTGAAAAACTTCACGTAAACATAATTTTTACTCTTCATTTTTTCATAATCCTCGATATTTGCTCTAAAACACCAGCCATACGCATCGCTCCAAATGACTGGATAACCTTCCCAAGTTAATTTGAATAAAATAGGTGTGATTCTTGATCTTGTTGTGATAATCAATTTATCCTTTTGAGAACTATGCAAGTCACGATACCAATTGGGGAAGCCTGGAAGTCTTTGGTTTTTATATGGTTCACCGTTTTTCTTGAATTTGGCAGGATAAATTGTCCAATCTAATTGTTTTAACCAAGGGTCATTTTCAAAAATTTCCGGTTGATCTTTTAATTTAACAGCTTCTTCAGCCAATTGAATTAAATGATTATCAACTTTTTCTCTACTTTGTTGGTATAAGCCCTCAGCACTATCCAGATAAGTTTGCCAATCTTTATTAGTTGGCAAGATACCACCACCCATGAATCTTAATGCAGCAAATGAAACAGGATGTGGACAAACTCTTAAGAATTCAGGCAACACTTGGATATAAATACTATAAGTTGTTGAAACATCAGTTGCACAATAAGTCATCAAGTCTTGGAAATGTTTTTTAATGGTGTTGATATCATCACCAGCAAACATTTCTCTTGGATCTTTACTAATTTCCATCCCACAATAAAACTGAGCCACTTCAGCTAAGGAATTTGGACTACTATATGAGACCCAAGGATCCTCCATTTCAGATCTTTGAATCTCATCAGGGGTATACTCTATATCTGACTTTTGCTTTCTATGTTGCATCCATCTTGGTCTTTGACGTGAACACATTCCTGAGGCAGCAATATGTAAAGCCATTGTATCAAGGAAAAAAGCTTTTGTTTCCTTTAGGTTATATTCTTCTGCGATCCTAGCTCTATCATAACCAACATTATGTCCAATGATTATTCTCTCTTTAGCTAAAGTATCCATGGGTATCAAATGATCAAAAGATTCAGATTCACCAGTCAGCACAGGACTCACCCAACCATACCAGGCCGTTGAAGAGACAGCAGTAGCCATGACTGCGTAATTCGACACTTTGTAAAGAGTTTCCACATCAAACACAACAATTTTTTCATCTGGGTGATCAACATGAAGAGGATCCGAACCATCTGAAGGATACTTTATCCAACCGGATTCCATTATCCAAGTTTCTGGTTTCTTCGGTATAGCACCTATATCAACGAAATTTTTAGCCACTTCTAAATAATTCTTGGATGAAAATAATGCAATTTTTTTGAAATGTTCATCAAGATTCTTCCCTTGTAGCTTGGGTAATTGGAAAGATATCGGGTCTGCTATGCTGGTTTTCTTTCCTAATAACTGATGGTGGTCAAGGTATTGCTTTGATAGTTCAATCAAATCTGCCTGGTTCTTTGAAGGTTTCTTATCAATCTCTTTACCAGGGAAAAGTTGTTGATGTAAACCGTACGATAGTTGTTGGATCCCCACTGGGTTGATTCTTGGTTCTTCATTGGCTGTGGATTGAAATCTTTTGGAAGAGCGTCGTATTAGAGCAGTGGACCTTGAAGACAGTTCTTTAGAAGCATGCCTTATCCTTATGATGGAACTCATCTAGTATTACAAAGCACAATTTATGATGAATCCAGCAGCAAAACAGTCAAGTTTAAAGGGCAACCGAGTAATCCAAAGCAGAGTGGCAAAAATTGTATCCTTTTAAAGTATTTGGCTAACAGTGAAATTTCTTCAATGCTTTCTGGAAATGTGATATGTCACTTTTAATCCTAATTAAAAAATTTGTTTTTGTTTTTGTATAGTGAAAAAAAAACACAAACCGTCGGTACACACCACACAGAGATAACGAGGAATTGCTGGAAAGTGGATTTAGTGGTGGTAATTAAGGAAGTATGATGGTTTAAAGTGGTATCGGGGTGCATATAGGCATTTGAAGTTGAATAGGACTGTTTTTGTGGATTTCCACCCTATTTATCACCCCTAGAACTCCTATTTCCCTGAACAAATGTGTCTGCACAAGTGTCGCGACGGTGCCCATTTTGTTTGTGCAGCGATTTTATCAACTGAATTTTGAGGGAGCTCAAGAGCTCGAGGCAGCACATCAACAACCAAAAGCACAGCCAGAAACCCACACTCGAAACAATCCAAACATGTCTACTGCCCGTGCATTGAGTGACACTCAGGTATGTCCACCACCACAGCCAGCTGCTTTCAAGTAAAGTTGCTGTTGTTGTGAATGTTTTTTTCTTAGAAAACGTGAGTACTAATGGAATGCCCCTAGGTCGCTGATGAATTGAAAAAGATGGAATCTTTCATCAAGAAAGAAGCCGATGAAAAAGCTAAGGAAATCCAATTAAAAGTGAGTATAATGAGATAGAACTTATAAAAATGAGTGAAGCTAACATCCACTAGGCTGATGAAGAATACGAAATTGAAAAAGCTAATATAGTTCGTTCTGAAACTTCTGCAATTGACGCTTTATATGAACAAAAATTGAAAAAAGCTTCATTAACTCAACAAATCGCCAAATCCACCATTGCAAACAAGACAAGATTAAAAGTTTTATCTACAAGAGAAAAAGTGTTGGATGATATATTTGATGAAGCTGAAAAGCAATTGAAAGAAATTAGTAAAGATAAATCTAAATACAAACCAGTGTTGACAGGTTTGATTGAAGAAGGTTTATTGTCTTTATTAGAAAAATCAGTCACTGTTAAAGTTCGTAAATCAGATGTTGAAATTGCCAAAGAAGCTATTCAAGAAGCTGCAAAGAATTTTGAAGAAAAGGCTAAATTCCCTGTTGAAGTTAATGTTGATGAAGAAAACTATTTGAATGATGATATTGCAGGTGGTGTCATTTTAGTCAATGGTACTGGTAAGATTGAATTGGATAACACTTTGGAAGAAAGATTAAAATTATTATCTGAAGAATCATTACCAGCAATTAGATTATCAGTTTTCGGTCAATCAGCCACCAGAAAGTTCTTTGATTAATCAATGCAATTTATAGATGACTCTGCTTTCTTTGTTACTTTATAATATAATAAAATATCCTCTGTGTGTTCAGAAGATTTCATAGTAAAATAACTTGCACTTAATTCCATTTCGCAAAATGCTTATTATGGTGTGTCGCAAACCGTCGAAATTTCAAAGATCAGAAAAAAACAAGAATGGCTTTAATGAAGCAAAAGTGACATATATTTCAACTTTCAAGTGCTCTATTTATTTATTCTCATTCATTCTTTGTGCCTGTCATCATCGCTGTTGTGCTTAATAATATCACCACCAGATCTATAAACCCCATCAACTTCTAAAAAAACCACACCATAGATCTCAAGCAATTCACAAGAAGCAGCTCAATGTTCTGCTCGACATCAATACGAAGAGTGATATTCCCCAAGAAAAACCTGGGTCTTATCATCAAACCAAACTTATCAAGAATAAGATCCTTCCATAGTTCAAATCCTCAACTACTATTCAAACATATAATCTCTTCAAAAGATTCACAAAAACTACCACCACCTTCACCATCAAATTTTAATATAACTGATCATACACCAGATTTAACCAAAATTGTCAAACCAATAACCCCAAATGATTCTTTCGTTAGCTGCACGGTATTCGATCTCAATGGGAACGTCATTGCTGTCTCTAAGCATTTCCCCAAGATGAAGTTTTTACAAGAACATGGATTATACCCTAGAGATTTAAGAAAAATCGATACATCAGCAATCGATATCATTCCTTCGATTGTGGTTAGAGATAATTGTATCTTGGTCAACCTATTACATATTAAAGCATTAGTGGAAGCTAATAAAGTGATGATTTTCGATACGAGTAACCCTTCAGCTGCTTCAAAATTAGGATTGTTTGTTTATGATTTAGAAGCAAAATTGAAAACTCCAAGTACGGGATGGGTCCAGCAATATGAACATAGAGCATTAGAATCAATTTTAATTAATGTTATGACTTGTTTGGAAACGGAACTACATCATCATTTGAGTGTTTGTGGGTTGATTTTGGCAGAATTGGAAGATCAAATAGATCGTGATAAACTACGTGATTTATTAATTAAATCAAAAGCTTTGAGTACTTTTTATCAAAAGGCTTTATTGATTAGAAACGTCTTGGATGAGTTATTAGAAAATGATGATGATTTATCAGGGATGTATCTAACTGAAAAATTACAATCCACCATAACAACACCACCGGAAGAACGTACTGATTATGGTGAAGTGGAAATGTTATTAGAAGCCTATTACAAACAATGTGATGAATTTGTTCAACAATCAGAGTCTTTAATTAATGATATTAAGTCTACTGAAGAGATTGTCAATATCATTTTGGATGCAAATAGAAATTCATTAATGCTTTTTGAATTAAAAGTTACCATTTATACATTGGGGTTCACAGTGGCTACATTACTACCAGCTTTCTATGGTATGAACTTGAAAAATTTCATTGAAGAATCACAATTAGGATTTGGAACAGTTGTTGGTGTTTCAGTCATTTTAGCATTCTTGGTTACATCTGCAAATTTCAAAACACTAAGATCTGTTCAGAAATTAACACTAATGGCTCCAGGTACAAAATCATCAGCAAAGCAAGCATTCATGAAGCAAACACCACCACAACCACCATCATCTTCAAAACCTTATGCATCAACTGCACATAAAAGATTTTCTTTAGCACAAAGATTTAGACTATTTAGACGAAAAAGATTGATGGGAGATCAAAAACAGCGGGACATTGTTTGGAAATGGTTGATAGAGGAAAAATCCAAGCAATGATCGCAATTATGACATGTACATATTTATATATTACGAAATGTATTTAACGAATCATTAATGAACAAACTAGAATAGAATTGACTTATAGTGGTGTGTCCCGTATTGTTTTCGCGAATGGCATTACGCTTTTTAACCCACATAACGAAATTCTGGAAACCTTGTGGAAACAACATGAATTAAAGTGAGATTCAACAAACCACAACTCAGCATTAAAGAGACTATACAGCATTCAAGATCAAATTATAATCAGATAATATTCCATCAATTTACTTACAAAAGTTTATTTATCACACTCGGTCCATCAGCTCTTATCACTACCCAATACACGTTATCCCGTGTCGTATCATCAACACCCCATCAGATTCAAACCACAATAGACAATAGAACTGGATCATGAACACTGCAAAAGCTGCTGCTGCTGCATCGACCCCAAACGTCAGAGGAAGTGTTTACTTGGACTCTTTCGACGCCAGAATCATTGAGTACCAATATGCAACCATCAAATTACAAGCATTGATAACCCATATAAAGGCATTACAGATCAAGATACGGGTCAATCCATCATTGATTCCCTTGATACACTATATTGTGATATTGAGTGGGCCTTTACTCAATATAAGTGATATACTTTCCAAAAGATTGGAACAAATAGGGAGACTAGTGCCTCTTAATGACCAAAGGAAAGTTGCTCCCTCGGTCAATACTTCTGCATTGAATTTTGAAATTGATGATACCCAGCCTACTGATATTACGTACGACACCAATGCAAAGGAATTACTCCCTATGCTACTAGGTTTATATGAAAATGCATTGGCAATTTATCAAAAAAAATTACAACAGGTTGTATTGGAGAGAGATGCTAATAGAGTTCCTGCTGCGAATGGAGCACCTATTCCAATTGACCTGGCCACTTTCAAGGATATCCTAGAACCATTGGAACTCAATGTTTTTTCAAAATTGCTGATTGAACCTCAAGAATTGGAATCTTTTAAATTCAAAAAAGTACCATTGGTGATTGATTCAATAAATAAAAGCATCAAAGTCTTGGAAGAGTATGTTCAGCAATTACAAACTTTTAAACAAAAACCAAATGACTCCGTTTTGAAAAGGCTACCGTATTGGAACTATACAATTCATAGAATTTTTGCATCATTTGTTAAATTATCGGAATTATACACAATCCTAAGGAAATTCGGAAGAGAATTATATTTACCAGTTGATGAATATTTGCATAATCCTAAAATCTTACACAATAATGTGAAATTGGAACTATCATTGAATGAAGCTGATGATTTTTTGAAAAATACAAGAAAAAACCAAAATTTGGTGTTTACTTTAGCAAAAGCCACTAGACAAGGTTCTTATTTCCATGTTAAAAGTTCAATAATCATAGAGTTTATCAATACGTTGGCACCCTCCGTGTCATTAGTGTCTAAATTGTCATTAGTCGTTTTGACTTTAACTAAAAATTGGGAATTGGCTGAATCAAAATTATTGAAAATTGAACAAGAGATGAAACAAAGAGAGAAAAACTCTAGAGTTTCCTCACCAACATCACCAACCAGTGGTGAATCATTGAATGCTAAAAAATTGGAAGTTCTATTCAATCCTGAAAAGAATAAACAATCTCAAGAATATATTGCCAAGCAACAAAGAGAACGTGAAAAAAGTGCATTAGAGGACCGTATTGCTAAAGAAAAATTGGAAAAGGAAAAACAATTACTTGAGGAACAAAGAGCTAAAAGGAGAGTTGAAGAAAGAGAAAGACAACTAAGAGAAAAATTGACTAAGGAACGTGGTGATCTTTCACCAAATGTTTCAAGACAAGGTTCTATTAGAAAAGCAACAGCTATTACTAGAGCTAGATCAAATAGTAACAGCTCTGTTTCATCAAATTCAAGTGCATCTTCATTAAATGCTCTGACACGTACAGATTCCTTAGGAAGTCTAAAAGTTTCATCACCAACTGCATTGAGTCGTACTTCATCATTACAGAAAAGACCTGCATCTGTTTATATTTCCAGTCCAGCGTTTGATATAAGGACACAACTAAGACGACAAGCAGCTGCTTCTGCTAAAGAGGCTCCTTCCAACACAACAACTGCTTCGCCTGTTGGTAATCGTCGTCGTTCACAATCATTACAATCATCATTGCCATCTACTCAACAGAATAATTCAATGTTGGCAGCCGCTGCTGGCGCTGCAGCCTTGAAGCAGGAGAGACATTCTTCATTAAAATCCAAAACTGAAATAACCCATGAACAAGTCATGCAATACAGACAACAACATCAACAACATTTACAAGTGAAGCCATCGAAACCTCATTCTCGCAGTCCTTCACCATTAAGAACAAAATCACCAAAGAGTAATACTGAATTACCGAACATTAATGAGTTGACATTAGATGATACTCCATCTAAATCAAAACCACCATTAAAATCAGCATTAGCATCCAAGAAACCTTCCCAACCTGCACCAACATCACCAACTCCACAGTCTGCCAATTTAGCAATACCTGATTTGGTTAATGAAACTACTTCAGAATCTTCAGATAGTACATATGATCATTTGAACCAAGATACCGGGTCTCCAAAGAGCTTAGAAACAATCAAACCAGATACCAAGGAACCATCAACTCAACACTTTGAACCAGATTTGGAGATTGAACCATCAAAACCCATAGTTAAAAAAGTTCGTTTCACTGGTGTTCCTGATGAAATTGAAGAGGAAAAACCGAAAAGGAAAGGTTGGATACGACCACCAAAAATACAGTCACCATTTGCAGCAACTTCTTCCCATAATAAAGGGACTCGTTCAGCATTATCTACGGCTGCTGATGCCTTACAACAAGAACGTATGATATTTCATAATATCAAAAGAGGTGAATTGGATGTAAACACTGGTAATATTGTTATCCCTAATACTAGTAATAAAAGGGTCATGAACACATTGGCAGCCTCCACTAATAACAACCATCGCTTAGGAAGGTGGAGACTTGGGAAATAAAGGAATGGAATTTTTATGATTACAAGTACATTTAAAATTGTAGAGTTTACATAGAATTTGTTGTACCGGTCCGAGCGCATCCGACTCTCAGGCACATGACCGGGCCGACCCCAGGTTTTTCAGGAGATTTCTGTTTGAGCAAATGAAGATGGTATAAAAGATGAAAAATTCAGCACTTTAATTTGTATTGCGCATTATTATATCAACAACTTTACAAGATTTCAAAGATGTCAACTTTTATTGATCAAATCAGAATCTCAGAGAACACCTCAATCATCATTCCTGATGGTCCTCAGCTCAGTTATAAAGAACTTGGTGATGTTACTGGACATTTACAAACTTTATTCACCAATACATTATCTCCATTATACCATTTAGCTAAACCACAAACCTCAATTGCCATTTCATTAGTTAATAACTTGGAACTTGTTAGTTCATTCTTGGCCATCACAAATGCTTCAAGAATAGCTGCTCCTTTGAATCCAAACTATAAAAAAAATGAGTTTGATTTTTATCTCGATGATTTAAATGCAAAAGCTGTTATTTTACCAAAAGGTGCACATAATGATAAATCAAGTGCAATTTTCCAAAGTGCTAAAGAACATAACGTTTTATTAGTGGAGACTTGGTGGGATGATAAAAGAAGACGTGTCGAATATGAAGTTTTCAATCATACTGCATCCAAACCATTATATTCTTCATTGAACCAACCGGTCTTTGTCAATAATTATGATGTCTTCCCTGGAACTGCTAAACCTGATGAAGTTGCATTAATTTTACACACTTCAGGTACTACAGGCCGTCCAAAAACAGTCCCTTTAACTCATGCAAACATTTCTAAATCAATGGATAATATTGCAAATACTTATAAATTAACTAAGAATGACAAGACATATATAGTTATGCCTTTGTTTCATGTCCATGGTTTAATTGGTGCCCTATTATCAACATTACATACTCAAGGCTCTGTTATTATTCCAACACGTTTCAGTGCTCATAAGTTTTGGGATGATTTTGTTAAATATGGTGCAACTTGGTATTCAGCAGTTCCAACTATTCATTTAATCCTTTTGAACACAGAATTACCATCACCATTACCACCAATCCGTTTCATTAGATCATGTTCAAGTGCCTTAGCTCCAGCTACGTTCCACAAATTGGAAAAGGCATTGAATGCTCCAGTCCTAGAAGCTTATGCCATGACCGAGGCTTCACATCAAATGACTTCGAACAATTTACCACCAGGTGAAAGAAAACCAGGTACTGTGGGTCAAGGTCAAGGTGTTGAAATTGTTATTTTGAATGATCAAGGAAAAATTTTACCTCAAGGTTCCATTGGTGAAGTTTCTATTAAAGGTAGTAATGTTACACATGGTTATGCAAATAATCCAAAAGCGAATGCAGAATCATTCACTAATGGATATTTCAGAACTGGTGATCAAGGTTATTTAGATGGTGATAAATTCTTGGTTTTAACTGGTCGTATCAAAGAATTGATTAATCGTGGTGGTGAAAAGATTAGTCCAATTGAATTGGATGGTGTCTTGTTGGGACATCCAAAAGTTGATGAAGCTGTTGCATTTGGAGTTCCTGATGAGAAATATGGCCAGGCTGTTAATGCAGCTATTGTTTTAAAGAAAGGTGAAGAATTAAGTGCAAAGGAATTGCAAAGTTTTGTTGGTGAGAAATTGGCTAAGTTTAAAGTTCCAACTAAATTCTTCTTTATTGATAAATTACCAAAGACTGCAACTGGTAAGATTCAAAGAAGAAAGATTGCTGAAGTGTTTGCATCGAAATCAAAGTTGTGATGTTTTACAAAACGTATATGTCATTTACAGCATTCATTTATTTTACTTTCATTTTAAATGTTAATTTGCCTTGGTTTTGTTTCTTTACTTCATTTCACTCTATGTTTTCAATCTTTTTTTTTAATTAGGATAAATAATATGATATTAAATAATTACATTTGTTATGTTTATAAAGACAAAACTTTTCTAGCAGCTCTCAAGATGGTTGGAGGATCTGGGAATGCGAAATCTTCCAATTCTTTAGCATATGGAGTTGGTACTTCAGCACCTGTAACTCTTTCAACTGGAGCATCTAAGTAATCAAAAGCTTCACTTTCCATGATTTGAGCACAGATTTCAGAACCAACACCGAAAGCTGGGAACCCAGCTTCAACAGTGATTAAATGGTTAGTTTTTTTAACAGATTCAACAATGGTTGGGACATCTAAAGGTTTAATAGATCTTAAGTTGATAACTTCAGCACTAACACCATATTCTTCTTGTAAAGTCTTTGCGGTTTCTAAAGCATAACCAACGTTTCTTGTATGAGTAACAATTGAAATATCAGAACCTTCTCTTTCAATTTTAGCTTTACCAATTGGTAAAACGAAATCAGGACTTAGAACTTCTTCACTAACTTCAAAAGCTTCACCGTAAAGCATTTCATTTTCCAAGATAATAGTTGGATTTGGATCTCTAATGGCAGCTTTAACTAAACCTCTATGATCTTCAGCGGAATATGGAGAAACAACTTTCAAACCTGGGATTGAACCATACCAAGCAGAATAATCTTGAGAATGTTGAGCGGCAACACCAGCAGCAGCACCATTTGGACCTCTGAAGGTGATGTTACAAGGTTGGATACCACCAGACATGTAATAAGTTTTAGCAGCAGAGTTAATGATTTGATCAATTGATTGCATTGCAAAATTAAAAGTCATAAATTCCACAACAGGTTTCAAACCTGCTAAAGCAGCACCTACAGCTAAACCTGTGAACCCCATTTCAGTGATTGGAGTATCAACAACTCTTTTTTCACCAAATCTATCTAATAAACCTCTAGTGATTTTATAAGCACCTTGATATTGAGCAACTTCTTCACCCATGATGAATACTTCATCATCACGATCCAATTCTTCAGCTAAAGCGGAATTGATGGCATCACGAACGGTTAATTTGGTTGGTTCAGCTTTAGTTGAGTTTAATCTGTTATTGATAAAAGCGGATTGTAAACCAGCTTTTGCTAAGTTTTGTCTTTGAACTAAAGATGAAGCTAATTTAGCAGTTTGAGCAACTTGTGATAATTTACTAACCATCTTTCTGTATTGAATATTTAGGTGGAAAAGGATATGTGAGGACGGAGTGGGATCAATTGGAATCAAAATAACACCAACAACAACAAACTGCACACAAGATTTTAATCTATCAAACCAAAAAAAGTTTATACAAATGTTCAGTTCTCGATAAACCTCCTAAATTTTCAGATTTTGATTTTTTTTGGTGTTTTACTCGGTCGCTCATAAAGAAAAAAAAAAAAAAAGAATCGGGAAAAGCTCGAAGACGTGGGATAATTGGCAGATTTTGGGAAGAAAAGAGTGGATTTGGGAGAAAAAGAGGGTAAAGATGGATGAATTTAGAGATTACGATGATTCCATTGAAAAGAGAGGATCATATAGTTATAATATCCCTTTTCCCCCGTCCAAATAGCTCAGACATTACCCTTAGTACCAGGAACATCCTGTTTTTGCGTGGGAGACTCTGCTCCATCAACTGATTCCATTGGCCGCATTGGGTAATAAAGTGGAACGTGATATTCACGTGGATGGTCACCTGATTCAAGATGTCGATGATGTAATCAAATTTCCAAATTCAATTTTAAAGGCTTGATTTAAATCTCAAAACATTATCGATACAATCCAGTATTAAAGGGTCCAGATCCGTAAGTTGTAACCATGAGCATCAACGAGACGGAGTTCAAGAACATAGCAGACTCTACAAACATAGAACTCCTACCGTTGCACAACAGAAAATCAACCCAGTCTCCAAGTCTTCATAATGCCCATACAAATATTCATGATCATAACCATATCAAATTAGAATCATCCACTCCACAATTACCCTTGGCTGATCGTCCACAATTCATACTATTAGTCATTCTTTACCTATTACAAGGTATCCCAGTTGGGTTGGCTTTCGGTTCTATACCTTTTTTACTAAAATCTCAATTATCATATTCTCAAGTTGCATTTTTTTCATTAGCTTCATATCCATATTCTTTAAAATTGATATGGTCTCCAATAGTGGATGCTCTTTTTTGGAGTAAATTGGGACGTAGGAAAAGTTGGGTTATCCCCGTGCAATGTGTTAGTGGGTTGGTCTTGTGTTATTTAGGTAATGTTATGGATCAATTGATTTTAAAACCTGAGGAAAATTTAACAAAGATTACAATTGGGTTTTTCTCATTAGTTATGCTTTGTGCAACTCAAGATATTGCAGTGGATGGTTGGGCATTAACTATTTTGAGTGAACAAGGGTTGAGTTATGCCTCCACTGCACAAACGGTGGGGTTAAATACTGGTTATTTTATGAGTTTTACTGTTTTTTTAGCATTCAATTCTTCGGGGTTTTCAAATAAATATTTGAGATCAATCCCACAAGAATTGGGCGTGTTATCATTGAATTCATATCTTAAATTTTGGGGTGTGATGTATTTATTAGTTACAGTTTATGTTTTTTATAAAGTTCAAGAAGATCCAAGAAGAAAAGATAGATTAACTTCAAATGATAATTCTGGTTTCACTGCATTGAAAGGGGTTTATAAAACAATGTTTCAAGTTTTAAGATTACCAGCAATTAAAACATTTATAACATTACATTTGATTTCTAAAATTGGTTTTTTAGTTAATGAAAGTGCAACTAATTTAAAATTATTAGAAAAGGGTTTTGCAAGAGAAGATTTAGCAATTACAGTATTGATTGATTTCCCATTTGAAATCATATTTGGTTATTATGTTGCTAAATGGTCAACTGGTAAAAATTCATTAACACCATGGTTATATGCTTATTTAGGAAGATTAACTGCAGCTATTTTGGCACAAATAATTGTCTACATGTTTCCTGAATCAGGTCAAGTTACCAAGACTTATTTCATTTTGGTTATATTACATCATTTATTAGGATCTTTTATGTCTACTATTCAATTTGTTTCAATTAGTGCATTCCATACACAGATTTCAGATCCTTTAATTGGTGGGACTTATATGACTTTACTAAATACAATTTCCAACTTGGGTGGGCAATGGCCAAAATTTATCATTTTAAATATGATTGATTTTTTCACAATTAAAGAATGCACTGAAGATGATAAATGTACAACCATTAGAGATGGTTATTATGTTACAAACTGGATTTGTATAACCTTAAGTATAATTATTTTTTTCACATGGATCAAGAAAAAAGTTGAAATTTTGCAAAAACTACCAAAAAGTGCATGGAGAGTGAAAGAACCTTTATGAAACCATTCTTGGAATAGTATACACCAATACACCTAGACACCCTGCAATCAACCCACTCATTTGCTCAATAAATGAATGGAAATGAATACTTGTAGTTAACAACATCCACCACCATAACCATAATAATGCTAATGTAAACACAATTGAATGATTTAAAACATATTTTAATCTATTTTGAATTGTTAATTGATTTCTAAAACCTGTAATGAAACTTTGTAATTCTTGCAATATATTTGTATTCAATATTTCGAACCATAACACTAAAGAACCAACAACTAATAAAAAAACATGGCCACTTGGATCATGACCACCTTTCCAATGACCTTTAACTTTCCTACAAACAACACTTCCAATCCCATCCAATGCACCGTGTAGCCCAATATCATAATCACAAACACCACCAGTCCATATAAACACTCTATCCATTAAAGGTAATCCGAAAAATGATTGTGTAAAACACCACCACCAAACTGTTATTATGGATAATCTGATAAATGCTCGTTGTATAGATTTCCCATGTTGCAAGACAAAATATACATCAACAAGACATGTCCAAAACCAACCTTTTTTCACAAATAGTACATTCAACAAGTTGTGTTTATTTGTATAATAGTTGTTAACAATCTCTGGAGAGGAATGATAAATGATTTGTCCCAAGAGGATTGTTATTGGGTATATTGATATTGCTATGAGTTCTTGGTTTGAGAGTCTTAAAGAATGAGATAGTCTCGATAATGCATTTGATTGGATAGCCATGATCAAGAATACTATTGAAGCTATTTGGATCTTTTTCTTTGATCTGATGGCAATGTTTTTTAGTTGAAATGTGTCAAAATTTTGTTCGAGGAAATGAAGTGGTGTTGGGATGTTTTCGATTTTTTGAGCAGTTCTCGAAATTTGAACTTTTTGACCCTTAATCAACCTCAAATTAAACCAATTTCAAAGAGCCAAAATGGAATTGCCAACGAGATGGGAAGTGGAATTGGAAGTGAGTTGTTTACTGCTTTGGTTGTGGGTTTTTGGTACTAATTTTTTTCAAGTTTGTGCAAGCATTAGCCAATTTACAATATCTTAATTTTCTTGCACAGAATAAATACCTACAAGATTCAAATTTCCTACATTATCTCAAATATTTGGAATACTGGAGGAAACCAGAATATGCCAAATACTTGGTGTACCCAAACTGTCTACATATCTTGACCCTTTTACAAACTGAACAATTTAGAGAACAAATATTAAGAGCAGATGTTGCAGGTGTTATTATGAATGATATGGTTGATAGATGGAAAGAACCACAATTAACATTTGCACCAACACCTTTGAAAAGTGCAGATGGTAATAAAGAAATAGAGAGTAATACAGATCAACCAACCACATAGATTTATCCTATACAACTTTTTTAATCTCTTCAATATCAACACCATCCAATAATTTATCAATCTTGGAATGATCACCAACTAGTCCCAATATTTTCAACAATTTACTAGTTTCCACTCCAAGGTAACGTTCACGATCACTAGCTTGCACTGAATCTATTGAAGAGTTTTGAATATCTTCAACTTTGCCAAATAACTCTTGTGATAATTTAACAAGATAATATATGGTTTCATCCAATGGTTCCAATTGTTTCCTTATATCTGTTTGTTGTTCAATAAATAAGATTGCATTCTGATAAATTCTTAATAGTTTAATGATTTTATTTGCTTTCCTTACTTGTATCATTAATAATCTTTTAATTTTCAATTCATATTCAATTTTTTTCAAACTTTCTCTTATCTGTAGATCTAATTCCACTGATTTTTGCTCTGCGTTTGATATAATACATTCTTGATGTTTTAATCTAACTGGTAATTCATTAGGGATGGTTAAAATATTTCTTAACGCGTATAATTCAAATTTATCAAAATTATGATCTAATGTGTTTTCCAATAATGTTTCCAATTTAGCAGTGCCATGTTCTATCTCTATTGTTAGATCCATCTCTTTGGGTTGATGGCTCAATAGATAATCCTCAACAGCAGTGGTACATTTATACATTATCCCATTGACAGCATTGATGATATCGTCGATTAACGCGATCGGTGGGAATCCTAGGTGTTCAGTGAGGAGCTCGGTGGTGCGAGCATCTGGAGCAGACATTATGAATTTCTTGGTTTATTTGGTGACTATTCTTTTCAACTGTTTTCAAATACTTTTCAATTGTTTTCACTTTTTTGTTTATAAATTCAAAATGTAAACAAAAAAAAGGATTCGCGAAACATCGCGAAATGTCGCGAATTCGTTTTCTGTTTTGTTTTGATCATCATAAAAATTTGGTTAAAAGCTTGAAATTTAGAAACCCATTCATTTTTATACCAAACCCACCACTATTTCTTTGAAAATGCTTCGATGCTATAGATCATTCTCCACTTCTGGGATAATACGGAAGAAATACCAATTAACCCCAGGTTTTGACTTGAAATGTGGGCTAGAAATTCATTCTCAACTAGATACAACCCATAAACTATTCTCATTATCTAAAACTTCATTCCAATCCTCTCCAAACTCCAAAATCTCATATTTTGATGCCTCATTACCTGGTACACAACCCACTTTAAATCCAGAACCTTTATTATTTGCCTTGAAAGCTGCCAAGGCACTCAATTCAGACATCAATACCAACTCAACATTTGATAGAAAGCATTATTTCTATGGTGATCAACCAATGGGGTACCAAATAACTCAACATTATCAACCATATGCTAAAAACGGATTCTTGAAGTTATTACCTCATGATGGTGTACAGAAGGAGAAAATTATAAATATTGAACAAATTCAAATTGAACAAGATACAGGGAAATCGGTATATACTGAATTTGATAATCAAGCATTCTCTAAAATTGATTTAAACAGAACAAATACTCCATTGATTGAATTAGTTACGAAGCCTGATTTCACAAATCCAGAAGAAATTAGAATTTTCATCAAAAAATTTCAAAATTTAGTTAGACATTTAAAGATTTGTACAGGTGATTTAGAAACAGGTGCAATGAGAGTTGATGTTAATATATCAATAAATAATGGACATCGTGTGGAATTGAAGAATTTATCCACCACGAGTGCAGTGATTCAAGCTGTTAAGTATGAATATCAAAGACAAATAGATTTAGTTAAATCTGGAGAATCAGTTGTTCAAGAGACAAGAGGTTGGAATGGTGCTAAGACTGTTAGGTTAAGAACTAAAGAAGCAGCTTTAGATTATAGATATATGCCAGATCCTGAATTAGCTTCCATCTGTTTGGAAGATGATATTGAAACCAAACTAGTTTTACCAAAATTACCAGATGCCCTATTGGATGAATTAAGAAATGATCCTTATAATCTAAGTGTTAAAGATGCAACTATTCTAACACATGATTTACAACTACTAGATTATTATTTTGCGTTATTTGGGAAGACCGTTTTGGGTGATGTCTCAGTGGAGAGTAAATTACCAGGGAATTGGTTAATTCATGAATTATTAGGTGGGTTCACTAAATTAAATCTACCTTTTGATCAAAATTTAATACCAGTTGATAAATTAAGTGAATTATTAATTGCAATCCAATTGGAAAAAATTACAAAATCAAGTGCAAAACTATTATTACAACATTTAATGAATAATCCTCAAGATCTAGAAACACCAATCTTGAATTTAATTCAAGAATTTGATTTAGGAAAACAAGATACTGTTGATTTAAATGAAATTGATACAATAGTACAAGATGTGATGACTCAACATGAGAATATTGTTCAAGATTTACAAAATGGGAAAAAATTGAATTCAATCAAATTTTTGATTGGACAATGTATGAGACAAAGTCAAGGAAAGATAAAGCCAAATATCTTTGAAAATAGATTAAAAGAGATAATAGGAATATAAGAAAAAAACTGTACATAGAAAATTTTTCGTTTTGAACCTCTATTTAATATACAAAATGCAAATACTTTTAAATTTTATTCAATCAGAATCTGAATCATCATCTTCACTTGAAGAATTTTGTGCAACAACTTCATCATCTTCATCACTACTATTTGCATTATCATAAGTTGGAACTTCTTCTTTGACTTCATCAGGAACAATAGTATCTAAAGCACTATCTTCAAATACAATTTTTTTATTCAATCCAGGTGTAACTGGTAATGCTTCTAATTCTGAACCTGGTTTGATTAAAGAACCTTCCACTGAAACAACTCTACCTGATGTGTGAATTCTTCTAATTGTGAATTTTATTTTCCCATCAATTGGTATTTCATTTTCATCAACCCATTGACCTAATGATTGGAATTTTTTACTCCCTGTGTTTTGATCATCTTCATTATTATTATTATTCTCTTCAAATTCATCAGCTTGGTTTGGAATGAAGGTCCAATTTTCAGGTATGAAATTCTTCTTTATACTTGCATTAAAAGTATCATTAATTAATAACCCAATATGAGATGGTGATTGCATATAGATTAATCCTTCAACAACATCACCAACTGAAGGACACCATACGAGTAATTCAACATTTATCCAAAAAAACGCAAAGGGACTATGAGCGTTTAATTTAGCAACAACAACTTGATCATCATTTTCATCTTTCCCATAATGTTCTTCACTTAGTTTTAAATTATCATATCCTATAACAACACCATTTGCCGGTGCGAAATGTTTCATAATCATGGAGTCTAGATGCTGGGCTTTTATACCTTCTAGAGGTTTATTTGTATATATTGGAGCTAATGAAAGGTATAAACTAGTTTTAATTTTTTTAAAACATTCACTTAATCCATCTTTTTTATTCACAGGGTTTGCACTTTCGGATATCTTGCTTGTTTGTTTTCTCTTTGTGGTTTGGGAACCGTATGAGTCTGAAGAGACAGCACTTCTCTTTCTAGTGACCTCAGACATTGTGGATTTGGGTCAAAAAGTGTAAGCTTTCAATTATTTAAACTTGACGTTTATTACCTTTAAAATCAAATAAAAAAATTTAAAAAAAATTTCAAGATGAGTTCGCGGGTTCCATAACCATTTCCTTTTTGGGACAGGATTTTTGACACTAAATTAGATGGGGGATAATTCAAGAAAAGAATAAATGAGATGGGTTATTTATTAGCATATAATAGTATGTGTAAGATATAGTTTTTAATGGTACTAGTATTGTGTCATTTGAACGTGTTTTGAAATTTTCGTTAATTCAATAATTGTAAGAAATTGAAATGAAAAATTAAGAGAATAACTTCAAAATTTTCAGAAATAGTGAGAAATTCAGAAAAACAAGAGAATCACTAAATGAAACAAAGATAATAGTAATTCACCCTCTGATAGTCCATAAATCAAATCATTTTACTCACAGTATATTAAATCCTGTTCAAATCTTTTATCTTATTGACTTCCCAATCTGGAAACTTCCCCAATCTGGCCATTAATTCCCCTGTTTTCCCGAGATCGAATAAACGTACAAAAATCAAATTTTTAATTTTGACACATTCCAATTTTCAGTGTTGAAACAGCCATTCGATGAATTACAAACTAGATCATCATTCCAATGAGTCTTATATTGTATGGTGACGATACACGGGGAAATACAGACATCAACGTGATCTTGTAAGTATGAATTCATTATTATCAAATGTTCATAATCTAACCCCAGGTTTTGTTAGAAATGACCCATTAAGAAATGCAGTTGTTCTTCACAATAAAATCACCAATGAATTATCTGTTGTGAGCACCATTTCACCTCCTGTGGATCATGAACTCATTCCATATCAAGGGGAATCAGCTAGTCCAGTTATTGAGATTGGGAGGATGAGGAAGTGCCCCCATTGTGGACGAGTTTTCGAAGAAGGTTCAGCATCATCAACATCATCACAAACTGGTAATAACAACAATGCTAAAGCTTTTGATGCTGGTACTGATGATTCATTCATTGATTCGAATTATTTTAGACTGTTGGGTAATAGCTCGATTTCTGGTGAGGGTGCTACAAACAACTTACCAGATTCATTATTTACTCAAGGTTATTTTAACAAGTTTTTCAAAGAAATTGAATTATTAGGACGTGGAGCTCGTGGTTCAGTTTATAAAGTTGAACATATCTTGAATGGAGTCTCTTTAGGATTTTTCGCAATGAAGAAGATTACAATTGGTGATGATTCAAAATGGTTATTAAAAGTTTTGAAAGAAGTTACAATGCTTTGTAAGATTAGTTTCAATAATAATAATCTTGTTAATTATAATCATGTTTGGTTGGAGATTTCAAGTATTAATGATTTTGGACCCAAGATCCCATGTGCCTATATATTACAACAATATTGTTCAGGAGGTAATTTGGAAGAGTTTATAATAAATTTACAAAATCCTATATTAAAACCTCATGAATTGAAAAAATGGAAATTATCACACAAAAGACAACAATTAAAAGGGAGATTATTGAATAATGATGAAATTTTATTGATCTTCCAACAAATAGTTTCAGGTGTTTATGAATTACATAAAAACCATATAATTCATAGAGATTTAAAACCATCAAATTGTTTATTAGCAGAACCTTATTTTACAGATTTTACACAATTAGAGTCTGATATTTCCAAAATACCTACAATTTTAGTTAGTGATTTTGGTGAAAGTCAATTAGAAGGTGAATTTAGAAATGCAACGGGTGCAACAGGCACGTTAGAATATACTGCACCAGAACTATTAAATTTCAATGATGATAATGTTCCACAATTTAATAAAAAAACTGATGTTTATGCATTAGGGATGATCTTATACTTCATGTGTTTTGGTAAATTACCATATGAATATTCAAATGAAGTTGAGTTGTTGAAAAATGAAATTAAAGGATCAAATGAATTGATGATGATTGATAGAGAAGATTTATTACCAGAGCTTAAGTATCTGATAAAGAATCTAACTTCAAAAAACCCAGATGAGAGAATGTCTGTTAGTGAAATACTTGATGTTTTGGCAAGATTTGATCATTTGGAGAAAAATGAAAAGGAAGAGGAAAAAATAGATAACCCCCAACCTCTTCGAAGATTATCATTGACTGATGGTGGGGATAGATTTAGTGCACTCATGAAAATATCTAGAAAGCACCAATTAAAATTACTTGTTGGCCTATTGAATTTGTTAATTTTGAGCTCTATCCATCACCAAGTGTTTAAATATAGTTTCATCTTTGCCATTGGGTTAACGATTAATCAAGATATCCAAAATTCCTACATTTTAACAATCATTATGATTATTACATCAATTATATTAAACATTTACAATTACATAGTACAATAAACCTGCTTACCACCTTTAACAATTACATGATTTCCCATTATTAAACACTCTTGAATTTAAATCCACAAGCCCAGAACCTCCATTAGCATTACCATTATTATCACCATCAATCAAATCTTGAGTTTTGAACAATTCTTCTGGTAAATCCTGTGCAATTGTTTCAAATAATTTATCAACATTTTCACCAGTTTTAGCACTAGTTTCAATGTATGAAAGATTCTTATCATTTTTATTTATAAAATCCATAATCTTTGCATCCTCAATCAAATTTGAAGATGGTTTATTTTTCAAATCTAATTTATTCCCCACGATTTTAATAATTAAATTCTCAGGAGCTTGTAAATTTAACTCATTTTCCCATTTAATCATCTTGTCAAAACTTTGAGAATCTGTTAAATCAAACATCAATATAGCAGCATTAGCATTTCTGTAATACATGGGTGCTAGCGACTTATAACGTTCTTGTCCTGCAGTATCCCATATTTCAAACTTTATACTGGTTTGAGGATCTAGTTGAATTGTCTTCGTTATGAATGCAGCACCTATCGTAGATTCTCTAAACTCATCAAATGTGTTCTATTTGGTTAGTATGGAAAGAAGTCCAATAAAAGATATAAACTCACCTTGACAAACCTCTGTACTATTGAACTCTTTGAAAATTATAAATCAGTATACTATGCCTCAGATCTTTAATCTATTGTACTCACTTTCCCAACAGCAGAATCACCTTTAACAATTGTTAGTTTTTGGCCTGGAAAAAAACAGAGACAGGGGTTCACTCACCTAGAAGCACAAGCTTAATATGGGCATATCTCTTTGGTTCTTCACTCATGTCGTAGTTTCAAGGAAACGCTATCAGTTTTTTGCTGGTTTTAATGTTGATGTTTTCCTTAAAATTGTGGATTTTCAAGTTTCGCGAATTTGGTTTTTTTTTTGATTTTTGTTGATTTTGAGATTTTTCAAGTTAAAACATGATGAATTTGATCATTAAGAAGTTGAAATATGTTACTGAGATGGTATTCTACCAAGCCAGGCTTGAAAGAAGTGAGTGTTTTGAGTAGGGATGATATACTCTCTGCTTTTCCTGGGTTCAAACCGATGAGAATTGAGTGAGATTTACTAACAACTATTGAATAGTTTCTGCATCAACAAAAAGTGAAGAATTTTTACAGACAAGTGATGAGAAGTGTTTATGGTGAGTGTTGAAGGTTAGTTAATATGAAATAGAAGGATGCTAACTGTATACAGAACAGAAAGAGCCAATGAAGACTGAATTGAGAGAGTATGCCAAAAGTGAATTCCATGCCCAAGGAAACAACTTGACGTTGGATGACCAGAAATACTTGTTGTCGATTGGAGAGAGACAGTATCATAGCATTAAATCATCGCTAGAGAGTGCTAAATAATTGCTATTTATTATATTTATCATATTTATCATATTTATTACTCAGAAAGAGCTATTTTCATGGAAACCTGGTCAATTTTGAAGCTAAAACCACCGTTTGAAAGCCTAAACAATACAGAATCACCTCAAAAGGACCATACACATTATATATCTCAATCATATCATCCAATCATTAATTCCAATCTGTATTCATTCTGTCTCGTGGTGTCCGGATGTACTCCAATTCGCGATAAGATAACGAAGGCAAAAAAAAAACAAAACAAAACAAAACAAAACAAAAAGCATCAATTCAAATGGTTAACAAGACCAATTTTGAAGATGACAATGAGTGATTCTTTTAGATATCGTGTTGATCTGAAGCCATCTGATGGGATAAACGAGATCAGTGAGTGAGGAAATGATCATTTGCCTACGAATAAACATTCTAACAATTACTAGAACTGGGGTCTTCATTATATGATGTTTTAAACCATTTATTATCTCAAGGTTTCAACTTGAAATTCATATTCAGTGAACAAGAAATATTAGAGACCCCATATGTGGTATTGGTTAAGCAATTGTCTATAAGATTGATATTTAATGGATCTAATCAACTGTTGCAATTTATTGAATTGAATAAATTTGATTCATTAAAGTTTTTCTACAAAGAGAACACGATTGGTTCATTAACTTTGAAAAACATTTATAATAATTCATTTGGTCCAACTTACCCCGGTGAGGTGATTACAGGTCATGATGGCGGTAATAAGTACTATATGTTGTCATATCCTGGTATAAGTTTTAAATTCCCAATTCCTTTGAAACAAGATGATATTAATGAAAAGACAATATTAATGTCTTTATTAGAACATGATTCGATTAATGCCTCTAGTATTGTGATACATCATGAACAAAAATATTCGGATGTTTATACTAAACAGATTAATTTCAAAGAGGATGCTTATACATTAATGAACCGATCAAGTTCAATAAATAAAACCATGCCTCCCAAGAAGGAACATGTTGATATTGAAAGATTGGATTGTAACATGCCACAGGGGAGAATAATGATTAGGTTCAAACCGAATAATATGAATCATGATCATAAATTTTTTGAAATGTGTTTGAATAAAACATTACAACAAGATATATTGGCAATGATTGGACCACCTGATGAAGTGTTTATCAAAAATGACTCAAGATTGAACATACATGGTGGTGGAAGTGTTGGGAGATCAACCACGCCGTCTGCTCAAGCTGAGATTTTCCATAATTATTTCAGGTATGGATTTGATTTATTATATGATGTTTCAAATAATAAAGGTGCAAGGGTTAAAAAATTAATCATTCATAATAATTTACCAAATAGTTTATCTTTCCAAAAATATAAGAAATGTATTTGGAGAATGATTGGTTATGATTTTAAAGATGTTCAAGATTGGAAATGGTGTGAAGATCCTCAAGGTTTAAGTACTTCAGAAATGTATTTTGAAGAGATTAAAAAAGATTTTAAAGTTGTTGGTGGTGGTAATGGTATTAATTCTGCACCAATAATTCTTAATAGAAATGATTTATTCAATAACACTGGACTAGATAACTCAATTGAATTTGTTACAATTGATGAAACTGATGATCAAAATGTTGTTAGTAAAGATGAAGATAATAATAAAGCATGGGGTCAATCATTAATTTATGCATACAAGAGATGTATTTGGGAAGTTTTAAGTGTTAATGGTGCTGTTAATTCAGTTACATTATATTAGATAATAACTAGCTAGTTTACGATATATGATATGAATGATCTATAAAATTTCAGTAATATCTACCTTTATCCCAAATCTCATCTTGGATAAAACTTGACAATATTTTAGAACCAGTTTGTAATAGGGGATGACCAGCCACTATTTTCAAAAATTTTTCTAATCCAATACGTCTTTGTTCAATAATTTCATCATTAAATCTATTTGTGAAGATTTTACCAGGTAATGATGGTATCACAACTCTTGAATTTTCATTCTCTAGTAAGGATTTAAACACTTCAAAATCTGAATAACGACGGCGTACTGAGGATTGTCTTAGTCTAAATGCTGGTAGATTGGTCTATAATGTAGTTAGTAAAGTGTTATTGATTGAAGTTTGTGTGTAATATACTCACCCGACATATAATTTCATAATCTGTAAACATTCCTCGTCCATAGCCATGAGTTCTTGGATTACGAACCTATTAAATCAGTTAATAATCATCCTCAATCAATTGAAATAGTATACTCACCTCTATCTCTAAAAAATTCTCAGGTTCTCCATATAATTCATCAAATGTTTGTTTCTTTATAGCACTTTTCTTTTGGTGTCCTTGATCATTATTTTTAATTTTTGTGTTTGTATTTTCATCATTTTGGTTTGCTTGTTGTTGTTGTTGTTGTTGTTGTTGTTGATTTTGCTGTTGCTGTTGCTTTGTAGGTTCCGAAGGCGTGAGGTTCTCTGCGATCTCTGTGTCGAATGATTTGAATACTCTGGACATTCTCAAATTGATTAATTTATTCTCAATTAAACCGTTGAAATCAGTTTAAAATTAATTTAATTTTGATCAAATTTCCACAAGGGCTAAAAAAAGTAGTGGCCGTGACAAGATAGATTACAAAGTAAGGGAAATGTGGTTTAAATGGTAATTTTATATAAGAAAGGGGTTATTTTGATGTGATATTTGGATTATTTCGGGGTGGTTTACCCTAGAAAGTTGGAAATTAGGCTAGGGTTATAGCAATTGTTGTTTAGTTAATTATCAAATATTCTATCCATATTCAATCAAATCACCTAAAATTGGAGTAAAATGGCCCTAGAAAGAAGGAAATATATAAAAATTTCACCTAAAAATCCATTAAAACCCATTATTAATCTATTTGATTAATCATAACCCATCAAAAATTCAATCTCCTTCACCAAAAATTCCATTTTATTTCCAATTTTTTTACACCCACGAAAAAAAAAAACCGAAGAAAAAAAGAGTCAAAAAAAAAACATCAACAACTTGACATAAAAACAAGAACATTAACTTGAATTAGTTGGGAACCATAAAGTGAAATCAGTTGGTTGAGATTATATTTGTATCATAGTTGCTGAGTATCATTAGCATATATCACCACTGAAAAACAAGCAAGAGAAAAGCATACAGTATAGAGCCAATATGAATGACCAGTACAATAGATTTGAACAAAACTATCTTGAAGATCAAGAGCCTGGAATAATCCTGGAACAAGAACAGAAAACTGAAAATGAGAGGCCTATCCCAACAAGGTCCGACTCGTATATCCAAAACTATGAATATGAACAACAGCAACAGCAACAACAACAGGAATCTAATCATACCCAACCTCCACACCCCGAACAACAACAACAACAACAAAAACATCAAGAAAGTGAACAACAACCACAATCCGAGCAACAACAACCCACAGATGAAGCTGTTGAGGATGAAGATGATGCGAATAACGAAGATCTAATGGGTGATAGTGTTTTCAGTAATGTTGGGCAAGGTTTAACAGGGAATTATAGAAATATGATGATGGCTTATTGGCAAGAAACTATAAATTCAATTGAACATGAAGAACATGATTTTAAAAACCATCAATTACCATTAGCCCGTATCAAGAAAGTGATGAAGACGGATGAAGAAGTTCGAATGATTAGTGCTGAAGCTCCAATCTTATTTGCCAAAGGTTGTGATATCTTTATCACTGAATTAACAATGAGAGCTTGGATCCACGCAGAGGAGAATAAGAGAAGAACTTTACAAAGAAGTGATATTGCTGCTGCTTTACAAAAATCTGATATGTTTGATTTCTTGATTGATATTGTTCCAAGGGAGGAAGTTTTAGGAAGTACAGGTGGTGGGAATGGTAGTAATGGGAGTACAAAGAAGAATAGTTCAAGACAAAATAGTACGACTGGGTATGGTTCTAATGATTTACAACAACAATTGTTGCAACAGCAGTTATTACAACAGCAGTTTCTAAAACAACAACAACAGCAACAACCTGCACAAAATGATGAAGGAAATAATGAAGAACCTTATCAATATAATGATATGAATGTTTATGAAAATAGATATTGAGAGAGAGAGATTAAAAAGAATGGAATTGTATTATTATTATTATTAATGTGTTTAATGTGAAAGAAAAATGATTTGAAAATATGAATTGAATGTCTTTATTGCTTTATACTACACTTTGTAATATTATAAAATCATAATATTATCATAAATTCACCTATTTCTTTGCCTTATTCTCAGCATAGAAAAAATTAACAGCAAACAACTCCAATCCATTTTCACTAGCCCATTCATCAACACCAACTGCAGGTTTGCCCAACCCCCAATTTGGACGATCAGTTGGAGGTTTCAAATCAGTTTTCCCCTGAGGTTGTTTATACAACAAAAACACATAACGATGTTTACCAGTTCCTTCTGGAGGTCCAGGTCCAACATACGATAAAATTTCATCACCTTGTTGATCCAAATTCAATTCAGTAGAGAAAAAATCAGAATCTGCTGAAGAATTTGATTGATTTTTCAACAAGATATTTGTTGTAATGAAATGTGCATATTCTGACCATTTTTTATCAGTTCTTGATGGGGCATCAGGATCTGTCAATACTAATGTAAATAAATCAGTATCTTTAATTTGATCTTGGATTTTAGCTGAAGTATCTGATGATGAAGGTGAGTTGAAAGTGAATTGAAATTTTGGTTTGGTTTGAGTTTCATCAACTTTTAAAGTATTACCCATGGCGACTTCATTTGAACCTCCATATGAAATGGTTAATAAACCTTTTGGTTGGAATGAATCATTAATCACGTCAGGAATGACTTCGTTTTTCTTTAATCCATCAATTATGGATGAAGTGATTGTTAATAATGACATTTTTTGTGTATAAAGTATTTGTGATTTGATAATTGGGTGATGGTAACTGTTTATTATAGGACGTTTTAATAAGTTGAATGAATTGAATTTGGGGAATTTCCACATTTATATAAGTGTATGTAAAAGCTCAATTAGATCATTAATTAAAATGTTCAATTAAGGCTATAATTTATAATTGAATTGGGGATTGCTCAGAATGTGTTAAATCATTGTGTTTTAATTGTGTCCATCCCTTGATTTTTTTTTAGTTTGCGGTGTATGAATCCGTATCATGTAATCAGGGGTATAATTTGGATTATGGGATTACAGCATAAAGAAGAGGATAGAAAGAGAATTGAGACTAGAGAATATAAGCATTGGAGTCCTGGGTGGAATTCAAGTTTATACCTTGTTTTCTGGTTAAAATTGAGTAAGAATTGAGTGAGTTATGATCAAATTGTGTCAAATTATTAGAAATGTATAGTGAAATGGGCCTGAAAAAGCCATTGAAAGCTCATAAATCAAACTACAAAAAGTCAATTGTTCAATATTATTCATTTAGAAATTATAGAATCATCACTTTATGTTCAATTCTATGGATTTTGTTCGTTTTAATCCATCGGCTGATGATGTAACCGACTCAATTGACAGAAAAGACTTGAATCTGATCAGTTTTGGAATATTCTCTTCAAGTGATTGAATACTGAATATATTGATGGATTCAACCGAAGTAACTGGACAGAAAGCCATTAATTGAAGGAAAAAGTTATTGGGTCCAACGTGTGACTATTAATACTTGATCTTGTCATCTGAGATATGAAAATGGTGTAAGAAGCCCAAACTGTATCATATTATAGCTGTCTTTTTTCTTTCAAAATAACGCATCCTATATTGTTCAATCTCATCAGTTGTTAATTTAGGTAAATACCGACTCTTTGTGACAGGTTCTTCAACGAATTGAGGTTTAGCAAGTTCATGAGTAATGATCCTCTTTGGTTTAGAAACATTTGGACTAGACTTCAATGGCTCATTCTTCTTCAAAATTGATTCTCTGAAATTACCTTGACTCTTGTTGCCCATATTTTCATTCTCTTGCTCCTTCATTCTCTCTTCTCTAAATTCTTTATATCCACTGGTAACAAAACTTTCTTTATCCTTGAATTCATCACCTTCTAATTCCCTCTCTTTCTGAACTTTTAAATCTTGAACATACAACTTATCCATATTTCTCTGCTTCTTAGCCTCCATCAACCTCTCAATATATTTGGAGCCACCATCATCTTGCTTCTTTGGTTTCTTGGATTCCCTTTCAGCTTCAATATCATCGTAAACTTCATCGTATTGATAAATATCTGGAGTTGATTCTTCATACTTCTTCACTTTGGCTTGATTCTTTAAACTCTCGGCTATTAAATCCCTATGAGTTCCCGGTCTTTTGGGAGCCACAACTTCAGCTTCATCCTCACTTTCAGAATCATCAAAACCTAATGCCTTTCTACTCATTTCTTGGTCTAAAAACCACTCTTAAATAGATTCAAATGATTGAAAATTCACTTTATAAAATTCCCAAGCAGAATTCCGGTCAAAATTACCGGAATTTAAACATTGGAATAATTCGCGAATCTTTTGTGGATTTTTAGGAGCTGGAAACATTATAACCAAATTCAATCAGATTTAGAAGAATCAAGGAGAAGCTCAATTGTTTTAAGGGCACATAGCTATTCATAGAATCGCATATAACGTCTCATTTCCAATTACAACTGTTTTGTGGTGGTTTTATTTCCAATTCTACGGTTTCAATCAAAGGGTGTATGATATATTATATGGTTAATCTGATTGATACCACTATCTTGAATCCCATCAGAAGCTATTAAGAAATGAACGGTGCAGGGTTTGACTGGTTAAACATTGCAGGGCTAAGCTCCGATAGTAACTTGCCTCCACCACCTGTCTCATTTGGTGTCACGCCCACGTCTTCAACATCTTCTGTGGATTTGGTATCCCAACAACAACAACAACATCAACGAGAAAAATCAACCTCAATATCCCAAAAGAGTCAAAGTGAAGATAACTTAGCAACTGCTCAACCAAGCTACGTGGAAACGGATGCTGATACCTCAGTACCATTGTCTTTAACTGTGGATCAATTAACTAAAGATGAAGCTAAAACTTATCTAAGATGGTATAATGATATCGTTGTTAGAAGAAATACAAAATTGATAAGGCTGAAGGATGTCTTCAATTTCCTAAGTAATTTCAAATTGAATGAACATGTTCGAAACATATTGGAAAGAATCTTCAGATCTTGTTCAACTTTAAATATTGGTGAATTTTTTGCATTATTAAGATTAATATCTCATGCCATAATGGGTCAGATTATACCTGCTAGAAGATTAATTAAAGAACCAGCTCCTATACCCAAGCCCAAATCAATTTTATCTAGGAAAAGAATGAATGATGTGGAAAATGATGATGATGACAATGACAAAGAAGGTTCAAATAACGAAGGTAACGATAACAACTCAATAGCAACAGTAGCAGCAGCTTCCAATGCTGATTCTAGCAAATTTGATTTAGATTCTTTTACTCAATTTATCTTAACTGGTGAAAGACCTGGTACTGAAGATTCATCATTAAGAAGAAGGAAAAAAAATGCATTATCTAAAAGGGTCAAAATCTCTGATGAAGTTTCAGTGGAACCAAGTGCAGAAGCTTCTTCACCCCCTGTTAATTTGGACTTGACATTACCTATGGATCAATTAATTGGTAGATTTCCTAAACATGAACCAAAACATGAAAAGAATATAAATGAAGAGGAAGAATTAAAAGAAATGCAAGATTCATTTGATCATTTTAAGAATATTAAAAACGTTGATAGTGCTCTAATCCATGGTACCCCTGCTAATATCCCTTCAATCTTTTTTGATAATGAAATGAGTCAAAATAACAATTCTCCAAGAGTTGCATCCCCTGATCCTTCAAGTCAAGTTAGATTATTATCACCAAATCATACGGGCCCTGTTAATACTCAAGGTTTATTACCACCGAATCATACAGGACCAGCAGGTAATTCAGGCTTATTACAACCAACAACTACCGGTGGTGGTGATGAATTTTTAAATAGTTTATTATCACCAAATAACACTACTGGTCATCAACAGCAACAGTCATTACCACATTCAAACGGATATTTATCACCAAATTATACAGGTCAAGCTAATGAAGCACCATTACAACCTACAATGACAGGATCTGTCGCACCTAGTATGCGTCAAAGTTTTGGATTAAATCAAAGGGTTAGTTCTGCATCACCTTCATTTGGGAATTCAAATAATTTATCAGTTCCAATGCCACCACAAAGTCGACAAAGATCGCTATCATCACCAATTCCTTTTGATCCGTCTTTACAACAAAGAGTAACATCTCCAATATCATCAACAAGATCTCCACCACCCCCACCGCCTCCAAGAGCTAGAGCCAATACAACAACTTCACAAGCACCTCCACCACCACCATCTAGAAATTCACATCCAGGTCCTGCACTACCTCCAAAGATCCCTATGCAAAATACTTCATCACCTTCACCTTCATTTTATCAACAACAACAACAACCATTTCAACAAAATAATCCATATGTTCATAATAATGATAGTACTTCAAGCAGTACAGCTGATATTTTGGGTGATTTGAAAGCATTACAATCAGAAGTGGATAGACTACAGTACTACCAGAGATGAAAATACATACATACTCTCGAACACAAAGAATGCGTATGACTTTAGAATTACTTATTTTTGTAGTTTATTTGGTAATTGTCGAAATTTCATAGGTTGGGTTTTGGTGACACGTATATGGATGACAGACCGATCAAGGATATTGAAAAAAAAAGTGACTTCGATATTAGAAATTCATTGAGTATTAAACTACGGAACAGATACATTTTCATTTCACTATAGCTATTATGTTTCGTTTCAGATCAATAAATTCTTCATTTCAAGGACTAAGGTCCATCAACCCAACTCTCAAACAAAACCTACTTCCAAACAAAAGATTTTATAGTGATGTTAGATTAAGTGACTATGAACAATTGATTTATAACAAATTACAAAAGGAATTATCACCACAACAATTAGAAGTTATGGATATATCTGGTGGTTGTGGCTCAATGTTTGCTATTAGTGTTGTTTCTGAGAATTTTAAAGGTTTGACAATGATTAAACAACATAAATTGGTTAATTCAATCTTGGCTGATGAGATTGCTAAATGGCATGGGTTACAATTGAAGACTAAAGCTCCACAATAAATTAGATGCTTTAAGGTATACTTGTATATAGGGAGATTAAACAGATGGGCTTTCATATTCTGGCATTATATCAACTACTGTATTTGCTTTCATATTTTTTCTTCAGTTTATTACTATACAATTTTAATTACTTTGTTCAACAACTTCTTCTTTTTCTTCCAAGATTTCTTCTTTGATTTCTTCAATAATTTCTTCATCTTGAGTAGTTTGTAATTCATCAACAATACCATAAGCTTCCTTATGAGATTCGATTTGTGATCTCCAAGAACTCCATTCTTCGAGTAAACGACGACGTGTTAAGATTAATTCTCTTGTAGCTTCACTAGCTTCCATAGCATCAGATTCTTCAAATTGAGCAGAATATTCACGTAAATTCTTACGAACCTTCTTACGATCACCACCAGTTAATAAAGATTCTGGACGAGGTCTCCAAACAAATGCTTTAAATTCATCCAATAATTCTTCTCTTAATAAATGACCTGCAAAATCAGTTAATCTATAACCATTTTCAATTTTATGTCTCCAGAATGATGACCAAGCTGCAACGAATCTTCCTGATGGATCCCATTCTAAATCAGTTAACCCAGCATATTCTAATTGACCAATTTGTTTAACATGAGATGCAACTAAATCAGATTCAGATTCTTTCTTTTCACCAGTATAATCTAAATCGTAATATTCTAACCCACCTTGAGAAGTTGAACCAACTGTGGCAACAACAACAAATCTACCTTTTGGTGACCAAGCAATAGTATTACTGAATTTTGGTTCGATAACTTTGAATGCAACCCATTTTTTCAAATTAGCAATTTTACCTTTTGGTAATTCTGGGGCATAAAATGTAATTGCATTTCTTGCAATGGCAGGGTTTGCACCTGAAACTTCTGGTCTTGAGATTGTAACAAATCTATCACCTTTTGGTTCCCAACCGAAATTTATAACTCTATCTTTCAATTCAATTTTTTCCACAGGAATATCTTTTTCATTTAATTTGAAGAATTCTAAATTAGTGAATAATGTTTTTTTAGATTTTGTATGACGATCAACTTTAACAGCTAAATATTCTGCATTATCTTGCCAATGTAATTTAACATCAGAAACTTGGAACAAGTTAATGGTTCTGAGAACTTTCTTGGAAGGAACTTCTAATAATGCAACCTTAGCAGTTTGATTATCAGTTTCTGGAATCCAATAAGCTAAAACATGAGATAATGAATCAGTGTTTTTAGCATTTGCCAATTTAACACCATGTGGAGCAAATTCGAAATCTGCAATACCATCAATCTTTAGAGGTTTCTTATCCAATAAGGCAAAATCATCTGAAGTATCATAAACAGCCAAAGCATTTGGACCTAATCTAGCAACATATTTATCATCATATGACCATTTCAATAATGGCCAAATCATTTCTTTTCTTTGTTCCAAGTTTGGAGGTAGGGCAAATGTACGAACTGGTAATCCAGTTGCAATTTCCCAAACAACTAATTTATGACCTTGACTTTCTGGACCGAATGGGAAAGTGGCTCTTTTTGGATGATCTTCAGGTGGTAAAACAATTGGATCTGGTGATAATGAAACCAAATATTTTTCATTTGGTGAGAAATCAATTAAACGAACATTTGGATGAGAAAATCTTTTCAAATTTTTGAAGTCTTTACCACCCCAAGCTTGAATACCTTGAGGATGAACTGAAAAGACATAAGAACCTTTTGGAGAAAATTTAATAAATCCACTAGTCCAGTTCAATCTTGGTTCAATAACAGGTTCTGGATTTTCCTTTTTCTTGTTCCAGAACACACCAACAACTTCTTGTTTATGTAAAATGAATTGATCACGACCAGATGGATCTTGTAACCAAGATTTCAAATAATCAGTTTCTTCAAATGGTGGTATTTCAGGTTCTTTGAATTCATCAGTGATATTACCTTGAGCACCATATTTTTCCACATCAGTTAATTTGTTTAATAATAAACGATGTTTAACATCCAATTTTTTACCATTCAAAGATTTGATTGTTTTGTCCACAATTTCTGGAGATTCATAACCAACAAATGCAAAACCTTTAGTTTTACCATTTTCTAAAGGCATATAGAAATTGGTAACTTTACCATGTTGACTTAGTAATTTGTTTAAAACTTTAGTCAAGATTGGAACTTTAGCTTCTGGAGCAATTGGGGCACCATCAACAACTAAATATTTATCAAATGAATTATCTTCCTCCACGGTGTATTTGGCCTCCAAATCGGAGAAGTCAATGTCATCCACTGGAATGTCTTCCAGTTTAGGTTGTTCCAAGCCCATGATTTGTAATGTATAAAGGGTATTATAAACCAATATAGATAACCTTTTGAACTAGATTCACGTTACTTCCACAGACGATTCAATCAACATTTCGAAATTTTTTTCACGACCAAAGGAAAAAAAAAAAGCTACAGCGAGTGCGCCAACCAGAAAATACAAAAGAGGGTAATTTTATATTTTTTCGCGATCAGAATTAGTCTTTAAACAAGGTGATGACGATGGGAGGATCCAATTCAGCAGTTACACCTCATTATCTTCTAGAATTCACGGTAAGGATTTGAAAGCTTTTTTGCGTTCGCATAATAGGAAGGGAGTATTGATTTATTGCATTAACGTTTTTGTTGAATTACTCGAAATGGCCATCGATCGCGAAACAAAATTGTATGAGTTGACCAATTCTATAACGTTCTGTTTATAGTGAGATCAGTGCTGATCTAATGGCTTTCCATAGATTGGTTGTTGACTCATGATAGATGAGCTGATCTTGTGACACGAAAGGGATGTAATTTTGTCAGCTTCACACAGGTTTTGTTTTAATACAATCCTGCTAAAGTCGAGGTCATATACTCCTGATCAAGAGTATATATTTTGTGTGCAATCTTGAATTTTGTTTGCTTGTTCAGTGGCCATGATTTGAGGGTCTGATATACATATAATATGTGTAAACCGATTCATTGTTGACTTGAGTGCTTGACTTTGATCGTTTTCATAATCATTATATATGTTCATGTTTGTTTCAAAACCTGTAGTGGATGAGCTACTGGTTAAGTATCTACATTAAAGACCGAAACAAGAAACGCGCGTCTGGTATTTCATAGTACCTTTAATGCTCTACAAATCAGAAAGCCAACCCAGGCCAGTTGATAATCAAGATATCCAACTATGTCCTATGTTCTAAATATTTAAGGATCATGTTGAAAAAACTTAAAGTTACATATAAATTGTGACACTATCGGCTAGAAAGATCAATGATAGTCCATGAATCTTCATAAATATATTACAGCTTGATGGAGTCTTACTAGGTTTAACTAATGGGGAATTTCAAATCTTCTATATTTCATTGTCGAGAATCATAATTAGTATAGCTTCAAGAAGCTTTGGTGAAACTGCATATTAATGTTGACAGGACTCTAGAAAATATTCTCTTTATATCTAGCTACCTAGCTTCGATATTGAATCAGGCATCTAGTCATACGAGCTATGTGATCATATAATTGTTTAAAATCAGTACATGACCTCCAATATAGGAAAGGAATTGGCTTTAAAGAATTAAGAATTGCAGATAAAGAACACGACTTTCAACCAGAATTTCAAAGAATATCGTCATGAGCTAGCATCATTATATTAAATTTACCAGCTTTTGAGCCAAATATTGAGATCTAGTACCAACTTGAGTTTCCAGAAAAGAATTAAACCGCATTAATATTAAATTAGGATCATACTGTAAATGGCTGGTCACGTGCACCGCGAATTCTGTATGAGATCTGGCGCGTAACGCGTAGAAAAAGCACAGATACAGGTTCAAAACAGTGATAAAACACATCGAATTAAAGAGTTGATCCATCACAAAAAAGACAGAAATTGAGCAATTTGAGCTTCTTTGTTAAGAAGACAACATTTAAAAGTTTTGGTGGTAGCTAAGAGTGCTTGAAGGTGACATTTCCTAAGATTGAATGCAAATTCCAAGCTTCACCATAATAATAATTTTTTGAGATAACTACAACAACGAGCTGAGAGTGGTGATCCATAAACAACACAACGCAAAAACAAGTCATTGCTAGGGCGGTAAGAGTACAGTATGGCCTCTGTGCAAAGACAACAGCAACAGCGGCTCGAGGACCACAACGAGACTCTGGAAAGCATTTCCCAGTTCAATAACCTGAGTTTGGATGAGAGTGTTGATGAAGATCAAGGAATGAATGGTGGTGATGATGTTGGCGAGAGCCCCAGTGAAGAAATGGGAAACAAGTCTGATACCACAGACTCATCCATCAACATTAAGAACTCAAGTTATGTGGAATCAAACAACAATTCAAATGGTGAAGAGACAAATGAGCAAAAGAATTTGGAGAATGAGGATAGTGAAGATGGTGTTGATGATGGGAGTGATAATGATGACTCTGCTAATGAGTTCCTCAATTCGAGCTCGTTTCTATCAAACTCACAAATCATACGGTCTGCAAACCTCAACAGTTATAAACCAATAAATCAAAAGACTATTTCAAGTCCAACACCTGCTTTAAAGAGTTATACACCAAAATCAAAAGACCATTTCCAATTTTCAGGCTCCAAATCAGCACCACCTGGACTCTCAGATCATTCTGATGCTGAAGAAGAAGATAGTGATGATAAAGAAGATGAAGATGACGTTGATTTGCATAATGGCCATTATTCTCATTCTAAACAAAACAATATAGATATTGATGATCCAGAATCAACACCAAAACTACCCAAGATCAATATAGACACTACACCATGGAGGAAGTTAAGACCACCGAGTGCATTGCCATCGAAAGAGGTCCCAACTCAACAACTGTCGCTCAATTTTATGAAATCTTTGTTTGATGGTGATAATGAAAATGATCCAATTCGATCCCCAACAAGATCTGTCTCTTTGTTTGAAAGTTCAGGTAACACTGATAGTCTTGGAACGACAACTGCTACAACATCTTATGAAGTTGAAAATCTAAAGAAACAAATTACAAATTATAAACTGCAACTGAGACTTCTAACTGAATTTATAAGAAACATCATTAGGAATACAGGTAATGGTTCTGGAAGTATCAAGAATGACATAATGGAGAGATTGGAAAGAGAAAATGATATTCTTTTCAATGAGCGTGAAAGATTACAAAAAGATTTGAAAGATACTATTGGGTTTCATGAAACTGAAGAATCTGCAAAAGTGTCTGAAAAGATGAAAGAGATTCTGGAATTGAAAAATGATTTGATTGCAACGCGTGATTTGAATAGTGAATTGAATTCATATATTGATGAATTGAAAGCTAGAACTGAGGATCAAGATCATCTTATTGAAACATCAAATGAAGATGCTGATAGATGGGAACATTTGATAAATGATATATTGACATTATTGTTGGATTTTCTGAAAGGTGAATCTGCAAAAGCCGTTTTACAGGCAAGAGATCAATCAAAATCCTTGGATACAAAACTAAAAGTTGTTTCATTTTCAATTAATGAAATTTTGGAAAATTATGAACATCTTTCAGATAATATTTCCAAAGCTAATGGGTATGATGCTGAGTCCATCTCTACCTTTATTGAACAATCACAAACCAAAATTGCAAACTCAAAGAAAATTGAACAAGATTTAAAACAACTTTTGAAACAACAATCTGATTCTTTCACCTCTTTAAAATCTGAATTTTCTTCACTACAAAATCAATTTAAAGAAAACTTGGAATTTGTTGCAAGTCTGAGAAAGCTGTTGGGTGAAAAAAGAGAAAAAATCAAGAAACTAAATGATACCATAATACAATTGGAAGCACAAGTGGAGGAGCATGGCTCAAATCCACATGAGTCGAGCACAGGAATTGAAAAGGAAACACAATTGTTGAGAAATAGATTAACAATAATTAAAACAAACCATTCAAAAGAAGTTGAAAATTTACATGCAGAAATTGAAAATATGAAACTTAAAATAGATGAAATATCTGCCAAAGGTCCTACAGGAGATGTGATCTTAACAGAAGAGTTGCTCAAAAAACAAAGAGCGATTGGTGAATTAGATAATGAGATCAATGCTCTTAGACAACAATTGGAAACTAAAGATGACCAAGTTGATTCCACAATCTCCAATCTCAAGAATCTTCTACGTCAAACCAAGCGTGATTATGAAAGTTTATTACAAGAATATCATCATATTCAAAACTTGTTGAAAGAATCTCAAAGTGAATTACAGTCAAAGGATAAAGAATATAGAAGAAAATTAGAGCATGCTGCAAAAGAGTTGAACCTGGCCGTTGCCAAACAAAGAAGTTTAGCTGCTGAAAAGAGTAAACTGACGTTTGCATTGGAAGATTCTAAAAGAGAACACTCATTGTTGAAATTGAATAACAGTACATTGACTGAAAAAGTTGGCAAGCTAAGTTATCAAGTTTCAAGCTTAACAAATTATGAACTGGGGTTTAACAGTTTATTCCAATTACAAATTACTAATTTCCAAAATTTATTACATCATTTTGATTCAATTTTGGAAGAATCTTCAGTTAATCAAGCTCAAACAAAGTTATCTAAATTGGTTGATTCAGAATTAGATTTTGACCAGATTCATGGGATTATGAGATCCTTGTTTTCTTATTTTGAAAATGCTACGCATTCATTAATATCAGATCATTCTCAACTGTTGATCAATTCAAATATTGAATTCAAGAATTCACAAAATGAAATCAACAGCCTGAAAAATCAAATTGACTCCTTGAATGAAGAACTTCAATGGTATATTGTGAACTATAGAGATCAAAATGATCTGAGTCCAAGATCAAAATTAAGAATTGATGAATTGGAGAAGAGAAGAAAAGCTGAAAGGGAAAGAAGAAAGCTAGAAAATCAGGCTTCAGAAGAACGTATTTTAAAATTGGAAAAGGAAAACAAGGAATTAAAGGAGAAGTTGAAACAGATTAATAGGTAAGTGTTATATTATTATGAACTATGGGTTTATTGAATTTTCTATTTCTGTAATATACATGTATTATTTTTTTTTTGAACAACAATAAATCTATAGAGATGTAGTTGTTACAAATTATTCAGCCATGTTTTCATCTTCATCGTCTTCATCATCTTCATTCAATTTTTGTTCAGCATACTCTTTAGCTTCCTTCAATAAATCTTCAGGCACAAATTGATGTAAACCTTTAGTTTCAGAAGTTGATATCCAACTAATTTCAATTTCAAAATCCTTATCTTTGTTATCTTCATGAGCCAAATAAATTATTCTAGCAGCTTCTTTAACAGCATCTTTAGCACTTAATGTGCTGGAATCCAATTTTTCCAATTCATTCTTTGCACTTTGTCTACCTTTACCAGTTGCAGCACCTTGGTAACCCCAATACACACCACTTGGTTCCAACATGTATAAATGTGGACCATCTTCATCAATACCACCGATAATTGATGTTATACCGAATGGTCTAACTGAGTTGTAACAAGTGTAAGCTTGGACATAATTACCTAAACGATCTATTAGATAAGGAATTGATATTTGATCTTTGTATTGGTCTTTGAAAGATTGGAATTCATCTCTACCTCTAGAGACTAGATGACGTCCATCTGGTAATAACCCAGAGTATGCAACACCAATATGACGACCAATTGTTTGAATACGATTATTTTTACCTGGAACTAATAGTTTGGAAGTGACAATTTTTTCAACAGCTAAAACAATACCATCTTTGAATTTAATACCAATGGAGGTACCACCATTTTCCACTGCTTTGGCAGCGTATTCCACTTGGAAGTTTCTTCCATCTGGTGAAAACACACTGTTTGATAAATCGTATCCTGTACCGACTGAAGTCTATGGTGGCGAGTTAGTGGGAGATCTTGGAAAACAGTATCAGTGCACCAATTGAGTGGATTTAAACCAGATTTCAGTGAATCTATGTCCTTAACCACACATTGAGTACCAAATAACATACCATTGTAATTGAATTTGTACCTGTTTGTGAGTTATTGGCTGTTCGTGTTTGCCAAATCTCAACCTCTTTGGAATCCATTTGTTGATCTTTCAAAACGTAATTGAGACTGCCAAAACTCACCGTGTCACAAAACACCCGGGTAAATTTCCAAAATCTGGCACTTCACCATAAACAACTTAGCCAAACGAATTATTATCAAATCAATTGATTGGATAAAGTAATGTCCAAGGATACAATTAGAGTTGTCGTGTGTGGTGATGAAGGTATGTTGTTTTCTTTCTGATGTCTTTTGATAGCTAGCTCTAACCTTTTTCTAGGTGTTGGAAAGTCCAGCTTAATAACAGCTCTCATCAAAGACACATTTGTTCCAAATATTCAATCAGTTCTACCGGCTATCACAATACCCAGAGACTTTTCATCATCCCCTTACTCCCCAAATTCCACTGTGTTGATTGATACGAATTCTCAAGATGTTCCAGCGCTTCAAAAAGAAATCAGAAAAGCTGACGTTATATGGTTAGTCTATAGTGATCATTACACCTATGAACGTATCTCACTATATTGGATGAATATCTTCAGATCCATGGGTGTTAATCTACCAGTTGTGCTATGTGCAAACAAGTCAGACTCTCAAACGTCATTAGATTCAGAGAGAACCATTTCAGATGAGTTTATTCCTATTTTAAAAGAGTTTAAAGAAGTTGAATCATGTATTAGGTGCAGTGCCAAAGAAAAATACAATGTTAGTCAGGCTTTCTATTTATGTCAGAGAGCTGTAACACATCCTGTTTCACCATTGTTTGATGCCAAAGAAGGTAATTTGAAACCTGCTGCCACGGATGCCTTAGCTAGAATTTTTTTCCTATGCGATAAAGACCAAGATGGTTTCTTGAACGAAGATGAATTTCTCGCTTTACAAAGAAAATGTTTTGGTAGAAGCTTGGATATAAATGATTTAGCAGAAATAAGGGAAACAGTAAATCAAGTTAAAGCTGGATGTTTTGGTGAACGTGGTTTAACTGAAGATGGTTTCATTATATTGAATAAAATCTTTGCTGAAAGAGGACGACACGAAACTACATGGGGTATATTGAGAACTTTCCATTACACAGATTCATTATCATTAAATGATAAATTTCTTTATCCCAAATTGGATGTTCCAACTAATGCAAGTGTTGAATTGAGTCCAATTGGTTATAGATTTTTCGTTGATTTATTTTTGTTATTTGATAAAGATAATGATGGTGGGTTGAACGATGCTGAACTAGAGTCATTATTCAGACCTACCCCAGGTATGCCTCAAGAATGGGTTGAAACTAATTTCCCACAAAGTACAGTTAGAAACGAACAAGGTTATGTTACATTACAAGGATGGCTAGCTCAATGGAGTATGACTACATTTTTGGATTATAAAACAACATTGGCATATTTGGCATATTTGGGATTTGAAAGTTCAACAAGAAATGGAGGAACAACGACAGCTTTAAAAGTTACAAAGCCTAGAAAGGAAAGAGTTAGATCTGGGAAAAACTATAGAGTTCCTGTCAATGATCGTACTGTTTTCAATTGCTTTGTTCTTGGAGGATCAGGAAGTGGTAAGTCTTCACTATTAGAAGCATTTTTAGGAAGACAATATAGTGAAGTTTATAATCCAACTATAAAAGCAAGAATCGTGGTGAACAGTGTTGAATTGAAAGGTGGGAAACAAGTATATTTGGTTTTGGAGGAACTGGGTGAATTAGAACCAGCTATATTGGATAATCAATCTAAATTGAACAAATGTGATGTTTTGTGCTTAACTTATGATTCATCAGATCCTAATAGTTTCCATTATTTAGTGGAATTGGCTTCAAAGCATCCATTGATTTCAAGTGTTCCAACAATCATAGTTGCTTTAAAAGCAGATCTTGATAGACAGCAACAAAGATTTGACATCCAACCTGAAGAATATACAACTTCTTTGAATATACCACCTCCATTACATGTCTCATCAACTTGGCCAAGTTCTTTGACAGAATTATTTGTTCAGTTGGTTGAATCTTCCCATGTTCCAAGTTTGGCAACCCCAGGCTTGGAGCCAGAAGTTAAATCTGATAATTTACAAAACGTTGTTCTTGCAACATCAGCTGTTGGATTCATGAGCATAATAACACTTTGGATTTGGAAAATGACTCTTCAACAAAAAGGTGCTTGATCTTATAAATTTAATGAGAAATGAATTATATATAATCTATTTTTCCGTGTAAAGCCGAGCCATGTTTATAGTGGTGTGTCTCATAACATTTCTATGACTTTTGCGTGCCCCAAAACCGAAAAAAAATCTGTTTTGGGTTGTGACAAACTCAGTTGAAACGATTATAAGTGTTTTGGCCCATAATTGCTATTCAAAATTTCACAATTTGAGCAATTTGGTGTGGAAAACTATATAAATGAGAATTATCATTTGAACAAGTACTCATTAAAGTTACTGGAGTTCAATTCACAATTGTATTAAATCATGGCATTCTTCGAGATTGAAACACCAGGGTATTCATTAACCACTGGGTTCTTTTTATCTTCACTAGTTTCCTTTGGATATGTCTTCATATTATACTTATCCAAATCAGTTGTTAATGGACAAGAAATCGAACGTAATGATCCAAAAGTTATTAGTTCAAGAATCATTAAAGTTGTCGGGTTATCTGCTTTGATATTGGCAACTTTACCAGCATTAGTTTCAAAGATTTCAACAGAACCAACAAATAAGATTTATGCCGAATTGGGATTCTTACCAGGTTTGAAGTTTAGATATGGTGAATTTCATTTCGAGACTGGTCATATTGGGTTATTCATAAGGGATGTTTTACAATCTTTATTATTAGTTTTGATCTTGTTTATTGGTCCTGTTTTGGATTTAGCATTTTTCAGTTCTCCAGATCCATCATTTTTAATTAAAGAAGTTTCAAGACAATTATCAACATTGGCTGGGTTGAGAGATTTAATTGTTGGTCCATTAACTGAAGAAATCATTTATACTTCAGTTACAATTGTTATTTTATACCAGGTTAAGGAAATTTCAACAAAGACTTTAATATTCTTACCACCTGTTTTCTTCAGTTTTGCTCATTTCCATCATGCCTATGAATTATTTACCAAAAAGACACCAATCCATATCATTGGTGCAGTCATTGCATTCCAACTAACTTATACATTTTTGTTTGGAATTTTCACAAATTTTGTGTTTTTGAGAACAAACAACTTGTGGAGTTGTTTCTTGGTTCATTCATTCTGTAACTTTATCGGTGTTCCAAAATTCACTGTATCAACTACTAAATTTGCATATTGGAATATTGTATACTATGCATTGTTAGTCCTTGGATCTATTGGATTTTATAGATTCTTGTACACATTCACTCAAAGTTCATTAGCATTAGTTCCATGGTGAACATTATGACCTCTTATGAATAAACATATATTATGAATAATATCATGAAGCTACAATTGTAGACAAAATATAATAAAACTCAAATGTCATTAAAAAACTCCTAAACCTAAATAAAATGCTAATAGTTGTTCGTGGGACTAAACTTCAATATTTATCTGTTCTTGATCATCAATTCCATCAGCATTTGCAACTTGTTCTTGATCTTCTTCATTACCACCATTTTCATCCAATTGTTGTAAATATAAAGTGTGATTAACTAAATTCAAATAAGCATACATGAAATTTGACAACAACACTTGTTGTCTTAATGGTCTTCTTGGATTGGCCAATTTCAAATGACTTAATCTGTATAATGCTCTTTCAACATGAATAGGAAATCTATAATCCAACATAATTATAGTTGAATTTGATAATGGTGGTAAGGGGAAACCAAATGCAGAATCTGTAAATTGAACAGGTGCATTTGGTTTTGTTGATTTTTTCATATTTTCAATACTCAATTTTTTACTTAATGTTTCTTTTTGAATACGATGTTGTTCTTCATTTGTTGCTTGACCTGTTTGTTGATGGAATGATGATTGTTGTGAAGCTGATGTTGGTGATATTGCAGAGTCATCCTTCTTTTGAGGTATAATTTTGACAGATTCTTGTAGTTTCGAATCTTTTGAAGGTGATTTTTGTAATTTTTCTTTAGTTTCACTCTTGGATTGTTTTGTAAACTTGAAAGTTGAGGTTCTTGAAGGTCTTAGTGATGGTCTCTTTTGGTGTGGTTGTGAAGGTTGATGATTGATATTTTGTATGGATGCTGATGGCGTGGATTGTTGTTGATGATAATGATTTTGAGGAAATTGTGACTCTTGAGGAGATGGTGGATGATTTTCATCATTAGTAAACTGTTTACTTGATGATATATCTCTTGAATCTAATGTCTTTTGATTTTTTGGAGATGGTGATCTTTTCTTTTTAAACATCTTGAGAAATGAATTGTCCTTTTTAGTTTTTTCAGGTTGTTGAGCCACAACTTGTTCTGGTTTGTGATGTTCTTTTGATGGTGTTGGTTGCAAAGGTTTTGGTGAAAGTTGTGGGCGTTGTTGAACTTGATGTAAATTGGAGTGTGTTTTAGGGTATGAATCATTTGAAACAACACGTCGTTGATAATGATGATTATCCTTCTCAGGTAGTTTGTGTTGAGGATGTGGTTTTTGTTCATCATTTTCCATTGTTATTAAAGATCCAGCATGTCTATTTCTAGAATGATTGGTTCTTTTAGGTAAACTATCTGATTGTGATCTTGATAAATTTGATCTTCCTCTTCGTTCAGCCAATTTTTGTTGCTCTATTGGATTTTGAAGAGGTATTGCTCTTTCAGGGACAGCATCTTTAGGACTTGGTGGTAATTCTTTATCAAGATTTGGTGATGTAGGTTGTTGTTGTTGGCTGGGGAATTGATGTTCATCAGATAGTGGTGATTTTGGTGATTTTTTCAATTTATCTTTACCCAATCTATTACTTCGACTATAAGTAGTCCATTTATTTCTTTTCAAACTTGATGAACCATCTGATAAAATAGGAGCATCTTGATCAATATCTTCTTGAGAAGGACGACGATCAGTACCTTCATCTTGTAAAGGTGGAGATGTTGGGGATGTTGTTGATTCTTGAAAGAATCTATCAGCATCGCTATTCATCAATAATCCTGAAGCACCTGATGCTGATGATAAACTTCTTGCTAGTGTAACAGCGTCTGTAGCAGCTAATCCAGCCATTTCTGATAATCTATCTAATTCATCAGTCAACTCTTTTAAAGACGGTATCGAGTCTCTTGTTGATAAAGAATGAACTGGCGATCTATCACCAAGTTGATTATTCATATCATCTATTGTGGACTGAACATGGCGACGGAACTGATCTGGAGCAATACTTGGATGTGATTTTGCGGGAACCCATAACAATTTTTCAGCATTCAATTTTAAATGTTCATCTTCTTCATCACCTTGTGGCACACTAGTTGAATCATCTTGATCATCTATTAATGTTTTCTCTCTATCATCAAGCGATGAAGCTGTTGTAGATGAAGATGAAGAATCTTGTGAACTTTTCCTTCTATGATGACTTTTACGGTTGTTATAATCATTATAATTGAAATCACCATCAACCCCAAATGGTAAATCTGGATCTATATTGATGGAACTTCTTCCAATGGATAATCTTTTCAAAGCAGTGACAGCTTCACGTTCATGCTGAACAGCTTCGGCAGCCATATAAGCATTTGATTTTCTTTTAGCCTTTTTTAATTCATCTTGAGATTTTTGAGATTGTCTCCTTGTAATTTGTGCACTTGATAGAAGTTGTGTGGATGAACTTGTTGGTGAAGGAGATGATGAAAAGTCTCGAGAGCTAGAATCTCCTATTGTATTTGAGTCAGACATGACATGTATGGATGTCTTTGGGGTATTATTGAATTATGTCTTGAATTAATAGGTTATTTGAAAAAAAAAGAGCTATAAGCTAGCTTGGGATATGATATGCAAAAAGGAAGGTGTATGATAGCTAGTTTGAATGATTTATTGTGGTATTCTTGATCTTATGATAGTTTAACAATCCACCAATGGATTGATTATGAGTGTTGTGGTAATCTAAGCTGCTGATGTTTCTATGGCTTTTGAAGTGGTCGTTGAAATAAATTTTGAACGCGTCTGTCGATTAAATGATTATGTAATTAATAATGGTCAGCAATTTAAATGGTTGATTATTGGAGAATTTAGTTAGGAAATGCGTTGATTTGATTACATTAATCGAATATAGAAGGTCAATTTGGTCTAGAAAGTATATTTAAGGTCCATACTCTTTTTTGGTGAATTTCGTTGAAGTATTCATTTGATTTCAAATTTTGAGGCTTTTCATGATAAAGTGAGATAATTCGCGGAGCCAAATCCTTTTACTTCCTAATCGGGAAGTCTATGGTATAAATAAGTCAAAAAGTGGATAAACTAATTAAAGACAGTGTATGATTACAGTATTTTGTTCCAAATAACTATCCATATGATTTAATATAAATATATCGCTACTTCTTTAGTTAGCTTTCCTTCAAAAGTATTCATAGATTGCTGTTTTCGAGACCAAATTCATTAACGTCTGCCATTGGAATAGGGTTAATTCGCAAACTCTACAATAAAGGTTTGACATAACAAAGAAAGCTTATTAGAGACCAATATTTCTGTGTTAATACGATTGACAAGCTATAAAGACATAATTACCACCAAGAGTTTTGATATATTGGTTAACCAGAGAATATAAGCACTCGTGAATACCCCCCGAGACTTCCAAACTACTCCAGATCAATATTGATCCCGCTTCAAGAACGCTTTCTAAGATCACCAGTTTGCTTCTGAAGGACTCAACTATTTAAATAACCAAAATAATCATTCCTGTAAGTCAATAAAGAACTGAAGCTTCAAGCAAAACATTACATTACCAATCAACATGCCAGAGAAACCACAAATACGCACAATAAGACTATTCAATATTGATGGACATGATGATTATTTCTTACCCATTGAATTAATGAGTGGGTCAATCTTGGTTGATAGATCAAATGTACCAACTTATGTTGAAGATATATTTGAAAAAACCTCTGATATGGATTCTCAGTTACTAAGGTTGGTTAGTCAGGGTTCCATTGAAGATACTGATCCCGCTATTGATGTTTCAAAACTAAGATGATAGATATGAGTTTTTGCTTATGAGCTTTGCTAATGTATGAAAAATTCAAATATTCAATATGAGATGATTTGCTGCTAATTCAATGTAGTTTCCAAAGCATGTTGTAAGCTGATTTTGACTGTGATCTAACCGATGGTTTTAGCTCTAATCATGAGTTGAAAGTTGAAAGTTGAGATCTTGGATCTTGGTTACATGAAGAATTTAATGAGAAAAGCCACCACTTGATGTGTGAAATCTCAAACACTTCCTAATTCTCAAATTTCCTTATAATTCCAAACTCCTTCTAATTGATATGTGACATGAGAAGGTCTCCATCATACGATAGACCGATCTTAAACGAGCTATTTTGACGCAACTTGAAAACGGGGAGATTGTGAGAACGGAGAAGAAACAAAACAATGCTACTAGTCTTCATAAACCATCTTTAACCCATCCCAACCCATGAATAAAGCTCAAATCATGTCAAAAATTCATAATGTTTTCCTAAAAATTTCTGAATTCGATCGTGTTTTGCGCAAAAAAACGGCTATTTGTTTTTCGTTTTTTTTACGTGTTTTTCGCGATTTGTGTTTACGATTTCCGGAAGTTTTGGCATTTCTTTTTTCAAAAAGAGGCAAATACGCAAAAAAAAAAGTAACACCATTTGAAAAAAAAACAACAATTTGTATAAAAACATCTCCGGTTCCAATATTTCTCCTATTTCCATTGAATTAAAGTGATCAAAGATGTCACAAACATTACCTCTATTCTCCAAGACTCAACTCCAGTCTCATAACAAAGAGAATGACGTCTGGGTTTCATTATACCATAGAAAAATTTATAATGTTACAAGTTTTCTAGATGAACATCCAGGTGGTGGTGATTTGATCTTGGAATATGCCGGTAAAGATGTTACTGATATTCTTTCTGATGAAATCAGTCATACTCATAGTGAAACCACTTATGAAATTTTGGATGAGAATTATTTAGTTGGTTATTTGGCTAATGAAGAAGAAGAGAAGGAATTGTTGAGTAATCCAAAACATCAAGTTGATGTTAAAATTGATGGTGAAAACGTTGATAATTTACATTCTGAACATTATGATTCTACAAAATTGGATGGATTACCAGAATATGAAAAATTAAACATTGTCACTGATTATTCTCATGATTATAAGAACCATAAATTCTTGGATCTTAATAAACCTTTATTACTACAAGTTTTGTTTGGTAATTTCACTAAAGAATTTTATTTGGATCAAGTTCATAGACCAAGACATTATGGTAAAGGTTCAGCACCATTGTTTGGTAATTTCTTGGAACCTTTATCATTAACTCCATGGTTTGTTGTTCCAATGATTTGGATCCCTGTTGATTTATTTATATTTTATGTTGGTTTCACAAATATGAATAAATTTCTTTCAGTTTTCTTATTCAGTGCTGGTGTTTTCGTTTGGACTTTAATCGAATATGCAATGCATAGATTCTTGTTCCATTTGGATTATTATTTACCAGATCATTCAATTGCCTTCACAATTCATTTCTTATTACATGGTGTTCATCATTATTTACCAATGGATCGTTATAGATTAGTTATGCCACCAACTTTATTCGTGGCTCTATGTTATCCATTCTACAAGTTAGTTTTCAGCATTTTCCCATTTTATATGGCTTGTTCAGCTTTTGCAGGTGGATTTTTAGGTTATATCATGTATGATTGTACTCATTATATTTTACATCATGCTAAATTACCTTCATATCTACAACAGTTGAAGAAATATCATTTAGAGCATCATTATAAGAATTATGAATTGGGATTTGGTGTCACAAGTTGGTTTTGGGATAAGGTTTTCGGTACATTTTTGGAAGTTGGTAATAATGCTCAAAAATTGAGCTAGGGAGAAGAAGATTATACAACACATAAACATAATTTGAAACGATTTTATGAATTTCACATCTATATAATATATACATTTATTCAAAATATAACTTTCTTAATTTATCCAATCTTTGCAATGTATTTTCAACTGTGTTTTCGTCACTATTGTTTTCAACATTTCCCATCATTTTGATTAAGTTCTTGTAACCTTCAACATAACAACACCATTCATGATGTTCTTCAATTAGATTAACTTGCACATTATCTTCAATAAAGACTCTGCGTCCACAACTTTCACTCTTCAACATAATTTTAGACCCTATTTTTTCAATTCTCCATCCAAATAAACTACATTGGAAAATATTCCCATACACTAACCCATTTTGTTCACACCATCTCCTTATAACACCAACTTGATCTTGAGTCAAAACATCAACAACCTCAATATCATCATTTTTAATCTGTTTAGAATTAAATTCATACAATTCCTTGACAACACCCAATTCTTTTGAATTATTAATCTCATAAACATTCATTGGTGTTACTTGTTTAAGCCATGGACAATTATCTTTATGTCCAGCCTTTAACTCATCAATATATTTATCACATAGTTTATCAAAAATTACTTCATTATCTTCATTATCATTATTCATCAGTTCATCAGGGATCTTAATCAATAACCTTGCAGAACAACAACAACATTTCAATTCATTCATTTTATTAGAACCTTCCCATCCATAACGAGCAATCAGTAATGGGGTCAATTTCTTTGAGTTGACATTCCAATTGTTATACTTGAGAGTATTGATTCTTTTAACTAGTTCACGTTTATCATAGGGAAGATACGAGCCTTTGGTTAAAGGTTTTGTTTGTGTTAATCTTCTTTTCGATATTGATTGGAAATATTTAATTGTTTTGTTTTGTGATAATTTAGGTCTTGATAATTTGGTTATTCTATGAGAAGATGGTGATATTTTAGCTGGAGATTCCAAATCAATGGATCCCAATACTTTTGAGCCTCTTGAAGTGTCCATTTTCTCGTTGTTTTGATGTTGAAATGTTGGTAAAATGAATTAAAATTGTGGTTTTTGTTTAGATTTTTCCATTATTCGATACCTTCAAGACTGGGATTTTCTTAACTATGGATTACATACAATCTCACCATACAAAATCCCTCCAAAACCGGGAATCATTTATTTCAAACGATCTAACAACGCTGAAAAGCATCTTATATTCAAATTACACACCATTTAAAGCCAAAAACCACATAAAAACACACCATTCTCTATATAAAATCACCCAATTCATCCCTATCTTTAATCCCATTTTTTTGTACGTAACTCAAAAAATTTCACGAAAAAAAAAAAAAAACTGATAATTTTACCGCAAAATTCCTAAAAAAAAAAGAGAGAAATTGTCCTCAAATTTTTAGTATTAAATTAAAAGCATCTTTTCATTTTAATATCTCTGATCAATTAAATTTTAGCTGAGCCCCTTTTATCTTGAAATTCAGGTGCCTGACCATTTGTTTGGTTGTTTTTTGCTTTGATTATTTGTCCCCCTTTTCTGCCTTTCCATTTTGATAATAGTTTCATATCAACAACATCCCCTTGAACAATTAATAGAAGTTGTACAATGCAAGATTATCAAAAAAACTTTCTTGACTTGGCTGTTGAAAGTAAAGCTTTAAGATTTGGTGAGTTTACTTTAAAGTCTGGTAGAATTTCTCCATATTTTTTCAATTTAGGTTTATTTTCCACTGGTAAATTATTATCAAATTTAGCTTCATCATATGCAATTGCAATTATAAGTTCAGGTTTAGAATTTGACGTCATCTTTGGTCCTGCTTATAAAGGTATCCCATTAGCTGCTATAACTGCTTCAAAATTGGCTGAAATTGGTGGTTCAAAATATGAAAAAATTTCTTATGCTTTCAATAGAAAAGAAAAAAAAGATCATGGTGAAGGTGGTTCAATTGTTGGTGCTAATTTAGAAGGTAAAAGAATTTTAATCATTGATGATGTTATGACTGCAGGTACTGCTATTAATGAAGCTTTTGATATCATTAAAGCTGAAAATGGGAATGTTGTCGGTACTATTATTGCATTAGATAGACAAGAAAGAACTGTGGATTCTCAATTAAGTGCTACTCAAGTTGTTGCTAAGAAATATGATATCCCAGTCTTGTCAATTGTTAGTTTAACTGATATCATTAATTATCTTTCTGGTCGTATTTCTGATGAAGAGAAGTCAAAAATTGAACAATATCGTGCTGAATTTGCTCCTGCTAATATTAAATAAGATGCTTTTTTAAATTATTGAATAACATGTAGACTACAATTCAATTCAGAAATCAAAAAAACATTCATTCATTATCTTCTCACCTTGATGAATTTATTCTTTGGTGCTTTTGGTGTATTTGCTGCAGGACTAGTTTCTGTTGGTTGTGGTAATTTTTCAGTATAAATACTTTGTGTCATTGGATGTCCTAATGTAAATCTACTAAACACTGGAACCATTGTATTCATCTTAAAACCTTTAACTCTTGGAATCTCTTTAGGTTCATAATTTGATCCAAAATCTTGAGGCTTTGGTAAAGATTTAATTGTCTCTAGTGTAGTTTCATGATTCTTCATAAATTTTGCAATTTGATTTAATAAATGACGCTTATTATTAGCCAATATAGATTCTGGTTTACCATCATGTTTTAATGCAACTCTAATACGTCCTGGATTACCCCAATCTTGTGGATGTGTCTTTTCAGGTTCATATATACATATCAAATGTAATGAAACACATGCATCTGCTATTGTCTTAGCTAATGGATTTGACACTGCCAACTCTTTGGAAACTCGTCTACCTTGTTTATGTGATCTGTTTATATCAAAATAACATGGATAAATCAATTGTAATGTCTTGAGTTGTTCCATCTCTTCTTCACTGAACTTTTTCTGGTTCTCAAACCGTATACCACCATCATCATCTAATCCATCTAATGGCATGTCCCCCATTGAAGGAAATAATGGAGGTTCTTGTTGTTCTTCAGAATCTTGACTTCTAACAATTTTCTTTTCTAGTTTTGGAGCAAATGGAGTCTTCAAGTTTGGATCAAACTCGGCCAAGTCCATGTCCATGTTATCGATATCTTCAGCATCGCTGATTTCTTCTAATAAAGGCATCTTTTAATTGTTTTATGGTTGAGTTTAAAGATGAGTATTAATTGATTCTTTTGCTGATGATTGTTCGCTTTTTTCGTCAACGACAAAATCCAGAAAAAAAAAAAAAAAAAAAACATTGTTATGGGCAGTTTCATGATAAATTTTGTATGTGAAAAAATTGAAAAATCGTTAGTTTTAATAGATTTTTGGCACATTTTCGTATCCAATTTTAAGTGATATTTTCAGTTATGAATAGTTCTGACCATGAGGAATCAAACGATGAAGAAACAAGTAAACAGATACATCCTCCAAAGCTCAAGAAAACCCAATTAGCAGATCTCAGACGTGAGGCTAAACAGGTTTTAAAACATTATGAAGGAGACTATAAAAACGATTTAGCAATACATCTTTATTCCACTCATTTAATGCATCAAATGGATCCTGGGTTCCCTAAAAGAATATGGACAAGTTGGCCATTACCTCCCGAGGATGTTCCTGATCCCAATTCAACTTCAACTTATTGTGATGATGATCCAGATTTTGTTAAAGAACCTGGTATTAGTACTTTGGGGATGAATGAAGACGATGATGACGATGATCAAATTCAAGGTATTTTGGATTATGAAAGTGAACAGCAAGATCCCTCAATAAGGTCAGATCCTGATGAAGATTTAAAAATTGAATTAGATGCCCTTTTTAAAAGGAAAATATATGCTGGTATACAAAAATTGGCCATTTCAAATAAAGATTATCATTTACAACCTTCACTAGATTATCCACAATTTCCAGACCTTATTGAAGAGAAAATCAAAGAGAAAATTGATCAATTGATGAATAAATTCCCTAAACCTGCAAAATTCCCAAGACATCATCGAGGATTTTTCAATTGGAGAGATTTACTGCTACGGTCAAATATAGATGATTTAGACTTTATCAACAAAACAGAGGATATATTTATACAGGTACCCAAGCGTACTTTGAAAGAATTCGAGGAATCAAATGAGGTACATGATTCGGAAGATATAGACGATGAAGAAGATAATGAAGATGATCAGGCCAACGTGACAAACGAAAGTATAAGGACAAAGGAACCACAACATGATTCAGCTCCAAAACCCAAGAAACAATTGAAAGAAAAAGATATCACACAAGAAAAAACATTAAAGTTAAGAAGTGAAATCACTCAACTATTGTATGAAAACATGAAGAAAAAATTACAAAGAGATCAACCTCAAAAATCAGACTACGAAAACTTACAGATTAAATCATATAGTCTATAATGTCATATCATATCCAAATCATTTCGTATATTCATTACTTTGACGTTGCTTCAGGAAATACAGCAACCAATATCTTATCAATAATCTCATAAACTAGATTTCTATTCAATGTTTCATTTTGAGTCATTGAAAAGATTTTATTACTAGCAGATTTAGCACTTGGTTGACCAACAATCTTGGAGCACGTATCAATCATTAGAGTTTCAAGTAATACTCTAGCTTCTTGTTTACTTTTATTCTTCTCTTTATTGGTTCTTGGGATTCCAGATTCCATGAATTGACCATTGGGCCAAATAATATCCCTCAACATGTTGACGCTTTCCAAAATTTTATCCTCATTTGTCAATCCATTAATCAGATCTTTGATATGTTTTTCAATTGTACTTCCAAAAATCTGTTGTAAAACAACAATTATGGCACGACCTCTCAACCAACTATTTGGTCTATTCAATGAAAATAGTGCAATAACCAAGTCAGTAACAGGTTTAATAAATGATTTTTGTAATTCAGGTCTGATTCCTCCAATAGGAGAATCAAAATTTTCCAATTCCTTTTGCATATCTTCAACTTTCTCAACATTTTGTGAAAATTCTAAATTTTCTTCTGTTCTATCCTTGGATAGGCCATCAAGACTATCAGTACTTGGTACTCTACTATTATTTAACATATCAATTGAGCTTGAAAGTCCATTATAGATCTTATTGGCTGTATCTTCGATTCTTGATCTTGGTGTAGGAGTCTCTGATGTACTTGAAACTTTATAATCTTGTGAAGTTAAGAATTTTCGAAACTCTTTATCAGAACAAACTTCTTCAATTTCTAGCAATTTCTTCAAATAATGCTCTAATTGGTATCTTCTTTGATCAATCAATGCCTTTTGTTGAAATTTCAAGATGATCTTCTTTTTGGGGAAAGCTAAAACATTAACTTGTGGGTACTTTTTCCTCAACAATTCATTCAACTTGTAAAACTGACTAAATCTTCTACCAATGATCCAACCAACTCCACTTTTACCCTCTGATGATTTTTGAACTTCAATAACGTAAAGGATATAATCTTTTCCATGTGATCTTCCCTTGACCCATGATTGGATGGAAACTTTAGTTTTACCAAATAAACTATTGTCATTATCTTGAACAATCAACTGTTGCTTCTGTAGCCCTTTTGCCTCAATTTCTCGTTCATAACTTGCCTTGGATTTCTTCAAAATCCTCAACTCATTTGTATTATTGGTCAATTCTGCTTTCAATATCAGTGGGTCCAACATTTGGCTTTGTTTACTCAACTTTTCAAGTTCCTTCTCTAATTTATCAATTTCTTCTTTCAAGTTCAAAAAATCATGAGAAATACTAAAGAATTCAGGATCAACATCAAGTTTTGAGTCGGAAAGAGTAGAATCATCGTCTTCAATTTCATCGTCATCTTCACTTTCACCAAATAGAGGTTTTTCGGTCAGAAATCCTTTGTCAGAGCTTCCAAAGATCTCATTTTTTAAACCTTCAGTCATACTAAATCTTTTGGAAGAGTCCGAAGAATCTGATTTTTGTAAAGGAGGCTTCTTTTGTTTTTCAATTTCATTCTTCGACATAATATCACTCAAAGCATTCTCTAAATCTTCCAAGGAATGTTCATTAGAAGTTGAAGGTAATTCATCATCTTCATTTTCAAAATCCTCGTAGCTTGGTTCATGAGCCAAGTCCACTTCATTCACAAGAGACTCTTCAAAAGATTCACTTGACAAGAGTTTTAAAAACAATTCAGAGTTTTTGAAATCCGGAAGATCACGATCCTCCATTCTATGAAAAATCTCCTCTTGTAGCATAAGTATCAACTTTCTAACCTGGACATATTGGGCAAGATTTCTAGCAGAACCATCAACAAATTTTTGAACCTCTTGATATGTTTCCTTTTTTATTCTCAATAACTTTTCATTGAAGTATCGATGAAATATCTGTTTCACATCTTCAGCACCATTCATATCCACAGATGATGATAATTCTTCCTCGTAATCAGGATCTTTAGGATCTTCTAATGGGTCTTTGATGCCATTCACTGTTAGCCAATATTGTAACAACACAGTTCTCGAGCGCTGTTCCATAAATTCCATAAAGAAAGATAACGATGATGGGTTGCTCAAAAGCTGAGATAACGACAAGCTGGTAATGAACCCATCAAGATCATTGGCAAATATTGTTGAGTTTCTCCTATCATCTGTTATGTTGGATCCCAGTGATTCAAGACGTTTGTCAACCAGATTTCTAGCAAGATGCAATCTTTTGCAATACTTTAGAAACTTTTCTGAATTTGATTGAATTTTATTGGTTCTGCTGATCTGAACTGCAAGATAATATTTCAACTGTTTCAGAATATTTAATGAGTCAGATTTATCAATAGCTTTCAGATATTTTTCAAATTCAGGCTGTCTCATATTTGGGCTAATCCTGTGGTCCAGTAATGGATTCTTTGTAATTGTAGGTATCAACGGTTTGTTTGGGTTATTGTATTGTTTATCAATGGCACTTCTTAGTTCTCTCACTTGATCTCTATCCTTCAAAGTTGCTGATGCTAGTTTGACAATTGTTTGACTCCAGAAATCAGGATCAGATAATAATTGAATGACGGGTGACAATACTGAATTTGTAATTATTTCCCTGACTAAAATAGAAACAACAGATGAAGATTGTTCAGTATGTGATAGAAGGCAACACACCACTTGTGACATCTTGGATCTTGAATAATTTTTAATTTCCAGCTCCTTGTTGATTTCCTTTTGTGATACTGCTGGATGAAGAATTCCATACTCTTGAGTTATCTTAAATTCTAAATCACTTGATCTGCTCATGTTCCTCTGTTCACCCATAACTATTTCTTCTGCTGACACAAAATTGTTGAAATGTTCAGTTATCAGTGGTAATATCTCTATCACTAAAAAGTTTGGGGCATCCACTAGATACAATCTTGATTCTAATTCTGCAATTGCAAGTTTTAGTTGAACTCTGACTTGGTTAGGGAATGATGGATCACTGGAGATGCTTTTGAACCAACTTTCAACAAAATCTCTTAAAATGAAGTTGGATATTTCATCTATACTCTTGCTAAAGGTACTGCTCAAATTTGAAGACATGGAAGCTTGATTTAATCTCATATCCTTTACTTCTTCATTCCACACTTCAGCTTTTGTGAACAATAATTTAGGGAACCTCAGCCTGATGGAGGAGTCGGAGCTCTTGGGTATCTTTATAAAGTAAGCACCACAAAGTATGAATATAAGCAGCGTACCTAATGTGGAAAAAGTAACCAATAGCACAAATAATAAGTACTTGAGGAAAAATAGACATAAAAGCCCATACCCTAGATATTGCAACACAAGCAGGTTGTTTGGCCTTGAGCTTCGATCTTCTGTAACTTCGTGTACAATGGTTTCATCTTTGTCCTTCTCCAGCTGATTGCTCATACTCTTCAAAGAGAAGTTTCGGAGCTTGAATGCCTAATTTATAGTTGTTGAACCTGTTTTTGTGTTTTCATTTTTGTGTTATTGTTTTTGTGGCCGTTAAACGAGTTCGCGGAAATTTCGCGACTAGGGTCTGACACGGCATATAATGACAGACGTTTACAAAAGAGTTTCCTAATTATAAATTAATGCATTACTCTATATAATCTTATTCTTGTAGTTTCTAAGCTTTGACTTTTTTCAAATTGGAGGACTTTGTGATATCCTCATCTAGTTTTCTCTTTTTAGAAGTTTTCTTCGAATCTTTCCCAGATTTATCTTTTTTTGACTTCTTAGACTCAGACCTTGGCTCTTCTGATGATGCTACTGACTTCATTTTCTTCTCCTTTTTATCCTTTGATTTTTTCTCCTTCTTTTCTTTCTTTTCACTTGCTTCCTTCTTGGATTTCTTATCTTTTTTACTTCTCTTGTCCTTTTTGGTTTTCTCTATTGTGGAGTCACTCGGTATTGTTTCTGGGGTGCTGGTCTTTTTGCTACTATCATTAAAAGAGGTCTTAATTGTATCCACTATCGAATTTGTTCCATCTTCTTTGATGGTTGATTTTGTTAAAATGACTTTTCCTGTGGTTCCCTGTAGTGTCTCGCCTCGTACAAACATTTTGTATAATGGTGAATCTTGTTGTCTTATACCTGTTGCAATGACTTCTTTCTCTTGCTTGAAGCTGATACCATTTGCGCTATCCTGATTAACGTCTAGTCCTTTCAACTGACCATCAAACAATCTTTCCCACCATGCATCTGCGGAACCGTTAGGTTGATGCCCTATACCTTTCTTATCCTTCTTGTGCTTCACCAATATAGGCTTTTTGATACCACCTTTTTTCAAAGCTTCACCATTTCTCCATCCAAAGGATTCCAAGTAGCCTTTACTATCCATTCTATCAGTTCTTCTATTGCTTTTAACCCTGATCTTAATGCCTGATCTTTGAGCTTTCTACGTTAAAAAAAATTGTCAGATGAAAAATAAAAATAAAAAAAAAACTCATCTGGTTGGCGCACTCGCTTGCAACACTTTTTGGAAATGACAGAACTTCATCAAAACAACTACAATCAAAGCTTTTGGAGATTCTAATCTCAGTGATTGATTAAGCAATGGCTTCTGCTTCCGATGTCGATCAGGTGAAGGTTTTTGAGAAGATCGAGTTATTAGCTGGTGAATGCGGACCACGACAATTCAATAAGGAGAAACACATTGAACTAATACAACTATTACGATCAGTGAAAGATGACATGTCCACGGAATTACAGAGAGCTAGAGAACAATATCAACTGCTATTCGCTTTAACCTCTACTGATCTGATGGAATGGTTTAACGACTTGATGGATCTCGAAGATGATTTTGAGAAATGGGACTCTTTAAAACGATTTTTTGAGTTGAATGTTGATGATAACAAAACAAGCTGGTTTTACTCAATGTATCTTCAATTTATTACACAGGCATATACAACGCCAACAAAGGATGAGAACGGAAACCAACTTTATACATTGGACATGGTGAACCTTATATTTGATGAGGCTCTTCAAAACACCAAGTATGATTTTCAAAACAGCCACCTTGTTTGGAATAAATTTTATAACTTTTATCAGGACCTCAACTTGATGGGATTTAATATCATGAAAAATCACTTTTTAGAAATACTAAGAATTCCTCACAAGAATTTAGATGAGACTTTTTCAAGTTACTCCTCCTTTATAACAAAATATGCTAATGATCATTATCAACAAGAAATGAAACAGGCAACTCAGATTCACTCTCAAACTCAGAAACTCCAGTGGGACATAGAATCTTGGGAACTAAAAAAAACATCATATTCTGAGCCTCATCAATATTGGATCGATTACATGAACTTTCTTGCTTCCAAACCAAAGAAACACAGAAAGATAGAGCAAGTGAATGCTGTATTTGAACGAGCAATTGGTGAATCTCAAGACGCTTTATTCATATCTGTTTGGCTCAGATACACTCATATATTATACGACTTTCAAGTCTCTGATGACATTATACATACAACTACTAAAAGGTTCATAAAGCATTTTCCAAGCTCTTGTTTCCCATATGCTGAGTTCTTCAAAAACGTTTCAAATCTTCCCGAGCTAAAGGAGTCTATCGATCAGTATTATGAAATAATGGTTAGGGTTGACGCACTTCATTTAATGGAATCAATTGAGTATGATGAGTGGAAAGTTTTGGCCTCTTCTGTTCTAATATGTGAATACAACTTTATAAAGAAAGGTGATGATGGTATCACGCAATCACTTTTGGTTGACTTGGATGTTTTTTTTGACCGAGCTGTTGATGGTTGCAAAGATGTTTACCACTCCGTTGAAAGGTTGTGTGTTTTGATTCAAGAGTCATTGGATCAAATAGAGGCTGCCAGGAATTATCTCAGGAGGATCACAGATAAATTTGGTTCAGAAGCTGAAAACTGGTTGATTAGCCATAATTTCGAGAAGAAGCATGGCACCTATGAAACTGCTTCAAAAGTTTTATATGCTGCAGTAACAAGATCTGAAACCCTTGATTGGCCAGAGCGTATTTTTGAAGAAGCTTTGATATATGAACAAGTTTACGGTACAATTAAATCTTACAGACAACTTCAGGCTAGAATTGACAAAAAATCATCGGACATAAGCGCCCTAAGACAACAGGCTCTTGAGGATCAGAGTTCTGAAGTAGTTGAAGATGTGATTAAAGTCGAAGAACCTGAAAAGCGCAAAGCAGAAGAAGACTTGGAGGAAAATGTGACAGATGACCATAAAAAAAGAAAGACAGAAATTCATAGAGATCGTGAACATTTAACAGTTTCAATCAAAGGTCTTCCCTTGGACACAACTGAACAACAAATTATCAAGTTTTTCAAAGATTGTGGTGAAGTCAAAAGTCATCACCTTGTGGAAACAGATAATCAATTACATGCGAAAGTTGAATTTGCTGATGAGCAATCCGTTCTGAGGGCTTTAACAAAAGATCATAAAAGATTTCATGGCTCTCAAATTAGGGTCCAGAAAGCTTTCCAAACTACAGTCTGGGTTACAAACTATCCACCATCATATACTTCTGAATCAATCAAATCATTGTTCTCCACTATTGGACAAGTTGCAAGTGTTCGACTTCCATCTTTGAAGTTTAACACACAGCGTCGTTTTTGTTATGTTGAATTTCTTGAGTCAAAAGATGCCATTAAATCTGTTGAAGAATTAAACAAGAAAGATCTAGAAGGTTATGAGATAGTTGTTAAGATATCAGACCCTGAATCCAAGACCTCACGAACTGGAGCAGTTGAAGAGAAAAGAGAAGTTTATGTTCGAAAATTAGATTTTTTTAAGGTTACATCAGAAAAAGTTAAGCAGCTTTTTCTAAAGTATGGTACTGTTGAAAGAGTAAATCTTCCATTGAGTAAAATAAATGAACAACAAGGTAAGAAACATGATGGGTATGGATTTGTTACGTTTAGTACGTCGGAAGAAGCACAGGCTGCACTTGAGTTGAATTTGGTAACTTTGGAAGGACGTGTAATTGAAGTTTCTATTTCCCAAAAAAAGTCTGAGAGGGTCCAAAGAAAGGAGAATAATGCTTTCAAAGACTACCAATCGGCTGATAATGTGATTGCTTTATTGAATGTCCCAGACACTATCAATTCCTCCCGAATCAAGGATATTTGTTCTGAAGCTGGGCATGTGGAAAATGTCCTTCTTGAACCTGAGCATAATGGTGCCATTGTTGAGTTTAAAGACGCAAGTGATGCTGGTAAAGCTTCGTTGAGATTAGATGGTAAAACGATTGGTGACTATACTTTTCAAGTAGGTTCTGTTAAGGATTTGAGGAATGGCAACATCAAGGAAAGCTCTGCAAAATCTACTTTACCAATGGTTCCTTCATCTCTTAGAAGAAAACAAGCATTTTCAAAATCCAACATTGTCAAGGCAAAAACAAGCCCCGACTCTAGTGGAAATGGAGAAGAGAAAAAAATTACAGGCCGCTCTAATGATGACTTTAGAGCGTTGTTGTTTGGGAAGAAATGATATTTACTTCTTTAATATACAAATTATTCCATATGTTTTTTTTAATCAGTAAGTGACTGCTTCAATTCTCCAATTTGAGAAGCCAATTGTTCAACCAATGGGGTTCTTATTTTATCTTCTCCTTCAAACATCCTTTGTTCCTCAAATGTAGTTGGTATTATTCTAGATGTCAAGAATTTTGGATGGGCTAATAAATGAGTAAAAGCATCTGATAAAGCTTTTCTGCCCTTCTTTGAATCCAATTCTGGTATAATCTCTGCTGTTTGTTGCTGCATATTTTGTATATTCAATCCAAATTCATAATATAGAACCTTTAGTGCCCTTTGTAGTATAATGATTTGTTCTGTTTCTTGTAGTGCTGGAATAGTGATGGCTAGTGAGTCTTGTGACCAGCTTTGTATTGTTGATGAAATCTGTTTTATAAAATAATTGACAAAAACACAAATTTCCGGAAGTAATCTAGCTCCAAACTTGCTCAATAGAGTTAGTATAATGGCCAATAAACCATTACTCCAGATATTATGATATCTTGGTGACGACTGAACAGATATATTACCTTCTTGAATTATTAATGAAATTGGCGATTGGATTAAAGTTGAAAACAACCCACTAGATATTAATTGTTCAGCAATAGAGTCAACAGACACCAACTCAAGCATAAATGATAATGTCAAGTCAGCAAACAAAGGTTCATTATTGACTTTCAATAAATGAGAGCTTGAATAAACGTTCAAAATAGCCTTCAATGTACCAAAATCAACCAACAATGTGGACATTTTTGTTGTGAAACTAGTTGGTGGATTTGTCGCAACCAGTCCTTTGAATAATGAAATGATTAAATACAAGTCTTCCACTCTTCCACCAATATCGGGAGAGCTTATGTCAGATTGAATGGAGCCCAAAATCACCGATGTACCTTTTGCAATGACAAATTCAAAAAACTCCAAAAGATCTGTGGACAAAATTTCAATAACTTTTGTGTTTTTTTTGGAGGCAGAGAGCAAATTCGAAACAATTCTCAATAATGGTCTGTAAATATCAGCTTTACTTGACAATACACTGCCCAAAAAATCAACATCTGCTGAAGTGGCGAGCTGTAAAGCCAATCTCATAATTTCAACAATTTCATTCTCTTTCAACTCCCTATCTTTAGTTATTGAATATAAGAAAAAGAATGACAACTCCACACGAACGCGGTAAATTTCTTCAAAAAGGTTAACTTTGACCCCTTCATCAATATTAGCTTGTAAAAGTTTCTTGATAATCTCAACAAAAGTTGATGAAATTTTGAATTTTTTAACGTAAGCAGTCAACAAAGCACCCCAGGATTTAGCAGCACTTATTTGAGATGAAACATATTGAATGTTCAAACTTGCTGAAATAACTTCACTTCTATAACCTTTTGTAAGATTATTTCCAGTCCAATATGGGTTATTTCCAAGTATATCATCTAGCAATCTTAAATCATAAACAGCATTCTCACCATATCTCGTTGAATTGGCTAATGGTGAACGTATGAACTGTTGTAACTTGTAAGATGGCCATTTGCTTTCAAAATTGTTATTCAGGTTCTCGTGTAATGAAGCACGATATCCGAATGGTTGATACAATGGTTTAATCAACTCAACAACTTTCCCGTCACTTAATAGATCAACAATAGGTTTTGAGGCTTTTTCATCTTTTGATGTAAAGATGAAAAGAGCACAAATTTCAGCAATTCTCGAATTTAATTTGTATCTATAAGCTTCTTGAATAATATCATCATCATTCTTCAGATCACTTGAGCCAGTTTTAAAGTCACTTAGTTTCTTCACCAACGTCTGTATAAATTCCACATCATTTTCTTCCTTCTTTGATGACCAAGAGTTAAAAGCATGAGCTATAGCTTCAACAAGATGAATACTTAGTGATTCTGGATAATAATCTAAGCGTCCAACATTATTTTTCAAGATATCCAATATAGAGCTTTGTTTCTTGGTGGTATCACGAATATCACGACCATTTAAAAAAATCATTGATAAACCTTTTTGATTACCTTCAACGACAGCAGAAAAGAAGTCGTATAAATATTTTTTGACTTTAAAATCATCAAACTTGTGCTGTAAATCAGCTGAAACAGAGGCTAACAACACACCTGTATGGTGATCCCCCAAATGAGAAAGTAGTGAAGGTGAATCAGTTGGCCACTTAGCACTGACTAGCTGGGTCAACAATTGTAAAATATCACCACGTAAAACGGTATGTTTGGTGTACGCATTGATGAGAAGTGGGGCTTTGGTGAATAATGAGATTTCTAAAGTAGATGGTGGGCTTCCAATGACTGATCTTATTGAGACAACTAGTTTTGAAAACTCCAAAGAGGCTCTAGACCATTGATCAAACCAAAATCCAACTCTTCCAGAAGTATCAAATACGGCAGGTGTCTGATCTAGTAATTCAACGGCTGCAATAATTGGTTTTATTGTTCTAACATCTGGGAATGAATTTGTAAAAGATTTGATAACCTTACTGGCTGAAGCTGCTAGTGACTTGGTAACCTTTTTGTTGATTTCTGACTCTGGATCAATACCATAAACTGAATATAATATTTTTGAGAATGTGTCAATAATCAAGGTTCCAATTTGAAACTTTTGATAGCTATTCTTATAATTCCAATATATGAAGCTTTCAAAAACTTGAACAGCGTGACTAGTAAACTTTGGAATAACTTCATTCTTTTGAGTAGTCCAATCTTCTGGGGCTGAGATACAATTCAATACCAACTCGTTCAATAATTTCAACAAAGATATGGTGAATTTATAGTCACCGCTTACAGTTTCCACACTTCCCAAGATAGTTGCAATCAAACCACCTCTACCACCATGTTCTAATAGATCTGAACGGACCAAATGAGACCAAACAATTTGTGGAAAATTTCCAACCAAAGAAATCAAAAAATCAGCTACTGGTGTAAGCACTCTGATGTTTCTCTGATGAAGTGATTGCTCGAAAAGCTTCAAAATGATCTCTAGGATGTCTCCATTATCAACAAAAGAGGACAAACTTTCCAAAATATCAACACTTGTTTCATAGTCCACGGAACCCAATGTATTTGATAGCAATTCGAGAATTGTAACGAGAACCTCTTCATCCTCTTCAAACCCTGAAACATTTTGCATGATCCTCCCTATCAAGGCCCAACCATTATAATTGTATTGGAAAATAGCAGCTTCAGTCTTTGGATCTGCAGTTGGAACCAATTTACCTCTGGTTGATTCTGGTAAATACAACAACACATCTTTATTTTGTTCATATGGGGGATTCACATAAAGACCATTTTTCAAAATAATGGTGTCTGATTCAGTATCATTATCATAATCCAAGTTTTGTGATGATATTGTATGCATATAAGAAGATAATTTTGATAATTCATCATGGGCAAAGGCACCGTTTATGCTCAAAATTCTCAAATATGGAATAATTACTTCTGGGAATTTGGCTTTTGCTAAGAACAGTAACCTTTGTGTGTCCTCATTGGTGAAAAATTTCTCAACAAATGTATTTGGTGTATCTTTGAAAATTTGCAAGTATGTATACGATATCTTGTCACTAAGTTGTATGAATGGAACAGCAGCAATCAAAAAAGATGAGATTATGGCTGAGTATAGATTGTCATAATGTAAGGCTTGATGAAAATGCTCGATTCTTTTGAAGACATCAAGTTCTGCAGCCTTGACGGCAAAATAACCATGAACTTGAGCAAAGGTTTCACCAAACAAAACACTTGTTTTGGCATCATCAAGGGTATACAATATTATAGTCCAAGCATAGAGAGTCAATGGATCTTCTGATGACTTTGATAATACGCTGTTTATGGACTTGATTGAATTTGTATCTGATAAGTAAGGAGAAATTGGATCAAAAGAATCATCGTTAGTGTTGAAACCTAGAAATAACAAAGTTGTGATGGATCTTAAAGCTTCTATCTCTTCATAAAATTCTTCTGGGATAAGGTCTTTCAAATCTGTGAAAAACTTGTTAGATTTCAAAAAATTGAACCATTTGACAACATTATTGGCTGTGGTGGAAACAACAATCAACAACGATATAAGCAACTTTAGCATCTCAACTATTGTCAATGAAATTTCAGATGAAATGATATCAGCGAAATCTGACTCATTATTGTTGATTAAATCAACAAAGGTTTGCAAGGAAGTGATTGCATTGGAAATGAATTCACCGTCTTGAAAGATTTTCTCTGAAAACTTCTTTTCTATGAAAGGAATGGATTCACCACTAACTAATGTTCTGATTAGCCTTATTACTGTACGTCTTTCTCTCATTATGCTGCTGATATATAGTTTGTAAAGTTTATGTTTGGATTGTCTTTCAAATTCATCATTGGAGTAGGTTTTGGTTTTCTGTGATTCGTTGGATTCTGGTACGCGTTTCAACGTATCAACAATGATTCTAAAGGCATCCTTTTGACTTATGTTTAGCAATTTAGAGATCTCTTCTGCATACTTCAAATGAGCTTCAGTTACACCTTCTCCGTATGTCTTGAGTTTTTCTTTTGATGGTAAGGCATCATTTGAGGTTTTTTGAAACACCAATGGAGTTGACAACAATTCTTGATTCTTTAAAAGGAATTCATTTAATGACTTGAGTCTTTTGTCATCGTGTGGAATCTGTAGTAGGCTCAATGCCAGTTCAAATGACCTATTATGAGGGTTAGTATAATGTTGTTTTGAAGCAAAGAAAAGGATCAAACACTCACCAATTATCACTGGCGCCTGAAGTTGCAACTTCACCTCCGAGGCTAGCTCCAAAGTTTTCCACTGTCATCAGTTATTGTAATTTCGATCACAATTGGGACTGGAATTATCCCCTTTTGGCTTTACAATTAAGATCAAGTAGTAAAGTCTTCGTTCGATGTGTTTACATTTCTCGATCTTGTTCAGCTTTTTTTTTCTTTCAGATTTGGAAATCCGAGGTCTAACCCTCGGAAATATAAACTTGAAGAAACTTTCATTACCATGTAAAAAAAATAACTTACCTACAAGTACAGACGGAACTGTTTGATTTTTGATCATTATTCATTAAATTATATGATTGTTTTTTCCGGAATATATGTACAAGCATAAAGATTCAATTTCAAACATAATAAACTCTATCAACAGATGCTGGAATCTCAGTATCTGCTTTTGGACCAAGAGTCAAAAACTCTTCTTCATTTACTTGTATGAATCCTGGTGACCCGTTCAAAGTTGTATTTTCAATGTGAGGTAACTTTGGATAATCTAAACCACCTTCAACTAATTTTTTCCAAGCACCATTTGAATGTGCAATAACATCAATGGCCTTCTCAGCATTTAAAAATCTACCCTCAAAGCCAAATTCATTTTCTGGTTTCCCATCTGGTATTTTATAGTCTTTGAACCATCTTCTTGTGCTTTCCAATAACCCTGGAAATCTAGCATCAACATCTGTAATGTCATTCAATTCATTAGCTAATGGATCACGAGTGTCAATGACAATGATTTTCCAATCCAGCTCACCACCATCAATCAAAGCTAATCCACCCAAGACTTTAGCTTCGAACACGTCCCCTAATTTTGCAACTCGTTGGCCGATTTCACAAACATCTATTGGGTCATCATCACCTTTGAAACCAGTTTCCTTATCGGTAACAGTTGGATCATCCCAAGTCTGAGGAATTGCACCATAATTATGCATATAACCTTTAAAGGGGAATAAGTTGTTAACAAAACGAACTTCACCATACTTGATATCTTGAGTTATTGGATTTAATTTGTTTTTCTTACTGATTTCAAATTTTGCATTTGTCCATCTTGGAATTTCAATCACAACATTAACAGTTTTGGCCTCTTTGTTTAGACTTAATGGGATATCATGGAAGTAAGAACCTAATTCACCATTTGGTAATTTCAAATAACCTTTAAAATCTGAAGAATATTTGGAACCTTCGGTGACGGTGTTGTAAGCGACTGTTGTTGATAAATGACGTTGGGTTTGACCCAATCTTGCTATAGCAGACATTCTTTTCACAGACAACTGTTTGAGAAAGCTCATTTTGGAAAATGAAAAAGGTCTGGAAGAGAATCCAATTGGTTTATATATTTCTCTGTACCCACTTTCTCTAGATTTTTCACCTTGTAAATTTTGAGCCTTTTGATGAAAAAAGATGGGTGGTAAGGGACACAGACACATAGATACTTTACGACCGAGGATAATTAATGAAAAATATTATTATTCTATAAAATTACATCAAACAAACTAAACCAAAATGACAGTGCTGGTACATATGCTGTACATGCAACGGATGGATGAATGAAACAAAGAAGGAATTCAACAACAAAAAACAATACCGATCAAATGAACGAATCAACAAGAACAATAAAAAAATAAAGGGAACAAAAACAATTGCATTTAATCAAGAAGTATATTTCTTGACATCTTTCTCATCATCGTTCAAGATACCTTCACTTTCTTCATATGAAGGAGGAGCACCAGTCCAAACAACTTTACCCTTTTCGTTGAAAAGAGCATTTTCATCACTAATTTCAATAATACCTTTGAAATTGTCAATCTCTTTAGTTGATAATCCCATTGGATCTCTTGGGATCCATAAATATGGCATTTTTTTAGAAACATCTGGATAATCATATGCATGTTCAATATATTCTGGGTCTTGGTTTTCAGTTGGATCAGCATAATTATAAATATCTGGAACTCTTGTCTTGACAACTTTATAAGATAAGTAGATGTGAGGTTGGAAAAATCTTTTCCATAAAGGTGCTGGTGGGATCAGTGTTGTATCACCATCGGCTAATAATGGAATATTTGAACCATAACGGTTTTTCTCCAATGAGAATCTACTCAAATCACCCATTTCATATTGAACACCTCTAAAACTTGATCTATCCATCATTGAAGATTGTTCTGGATATGAATCCTTGGAAAATCTTTTAACAGAAACTTGATTGATAGCTCCAGAGTTGAACGATGGTGTATCAGATTTACCATCTAATGGTTTCATAGTATCAACAGGAACAACAGTCATCAAATGATCAAAAGCAGAATTCAAATTAGTATGGACAAAAACAGTGACACCTAATGCAATGGCCATTAAAACCAAAGGACCCCAAGCTTTTGCAACAACAAATAAACCCAACAAACAAATTTCACCTAAATAAACACCAACTAAGGTTTGGAACAAAGCTCTTGGGTAAAACATACCTCTAGCATCTGGTGCTTCAGCGAATGCATAAGTTAAATTGTATAAATTAGCAACATAAACCAAAAAGAACCCAACAGTGGCAAATAAAAGAATCAAAGGAGAGATAACTGCATAAGTGAATGTAATAACTGCCAAATTAGTGAAAATTGGGAAAACTGTACCCCAAGCCATAGTTCCCAAGTTTGTAAATCTTGTCCATTTCTTTCTTGGGGTTTTATCAAAAGCTGCACCCAAAACATAAAATAAAACTAATGTAACAACTTGTAATAAGGCACCTGATGAAACTGAAAGACCTTGTAAAATAATATAAGAAATATAGAAGTTTGAAGCTTTTGGTAAATTTTCAGATAATAAATACATAGCTTTTGTAGGATCTTCTGCAACTTGTGTAGCTGTTGATGCAGCTGATGAGGAGATAGTGGTGACTAAAAACACTTGAATAACTTGGAATGCGAAAAAAGCTTGCTGAGTGAAATATTCAACATGTTGAACTGATGGAGCACCTGCAACTTTAGCCATGAATCTAATAAACATTGGCAATAACATCATCAATAAAGCCAATGCAACTGTAGGAGCTAAAGATGTCAAAATACCAAATAAGTCTTTTGGTAAACGATGCAAAAATCCTAACCATGGAAGTTTTTCAATAATGTAATTGATGTTTGAAATCATACCAACAAATGCAACAGGAACAGACCAAAAGATAATTAAAGCCACAATAGCAGCTAACGCACCAAATCTTCTAACTAATCTTTCCCACCAAAACAATCTCATATTCATCCAAACAATGTTACTTGGTTCAAGACCAATATAACGAGGTGACATGTGAAGGGCAGTATGATGAGTGACTGATTGGAAAGCCATTTGTGCAGAATATTGAGAACCAAATTCAACGAAAACGGAATTGAATGGTTTGAAATCTTTATGAGATGATTGTAAATCCATAACTTCTTGATTTAATTTTGGTAATTCTTCTTTGATGTGATCAATTGTATCAACTTTTTTACCAAAGATTGGTTTTAATCTATGAGTTGGTCTTTTGTTCTTTGGAACATAAGTTTCCATTTCATCAGGATTTGATAATGTTTCACCTTTCTTTTCAGCTTTTAATTTACGACTCATAGCATTTCTTAAAATGGTATTTTCTGCAGCTTCCAACTTATTAGCCAATTTTTCACGTTCTTCAACTTTTGAACGTAATTCTTTTGGAGAACGTGCAATCCAAACTTTTTTAACATCTTCAAATAACTTTGTAAATTCCTCTTCACTTAGATATTGTTCAGGAACTGTTTGAAATAAAACAACTTTTGAAGATAATTTTCTAGCATATCTTGGAGATGCCAATACTGCTTGTCTAATTGAAGTATAGAAAACCAATTCTCTATAAATGACATACAAGACACCAAAATAGAAAATCCAACTCAGAAACGCGTGAGCATAGAATCTTCCAGGATACTTAACATTTGAAAAAGACAATTGATCAAGACCAGTACTACCTTTACCACCTGTAGCATTAATTGGCAATAAAATTGGGAAAAATAAACATAATCCAGCAAGGCAAATACCGAAAACTAAAAACAAATATCTCAAATAAAAATAACCATCTAAACCAGCTTGTCTAATGATGAAATTATCTGATTTTTTCAACAATGGGAAGATCCATTCCCAAATACCACTTGGTAAAGGTTCAGGTTTTTTCTCATCATTGATTAAATTGAATGAAGATTTTGGTTGATAAATTCTCAAAAATCTCAATCTTAAAAGAACAAAAGCCGCCAAAAATACACCAAAGATGGCACCATTTGAAATCAATGAAGTGGTGACACCAGAAGTTGTTGTACCTCTGATTTGGGTAGAGTTGGCCATTGCCGAAGTATAATGATCAGATGAGTTTATGGTGGGCAATTGATTGAAGGAAAGAAGATGATAGTTAAAGTATTTTTTTTTCTTTTGAAAGGCAATCAAGTTGAAACAGCAAGAGCGCTAAGAGAAATCAATGGGACCCCGGTAATCAGTGTTGGAATTCAAGGGGGTTGTTTTGACAAATGAATGTGAGCCTGACTGGAATTAACGCGTAATCTATTGACTTCTTAGTTTGGTGTTTTCAACGGTTTTTTGTATTGATTTCAGTTTTGTTTTGATTTTGATTCTTCGAACAATTTTTTTTTCTTTTGATTTTGATGGGCTTTCACTTTTCTTCGCTCAGGCACAGGGTATAAAAATTGGAAGCCCCCTGGGATTTCAAATTTGTACGGTGCAGACTCAGCCTAGACTCTAGGTTGGCGCTGTGGGCGTCGGCTAGGCTGAGTCCCTTCAACTGTGCGTTCCTGGATGCAGGCCTCTTCTGCCGTTGCTGCAGGGCAAATCTCTGCCTGCCACGGGTTTACCTCTTTGGCCCGAAAAGGTGCTTGAAGGGTTGAAGCTGAGCCTAGAGAGCTCAAGAACGATGAACAAAAGAAGGATGCAACTAATGAGCATTGAGCGTCATTAAACGTGTCTAAGACCATGGTTGTATAGCTGCTGGAAATTAATGGAAAGCTGAGACCAAGGAATAACGACACCCTTGATCAAGATGTTGCAAATGGTAATGATGGGCAGCTGGTGGATATTTTCTTCGCTTAGGTAGAAGCGACAAGTTGTACACAACTTTCGATCGAGAAGTGGTAATTCGAACTTTGTACCTGAAAAGGTACACAAAGACGTTGAAAAACAGTCCGAGAGAAGATATTTCAAAACCATTTCACATATCCACAGTTCAATTCTTTCGTCGAAAGAAGGTGTGTACGTTGTTATATCACGTCTTTGCAAGTAGTTGTATCGAGAATCGAGGTCTTGAACGTTCTTGATACAGCTTTCTCAGAATTCACAGATCAACCTACCGATACATACTTCCATGTCTATGATGAATTCCTAGACAGCAGATATCTTGAGGTTTTCAACTACCAATCTCAAACACATCTTGAAGTCTATTCACGAACAACCAGTTGGTAGAGCTAGAAGCTATAGGTTGAAGAGCCATCTCAGCAACGGTATTGCTTGTCGTCTATGATATCTTTTGTTTTCATTTAGACTGGTTCACTTTGAAGAATTAAATTAGTTGATCTTGGAAATGCATGTACACCTGCACTACAAAACAACTTCCACTGCAAATTTTACAACATGTACAACTAATTCCTACGATTGATTCCGAACTTATCCTCCGAAGCATTCAACAGCACATTCAATACCTAAAGTCTGCGATGTGCAAATATTCACGATCGAATAAACCAAGCTTTCCAATCCCAAGTACCAACAAATCAAGCACTTAGATTTGAATTCCCTAGATCATACATAAAGATTCAAGACGTTCAGAATATCGGAAAAACTCTTAAACGTTGGGCACAGTTGTATACAGAATGCTCAGTCAGACACAGATTTATATCATCTCGGACCTCGAATAACCTACTTGAAGCCATATTTGGTACACTCTCAGTCATAATAAAGTTTTTTTCTCGAATTTGTTTATCTTGGAAACTTTAATTACTTGAAGCTTTGTGTACGTCCTAAATATTTTGTGTAGGCTGTTGATCAAACTGTTGAAAAAAAAAAGGAAAACCGTTGGTTTTCTAGCTTTCCAACTGTTAATTTCTCATAAAGGTTTAGAGTTTATGCTATTGTATGTAATTCCTTTGGAATTAAACAGGTTGACAGTAGACCGTTGAATGTTTCAAATAGCTGGTTGTCACTTTGCCTTTGGAATGGGATTGGTATAGTTCATTTAATTCAGCCATGTAGTTTAAGTTGTTGCCTTTCGGATTGTTCAATATTGCCTAGGTAAAGTACCGTAAAGTTTATTAAAGTTGTTCATCATTAAAGCCGGTCCAATGTAATGACGTTAAAGTAATATATTTGACCCAAAAGCTAGCGGTTACTCACGGGTCTTTACGTCTTCTTAATTAAGTGATCAGATCTTTGGACTTCTCAAGCGTAATTCGAGTGGTATATAATTTATTCTACGTGACTGTTTTACAACAGTGCCTGGTAATATTGAAGATATATGAGTAATTTGGGTACTGGCAATCAGTGAACTTTCAAATTCATACAGATTTTAACGCTGAGTCTTGACTAGTCTTGAGTACCACTAGATCTTTGGTTGTTATTTGTTTTTTTCAAATACCGTAACTTCTGGTTCCTGAATTCTGATTCCTAGAACGCTAGAGCAGATCCATATAATTTCATATCCAAACACCAGATTCAAGACCTGAATCTTTTAAGAAACTTTGCAGCATTTCATCAGATTGGAAAATTTACAGAACGTTGACTTCACTCCAAATTCAACCGTTAAACATCTTGAATCTTAAATCTTGAAGAAATCTCATGAGTTGCAAAGATTTCAAATTCTCAACCAAAAACAGTTTGATTCTTTATAAGTTTGAACGTTTGATCTGTAATTCTCTTCACCAATGTACCATTTTGCATACTGCATACACCAAAAAGAAAAAAAATCCTGCAAGATCAACCAACAACAAATTCCTGTTAAAGACGCTAAACTAGCGAAATCGACATGAACGCGTTCAGTTCGACCTTGGAACTTGATGAACCGTGGTACCTTTTTCACTAGTGTATCTTCTATGTAGTTAATTGCAAGGTCCATGCGCTCTTGAAGATCAACAACAACCAAAGATGAGAAGATGTATCACCAGCCAATGAAGATGGCTAAGCATTTCGATTACCTTGTCAGAATTGAGTGAAGCCCACGGTCTCAGGCGCGATTAATAGACGACCATTTGATTTGAACTGTTGTTGAGTTGGTCAAATTCTTTAATCTTTGCACTTGAGGTACACACCTTTGGCTCTTCAGTTGCTAGTACAAATCAACGTAATAAGCTTTTCCCCCATCAGAATATCACGATCCTCCACAAATCAAAACATCACCAGCACTGCGAGTGAACACTCAAGAGCTTCTCCTTCGTTGGTGATTTCATGGATGGTGCTTTCCTTGATATGTACGATACTATTTTAGATCGCCAGCACACTAAAAAAATTGATACGTAGTTTCGCGGAAGCATAGCTTGTAACAAGATGTGCCAGAAGAAGGCAGTTACAGCTCACTGATACTACAATCATCAGCTCATAATTGAAAAGCCATGTCAATTGAAGTCTATGTAACTATCGCCTGTTTCCCAACGGTCAACTAAAAATTATTACAGGACGTTCACGTCAAATACACCAAAGGACTAAACCGTCTATATGCTTTTAACACTGAGTGCAGCCCTAGTATCAAAAAATTAGAGCTTCTACACCATGTACAGCACTACGGCGACTACTCCTTTGGGGCTTTGAGTCTTGACTCTTGAGCGTTCAAAAATCAACAGGTATGTACCGTACCAAAAGGGTACCCATCACTTTATAGCAGCCAGACATAACTTGACTGGGGAATTGAGGTAGCAACTGAATGTGATGAAGGTTCCATCACCATAGATTAAGATTACACATACGTGGATTAATTAATGCCGTGCTCTATATAAACAGAATATTTCCACCATCCACCAGGTTTGGGTATCATGATTGCCAACGTCCCGTATAGTCTATCCATGTCAATTAATACTCGCTGTTAATCGGCATAGCAACTATGGACAACAGAACCAGTATGTTTCTTTTCCAAGTGAATCTAACAAATTGATCAAACGAGATCAACAAAAAGTGTATACTTTAATAGTATTTGTACTACTATTATTTCCTCTTTTGTTTGCTTCAATTGTCTCGGTTTACTATTTAAAAAGCCATCAAAACCCATTTTTGATTAACGGTACCAAAACAAGAACAATACCCGCTTCGAATGTAGAAATTAAACTCTACAATTGAGCCTCTACAAACAGTATATAATATAGTTAATGTACATGTCTTGCAATCAAACTTAGTGCTATAGTAATGGTATTAAATAGCTGTGTAATCTTTTGTACTAGCTTTGTCTCTATATAGTTGCTCTACAGTTAAGGTATTAGTACTTCAAAATTATTTTATTGTATACACAAATCAATTGTATGTATGAATGAATAAGGAAATCAAATATCTAAACAACAGCAGAAAGGAAAAAACACACAGCTCACAAACAAAACTTCAATCAATCATATCATAAGTATATTAAAGGAAAGACAAAAAACACCAACTTTATAAAAAAAAACACACAACATCAAACATTAATATAACGTCAAGTTAAAAAACCATCATATAATCAAATTAGTTAAAACTCCAAAATTGTTGATCAAAACCCAATTAGTAAAACAAAAACCACACCAGTGAATCAAATTGAAAAGAAATTAGAAAAAGTATACCCAAGTTTAAAAAAATTCCAGCTATCTTTACCCGTGACTTAAAAATCATCTTGACCATCAGGAATCTCAGCATAATAACTTTGTAAAGCTCTTCTTAAAGCTGGGATTAATTTCTCCCACTTCAAGATACGAACTTCTTTATCAAATCCTCTTGGTTTTCTAACATCATAAGCCATAATTCTTGTAGCCAATTCAATTCTAAAATCTGAATAATCTGGTGATATGTTTGAAATTTGATTAAATGAATTATTTGATTCACTTTTTGGTGATGATGAATTTGATCTCATTTCATTATTAGACATTCTTGAACTAATTGGTCTTTTGGACCAAAATGGAACTAAATTGGATCTAATACGTCCTCTTTCACGACGACGTTCTGCTGGATCTTGAACTTCTGTACCAATCAACAATTCAACAATCTTGATCACTTCAACACTGGTAATATAAAAACTTCTTTTAGTTTCTTCAACACCATTAGTATTTGTTGAACCATAACTATAATTATTCATTGGTGTACTATTACCAGATTCTTCTTCATTATCTGTATCTTCACTTTGCTTTGTAAAACATTCAAGACATGAAACTTCAACAACATCAACACCAGGTTGACTTTCCAATGGAGTTGGATTCTCCTTTGCTGAACCAACAATAGAAAATTTGGCAATGATTTTGGAACCAACTTGATAACGTTCAATCCTTATTATTCTTCTTTTATCAGCTTTTTCCTCTTCATTCCAAGTTGGTAAACAGCACTCTTGTAAATTAGCATCCAAGAGTTCTAAATTAACTGGAACATAATGATGATTAGCTGTAGTCATGATTCTTGGAGGTTTTGTTGCTGATCCACCCGAACTTATACCTCTAATGACTCTATATCTTTGATATAATGGTTTGACATTTGAATCATAAAGTGTAGTTGTTGTAGTGATTGTAGTGGCACTTGTTGGAGGATTTGAACCAAATGTAATTGATTGTGGTGATAAAGAAAATGGTGAATCATTCGAAGTTGAAGTCATAATGTTTGGTTCACTAAGATATCTTGATCTTTGGAAATGTTCTTGTTTAACTCCTTGTACTTGGTTTTGTTTTTGTAAATGAAATTGATGTTGTTGTTGTTGATGTTGGGTATCTATACTTGATGGAATGAAAGCATCAACTGGTGGAAACACTGAATCTTCAGATATAAACCCGCTATTGGAGAATTGTGCTGTTGATGAACTAACAGATTGATCAAAAGGTGTTAAACTTGAAGATGAATCATCAGTAGAACTTAATGGATGTGATAATTGAGGTTGTATTATTTGCTGAGTTTGGTTTAAATCCAAAAGATTGGCATTTGAAAGGAAGACTGGTTGTTGAAGTGGTGGTTGTTGTTGATGTTGTTCAATTGATGGAGAGACATTACTTAATGGATCCATGGTACTTGAAGCTAAATCATATGAATGATTAATCATTGGTTCCAAATTCATTGGTGGTTGTCCAAGGTTGAAGTATTCAATTTGATTGGTTGGGAATCCAAACCCATTCAAGTCACCAATTGTACCTGAAGCAGTTGGAGGATTTGAAAATTTGAACATTGATTGATCATAAGGATAATCTTCAACTGAGGCCATTTTCCGAGAGTCTTGCATAAATATATTGAAACTTTAATTGTTGTTATACTATCCTTGAATATAATATTGTTGTTGTAATGATACTAGTATCCTCAATCTTTTGTAATTTATAATTGAGTTCTCGTACCTTCAAAGACAAAATTGTCAACAAAATGATGAAAGATGATATTTGTAACAATTTGAAATGTGTTGAATAGAAATAGTATGAGTTCAAGTAGTTGTTGTTGTTGAACTTTGCTTGAATCACTTGCTTATAACTAAAATCCTTGATACTTGAAAGTACTTGAGATTTTTTCTTCTTTGACAAAATAACTTGTTGTGTATATGAATGCTATGAGTAATGTAAGCACCGTGTTGTTGAAGATGATTGTGTTTATGTTTCTTTGTTTGTAATGTGATGATGATCAAGGAACCAAATGCTCTGTTGTCGATTGATGGATATGATTGATTATTTATATAATTGATGGATTATTTTTTAGTAGAGTATCAAATCCAGTCAAACTACGTAACATTGATTCTTTTTTTTTTAATTTTTGATTTTTGGGCTCTGGTTCATACATTTCGTTGCAATTACATTTAGCTGGTAGATTCTGTACTTTAGGAGAACTGCAAGTGAAAATCCATGAGGCTTGGGAAAGTCAATTTTTGGGTCTATCTTGTATGCACAGTCAAAACCTTAGCTAGAGGGCTGTATGCATGTACAAACTCTAATCGATTAGCCTAACAGCCTACACACTCTGTTACCATAGGTACGTGAATACCGCCAATCGTCACCTAGTGGACCTGGAGGCTAGGGCTCAGGTCCCAGCCCCCCTCGAGGCTCAGACTATCAGCCCCCTAGGGTGGCAGAGACCTCTGATCTACACACAGGCTGGGGCTTGGTCACATGTTGCTGAGCCTACGAGGTCGCTAGCCTCAGATGCATAAGGATTCAAGGCTGTTGTAGTTCGCCGCCTCAAAAGCTTCACTTGCATATTTCGAAAACTTGATGGAAACAATTTAACCGGGATGGTAATTTAAAGGTACACACAACTTTTTTCAACTCTGAAGTCATAAGGCATCAACCAGTAACTGATAACGAAAAACCTTATCATGTTCAATTTTTTTGTTATGTCAACCCAATCAAACTGATATTGTAGTAACAGTGTAGCCCACTGTGTAGTTGATACAATGTTTGACCTTCACTTCTAAAGCCATATGGGTTCGAAATACTTGTCTTTTACGAACTTCCATTTTGAGTGCACACAACATTGGTGCGTCTTTCCTGATCGCCAAACAACATTTTGAAACCACATGCACACACCAGGAAAGAAGATCATCAACACATCCTCCAAACTTCACATATGCGCTTTAGCTAAACCAATTTGGAATCCCGAATCCACAAATTGAGGTATCAACTTCCTTTTCATCCAGCAATGTGCACATAAGCACACCTTATGTTTCGAAAGCCAGTGAAGGTCACTCAAATGACAAACACAGCACTGCTTTGGTAGAGATAATCGAAGTATCAACATTTGGTACGTTAGATTGTACCTGGGGCTTAATCATTCCGGAATTGTGTATTGCGATATTGATCATTGAGCTGAGTTTTTCGTCGACAACGACGTGCTGGTTCATAGAACATTAATGACATTGATTTAATCGAAGATATGAGCTATTGTCCATATGAATACTATTAGATAGCTAGTCAATATAAGCTTCCTGATCCTTTAATCAGGCAAGCTGCTATAGGACAGCGTCCAAGTTAACACAGACAGTTACTATAGTCAGGTTGCGCCGCTTGGAATTAGGCATTGATACTCAATGATCAGAAAGATGTTCTTTAATTCTTGAACATCGGTATATATTGTAAGCTTTTGGGTTGTATAGGTAGAGAATTGTAACAATAGATGATCTTTGAATGTAACAGTATTGGTGAGCTTAAGCATTGTGGAAATGGATAAGTAAAAACAATATGTCTGATTTTAACTCAATTGATTATTATAAACTCAGCACTAGTTCTTTGCTACTACTACAGTCGACTTTTCAACTTCACACAATTCATAGCCTTCTTGTATGCTCAAAAAACTTCAACTGTAGTTTAAATCATGACTCTTACCATCTGGTTTGCCAGACGCGAATAATCTAACAAAGACCGTGGTATTGTCGATGTCTGGTCAATCATGATCATCCTACAAAGCCAAATATCAAGTTATAAGCAACTCTGAAACCTTTTTCCTTTACTAATCTATTATTTACTTCTTTAATTACAGTAGTAAGCTGCTATTCGCCTACTACCAACATGAGATTAACAAGTACAAGATTGGATTTTTAAGGACGGATGTTAACGTCCGGTTAAATGAAAGAGAAAACCAGTATTGCTGAAGAACATGGATATTTGCTAAAGCAATGCTATTGAAAGGCATTTCGACCAATTACCCCAACGTTGAAGAGCTCTTAGGCATTAAGGGCAGTATCTATCCTCATATTCTTAATTCTATTATCTAGAGCTTCTTGTTTATTGGAAGTAAAACTACATCATCATACTGCTTCCGCCTCGGGTTTCTATTGGAGTACTAATCATTAACGTCAAGTTAAGCTTATTCTTGTACTTAGTCAAGTGCCCCTAGAAACTAAGCCCAGATTATCTAGTACAAGCAATGTAAGGGAACAAAGATAGTTGGGAACAAGTTGCTTGAAAATCAGAAAGACTATATTCTCTGCAAGGTTACTCAGTTCGAAAGCTTCCTGGGCTATATTGAATATCTACCTAACCGTCACTAAGTTGATTGATGATTTGACGCTTAGAGTCTTTTTGGAAACCTATTATTTTAAGAAACCAATTACTAGAAATCTAGTGGTTGTTTTAATTATTAATGAGAAATGTGAATTTGGAAATTGAACTTAATGGAAGTAATTGTATAGTTAGAAAAGATTAGAAATATAAGAACGTTGTCTGTTAGAAAAAAAAAAAAAAAAAAAAAAAAAGTACTTAGCCTTTTGATTAGCCCGATCAAGGATCTGTGTGTTTTGATACTGTTTTGCAACTTGAGGAATGTGAAAAGCCCTGTCATCTTTCATTTAATAGCTTATACGTCTAGGAGCTTGTAACAACATACTAGCTACATTGATCGGAATATACATACAGCAGTATTAATTAGAGAGCCATACATTTGTTGAGTCCATGGAAAATCCCAATTGAATTATGAAAAAACTTTTATTATATGAGTTGGATGTGTTAATACGGTTATAGCTCGCCTATATAGCTGTTGATTATGTTCTTGAAGCTCTAGTGATGAAAGCAAGCTTCTTTGGTGTATTATGGGCATTAACTACTAAAAGGCACATGACCACCACAAATCTATCATATCTGGCGAATTGATCTATTGAACATATCTTTATGTTGTTACTGCAATTCACACAGCTCGAGCATAAACGTCTTGATCAGTGTTATATATCAACTTTTTATCAGACATGGCCAATTTGACGATATAAACATCAATACGATTCATGAGTACACCTTCAGCCAGTTTAGCTGCAGTTACTATCAATTTGAAGAGCTCGCTAGCTTGCTTTGATCTAAATTAAAGGCTAGTAGTAAGTCGTAACATATAGATCAACTTCACCATACGCTGAACTTCCGCGTAGTAATATTTAACAGATCGATTAATGTCTATATGTGCAGTATAATATTCATGAAAATGTACTGCGGTTATGGCTAAATAAATTTTGTTTTGTATGACAGATGTATTTTTATTTGATGTAAAGCTACTAAAGTCACTTCAGGTTTACATTCAGAGATTCGAACAACTTAATTATACTTACGTTGCGTATCGCAATCTTTCTTCGCGCTAAAGCTTTGATGCCTTATGGTTGAAGAAGCAAAGAAAGCCCTGAAGCTAAGCATTCCCGTTAGACTAAAAAGTCGCAACATTAGCTGATATTTTCATGATCTTGATTGTATTTTACAACACGATATTTGGTTGTCTTCACTAGCCTATGTGGTATGGATTAACCTAGCACACGGTCCACCAGCTTTCACCGGAGAAATTCGAGCGTAGATCTTCCAGCTTGAAGAAGTGTTGATCTACAGTTAGGAGCCACATAACATTTAAATTTTTGAGGTACACACCAAAAATAATTCCAATTTAATAAAGATAAATGACTCTGTAGTTCTAGTGAGTTTGCAAGTTCTGATATTGCCGTACTTCTTTATTGCTTGTGATCGTGATGGTTCCCAGATTGGTGCCTTTTAGGATTTAAATTAGCTGATCGAAAAATTCAAAGAGTTTAAGCTTTACAATACCTAGAGGTTAAAGCGTAAAATGATTGTTCCTGTTGAACTTCTTCTACAGTGCTAGTCTGCGGCATATCATATAGGGTGCGCAGCACTGATGAACAGTGTAGGCTGAAGTCCCAAGCCTCCGAAGTCCACACCGCCCAGAGTGGCTGATAGTCCTTGGTCTCGGGAGACCAGCCTGCACATGTGTCGATGAACCTTATTCCTCATAGAGTCTGAGACAATCCCTGGTTTAGTTAAAAATTGATTCTTCACTTGCATAATTGTTCAAGATTTTGAGTGCATTCATCTGAATGAACAAATCATGCCCCAAACTTCAACCACATCAGCATTCAGTGTAGCTTTTACTCTTAAAATTTTAAGGTCACTATGATGCAATCAAAGCATTCAATAAATAATATTCGAAAACTCAAATTACTCAACTCTATTCAGCCAATGGCAACTATCTATTTTTAAACAGCAGTTTGCAACAAGATTGATGTAGGGATACAAGACACAAGAGTGTTTGACAAGGTATCTAGAATCTTTCAGAGCAACGGGTCATCTAGCCCACATGAAGGAGCTGTCAACCCATAAGCCAAACGAGTTTTGCGTTATAGACATGATCAGTTAGTTAGTTAGTCTAGCATTGATTGTACTATCATGCGTACTAGTAGTTAACGTCTAGTAATATGTACTTGAAGGCCGGGATCAGAAGCTGGGAGATAATTTTTGTAGTCATACACAAATGATTGAGAAATATAATCCAGTATTAAACCAGTATTCAGTGTACTTGTAGCAGAAAGATTGAATCTATATTAATATCTTCATTGAAAAAGATGCTCTCGAAAGCTGTTAGCTACAGCGTTTGTATTGTTGCTAGTTGAGTATGTAGAATGTTGAAGCAACTAGATTTTACCGTTAAAATCCGCTGAGCCTAAGATGTGTAGCTGGCATGAACAATGTACTGTGAAAACCAGAGCTTAAGCGAACTGATTCAAATCAATGTGAGTTTCAACATTGCGTTAACCAATCGGATTTGATCCAATTCTTTATATTGGACGCTTGAAGTCGTCATTAATTTATTAAAAGGCTATCATTGGGTTTTGTTTATGGCTTTGAATCGTTTGAAAAGGCGTTGTTAATAGCATAGCTATAGGTTTTGTGATCGTTGTTCAAGCCTTTGTGGTTATTCTTTGGGCTGTTCAGCTTTCAAATTTCTTTTTCAATGCCCATGATCTGCATCATGGGTGATTCAAGTATTCACTTGCAACTTCAAATGCTTCCATGCATTCAATATTCTTCTTTGGAAGTGGCTTCCATACATTGGTCTACAGCCACTGTATCGGCAGAAACAAACTCTATCCTTGTCCTCTTTGACTTTAAAGTGCCGAAATTGAAGCGAGAATTAAAACGAGAAGCTTGATTTTGATTTTAATCCTTCATACAAACGGCCAATTGGTGTGAAAAAAAACACTAAATGTAGTACTGATGAATAAAGTTTCTTAAATCTGCTTAGTTTTTGAGGGCGCTTTCATTCTTTGGAAATTTCGTTAAAAGTTCGTTTATTTACTGTCTTTGTTTGAACCTGACTTGTTCGCGTTTTACGGTTTTTGTGGGAAAATAAGCCAATCAGACCTTATGCTGTCTGAAAACCAAGACCCGAAACAATCTTGTGGTTCCTTTTTGATCTGTGAAAGTTAGACCCCTGAGCATTGGGCCTCAAAAGTCCTTTATCAACAGACTACAACCTGTCTACTGGTTATGTACAACTTACAAAGTAGTTTATGAAGTGATTTATACATAGAAGGGGGGTCAAAAAGCCGTTATTACCAGCTTGTCTAATCTATGATCTTCTTTACACCTCCAGCTTGAGCTCCAAAGCAAGATTAAAGGCTAATTTGTAGGCATTGTGTTCAATTGAGCTCGTAATAAAATTCAATTGCGAATGGTGTTTCGTAACTTAGTTTAGTACATGAAGCTGTCTCGAACGTAGAAGACAAAATAACACAAGTTGTAACTATCGAAGATTCTGTATTCCCTTCTAACATTTTCTAGAATGATTGATTATCCAAGCTTGTTCAATCTCAAAATTAAAGACAAGCACTCCAGGTTTAGTTGATCAGGAAATCGTTTTGATTCGATAACAATTAATTGAGATGTCAATTTCTAGTTTATGGAATTAAAGTTTCACAAAGTGCTCATTCTATAATTAATAGACAAGGCTAGTCATATAGTACTTCTGATAAAAGTTTTGAATATGAAGTTGTGTTCTGTCTAGACTTCAATGATCGAATACCTTGTCTTAAACCCTGCTAACTATGGATCAAGGCAGCTAGGTAGGTCTTCAGTTGTAAATTGTCGTACACCTATGTTTTGTTAGTTCTAAAGGGACCCCTTGGCACAAACGTTTCCTAATGAAGCTGGGCTGGCACAGGTACGTCTCGTTGACTGATTTTCTTGATCGAAGTACCTCCTCGTACTCGATGAAGTCGTCATTACCTTGTCTCAGGGCCCTCTTACTGTGCATGGCAAATAAGCACCTGAACAGAACAGTGTGCAAGCACAAAGAATTGAAACACTTCAAATATTTTGGGGTTGAATTGCAAACGTACCGCTAGTCTTTTGATGAGTTACAATATACCACCAGTTTATAATGTATCATTAATATTGGATCACTTTTTCTCCGCGGTATGGGTCGCGGCCGCGGAAACACACACAAAACATGTCCAATCTAATATATCAGTACATATTGTTAAACAACATACTTCAAATAATATACAATTCTTTTTAGAATTTTTTTCTTTATTATATTATGTTAAAAGAATGCAATTTATTGGCAAAATTCGTTTTTTTTGATTTGAGCTTTACAGAATTTTGAAATTAAAATGAAATGTATAATATAGCCATTCAACTAATTTTTACATATTATTTTGTAAGTTAAATCACTCGAGAGATATGCAATTTATATAATATTCCTCGAGTACTTCACACTTATAAATGATTAGAAGATATTGAAACTTTCCAAGGTTGATAATTGATAACTATAAATATTCAGTCAGATTAGATAAGTACTTAGTCAGCGTTCCTCCTGTTTGGTCTTTTGTGAAGATTAATGTTTAATCACCGAAATCAATTTAATCAAAAGAGAAAGCAATTAGATAATTGAAGAGTGCTTACCATTATCTTACATCTTCCAGATTGATTATAATATATATGTTTCTGCGTAGCTCAAGTCTCGGTGCTCATAGTCTTTGATTAATTATTTTGATTACTTTGTTCTGGTTTCAAAGGCGAGTGAGCTGCATGAACTAGCAAGCAAGTGATGATAAAAGTATTAATCAAACACAGCTTGAGAATACGCTACACAAGGGTACTACTCGCTATACAACTTCAAATAATACGCTTGTTCTTGATATTTAGCCTGCATGTATGTTTCTTCACTAGCCTCAAGCCCTCAGTTTATGAGGTTTTCTCGATCAGCTCATTATTCCATTCGGAGATACTAAATCCTATCCATCCCTGTCATACGTAGAACAATCAAATACATTTACCTCAACTCTGACCTCTAGCCTCTACAATAGATCATCATATACAAAGGTACTACCATCAATTGTCATTTGCTACATCATTTTCTACGATGTTCTACTAAACAATTCTGCCATTTTCTTTGTAAAAGTCATGCTCTCACTTGCCCCGGATTTCGTCAGACGATTGCTGTTTAGCAATACAAGTGCGCCCAATTAGCAGCGAATTAATAATTTGGACTGGGTACAGTAGAAATATTTGAATCTTTTCATCTTCTTTCCTTTCTTTCTTCTCATATTTCCTATTTACAAACGAATATTGATCTAATAATCATCAATTGAATCAATTATCACCCAAATACTTAGATTTGCTTTATCTGAATCAACTATCAAAATTGATATAAAAGCAAACATTCTGCCATTTTTTCATTTTTGCTCCTGATTCATCCTTTTCCCTGGATTCTTGCCACAATCAATACACTTTTATACAAACTAATTAACAGATAATTAACAATGTCATCGTGAGTATCCATATTTCTTTCTTCTAACTGGTTTCTGGTGTACTAACAAAGGGGTGAAGTTACGCAGAAAAAGCTGCTGAATCTGGTCCAGCAGATAACAAAAAAATCCCATCTCCTCCAGAAGTTAAACATTCCACTCCATCAGGAAGTGTTGAAGCTGTTGAAGAAAATGCTAAGAAATCAGCATTAGGAGGGAAAGCTGTTGTTGAAGAAAAAGTTAATAGTTTGAAGAAAGATTTACCAAAATTAGGAGAAGAAGCTAAAAAAGCTGAAAAGGAAGCTGCTGAAAAATTAAAGAAGAAATATGATGAAAACAAAGGTCCAGTTTTGAACTTTATTAGAAGTATCAGTGAAAAGATTACAAAAGCTACTGATTATGTTGTTGCTAAAACCAGTTCAGGTGCTGTTGTTGCTAAAGAAGAATTGAAGAACCCAGCTGTTGCCACACAAACTGTTGTTGGTATAGGAGCAATTTCTGCTGCCATTGTTGCCTTACAAGATCGTCAACGTATCTTTAGATTCAAATCTGATAATGAAATCAGTTTGATTTTAGCTGCTGTTGCTGGATTTGTCGTTTTGGATGGTTACTTATTCTCAGTTTTCTACCCAAAATACAAAAAGAACTAAATTAATTCATTAGCTGCATGATGCAAAAGATATTCTTTTATTTATCTATATTTGATTACTCTATTCCCAAATTTTGTCTTTATTAAATTATCAATGTTACAATCTGAGTTTTACTTTTTTTCATATCTATATCAACTGTGTTCATCGACATGAGGTGCATTGTTGAAATTGGTTTTAAGAATATGAGGTGTTTTTGTGGAGTTTTTTTATAATGAATTATCTGAAATTGAAATATTATGATTAAAATATATAACATATTCTTGAATGAAATGCAGTCCTCGTAGCTGTCTTTTGACCTTTTCCTTATCGGATTGTGTCAAAATGTAAAGTGACATGTTGGTGACATGCTAAACAAAAACCAAACGGAGAGCTCTACAAAGTAATGTAAAAGCTGTAAGGTCTTAATTAATTAGAAATCAAAAATCCATATGACTATGTCATCAATATGAAGCTTCACCTTTGTTTTGCTATCAACCTCATCATCCCTTTGGAATTATCAGCTCATGCATAACGAAATTCAAAAATGAGGTGACACCTTTCTTAATCACGTGTTATAGCTTAGGGCAGTCACAAACCCCAACACCTTTCGCATTTTCAAGCTGCCATTTAGACTCGGGTCTATAACTTTTTTTCACCATCCCAGTCTGGTGAAAAAAAAACATCTTCAAATTAATCAAACATACAAACCGTATATGGAGATCACATATTGTCCAAGCCGTCGATTGAAAGTTACCACAATCAACTTTCCACGAACAATCCCGACGATTTTATAGAACAACAAAAATGTCTGCTCCAACTGAAGCTCCAAAAAGAGGTGGATTCGCCCGTAACAACAGAGGCCGTCAAGGTAGAAGAGGTGGTAGAAGAGATGGTGAAGAAAAAGGTTGGGTTCCAGTCACTAAGTTAGGTAGATTAGTTAAAGCTGGTAGAATCTCAACTATTGAAGAAATCTTCTTACACTCTTTACCAGTCAAGGAATTCCAAATCATTGATACTTTATTACCAGAATTAAAAGATGAAGTTATGAAAATTAAACCAGTTCAAAAACAAACTAGAGCTGGTCAAAGAACTAGATTCAAAGCTGTCGTTGTTATTGGTGATTCTAACGGTCATGTTGGTTTAGGTATCAAAACCGCTAAAGAAGTTGCCACTGCTATCAGAGCTGGTATCATCATTGCCAAATTATCAATCATCCCAATCAGAAGAGGTTACTGGGGTTCTAACTTGGGTGCTCCACATTCTATCTCTGCCAAAACTACCGGTAAATCTGGTTCAGTTTCAGTTAGATTAATCCCAGCCCCAAGAGGTAAAGGTATTGTCGCTTCTCCAGCTGTTAAAAAATTATTGCAATTAGCTGGTGTTGAAGATTGTTATACTTCTTCTTCAGGTTCTACCAGAACTTTAGAAAACACTGTTAAAGCTGCTTTCGTTGCTATTGCTAACACTTACGGTTTCTTGACTCCTAACTTATGGAAAGAAACTGAATTACCAGTTTCTCCATTAGATGTTTTCGCTGATGAAGCTGCTTCAACCAAAAAAGCTTACTAAATTATTTAATTTATAATGTATAGTAATTAAAAAGCTCTTTGGAAAAATTTCTCGTATCATTTTGTACAGTTGAAGTAATTCTACAACTAAAGTAAAATTTTCTTAAAAACACATAGCACTTGAAAACGTTCCTTTCCCTTTATTGAATAACTATAGTACAGAATATACATTAACTTTCTTGTGGTGGAGCTTGTTCTAAAACTTGATCTTCTGGTACAGCAAATACTCTTTCATCAGTTTTAGTCCATTTCATTGAAGTTGCAGGTGGTGCAGCTTCTGATTTTCCATTTGGATGTTTAAACAAACAGTTTGGATTTTTACAACTTGTATCAAAACGACAATTCTCATTGATAGGATGTGAAAACAAACAATCAATTCTTGTACAATTTTCACCGTCACGACATATAACAGCACTTCTTGCATGACGGAATTTGCAATAACGGTTTGTACAATTCATACCAAATTTACATGCTTCCAATGATTTTTCTTGTTGAGGTTTGACCTCTTTGATTTTTGACAGGGAAGAATGAGCTTTTTGACATTCTGAATCTTCACATTTCAAGTTTTGTGGACACCATTCTAATTGAATAACTTTTGCATCTTCATTAGCTGGAGTTGGATGTCCGAATGGACATTGTAAATTTGTACACATATTTCCAAATTTACATAAGGAAATACCTGTTTGAGATTTGATAATTTGATTTTGTTGTCTCTGTTGTAAGAAATCATTCTTTGTCTTTTCCAGTTCTGCTATTAAAGCATCATCTTCACCTGGGTGCAAGAAATTACATGTACCTGGAGGATTTGGACAATTTGGAAATTGGAAACATGGTCTGGTTGGATGTGCATATTTACAATCTTTTTGAAATGGACAATGTGGGAATTTGTGACAACGACCCTTTTTATTAAGTCTTGCACCAATAGGTAGACCTGATAATTCCATAGCCTTTTGTAAATTATCAGCATTCTTCAAAGCAAAACTTGATCTAACATAACCATTCCCATATGTCTTGGTGACACCATTTCTTGGACCACTAGGTCTACCCAGTGCAGGTTTTGTTGGGATTCCTGATGTTTTACTATCTTCATCTGTGGTCTCCGGTATTATATCATCATCAACGTTTGTGTCTTGTGTAACTTGAGCTGGTGCCTTTGGATCTTGTGGATTCAAATGCTTCTCCAGTGCTTCATAAGCTGTTCTGACAATTTGTGGAACAGCATCTGAGTCAACAATTAGCTGTAGTTCCTCTATTGTTTCACTAAAAGGTCTTCCATTTGAAATCAACAACACAGTATACTCCGAAAGTTCTGTAGCTTGATCAGCCAGGCCTTCGATTTGGGAGATCTGGGCCACCAAATAGTTCTTTAATTCTTCCTTGAAGTTCTTATCTAAAGCAGACATGACCGTAATAAACCAAATGAAATGATATTCCTGAAGTTGATGGAAGTTGTTTATCTCAATGTTGATGTTCTTACTTTTCGTTTTTGCCTTCAAAGAAATTTTCATCATCACCAAAATCGGTTATCGCACGCACGGGCGAGCTCAAAACATAAACAATAAGAAACTGGAAATTCAACAACAATTTGAAGCATTTTTTGAAAGACGAAAGTGCTTTTAGCAGGAAGAGATTGATTGAACTGCTGGTCAGTGATTGACAGGAAAGGAGGAACAAGGGTTATTTCGCTCTTGAGTGTTTGTTTGGAATTAGTTCACTGAGCGGCTGGGACATTCACAAAGGGTGAATCGAGAATGGTAGTGCTAGGTGCCAAATCATCCCAGAAGAAGGTGGTTGGTGATAGAGAAGCTGGTGAGCGAGACCCATTGATAGACGGTGGTCGTCATGTGCGACAGTATAGGTCGTTCATGTCCAATGATAGTTCTGGTGATGTTTCATTTAGTGATTTATTGAAAGGATTGCCTCATAGATTAACCAGACATGGCTCAGTAATATTAGCAGAGACCGGTGAAAGAACAAGGCGCTTCACGCTACCAGATGTTGATGTGGATGACTTAGAAAGTCAGGCATTAGTTTCAAGACCTCAAGGACAATCAAGCGTTCTATCTTCCATAGGTCATTATTTGATATTAGCAAAAAATTATATCCATCAACATCGTTTTGTCTTAAAATGTTCATTAGCATACCTTTTAGCTTCGTTAGCTGTTTATAATACTGAATTATCAAGAATTCTTGGGAAAAGTGACAACAAACATGTTGTTGCTACTGTTGCAGTTTATTTCCATCCTTCAAGAACTTTTGGTTCAATGCATCAAAGTTTAATATTCACCATCATATCAATTTTGTTTAGTTTTTCGGTCTCACTTGTTTCAACATCAATATCGAGTTATTTTTACCGTGAAGGGCTGGAGTGGGTCAGCTCTATAATTAATTTATCTTTTGCATCTGTTGCATTGGGGTTCGTTTCATATATGAAGCAGAAAAAGAACCATCCTACTTTCAATACTGCATGTTCACTAGCTTCTATCTCCATTATTTCTGCAATAGTGAAAGAAGGTGCTCAAAACGGTGGTGATATTCCATTTTATAGATTATACAATTTGTTCAAAATTGTTTGTCTTGGTTCACTAATTACAATTCTTGTTTGTTATTTGATCATTCCAACATCTGCAACAAAGAAACTGAAAAAGGATCTTAATGAAAGTTGTTCGTTAATGTCATCTTATTTATCAAAAATTGAAACAAGTTTCATATCTGGTGGTGATGTTAACTCTAGCGAGATTACAGCTCTTGGTTCCAAAATTAAAAAGAATACAACAAACTTGAATGGCTCTTTAGATGAATCTAAACTTGAACTATTTGTTATTGGAAAAGAACAAGAGTTTCATGTATTGAGTAAGTTGGTTAGATCTGCCCAACTTCTTGAAAGTCAATTAGGTGGATTAAAAGGTTCAGCTGAAATGCAATGGTCAACACTACATGAAGAACAAAGTGATATTTCTAATAATCAGTCAACTGCAACATCTGTTCGCACACTAAGTTCTGGAAGTGAATCCGATCAAGAAACAAACTTGGCAATGAGTGAATCTACAACAACTTTAGATGAAATGACAGCTATCAATCCTTCCCAATTGTTTGATTTGTTTATTTACTACTTGGGTCCATCTTTAAGATCTTTTTCATATACAATTCGTGGTGTTTTAGATGGTATGCCTTTTGAAGAGGCTAAAAATTATCCAACAAAAGAAACTTATCATTATAAAAATAGTTTAAGATTAGCTAGAGATTTATTTGTTAAAAAACATGAGAGAGCTATTATGAAACTATATGGCCAGAAAATTTTCAAAGTTAATACTACAATTGAAACAAAAATCGATGAAGAGGAAGTGGCTGCTAGTTGTGGGAACTTTGCATCGATATTAACTCAATACTCTAAGGAATTGGATACTTTCATTGAACTGTTGAGTGAATATAGTGAATTGTTGGAAAATAATCCAAAATCTTGGAGATGGCTCAAGTTTTGGAAAAAGTCTGACATTAATGGTCAAGATGAAAAACCATTACCTGACCTGAACGTTGCTTTAGAAAATTTAAACAATACATTACAACAAAGAACTCAAGGTACGGATCAGAAGAATACGTTTACCTATAAACTTTGGAGCTTTTTCAGCTTTTTCAGAAGAGTGGAAGTCCAATTTGGTATAAGAGTTGGACTAGGTGCATTTGTATTAGCATCATTAGCATATTTACCTCAAACCAAGGAATGGTTTATGGAATGGAGAGGTGAATGGGCATTGGTTACATATTCAATCATTATGAATAAATCTTTAGGTGGTACAACTATGACGATCAATTGGAGGTTTTTAGGTACATTTTTAGGTGCTTTTGCTGCATATTCAATATGGACGTTATCTGATGGGGATGTTTATGCATTATGTTTCACAGGTTGGCTTATTTCTGTTTTCTGTTTCAATATCATTTTGAATTGGAAGGAAAATAATGCATATGGAAGATTCATTTTATTAACATATAATATCACAGCTTTGTACAGCTTTAACGTTACAAGATCTGAAGATCTGGAGGAAGGTGATACAGATCCAATCATTCGTGATATTGCTATCCATAGATTTATTGGTATTGTGGCAGGTGTTATTTGGGCTTTGATCATGACTGTTACGTTTTTACCAATAACTGCAAGACATAGATTGAAGAGAGGGTTGTCTTTGCTTTGGTTGAGACTAGGTGTCATTTGGAATTCTGATCCATTGGGCTATAAAGATGATATATTGGTGGGACTGGCTGATCAAAGAGGGATCAATCAAGTTATGAGAGAATTAGAGTTACTTTTAAAGCAAGCACCAAAAGAAACGAGATTGAAAGGGAAATTTAGGCTAGATATCTATAAGAAATTGATGAAATCTACACAAAAGATTATTGATTCATTTCAAAATATGAATACAATGGTTGAAGTTGAACCAAGACTTTCCGAAAACGAGCTAATCGTCTTGAATTACACAGAGCAAGAAAGAGAAGAATTACAAAATAGGATATTCCTAATATTTTACATGATTTCGTCATCAATCACCTTGGGGTTCCCATTACCTGCAAAACCTGCTTCAACTGAACATGCCAAAGACAGAATCATGGTAAAACTTGGTGACATTAGACAAAGAAAGTTATTATCCAATGAAGATTATGTCTTGATGTATTCATACGTCTTGGTTAGCAATGTCATCACAAAGGAATTGAATAAGGTAATAAACTTGCTTGGTGATTTATATGGCTTAGTTGATGAGGAAACCTTTGAAATATAGGACAAAAATTAAAAGTCATTGAATCATCTCTTCTATTATATTGTAGGTAAATAGTTATCAATTAGCCTTATGAATCTTGGATTTGTGATCTTGGAACCTGGCTTGAAATCAACAGGGGACAATGGACTAATAATTCATGTTAGTGGTATGGACTGTTAAATTTCAGGGCATTACATACTTTTTCACGATATGTTCCACGTAGATATTTGAATAGATATCTTTCAGCACATTCTGCAGATGTTGTGTCTTTGGATCACTCAATATACAGAATCTCAGACCTGATGCACTCTCATAAAAATGAGCTCTATATTTTGCAGTTGAATAAGAATTTAGAGTATTTTCTTCATCAAACCCATCACCCAACTTCCTTGCAATATTTCTCAAAGAAAACAAAGCACCAAACAATAGCTTTGCAGCATCCTCACTGTTCTTGGAGTTTATGGAACCACTAGGTAATGATGATGAGTCAGTTGTATGTTGTGGTATAATTTGAGTCCATTCTCTGTTATATATGCAGTTGCCTATTCATTTGATCAGTTAGTAAAGCCTCAATTATCCTGAAAAGAAACAAACTCACAATGTCTGTCAAAAATCCAGAAGGAGTAGATTGTCATGGTGGAATAAGCTGTAGTAAAGAAAAATTACAAAGTCAACTGCTTTTATATTTGTTTGATCCTTTTTGTGTACAATTTCGTGTTTTTGTGGTTTTGTGTACAAATCCATTTTTTGAATTCGCGAAACGGTAAAGACAGCACCGTAGTTAAGAATAATGTTAAAATTACAAATGGACACAAACATTAACCTCTATTGAAATAAGAATACTAATAATATATTACGAGCAAGGCCTGTGAATTTCCAAGACCTTTCTATTTTGGAAGGCAAAACTTTGGCAAGAGTACAACTTTTTAACTTATAATTCAAATGTTTCTGGGGTAAAAAAGGTAAGACAAAACAACATTTTAATAACACAAACTGTCAGTTTTAATCAGAGATCTAACAAATTCAATTCATCGCCGTTCGACTGTGGTTGAGATTGAGTTGTTTGTTGTTGTTGTTGAGATTGAGAAAATGATTGGGATGAAGCAGAGTAAGATGGTTTTGAAGAAACGGTTGGGGTTGATGGTTTGCTGGTATGAGCTTTTGTAGAGGCTGCTTGGAATAAAGAGCTAAATGCATCTTGTTTTGGTGGTTGAGCAGGTCCTGAAGAGAAAGAGTTTGAGGTTGTAAATGAAGGTTGGGTTTGTGTTGGTTGTGGACCACTTGAAGCGAAAGATGTGAAATCACCAAAACTGTTATCAGCAGCAGCAGCAGGTTGTGAATGGTATAAGTTTGATAATGTGTTTGTGTTCAATGAAGGTTGTTGTGAAGATTGTTGAGCTGAAGATCCTTGGAAATCACCAAAATCATCGTCATCATCATCATTGGCATTATTTGCTGCTGTATTTGATTGTCCATTAGTACCCGATGAAAATAAATCATTGTTATTAGAGGATGTTGTTGCTGGATTAGCTGGCTCATCAAAAGAAAACAAATCAATTTCTTTTTGAGCTGGTTTAGCAGGGGTAGGTTTGTTTTTACTTGCTCTTCTTGCAGCTGCGACACCAGCAGTTCTAGAAGCACTTCTATGAACTTTTTGTGCACTAGTAGTTGATTCGCCAGCATCATATTCTTCAAAATCATTATCCGATCTGGAAGCTGATCTATTTTCTTCATAACGTTCACCATAAACACCACCATCACCAAAGATTCTACCTTCGTAAGTTCCATATTCATCATAACTTGCTCCAGGAATAGTAGAAGCACCACCACCTGCAACACCTTGGAACTTCTTTGAGTTATCTCTACTTTTCTTTCTTTCGTTTCTCAAAGTTGAATCGTTATTCAACAATTCAATCAAATTTTTGGCTTTGGTACGAACATTTATACCTTGATCTCTACCTTGTGAGTCAATGTAATGGAATGATCTCAGCATGGTGATAAGACTTAAGTTTGCTCTGGCATCATCAACGAATCTTTCTGAACCATTTTTGATCAAGTATTCCAATAATTGTAAGGCTTTATAGATTTGACGCCATTCATTAGCAGCTTTTTCAGTGAATCTTCTGAATATCATTCCAATGATTTCTTCTCTTTCTCTATAGTTATAAGTACCTGCAGCGATCTTTTGCATCAAAGTGCTGGAAGCACCCCAAGGTTCATTATTTGTAGCTTCTCTGACTTTAGCTTCCATTTCTGTATAGTTCAAAACAACATTTTGAGCTTTACGCACATAAGCCTTAACATCATAAAGAGAAATGTTATTCAAGTTCTTTTTGATTTCATCCATTGTGTGGTGTCTTTATTTCTAGGTAATATCAATGAGCTAGTTATAGCTTGATCTCTGAAATTGAATGAGTTGAAATGTCTGATCCAGCAAACAGTGAACAATTTGAAACGTTTATCGATTTTTCAGGAGAGGGCCAAACAAATTCCTTTTTTTTTTTTGGATTCTCGAGAAAATTCGCGAAAAAATGGATGTTGGAAATTTCGTTCGAGCCGATAAAAGAAGTTGAAACTTTTCAGCTACAAATAATCAGAGCTAATTGCTTCATTTTTAATGTGTATATACAGACAGTGATCATCTATTGATCCTTGATTTCACCGGATTCTTCAATGGTAATTTTGGCTCTTGGACGACCAGTTGGAGTACCGTAAGCTTCGATGGTCTTGACAGTATCGTAACCTTTAGTGACTTCACCAAAGACAACATGTTTACCATCTAACCATGGACATGGAACGGTGGTGATGAAAAATTGAGAACCATTGGTGTTTGGACCAGCATTGGCCATTGATAGCAAACCTGGTTTGGTATGTCTTTTGCTAAAATCCTATCAGATTGTTAGTAATCACCATCAAAAGAACAGTACTATATTATTACTTACTTCATCAGCAAATTTGTCACCATAGATTGATTTACCACCGTAACCATTACCTTGAGTGATATCACCACCTTGTAACATGAATTGTGGGATGATTCTATGGAATGGAGAACCAGCAAAGCCAAAACCTTTTTCACCGGTGGCTAACGCTCTAAAGTTTTCAGCAGTCTTTGGAACAACCTATGAATAAGTTAGTTTTATGTTTGGTTAACACAAATTGACAGTTTCTAACATACATCATCGTATAATTCAAATTCAATTCTGTCCAATTTTCTACCTTGAATGAAAAGTTAGTTTTGTTCAACCTGGGGAAAAGTGAAGCAATTAATACTCACCATCAATGGCAGGAGTGAAGAAAACTTTGGTACCAAAAGCAGCAGCTGATGATGAGAATAAACGAGCACCTTGTGGAGCTTTCAAAAAAGTTCTAGCCAACATTGTGATTTACTGAATAGTACGTTCTAGTGTTACAAGGAGCAGAGTTCGATGGTGATGAGTTCGAAGAACTTCTATGCGATCTCGCACTTGGGGGTAACGTATACAGACCCGTTCATAAATGGCAGATGTATATAATCATTTCATTAAAACGTTTCCTATTCATTTATTTATCATAACTTTGGTTGTTGCTGATTTAACCTTTTTGAGTATAATGCCCAACCATTCCTTGAATTCTTCCAAATCATTGTCAATTATAGCTTCGTGAAGACCTGGTAAAATATCTCCATTGTAACCATTCTCACGATCAGGTGCAAATAAAACATGCTTCATCCAAGGTCTGTTTTTTAAACCTTTATCATCAACAAATAATCTGTCAATCTTTTTAGCTCTATTACCTAATAACTTTATATCTATTGCTAGCTTGATCTTTTTATAAATCTTGAACCATGGATAATCAATTGAAATTTGCTTCTGGAGAAGTTTGGCACGCATATCAAACATATCAGCATATGAATAAAACTCTGATAATGCAAATTCAACATCTTCAATTGCCTTACCAACAGTTTTTGATTTTTCAAGGTGCTTTTCAAGCCAACCATGAGGAGCTTGTTCTTTAAGTGATTGGAAATATTTGGAAATTTCTTTAGCATAATGTGCAACTCTATATTCGAAAACTTCATTCTCACTGATTGATAATGCTAAGAATCCAAAATATTTTGCCAAAGTGTTGTGTAACTTGAAATCAGGATCAATGAATGTGGACATCCAATGATACGAGTCATAATTTGAATGAACATGTAGAGGTGCATCTTTACCATCATTATTGAAATAAACCATACAACTTGGGATTCCTAAATGATGTTGGAAAACAGTGAAATCAGAGCCAGCACCAATAATATCAATATGATTATCATCTTGATCTTTCCAATAATCATATAAAGTGTAATTGTCTTGACCGTTAAAAGGAATATATTTACTGGTATCAATCAAAAAATGATGCAATAATGGATTAGAATCAACTTGTAACTTATGTCCAATAACCCCCATATCCAAGTTCAAATAAGCAATAACATTGTTTTTCAAATCTCTTAAATGGTATTCACCATATTCAGTTGACCCAAGCATACCAAATTCTTCGCCATCCCATGACGCAACAACAATTGTTCTTAAAGGTTTCCAACCCTTTTTAACTAAATGACCAAAAGCTCTTGTTATTTCCAACAATATTGCACTCCCACTATTTGGGTCACCAGCTCCACTAACAGTCCAAGAATCTCTGTGGTTCCCAATAAATATTTTTTCATTTAATAAACCTGGTATGACATAAAGTATATTAGTTATTGGTTTGATGGAATACTGTTGTTCATTGAACATGTTAATTTTATAGTCTGAAGGACCTGTTGAATAGTCAAATCCATCTACATCACCACTCCAACCTAGACTCGAACCTCTACCGTTTAGTTTCTCTAACAATGGACCCACTTCTTTAGCACTGATTGGAATTGAAGGGATGCCGGGCATAAAAGGACTTGGATCTTGTCTTTTACCTAATCTTGAACTTGCAAAACCAGGAGTAGTTGGATCTCCTGGTTGATCAGTAAAATATCCAACAGAACCTCTTTGAATGCTTGATGGGTTTCTAGCAGGACCTTCAGGGTATGACTTGTATCCATTTTTTTCAGTTATTTCACCATCATCTAGTGCATCGGTATACATCAATACACCTACTGCACCTGCTCTTTCAGCATTCTTCACCTTGATTCCTCTAAACAACTTTGTATATCGGATGATGTGGATTGTTCCATTTGTTTGAACGCCAGCTAGTTCCAATTTAGCATAGTCTTCCTTGGTACCATAATTTGCATAGATATATCTGGATGTGACATTCCCATTAGCTGAATATGCATGAAAGGCAGGGGTTGATAAAGTATTATTTGAAGCTTTATCTTGTTTGAGTTCATCTTCCAATAGCGTTGGGGTGTAAACAACTTCATCATCCGAATTAATCAACGAAACTCCATTCGCAATATGCTTATTATACCAAATTTGATATTTTTCCTTATATGGTTTGAACCCGTACTCTTTAAATTTATCAATGGTGAACTGTGTTAAATCATCACCTTCTCCCGCCAAGTGTGGCGAATGGGTATAGTTGTATAGCAAATCACTAGCATTATTCTCATCACTTAAAGATTTCAAAAACAATCTTTGAGATTCAACTTTGGATAATGTTGAGAAATGAATTCTTCTGTAATCACGGCCTAAGGATGTTCTGGGTAGAAAGATCAAATTGAATATAACAACAGCCACTATGGCCCATAGAATTCCAGCAACAAACTTTTGTGTAGTTAGGGAAGGCCAATTATCTTTGATAAACTCCTTCACTGATTCTATAGATGTGCTGATGGCACTGACTGCACTTGCGCTTCTTGCTCTTGAGTAGTCTCCACGACGTGTTGGACGTTGGTTTGAGTTGCTGTTGGTATTGCTGGATGTTCCCAGTAGCAAAGGCAGACGTTCTTCTGACATATTAATCCTTTCTGTTATGATGGTTCATGACATTGGAAGCTAAAGAAAAGTAATAAGCATCGTGATGTTTATATCTCTGTCTCGTTTATTCGGTTTATCTGGAAATCGCGCATTGTGCCACCCTCCAATATGGTTTTTCCGGTATTTGACACCAAAAAAACTACAAAGAAATCATTAAACTCTATGCTTTTGTATTATGAATATTTCTATTTCTAATTGCTTTGTTTCTTGGACTCATTATCAAGCTCTTCCTCGGCTCTTCTTTTGTTGTTTTTATCTTGCTCTGTTGATGTGCTTTCTACAACTTCAGCAGTTTTTCCCTCTTCTTTTTGTTTCAATGCATCTGTAACTCTTTTATCACCAGTGACACCATCAACAGGTCTAAAATATGGTTGACATCTCCAATATGGAATTGTCTTGTAAGCACCACCCCATAGTTGTTGCTCACCTGTGGTAATTTTGTCTAGCTCTTCAATATCTGGTTTAGCAAAGATTTCTTGAACAATTTTCTCCACATTTATCACAATCTGTTCAATCTCTTCAAATTTATGCTTTGGTGTACATGTGGCTATTTGTTGTCTTATATCTGTATGGTGTGGTAAGAATGGTCTCAAAATTTTAAAGAAATGTGATTTCATTGCAATTTTAGATGCATTACCAGGGCACTCTTTAACAATCTCATAATATTCCCTTAATAATTGATCAACTCTTGGGAACTGTTTCTCTAAATCAGCACTTTCTTTCATGAAAACACCTGGATTATATAAATTACCTTCAGCACTCATAACGGCATCACAATTAACTTTAGTCAAACATCTCGTTATATCTTCAGGATACAAGATATTACCATTGGCAAAAAATACTGTATCCTTTGGTAAGCTTTCTCTTAAATACTGCAATATTTCCCAATCAGCTAACCCAGTTTTTTGACCCTTTTGTTCTCTTAAACGACCATGAACTGTTAAAAATTGAGCACCTGCACTCAACACCATTTTAGCATAGTCCAAAGTTTTTTGCTTATCTTCATAGACTCTTATCTTGGCAGTCACAGGAATTTCCAATTCTGTATGTAATTTATTAATCAACTTATAAATCAAATCCCAATCATCCATTAAAAATGCACCATATCCACCTTTTTTAGCAATACCTTGAGGACAACCCAAGTTTAAATCAACAGCATCACATTTCCCCACCACGAATTTAGCAGCTTGTAATAAATATTCAGGATCATTAGCACAAAATTGTACAACTAATGGACGATCTTTTGAATCATCACCATCCAATTCAGACCACATATCTTTTCTATATTTTTCACTAGTGGCAAACAGTTTCGCATGAAACATAGGTGTATAGCATAATGTGGCACCATAGCGACGAGATAAAATTCTCCAAGCTAGTTCTGATTGATCAACCATTGGTGCAACTATACGTTTGGGGTTTCCAATGGAATTATATAGCTCTCTACCTTGCAACTTTGTCATTATGCTTGAGTTCTTCGATGATATAGATGATGACGCGACCTGTAAAGGAACTCGATTCCTTTTGGTAAGAACTCTTGAGAAATTGGAGAATAACAGTTTGAAAAGAATGGAAAGAAGTGCTCTTCAATAAATCATCATTCACGTACAAATATCTGAATTTTTTTTTTGATTATAATTTCTTTTGAAGCTCTTCAATTTTTTCAAAACTTGTCATGGGGGCACATAACTCGATGAGCTTGTTGCTATGGAAACGGTCTACACTTAAATTTTCATCAATTCGTTAACTCTAGACTTTTAACATTTATAAATATATAATAATGGTGGATATCATAACACAAATATTTTGGAAACAAAAACATTCATAAAAGCACATCACAAGTTAATAGTTGTAATCAAAATAAAAAAAAAGACATGTCAAACTTGTCAGGTCAAATAATAATTTAAATAAATAATAGGAACTTCATCTTCCGGAAGGTGATGATGGTTGAGATTTTGAGATATAAATAGCTCTTGATTTCAAAGCTTGAGCAAAGAGTAAAGCAATTGGCCAAATAGGAGCATCAGCTAAAATTCTAACACCCATATATAAACCTCTTGAAGATAATCTAGCATCTTTAATAACTTGTAGCGTTTCCTTGATTTCTGTATTAGGGTTCATTGCTCTTTTAGCTAATTCATCATCTAAAGTTTTCACATCTAATGCACCTTTTGCCTCTAGTCTCAAAAATTCTGCATATGTTTTGTTGTTTTCATTCAAGATCAAATTGCTTTCAACTTTCTTGAAAATCATTTCAGAGCGTAACCATAATGTTCTTTCAATTGCATTGAGATAAGTAGTTGGGTTTTCTTCATCAAAATTATGAGCCCATTTTTCAACACTTAATAAGAATTCAGCAATAATTAATAATGATGTAAACATACAAATGATGAAAAAAATTGGAGTTCTAATAGAAGTCTTTTCAGCATCATTCACAATTGAAACATAATCAATCCATAATTTAACAATATCCAAGGCATAATTAGTTGCATCTTTCAAAGCTTCAGGATCATCACTCAATTGTTTCAAACATTCATTCATACCATCCCAATCTTTTAACCAGATTTTTTCAATAATTGGAGTTAAATGAATACATTTTCTAATTTTGACAAATGATAACAGTGGTAAAATCAATCTAAGAACTGGATCCTTATTGTAAATCAATGATAAATTTGAATCTTGTAAATACAAAACACCTCCATTTTTGATGTATAATGATTCCCAACTTTTGATTAAACTTTCCAAAACTGGTCTTGAATTCATTCTCCATTTTGTTGCCTTAATAACACCGTTCTTTTCATCTTTCAATGTAGTTCTCTCTAGATAAACTTTTTCATGAATTGACATCAATAATGATAATAAAGTTTTCATTTGAAATTTTTTATTCAGTTGATCATCCTCATTTAAAATGTAGTTATTCATACTTAGATAATTCAAACAATGATTATAAGAATCATTACCATTAGATAGTTCAATTAGGGCAAATTTGGAATCAATAACATAATGTTCCCTGTGTAAAATCTCATTCCATTCTTTATGGTCAGCACATTCCCACAATGATTCCAATTTACAATGAATACCACATTTCACATCAATCGAATGTAAAGAACAATCTAATCCAATCAACGAAGTAAATAAATTAGAAATCAACAAAATTGTATGACATGTTCTAATTCTTGTTTGAGCTAAAATGAAATAATTGAAATTTTGTTGTTCCAAAACATCATCATATCCACCAGATGATTTATTATTAATAATTGGTGGAGGTGTTAAGAAGTTTTCTAATGGTAAATTTAAAGAAGTTAACTTAACCAACTCAATCAAAGAATTCAACATGATTGTCATTGTCTTTGTGATTGATAAATCATTGTTGAAAATACCAATGAAAATTAACAAAACCATACTTTGATAAACCCAGATTGGTATATTGTTATTATTTTTGAAGTATTTCTCATGTTCTAGAAATTCATGAATTCTAAATCTTGAAATATTGAATAACAACATTGCATGTGTTGAATGAAACCCGTATAGTGCACCAATTGAAGCAATTGATAATAACAATGGGTAGTTATCAGTGGAAGCTTGTAATGTAGGTAGATGAATGAATGGGAAATATTTGTTGAATTCATTTTTAAATAATGTAAAATATTGATTTAATTCATCTAACGATGGAAATTGTGAATCATTCAATTTATTCAAAGTCAATATTTCATCACGCAATTGTTTATTGAATAAGTGCACTGAGCTTTTAATTTCCTCATTATTTTCAATTTCCTTCTTAAACAAATCAATTTGTCTTGATCTAAATAGTGAAGGGATATCATTATTGAAAAGTTGATTTGGATCAATTTTTTGCTTCTGTTGTTTTTGCAATTGTTGTTGTGGTAATGGATTTTCAATTTGAGGAGCAGAACCAGTTGAATTTGAAGGTGAAACACTTGGAACAAACCCAATTGAATTGAAGTTTTTAGCATTTGAAGACATTGTGAAATTCTGATCAAATGGAGTGTTTATAAATTCACATAACCAGTCATCAGGTGTAGAGCTATTATCATGAATAGAATTTGAAGTATTTGTTGTGTCATCATGTACAGTGCCTCCTGATTGAGGATGGCTATGTTGATGATGTTGAAGAGGATGACTCTGTATGATTGAAGATGAACCAGCGTCGGCATTTGTAGTATGATCATCACTATGATGGACTTGTGAATGTTGTTGACTTGGTGAAGGCGCCACTGAATTATGATTGAATAAATTCATATTAACATTAGGATTCTTTGGCATGAAACCAGCACCACCACCAGCACCACCCAAATGTAAATATTCATTAAGGATAGGCATATCAATTAAATTACCGCCTGGAGTGAAGTTGAATTGATAAGGTGTACTAACCCTTGAAGGATTTTGGGTATGAGCAGCTGAACCAACAGCACGAGAGCCATTTTGACTATGAAAGTAATCTTGTTGTTCATGTAGCTGTTGGAAAGAACGCTGTTGTTGAGAAGACCCACTAGCAGCGGCAACAGCAACAGGAGTATTGGCAACACCAGTAGTTTGGCCAGTACTTGGTTGTCCATTTATATCTAGATTCAGATCATCGATTTCATATTGTAACCCTAGAGCATTCAAATCAAACCCACTCATTATAGCTTTTGATGTCAACTCTTGAGCGGTCAATTGCGGAGTTGCAAATCCAACCTGATGAGGGGCTTCTGGCAGTTCATGTTCATTATGGATTGCTTCTTGATCATTCTTGGTGTATGAAATAGCTGAAGAAGCACTGAAAGAGTTGTGACGATGGCGTTTTTGTGGCGGATGGGCTGAATGATGTGTAGTGTGAGAAGCAGTATCACTATTGTCATGAGATATTGATGAGTGTCTCAAATTCTCAGCATGCTTAAACAATGTTGAGTGTTCATTGTATGATTCTATAGTGGATTTTGTAGGGAAATTGTTGTTCAAGTTGAAGCTTTTCAAAGTTGGGGGTATCAATTGATGTTGATGGTGGTCTGAGCCTACTGAAGATACAGATTCCCTTTTAGTGTTTGATCTAGGATCCTCGTCTATCACGACTCCGTTCTTTGTAGGTAAACTAACTTCTTTGTTCCCATAGTTTGTTATGATGTTTTCATTCTCACCTTTTTTGAAGTCCTTGGAATTTGTATTATTTGTTGTTAGCGAAGTGTGAAGCTTCTGTTGATGTCTCAACACCAAGTCTCTTCTAGCAAAGCAACGGCCGCAAGCAGCACATTGGAATGGTTTCTCATTGGTATGACTTCTCTCATGTCTCTTCAAATGCTCTAGCCTTGCAAAAGCTCTAGTACACGTTGTACACACATGGGGTCTTGGTTTATCTGTCTTGATGATGGCTGACTTTTTTGGAATAGGCTCAAATCCTTGAACAGATTGTTGGTATTGCTTCAAGCTGCTTCTTTTCCTACTGCCACTATTGCTGTTGTTGTCACCTATTGGAGGTGATTGAGAGGCAGACACGGACCCTAGCGAGTCGTTGTTATTCAAAGGAGAGATGCTGGATGCAACTGAGGGTGGTGTAGGCATACCTAACATAAGGACAACAGCTGTTTCAACTTAATGGGGAGGAGTGTATCTGGTTATGGGCTTGTTGTTGTAGCTTTCAAGGAGGTGTAAATTGGAAGCGTGTTGATGATGTTCAAGATAGCTTCAATACTGATGCGTAGCCGTCTTTTTCTTCCCTTTTGAGCAGTAAACTTTTTTTTCTCTTCTCGGTGATGAGCTTAAAGATGAAAATGATAATGAGTTTGCAAAGTAGTTGACTTTAGACGAGAATATATGAATATATCAAGCTTTGAGCAGCACAATAGCAGGTTTAACCAGTGCAATAGAACAAGTTTGAGAGTCTATGTTTTGTATTTCTAATGGAAAGTGACCTCTTTTTGCAAAATTAAATTTTTTTTTCTTTACGTAATTTTTCGCTTTTGTTTCTTTTCTGCTCCGATATGGGAATATTTAGCCAACCTCTAGGCAGCTGGAAAAGCGAAGCTAGGGGGAGAGCCCTGCCTAAAGCTCATTATCGTTTAGGCTCAATCGCCCCCGGATCATGCCTTCTCGCAGGCTGGACTGGACGTAGACGGCCAAAGTTCGACCCAAAGTTTCAGCCTGCGTCCAGCATTTAGCGAGTTCCTAGACAAGGGCAAGTGAGAGCCGGTTGGAAAGGGAAATACATAGTGCGTGAACTCGATGGTAATAATAATAATTATGAACAATAGTATCTGAATTCCTTGATTGTTTATCTGAGATTTAGTGTCTGTTGCTTACGTTGTGATGGAGCAAGTTAGAGTTGCCCCTCGCCCCTGGTTAAGGTTTATCTGATCTTCTTCAACACTTTCTGCTGAATTAGGACACCCTTTTAGCACGTTCCGATTGGTCAACTACGTGTATCATGAACAAACTCTTGTCCTCTTGTCTACAGCTTTCAAAAGCTGCCAAATCGCCATATCCCGAGCCTGGAGTCTGGAGGAAGATTTCACGGAGAGCGAGGAGCAGTGAGAATCGTGATGAGAATAAAGATACGAAAGCTCAATACGATGGAAAAAAAAGGGCTCAACAACTTTTAAACAAATTATAACACATTCAGCTGGCCAGCTTTGAAGTCACGATGCAGTGTAGACTCCAGTATCTCTTTGTATAATCATCCAAAAGCTGAACGCGACCGGCAACTACACGAGGTATTGAAACTTCATTACAACCTTAATTTATCCGAAGTCGACTAGCAATAGACGGCATTCATACCCAGATACGCTATGAGCAACTATGATTATCTCTAAAGACATACTTTAAAACCACATTTAACAGTAAACTACAGTAACTTATGAGACAACTACTTTTCCTATAACTGTCACAACTGCTCTGACGGTTATGCTGAAACTTCTGGTAAGCGCCACACCCCCAAAATTCCGGTTAGGTCGCGAATCATATTTCACTTTTCTCGAATTGAAAAAAAAAATCAAAGTAAAGACGTGGGAAGGTGAACGAATAAAACAACCACCACGATTCAATTAACCAGCAAGATCCTTTGTAGCTATCAAACATTCACAATCAAGGATCATCTGACATGAAACTCAGCTCAATTGCTCAAAGAGACAGTCATACAATTACTGAGATCTTTTCAAGAGCACCTGATTGAAACCCCAATAAGGGTGGATTGTGAATCCGATAAAATGAACACTAGAGCTCGTCAGAGGAACTCCCATGTTCAAAGGGGTACTGGTTTGGAAAGTAGAGGTGGAAATACAACTTTTGGTGTTATGATTGGTATTCTAGAGGTACTTTTTGAAAAGTTGTGATGTAAAGTTTGAAACCCGTGAAACAGCATTTCAAGTGTTTTTTGGAAAATAGTTCCAATTTCTCAAGGAAAGGTTTATACTGGTGTTTTTGTTTGGTTGATTCATGGCGTTTTGATGAACTGTGATTTTAAAGAAGTGGTGAACATGGTGATTTTGGGGTATTTGGGTACTTCAAATGTAGGCTCATCTTGAGAAATTTACGGCACTGGATTTGTTATATGATTCAATTCAACAAATTGCTGCTTTTATGACTGGAATATTTTTGATTAAAGAGCAGCTTAACGATAGATACATTTATCAGGATTTGACTAGCTCCTTATATTATGCTGGTAGTTCAAAGTTTGTCTAACCAGGGTAAAACTTATAGAGCATATTACCAGCTCATGATAGTACGGTGAATAACAAATGAATAACAAATCAATATAATTATATAGTTGTTTATACTATTTAATATATATCATGAATTGGCAATTTATAATTTAAATATATCGTTAGGCCGACCTCATCAAGAAGAGCACATATTTAAAGTATATACGTCTTTATACGCTTGCTGCAGGTGGATTGATCAACAAATTTACAATTATGAATGCATGGGCCGGTCTGATCTTCTAGTGTAAGCAGTACTTTTCACTAGTGGTGATCACTAGTACGTTACTTTAATTTTTGGGCCATGCAATTATATTATATTGATGATATTATTTATTGAGTGCCTTTCGTGTTGTACATTATTTTAGCTCAATAATTAATTAATCATTATGTTAAATACAGTTCAATTTTAATAATTAATTGATTAATATTACTTAATTAATGCATATTTATATTAATTAGTCATATATAAAAAAATTAATTAATTATATAATTAAATTATTATATTAATATTTAAGAGTTTACTGACTTCAATATTGTTAAATCATAGCACAAATGATGTAAGGTTAATATTTCAAAAAAAAAGCAAGTTCATTCAATAGGATACCACGTGAGCAATAGGATCCAGTTTTCTCGATATTATATGATGGAAGAATTAGCAGCTATTCGTAGGTTTATATATATTTACATTAATAGGATTTAACGGGTATGTGGCCCGACCAAATAGTAAACCCGATAATTCCTAAAATGTATCTGAAAATTAATTCAACACAAAAACACAAAAACACAAAAACACAAAAACACAAAAGCACAAAACCACAATTAAAATACAGGAAGTTACAAATCCACAAAAGCAAAATTACAAATTCCTTTTTGTATTTAAGACATCGGTTATCTGTGATTTGGAAATCTTTTTGGTTCTTTCTCAAACCATTCTTTAAACGAAACATTATGACTACAACTGAAGATCAAGAACATACCAGTCAAAGCCATTACTGTTGTTGAGTATTATTGTGATTAACCTTCGTTTCAATATGACTTTTGAATTCATCTTTTGATCTCTACATTCAAGCTAGAAGATACTAACATCATTGATAGTGTGCTGATATACACATGGGAAGGGTTGAGTAAGGTTTGACTTGTGTAAGCGTTGGTGAGGTATTTACTAAAAGGTTTAGTCATGATCGGTACCTGCTCTGTTGTGTAATCTCTTAGACATGTAATCTCTTAGACATGTAATCTCTAGATGTGTAATCTCTAGATGTGTAATCTCTAGATGTGTAATCTCTTAGATGTGTAATCTCTTGAAAATGTAAGATCCCGTCTGTGTAACTTTTCGTTTGTGTAATATCTCGACAGCACGACAACACGACGACATGGCGTCCTAGATGTTGTGTATCGGTGTAACACCAAGCATAACATACTTGATACAATCATGATTGTTTAAAAGCCAACCCTTTAGGCAAATACGTTCAATAGTATTAGCACACTCATCGCAGATTTAATAACATTACCCTCAACCAGAAACCAGTGACATCAACCTCACCACAACACTAAGCAGAATCAACCAAGCACCAAGCACCAAATAGGCTGAATTTTTTAAATTCAGTATTAGTATGTCTTCCAAATATGAAGCATTTTAGAACGAGCCCTTACAATGAATTGTTTGATGGAATTATATGATTTCTTTATTACCCACTATGGCCACCAAACAACTTGTGTGAATGCGTCATACGTCATAAACATTTCAAATCACAAATCACAAATAGCTTAACCAGGAGCCATCACTTCCTTTGTCTGATCTATGCTTTCGTTAGACGTTTACTCATGCCCTAACAAACTCCAATTTTTCAGATTGATTTTCGCGATAAAGCCAGAGTCACATGACAAACATCCGAACACCAGATAGACTTTTTTTTTCGTGGAGATGTAGATATATGAAAAATTTTCGAGCTTCATTTTTTACTCTTTCTTTTACCTTTTTTTTTCTTTAACTTTGTCTTAAAGTACCAATCCATCATAATAGACAGTACGTGATTAAATCTTTGAGGTTTTACCTTATTGCTTTGGTTTTAATTAATCGTGATCATTGATGGAGAGATAAAAATTGTATCAATAAGAACTCGTCTGGATTTTTCAACTGAAAGGTGGGTGTCAGATGATGCAGATATCTGTTATTCAATACGTTAATAAATGTTTTATTAATGTTAAGAAGTTTTCGCAGTTTTCGTAGAGTCGACTGAAGATGGTTTCTTTCGAGATATTAGTGTTCAGGATGTAAACGGTTTGAACAAAAAATGCCTCAGGAAGATTAATCTACATTATAACAGGAACTTGTAATCATCAATCATATCTACAAAGCTTTTATTGAATGCAATTAAACTTTTATTAAAACCTTTATCCTTAATCATTATCATTAGTTGATAGTAAATAAATAATGGATCATGATGCAACTTTTTTGTCGTGTGTTCTTGATGGTATCTCGTGCTAACGTTTTTCATTCAAACACTAAGTTGACAAAGATACAACAACGTTATCAGTGATCACCAAGTAGTCATGATCCGAAGTTTGAAATAATTCCCTTTCAAACTTGATTAGTTCCCAATTTGTCAGTTTCCTTTTAATTAATTTCCCATAGTTTATGCTTTAATGTTAAGAAGACCATTTTCTTTAACATTTAAACTGAGTATTGTCTATTTCTTTTCTTCACCTGCACTGCTCAGATTGTCACAACTTGAATTAGCATCATTATCACTTTCATTTTGTTGTTCCAATTTCAATCTTTCCAATTTTCTAATTTGTGTGGGTGTTAATCTTTTTGGCTTTCTGGGTATAACTGGACTAGTATTTGGTGTTGAAGTGGTTGTGTTAACATTTAGTGTAACGTTTAAACCATGTGCAATCTTGTCCTTTAGTTCATCTTCATGTTTGTAATACATGTAGTTTCTCAAAGCCATTTTTGGTTCAAATCATTCAAAAAAACACCTCAAATGTTGATGCTAAGGTTGATGAAGATTGATGACAGTGATGATGATGTATTTAACTTGTAACCTCAATAACGTCAAGTCTCTCCTTCTTTTCAACAAAATCATAACTTCTTTTTAAGTCAAAAACGGATCCATCTTTGTCTTTATATTTTAGCCTCCTGCAACTAAAAGCCTTAATCGTACGTTCTAAACAAATTTCTTCGTAAAAATAAAAATCAGTTCATTTTTTTTGAAAAAGATTCGCGGAATCTTTACAGAAATTTTCGCGGAATTAGTGACGGATATACAAGGAAAAACAGCTAAAGTGTATGTGAATATTCAATCAATATCAAGTTCGATAGCACCAAGTTCAATGGTTTTGTCAGTTTGTTCATTATCATAAGCATCATCAGTTGGTTTTGGTAACTCATCTCGTTTATCCAGTTGTTCCTCCTGTTTTTTAACCTTTAAAAGTAATTCAATAGGATTCATCATAAAATATGGGGATGATAATTTGTATATAGTGCATGCAAAGTTTTGATTACCAATTAATCTAATCTCATCTTCATCAACATCTTCATCATCTGTGAATCTATGTTGTTGCGGAGTCTCTTGTTCAGTATCACTATTTTGTTCATGAACTAAAGTTGTTGTAGCACTAATTTGTTGACTTGGTCTCTTCTTTAAATTTTGATAACTCTTGAAGTTAACAACATTGGACAGAACCCTTTTACCAGCTTTAACAACGTTTGATTTAGTGGATCCTATTGATGCATTATCTGAAACTCCATGGACAGCTTGATTAATTGAAATGGTTCTAAGAATCTTTCTTTTAACTAATTTTTCTTTCAAAACTGAATTTTGATCAGGATGTGGTTTATTTTTTAATAACTTGTTGATGTAGTTGTATAGTTGATGTTTTTCATTTTTCAATGACTTTACTTCAAACTGATATTTCTTGATTGTTTTATCATTATCATTAATCTTGTTGTTAATTTCATGTGCTAAACTTGATGAATTTCCCGAAATATCAAAAGTTTCATCCCCTGTCTCTTCATCCTCCTCCTCATCATCATGTATTACCAAAGAGCTCAGATCTTCTTCATCTGATGAGTCATTATCATGTATTTTCTTGTGTTCATGTTCCTTTTCCTTATCATGATGATGGCTGTGATGTAGTAAATTCTTCAGTTTCATCTCTTCAAGTTGTTCCAATGTTTGTTCCAATTGAACTTTCAAATCTTTCAATTCCAAATCTTTATTATCAACTTGGTTTTTAACAATTTCTAGTTCTTGATTGATATCGTTCAATTCATCATTTTTCTTTTTAATCATATGTTCGAATTTTGTTTGGTCAATCTTGGATTTTCTAAATTTATCATCCCATTCCTTTTCCATCTTTCGGTAATTCCCCAATGCATTTTCATAGTAACTAATTTCAACACTCAATTTCTTACTTAGGCTCTTGTTTAGATCAGTCATTTTTTGTAAATGCTGTTGTTGTTGATAAATTTGTTTTTCTTTCTGTAGCATTTCAATCTCCAATCTTTCCTGCTCACTCATTGACTGTTGACACTTGATCACTTCGTCTTTGTAGAGTCGTTCTAGCTTGGTGACATCTCTCTGTAGTTTGATCAGCTCCTTATTCTGATGATGATGGTTATTGTTGATCTTTGGGTATAATGGCTCCGTCTCATTGACTGCTATAGGTATGTTTTCCTTGTTGGTGTTCTCGCTCAGACTCATCCTAGGCTTGTGCTTCCTTTCAAATAACTTGTTCCTGGCAGTTCCGGCGTGTTTTATTATGGGCTGTTGGATTTTGAGTGGTACGTTTTCTTGTTTACATTTTGTGTTGTTTTGTTTACATTTTGGAAATTCGCGGTAACAGACGTCGCGAATGCGTTCTGTGAAGTGGATTTCATAGTACAATTTCAATCAATATTTAAAAAGATAATTAGTTCATAATGTCATCTATTTGGTGATTTTGTATATTCTAATCTCTTGTGTCAGCTGGGAAAACCAAACAGTTGCATCCAATTCACTAGGTTTCCTCACTCTACTTTCAATTGTGAAATTTAACCCATTCTGAACAATTGTCTCTTCAAACACTTTGATGGTATCCTCATTTCTTATAGTGGCTGCAATTAATGCTTGCTTAGCTCCCTGTTCCAATCCTGTTTGAATACACTTAACCAATGAGGGTATGACTTCAGCATCATAAGTGACATCTGCTGCAATTATAGTATCTATAGATGATGGAACCACGTCTTTCCCCCACCAAAGTGAATGACAATTAACACTTGCAATTGAGATGTCATTCAACTTGAAATTATGACTTAGTGATTCAATTAATGCACTGTCACCATCTGTAATTATAAGATCTTGAAGTTTCAACTTTGGTTCTTTCAAGAGATATAAACTCACCAACCCAGTACCAGTTCCTAATTCCAATACGTTCCCATTTTGCACTAGCTCCAAATGATTGGAAAGATACAAGGACAAGTATAGAGCAGCCTCCCAAGTTCTTAAACCAGTTGTTCCACTCCCACTAATAATTCTTGGAGTTTCTCGTATTTTCACAAGGACACCATTGATATTATAGGTTATTATATCAGTTTCAGTAACTTGTTTTGGTTTGGAATTGATCACTTCACTGAACAATTCATAAAATTCATCTTGATCTATATCTGTTCTGAATAATTTGTTAAAGAAACTCTTCACATAATATGGGTTTTCTTGAGAGATCTCCGTTAAAACATTTAGTAATTCATCATCAGATAGTTCTTTCGGTATAGAAATCTCTTGAATTGGTATTCTTTGCCTCAAATTGTTCAACAAATTGTCCATATTTTCGATTAATTGGTAAATTCTGAAGAAACTAATTTTTTGTATGTCAATTTTTTTTTTCAAATTCAACCCGTAAATCTGCCATTTTATTTTCATGTGTATACGCGTTTTCAAAATTAACCATTTTGCACCAAACAAAGTATAATAACCGTGTCTTTCACATATTAAAACTCGAACTAAGCTAAAGGTTGCATGATTCTAGCTCTCTTGCGAAGCATTGTTTTATGATTTATTTACATTTGAGAGTGTAATTTGATTAAACAAAACTAAGGCTAGTCCAAGATGTCACAACGGACTTATCAGTTCATTATTTATGATGCTTCAACATTTCAATCGAGGTATGAAGATAAATTGGATGACCAAAAGCTGAGAGAGAAACATCATAAAAAACGAGATCCTTTAAAAGTGATTACAACAAACAATGTTATATCGAAACCAATTAAAAATGGGAAAAAGATTGAATCAAATTATGAAGGAATGGAGGCTCCTAGATGGTCTTTACCATTGAAAATTTCTTTGCTAGGATAGTTTGGCAATACGAATTATCAATGAAAGAAAATGTATTTGATAGACCTTACCCCAATTGGGAGCGTTACTGGCAAAGCGGTCCAGGTTATACATTGTCAAATCTTGCATTAGAATATTTTCGAAAATGTTTGAATGATCTATATCGTACATATAACCCTTTATCAACTAGAAAGTTCACATTCTTTGACCTTCAAAAAGAGTTGAAATTCATGATGAATGAAGTTCAACAAAGAAATGAATTGATTAAACTTCCAAGAGTTTCATGGGATGAAGGTTCTGGATGTATTAAATATGACGAATTAGGGTGTGAAAAATCATTGAAGGCAATTTTAAATATAAAAAAGAACAAAGTTCTTGAAAAACTTGATTTAAAGAAATTTTTCACACCAAATAGTACATACTTTGGGTATATTGAAGGGTTTATAGAGTTGAGATCCTCATTGCCCAAGGAGTTCCCAAGAACATGATGAATATAGGTATGTGTAATTTAATGAATGCGAAAAGTTTCAATAATTCTACTCTGTAATACCAAATGCCAGAATTGAAATTAAAAGAATATAAATAGGTAGACTAGAGTCTATTTAGCAATAGTACCCAATACCCTAACTCTTTTAACACCACCATCTGGGATGATTGTTAATTTGACATGGGTATAAGATTGATCAATATTTTCAAGTTCAGTGAAAGAATGTTCTTTATCTGCAGTTGTCTTTGTCGGTTTAATTATTGAGACCCATTTTGAATCATCATGAGTTGGAATCACTTCATTTGTTGATAAACCATCAATCGCAATCTTTTGAGGGAAGTTACCTCTAAAGTGTGCAGTATCAATAACAATTTCATTAATATTGGTTTTAGCACCTAATTTAATGATAACCCAATCCACATGGCCTGGTTGTCTTGATCTCTTGGTTTCCCAACCATCACTCATATCATGACCACGACCTGGTAATAATAAATTATCTGCACTACCAAAATGTTGATCTGAACATTTAACAGCAACACCACCGAATCCTACTGAAGCTAAATCAATTATACTATTAGCTTTAATGGAATCCAAGTGTGGGACAACTTCACCATATAATCTAAATCTTGCAATACCACCATCTGGATATTGTTTTAATCTTGCATGAGTATAAGATTTTTCAGTAATTGATGATCTTTTGAAGAAATGTCTTTGAGATGGACCACATTCAGTTTTTTCAATAACTAAATCCCAATTAGCATGGTCTAAAGATTGACCTTCTTCAAGATGAGTACATTCCACTGTAATTGCAGGAGCATGATTCCCATTGAAAAAAGCAGTATCAATTTCAGTTCCAATGATTTTGGCACTTGAAACACCGAATTTTATAGTAACCCAATCAGCTTCTTCAGTATTATGTCTTCTTGTTTCCCAACCATCATACCAAGCACCAGAATAGACAAACTTGGTAGCATCTCTAATTGGGGCTTTTGGTTTAATTAAATTTTCAGCAGCTGCAAACCATTCATCACTGAAATTTACTATTGAACCTCCGACTTTTTCACCGACAACGTCAGTGTATAAAGAGACGACTTGATCTTTGAATTCTTGCTCAGAGAGTATTTGTGACATTGTGGATATTGATTGGATAAGAAGAGTAAAGTTGATGAATCCAAATGCTCATTATTTATAAAGTACTGATTGAAATCCCCGAGAAATCGATCTCGACGTTATCGGTTAAAGCCGATGGTTAAAAGTGGCTTTTGGCGCGAGTTTTGGCTAATGATAAGGGCCAAATTTAGGATGATAAGTGTGGGGAGAAGGTAGAGCTATTGGAAATGGATTGAGTGAGCATATCCCTTTTACTAGGTGAATTTATCTTTAGAAATGGACGTTTTAAGTAGAATTTGATGTGAATTGTGGGTATTAGTATTATGTCATGATAATATAATCCAACGTCACATGACATATTACTGATTGATTACATAATCTTTTTTGTTTAATTTACCCGCCTTTTCCACCCAAAATTTGGCCCTTTTTTAATTCGTTCATCAAAAAATCGACAATTGCAAAAAAGCACCAAAAATTGACTGGATCTCCTTAAATATTGAATTGAATTGTCAATAACATCAATTGAAAATACCAGAAAATGGCTGCCTCTATTAAAAGATTCAACACTCCTATCTTAAAACCTTTATGGCCATTCTTTGTCGGTGGTGCCGTTGTCTTCTGGGCCGTTGGTAAAGCTGCTGATGCCAGTTCAAGAACTAAAGATTTCATCAATGATCCTCGTAATCCTCGTTTTGCTAGAGGTGAAAAACCAGTTGAATTAAAAGATTGAATTGGAGGAATCAGTATTGGAACAATGAATTGGCATTGAACCTATATCACCAATGAATGAAAGAATAATAAACAATAATAATACAAAAAATATCACACCCACCAATAGACTTGGAGCAAAAAGAATTTTAGAGATGTGTTTAATGAATTTACAAACAAGAAAAACAAAATTATTTTACAAATATTCAATGAAATAAGGCATTTATATATTAAAATCTACAAAATATTTGTAGAAACTGAAAAAAATTATTACTGTTGAAGTATTTACACGTAATCTATACATGCAATTAAAAAGAGGTGATTGATTATCTCAATCTATGCTGATGCACTTGCAATGTTCAAAGCATGTTGTAAAACGTCCAACAAATCTTGTTGTTCTTCTAATCCAATACTAATTCTAACCAAATTTCTATCAACACCCCAATTTTCCACTTCATCTAATTCTTGATAATGTGCTAAAACTGCATATGGACATGCTAATGTAAAATTTGTACCTAAACTTGGACCTTTTGATAATGAAAGCTCATTAAAAAACACTCTTGCAACTTCTGGATTATAGAAAACTATACTTATCAATCCACCATAACCACCATGTTCATTTTTAATTTGATCATAATATTTCCTTGTATCATTTACCTTTGGATAATAAATTTCTTTAATTAATGATGATGAATGTTTTTGAAATAACTCCACAACTGCTTCACTTGTTATATTTATCTTTTGAGATCTTGTTTGGAAATCTCTTGAATTTCTTTCTAAATATATAGCATCTTCTGCCCAAAATAAATCTTCATAATTATTTTCGAAATAATTTTTAAACTCATTATAAAATGGTGATGAAGGATTCAAAACTAATGAACCAGCCATAACATTTGAATCCCCACTGAAAACTTTTGTTAATGATGAAACAACAATATCAGTATATGGTAAAACATCAATATTTAAGAAATTCCCCACAGTTTCATCCACAATAACTGGGAATTTGAATTTATTTGCTAATTCACGAATCTTTATTAAATTTGGAGTTCTCAATAATGGATTTGATGGACATTCGCAGAAAAATCCTAAAATTTTCAAACCTTTCTCTAATTGTTGCTCTAATTCATTTAAAGAATCATCATCACCAAACCCATAAAAATGAACACCTGGTCCAAATTTTTTCAAAATGTTTAAAGTATCAACATATGGGAATCCAAAACACACAGATTTTTCATTTGGTAATGTTTTCAAAATGGCTTGATGTGCATTAAAGATTGAAGCCATACCTGATGGATAAAGGAATATATCATCTTCTGAAACAGATCTTTGAACCTCAATCTTCAAATCTTCATCATTTTCTCTTAATGTACCTGCAATACGTCTTTTCAAAGCTTGTTTTGCCTCATTAACAAAACTTAAATTTAAATTTCTTCCAAATCTTTCTTCAATAAACAATTTATATTCTTTATCCTTATCCTCTTGTAAGTTATTTTCAGCAATTTGTAATTCTTGTAAAACATATTCACCTAATCTTGATGATATACCTTCACCTGAATGTTGCCAATAATTTTTAGCCAATGGGGACTCTTCCTTTGGGATAAACACAACAGCAATCTTTGCTTCTTTTCTATAACTTTCCTCTTCTTTTGTCTTTGGAGGTTGTGTAGTTAATTGTAATATTCTTACACTTGGATTATTGACACTTTTCTCTTTAACAAACTCTCTACAACGCTTTGCCACGTTATAACTTGGGAAAATAAAAGCCTTCTCATTCTCTCTACCGAATTTCCCCTCCACTAGTTTACACAGTTCTTGAATTTTACCATGGATAAAGAATCTTGGATATCCTGAGTTCATTTTAGAAGTGACCCATTCCTGGCCTTCTTCATAACCCACTGTGGCCTCCCATGTAGGCAGCGTGACACTGACAGCGTGAGGAGTATTGTTTGGGATAGGCTGCCCAATCTCTTGTGAAGGAATAGCCAGCATAATAGCGATAATAACGAGCCAATTGAGTGTTAAAATGCTTTGAATTTGCTTTGAATTTGATTTGATTTTGATCTTTTCGATGACTCTTTTCCAAAATAAAAAAAACCAATTCGCGGAGATCGCGATTTTGTTTTTGGTTTTGGGCCACTACTTTTTTTTCTGAAAGTTGACATTTGTTAAATTTGGAATTTAGTTTGATTCAGATCCAATCCAATTTCTTTTGGTTAAAGAGTCAATTGCTGGTTGATTGATTGGTTGACTAAGTGTTATAGCTGGTGGCTGTGCTGGAATTAATTCTGTTTAAGCTGCTCTTTTTCTGGTCTTGATTCCCTTATTTTTTGGTTGATTGAGTTTAAAAGTTTATGAATTTTACATTCCCAGATAGAAAGCCTTCATTTGGCATAAGACATCACAGCAGAGCAAAAGAAGATTCAGTTTGGAAAGCACTGAAAACAACATCCCCCTTCACCAATTTCTCATCAAATTCAAAAGATCAATTACCTTTATACAAGGATAAACCTATAAACAAAAAACAACAAATATCAGAAAGGCGTAAAAAAATGTTTTTCAAAGCTTTTATCCTTGGTATAGCATTCTATTGTTGTTACTATATTGGTTGGTATTTGAAAACTCAGGTATATAACGATTCTTTAGATTTTGAATTAAGTTGGAGTGAAAAACAAGATTTAGTTAAAGAAGCTTTTAGAGATTCTTGGAAACATTATGAACAAGACGCTTGGGGTAAAGATGTTTATAAACCATTATCCAAGACTGGTAAAAACATGGGTCAATACCCATTAGGTTGGATCATTGTGGATTCTTTAGATACAATGTTAATTATGGGATTAGATGAAGAATTCAAGACTGCCGAAGCTTGGGTAGCTAATGAATTAAGTTATGATTTTGATTATGAAGTCAATGTTTTTGAAACAACTATTCGAATGCTTGGTGGGTTGCTATCTGCCCATTATCTTTCAGGTAATGATATGTTTTTAGATAAAGCTGTTGATTTAGGTAATAGAATCCTTGGAGCTTTTGATTCACCTTCAGGTATACCTTATGCAAGTGTTAATTTGAAGACTGGTAAAGGTGTTAAAAATCATGTTGATAATGGTGCTTCATCAACTGCAGAAGTGTCTACATTACAATTAGAATTTAAATATTTATCAAAATTGACAGGTGAATCATTATATTGGGAAAAAGTGGAGAATATTATGAAGATATTGGATAAAAATCATCCAAAAGATGGATTAGTACCAATTTATGTTCATCCAGAAACTGGTAAATATCAAGGTAATTTAATAAGATTAGGTTCAAGAGGTGATTCTTATTATGAATATTTATTAAAACAATATTTACAAACTGAAAATCAAGAACCAATCTATAATATGATGTATCAAGAATCAAACCGTGGTATAAAGCAACATTTATTACGTAAATCCAAACCAAATGGATTAACATTTATTGGTGAATTGGAAAGAGGTATTGGAGGTCCATTATCAAATAAAATGGATCATTTAGTTTGTTTTATTGGTGGTTCATTTGCCCTTGGTGCAACAAATGGTGAAGATTTATTAACTGCTCGTAAGTCAGGTTCTTGGGATCATTTAAAAGAAGAAGATATGATGATTGCCAAAGAAATTACTCATTCTTGTTGGAAAACTTATGAAGGTACTGCAACTGGATTATCACCAGAAATTGTTGTTTTCAATACAAATGAAGATGCTAAAGAGGATTTCTATATTAAACCATTGGATAGACATAATTTACAAAGACCTGAAACAGTGGAAAGTTTATTCATTTTATATAGGATCACCAAAGATCCAATTTATAGAGAATGGGGTTGGAAAATTTTTGAAAGTTTTGTTAAACATACAAAGACACCCGATGGTTCTTATACTTCATTAGATGATGTCACCACAATCCCATCAAAACAAAGAGATAATATGGAATCATTCTGGCTAGCTGAAACTTTGAAATATTTATATTTATTATTTGATGATAGTGAAGATGAAAAATTACCTTTGAATAAAGTTGTTTTCAATACAGAAGCTCATCCATTCCCAAGATTTGATCCAAATCCATTATTTAAAACTGGATGGTCCAGAGAACAGGTTTCTGAACAAAATGATAAAATCGTTAATCAAGACAAAATTGATGAATCAGTTGGTGAAAAGATTAAACAAGATCTTGAACAACAAAAACTTGCTAAACAAGAACAAGAACAAGTTGCTGCGCCAAAATTAGAAAATGCACCAGCTGCCGCAGAACCTGCCAAACCTGCAATTGAACAATTAAAAGATATTGAAAAATCTGATGAGCAACAAGCTGCTGAAGTGGGGGAATCTGATATCAAGGAAAGATTGGCAAAAGGTGAAAATGTTAATCAAATCATTGAAGAATTGATTGAAAAAGAGGCTTGAAGTGAATTGTATACGAATATATATATCACATGATCGGTAATGGTCTTCCTGTAAAGATAATCTTGTGTTTTATTATATCAACCATTTTGATTTTTGCATCATCTACAGCATCATTTGGTAACCTAAGAACACCAATTGGAGGATTCAATTTCTTCACATCACCCAATAACCTTTGAGAAGTACCAATAAATAGCGTGGCTTTATTCCCATTTAGCTCCAGTCTACCTATCTTGACAGCATGGTTCACACCATCAATGGCCACGTATTTGGATTCCTCTTCAGGTGTTAAGCCTCGAGGTTTGGCACTTGGTAGTATCAGTTCGCCCTGGATCTCGAGCATCACGTTCCCGTTTGGCGTGGAAACAACGAGAGGAGAGCCGTCTGAGTTTGATAGTGATTTCTTAGCACCTGAGTAGTCGATTTCTTTGTATGGCATTTGGTGAGTTTGAGATAAAGAGGATTTTAATCTTTTGGTGTTTACGCGTATAGATTTTTTTTTCACAATCTTGTGTTTTTTTTTGTTTTTGGTTTTGAGCAAGAAACGAATTTTGTATGGCAAAACCACAATAAAGCCATCATCAATTCATTTAAATCAAGTTAAAGAATTAGTATTATCATGTCCTGGTTGTCATTTCTCAAATCAAAGGATTTCGATCCTTCTTCATTCGAAAAGGAACTCGCCAATATATCATCCAAAATATCCAAAAACCAACGAAGTATAGGATCGTTTAAATATCAAGAACGTCAATCCAAAAGTTTTATGATCATTTATGGTTCATTATCATATTTATTCATATTGTTATATTTCTTGGTTAAGAATGGATTACAATTGAATTTATATCACCAAAAAGAAATTGCATTAATCATTGGAACTCCGATCTTATTAATATCGGCAACTAAAACAATCATTTTCTATTATGCCAAAAGAATATCAAGATTGGAATCACATATTGAACATTTGAAATCTCAACATGAATCAAAGATTGAAGAATTGAAAAACAAGACAAATTTCCAATCAACTCAGGCTTTATTAAACAGATTTACAGATGGGAATGATTTAAATGCTCAATTAGATGAAGAATTATTAGCTAAACAACAACAATTGGAAGAGATTAAAAAACTTTCACTAGAGGGAAACAATGAAGCTCAAAGATTTAATGCTTATAGTCAGGCAGGCTCCTCAGGGAAACGTCATTGGTATGATTCAATAATAGATACAGTTGTTGGAGCTGATGAATTGAGTCCAAATAATAGATTTGCTTTGATTTGTATCAATTGTTCTTCACATAATGGACTAGCACCACCTGGAATGAAGCCCGAGTATGTAAAATATATTTGTCCTCGTTGTGGAGTATTGAATGGGAAAGACCCTGAACCTGCACCACAAGTTATTGTTGAGGATGTTGATGAAGAAACTACAAATGATTCAAAGAAGGAGCAGTAATAATAAGCTTAATGTGAAACTCTCTGTAGCTACAAAAAATCAGATCATAAAAGTTTGTTTATTTCATAAAATCTATGATGACAATTCCATGATGGCATTAACGATATCAGAATCGTGTTTTCTTAAAGCTTTAACAGCTTTAGCTCTTGAAACACCAGCTTGTTCAACAACTAATTCGATATCACCAGCTTTTAAACCGGATTCATCAACTTCACCTTCATCTTCTTCAGCATCTTCTTTTTTATCATTTAAAGAAGCAGCTTGTAAATCAGCAGTGATTGAAGCTGGGTCAGTTGGAGCAGCACCGTGATCATGACCTTCATGACCAGCAGCTGATGGATCAGCACCAGCTTGAGCTTGTTGTAATCTTTGAGTTAAATCTTCCAATTTAGCTTCACCGAAAACGATAAAAGTACCAGCAGCTGATTTGAAAACATCTGGGTTATCAATGGCAAAGATTTGGTTACCTCTTCTTCTGAAAGTAACTCTTGAAATACCTTCAACTTTTCTCAAGTTTAATTTAGCAATTAAAGCTCTAGCTTTTTTTTCATTTCTTGAGAAAACTGAGACTTGAGCACCTTGTGGGATTTCTTCTTGGACTTCTTCGATTTTTGGTTGTTCAGTAGCCATTTTTGTAATTAATTAATTGTATGAATTGGTTGTTAATTGTATGAGTTACTTCAAAGTGTTGAACTTTTTTTTCACATTTTTTTCAAAAAACTCGACGTCGAAAAAAAAAAGGCCTGTCATTGTGAATCGGTTCATTAACTTGTGGTAAATAAGGGTAACTATATAGCGAAGATTTAATTAAATCTGGTTTATTTTGTTGAATTATGGGTGATTATGGGTAATTATATTGAGTATTTGGTTGTAATATCTGATCTTGATCTAAATGGGCACTTTTCTATACCATTTTTAACCATATTCTAGGTATATTCCTACATCTGATTCCCATTCCACACCTGATTAATTCAAATCTATATACAATTCATACCAATAACCCCATTATTTCATTATGCAAATGCAAGTATTTTACCATTTTATTCAAATGCCTCAATCTTGGAAATTCTAGCTTCTCTACCACCATTGGGTATTTCCATCCATCTTGTGAAGGGGAATATAATTCTTGTAGCAGTTCCAATAACTAAACCAGTACTTATTGGACCAAAAGTATTACTATCTATTGAATGTAAATTATCACCTTCGACCCACAAATGATTTCTTGGAATGTGGCATTGTTCTCTTGGATAAGGATATCTTGTTAATATAGTATCACCTTGTACACCTTTAACCCTTTTACACAACACTTTTTCAGGATTAGTTGGAGATCTAAACAATATCACATCATTCACTTTCAATCCGTTATAGTCTCTAACCCCCCATTTCCATAATAATACCCAATCTTGTAATTTTGAGGTTGGGTTTAAAGTTGGTCTCATTGATGAACCTTCAATCTTTCCCACATAACAAACATGTTCATTCAAGACAATCATCACGGGGATCCATGACGCCACTAGGAGAGATACTCTGTATCCGTATTTGAATCCATTCTTGTATACTGGATTGATCATATTTCCATTGTGTTACAGAAAGCGGTGCCTGTTTTTGCAATAGAAATTCGTTGATGTTGATGTTATTTTTTCTATTGATTTTGTAGATGGGTTTGAAGCGATGGGCAACGATGCTATTACAATTACAATATTATAAAGAGTAAAATGTATAATTCCTATCTAAAGCACTGAGAGACTCATGGATTCCATCCTAGAGATACTCGTCAGTCTTCAAAGAATTGGAAATATTGTGAATAGGTTGAGTATAAGCAGGCTGATCTCAATTAGACTAACCAGATACATCAACAGATCACATTGGAAACCCGAAAGAAAACTACTGGACTCATGTGCTAACATAAACATTGTCAACCACACAACACTATCAGCTATCAATATGCTAAAATTCCGATGAAGAGATCGGTAGGCCCCCAATAAGGAACGGTTTTGACATCCTCATTGAGGCAGTCCACATCCAAAATATACTCTCAATAACTCAATTGACAAACCTGGGATACCTTTGCATGTTTTCACAGTAGGACAAAAAGTTATTTTCAATAATCACTTCAGTGCTGATGCGATTTACCATAAAGAATAAATTCTTCCTTGAAGTTGAAATACACAAGAAGTGAATCCTTATTCAACAACTTTTTTTTTTCAGAATCGCGACGTCAAGGATATTGGAGATTTGGCTCACTGGTTGTCCAGAGGCTCATGATTCAAGTCATAATGCCAGCTTTGATAGACTAATATAGAACATATGAAGTAGGTTTGGGTTTGTCTTCGAGTGTAGAGTTATCCAATTGTGTAGACAGTAGTGAATCTTTATACACGTAGATTAATGATTAAAGGAAACTACATTTCAATGTTTTGGTGATGGAAAAAATAGAATTCATTCAAATAACAAAGAGACCTAGTTTATAAACACTTGGGATACTCATGAGTTAAAGAACAACTGAAACGTACTTTACACAGACTGATTATCCTCCTAGCAAGAAACAACTGAGTGGAATAAAAACATTAGTTTTTTTTTCTAATGAATCAATCAATCGAATAGCTCTTGAAATGAAGGAATGAAAATCAGGCTGGTCTTGATAACGTTGGTCTTTGACTAACTGAACATAATCAATTATGCAAATTATCGACAAAGCGGTTGAAAAGTGTTCTGACGGTTGAAGCTATCTTAAATAGATTGCCATAAAAAACACCAACAGAATAAATACTGTTGAACATCAAACCTTTTTCTTGCAGAAGGATACTTAAATGATAAATATCACATAGAACTTAATCGGTAATTGAAATCACACTCCACAAATGGAATTGAAAGCTTCAATGGAACATAGTGACTTCTTACAAAAGTTATCAAGTACGAAAGACTCCGACAGAATCAAATTATATTTTCCTTCGCGAAATCGAACAAAACTACAGATCGAAAATTCAAAACAAAAAAGATTATTTCATCACTCTGATGAATTCAATGGCTAAGAATTGAATAACTCGAGAGACCGATTCGCTGAGAAGAATATATTTGTGTAATTTGCCGATTCCAGATGCTTTGTACATGCTCTAATTTTGATTTCTAAAGCTTATACTGATATATACTACTGATACGCTGAAACTCTGTTTAAGGGTTCCGATGTGTCCAAGATGAGAATGTGTGTTGGTCATAGTTTGAATATGAATATAATTGCTTATGGCATGACAACCTATAATCAATCAACTGCACAGCTAGTAGTGCAAACATTCATTGAGCGTCTTGAATGTTTCCATACGTTTGAGCCTCATGAAGTGTTTTGAATACCACCCGATTTTGTAATGATAATTACAGGATTCATGATTTGATTCAATCAATTTATTTATTGTAGAAATTGCTTTAATGCTGATCTAATTACTAAGTTAACGTTCTTATGGGTGTAATCTAGACGTGATCGTTTTGACGACTACATTGAATTACATTGGGCTATAGATGGGAAAAATATTGTCATTCAATACCCAAGAGACACAAACTTTAATCACATTCATGCGATTCATTTGTGATACTCATTGGCATTTCATTCGAAACAGCTAAAATATAAAACATAGTTGGAAACATTGAAAAAGTGTTCAAGTCAATCACAAGACTTGCTATAGAACATTGAACCATTTATCAACTATGTTCATTTGCCCAATACTCCCCGTTGATTAACAAAATCATTTATAAACGAATGATCTTGACATGCCAAAATAGAAACATAAATGCTTCCTACATGACACCATGCGCATACATTCGACAAGCTGATAAAGCCCACCATACTTTACTTTGATGAAGAACTTTGCAAAGGGCATCATGAGAATTCAAAATAAATAAGTAGTCTATATTACATAATCATCATTCTGTCACCCGGTCTTCAGCCACCCGCGGCCGGCTGGGCCGGAAGCACGGTCCGGTAGATGTGCACCTCACCGGTCCGGCATCCGTTCTCTTTCTTTTTCCATGATCACGAATATGATGAACTAAAATTGAATAGTGAAAAGGTATAAATACACTTTGCAAAGTCCCCTCCTTATGATCTTCAGCCGTCCAAGACAATAGATAACGTCCCACCTGTCAAGTTTAATTATAGTTGTCTAAACACTTACACAAGCATGTCTAATGAGACGTTGGATTTAACTCATGGAAAGAGTAAAATTATCAAATTCTTGATATGGTTTAAAAATTTCTGTATAAAACAATGGTTTTTCATAACTTTAGCTATATTTATAGTCATTGCAAGATTCGCTCCAAATTTTGCAAGACATGGAGGTTTAATAAGAGGTGAATATTCTATTGGTTATGGTGCTGTGGCTATAATTTTTTTACAATCTGGATTATCAATGAGTTCAAAAGATTTAATGAAAAATATGGGTCATTGGAGAGCTCATACTACAATCATAATCATTTCATTCTTAATAACTTCTGCAATCATGTTTGGTTTTGCCACGGCAATTAAAGCTGCTAATGATGAACATATTGATAAATGGGTATTGGTTGGTTTAATTGTCACTTGTACTTGTCCAACTACTGTTTCTTCAAATGTTGTGATGACTACCCAGGCAAATGGTAATGCACTTTTATGTCTTTGTGAAGTTTTCATTGGGAATGTCATAGGTGCTTTCATCTCGCCAGCTTTATTACAAATGTATACCTCGGATCCTTCTTGGTCATTTGGTAATCCAGCTTCTGATACCTCGGTTAGTGATTTATACAGAGAAGTTATGAAACAATTGGGATTATCAGTTTTCATTCCATTATTTGTTGGACAAGTCTTGCAAAATGTTTTCCCTAAACAAGTTAAATGGTTTTTGAAAATTACTAAATTAAATAAAGTTAGTAGTTTTTGTTTGATTTTAATCATGTTTAGTTCATTTTCAACAGCTTTTTATCAAGATGCATTCACCTCGGTTCCAAAAGCTTCAATTATTTTTTTGGTTTTCTTCAACATTGGGATTTATTTATTCTTTACGTTGATTTGCTTTTTAATGGCTAGACCTTATTTCATATTGAAAATTTTCAATCATGAACCAAATCAAGAATCTACTAAACTTTATACATGGAGTTATAAAATTTTCAGACCTTTTTATTACAATAGAAGAGATACCATCACAGTCATGTTTTGTGGTGCTGCTAAAACTGCAGCTTTAGGTGTTTCATTAATTTCATCTCAATATGGTGATAATTTTGAATATTTAGGTAGATTATTAGTTGCTTTAGTGTTGTATCAATCTGAACAAGTTATAACTGCTCAAGTTTTAGTCAATTTTTTCAAAAAATGGGAGAAATTGGATCATATTGATGAAATAAAAGATGATGATGAAGAAGCTAAAATTGGAAGCCCTGCTGATACAAGTGCACGTTCAACTAGTTCTGGTAATGAAGTTGAAGAAAATTATGACCATGATGCGGAATTGGAAAAGAAATAATCACTCTCGTTTTTAGATAGAATACTATAGATTAATTAATAATGTTTAATAGAATAATAACTTTCATTAACCCGTAGTACTAATACATTTTCTAAAAATTCTAGTTTAAAATGAAGTTTCCCAAATGGCCAAAGGACCTTTATCATTATAACTTTGTCTTGTAACAAAGAAATGTTCATTATTTGTACCAAATATTTGTTTTGAAACAATTTGACCTCCAAGGAAAAACCCATCTGCATATCCAGCTTTTTTCCATTCAGGGAAATATTCAGGCATTTTACCAAATTTAATTGAGTTTGGAATTTGATTATAAACAATTGATGAAGTTGATGTGGTTTGGAAAGCAGCTTGTGCTGGATTTTCTTGTAATTCTTTACCAATTAAATGATCTTCAATTAATTGAGCATTTAATGAATCTATAAAACCTTTCAACTTACTTGTTTTACCAACAATCAAAATATGGTCCCAACATTCTTGACGTTTTGATAAATCAACAATCTTGGTTAAACAATCATGAACTTTTGTTGATATTGTGGAAATTAAATTTTCACAACCTTTAAATCTTTCCTTCCCTATTGTAATTTCATTATCATCTTGATCAATAAATGAATTCTTCTCTAATTGAGAATTTGGTATTGAATTTTCACCTTTTTTTTCACGTTCTTCTAAAATCTCTCTAGTTCTACCCGAAGTAACAATAGCTGCAACGTCAAATTCATTATCATCCTCATCTTGATGGAATCCATCTTTACCGAAAAATGAATTTTGTTTATCTTCATCATTTAAAACTTCATAAATTGATGATTTTTTCAAACTTTCAATTTGACTTGATGTTAAATTTGGTAATAATTTTGATAATTGTTTATTTATATCATTCCCACCAACATCCAAAGTTTTCTTAGCATGATTAACAACTTCATAATCAACAACTGGTGTGATTTCTGTCTTGTCAAATCCAATATCAATAATAACACCATTTGGTTGTGCACCATATGCATAAACAGTGGCTAATGAACTAGGTATAACAGTGAATGCATTCAATTCCATAGATTCAAACACGTATTGTGTAATGTATTCTATATCTAATCTAGACCACCCTGCACTAGATAATAATAAGAATGGAATGTTATTAATATTTGGGTTTTTGGATAAAATTGATTTATAAATTAACTTCAAGAAGAAATTAAAAGCATTAATATTAACAATTTTACCTTTAATTATTGGATATATCACATCTGTTTCTTCACCTTTTGATAAAAAAAAGTTCTCTTTTGTTGGATGTTTATAAACTTTGGTTGGAACCTCTATAACAGGAGGTGTATAAGTACTATCATGTATACCAAATTGGACTAGTGTTATTTTTGACCCTGGGGATATTATCTAGATTTTGTTAGGAATTGCAGGCCAGCATTTTCTATTCAGATACTCACCAAGAAATGCTCTTCGTGGAATGGTGCCATTGCGTCTATACTCTTCTCCAAAACTTTTGTTTCCTTTGTTGTTGATGTTTATTTTTCTGATTTGTTTTGATTCTTTCATTTTCACATTTTTGATTCAAATTTCGAAGAAAAATTCGTGAAAGTGTGGGCGTACCGACTTCTTAACTATGGGTAGGATTAGAACTAGTTACAACAGGCATTAAAAGAGGTATTCTGTAGCTATAAATTAGTCAGTGTAATTTTGATATTTATAAAGACCATTTCTCTCCTTTAAACCACCAATTTCCACCCATTTAACACCATTTATGCGCTACTTTCCCGATTAGGAAGTCTAATTAGGCGTCGCATTTACCCGCCAAATGCGCTTCATTATTCGCGACCAGCCTTTGAAAAGTTATACCAGTTTTAATAATAGGAATCAATTAAAACCCAAGTGATATAAAGTGTTGGTGCCCATGCTGATACTATAAGAATGGCAAGAATATCGACCCCTAACAGCAGCCGGAGAAGAAGAAATGATGAAGGTATATACAGAAATTTACCAGGAGATCCAATACCTACAACAAGAAAGAAGCATAGATATAGACCAGGTACAAAAGCTTTAAGAGAGATCAGAAGGTTTCAGAAATCTACAGACTTGTTAATTGCCAAATTACCCTTTGCAAGAGTCGTGAGAGAAGTTGCTATGCAATATGTGGGGACTGAATTAGCTATTAGATGGCAATCTGTTGCAATATTAGCATTACAAGAAGCTGCTGAAGCATTTTTGGTTAGTTTGTTTGAAGATACAAATTTGTTGGCATTGCATGCTAAAAGGGTCACAATCATGCAGAAGGATATTCAATTGGCGAGAAGAATTAGAGGAACTTATTGAGACATAGGTGGTGGTTAATGTATTATAGTTTTGGTTGATTTTTTTTTTCATTTAATCATTGTTTTTATATTTAAAAGGTTTAGGCATTGTTCTTTTTGTTCATTATATATTTATTGTACAGTAATTATTGATGTAGCTACAAGGTTTAACATAAAATTTTCTTTTTGATAAAACAATAAACAAACTAAATATATCAAGAATTGTCCAAACACAAAAAAAATACAAATCATAACCATGATACAATACAATTAATACAAGCTAAAACGAACATCACAGAAAAACAAAACAAAATATCAAATCATACACGCTCCAAATAATTATATGGAGCAAGTCCAGTTTTCCCATTATCCAATTTTTCACATTCCCACCAACCATCATCTTGCATATGAACAACTAACAATAGATCATTCTCTTTAAATGATAATTCTCCTTCAATTGTAGCCTTGAAATCAAATATAGCTCTTGCATGTTTTATAACTCTTCTACCTTCTCTTGTCACTAATGGTAATCCATTACTTGAAACTTTTGCCTGTAGGTTTATTGAAGATTTACTTTGAGATCTTAAACCTGCATGGAATGAAGAACGTTTCATTGATTTTTCATCAATAAAATTAGTATTGGTATCCATAATCATTGATTTTGGTCTTATAGTGGTGGCATTTGTTCTATCACTTGACATTGAACTTGAGAAATCTGGTTGTAAAGGTGGTGTTTCTGTTAAATCTATTATAGTTGGCTTAGATTTTCTAGGTTCTGATCTGGTATTTGTTATTTGATTAGGATGTCCATTATTTTGTAACAATTCACGGAATTTATTCATATCACCATTACCACCAATTTTCAAATCTTCTAAAGTGGCTCTTAATGGATCTTCATTAGGTGGTACAACATATTGTGGTTGTTGTTGGGGTTTTGTTGGTTGTTGTTCCAATATAAATGATTTCCTACTTGAATTCTTTCTACCACTATTCCAACTTTCACCAAATTCTGAATTTCTACTACGACGACGTAGTGGTGAGTTCCAATTTTTGGATAATCTTGCTTCATTATCAACACTTTCAGTGAAACTTGAAATTGAAGTTGGATTTGAGTATCCACTTTCCTCTCTATGCAATCCTGTACTTGAAGGGTTTGATATGGAAGTTTGTCCATCATCTGAAGGTGGAGGTCTTCTTTGTAATTTAGGAGTTGATTTAGCTTGGGTATGATGATCAAATGTACTAGATGATACTTGGGAATGCAATCTTGAAACAGGTTGTTTTTGTTGTTGTTGTTGTGAAGCTGCAGAAGTTGATCTTGAATCGAAAAGTTGAGCTTTCTCTATTATAACTGGATTCGAATCTCTTTCATCACCACCATTCAAATAATCCACAAATTTTGGTGAAGAATAAATCTCTGAACCTGTTTTAAACTTTTTAACAAAAGTTGAAATTTCCTTTTGGGGATCACATTGCTCCAAAGAAGCTCTAACATTTTCACAAGCAGCATCATCTGTAACACATGATGTTGATACTGTATTTGTATATTCCCAAAGATTTGAAACAATAAATTGAATTCTCTCCATTTCCAAATCTTGTAATTTTGAACTTGCATTCTTCCATTCACTAATCCAAACTTTTTGAGTTTCTTCTAGTTTTTGAGTTGCATGATGATATTCAGATCTTAGTTCTGAAACTATTTGTTGTTGTCTAAATGTTCTATCATGATTTTTCTCCAATTCTTTACCTAATAACAAATTTTCTTGAGCAATATAAGTATTTAATTTTGAAACTTCATTTGCATATTTTTCTTTTAATCTTGAAACTTGAACTTCTAATTGATTTTTGTTCTTTCTTAAATTTTCCACAGAGGTTTCTAATGGTTTACATTTGGCTAAAAAATTTGATAAGAATGCATCAACTTTTAATAACGCTTCAGAATGTAATTTTCTAGCTTGATTTAAATGAGATCTTGACATTTGCTCAGTTTCATTTCTTAAAGTTTCAAATGATTCTCTTAAAAACCCAGTTTCATAAGTACCTCTTGTCTTTTTGGAAATTGCATTCAAACGACGAGAATATTCCTCTTCAAGTTGGATTCTTTCTTTATGGAAAGCTAATAATTCTTCACATGTTTGAGCACCTTGGTGCATTCTGTTGATAACAACTTCTGAACCTCTATCATCTTTCCCCTAGTGGTAATAATGTTAGTAAAAACCCCATACTGCTATTGCCTCAAAATAATGATAAACATACCCAAAAACTGGTTGTAAATGAAGGATTTAGAGCAGTAGTCATGGTTCTGTACACTTCTGCTATAATCAATAACTATCTTTTTGTACTTCTTTCAAGCTTTTGTCTCTTTATTTGTTTATTGTTTATTTAGAAAAATGTAGAGCAGGTTGAAAATTCAACTTGTTCTGTCAAAAATGTGATCTTTGATTATGCGGTGTTTACGTTTTGCCGAATCAGGAAACGTAATGAAAGCTGGAAGATTACCTAATTGGGATAATGATAGTCATGTGATTTATCATCTGATATGATGACTAAGATTGTGGTGTTTGGATGTTGGGCTTTAGTAGGCGTTTCGATTGTAAACAGGAGAGAAGAATGATTGATAGGACAGGTTTTGCCTCTGAGTTGAAACAAGTTCAATAAAGAATAAGAAGTTATCAATTTAATAAATTCTAATTTGCAAAATGTCGTGGTTTGGCTCAAGTACCGTGACGATAGATGCTCAGATTGAAAGAGCGACTGATGAATCAATCCCATTTGGGGAGACAGATCTTGCAACATCATTAGAAATAACAGATTTGATTAGAAGTAAACAAGTTTTACCAAAAGATGCTATGAGAAGTTTGAAGAAAAGATTAACATCTACGAAAAATCCAAATACTCAATTATCAACTTTACATTTGATTGATACATGTGTTAAAAATGGTGGTAATCATTTTATTGTGGAGATTTCATCAAGAGAGTTTATCGATTCAATAGTTTCCATTATCCATGATGATAAAACAAATGAGAATGTTCGAGATTTATCATTGGATTTAATTCAAAATTGGGCTATAGCATTTAAAGAAAATTTCCAATTTAAATATGTTGTTTCAACTTATGAACAATTAAAATCAGATGGGTATAATTTCCCACCTATTGGATCTGAAATATCATCAAATTTATTTGATTCAAGTGCCCCACCAGAATGGGAAGATTCAGATGCTTGTATGATTTGCTCCACTTTATTTTCAATGTTGAATAGAAAACATCATTGTAGAAATTGCGGTGGTGTTTTTTGTCAATCTCATTCATCAAAATCATTACCTTTGCCACATTTAGGTATAACTGAACCTGTTAGAGTTTGTGATACATGTTTTGACGAATTGTCATCAAAAAGCAGTAAAGGTCATAAGAGTAAAAAAACAAGAAGATCAAAACATCAAAAGGAAGTTTCAAGAGCAAGAGCTCAATATGATAGTGATGATGATGAAGATTTGAAGAAGGCATTAGCATTAAGTCTAAGAGAAAGTCAAGGTTATACACAAGTGCCGATTCCAGTTATTCCACCTCCTCAACCAACTCAACAACCAAAAGCCCAAACTGTTAATGAAGGTGATGATGATGAAGATATGAAGGCTGCCATTGCTGCAAGTTTGAAAGATTTAGAAGATAAAAAACTTGCCAATCAACAACAACAACAACAACAACCAATTGATAACAGCCCGTATGCTAATTTATTACCACAATCTAATTCTCAATCATATCAATCAAATATTGCACCTCAAGCACCATCAGTTAATCAAAACTTGAATATCATTAGTTCTAATGAAGAGAGTGATATAAGACAATTTGCATCAAAAGTTGACTATTATAAATCTAATCCATCAGCTACAACTGATATGAATGAATTACATGATTCATATAGAAGAGCAGTTCCATTAACTCCCAAGCTATCTAGTGATTTGAATGAATCTATAGATAAATACGATAAATTAGTGGATATGAATTCCAAGATTGATACAGTGATGAGGTTATATAATAAATTATTGGATGAGAGAATTGAACGGGAATCTAATTATCAAAGACAGTATCAACAACAAGCACAATATCAACCTTCTTCATATCAGCAATATCCACCTCAAGCTAATTATCAACAACAATACCAAGAACCATCCTCACCGGAAGCCTATTATAGAGCACCTTCACAAATCCCACAATTTAGTGGAAATTCTGTGCAACCTCAATCACCATATCAACAAAGACAACAGCCAATTGGACATGTTCAATCACCAGTAATTTCACCTCAACAACCTCAACAGCCTCAATATAGTGGTTATTCTCAACAACAACCACAACAACCATACCAAGAAACTCCACCAGCCTATTCTAGCGGACCGGGTCAATATCCATCCTATTCAGAAACTACATCTCAAGTTCCTGTTGAATATAAAGAAGAAGAACCAAATGAGGAAGAAGAGGAAGAAGAGGAGGATGAATTCACAGCACCACCACCAGTCGTTACACAAGAGGTTGGAGAACAAAATTTTTATGAACCTACACCTCAACATGTTGTTCAGCCAGAATTCACTGGAGAGTCACAATCAACTTATAATGCCCAAGAACCACTACAACTTCAACAACCACCTCAGCCTTCACAGCCTTCACAGCCTTCACAACCTCAACAATACCGTGCTCCACAAGCTTCATACGGATATGCACAACCGACTAATAATCAATATCAATATAACCAACCAAAAGTTACAGATATTACATTTCCATCCGTTCCTATGAATAAACCACCACCTGGGCCAACAGCACCAATAAGCCAGAGTGAACCACCAGCACAACCAAAAGAGGAACAGTTGATTGAGTTGTGATGTGTTTATTAAAATATAGAAGGTTCTATGTACATCGAATTTGTAGAACGTCTGTCATTTCCACATGTGTACCCAGATGGGCTTTGATTTGACACATTTTTGGGATCTGTAGAGCCAAAAAGCCCAAGTAGGTTTGAATCTCGATATAGGACTACGTTGAGATGTTGAGATGACAATAAGCGAGTGAGTCATGGATTCTATAAACAGGTCGGTTAGTTTGGTGTGTTTTGTACACGGCAGTCTTTTAAAGCACTCATTTGTTTTGCCTTGTACTTGGCTGGGGTGTGACTTTGGTCTAGAATTGGGACGAGTGACAGGGGGAGATCCACAACTAGTAAAGAATAGGAAGAAGGTATTAGATATTTTATTCTACTATAGCTATAGCTATTATTCATTATTCTATTACTCTATTATTCTATTATCTTTATAGTATTCATTCCACTATTATTCTTCTCTTTCTTCCTCGTTTCTTGTTTATTTTCGAATCCACACTAAAAAAAGTTTTCACTTTGGTCATACAAATTACGTCAGTCACGTGCCAGTTTATTTCAGTATGGGGTATGACAGCGGCTAATATAAAGAGCAACGAACAGCCAAAGACAAGTTTCCATTCTGTTCATTTCACTTTAACTAAAGAATGTCGAGTCCAAACGTGCTATCAAACAGCTGGAAACTGGGCGAACTGGTGCCTCCATTGCACTCTCCTCGTGCTCTTCACCACCATCACTCAAGCTCAAATAGCCCTTATAATAACAGTTTACTATATAATGACAACAACAACAACAATAACTTCAACTACTCATTCATCAACAAGGACTTCATAGATTTCGATCCTCATGACCAATCCACTGCTCTGCCAAATCATGCCTCCATCTCAGCTTTCAGAAACTTGACATCCACCCCAAGATCTTCACACCCAACTTCTCTTCCAAAATCATTACCTATTGATTGGAATCTGTTCAATAAACAATTCACTTTGAATCAAAAATTGAGACAATCGAAATTGAAAAGAAAAAGATCTGAATTAGGTGATGCTACTGATGTTGATGTTGATGATGAACCCCAGATCCAAAACAATTTTGAAAACTTACCCTTCCAAGTTATTGACTTTATTGCAGATTGTGTTGAATCTCAAACTGATTTAATCAATCTAAGTCAAACTTGTAAATTTTTCAATAGAATCATCAACAAAAGATTATATTCCAAAATCATCATTGTGGATAAAATCACTGATAAACACAAAAATTATGATAGTAATTACACGTTATTAGATGTGAAAAATTATCCAAAATTTTTAGCTTCTTTACATTCAAATGAAATCATCATTCAACTTATTAATGAAATAATCATTGATACTTCTTCAAATAATACAAGTTATGATCAATTAACAGACAACATTTTTGAATCATTATATGAATTATTTTTAACCAAAAATAACAATTTGAAAGTTTTGGAAAATTTGGATCTAAACAATTTGAAAAAATTTGATTCATTAATCCAATACAATAGAGATTATTTGATTAAACATAATCATAACAAATACAATTATTATGTTTCATCTGCTGATTCATTAGATGAAATCATTAGAAAAGATTTATTGAATTTACAAAATTTCCAATTATTAGATTTGAATGATATTAATAAATTACCAAGCTCTACTAAATCATTATCAATCTTCATTGAAAATCAACACAACTTTAAAGATAATTTTAAACTAAATTTGAATGGATGGAGAGTTTTATCAAATCTTACGTCATTACAGTTAAGTACTCCTACAACTTTTGATTCATTTGTTGAAGAATTATATTCAATTTATACAAATACCAACAACACTTTCAAACCAACAAAATTATCAAATATTAAAACTCTTTCAATATCAAATGTTCATAAATATGATTTAGAAAATGGCCATTCAAATGAATTATCATTAGCAAAGTTAAATACAATAATTGATATGAGTAAAATTCAAGAGTTGGAGTTGAAAGTTAAATGTTATGAGAATGTTTTATGTAATTGTTGTATCATGAAATTTTTCAATGATTGGTATGAAACATTAGGTTTAGATTCCAAATTTTCAAGTTTGACTAAATTATCAATTATAAATCATTCACCTTCATCAAATTCAAATATAAACATTCAATGGGATCAAATCTTGACAAATAAAATCTTTTTAGAGAAATTTGGTGGTGAAAATTTGGAATTTTTCTTTATAAATTTAAATGATTTCCCATTTGTTCCATTATTTGAAAAAACTGCATCATTTGAAACTAATGATTCAATGAAATTACCAATTAATAATGATATCCTAAGAATTAGAAAATTAATGTATCAATCTTTATTGAAAAGTTTTAAAAATTTACAAGATTTCATCATACCTGATTTTTTTTATAATTGGTTGGTTTATAATAATATTGAAGATTTATCAAATGATGATAATTTAAATTATTTAAATTATTTGGATTCATGTCATTGTGTTGAATGTTGTGAGGCAAGATTAATTTTCAAAAATTATTCCAAAACAACAGCTTTTAAAGATTTCAAGGGAAGATTTAATTCAAATTTGAATTATAACAAAGGTCCTTGTGTTTCAAATTATAACAAATTAAATGATTCACCAGATAGTTATAGAATTTTTTATAATTTTTTGATTAGAGAATTAAAATCAAGAATTCCATTAAAACAATTAAACAAGATTCAAAATTCTTTAAATATGGAAAAATTCCCACCAAATCAAATCAGTAATACAATTGTTTCAAAACAAGATTTCAACAAATTAATCAAATTAATCATTCATTCATTAAAACATCACATTAATTACATATTAGTTCAATTACCAAATATCAAGAAATTTAATCTTGGTGGGATATTGTTTAAATGTTATAAACAACAAGATAATAAAATTATGGTTCATGCTGTTTATGATGATTATAATGAAGTTTTCAAAATTAGAGGAAATTGAAAACAATATGATAATATACATTAATGCATACATTTTACATTTTATGAGAAATTAATTGATTTAATCATTCTAGTCTGTCCTTTTAATTAATGAATCGTTGTCACATGCGTCACTTGCAGGTCATAAATTAATTACACTTCAGCTCACTTGATTTGTTTCAAATCATGAGTAATAACTTTCTCTTTTGACCAGTTGTATCGGTTTATGAAATTCACTATTATATTAACCAGGTTATAATACATTGTGTTGATTAATTCATCAATTTGATTATCGCTAATACGCCCGCGCGCGGCCGGCGCAAAAGCAAATATTTCAAACGCAAATAGAATAACATTTATGTGTGACACAGATATAAATAAAATACATACATATGATTCTAAGATTTTGAATTTTAATATGAAAGATAATTCAAATTTAATTTCGGGATTTAAGTTTTGTAAATTTTAGTATATAAAAGTATTTTATCGACTTAGTTATTTTTATTTCATAAAACAAATGAGGGCAAAGCAAATTATTCAAAAAATCAAAATAATTAATATCAATTAATTTTAGCATGGTGGGAATCGCTGCTGCCTACTTAGTCTATTATCAGTAGTGGATAATTATAATGTATCGAGTACATGATTTAATCATCATTATTAATTAATGATCCAGGCAGGTCACGTGATGCTTTTAAAAATGAGCGTATAATAATCTGACAAGCTGTCAATAAACACATGGAAAGCTCGAATCACTTATAAGTGAAAGCAAGGAGGAGTTTTGAACGGATGAGAGCATAAAATGTAACCTCTCCCACTCAATCATTCATTGAAGGGGTATATTTTCATTAAACGGCCAGCTGTCAAAAGCAACGGGTCAAAGAGAATCTAAAAAACAAATTTTCTAGTTCTTTGGCGCAAAATTAATTTAACAAGTTTAAATCATTTAGTCTATTAGATCTTGAGTATCATGATTCGAGTACCCACAACTAGACTCGACTTAATAAGAGTATTAGCGAGAAGGCAATCATGTCGATGCTGTTATTCAACATCCAATGAACCTCCTACCTGGAGAGCTACCAAAAGAAAAAGGCGCTTCCCAACTCTGAATTTAGCACTGAAAAATTCGGATCCAATTACAAATGTTATAAAGACAATAATTGAAAAAAAAGATACACCAAATGAACCAAAGAAAACCCTTTCAGGAATATATGATAGATCTTTGGAATTCAAGCCAGTTAAACCTCCAAGACAGAGATCAAAGAAGAGAATAATGCCAAAGAAAAAAACCCCAGACGGTGAAGTGAGAGATCTTATATCGTATATAAAAGGGGAAAAAAGAATGCAAACAGATGAATCGAGTGAATACTATGAAAGAGAGCACTTCGAAAGAGAAGAAGATGATTCACCAAAGTCATACTTTAAAGATGAATTACCAAATAACGAGTTTTTAGTAAAAGAGGACGGAAATATTGAAACAATGGTGGATTATCAACGTTTTATCAGTAAATGTATTTATTATGAGATTGGGCTCGATGGTCATATTGGTTCTAATGCAAAGATTGAAAATGAAGAAGAAGGAAGATTCTCGACGAATGTTGTTATTGATGGACAAATTAAAAAAGCTTTAGGGTTTAATGGACGTCCTTTCGAATCAACTAACCAAGCTTTCTTTTTAGTAACAGATGGTGAATTTAGATGCTGTAAGATCGAGAGTTATGATTTTGGTGATGATGTTTTGGAGGTCAAGGCTACATTGTTTCCATGGGAGGAAAGCTCAGCTTTCAAAGAAATGGTGCAAAATTATCAAGGTTCAAAATTTCGTATTGTTCCTTGCCCAAACTCTCTTAATGTTGCAATATTCCGTTTAAGAGATCTTCCATATTCAAAATTCCAAAATTTGTTTCTTAGTAAACCGTTAGCAATTAAAGAAGCTAGTGATGAAGCACCAAAAGAGAAACCTTTATTGGTTGATCCAGCTTTCAAAAATTTAAATGATTCACAACAACGGTTTATTAAAAGTGCACTATCGAATCCGTTGACTGTGCTTAGGGGACCTCCAGGAACTGGTAAGACTGAAACCATTTTCCAGTTCATTATAAACTATCTTGAAAGGGCCAGATCTAATGAATTATTCGAGAGATACGAGTTACCAAACGTGGCAGTCAAAGAGAATGGGGTCAAAAAGAAGGATTTAAAACCAAGAGTGTTAGTTGTTGCAGGGTCAAATGTTGCAGTTGATAATATTCTTGCCAAACTGATTAAACTTAACAAAATCGCACCATTAAGAATCCTATCTTCTGCTCAAAAGGATGGCTATGATAGAGAGAGTGAGTTTGGTCCCTATTGCTTGCACAATATTGTCTTGAGTCAATATATTGAAGAGAATCCAGATCAACTTGGTGTTGGATTTTCAGGAGTTCAAGATCCAGAAAAATTTGCAGATAATTTGATGGGTGATTCATCAAATTGGAAATTAGCAAAGAAGAGTCTGGAGGTTGTATTGAATGCAGAGGTTATTTTAACAACAACATATATTTCAGCTAGTGCTCTATTGAAGAAAGTTAATATAGATTGCATAATTATGGATGAAAGTTCTCAAGTTTCTGAAATTGATTCAATTTTACCATTAGCAAGGGAAGAAATTAAAAAAGTTGTATTGGTTGGTGATGAGAATCAATTACAACCATTTGCTGGGAACAGTGATGCTACAAAAAGCTCTCTTTTTGACCAAATAATTCAAAGTGAAGAAACATTTGGACAATGGATACAAATGTTGGACACACAGTATAGAATGCATCCAGCAATTTCAGCATTTTCTATTGAAAAAATTTATGAGAATAAGTTAAAAGATGGTGTTGATGCTAATGATCGTATTCTTGATAATGGACCAGGTCCTTTAGTGTTTGTTGATTATTGGTCAAAGTATCAAGTAATACCAGAGTTAAAAGAAATGAAAAATGGAAAATCATTTCTGAACCGTGGAGAGGCTAAACTCATTGTGGAAATTATTAAGAAATTGATGTACAGCACATCATTGAAGTTGAATGAAATCGGTATTGTGACACCATATGCTGCACAGAAAGACCACATTGCCCATGTATTGGGAAAGGACAGATTGATTAATCCTAGAGGGGATAGAGCGTTAGGTGATTTTGCTAGTAGTGAAGGGTTCGTCAGAAAAAGAAAAGAAACAATGAAAGTTGTTAACGGTATTATGATTGGATCGATTGATGTGTTCCAAGGTCATGAAAAACCTGTCATTATTTTTTCAACTGTTCGTTCAAATGATGACGGTGAAACTGGGTTCTTGAAAAGTAAAAGAAGACTAAATGTTGGTATAACCAGGGCACAATATTCTTTAATTATGGTTGGTAACTACAAATGTTTACAAGATTCTGATCCATTTTTGGACGATATGCTTCGCCACTTCGAGACACGGGGAAGGATAATTGAAACTGATGAATTTCTGAAAGAGAAGTGGACGAATGATGGTGGTGATACTACTGCTTCTAGTGCTGCAACTGGCATTTCATGAAGATGTATCTAGATGTATATAGTTAATAGAGAAGTGTACATACAAAAAGAAAAGCTGAAAAGTGGCAATACTTGTGATAACAACCTTATTTCACTATCCAACAGCATAAACCAAATCTTCCCTATGAATTTTTACCTTGTCTGCTTTCAAACCTTTGGTTTCGCTTACGTTACATGTTCGTTTTGACACTTTGCACGACTTTTCTTTGATAAGGAAAAGAAAACAAAACAAAACGCGCTTGTTCCCAAAAAGTGATCTGTTCTAGATGAGCTGGAATGTTGCCAGAGAAAATAGAGCCAATGGGTATAAAACGACGTCCAGATGGCAGGTTTAACGATTTTTTTCTCACCAATTCAATCAAAACATTAGTTCAGGATGGTGGTGCTCGTTTGTCAAACGTGTAAAGTCTCTTTGGATGACAACTTGATGCAAAAGCATATCCGTGATCAAAGACATCGTGGCGTTAAACATGAGCCTACCGGGCTGGAATTCTGCTGTGAAAAGTGTTCTGTGAAGGATGTCCACCAGCTTGCCATCATGAGAAGTGTACCAAATAAGATCTCCATGCTCTGTACCTCTTGTGCTAAGAAAGATCGAGCTTCAAAAGTTGCCGCCAAATACACCATTGGCAATGGGTCTCTATTGAAGTACTGTGATGGTTACTTCAAGTTGAAAGGACTTCGCTGTGGGTTTTGTAATAAGAAAAAGATGCTAGGAACAATGAGAGGAATGAAATTGATATCTTGTAAGAACTGTGTTGAAGCTGATGATGTACAACATTTTGTTCCAATGAATCATCCACAGTTTATTGAAATCTTCATGAGAACCATTCAAAGGTTGAGAAAGTTGAATACCCAAAATTCATTGATAAATCCACTGGTTTAGAAGAAGATGTTGGTTCTTTAAAAATAACAGTTGGTAAAACCAAATCAGGGAGTTCATTGGATTATTTACCAGAAGATTTCGACTTCGCTACTGAATTTGCAGATCAGAAACCAGTTCTTGCATATGAAAGCGTTTCTGACTACCAACAAACAATGTCTTATAACCTTTATTTGGAAGCGGTTATAGAAGCAGAGGCGGGTATAGAAGCAGAGTTTCTTCAAAGTAGAGAAATTAAATGGAATGACAGTACTGAGGAATTTACTGCATGTTTTCTGAAGAATGAAAAATTAATGAAGCATGTTCCTAAAAGATTGAGAGCAGTTGGTAAAGGTCCCTTTTCTAGAGGTCAAGCAGTTTTTGTTACAGTCCCGAATGATAAACAGGCTATTTGGTCATGCTTACTTACGAATATAGATATTGACAAAAACTCTATACCCCAAAGAATTTATATTACTGGGAGATGCTTTAATTGGTATAGTTCAGTTGTCAAAAGTGGGTTATATCGTAAATCTGTCTTGAATATTTTACCTTGCTCCGTTCCAGTGTCTCGTGTTTTAACAAGTTTGGAACAAGTTGGCAAAACAAGTTTTGTGGACTTGATTTTAGGTCAAAAGCACATTGAACAGAAATTTTCAAATTCAAAGTTGGCAAAACAAGTTTTGTGGACTTGATTTTAGGTCAAAAGCACATTGAACAGAAATTTTCAAATTCAGTCACTTTGAAACATCCTTTAACTGCCCAGCTAAATCATTCTCAAAAATCTGCAATTAGTTACGTTTTGAATAACACAGTCTCGGTTTTAAGAGGACCACCTGGAACTGGGAAAACTTCAACCATTCACCAGTTGATCTTACAATATGCTAAAGAGTTTTCCAGGTTCTCAATATTGGTTGTTGCTGCTTCAAATGTTGCCATCGATAACATCGCAGAAAAATTCCTAACCATTCAAGAGTTCAAACCATTGAGAATTGTATCTCAAATGAAGGAAAGTGAATACAAAGAAGATCATAATTTATTTCCTATCTGTTTACATTCACAGACCTATGGTAAATTAAAGAAACACAATAAGGTTGTTTATGATGACTACATGAACGGGAAAGTTGTCTCTGAAGAGGATTATAAAAGTTTGATGAGACAGTGGTTTTCAATTGCTGAACCTATAGTTGAAGCTTCCCGGATCATCTTCACCACAACTAGTGGAGCTGGTTCAGGTCTACTTTCTGGAGATAGAGCACCGAGGGTACCAATCGTGATAATGGATGAAAGTACACAGTCCTCTGAAGTATTTAGTCTTATTCCACTAACTTTGAAAGGTGTTTCTAAATTTGTTTTTGTTGGTGATGAAAAACAGTTGAGTGCGTTTTCTGATATTCCATTCTTGGCTCAATCTTTATTTGAAAGAATTTTGAGAAATGGAACTTATCAGCATCCTCATATATTGGATACTCAATATAGAATGCACCCAAATATCTTATCGTTTTCAATTAAGCATTTTTATAACGGAAAATTATCAGATGGTATCACTTCAAAAGATCGTGTAATTGACAAGTGGATTACTGCGCTAACATTCTTGGATACAGGTACTAGAATGGGGAGAGAAAATGCTGTCGCAAGTGATGTTAAAGGGACCACTTCATATGAAAACCTTCAAGAGGTAGATGTTGTACTCGATGTTATTATCAAGTTGTTGAGATTACCAAATATAAGTCATAATGATATAGGTGTCATTACACCTTACGCTGCTCAAAGAGATGCTTTATCAAATGCCATACAAAGAAATGGAATTATTAATCCAGAAGGTTTAGAAATCAAAGAACAAGATGATATAGAGAATATTTTTGAAAGGAACACTCCAACGGTCAAAATAATCAATGGATTAATGGTGAGTTCGATTGATGCTTTCCAAGGTCGTGAAAAGAAAATTATTATATTCTCGTGCGTTCGTTCCAATAATCTTAATAGGATTGGGTTCTTAAAAGATCCAAGACGTTTAAATGTCGCTTTAACAAGGGCTCAATATGCTTTAATCATGGTTGGTGATAAAACTTGTTTAAGAAAAGGAAATGATCTATGGGCAGAGCTAATACAGCATTTTGAACGTAACGGGAGAATGATTGCTCCACACTCGTTTATAATTTAGCTTGAATTGAATATGTTTTTAGAATGATGCCTATAGTAGCTAAATTTTCGCGACAAGAAGAACGCTGTCAAATTTCAACGGGTCAATGAAAAAAAAAACATTCAAGAACACATTGGTGCTTGAGGTCATATTTAGGACTACTTGATGCTTCAAACTATTTGTCCAATCCAGCTGGTATAATCAATTATGTGCAGTGGGTTAAGCTAGAATGCTGTATTCTTAGTTTTTTTTGAGGTTATCAGGGCTTTTTTACACCGCTCTGCAGCTTTTCTTTGTCTGAAATGATAAGCTCCTTGTTTGGATGAAATTCTAGATCGTGAACCATTAAAACTCAAATATGTTGGTTTGGACCGCCCATGTGTGATAGTAAAGAACGTTCCCAAATATTATCACTGAATAATTATAAATCACTGAAATTTCTCTTTCAACGTTACTTTTGATGAATGTTGATGATATTCATTAAGAGGCTTCAAGCAATATGGTGGAATATTCCTGTCAAGTGTGTGACATATCAGTGGAGCATGACTTGATGCACAAACATTTGAAGTTCTCTAACCATAGAAACATTAAACATAAAAAAACAGAGCAGTTACTTTGCTGTGAAGAATGCTCAGAAAGTGATGTTGGTGAATTGACCATAATGAGAAATTTTCCAGACAAACTAACAATGGTTTGCAAAAGGTGTTTTGGGAAATGTAGTCTTGGAAAAAGTATTGACGTGGCTCAAAAATACACTATAGCGGACATTTCATTTTTGAAAGTTGTTGCTAGCTATATGATTTTGAAGTATCTTCACTGTGGCTCTTGTGGAAGTAAAGGGACTAATGATCTGGGTGTCATAAAGGGACTGAAAATGATCATTTACAAAAGCTGTATTAGCTCTGAGCTGTCTTCCAATTTTTTGTCATCAAAAGATTCAGGGTTTGTGGAAAAACTTTCAGAGATTTATGCTCAAGATGATGTTGAATTTCCAAAGTTCGTTTCAAGCAAAGAAAATGGAAATATTAGTGAAGCTTCACATAATTTCGAATGTTTAAAGATATCTGAAGTTCAAAAACCTCAACCTTTACAACAGTCTAAAGATGAATTTGGGTTGTTTCCAAACAGCTCTCCTCCCAATTCTTATGAGTCTCCTGTTGACTACCAAAGGTTACTTTGCTCCAAGCTTCATCAGGAAGAATCTTTGGAGACAGAAGTCATTACATCTAGAAATATTGAGTCTTGTGATAATGAAAGAGTTGTTATAAATTTTGCAAATGACGCATCGCTCAAAAAACTTGTTCCTGAAAATTTGAGATATCTTGAGAAAAGTCCATTCTCTGTGAACCAGGCTCTTTATGTGAGCTCCCCAAATATCCCCCATGTTTTTGCATGTATAATTGTCAAAGTTTACACTGATTACAAGAATGGAATAGTTCAAGTTTCAGCAAAATTTTGCAATTGGCATCATGCAGTGACAACTGCAAGCTTAATTGGTGCATCTGTTCTCACCATTATGCGCTGTTCAATTCCAACTAGTCGTGTTTTGAAGAGTTTGGAGAGAATTGAAAAGACACCGTTCACTGACATGTTGCTTGGTCAAAAAAGAATAAGAAAGTTTTATTCAAGAGAACCACTAGAATTCCCATTGACCAATGAGCTCAATAACTCACAAATAAACGTTATAAAGCATGCTTTAAATAACAAAATAACTGTGTTGAAAGGACCACCTGGAACAGGCAAAACATCAACTATTCACCAGCTGATTTTGCAATACGCCAAATAGTTCCAAAGATTCCCAATATTGGTGGTTGCCGCATCAAATATTGCTATTGATAACCTAGCTGAAAAGTTTGTTAACTCTTCTGATTTAAAGGCCTTAAGAATAATTTCCAAATCGAAAGAGAAAGATTACGATAAAAGTCATATACTGTCTTCCATCTGCTTACATACCCAAGTTTTATCCAAGATAGGACAAGCCAATCAACAAACGTATGATGCCATAAAAGAGGAAATCCATGTTCCTAAAGAGAATTATAAACTTTTGATGGGGTCTTGGTTTAATACTGCTACTACTATCGTTCAAGATTCGCAAGTCATTTTCACAACAATATCTGGAGCTGGTAATAACTTGTTTAAAGATATCAAGATACCAATGGTCATCATGGACGAAAGTACACAATCATCAGAAGCCGCAACTCTTGTTCCACTAACATTGAAAGGCGTATCGAAGTTTGTGTTTGTGGGAGATGAGAAACAACTAAGTGCATTATCAAAGGTTCCATTTTTGACACAATCATTATTTGAAAGAATTTTGAAAAACGGTACATATGGTGATCCTCATGTCCTGAATGTTCAGTATAGGATGCACCCAAAGATCTCTGAGTTTCCAGTCCAGAAGTTCTACAAGGGAAAATTGAATGATGGTGTTCTTGAAGTAGATCGGTTCATGGATGAAAAACTGGATGCAATTTCATTCCTAGATTACGGGTTTTCAGAAATGGAGACAAAAGTATCTAATCCTGACAAAAATGGGTTTTCGTTTGAAAATTCACAGGAGGCTTCAATAGTTTTGGATACAGTGACACATTTGTACAACATCCGTCAGGTTTCACACAATGATATTGGTATAATTACTCCTTATAGTGCTCAAAGAGATCTGATTGCACAATTCTTATTTGAAGACATTAATGTGAATCCTGAAAATCTTCCTATTGAAGATACTGTTGCAGCTAATGAAATTGATGACGATGATGTTGTACATGAGGATGTGGTTGAAAAACATTCATCTAGAGTTAAACTAGTTAATGATTTGATGGTCAGCTCCATTGATGCATTCCAAGGGCGTGAAAAAAAGATTATAATCTTTTCATGTGTTCGTTCGAACTCTAAAGGGAATTTTGGGTTCTTGAAAGACCCAAGGAGATTAAATGTTGCTTTGACAAGGGCTAGTCACACATTGATAATCATTGGAAACAAATCTTGCTTAAGCAAAGGTGATGAATTATGGGCTGATTTGATTGATTATTTCGAGAAGAATGACAGGCTAATATCTTTTGAAGAGTTTATGGGTTGCTGAGTATAATTAGATATGGCTATTATATACTTTAGTACTTCTGAAACTGTCTTGAAACATTGTATTCTTAAACTATTTAGCTATTATGATGACGTAATCGGCTCGCGAAAATTTTACCTCGATTTTCTTTAATCTTTGAAGACTATCAATTAGATTCAAACAGTGATCAAGCTGCATACAAAGCAAGGGCAAAAAGCCATGGTTGATTTCACCTGTAACACATGTTCAGTTTCACTGGACTCACAGGAGATGCTTAAGCATCTTTCTGCTACTAGACACAAGAGCGTAATGCACAACCCTTCACAAGAAACTCTTGAATGTGAAAAATGTCAAGATACAAATATTCATCAATTGATAATCATTAGGTATGGTGGTCAAGATATTTCCCAAGTATGCCAAAGCTGCTTTGCAAAAGAAGATGAAAAACCATCAACTCAATACACTTTGCAAAATGGTTCAATTTTGAGGAACGTGGAAAACTATTTTAAAGTCCGTGACTTGAGTTGTGTATTATGTGATAATGACTCTCACTTGAATGTTGATAAGAATGATCCTTCGTATATTGCTTGTTATAAATGTATAACAGAGAAAGAATTGGACAAAACTAGACAGTTTCTTAAAGAGTCTGATGAAAACTTTCTCTATGTTTTATTGGGCATTAAAGAACATGTGAAAGCACCAAAAAGTTTCAAAAGGCAACGTAAAGTTGGAAGAAGTAAGAAAGGTGGTAAGTTCGGTAGAAGACAAAATAACAAGCCTGCTCCACCAACAAGAGTCAATACACCTAGTGAAAACAAGGAAAGTTTAAGAACATTTCAGGCCCTATCAAAGTCACAAGTTGAAAAAATTAGACCTGAAGATGAAAAGAACAAAATACCCACAAACATTGTTAAGGAGCCCGCTCAGAAACACATCAAGAGTCAACCAGGTTCAAGAGGTAACAAAACTCCTGTGAGCAGATCAAGCGGTCTCTCGACAGGAAAGAGCACTCCGAAGTCATCTTCAAAACAATCCAGTACTTTCAAGTCTTCGGAAAAGAAAAATGAAAACAAAAAATTTGTGGACAATGTCACTGCTGGATTAAAGAATTTGAACGTTTCAGATAGAGAAATTAAAAGAGATGGTAAAGAGAGGCCTTCAAAGAAATCTACAGCTGGCGAAAAGAAAGTCAAGTCTCCTTCAAATCCTAGTGCACCTTCCACTAGCAAAGTGACCAAACCGAGACCAGCTAATCCTTCCAATGAGAGAACTTCAACTCAGAAGAATTTGAAGCCTGGGAAAGATGAAAGACCAAAAGGTAAACCGGAAAGAAAAGCAAGAGCTCAGGATAAAGATGCTACTAAACCAACTAATGGGTCAAAACCAAGTGAGAAACAAGGTGGTGAACCAGTAAATGGAACAGACTCAAAGATAAAAAAAGCTGCTGAAAAACCAACGAAACCTCCTAGAGATGTAAAGTCTGGTAAGAATGGGAAACCACAAGAAAATAAGGGTGGAAAGCAACAAAATGATAAGTCTAAGAAGCAAAAAGACTCCAAATCTTCAATGAAACCCACCAAGACTGAACCAAAGAAGGATTCTACAAAAATGCCTGCTCCATCACAGCAAGATGAAGATTATGAAGAGCTTGAACATATTCCTAAGTACCTGAGTAACAAACCGAAACTTTCATATGATAGTTTGAATGAGTATTTCAAAGAGATGTGTTTCCATCTATATTTGGAAGAGAAATTAGCTACAACTCCAATAACTGAATTCTCCACTGAATGGCATAAGGATAATAAGAACTTATTCAAAGTTACTATTCCGTTTACTGAAGAGATTGAAAAACTAGTTCCACCTAAATTGAGAAATCTTGGTAAATTACCCTTCAGCATGAATCAATCAATTTTTGTTGCTAAGGCAAATGATAAAGATAATATTTGGGATTGTTTTGTTAAAGATCTGAATCTAACTAAAAGACACGGTAAAAAAATTGAATTATTATTGGAGCTATACAAATGGAATAATAGTGATAATTTCCCAATTGGTTCTTCAAGTTTATCAATAGTTCCATGCTCCGCTACAATTACCAGAATCTTGTTTGCAATGTCAAGAATTGAAAATCCAAAATTTATCAAGATGTTATTAGGTAAAGAACCAATTAGACAGATCAATTTTAAAAATAGGTTACAATTTACTAAACCGACTTTTAATGATTCTCAAAAAACAGCAATTCAACACGTGTTAAACAATGCCATAACTGTCTTACAAGGTCCTCCAGGTACAGGTAAAACATCAACAATTCATGAAATCATTTTACAATTATTTAGAAACTTGAAAACTTTCCCAATTTTAGTTGTCGCGGCATCCAATATTGCAATTGATAACATTGCAGAAAAATTGAAACAAGATGATGATTTAACAATTTTGAGAATTGTTTCAACTGAAAAAGAACGTGAATATAATGATAAACATCATTTATATGATATTTGTTTACATCAACAAGTTTTCAATAGGCTACCAGAAAGAAATAAAGAAATAGCCTTGGATATGAAATTTAATAGAAAGCCTGTTAGTCAAAATCAATATAAAAAACTGTTAACAGTGTCTAACTCAATTACAGAAAAATTGGTTGCTCAAGCTCAGGTTATTTTAACTACCTCTGTTGTTGCCGGTGGGTATCAATTGAAATCTATCAAGAAATTACCAGTTGTTATTATGGATGAAAGTACTCAATCATCAGAAGCCTGTTCATTAATCCCGTTGAGTATGCCAGGTGTTGATAGATTCATATTTGTGGGGGATGATAAACAATTAAGTTCCTTTTCTGAGGTTCCATATTTGGAACAGTCTTTATTTGAAAGAGTTTTGAAAAATGATACCTATAAGAACCCTCATATGCTAAATGTCCAATATAGAATGCATCCAAAGATTTCCGAGTTTCCAATTAAGAATTTCTACCATGATATGTTATCAGATGGTGTTACTGAAGAAGATAGAGGAATGGAAGGGATTGATCCATTAGTGTTTGTCAATTATGGGTCCAAATATAAAGAATCCAAGGTTTCTAACTATAAGAGATTCAATGGAGGTGGTTATACTTATACTAATCATGGTGAAGCAAAATTGATTTTACAAATTTTAAAAGATTTGGTCTACACAAAGAATGTTGATAAGCAAGACATTAGTATCATTACTCCATACTCAGCTCAAAGAGATTTATTAGCTACAACAATTCAAAAAGATGATTTGATCAATCCAAATAATGAAGAGATTGAAGAAGAAGTTGATGAAGATTCCTTAACAAGTAAAAAACCAACCACCATCAAGACCATTTGTAACATTATGGTTAGTTCAATTGATGCTTTCCAAGGTCGTGAAAAGAATTTCATTATATTCTCATGTGTTAGATCTAATGACGAAAACAAGATTGGGTTTGTTAAAGATGCTAGAAGATTGAATGTTGCATTAACTAGAGCAAGAGATGGGTTGATTCTAGTTGGTAATAAGGAATGTATGAGTCAAGGAGATGAACTATGGAACAAGCTACTCACTCACATTGGGTCCAAGAATTGTATAGTATCTGAGGACTACCTTAATCAATAGATAATAGGAACAATTCATTGATAAAATCATACAGGTTATTGTAGTAGTGGCCGAAACCAGGAATCCTGAAAAAAGGATGGGGGCACATAAAAACGCGAAACCGAAACCGAAGCGCAAAAGAAAAAAAAAATTCGTGGGATTCGAAAAGTTTGAATTTATTTTGGTTGGGAAAAGTCTGAAATTGGTGGTAATTTTGCGTAGAAAAAGAGTAGAAATGTCTAGTAAATTTGAATTGATTGACCCTATCAATTATTTAAGACCTTATTGATACCTTTATGTAGCTTTTTCCCAAAATATCCCAGTTTCTGAGGGTGGGATAGCCCTGGTACGCGCCACAGCCAGCAACACCTGATGGACCGATCTCAGCCAGAAAAAACAGAATATCGAGAATTGGTGAAATAAAAGTTTCCAAAAGCCAAAAAAGCACCTTTAGCAGACCTGATCAATTTGAACTCGTTCGTCGTGTACTAGCTGTTGTTTAAACTTTCACTGTCATCGTCGTTCTGTCCTCTTTGCCCATACTAAATATTCATTCAAGTTCTCACCCCTTTAACACAGCAAGAACAGGTAGTGAATAGTCAAGATGTTGTTGAAGAATATCGTCCGTCCTCTTGCTAACCAAACAGCTTCCTTGAGAAATGCTCAAAGAGTCGCAAGAACCATGGCTACTGAAGCCACCAATGAAGATGATGTAAGTTATTCTTGTTTATTTGATGTTTCTGTGTTTGTAATTGATGGTTTCTGAGAAATAGGAGAACTCTAAATCAACCAATTCAATCACCAAAGCGTTTTGATATTGTTTATCATGAATCAAGTATTAACATCCCTCTAGCTTGTTACAATTGAATTGCCAGCTTCATCTTTTGAAGGTTATGAATTAGAAGTTCCAGAATTGAGTTTCCAAACTTCAAAACAAACATTATTACAAATGTATAAAGATATGATCATTATCAGAAGAATGGAAATGGCTTCTGATGCTTTATACAAAGCTAAAAAAATTAGAGGTTTCTGTCATTTATCTGTTGGTCAAGAAGCCATTGCTGTTGGTATTGAAAACGCCATCACCAAAAAAGATACCGTTATCACCTCTTATAGATGTCATGGTTTCACCTATGTTAGAGGTTCCCCAGTTAAAGATGTCTTGGGTGAATTGATGGGTCGTCGTTGTGGTGTTTCTTACGGTAAAGGTGGTTCTATGCATATGTATACCACTGGGTTCTACGGTGGTAACGGTATTGTTGGTGCTCAAGTCCCATTAGGTGCCGGTTTAGCTTTTGCTCATAAATATAGAAATGAAGATAACGCTACCTTCACTTTATACGGTGATGGTGCTGCTAACCAAGGTCAAGTTTTCGAATCTTATAACATGGCTAAATTATGGAACTTACCATGTATCTTTGCCTGTGAAAACAACAAATACGGTATGGGTACTTCTGCTGCTAGATCTTCTGCTTTAACTGATTATTACAAGAGAGGTCAATATATTCCAGGTTTGAAAGTGAATGGTATGGATGTTTTAGCTTCATACCAAGCCTCTAAATTCGCTAAAGACTGGTGTATTTCAGGTAATGGTCCATTAGTTTTGGAATATGAAACTTATAGATATGGTGGTCACTCCATGTCTGATCCAGGTACCACTTACAGAACCAGAGAAGAAATCCAACATATGAGATCAAGAAACGATCCAATTGCTGGTTTGAAACTTCATTTATTAGAATTAGGTGTTGCCACTGAAGAAGAAATCAAATCATATGATAAGGCTGCTAGAGCTTATGTTGATGAACAAGTTGAATTAGCTGATGCTTCTCCAGCTCCAGAAGCTAAAATGTCAATCTTATTCGAAGATGTTTACGTTCCAGGTTCTGAAGTTCCAGAATTAAGAGGTCGTATCTCTGATGATACTTGGTCTTTTGAAAAGAACGATTATGCTCACAAGGTTTATTAGAGAAAAACTCATAGCTCAATTGATGATATAAATATATTCTAAATTAATTTATTTAACAAAAAAAATGTAAATTGTAGAGACTACAGTTTGTGGGTTTTTTTCTAAGTGCACATATATCATTACATTCTTAACTATATTCAAGGTTGGTATAAAAAAAACATCATCATATAAAAAAAAAGCAGTTAAAGCAAAGTGGCATTAATTGATGATTATTTGGATGCAGCAGCTTGAGCTTGTTGTTGTTTTTCAAATTCTAATTGTTTTTCCAACTGTTTCTTCATCATTTCTTCTTGACTTGGTAAGTTACCTTCAACAATATCTTTTAATTTAAAAGTTTCTTTTGGCATTTCAGCTTGTAATTTTAATTTTTGTTCTTCTTCTTTAATCAATTGTTGGAAGTGTTGGAAATTTCTAACACCTTCATCATGAATAGCGTCTAATGGGAATTTTTGTTTAACAACTGGTAATCCCAATAATTTATTTAATAAATTGGTTGATTCCTTTTTAGCTTGATCTTTTTCAAATTCTTGACGTAATTTTTCAGATCTTTCTAAAAATTCTTCACTAATATGTGATTTGTTTTTAAATGAAGATAAAATTGGTCTAACATCTTTAACTTGTTGAGTTGCTAAGTATTCCAAGAATGGGATTAATTTAATCAATTCATCATCAGCTTGACCATTCCATGGTTGTAATTTGATAGCATTTTCTGGTTGTAATTTAATTGAATTTTCATCAACATCTATAATTAAAACTTTGGAAACATCTCTGTTCAATTTTGATAAATCTTTAATATGGGCACCATCTTTGTATAAACAATGTTCTTTATATAGTTGATAACTAATATAAGCATGTAATGGATCTAATTTTTCAACAATTTTTTCACTGTACATCATATAGTTAGAACTGAATAAAACGATTTCATAATATTGACTCAAATAACCCAAGAAGTAATCAACACCTGGTCTTTTAGCAGTTTTCCAACCATTTTTACTATCCCATTCACTATGAATTAATAAATCTTCCAAAGTTAAAACTAAAGTTAAAGGACGTTTATAAGGTTCTGGTGGGGAATCTGGCAATAAATCAGGGAATGGAGGTTCTTGGAAATAGGTAAAGATTGAATTAAATCTAGCATTGAATCTTGCCCACATGGAATCTAAAGAATAACCATTTGGAATGTCTTTCTTAATCTTTTCATCTTCATCAGCTTCCCAATCTCTAGCCAAATAACCAACAGTACCTAATGCAGTGGCAAAGAACCCCAAATAGAAGTAGTTAGCTGCCTTTTCTCTTTTAACATCGGTGGAACTTTGTCTATTACGTTTCTTTCTTTCTGATTTACCATCTTCATTACCAGCAGTTTCTTCAGTTTCACCAGAACTAGATGATTCACCTTCTTGCTTTCCATTAGACTTTGAAGCTGTTGGTTCTTCAACATCGACACCAGCCTTAGCTAATAAATCATCTGTGAGAATGGACTGTTGTTGTTCTTTCTTTTTATCTTTTGGATCGTTGAATCTGATGCTTGTTGATGATATGGATCTATAGCTCATTAAAACAGGAGAAACACGAGCAGCTTGCTTCAAAGCAGAAGCTCTCAATGCCCTTGATAATGGAGCAGCAAGTAAGCGGAAACTCATCACACTCAGAACTTGGTTCAGTCTTAAATTAAATGTATTTGACGAAATCCTGCTAATATTCATCCAAAAAACCTTCAGTTTTCACTTTTTTCATCGTCATCAAGTGTATTTCAAACTCGAGGGTTGAGAAGTCGGAATATTGCACTTTTAATACGAAAGATACGAGGGTAAGTGGCCTCGGTATATAGGTAGTAAGGTGAGAAACAGGGTTTAAAACATATAATTTATGGTTATTTGTTTAATTAATTTGTGAATTTGTTATTGGCTGTCCAAGGGTGTCTTCTCAAAGTGTCTAACGGGTTTTATCTGTTTTGTTTTGGTGAGAATTCTTCCAAAATTGTGTGAATTTGTAGATGAAATAGGAAAAATAAATAATGATGATTAACTTCATCTTCATCTCAATCAATTCAATATTATAACCAAGGATTCCCTTTCACAGGTATAAAGGCCAAAACTTAGAGCAAAATCTACACAGTGGTCATGTCGTCATCCTCGTTTGAAAAGAGAATAACCACGCTCTACCAGGAAATGGTAAAGAGAAACAATGAGCAATGTATTATGGAGGAGGTTAAGAATAATAACCAACAAGCTTTGGTTAATTACGACAGCTTGATAGACTATATCAACGAAAGCGTACATTTACTCAGGTCTGAATACAACATCAAGAATCTTAGAGCTGTTGATAAGATTGCCTTAAACAATGTGATACAGTTCAAATCCAATGTTATTGCAAGAAAGACTGTCGTGGAGAAGAGACTCAACCAACAGGAAAAGTATAAAATACACGGCACAAACAGAGACCAGATATCAAGCTATACATCATTCATGTCAGCATTTAAGCCTAAATCTAAACCAATACAGTCTGCTTCATCTTCAAATGGTCAAACATCAGGTACAGATTTTAAAGTTCCGACATTACCTCAACAACAACAACAACCACAACAATTTACCAATGGATTTCAGAGTGAAGTCCCGGTGAGAAAATCACTAGACTTACCAAGAGCAAGAAAGAATCAAGAGTTTGCAAGCCGTGCTAGGTCAAAATCTCCAAGTCATGGGTCAAGACGTGAACGCCCCAAATCAATAGATCTAACTATAAACCAAGCCGCATTATTGGCATGGGATGCTAAACAGAAATCAGGCACAGTATCACCAAGAGCTACCTCACCACCACCACAATCAAAGATAACCAAAAATAACAGCTCACAAAATATTTCAAAGAGAAAATATGATTACGTACAACCAACAATTAATACCCAAATTAACTTGACACCTGTTGGTTACAACAAGATGAAATCTCCAACATTAGGTGCCTCCTCTTCAAGAAAAGCATCCCCAAAGACAAATAATGTACCAAGAGATGAAAACGAAAGACCTGTTTTTGCATCTGCAAATGGCTCCACAAAAGGTTTAGGAATTCAGGCGAATGGTAAAAGTTATTCAGATCCAAGAATCAAAGAAGTGATGAACAATTTACAAGGTGTTGATAGACAGGCTTGTGATCAAATTTTAGATGAAATCTTGATTACAGATGAAAAATTAACATGGGATGATTTGGCTGGTTTAGCAATTGCAAAAAAGTCGTTGAAAGAAACCGTGGTTTACCCATTTCTAAGACCAGATTTGTTCAAAGGTTTACGTGAACCAATCAGTGGTATGCTATTGTTTGGACCACCAGGTACAGGTAAAACAATGATTGCAAAAACTGTTGCCAATGAATCAAATTCAACTTTTTTCAGTATCAGTGCATCTTCTTTGTTATCCAAGTACCTTGGTGAAAGTGAAAAGTTGATTAGAGCATTATTTTACCTTGCGAAAAAACTATCACCTTCAATTATTTTCTTTGATGAAATTGATTCCTTATTGACGGCAAGAAGTGATAACGAAAATGAAAGTTCAAGAAGAGTTAAAACTGAATTTTTGATCCAATGGTCCTCATTATCATCAGCTACTGCAAGGGACAGTAGTAATGAAAATAGGGTCTTGGTTTTAGCTGCAACTAATTTACCATGGGCTATTGACGAAGCAGCAAGAAGAAGATTTACAAGAAGACTTTATATTCCTCTACCTGAATTTGAAACAAGGTTGACTCAATTACACAAATTGTTCCAATTTGCCAATCATTCACTTTCAGAAACTGACTTTATAATAATTGCAAATTTAACAGAAGGTTATTCAAATAGTGATATTACCTCATTAGCCAAAGAAGCAGCTATGGAACCAATTAGAGATTGTGGTGACAATTTGATGAATATCAACTACAACGAGGTTAGAGGTGTGGAATTGAAAGATTTTGAAAGGGCAATGGCGAGTATAAAGAAGAGTGTTGGTAAAGAAACTCTGGCGAGATTTGAACAATGGGCAAGTAGTTTCGGTAGTATGGGAGCATAAGTGAGAGTTTGATGTTATATTAAAAAGGGATAGATGTACTTTATTGACTGTAATTTATAAATGATCAATAATTATTACCATTCAGCTGCTAATAAATTAAATATAGGATATTAAAGATCCGAAATGTAGTCTGTGTTAGATAGATATTGAGTCATGACAACACCAACACTCGGCCCAGATATTGCTCCTGATTCTAGTGTGAAAGAGAAACATTACCAGCCACCAGTCTCCAAGTACCTCAGTAGCCTTCAGACACTTGAATATTTCGATTACTCTACCTTATATTTAATCATCAACATGAATAATAAAATGAAAGTTATTACTATAATTTTTTTTTTTTTTTTGTATACAATAACTATAATCTGTCAGGAATTACGTAAGCAGTAAAATGACGTATCAAACCATAAAAATTTAAAAATTTTATAAGGCAACTTGGCCGAGTGGTTAAGGCGAAAGATTAGAAATCTTTTGGGTTTACCCGCGCAGGTTCGAATCCTGCAGTTGTCGATATTTTTTTAGGCTTATTTTAGGCCGTTTTTTCATTTTTTTTTATAATTAAATGAATCTAATGATCCTTATGAGACGACTGCATATTTTATTTATCAATTTGAAGTTCATTTTGTGAAGTTATGATGCATTTTAGTTCTGTTCTATTTCCCATACTTAATCAAAAAGTCGTCCGCGAACCATTTCTTCTTTTGATATTTTTTTTTTTCCTGCAGGTTTAAAATTTTTTTTTTATAGAAGAGATGAGCTTGTATAGATACTGGCTTTGAAGTGTTGATTCATCCAGTTACACCCTAACCTTCGTTGAAAATGGAATTAGCTATTGCTCCACAAGATCAAGACATTCTTCTTAGAGATAAGAATGTCATTAATGAATCAGTTTTAAATAAATACAGATTAGCTGGTCAAGTTTCCCAAACTACATTAACTTATTTAACAAAATTGATCAATGATTCTTACCACCTTGGGAAAGGTCCAAAGATTTCTACTGATGAATTGTGTATACTTGGTGATTCATTCTTAGCCTCATCATTAGAATCGGTTTATAGCAAAGGCTCAAACTCTGTTAATGAGAAAGGTATTGCACAACCAGTTACTATTGATGTTAATAATGTTAGTAACGGGTTTGGTCCAGAATTAGATGATGATCATAAAAATTTTAAACATTTTGAAGCTGGTGATATTGTTACAATAACTTTAGGATGTCATATTGATGGTTATACTTCTAATCTTTCACATACTTTAGTTATTTATCCACCTGGTGAAAAGACTCAAGAAAATGATGAAGAATTACGTCCAACTGGTCCTTTATTAGGCCCAAAGGCCGACGCTGTCGTTGCTGCTCATATTGCCAGTGAAACTGTTATTGCCCTATTAGGTGTTTCTTTAACCCCAGAAAAATTCCCGACATTCTTAAAAACATTAAATAATGGTTCAAATTCCATCACTGGTAGTTTAATCAGATCAGCAGTTGATGAAATTGCAGAATCATTCAAATGTATTGTTGTTCCAGGCTCAAGAGTTCGTCGTATTAGAAGATTTTTAGCTGGTCAAGCTGAAGGTGTCGTTGCTGAAAAGGAATTTAAAGGTGTTGTTTGGTCAGAAGGTGATCAAGAAGCAACTCTGTTACAACAGGCTGCTGACAATGCTTCCAAGGATTTAGTTAAACTAGATAAAGATGTTAAAGGTACAGGTGTTAACCAAATTAGTGCTATTCCAACTGATGATTTCGTGGTTCATCCAGGTGAAACATATGTTGTTGATATCAAAATGGCACCAATAAGTGAATTCAATGAAGTTGGTTTAGTTACATTACAAACTGTTGATGGTTATACAGGTAAAAATCACGATGAAAGCTCATTGAATATTAAACCAAGTATATTTGTTAGAGATTTTGCTATGCAACACACTTTGAAATTAAGAACTTCAAGACAGACATTAACTAAAATTGACAAGACAAGATCAGTTTATCCATTCAAATTAAGTCATCTTTCTGATAAATTCCCAATAAATATCAAGGCTGGTTCAGGTTATGGATCTGAAGCTTTGAATCAAGACATTGAATCAATTAAAAAAGATATTAAAAGTTCAAGATTAGGTTTAACTGAAATCTTGAATAACCATTTAGCTGTTGCTAAACCAATTCAAACTGTTAGATTTCTACCATTACATGTTATACTTAATGCTACCAATAAGACTGGTTCACATGGATTTGATGCTGAAACTCCAACTTTACCAGGTTTAGAATTACCATTACCAAGATTAGGAATCTCCTCATTAAAATTAAAATCATTATTAAAGAAGAACTCATTACCAATTCCAGTTGCAAGAGAACAATCAACTGTTGTTTTAATTCAATCTGGTATCTCCTCAGGTGGTAGACCAGAAGTTTTGAGATTAACCGGTGGTAGTAAAACTGCTAAACCAAGTTGGGTCCATTCTAACTATCAATTGAATGAAACTAGAATCTTGATTCAAGGTGCTATTGAATTGATCAAGTTGAGTCAAGATAAAAGATTCGGTATCAATATTCGTGAATGTCAACCAATGAAATTGACCAATGTTTTATCATTTGATAATAAACCAGAGGAACAAATGAACATTGACTGAAATATCTTTGGGGCATTTACATTGAATTAGTTGTATAATATAAAGGTTTAAAAATAGTGAAACTTTTCAAAGTGTAGCTTTTTGACGTCACTTGAACTGTTTCTATGGTTACATATTCAGCATCTGAATCGGGAAATGGTTATGGTGCGCTGGGTGCCCAATCACGGTGGCGAGAATTTACCCGCTAACTTATGTCTGCCCACTCCGCCTAAAGCCCATGGGAGTTTCTGCCCAACTCCTGCCTAGCTCCTGCTTAGCTCCTGCCTGGAGATCCTCCGCCTGGCTCGCGTTCGCCCCTTCGTGACCTGGCAACACAACCCGGTTCACACCACAGAAATTGTGACCTAAATCAGCGATTTACCTCTTTTGGAGATTTGTTTTATTTTTTTTTCCTCTATTTTTTTTTAGCAGCTCCCTTTGGATGGAACTTTTTGAATCAGTCAACCATTTTTCTATTTTCCATAATAAATCAACTTGTTTCAACTTTGCAACTTTGTCAACATCTGTTAGTGAAGTCAAAACAACTAGTAAGTATCGAAGCTACAATGGTACTGATCGAAGCACAATGAGAACAGAGAAGCATTGGAGCAGTATTTCGTTGAAATGGGGAGTCAATGAAACTCCTTGTTGTTGTTGATTCGGGATTGATTTGTTGATTGAAGCAAGTGTTTCGTTTGAGCTATTTTCGAACTATGAAAAGTTCAATCCATATGGCAAAAGAGATCATGAATTAAAGACGAAAAATATCTCCCACCCATTCAGATTCATTCAAAAGACTCGTTGGATCTTTTCCATTTGTTTACATTGCTTGTTGTTGACTATTGTCCTCCCTTATCTTGATCTAGGCGCGCAGCTACAAATTCCAATAAGAAACACATTGGAAACACGTTCAAATCGTCAACAGATATTCACTACAATCTCATTATTCAAACAATTGCCCTTCAATTGTTATTCAAATGATGTTTTGTGGGCGCCAGTCATGTTGAAAATTGTTGTTTCGTGTCGTCTAGCAATTGGAATCCTATTCGCGGGTGGGTGGTGAAGCTTTTCCAGACTGGGGGTGTTGGGATGTTTTGCCCACCAAAATATCGTTTTCGTCGGCGATTTCTCAATTGCGAAAACAAAGACAGTTCACAATTCAAAGTCAATCCAATTTATCAGATCTCATTGTGCTAATTATCAATTAGGAATCTTAAATACTAACCAAATCCAAGCCCTAAAACCACAATTTATATTATATTATACAAAGATGTCTCTCTCTCGTGAAGATTCAGTTTACCTTGCTAAACTTGCTGAACAAGCTGAACGTTATGAAGAAATGGTTGAAAACATGAAAGCCGTTGCTTCATCAGGTCAAGAGTTATCTGTTGAAGAACGTAACTTGTTATCAGTCGCTTACAAAAACGTTATTGGTGCTCGTCGTGCTTCATGGAGAATTGTTTCATCAATTGAACAAAAAGAAGAAACTAAAGGTAATGAAGCTCAAGTTAACTTGATTCGTGATTACCGTTCAAAAATTGAATCAGAATTAACTAAAATCTGTGATGATATCTTAAATGTGTTGACACAACATTTAATTCCATCAGCTGCTACTGGTGAATCAAAAGTTTTCTACTACAAAATGAAAGGTGATTACCATCGTTATTTAGCTGAATTTGCTACCAATGATAGAAGAAAAGAAGCTGCTGATTTATCTTTAGAATCATACAAATCAGCTTCTGATGTTGCTGTCACTGAATTACCACCAACACATCCAATCCGTTTAGGTTTAGCATTGAATTTCTCTGTTTTCTATTATGAAATTTTGAATTCTCCAGATCGTGCTTGTCATTTGGCTAAACAAGCTTTTGATGATGCTATTGCTGAATTAGATACATTATCAGAAGAATCATACAAAGACTCAACTTTGATTATGCAATTGTTACGTGATAACTTGACTTTATGGACTTCAGATATGTCTGAAACTGGTCAAGAAGAAGGTTCATCTCAAGCTCCTGAAGAAAAACCAACTGAACCAAAACCAGAAGAAGAATAAGCTTAGAGTTTCCATTTTACTATCTTAATTTTTGTGTTTGTGTGATTGAATATGTTTTGTGCTTTTTTAAAGTTATATCTTTTTTTAACTTATCCTATTTCTTATAAAATCAATTGGAAAAGAAAATATCAACAATAAAGGTTTTTTTTTTCAGAAACAAAGATTATACCATTTCATTATTTTTGATGTAAAAACTTGACAAGATTTAACTACGGGAAGTATAAAATTAAGGAGAGCTCAAGATCATTTGTTATCTATATATTTTTTTTATTATCTACTATTTTTTGTACTGGGAAAGAATCTGTTTTTACACTATTAAATTCATTAAATTTTTTTGAATTGCTTTATCGATCTTGTAGTTGTAGCCCTTTTTCGATTTTAATGTTGATGTTCCTGATATTCCAGGGGCAACATGATTTTTTTCACGAAATCGAGCGATAAAGTTCAAATTAGTTGGCTGACAAGGCAAATTAATCTGTGTACTAGAATTGATTAAAAGCAGTACTAGTGAACTCATCAATATTCACTATTACAATTACATTTGCCTACCTAAAGAATTACAATGGCTGATTTGAGTGGTGTCTTCAAAATCGTCAACTTAACGGTTGCTGGGTTCTCAGTAGGTACCACCGGTGAATTGATCTTTGGCCAACTTCAATTAACAAGATAAATCCAGTTATTCTCAGGAGTCACTCAATTATTAGGTGGTTTGTGAGTATTATGTGAGAAATTTCATCAAGGTTGCAGTTACTAACGCGTGTTATAGTCAACAAGTATGTTTTCTCCGTACCGTATCCATTATCCATCAAGTTTGGTTGAACTAACGTGGAGAATAGTTTTTATTAGGTCTTTATTTGATATTCTTTGGTATAGGTATTGCATTTTTGGGTAAGTGTGATTTAATAAGTGGCTGATAATTAATGCTAACCCTTTTACAAACAGAGTTTAGAATCCCACCTTTAACTCATCAATATGCTTCATTCTTATTCTCATTTTTAGGCCGTGGTATCTGTAAGTATTATCAAATTGATCCTAAGGAATTCACCTCTAATTGATGATATAGTTTATCTATTGATTGGTTCTTTGATTGCGCATGGTAATGCCATTAGAATCATCTTTGGTGTTTTGGTCGGTATCGTTGGTATCGCATTTACAGCTTTGGAGTTCATTCCAAGTATTTCACCACCAGAAAACTTCAGAACAGAAGGTCATGTGTTGGCTGATGATGATGAAGAAGACATTATTTGAGGTGCACAACTTCTACAAGAGAAAGAATCCAACAACGGGGAAAAAAGCATTGGATATTCAAAATAGTTTCAATAGTTTAGTAATAATATATTGAAAAGTATTGTCTGAACTTATTGTAACTAAGAAAAGGGGCTTTTGATACTTATTCTATTGTGCTTGACCTGACTAGCATTAAGATAGGAAGAAAGACATCTGATAATGCCATACCTACAAACATATGACATCGGTACTTTTTAATCAATTGAGGACTACACTCGCCAGGTTTGGAGTTCTCAATACTTAAAACTGGAAAGTATGTAATCGCTAAGAAAAAGACGAAAAGACCTTAAAGCCATACCTACCATCTTCAAATCCAACTACTTTCAGGACCAACCTCTGACACATACGCATAACGAGTCAATCATCACAGTATGATACATTTGAAATTTGATCAGAAACAAAAAGCACAAAATAACAAGATAACAAGATCACCCTCAAAAAGAATATTCGGGCTAATAAATTTCCTAGACTAGTAGCCCAACAAGATCAAGACAAGCTAAACTTCTCGAGGCTTTTCAAAAAAAGTGTTGATGGAGTGCTCAAACCACAATTCTAAAACTACGAAACACAAAAAGTGCAAGGCTGTTCTAATTTCTTCTCTCAAAGCAATTTAGTGAGAATTGTAATATCTTGATGATACCGGAGGAACTCATTGCATCTTGAGAGGTCATTCTTTAATCACAGAGCTCACTATCTAGCCTACAAAGAACCAAAAAGCTGCTCCTTGTTTGTTTTCATTTTTTTAGATCCTGGGAATGTCAAGTGACAGGCTGAACTCATCAAATGTTGAAAGTATAGACCAGGAGATATTAATACCCAAGGAGTCATTCACTGCATTTAGATTCTTGTATGGGGATGCTAAAGAGATCTCACATGTTTCAAGAGTGGTGTTGTTGGGGTCAATCCCAAAGTTGTGGTATAGAGAGCAAAACTCTAGTCTTTTGAGAAATTGGACAAAAGCTTCATATTCAAGGTTTCAAAAAACCATACGTGGTGTTGGTAGAGGTGTTAACTCAACTTATAAATTTGGAGCCAATGAACTATATAAAGACCCAAATATTAAAAAGTTATTGTTTCTAACACGTGATGATGAAAGTGATATTAGTGGGTTCACAGACGACGACGGGTTTTCAAGTGATCAAGGAGATGGTGATGATGAAGAAGATGACGATGATTATCTAGTGGATAACGATATTCTGGGAGGAAATGATAGCCCACATATTGCTTCAAAAGTACGAAGAGCATCAACAGCTGCTGTGATAAACTCTGTACAAAAGCAACCCAACCCAGAAGCATCTACTCAAGAGAAAATGGAAACAAGCAAAGATATATCCAACAATATACCGGTGTCACCCATGTTAGATCAGTTAAGGCGTTCTGGAATCAATGGGTCGTCGTCAATTGCATCAATGTCCAACAACACACCAATGATCAAAATAGAGGATGAATCACAGATTTCAGATTTCAGATCTCCTAAGCAAAATACAATGGAGCTACCAGACTCAAGTGTTCAGTCTTTTTACTCTGCACAGGAAAACTTATCAACAGAGAACACCAGGGACCAATCAAGCCCCCCGGAGTTGAATGTGAGCTCTTCTAGGATTTCTACAAGTTCAATAGAAACAGTCAAGCCTAAAACACCAGAAACACCGGACAACCTTGATGTACCTCAGTCGACGAAATCAAGATATTCTTCATTTGACTCCAACAAGTCGGACCAAGAATCTGCATTTTCAGTTATGGAAAATCCAAAAGTTAGATTCCAACAATCATCAACTTCAACAAAACCAAAAGGAAAATCCGTATCCGCCCAGTTTCTGAAACCACAACCTGAGGAAAATCCAATAATTTTACCTTTGGATCCAAGACATGAGAGAGCTTTAAATAGAATAAAAGCTGTCGCATCAAGAACAAAGAGACATGTTAGAAATGATCTTCACAATATTAACCAACGTCGAATTTTTCATAAATTGTTGAAAAACTATAAAGTGGGTGAGATTGTCAAGATGGAGAGAATGTTGGTTCTTGTTAAACAAGCTATGGATTCAAGTGGTATGGTTTTGACAACGTTTACTGAAGTTGAACCATGTGATACAAGAATTTTGGAGAGATGGAAAGAATACATCGTGGTTGCAAGAACAACTGGTGACTTTGATGAACCAATCTTGATTCAATTTTATACTAAACGTGAAATACCACATGATGAAACAAGTAAGCATTCTGATGATGATTTGGACTTTACTTTGAATAAATGTTGCCTAGTTAACTTTTACAGCTCATTGGATAAAACAATTGCAATTGTTAAAAAGGGAAAAGTTTTCATATTAAGATGTCAAACACCCACATCCTCAATTCACTGGCTAACATTTTTGAATGAAACATTAGGCCACAGCAACCCTGGGAAGTTGATTATTCAAATTCCTAAATTATCAGTATCCATTAATATAAGAGTTACATCAGAGGTCTATCAAAAGCTGACTGAGGAGGAAAATGCTGAATATAGCTCTTTAATATACAAGAATGAAGGATATCTTGTGAAAGAACTTCCAATATTAGAATATTTGGTCCAGAAAATCAAATTAAATCTAGTCAAATCAGGATACGGATCAATAGTTGATGATTGGAATAATAAAAATTTGGTTTTAGCATTCTGCTGGAGGCATTATGACCGGTTAGAATGGATTTTTGGAGAAACATTAAGCAATCTATTTTGGGAGCAATCTATGTATTCAACACATGATCTTGAATTGAGAGTTTCAAGCCATTATCCTGCTGAAATAACGAATGAGAATAACCAGAAGCTGGAAGAACCAGCACCCATTGAAGGATTTTTGGCAAGGTTATCATCCAGACGTGGTACACATAGAAACTACATTCATAAGCAGATCTTCAAATTTTCTTACTTTTTCACAAATAACCGTCTGCTATTTTTCAGTCGTTCATATAAAGCATTACCTCCTATTCCAGAATTTGAGTATCTGTCTGACTGCAAGTTCTTATCCAATCCAGAGAATTTTGAAAAGATTAGACATGGGATACCACCTATTTATCATCACAACCCTTACAGGATCGATGATGCTGGTCATATTGACTGGTTAAATCCAAGTATATCATCTGAAGAATTTGGTAACCGTGACAGGTTTGCAAGCTATGAATATGAAAGAAGAGTTGCTTCCATTTTAAGAGCAGATGCTGTTATAGATATGTTGGAAATTGTGAATGTCAAGGCTATAAACGCTGATTCGCTTCCTGTAACAGTCAGAGCTGCTGACATATATGCATGGGAAGAACTGACTGGGAAGCTCAAGGATGAAAGTGAAGAAATGAAGGATTCGTTTTTCCAAATTGAGTTTCAAAATGGGTCGTTTTTCACTTTGAAAGCACCAAGCAGAACAATAAGAACCGAGTGGGTTGATAGATTGAATCAATTGGTGACTTATTGGAAATTACGAGTTGAGAATGATGTTGAAAAGATTCATGAAGTCAAATTTTCAAACATCAATAAGCTGAGTATTGATGATTATATGGAGGCCAACGTTGGTGAAGCGACTCCAAAATGGGAAAATTCCAGAGGTTTGGCGGACCCAGCCATTCATAATATAAGTTCGAATGCAATGTTTCGTCCTCTTGTGAGATGTGGTTTGTTGTATCAAAAACCCAAAAAGCATACAGTTTTTAAAAATTATTTTGTTTGTTTGATTCCAGGATTCATTATTTTATATAAAGTTTTTGTGAGAAATTTGAGTGGAATAGCTTTACCAACTACACATTATAAACATTATTTAACCATTCCATTAGATGAGTGCTATATTTATTCAGGAAGCACAAGTGGTATAGATCTTTTGAAAAGGGATAGTGAAATTGATAATGTTAACCTTGGAAGAAATTCATTACCAAGGATTTATAAAGATGGATGGATATCATCTGAAGATGAAGCTTCAAGATGTTTTACCCTTTGGTTTGGTACTAAGAGGGCAATCACAGGTAAAATGTTGATGAAAAGTGATGAAGGAAATGATTTTAATGAATATGGATCTCAGAATCCAGGGATAATAAAAATGGTTAGTAGGTTAGGTGTTACAGGTCGAAGTGTTGTTTTTATGTGTCGCTCAAGACAAGAACGTGATTTGTGGGTGAATAACATTTATACAGAGGTTGAAAGATTTCATAAGGCAGAAGATGTGAAAGTTTAGAAATGTCATAACATGTTTATAATAGAGTCATTTACATTCATTGTTGTTAATAATTAATAATTAATATCATATAGTTGAACTGAAACCAAATTGCTTTTTCTTTCTTTCTTATTGTAAGAACCTTGTATCCCATTATATAACCTAAACCGTGATTTTTGATCTTCACTGCATATTTGATAAACTTGTAGTTGTTTCTAACAAAGCATCATCAATATCTTTGAATAAAGTACTCCATCTTGAGTTATGAGTTTTCAAAGCAGTTCGATTTTCATTATTATTGAATTCATTAGTTTTATCATTATTCTCACTTGATACAGGTGACAAATGTTGTGCATCACTTGAATTATTTGAAACTAATTCATCATTTGAATTTAAACTTGGTAATTCATCCTCATCATCATTATTATTATCATTAATTTCATCTTGGTCATTATAATTTTTATATTTTTCTTCAAAAAGATCTGAATTTATTGAATCATTATCATTATCATCATCATCACTTTGTTCAAAATCTGAATCAAAATCCGAGTCAGAACTATTTGCATCATTCTCTGAATTATCATCATAATCAGAATCAGAATCATCATCAAATGACAATTCATATCTTGTAACCAACATTTCCATAATCTTATCCCAGGTGTCTAGTTTTATTAAATTATCTCTTGGGCTTAGTTTAGCTGAATTATATGATTGAATTTGAATAATTAATTGATTTGCTAGAATTATTGAACTTAATGAGTTTTTGGTTAAATTATTTGAAATTATCAAAGTATTAAAATCTTCAGTGTTCTCAGCACCATCAATTATCTCTTCAATACATTGATTAACATTTTTACCCGAGTCATTATTGATTTTACCAATTTTAGAACTCAAACCATCAATTGATAAAGATGAAGATGTCATACAATACGCATTTTCAAATTGACTTGAAGAACAAATGACATTTAAAGATTTGAATTTTAATGATAGTGCCTTGATGATATTTGTTAAAGTGATGATAACATTTTGATTATTTATTGATTTTTCATGGTCAATAATTATTATTAAATGACTAGTCTTTTGGAAAAAACTCTTTGTAGGTGTGATTGGAGTTGATGCTGTTGATTTACCCTCAAGTTTAATTGGAGATAATAAAACTGGGATTGTCATTTGATTTGGATCATTCCCATGCTCATTTGATTGTATTGTATGTGGAGCAATTGGTTCCCAATTTGATTGTTGATCTAATTTTGATGATTCTTCTGGAAGTGTTATTGTTGAAGATAAATTATCAGAATTGAAAATAAATTCATAATCACATAAACCTGCAATCCATTTTTGTAAGATTTTATTATATTTTTGTGATAAATATAATGAACAAGATTCATCATTTGATTTTGAAACAACATTAATTTTCAAAATTGTTGAAGTTGGAGTGGAAATTTTAGGAGTTTTCAATAATTTGAAAACTTCAATATTTGAATAATTTAGATCAACAAGTAACAAATTATATTGAAACAAATAGACATTATAATTTTTGAAAACTTCACCATTTTGTGATATTAACAAATTATCAACTAATCTTAGGTAACCAAATGAATCAATTTCAGATTCTTTCAAATTGGTATCATAGTTTGATTGTAGATTTTTAATCAAATGGCAAATATATTCTGATCTCAACATTGCTAATGGTATTTTATTCAATTTACCATTTTCACTAAGTGTTAATGTGTCATTTGTCGTTATTCTTCCCATGGTTTTGGTTGGTGATGGGGATCTTGAGACAGATGAAATTATTGAAGACATTGCTGATATTGAAGAGCCTCTAGAGGTTGATTTATGACGTGACGAATTACTTTGATGGTTTCTTAAAGATTTTGAAGTGGGTATTTGTATAGATAAATCTTTTTGATTTCTATTTGATAATGATAATGATTGGTATTTGTGATTTTTAGCACTTGTAACTGCAGATGATGGAGGTCTTGACCTAGGTGAAAGCATTTGTGATTGGAAATTTGAAGATATTATTAATGAATCAGAAGATGATGAGTTGGAAACCTGTCTTAACTTTGGAGGTGTTGATAACAATATTTTAGAAATGATGGAATCAGTTATTGTATCATCCAAGGGTATTGCTAATTTACCACATGATTCACAATCTGGGAAAATTTTATTTGGATCTGAAGTCTTTGTATTGGATTCATCATCATTATCATCAGCAGTAGCATTTATCAATAACCAAAGACATTCTTCATGACAAGTATCACCACAATTCAGCTCTATGACTTTTTCACCAGTGGAAAATTTTGAAGATAATAGCTCTTCACAAAAACAACATTTTTCATTCACCAAAGATTTCTTATTTCTTGGAGTATTTGAAGTTGATGAAGACTTTGAATATATAAAAGGTTTAACTTTTGGAGGGGTTGCAAATGATGAATTTGGACTCGGTCTTTGTGTAGGAGGTGGTGGAGGAGTCCCTATAAGATCACTTTTGGGCAGAGATGTGGTTCTATTTGGAGGTATTGTGAAAGCTGAATGTAAAGTGGAAGATGAAGAAACTGGAGTAGTACCACCAGGGAGGTTTAATATTGGAGATATTGTAGACTCATCGAGTGATAAATTTTTCAAATAGTCTTGAGGGCTTTCAAAAGAAGAGTTTCCACTTGGAGTGAACGAAGTGTTTATATGTGGCACTGAATGAGAAAAGGAAGTGTTGGTAGAAGGTGAATGATGTATTGATTGATGTGTTGATTTTGAAGAAGAGTATGAATGAAACTTTTCTTGAAATTTAGCCCATTTAGATGAAGATTTCCCAGAGTTGTTGATGCTTGAAATGTGGTGAGCAGTGGATGATGACTTTGGAGTGGATCTTGCAGAAGACGTTGTTGACGAGTGAGTGAATGGAGTCTTGGGCTCACTATAAGTCATCCTTTAACTATATGGGTGGGCTGGTTAAGGGTACTTATTCACAAAGGAGCCGATGTGTGTGGAATGAACGTAGTATGTGTAGCCAGGGGTGATTTATTGTTATGAAAATCAAAACAAAATCAGAATATTTTTGTGTTTATATGGTTTCTTGTGTTTTGAGATGATGTTGATATTGGAAATTTGATCATTTGAGGTTTGAAAAGATTGAAGTTATAAATTTGAAACAGATGGTATTTGGGTTACCTGATTGGGATCCACAGCCCAATTAGGAAGTGGTTAGCCTGCGCTGGGTCTCGGATAAACCTTAGTCCTGTGATTGTGTCAGTCCCGTGTCCTAGCCCCATAATTTCCAGCCTAGCCCACTTAAGCACCCCCATTTTATCGTCTGCATGGGACTGGAAATCTGGAGACGCTGTTTTTATTTTATTGTTACCAAAAGGGTTCACAAGACGTTTCGCTTCTAAGATCAAGATCAACTCCATCACCAACTCCATCATCAACCACGGCGGCTGCTTAGAACCCCAGTCAAAGTCATAGGCTCATAGGCTAAATCACAAGTCTCTCCATACTTGCTCTGTCTTATAAAGAGTCTAACCTCAAATTAAGCCCAAGTGGAATTCCAAAATAGCAAACGGAATCACCAGAACCAATATTAAAAGAAAACTTTTTACTCCATCTGAATCCAGCTTGGTTAGTTCCATAATCACTAAAGTTAAAACTCAATATTTAAGGCAAATCTTTGTTGTTGGTAGCTAAGGGCAAAGTTTAACTAAATTAGTTGATTCTATTGTGTGCTAGGTTTCACCCTCTCCTATATTAATAAAGCAGGTTTTGTTATTTAAGCTGATTTCCAATTAACAACATTATCAAAAGAACATCAACAAAACAATCAGATAAAAAACTACTTATTCTTTTATGGCTCAAACTCAAGTATCCACCACTGTCAAGACCCCCTTTTCAAAGCCTTACAAAGACATCTACATTGTCAACTCGAACTACAACCAATATGGTCATTCGGTGTTACCAACCCATTCAAAATCCATCTTATCAAACTATCCTTCCCAGTATTCTCAACATTCAAGATACTCTTATCACGCCAGGTCGAAAGAGAGTCTGATTTCATCTGCTACACCAATACCAGTGAATAGTTATGCGGAAGATAACCATGGTGATGCCGAAGATGATGAGGAAAATGATATCGTTCAATTGAATTCAAATTATGTTCAGCATCAAGCTGGTAACACTGTTGCTTCAAGCTCCGGCTCAATAAAGAAATCCAAATTCAGTTATAGGTCTCTTATCTCCCCTGATAACAAAGTTAAAAGGTTTCTGAATAGACTAGATGCTGATTCTTTTAGTATTTTTTCATTGAAATCCTCAAGTCATAACTTCCAATTAGCAACTATTAAAGATTTACCATTGGAAATTTTGAAACTTGTTCTTTCCTATGTTGATGATTATAAAACTTTAGTTCGTTGTCTTTATGTCAATAAGCAATTTTACAAATCTTCAAAATTCATTGTTTATGAATCTCCATTTTTAACTTCAACTTATAGAGTCGCTCAATTGATTACCACGTTACGTCAACATCCTGAGAATGGTGAATTGATTAAAAATTTGAACTTGTCAAGATTAGAACCTGGTACTTTACAATCAATTGAGGATGATCAACCATCACCTTTGGATAATGATACTGATTCAGTAAATACTGAAAATGAAGATTCATTTCCTAATAATCTGGAGTATGCTCATGCTTCTTGGAGAGATTGGAAATATAGAGGTGATCCATTATATGGTTCTTCAATGTTGAATTCTTACAACTTATCAAAATCAAAATCTTCAACTAGTGTCAATTCATTATCAACAGTTTCTTCAATTAAAGTGAGATTCTTGAAACAAATTAAATCAAATGCAGAATCGTTTAATGAAGATTTCAATACAAAGTTTAAGAATTTTGGTTCAAAATTAGTGTTGAAGTTTCAAAAATCTAAACATGTTGCTGCAAAAAAGAAAAATTTAGATCATCAAGAGCCAAACAAATTGAAGAGAAAATTAGGTGATACCACCATCAACAATGATCAAAATGGACTGATGAAGACAAACTCTATAAAACAAGTCAAGATTAATTTCCAAGATCCAAAAAATCAACCATTTGTTGAAGGACATCCATATACCAATAAGTTTTTGTTGAAATATTCAAGTTCCAAAGATTTACCAATTGGATATGTTTTATACTTTTTAGATCTTTGTCCAAATTTATCAAAATTGAATCTTTCCAAAATTTCATTATCAACTGATTTTAAAATTGTTTATGAAACTCCTCAATTTAGAATCCCATCATTAGTGGAAAATGTTTTACCTTTCAATGATGATTCAACAAATATTGATGGATCTAGTGAAAAAAAACTATTACCATTATATCTCTCAGATGCAAATGTTTATTTCAACGGTAAAACATTCCAAAATCAATTCATCAAATTATATGAATCTGATATAATTTTGAAATTATCACAATTATCAAAATTAACAGAATTGAATTTAAGTTCAATTTCATGGTTAAATTTCAAAATATTAAGAATCTTCAGAAAAAACTCAAATTCTTTGAACAATCAATCATCAAATTTAAAATCAATAAATTTATCAAATTCTGGAATGATTAGAGGTTTGAATTGGGCTTTTGAATTTAATGACATTGAAGATTTTAAAACTTATTTTGCAAATGATGTTGAGCCTGAATTGAAAGATGAAAGATCCAATATTATGAGAAATGTTGGTATGAATTATTAAAAAAACTTTTTTTAACCTTCTGAATATGTGCTTTTTGCTATTTTTTCCTTCTATTTTTGTTGTTGATTTCAACAAATATTTTTGATGATTATTTTTGTTTTCCCCTTCTTCTGCTTCCTTTTTGTTTATGCTTGATTTCATCCTGATTTGTTGATTTATTTGCAGTGCTTTTTGCTGGGTGTTGTTGATTTTCTGATCTTCCCTGTTTGATTATATTCCAACCAAAATTATCAAAAAAAAAGAAATGTATGTGTACTCGTTTTTTGTTTTCAATATGCTTTATTTTTTCAATTCATGATGATGATTATTATATTATATTTTATGATTTAATTTATGGGACACAGGATATGGGAGTTTAAAATTTTTTTGTTTATGGATATCTGATATTATTATTTGATGAATATTTAGCACTGTAGGCTACCCATACCACATAACTATTTAAATCTTGGTGGACGATTTTGTTTATTTCTTATCAACCTTGTTAATAACCATTCGACACTTTGTTCAACTCCATCACCTTTTATAGCACTTATTGGTAAAACACGACTATCTCTTGCACTTAAATGTTCTGCAATTACATTGAAAATTTCTTTGATATCTTCAACTTCTAAATGATCTTCACAATCTTGTTTATTAGCCAACATTAATATTGGAATTCCTTCAATTGAATCATCATTAACGATCTTAACTAAAGAATTCTTACATTCTTCAATTCTTGTTTTATCAGTGGAATCAACAATGAATATAATGGCATGACAACTTGAAAAATATTCCTCCCATAATGAGCGAAGACTTTCTTGTCCACCAACATCCCAAAACTTTAGATATGTTTTCTTTACAAGGATATGACCCACTATAACCAATGTTAGTTAACTCTTCCAAACACAAATCTTGGTTTACATACCATTTTGACCAACTGTGGTTGTGATTCTCTCAGGTGGAATGATTTTGGCATCTGGATTATAAATTGACTTGACCTTCTCCAAAAATGTCTAATGGAATTGGTTAGTTATTGAGCTCTTCTTGCATTCAGCTATATAATACTCACCGTTTTCCCAGCGTTATCAAGTCCTAGTATAAGAACCGAATACTCTAAATTTTCTTGTTAAAATCAGAACCAATTGAAAGATTAGAATCAATTCTAACATACCTTCTTTTTTATTCCAGTTTGTGTAAAGTCCTTGAGCTAAATGAAACATTGTGATATTTCTTGATCTGGTTATTCAATTAACTTGTTTATTCATAAAAACATTTCAAAGTTGTTTTCGTGTTGAAATTGAAAAATTCCTTGATTCGCGAATTGAAAATTATTTTGACACATTGTCTGAGCCTTGTAAAAATGTGGATTGTATGGTTATTTGAGTGGTGAAGAGTATAGATTGTATGGTTATTTGAGTGGTGAAGAGTATAGACAGTAGAAGTGGTATTATTTCTTAAGTAGAGTTGTCTATTCCCTTTCATTTCCACCAAAAACCAAAGAAATCGGGTAGAAACTGATTTATTCAACATAGAACATACTTAAATGATGAGAAAGTTCTTAGAAATGGGTCAAATAAATCCTCAAATACCTGAATTATAGACCAAATATTTCAACTATAACGCTAATTAGACCTCTTTACTATCAAAATTCTTCACTTTATAGAAGTTTGAAAATATGTATCCAAATACGACTACTTTCCCAATTCGGACCTTTTTAATCTTTTTTTTGGCGATTTTTTTTTTTTTTTTTTTGTTGTTGAAGAAAAAAAATTCACAACGAAATAACGAATTCAAAAGGCTTTTTTTGCAAGTGAATTAACTATTGTCATTTATATCAACAATTCATACGATGGCTGACTCAAAGAATACTGCTATTCCAGAACCAGTGGAGCAATTCATCAAGAACTTTTACAAGGCTTACTTGGAAAACAATGTCTATGAATTACACAGCTGTTATGAAAATGGTTTCAACAAATTAACAGAATCTTATTATAAAAACACACCATGGCCAGATCCAGTTGAACAAGTTGCACCCCTAGTCAATGATGATCAAATCTTCTTGGTTTTATACTCTGAAGTTTATTACAGACATGTTTATGCTAGACTAAATCCAACGTTAGAACATAGAACAGGTTCTTATAATAACTATTGTAATTTGTTCAATTTATTATTAAACAGTGAAGATGGTCCAGTTACTTTTGATTTACCACATAAATGGTTATGGGAAATTGTTGATGAATTCATTTATCAATTCAATCAATTCTCAGTCTATAGAACAAAATTAATCTTGAATAAAAAAAATGCTGATCCAGTTGAATTAAGTTATGTTCAAGAACATCATGAAGTTTGGAGTGCTTATTCAGTCTTGAATGCTCTTTATTCTTTAATTGGTCGTTCTCAAATTGTTGAACAATTGAAAGATTCAAAATCAGTTTTATACACAAATAGAGTTAATACTGAAATTGCTGGTGAATATGGTTCATTACCTTTATACAGAAACTTGGGTTATTTCTCAGTTATTGGTTTACTAAGAATCCATACTTTATTGGGTGATTTCACTTTAGCTTTGAAAACAATGGAACATATTGATTTAGACAAGAGAGCTTTCTTTACCAAAATCCCTGGTTGTCATTTCACAACTTATTACTATGTTGGTTTCTGTTATTTGATGCTTCATAGATATTCAGATGCCATCAAAGCATTCTCTCACATTTTATTATACATCTCAAGAACTAAAAATATCAGCAGATCTGGTCAATATGATATTGTTACCAAAAAATCTGAACAAATGTATGCTTTATTAGCTATTTTAGTTGGTTTAGCTCCTACAAGATTAGATGATACTTTAAGTAGTGGTATTAAAGAAAAATTTGGTGATAAATTTTTGAAAATTCAAAGAGGTGGTGAAGAATCTTTATCAGTTTATGAAGATTTATTTAAATTTGGTTCCCCAAAATTCATTTCCACTTCTATACCAATTCCAGATCATGTCAATGATCCATTATATTTACATTTGAAGATCTTTATGTTGAAAGTTAAAAATATTGTTTTCATTCCAACTTTGAAATCATATCTTTCATTATATTCTAAATTAGATATCAACAAATTAGCACATTTCTTGGAAATGGATGAAAATGAATTAATGTCAACTTTACTAACTTATAAATTGAACAACAGACAATTGAAATGGATTGATGGTGAATTATTAAATGGTGAATTTGTTAATGTTTATGATTTAGATATTTCATTAGAAAATGATGATGGTAAAACTTTTATTCATGTTAAAGAAACCAAAAACATTAGAAAATTTGCTGACTGGTTCATTAGAAACACAATTAAAAACTATAGTGCACAAGAGGTTATCAGTAATGCAAGCAAAGAATCTTTTAAAGAATCTCAACAAAATAATAAAAATACCAAAAACCATCACCACCATCACCAAGACCATAAAACTTCATCTAAATAATGTGGTTCAATGATTTTGTGACCTATAAATAAGATTGTGTATACTAATTTGATAAAAAAACTTCATTTGATCTCGTTTAAGAATTAATTTTATATGTAACTTTTTAATTTCCTTATTGGGAAGTCAACAGCTCATCGATTATTTTTTTTTTTTTTTTATTTAGCAGAGCTTTACATAAAAAAAAATTTCATATAGAGAATTGGTTTGAAAGAGATTTAGTAGTGATTGATTTATACAAAACCCATAGAAATGTCATTATCCAAAGAGTATATATCGGAATCAGACTCTGATGAAGAAGAAGTAGTGTATGTGAAAATATCTTTTTTTTTGGTTGAAGTCTGGACTATATACTAACAATTATCAAGATATCAACCTCCAAAAGGTTATCATAAAGTTAAAGATTTGAAAACAATACCAAATCTAGATAAGAAAGAAATATGGCTTATCAAGACTCCTAAAGGTTTCAATTTTGATAAACTACAACAATTACCTATATCCTCAAATTTCAAAGTTGACTCTAAACAATTTATTATTCAAGAGGATTTAACAGGTATTAATTCAAATTCCAAGGCATCAAACTCTGATAAATATAGTTTGATTGTTCCAAAGAGTAATAAAAAGGCATTCAAAATAAATAATGGATTAAAGATTAATAAATTTTTCAATGTTAAAGAAAGTGTTGAAATTCCAAATATTCAATATGGTAAAGTTGTAAAGAAGAGAAAAGATGTTAGAGTTATCAAGGGTTTAAAACCACAACATTTTGCTACAGGTTATGATAGAACAGAAGAAGATGTTACAAGCGATGTGGATGAAGAAGAAGATGATGAAGAACCAAACGAAAAAGTGGATAAAGATGGTGATGTTGAAACAGAAGATGTTAAAACTGAAAAGAAGGAAGTTAAGAAGGAAAAGAAAGAAAAGAAAGAGAAGAAAGAAAAAAAGGAAAAGAAGCATAAAAAGGAAAAGAAATAGATAATTATGTACATTACAAATATGTTGATATTTCCCACAAATACAAGTCATTTATTCATGTTTTAAATTTGATTTTTCAATTGTTCATTAAATTCTCTATTCATTAATTTACTTCCCTAATTAAACACCATTACTATAATCTTTCAAGATACCAGTCATATGAGTGTTTGTAATTTTACCCTTTCTTTGTTTTCTCTTTTTAGTAGGTTCATTATTAGTTGCACTTTTAACTGTTGCAGGATCAACAGATGCAGGTTTCAAACCACGTTTGTTCAACAGCCCTGGTAATTCTGATCTATCAGGCAATTTAACATTTTGCCATGCTTTAACAAATTCATCATCAACACCACCTAATTCACCTCCAACATTAGCCCACACTAATCTTGGATGATTATCCTTTTTAGTTCTAAGAACCAATATTTTATCCTCGTTTTCTAATTCATTTATACTTTGTATGCAATCATTCCAACCATCTTTTAATTCTTTAACAGATATCCCTTTAAAAGTTGGTTGTTCTCTTAAATAGTTTAACAATTCATCTTTATTCTTGATGTTATGTATTGAGACATATTCTAATGTGTTTTCATTTGGATCATATTGTATTTTATCCAGATTTTTAATCAGTGATAATAATTTTGATTTCTGTTCATCATTGTTTAAACTTAGATATGATAACAGAGCATCTATATGAACAGGTTTTGATCTCTCTTTAATATAATCCACAGCTAATAACAATTTTGTGGATAAATGAGAACCTGAAGCATCATATGCAGGTTTTTTATTCTTTATTGAGTGTTCCCCATCAAAGTCATCATCATAATCATCACCAGCTGATCTTTTCAAACTATTAGACGAGCTTGAACTTGATGGTTTAGTATTGTTTGATTTAGCAGAAGCTGGTGGAGTTTGAGCTTTTGATCTAGCAGAACTCAACACAGGAGCAGATTTGACCTTGTTTTTGAAAGCGTTCAAGTTGGCGAGTAATGGATTTGACATTTTGATCACTAATTCCAATTTCTCCCAGTCTCTTTTCCTAAGGTTGAATTCTTGTTTCTGATTTCTAATTATGAGTTGAATTCTCACAAAGATTGATCAGTTTTCAGAAAACCATTCGCGAATTACATAATAACATCCAGACACCAGATTGTTTTTCAAATTCAAAAATTTTTCATTTCACTTTTTCCTCTTCTTTTTCCTTTTCTTTTCTTGTTCAACGAGTGGCAATTGGCTGGTTGACGGTTTGGTTGACGTGTCTGTGAAGAGCGTGCTGAGTTTGTCCTTCGATAATGAGCGTAAGATCCTCTACTGAAGGACGTGAGTTGTGCGTTTGGACGTGTCGTTTTGAAGACCAGGCTTTCCTCCAGGCCCAATTCTGCTTGGAGATCAAGCCCCATGGGGGGTCCTTATGAAAAGGGCCTCTTCTTCATCTTTAAAACCATCGCTGTTCGAGGTCGCCGTCAGTAACTTGTTATTGGGTCAGGCAGACCCATGAAATGGTGATGACCTATAGATTGATACATTCTTAGTTTAGTTAATAGAGATACACTGGTGTCATGATTGATGTAGAGTAACGATTCGACATAGTCTCAATTGGAATGTAGAGGATGGATTCATATCCTTCAACTAAATAAACTCATATGTATCTTGATATTCAAATCTTTACCAATTTAAGGGAAAGTCAATATTCTCGAGGGTAACTTCACGTGACATATCAAAAGCAATTCCGGTACGTACTAGAATTTTCCCTTCAAAATTTACAAATCAATTGATGAAGGCAAGTATTCATAAAACAAACACCACAAAACTATATTAAAACACGTTATATCAACCAATTTTAAACTCATCTTAGATTGACCTACTCACTGGAAATCATTATGAGCTCGAAAAACCCAAGAGCTTTAGTTAGATTCTTGTCAAATTTTACCAAATTATCATCCAAGGGATCTAAACAATCTGAAGAGGTTGCACAATCACAAGTTCAAGAAGCTTTAAGTTTATTAAAAGATTCTAAATTCAACTTTGAAACAATTACAGAAGATGATAAGAAAAAGTATATCAATGATTTCACTCAAATTTTATCCACTGGATTAAGTCATAAGAATGAAGCAACAACAATATCACAACATTTTGATCAATCAATTTTAGGGTTAAATCAATTATTAGTTAAGCCCAATTCACAATTAGCCTCTAAAATGTCATCGTTAGACCCAATAAGTGTTAAAGAATTAATTTCCAAAGCTAGAAATGAAACTGAATTATTGAGAATATATGATAATTTAGTCAATAATAATCATTTGAATTTAAGCAATTTTAGATTAATCATATTCAATAAGCATTTACGTGATTTGGATCATATTTTGAATAAATTGAATTTTGTTAATCATGATGGTAAATTTGATGATTTAAAGATTCTTATAGCTGCCAAATCTTATGTTTTAAAATCATTTGATATAACAAATAGTCTTTTCACAGCAAATATTGATAAATGGTTATACTTGAGACATGAAGGCAAATTGTCTTTCCCATTGGAAAAGTCATTATATCAAATCATTTATAAATATAAGAAAAACACTGAATTGTTAACAGATTTGGATTATACTTTATCATCATACATTTTACTATTAGAAGCTATACCAAGAAAGCTTGATGAATTGAAATCAATTCAAAGCTCATCAAACTTCCAATTATCCAAAAATCAAGATTTATTCTTAAATTTCTTATCATACATCACATCAAAACCTATAAATAAGCAATCAAATATTTTCCTAAGGAAACTGACCAAATTAAGTTCTGAAAACCATGTGCATAAGGAAGACTGTTCCAAAGATTCTCAATTAACAATTCAAAAATATAGATTTATCAATGGGATCAGTGAGATGGCTGAGGAATTGATGAATGAATATGGGGCTAATGAGCCACAATTACGTGGATTGATACGTTCCATTCATGAGACTGATGATTTGTTACAAAACGAGACTGTCTTAAAATTCATATAGAGAGCATTATAAAATAAATTAACGATACAATTTATGACCAATTCAAAAAATTATTTTTTCCATCCTTGTAGAAATTTAGATTGTTGCGATGGGGACGTTTACGATAAGCAAAAAAATAAAATCCTCGAAGCCATGCGGATTTGTCAGACGGATAAAGTCAATACAAAAAGAATAAATATTTCCAGGTATAATTCAATTCAATCCTTAATTCAAACCACTCAATTCCAATGACAATCATTGACTCCATCATCGAGGACAAGAGAGTCTGGACCACCCTCATCACAAACACAAAGTATTTGACAGGTTTGCTTGCTCTGGATTACACCTTGAAGAAAGTGGGCTCAAAATACCCATTGGTGGCATTGTATACAGACACTTTAAGCGAAGAAGGTCATAACGCTCTGGATGCTAGAGATATCCCCAAGTTAAAGATCCAATATCTACTACCTGTCAGGAATAAAGACTATTCAAATGATCCAAGGTTTTACGATTGTTGGTCAAAATTACAACCTTTCTCACTATATCAATTTGAAAAAGTGGTACAATTGGATTCTGATATGATTGTTTTGCAGAATATGGACGAATTGTTTGATGTTGAGTTGAATGATACTGACAGGGCTTTTGCAGCGAGCCATGCTTGTGTTTGTAACCCTTATAAATATGATCACTATCCAAAAGATTGGATTAAAAAAAATTGTGCCTTCACAGACTATTATAACAAATTGGAAAACATTTCAGATCCTGTATATGGTCCTATCCCATCCAAGAACCCACTAGAGCTATGTAATGGTGGGTTACAAGTTGTCAAACCTAGCAAAGTGTTGTATGATAAAATTGTCAAGGCATTAGCTGATAAAGAGTTGGATTATGCATTTGCTGATCAATCATTACTTTCAGATGTTTTCAAATCAAAATGGATAGGGCTATCCTATATCTATAACTATCTAAAGACATTGAGAATTATACATGACAATCTAGAATTTGAAAAAGTTAAAAATATTCATTACATATTGACACCTAAACCTTGGGACATTTCACCAATTGATAGAGATAATTACAAAGATGATACTGATACATTTAGATATTGGTGGGATGTCAATGATGAACGATTAGAGGCTGAATCACAATTGGGGATAAATGATCAGTTTTAATCAACTTCATTAGTAAATAATTGTTGTGATAAATGTGCCCCATAGACTGGTGGTTTGATTTCTTTAACATTTTGTAATTCTAAATCTTTACCTTTACCGCCATAATTTTTAGAAGGAACTTCATCTCCCAAGTATTTATAAATACCTGTACTGTGGTTTAATATGATAAATTTCTTTGTTGTTTCAGTTGGTAATAATTTTTTCATAAATTCAAATACCCAAAACAACACTGATGGAATATTGACGAAAAATTTCTTATATAACAACTCTGGATAATAATCTTGGAAGATTTGGATAGTTGCTTTACTTCCCTTCTTAATATCAGGATCTATTCTTAAAAATGAAACACCTTTATAATCATGAACTTGAGTCATGAAACAATTTTCCTCATTAGTAAAATCTAGTAATTGAACACTTCTCTCCATTAACCCAATTCTATAACGTAAGAATTTCTCTAAATCTTTGAATAACTCTTTTGGATTACCTCCAGCCCCATACAAGTTCCATGTTATAATTTTCGTATTGGCTGTATTGTTTCCATAATTTGTCAAGACTCCTATATCATCAAATTTTGAATCATGAGTTTCATTAAAAGCAGCACTTAATGGATTGAAATTTTTCCTCCAGATCAATGTATTCAATAATTGATCTTTAGATTCTTGTATTTGGAAATCATTTGCCTTTAAATATTTGAAAATCAATGCATCAAACACATCTTTGTTAAAATATTCACCTTGTGAACTCAGTTGATACCCAAATAATTCATCATATTGAGCTTGATTAAGGATATCTGGTAGATGTAAATCCACAAACTCATCAAACTTCTCTCTTTGATGGTCTGATTCGAATTTGGCTGTCTTTACACTGACATTGGACATGTTTATTGAAAGCTGGTGCTTATAATCATTGTATTGTTTAAAACCGTTGAATTCTCGGTCCCTGTTTTTTGTTTTTTAAACTTTTCCATTTTCATGGTTCGATTTTATCAAAACGATCAGTAGAAAAAGAAAAGGTACAATTGGATTATAAGTAGTTCAAATTAGTATTGTAATATTATTATATTAATCATAAGATCAGTATCCTGTTCTCTCATTTATTCTTTTTTTCTTTGGAGATTGGCTTGTTTTTGTAAACGACAATTTGTAAGAAAAGAACAAGATTCAACAATAAACTGGCCCCAAATCCAAACAAAATCAAATTGTCTTGAATACCACTAGACAACGTAGTGAATACCCTTGCAATCGCACCTAATAACCCTGCAAATACAGAAACAATAGACAATTGACCTGTCGATTTGTTTCTAAAATTGTTGGAAATTTGTGGTAATTTGGATAAGATAATCAAAGGAATGGTTAGCTTAGTTAAATTTTTAACATCAACATTGGACAACACACCAGGGTTACCATCTGGATTTGCAAACAATGAATAAAATGCCAATGAAGCTAAACCGACAAATCCATTGATATATTTACTTAATCCAGAAAAGTATAAAATCAATAATAGAATCAGCAAATTTTGAACTGATAGGAAAGCTGATTCCCCAAAAGTGATGAAATCATTGTTTTGTCTGAAATTGTATGATAAAGTGATCAAGTTACTTATAGTTTCCAACAAGATACTAAAGAATGATAAACCTTGAACGGAACCTTTTGATAAAATTGACAAGATTTGAGGTAGTTTCACGATCCCTGAAGACCCAACGATACCATAGCCTAGTGATTTGGAAATGAACTCTTTCAATAAAGGAGCAGATTCTGGAGAAAACAAATTTAGTTTCAAAATGATTGTATCGAAAACAGGTCTTGTGTACAATTGACGACCATAGTTGATGACTTGTGGTGGTAAAGCCCCAGTGAAAGGTCTCAATTGGTGAAATATTGGCTCTAAGATAGGCTCCAACGAGTGGATCAGTGATTCCAAATGCTCAGACATGGTTTTCCTTCTGCTGGCGTTCAAGAGTCTGTTTGTTTCTATGTGGTGTTTAAACGTGTCAACAAGAATTCGCGACACACTTTTTGTTTTTCGATTTCGCGAATGAGTTTTGGATTTGATTTTTTCGACTTTTCCATCAAAATTCAGCCTTCAAAAGGGTCAAAGAAAGGTCTTTTTGAACAGAAGGCAAAGCACAATGTCCAGTAACAACTACCAGTACGGTGGGCAGCAGGGCAGTCAGATGTATGGGAATCCTACGGGCTTTCCACAGCAGCAGCAGCAGCAGCAGTCGTTTCAACAGCCAAACAGTGGTGGTTTTTATGGCTACCAACAACCTCAGCAATATGGATCTAGTCAGCCAAACAATTACAACCAACCAGCCCAGCAATCTGGTTTCACTGGTACCACTGCACCAGGTGCACCAACCTATGCCACAAACATTGACCAATTGTCCTTTTTGACCCCACAAGATCAAGCAAAATTCAAGGATTTATTCAACAGTGCTACAAACTCTGTGTCAATTTCACCAGATAACGCCAGAGGAATTCTGCTCAAGTCAAATCTCAGTCCACACCAATTGGCTAGAATATGGGATCTTTCGGATCTTAACAAGTCGGGAGATTTGTTATTCCCAGAATTTGCTTTAGCGTTGCATTTATGTAACGTTGCTTTAAGAGGAAATGAATTACCTTATGTATTGGATGCTGGTATCAAAGAGGAAGTTACAAATCTTGTGGATAAGATAAGTTTCAGTATTCCTGAAGAAGATGCTACCACCTCTCAACAGGACAGGCCAGTTGCTCAACCAAACATTTCAGCGTCAAATATATTTACACAACCTCAACAACAACAACAGCCAACTACTTCAAATTTAGCTCCTCAGCCAACGGGATTCGGTTTTGGTAATAGTGTTTCATCTCAACCGTTTGAATCTCAGCCACAACAGACTGGATTCCAATCACAGCAAACTGGATTCCAACCACCAACTACTGGGTTTCAAAGTCAGCCTACGGAGTTTCAATCACAACCTAGTGGGTTTCAAAGTCAACCACAACAAACAGGGTTCCAATCCCAGGCGACTGGAGCTCAATCACAACCTCCATTCCAACCACAGTATACTGGATTCCAACCTTCAAAACCACAAGATTCTGGATTTCAATCAGCAATTGGCTCTCAGAATAACTTTTCAAACATTCAGACCAACCAAGAATCTTCTTTTCCCTCATTAACACCACAGCATCAACAATTACAGCAGCAAAGAACTGGATTTGAATCACAAAGCACATTTCCAAACAATCAACAAACTTCTGAACCGTTGCAACAACAACAAACAGGTCCTGCTCCTTTCAATTCCCAACCATCTGCTAATTTACAGCAACAACCAACAGGTTTAATACCATTACAAGGTCAAGCAACTGGTACACAGCCTTTACAACAACAACCCACAGGTCTTGTTCCACTGCAAGGTCAAAATACTGGAGGCCAACCTTTGAAACAACAACCAACCGGCTTGGTTCCTTTACAAGGTCAAAATACTGGTGGTCAACCTTTAAAACAACAACCTACTGGCCTCATCCCACTGACAAATCAACAGACTGGAAATATCCAACAGACATTGAATAACCAACCAACTGGTTTAGTTCCTTTGCAACAACAACATACTGGTCATACAACTGGCGGTCCTCTTAAAACACAACTTACCGGTGGTCAACCATTAACTCAACAGCCAACTGGTTTGGTTCCCTTAACCACTACTGCAACTGGTTCCGTTGCCTTACAAGCACAATTGACTGGACCTGCTCCACTACATTCCCAAAGAACTGGATTTGGTAATTTTGAACCTTTAAGACAACAAAAAACCGGTGTTGGACAAAATAGTTTGTTTATTCAAAATCTATTACAACCACCGCCTCAACAGCAGCAACAATTGTTTTCAAATTCTTTGAATTACACCACTGAAACTATTACACCTCAAGAAAAGCAATTATTTAATAAGATTTTCCAAAATTATGATACTAATAGAAAAGGTCTATTAACTGCTGATGTTTCTGCTGAAATCTTTAGAAAATCTGGTTTGAATCGTTCAGAGTTGGAAAAAGTCTGGGATTTGGTAACAAGACCGAATCAAACTCATTTAGACAAAGAATCTTTTCAAACTGGCATGTGGCTTGTTTACAAAAGATTGAATGGATATGAACTACCTGATACATTACCAGAATCTTTGAAACCATCGAGTATTAAGATTTTGGATGATGTTAAGAATCAATTAAAGATCAATCCGAATGCAAAATCGATTAAAAAATCAAGCAATTCTAGAATTGATGGTTCAAGATTCAAAAATAATGATGAAGATTTTGTTTTGTCATCTTCAAGAAATAGAAGAAGAACCACCCATAGATCAGAGTCTGCTACACCAACAAACAATAAACCAAAAGAAATTTTATCAATTGATGAAATCAAAAAACGTATCAGAGAAAAGAAAATTTTACTTGATGCTTTTGAAGCCACTGGTTCTCAATTAGAAGAAAATGAACGAGATTATGAAAAGGAAGATCTAGAAGCTATTGAAAGACTAAAACAAGAGATAAAAAATCTACCAAATGTTAATAACACAAACACTGATGACCGTTCTTTGCTCAAACAGAAATTTAACCATTTGACTTCACAAGTTCCATTGCTTCTTGGGGAAATCTCTCAGACTGATAATGAAATCACACGTCTTAAATTGGAATTGTACAAAATTAAAAATCCATCATTTATTTTGGGAAGTGGACCAAATGGAGAAGTTACTGAAGCTGATAGACGTAAGGCTAAAAGTAAAGCTTTGTTAGCTGCAAAGATGGCAAAATTGACTGGGAAACCACTTGATAGTGAAGCTCAAAATTTAAGTGATGAACAAGGTAAATTAGATCAAGAAGCATTACGTATTCAAGAGGAGAATAAAAAGAATCAACAAATTATTAAGGATGTTGAAAGCTCAATTAAAGAAATTTCAAGTAACATTTTAAACTCATTTTCATCAAAAGTTGATCAAGATGCATATAAAAAATGGGAATTAGGAATTGGAGTCCAGCCAGAAGTGCAAGACTTTATCAAATCTTTTAGAATCAATGATATTTCAAACAGATTTACTAAAAGTTTAACACTGGAGAATCAGCATCAATCATCATCACCAAGTCCTATTCCAGCCCCTTCATCGTACACCCAAACTCCAACTTCTCAAAGCCCTCAACCAACATCATCACCATCATCCAATTTCAGAACTCCGGAAGAAAGAAAAGCATATATTAGAGAACAGGCTAAGAAGAAAATGAGTGAAAGATTGGCTAAATTTGGTATCAATAGAAGCTCGTCCCCAAGAAATACCTCATCACCACCAGTATCTACTCCCCAATTGAGCCAACCAACACATGTTGAACCACAAGCAACACAAGTGCAATCATCACATCCAGAACCAGTACAGCAACACCAAGAACATCCAGCTGAAGATTCATCAGACGATGACGATGAAGAAGAGTTTAAGAGAATGGAAGAAATTAGAAGACTTAAAAGGTTAGAACGAGATGAAAGATTGGCCCAATTGAACAATGAACAATCTAATGGTACACCTTCTCAGGAGCCTCAAAATAAGCCAAGAAAATACCATGATTCGAACCCATTTGCATTCAAGTAAATAACTAAGAGACTAAATAAAATTATACTATAAATGGTTTTAAAATCATGTAGAAAACTAAATCTCGGACGTAGCCGGCCTTTGAGTTTTCGCGTAACTTCAGAGGTCGAGATTTTTTTTGGTGCATTAAAAACTCGAGACGTGTTTATAGAAAAGACACTTGACAGCTTCAAATCAACAACATCAATCTCAATTCCATTCATTTTTGTGTGTGTTTTCTCTGGTTTTTCAGGATGGTTTCAATACTTGGGAACAACAGGCTGGTGCTTTTGATGGTGGGTGTTGCATTCCATCTTTTCTACCTATGGTCTATTTTTGACATATACTTTGTCAGTCCATTGGTTCACGGAATGGAACCTCAACTAAGTACACCTACACCCCCTGCAAAAAGATTGTTTTTAATAGTTGGTGATGGTCTAAGAGCAGATACCACTTTTGATAATATAACCCATCCAACAACTGGTAAAACAGGGTATTTGGCTCCATTTTTAAGAGATTTGGTTTTAAACGAAGGTACTTATGGTATATCACATACAAGAATGCCAACAGAATCAAGACCAGGTCATGTTGCAATGATCGCTGGGTTTTATGAAGATGTCAGTGCCGTCACGAAAGGCTGGAAAGAAAATCCGGTTGATTTTGATAGTGTTTTAAATCAAACTAAACATACTTATAGTTTTGGTTCTCCAGATATTTTACCAATGTTTGCACAAGGTGCTTCAGATCCGAATAGAATTGGCACATGGATGTATGGTCATGAATTTGAAGATTTCACTTCATCATCAATTGAGTTGGATGCTTTTGTTTTTGAGCATTTATATGATTTATTTGAAAATTCTACAAAAGATCATGAATTGAAACAACAAATTAATCAAGATCAGACAGTTTTCTTTTTGCACTTGCTAGGATGTGATACTGCTGGTCATGGTTATAGACCTTATTCTGCTGAATATTATGACAATGTTATTTATATTGATGAACAAGTTGCTAAATTGACTAAAGAAGTTAAGAAATTCTTTGGAGACGATGATACAGCATTTATTTTCACAGCTGATCACGGTATGAGTGCTTTTGGCTCACATGGTGATGGACATCCAAATAATACAAGAACACCTTTGATTGCTTGGGGTGCTGGTATAAATAAACCCGTCTATAATGAAGTTCCAATATTTGATAATTATACTGAGAATTGGCAATTGGGTCAAATCAAGAGAAATGATGTGAAGCAAGCTGATATCGCTTCATTGATGTCATATCTAATTGGTGTTAACTACCCAGCTAATTCTGTTGGTGAATTACCTCTAGCTTATATTGATAATAAAGAAGAGGCTAAATTGAAAGCATTATATCAAAATGCTTTGAGTATTGTTGAGCAATACCATGTGAAAGAGTCTGAGATGAAAGAATCGCAATTCTTCTTTAAGCCATATCCCAGATTTGAAATCAAATCAATAGCAAATTATCAATCTGAAATTGAATTACTGATTGATGAAATTTCTAAATCTAAAAAGTTTGAAGTCGAAAAAGAAATCGAGGCAATTGCCTTGGTGGAAGAATTAATGAAAACAACATTAGATGGTTTGTATTACTTAACAACCTATAATTGGTTATTATTAAGATCAATTGTTACATTAGGGTTTATTGGCTGGATCACATATTCATTCATCATCTTTTTAAGATTATTTATTTTGGAAAAAGATGTTCCAACTTCAACAAGTTTCTTGAATTTTGCTGTGTTTTCATCTATTGGGTTGATTTTCAACTATATCTTATTCTATCAAAGATCACCTTTCAATTACTATATGTATTTGATTTTCCCTATATTCTTTTGGAGTCAAATTACATCCAAGAGTTTGATTTTGCAGCAAGGTTTACAATCATTTTTCAGTGGGATTAGTCATTTCAAGAGATTTTTGATTTTGATCTCCATCATTGGAGTTTTTGAAGGTATTGTTTATGGATTCTTTGAAAGAATTATCTTTACAATATTCTTTATCGCCTTGTCATTCTATCCAGTTTTGTTGGGTGTATCAGATTTGAAAACCTTGATATTTTGGGGTATAACCAACATTGGAATGAGTACTTATACATTGTTTGATGCTGTTAAAGTTGAAGATTTATATCAAATCAATGCTGCTGCTGTTTTGATATCGATATTTGGGTTCGTTTGTTATTTCAAAATTTTACAAAATTCCCATAGTGAGAAAAATTTCCCAACTATCTCAAGCTATACCAAAAACTTGATAAATGTTCAAATATCATTGATTGCATTAATGACTTTGGTTACCAATAAATCAGTTTCATCATTACAGTCAAGAGAAGGTTTACCTAAGAGCTCACAATTTTTAGGTTGGTTGATATTTGTCCTCTCATTGTTTGTTGTTCCATTTTTACATTATTTGAAGCCACATAATGATTATAGAATAAGATTATTGATAATTTTCTTGACATTTGCACCAACATTTATCATATTGACTATATCATTTGAAGCATTATTTTATATCAACTTTTCAATACTATTACTTCAATGGATCAAATTAGAAACGGATTATTTCCAAAGAAAAGGTGGTAAAATTGAAAATTACTCTCAATTATTAAGAGTTTCAGTGATTGGGTTCTTATATTTACAAGTTTGTTTCTTTGGCACTGGTAACGTCTCAAGTATTTCATCATTTTCATTGGATTCAGTTTATAGATTATTACCAATTTTTGATCCTTTCCCAATGGGTGCACTCTTGATGTTGAAGTTGATTATTCCATATGTTTTATTGAGTACTGCGTTAGGAGTCTTGAATGTCAAATTGGGTATTAAACCTTATACTATTTCCACTTTGATTATTTCAACAAGTGATATCTTGTCATTAAACTTCTTTTACTTGTTAAAGACAGAAGGTTCATGGTTAGATATTGGTGTTACAATTTCAAATTATTGTTTGGCTATACTATCTAGTTTGTTCATGTTAATTTTGGAGATCATTAGTCACGTCTTGTTGAAAAATGTTGAGTACCATGATGAACTAGAAGCTAGAGGTGAGGAAGAGGTGAAAAAAGATAAATAGAATTTATGACTAGAGATTCAATAAAAAGTTGTTTTATTTTACTAGTTTAAAGGTGTGACCCGTATAGCGATGACAGAGTAATGTTTTTGAAAAACCTTTGAATTACACAAGCTGTCGGTGTTTATCGAAGGATGGTGATATGAAGTCGCATCTGAATTTGAGCAGTAGTCGGTATTATACAATTAGCCCAATTAAGTGCAGGTGTACCTCTGCTGTACTAGGTTCAACTTTTCAAAAATGGTCTCTGATGTTGAATTCAGTGGGAAGCCTTTGTTGTAAGTAATTAGAAACCCCCAGAGACATATGGAAAGAGCTGACAAATCTTAGTGTTTACGGAACCTTGATGAGTGACAAGGTCTTCTATAAGGTTCTCAGTGTGCTTGAAGGAGACAAAGTTAAGAAATCTCAGTATAAATTGCTTCATCGTGTAGGACTGAAAGGATATAAAAGATGTCAAGTTCGCAATGAACTGTACCCTGCTGCTATCAAGTCGATACAAGACTCTATTGAAGGAGTACTGATTTATGGATTGAGCAGTAAAGATATGAAATACCTTGATGATTTTGAAGGTGATGAGTATGAAAGGGTCTCTATTAGTGTGGATGATTCTGATGGAAATAGTATAGAGGCTGAATTTTACGAGTGGACTGCTGGTGAAGAATACTTGAACATTGGGATTGATTGGGAGCTGGATGCTTTCAAAATTGATGAGTTCTTGAAGACATTCTAAGAGATTTAGTGGCTCAGGCAAGGGTAAATTGACACTTTAGATAAGGTGATCTTCATGAAGTAGACGTCAACTTTTCTTCGATACACAAAGTAGCAGTTAAACCAATATCTACCTACAGAACACCAGTGCCAGCTCTATTAATGTACTGACTACATCTCTCCAAAGTCTAGCCGTCGATTTGGTCCCTAGATCTTGTTGTACTAGTATAGTACTAATTGGATGTAATTTGGATTATAACTAAAATTGGATGAACAAACTAAACCAGCAACAAAACACAGAATCCCACAATCAGTAAACCGTTAATTCAGCTGAATTGGAGCCTACAAAATTCTTTAAAAACTCTCCATTTCGTTGCTGAATTAGGGCTTTGATCCAGTTCCAGACCGATCTCAGACGTTAAATCCGTTGATAGGCAAATTGGCAAAAAAAAAACATCATCAACAAAACCAACAGCAACATAACTTGTTCTTTTATATTGTATCCAACTGCCAATACCTTTGCTTGAATCCTATCCAATCTCATATCGTATTCATAAGGGGTCCATTGTGTTCTGTGTACCGGGATGAGGAAAGACACCACCACAACAGAGACTTCAACCTTGCTTAGAGACAACGACGCCATCATTGAAAACGCTGCTGTTGATGTTTTTGAAAGTGTTATAACAGATCAAGATGACCCAGATGATAATGAAGATATACGTTGGCTGAGAGAAGAGAGACTACATCATCAAAATAAGCTATGGTATGAAAAACCAACGGTTTTCCTTTTATCTCTAGCTCTGTTGCTATATTTCACTTCAATGGGTATTCAAATCAGTGCAAAGATTATGCTGTTGATGAAACAAATATGTCGTAAAGTTGCTGAAGATCATCCTGATTTATCGGAAGAATATATCAATAATAATTGTCGTGGTCCTTTAGTACAAGGTGAATTATCCTTTCTGACATCCATTGTCACATTTTTTACTGGGGCGTTTTCATGTCTAATGAGTGGTAAAATGGGTGAATTAAGTGATCGTTTTGGTAGGAAACCAATTTTGGCAATTGTTGCATTAACAACTTTATTGGGGAGATGCTTTACAGCTTATTTATTAATGGATGGTCGTACATATCATAGAGGATTGTTCATTTTGAGTAGTGTGGTGGAAGAAATGACAGGTGGGAATACGGTTGTTGTTTCCGTTTCAAGCTCTTATATTACTGATATTGTGGAACCTCATGAAAGAATTGTTTCCTTGGGTTTCATGATTGGGACTTTATATGGTGGATTAGCTATCGGTCCTCTCTTAGGGAATATTGTCATTAAATATATTGGGCATGGGAATGATATTTATGCACTTTATGCTGGTTTAGTCTTGTGTGCATTATTTGCTCTTATACTCGTATTCGTCATTAAGGAATCGAGACCAATGAAGTTGAGAAGAAAATCTCAATCTACACATCTCAGAAGAAAAGCAAGTTTCACATCTTCAATTCATTCAAGTCAATCAACTTCAATGTATAATCAATTCCAATTATGGAGAATCGTTGACATATTTTCACCATTAAAAAAATTATGGATAGCAAAACATCCTGAACAAGGTTTTAAACCAAGAATTAATGTTTTGATAATGATTTTTAGTGATTGTGTATTAAGCTTGGCAAGTGCAGCTTATACCAGTACATTAGTCCTATATACAACTTATTACTTCAACTGGGGAACTGATAATATTGGTTATTACGTTTCAATGGTTGGGTTTTCAAAATCCTTTTGTCTTTATGCTGTTTCTCCAGTCTTGTTACATTTTTTAAAGAAATTTTTAACAATCAAGAAAAAAAGTATTGATTCTGTGGATTTAGCTGTTATATTTATTGGATTGATTTTTGATTCTTTAGGTCCATTAACCGTTATATTTGCCATTCAGAGCTCTCAGGTTTACTTATCAGCAATCTTCGCATCCTTGGGTGCGCTAGCAGGACCAACTATTCAAAGTTCAATAGTTAAATATGTTTCAGAAACTCAAACTGGTGAAGTGTTTGGTGCCATTGCTTTGATTAAGAATTTTATATTGTGTCTTGGTCCTCCTATCTTCCTGCAAATTTATTCAAAATCTGTGGCAACTTTTCCAACTTTGGTGTTTTGGATAACCGTTTTCATGTTTATAATTTCTATTGCTTTGAGCACCTTTTTGAGGTCACATAAAGAGAGTGAAGATGGGTCCATTGTGACTACCATAGTGGATGCAGATGAAGAAGAAGCTGCAATGTTGATCAATCAGAGTGATAATGGTCTATTCAAAGCACCAAGTGTTGGAAATTCATCAAGAAAGTGATTTCAAACAATCATTACTTGCGTATTCATTTTTCTACCTTTTTTTCATTTATTATATATTGGCTTACGGTTTCAATCACAGCAGGTTTGGTTTTTATTTTATTGGGATTCTTTATCAACTATTTAATATACAGTATTTATTTTGTTTTTTTCTCCATTCATCTCGACGTTGCTGCAGTTGAAGATACAGGTGATGTACATCCGAACACCACCCCTCTACATACGCTGATGCGATTAATTTTGTAACCTTCCAAGTTATTTGGCAGCTTTACCTAACAATTCCAGATCAACGTTTCAATTTTTGTGGACTAAATAATTCATTTATAAAGGAATGCATGGCTAAACAGTGTTTCTATTGTTTACAACTCAGACTCAGGAATACTCTCCATAATTAGAAAAAACAGCAAGAGAAGTTTATCAATCATGATTTCCACATTTGATGATTTCATTCACAATCTATTCACAAACCATCAAGGCTGGTTCTTAACAGCGTTGAGTTCTTTGATGTGTATATTTGGTGCATCTATCATATATTCGGATCTTTTGGTTAAATGGGTGAATCCAAATTCAAGTTTTGATATCAAGAGTAATGAAAGATTCTTGATTTGTGGGTTTAGTTTGAGTAGTGGTTCATTATTATTCACATCTTTTTTCAAGCTATTACCAAAAGGTTTAGAGTATTTCAATAAGGCAGCATCTGGTGATAATGATGATGATGGTAATAGTGATTCACATGGGGACTTATTAAAGCCAAGTTTGAGTTTATTGGTTTATTTTCTCATTGGTATTATTGCCTGTGAGTTATTGAACTATGGTATTCATTATTTCACAAGTGAAAGTATAGTTCATTGTAACCATGGGGGTGATTCAGATGAAGAACATGATCATTCTCATTCACATGGATCACATTCTCATTCACATTCATCATCAAGTGAAGAATTAGAAAACAAACTAGATCATAGTCATAGTCACAATCATCATACGCATAATCATAGTCATCAGTATGATGAAGAATCTCTACTTTCAAATGATGAGCCACATTATGGATCAAGTGGAGAAACAAACCCATTAGTTGTTCAACAAACTACGGTTATACAACCCAACCACGATCATTCTCAAGATCAAGATGCTACAGGACCGGTTATTGCAACAAGGAAGTCATTTTTCGATATAGCATTAAACAAAATAACACATCGTGGATCAGCTCAATGTATTGGCATTGATGATGAAGATTGTGAAGGAGATCCAAACTGTATTAATGAAGAATTAACAACAAATGTTGCAAATGATTTACATAATTTGAATTTCTATAGAGGTTTAGCAATCTCAAAATCCAAGAATTCATTAGTTGCATATACAACAAGCTCACCACATCATAATGTCATTGATGGAGCTTTGGAACATGGGGACTTAGTGCCAATTCATCCTTCAAATATTAGGTTAACGAATGAGCCAAATTTGGATTTACATCAACAACATAAAGATGATCATCATCATCAAATCAATACCCCAATTTCTAAATTATTATCAATTGGTTTACAAACTTGTTTAGCATTAACTTTACACAAATTTCCTGAAGGGTTTATTACTTATGCAACATCAGCAGCAGATCCTAAATTGGGAGTTTCAATTTTCCTTTCATTAGCCATTCATAATATTGTGGAAGGGTTCTCAATGACATTACCATTATATTTAGCATTTAACTCAAGATTAAAAGCCTTTGGTATGACTTTCATATTAGGTGGGTTGAGTCAACCTATCGGAGCCTTATTGGCATATTACTTATTGGCAGGACGTGAGATAGATCAAAAGGAATCTTTTTATATTTTTGGAATTTTGATGTGTATCACATCAGGTTTCCTATCAGTTGTTAGTTTGCAATTGTTTGCGAGCTCCATTAGCTTTGGAGGAAGTGCCAACAGAGTCATTAGATGGTGTATCGTGGGGATATTCATCATTCAATTGTCAAATGTGTTTACAGATTACAATAATTAGATTAGCTTTCATATTATAAGATGGTTATGTAGGCCCTGATCTGGTTTCGCGAATGTATTTTCCGATACACGTTAAAGTGGCGGATGTTTTTTGAAAATAAACAAAAAACGCGTTCAGAACCCATCAACAAAACACAATCTGAATCCATATTGCATCCATAATGAGTGATCATAGTACGCCTAGAATCGATGGTTCCATGTTGGAACAATACACAAACCGTACAGTCCGAGTCATAGGGAAAGTTGAGGACATCCAAGGATCAAATTTGAAGTTATATACACCAAGTGATAATCAAAAAGATTTAACAATAACTGTTAGTACAACTCCTGATTTGAATTTTGAAAAAGGTTATTGGTACGAAATAATTGGTAGGGTTATGGATAATTTGTCATTGAGAGCTATTGATATACAAAATTTCGGAGAAAATATAAATGAAAAAGCTGTTGCAGGATTAGTTAAATACTCTCAAAAAGCTTCAGTAATTTTTTATGAATGAACAGCTACATGGTTGCATTGATGAAAAAAAACAAAATGTAAGATGTAAATTCAAAGAAGGAGGAAATAAAAAAACCACAAGATAGTGTTAAATAAAAACTAACCTTATTATGATCTTGAAATGTAGTAAAAATTCTATTTCTTTGAAGAAGAAGCATCAGATCCTGACGAGAATGAAGACAATGAAGCTGGTGTGATTTTAGAGCTTGGATTATACCAACCAGCGACAGAAGGGTCTGGGGCAGGGCTTGCGTAATTCACAGCTGAACTCATGGTGTAAGACCAGTCTTGAGTCTTTGTAGACAAGACTTGAGCAGAATGTTTCAAGGTAGAAAAATATGAAACTGACGAAGTTTGATATCTTCTTGACCAAGTTGAAGCAGTAATAGTGGAACCTGGTTGAGTTTGCATTGGAGCATATCTTGTCAACCCAGTTTGAGAAGTATAAAACAACTGATGAGATTTTGATAAATCAGAAGGAGCTAAAGTTGAAGTTTGATCACCAGCATTAACTGAAGTTTGACCAGCTGGAGGTGCTACTTCATCACCACCACTTGGTTTCTTAGAACCAGTCATACCCTGTAGTGTGAATCTTTGAGAATAATGAATAGTGTAACCATTCTTTGTTGTGGCATAAACTTGGACATAATAAGAACCATCAGCACCAACATTTGAAGGGATTGATAAAGTGTAGGAATTACCTTTAACATCAGAAGCTGTAATTTTTTTAATAGTTTGTAACCCATTAATATCAGTATTTGGACCTGTACAGATGGTGAAACTATATTCTTCAATATCACTTAGTTTTGGAGTAGCATTTGATTCTTCCCAGGAGATTTCAACTTGAGCATTACCACCACTAACAGTGTATGAAGAACCTTTTGTAGGTTTTGAAATGGAAACATCACCAACGACAGATGCCACCAACAAAAACAAGAGTGTAAATATCTTTGTAAATCTCATAGCGTATAAATTTCAACAGACAGTCTATATTGTATGGGAAAATAATAATGAATTGTAATGGAAAATGGTGTTTTTCAAAGTTGTTTTGGAATTGATGAAAGTTGTGTCAAATATATGTCCCGTTGAGTTTTAGCGAGACAGTTTTAAGGTACCGAGAATATGACAGTATGTGAGAACAAATTGTAACGCAAGCGATCAGAGAGTGGATTAATTCTCTTGTTTTGCTTTGCTTGTTTAATAAATTAAATGGATTTTAGCAACTGTGAAGCGTTTGTTTGTACTCAAATAAAATTCCCTAGTGTTTTGCAAATGGTTTTCAAAATGGAAATATCTTTTCCCGGAAAGTGAAATTACTTGTTTTTTTTTTTTTTTTCATTTTATTTTTGGAATTTTGTTCGCGCCGAAACGAAAAAAAAAAGTGAAAATAAAAAAAAAAAAAAAAAATACAAAATTCAAGTTCAAAATCAGGGCGTTTCTGAACAAATTCAAACAAGTCGGGATATTTATAGTCAGCTGATTTGTCAGCTGATCTTTGTCAGGGTAAATTTTCAATTGATTTTTTCCAAAGACGCTATATAACATTTAGTGTGAATGTTGAGAAATATCTTGAGTAAAGTGATTGAAGTACATCTATCCAAAGAAATGCTTTACTTGAAATCTATGGTCAAGATCATTGACAACTCAGGAGGTCTAATGGCTGAATGTATCAAAGTCTTGCGTAAATCTCCAATGAACTACGCTTCAGTCGGTGACAAAGTGGTTGTCGTTGTTCAAAAGGCAAGACCTGTAAACTCACAAATCACTGGTGCTTCTGCTTCAAATAGAGTTAAAAAGGGTGACATTGTCCATGCCGTTGTGGTAAGAACTAAGCAAAATGTCCAAAGACCAGATGGATCTGTTATGAAATTTGATGACAATGCTTGTGTCTTGTTGAATAAAAATGGTGAACCTTTAGGAACAAGAATTTCATCTGTTGTTTCAAGACAATTAAAAGATAAAAACTACAATAAAATTGTTTCATTAGCACCAAAGGCTGTTTGAATGATCTGGGTTTTTTCGTTCATTCCCGTTGTTTTGTTTATTTGGTTTAAAAGTTTTGTGTTCGTTTAGTGTATTTTTTTTTCACATAGGTTTCATCATGTATATATTTAATGGAATAAGGAGGGTTTAATATTGAATCTGTAGATTTTATGTGAATGATTCAACCAAGCCGTGCAACTTATCAATCAATAGCTCACTCTTATTTTTAATGTCATCACTAGTGTTCATTAATAATCTTTCATTATCATCTTTCCCGTATGTCAGCACATCAAATGTTGAATTCACAATGTTCTTGAGCTTTAAAATGTTTTCGCTATTGTAATCTTTTTCAACCATTCTGGAGATTTTATCATTAATCTCAATTTCAACTTCATCTATATCTGAGCCACCTCCATTGAAACTTAGATCTGGAGAAGACGGTATGTCATATGGATCTGTTGTTCCTATGCTAGGTTTTCCCAAATCGTAATCATCTGTAGGAGTTGGTAAATATTGGTTTTTTGGTTTTGAGTCATAATGTATTGTCGTAGGAATAGTCTTTGGTATGCTTATATTTTTCAAGTTCTCCTCAACATCTTGATTCACAAGTTGTAATTCTGCGAATTTTTCATTGATCTCGGTACTTAAGCTCTCGCTGTGATTAATAAGTTGATTTATTCTATTGATGGACTGAAAAATATTAGCAGTATTGGATTCTATGGCAATCTCTTCAGAGTAAATGTTTTGGAAGTTTGATTTTTTTGATACGTCATATTTTGAATAATTTGAGTTGAAAGATTCAAATTCCTCAGCTGAATGGTTTGGATTCACTTGTCTTGACATAGTCTCGAAACCCTCTATCTTAAAACTCCTCAAAAGGTTGATTAGAATCAATGGAAATCACGTTGTTTGGAATGTTAGTCGATGGTTATGTACGTACTTTTTTTGAAAATAGGCTGCTGTACAAAAATCAACGTGTAAATAAAATCTGTATGTAAAAAATCATTGAACTTTTCAAAATCTAGGTACAAGAATAAATATATTCAATGAGTTTTAGTTGAATAAATAAATAAATATTGAGCAAAAATGAAAACCTGTCAGTCTGTTTCTTTCATTTCTTCGGGCTCATTAACTCCTCTAAATGGCTTTCAACATCAGTACTTTGCGTTGAATTACCAATACCATTAATCCTATTCTCATCTAATTCCCCTTCAACTTCTTTCTATTGATATCTGGTTAGTCTCAATGCTCAACTTTGCAAAAATATTGCATAACTTACCTGTTTGGAGTCCTTTAGTTTGATTCTTGTTGATGCAATCTTCAGTTCATTTCCTAAATCATTCAAGAAGTCATCATCAATGTTATAATTTTGTTTCAACTTTTCTAGTGGTGTTGAATGTAAATCTTCAATTATCCCACATAGAACACTTGGATGAACTGTTTTCTTTGTTTCGTTGTCTTTGGAACCTTTCTCTAGCTCGGCCTCTCTTTTAGATTTATTTCTTAAAGTGGTTAATGCTGGATTCTTAATCATGTCAGTTAGTATAATCATCCTTGGTAGTGAATGTTATCCACTTACGTTTTGATCCAACTTCAATGGGATTTCTTCTATCTTAACTTGTCCAATCCGATCAACATTTTTGTTTACACCGGGATCTCTATGAAATCTTCCCACATTTGATTCTTGACTTGGTTTACATGTGCCTTCTGCAAGTTTGTTATCCTCAATAGATCTAGCAGGTGGTTGTAAATGTATCTTATTTGGTGAATTGACATTCCTTTGTGTGCTTGTTGCTTTAGTTATATTTGAAGAAGGTAACTTCCTTGCTTGCTTGGATACTTTACCTCCCATTATCCTTGACCAAGTTAGAGTCTGAGATTTGATGTGGGTATATGACCTCCTTTTATTATAAATATACTTGAATTACTATAAGTTTGTTGATTATGTTCAGATCGTTTTGATTTGTCGATATTTTCCCCCATAAAAATTGAATATACTAATACTGGCACGGTGTTTGTTGGCAGTCTCTGAATCCACTGGAAATAATTCACTAAATTAATTATAAACAATGAACTCTAAAGCAGCTTGAAAATTACAAAAAATATTATTTTGAGCGGAGTTTTATTCAAATTTAGTATTTTTGTAGGATTTTAATCATATTTGGATTTTTCAATTTTTCTCTAATATGGAATATTAAAATTTAAAAATATTAGATCAACATAGTATTTAGTTTCAAAATATTTGGAAATTTATAATTTATAATATTAAATTCCAACATAGCGAGAAGCCTACAATCCAAGCGGTTCGTGCGTAATTGCATTCCTCATCCAAGTTCATCAAATTATACATCAACTAAAAAAAAAAAAAAAAAATTAAATGATTTTATAATTTTAAATAAATGTTCATTAACGCCGATAATATACAAGCGAGTGAGGTGGAATATAATGAACAAAACAGGTAGCAATATTACTGTATAGAAAGAGTATTGGTTGTAATTTCAAATTATCAAAATATAAGCTATCATGGATTATTAGCTATGTCGACCCGTTAAGATATTTTTCAATTAATGACAGAACGTTTAACTATAAACCCATTACAAGCCCTCATATCATAGGGTTAGCTTAATATGAACATTAAGGAAGTATAGAACAACGAAGCCCGATCAGCAGCAACCTTAATGTAATTCACAAGCTTATCACAATACCAAAATATAAATTCAAGCAGTTAATATTTCGATGTTACCTAGTTTCTCAATAACATTATTGATGATCTATATTATAAATACGCACTTAAATAGGCGACAGCTTGCTGTCACACAAGCTGCACAATACAATTCAAAATTATCTAAATGACGCATTAAAATCGTTATTCATTAAAATGTATAAACCCACTGCAATTAATAATATTGGCAGCATAAATTTTGAAAATTAAAGTCCTTGAGTATTTACCATGAATGTTTAAAAATTCATGCTTTTCGGCACACTTTGTACTTTTTGTAATCATTCATGACTTTGATGATGGCCTGACTTGTTTCTGAAAGTTTCATTTGTACATAAGAATCAGTAGTTAGCGCTTCTTCATATAAATCCATATTGGCTGATGAGCGAAAGGCGATCTTGAGATGACGTTCATCATGTTCCAATCTTTCTGATAAATATTGTGTTAATTTTTTTTTCAAGCTGTGGGTGGCTGTTAGGAAAACATCAAGCTGGTCTTTATAACCATCATATTCTTCTTTGTTTTGAGGATTGATAATTGTTGGCTCTTTTGGGATTTCAATATCTCTCAAATATTGGTGAACAGCTAATTTTTCAAAATTTAAGATTTGAGAATCGTCAACAGTTTTTTGTCTTTTGAATTGTTCACCGTTATTAGTATCATCTGTATACTCTTTTAACCCTTTCTTCATATCATTCATATCAAAGTTACCATTGGTTTGAGTTAATGGTGTAGTTTTGCTCAATTCATCCAGATCAAGTGATGAATTTTTTGGATTCGGTTTTTGCTTTTTGACATTTTCATTAACAGTACTTGATGAGCCAATTCTTATCTTCTCAAATGTCAATTCATCAATCTCTATAATATCATCATCTTCATCACTTTCAGGTTGATCATCAACCCATTTTTTATCATCATTAGAGTCAATAACAAATTCAACATGGTTTGATTCTTCTAATGTGGTTCTTGATGGACGTCCAGATGTGTTTGAGAATTTTTGGCTTGATGATGCAACACTGGATGGTGATTTTGAATTGTATAAAGCGGGAATTCCACGTCTTCCTTTTTTATTCAAGGTTCTCTTTTGTGTCCTTATATTTTGAGGTGTTGATTTATTCAAATCATTTTTAAAATTTGACATATCAAACTTTAGGCCTGGAGCTGGTGAGTTTACAAAATCTGACTTAGCATTTGGATCAACAGGTGGTCCCTCAGCAGTTGGATGAAGTGGTCTATTGTTTGATGGAGGAGTTTTTGGCCGTCTTGGAACCCCAATGTTATTTGCATTAGGAGGAACTGGTATGTTATTATTGGAACTTGAACTAGGAGGTGATGGCCCTTTATTCAAATTTGAAGTTGAAGAGGCAGCTGGCTGGTTTGTTGAGTCATTTGATGGTGGTTGTTGGGTAGGTGGATTCTTGAAATTTGTCCGTTGTTTTTGCCATGATTTTGGTAAGGGATCAGTTGAAACAGAGGGCATTGATGTTGAGCCATGTGTGAAAGAATAACTGTTTGAAGACTGAGCTTGATATGGGTATTGTGGTGAATGCCTATAATTGTTCGAGGGTGGAACTTGATGAGGTGGAACAGAAGATTGCCTTTGATACCCTGGTTCAACATAGGTGCCATCTGAAGGATTATAATTGGAGCTGGCATTAGGGGGTTGCCTGAACCTTACATTTTTGTTTGTGGTATATGGACCTTCACCAGAGTTGTTGAAAGAATAGTTGTATTGTGATGATGGGTTTGAATGTGCACCTGTGGCCGGATTGGTAGTAGAAGGTGGTGGTTGTGTGGTCTCATTCACATTCGCCCTATGGAAATGTGAGCCAAATCTCCCATTATTAGGAGCTCTTTGGTTTTGATGCTGCTGTTGTTGTCTAGTATTGGTGCCGAAATAACTTTTGGTATTGGAAAATGAATCATGTTTAGTTTGATTTCTTTTATAAAGAAAATCAAAGTCATCCTCTTCTTGATAATAGAATTGCCTGTTTCTCGCGCCATAATTATAGGAACCTGAACTATTTGGACGTGTATCAGAGTTATTTGACGGCTTGAAGTGAGTTTGTCTAGTCCTTGCACCACCGCTAAAGTGTGAAGTGAAGGATGGATAACCATTGTAGTATGCAGCTCCTGGGGGTGGAGGTCCTTGCCTATGAGATGAAGAGACTCTTGTCAAAGACACCAAAGTCTTGTCATATTCTTGCTTCTTTACTGGATCTGATAAAACGTCATAAGCGTCAACTAGTTTTTTAAATTTATCCACACTATCTGGAGCTTTACTCTTATCAGGATGATGTTTCAATGCCAGTTTTCTATATGCCTTCTTGATTTCTTCTATTGAGGCCGACTGGCCAACTCCCAAGCAAACGTAGTGGTTCGACATACTCAAAATTAGAGGTGATACGCCATAAATTGAAAGTCAATTGAGCTTTCTCTAATGTCTTATTTTTGAGGCCCTTTCAATGTTGGTTTTTGAGGAGACAAATACTGAAGCAATGGACAATGGAAAGTGAATCTTGAGCAGCCAGAAAAAGGAATTGAGAGCAGCGAATGCCTATGACACGACCAGCAGCTTCCCTGAACTCGTTGCGGTTGCCTATGTTTTGTCTTGTTGGTGATTGTTTTGGTGTTTTGAATCAGCTTTAAATTTCCAAATCCAAAAAAAAAAACAACAGGCTTTTCGCGAAAAAACAAGATTACGTAAAAATTGAATTCGAGATTCGAAAAATGCTGAAACTCAGCCAGAAATTTAAGAGGCCGACAGTAATCTTGGATTGCAGAATCCAGGTACACTAGGCCTTTATTTTATGCTTATTTGAAAGGTGCAAACTAATCAATTGAAAGCCACTGGACACTGGTACTCTATCAAAGCCTTCCTAACAACTGCACCAAATTGATTACCCCATAGGAATTTGAACGAAATGTACAACTCGTTCACTGATGATAAAAACAACACCGAGAAGCAACAACAACAAGAACAGACCAATTCTGCTCCCACTCATATCAAAATGCCAATGGCTGCTCCATTAAGCTTGGTTCCTGAAGTTAGTGGACCACAAGATAGCCCAGGTGCTGGTACTTTAGGAAATAACAACATTAATACCCACCAGAACAATTCCAGCAATCATATATACCAAGCTCAATTCTTACAGAATGATTCACGTCAAGGGTCCACAGCTAGTCTCAACTCAAAACTCCCAAGTAAATCACCAATATCAAAAGGTAAATATAGCTTAAATGACTTTCAAGTCATGAGGTCCTTGGGAACTGGATCTTTTGGAAGGGTCCACTTAGCAAGATCTGTTCATAATGGTCGATTTTATGCAATGAAGGTTTTGAAAAAAGATCGTGTTGTGAAAATGAAACAAGTTGAACATACAAATGATGAAAGAAGAATGCTTGCAATTGTGGAACATCCTTTTATAATAAGGATGTGGGGCACATTTCAAGATTCTCGTTCCGTTTTCATGATTATGGATTATATAGAAGGTGGTGAATTATTTACACTTTTAAGAAAATCTCAAAGATTTCCAAATCCTGTTGCAAAATTTTATGCTGCTGAAGTTTGTTTAGCATTGGAATATTTGCATAGTCATAACATAATTTATCGTGATTTAAAACCTGAAAATATATTGCTGGACAAGAATGGTCATATTAAATTGACAGATTTTGGGTTTTCAAAAGAAGTTAAAGATGTTACATATACTCTTTGTGGTACGCCTGATTACATTGCTCCAGAAGTTGTTGCCACTAAGCCTTATAACAAATCTGTTGATTGGTGGTCTTTTGGTATTTTAATCTTTGAAATGCTGTCAGGTTATACACCTTTTTATGATTCTTCACCAATGAAAACTTATGAAAACATTTTAAGTGGTCAAATAAAATATCCAGATTATTTCCATAAAGATGTTTTAAATTTATTGCAAAATTTAATTACAAAAAATTTATCTGAAAGATTGGGTAATTTACAGAATGGAACGGAAGATGTTAAGAATCATCCTTGGTTTTCTGAAGTTGTATGGGAAAGATTATTATCAAGAGACATTGAAACACCTTATGAGCCACCAGTAACAGCAAACACAGGTGATACAAGTCAATATGATAGATACCCAGAAGAAGACATTGATTATGGTGCTACTGGGCCAGATCCTTATGAACTTTTATTCAGGGATTTTTGAATAGTTGAAGTACTGTTTGTTTTGTGTTTTTTTTTAATGATTGTGCCTTTGAATTGTTTTTATCATGGTTCTTTATTCAGCTTAATGATTTGCTACGTTTGTTTTGATTTTTTTTCAATGTTTTAATCCTTGCACCTTCCTTTACTATGGCCCAGGTTTGAAAAGGTGTTTATTTCAATAGATCCCATTACTTTACTTGGGGTTTTAAGTTTTTCTTTTCATTTTCCTCAATTAGATTAATTCATGATTTGATGTACACTACACATCGAAAAAAAAAACACATATGATGTTTGTAGGAGTAATTGAAACATATTATTCATTAAAACTTTTAAAAGTGATACTCAGACTGTACAGCTTCACACAAAACAGTATGTTGTAACCATGAAGATTTCAAAACTTCTTGAGATGTTAATCTTGTTTTAGGGTTTGGGTCCAACATTCCATAAAGTACACCTTTTCTCGATTTGTAATATGCACCAGACTTGATGGTTTCGATTGGTTCAAAAGTACCTGCTTTACCATCACGAGGTCTTGAAGCAAGGTATTTCTCATATAACCCATCATCATCATCTTTGGCAATTTCCCATACATAACCACCAGTACTCATTGTTAAATAAACAACACCTGCACTCCAAACATCAACATATCTTGGATCATATTCTTTAACGGCAAACTCTTCGGGAGCAACATAAGGTTCAGATCCACAAGCTCCAGAACTGAAATGACATTCTTTTTCCCAAGCTGTTCTGAAAACAGCACTTGTACCAAAGTCTGAAATTTTGGCAACTCCACTTGTAGTTAATAAGATATTTTCAGGTTTTAAATCACAATGTGCAACACCTTTTGAATGCATATAGGATAAACCTCTCATGATTTGTTTCATGAAACAATCAGCTTCCAAATAATGTAAACCTTCTCCATTTGTGGCCAAAATCAATGAATACAAATCACCAGCTGAACAATATTCCATGATTTCTGAATATGCACCAGATGAATTCTTCATCAAATCGATTGTTTTCACTATATTCATATGATTTAATGCATTTGAAATAACAAATTCTGAAGTTAATCTTGTGCTGAAATGATTTGAATCTTCTTTATCCTTCTTTTTCAACTCTTTAACAGCATAATAAATTTCCTTCTTAGTTGCAGAATCAGTTTTGGAAACCAATTTAACTAAACCGTATGCACCTTTACCAATTATACCTTGAGGTTTACCATATTTATCAGTTAATTTGTAATTTTTAGTTGAAATTGAAGGGTCTTCATCATTGTTGATTTGTTCAACTAACCTATTGATGAGCCTTAGCTGTGGATCACCAATCGCTGCACTTGTTGGCTTCTCATCTGCGTCTTGATCATCTTCTTCTTCAGATTCATCTTCGGAATTCGAACCTCCATCTTCGCTATTTTCTTCTGAATCATCTTCAAGTTTACTTGATTGCATACTCAATCTTCTTTGGAAATCCATTCTATTTTGCTCGGGCAAAAGACTAAATGCAACATCATTTTTAATTGAGGTTGAACTTTTTTTCAAAAAACCTGATAAAATACCAGTAGAACTTGGAATTTTTTCTAAAACTTTTCTAGGCTTTAAAATATGTTCATGAAATCCATTTTCATAAATCTTCAAAGTACCAACTGTTGTACTCGGTATATTTGAAAATGATGAAGGAGTTCTAACTCTTGATTGTGATCTTGATCTATTTGAACGTGGAGCAACCGGCTCATTCTCACGACCTCTTGAATTTGAGACAGGTAAATAAACATCAGAAGGTTTAGATATTATGGGTATGTTGTTGTTATTCTTATTACCACTTTCACCAATTGAATTTTCAGAATCCTCTTCAGCAAATGCAGGTAAAACTGGTTTTTTTGACCTTAGGAGAGGTGTTTTTAAAGCACTTGAAGTAGCAGCCTGAGGCGGTACAGTCACAGCTGGCTGAGGAGCCTCTATTGGAGTGATTTGATCCAGTTTAGTATCACCACGAGTAGGGCTTCGTACTTTTGTTGGTGTTGATGCTGAGGTAGATGAAGATGATGGGGGTATTGATGTTGCTGTGGAATCTTCCAATTTGGGACTTTTGATAAATAGATTTTTGAGTGAAGTAGATAATGAATGTGGTCTTTTTGGAGGATGAGGTGTAGTTTGTGATTCCTTTTGAGCATCTGTGGTGCTTGTTGTTATTGACGATTCTTCAGTAGCAACTGGATGTGATTTGTGAGGCTTTAATGTGATTGAAGGCATCTTTGAATCATCTAGAAACGGTAATAAAAACCAAGGAAAAACAGGTAGAGCAATGTCAAATGGGATTGGTATGAGTGTGAAGGGTCTTCACTTCAAAGTAAATGATTGTATGGGTTGATGGTGGTGTTGTTGTTGTTTTAGGTGCAATCGGACACCTTTTTCAATTTTTTTTTCTGGTTAAATTAAGAAAAAAGCTCGACTGGGATCAATTAATTTATTCAGAATTAGCTGTTGATACACGAATTACCAGTGAAAGAGATATTTGTAGCAAATAAGAGGAAGCAAAAGTATGACAATAGAGATTGTAATTGTGTTTCCATTTAACAATTAAGAAAAAGGAACCAAGACAATGGTGCTCACATCGTGTGACAGTTTGGTGAAACATACATAAATGTCATAAATTTTTGATTAATTATATAGTCGTAACAGATCGTGCAAAGGAATGAAGGAAAAAGAACATTAAAAAGACAGTATTTAACCCATAAATTCAAACATCAACACCAGCCCATACTTTAACTATATTAGCTAAAGGTTTTATACTAGCCATTATAACCATAATTGTACCAAATAAAACAAAAGATAAACTACTCATAGCTGCAGCTCTTGGATCAATGGTCAACAAATGGGCAGTAGCAATTGCACCACAATTGACCCCCAAAGTAATACCTCTTGTAACATAATCATCATCTCTTAGTCTCAAAACATGTTTACCAAACACAAATTGACCAGTTAAAGCTCCAACAATACCTGAAACCACTGTAGTGACAGCCATCAATGGGACTGAACCATCCAATGCTTGAACAAAAGGGGTTCCCAAAGCCAAAGTAACAGATCTTCCTGCAAATCCTAACGAACGCTCTGAAGAAATTCCTAAATGATAACATAAAGGTGGATAAACGAAAAAACAACCAAAAGACATGAGTAAAATTGGAGGTAATAATGCAAAGAAATGACGTTTCAAATCATTTCTATAAGTATACATTGGAATTGATAATGAAACAATTGAAACATCCATCAAAGTGGAAAAGACATCACCAGCACCAGGCCATTTATCATTTTTTCTATGATTGAATAATTTCAAATAATTACGACCAGTTTTATATTGTTTCAATGTATCCAAGAAATTTTCTCTCTTCATTAATGAAAAAATATAGAAAAAAAACCAAGATAATGCAACTGAACACAAGACTGGATGTAAAAATTTCTTGTATTTTGGAGGTGGAACATTCAACAAAAATATAAAAGTTGCAACTGCAATGGACAAATGTAAAAACATTGCATAATCTCTCGCAAAATAAATTGGTAAACTTGCAATAAATAAACCAAATAAAACAATATAATCAAAGTTTTTGAAAACAAATTGTCCTATAATAATTTTTCTATCAGTTTCCAACATTGGGTTTTGTTCCAAAACTGATCTTTTACACAACAGCTTGTTAAATTTATTCAATTTAGCTTTAACACCTGGATTATTTGGTCTTTTTGGTTGTGCAACAGGTGAGGGCATTGAAGGGATCTTCCAAATTTTACTATCTTTATTAGTTTGTAATTCAATTTTAACAACCTCATCAGAAGTTTGATCATCAGTTTGTTGATTGTTGAATAAACCTTGATGTCTTGATGAAATACTTCTTCTAAATTCATCTTCAACTGAATCTTCATCACCTCTTGGAATATCATTAACAATTGTTTCAGGATTTTGTTCCAAAGATCTCATTCTATTCAATTCAATAGGAGAAGTTATTGATACATTTGATTCACGACGTTCACCACCTTCATAAACTCTAACCGAGTCATTTGATTGAGAAGTTGGACTTCCTAACAAATCGTTATTACTAGTCAGAGCAGTTGTATTCCCATTAAGCTCATCATTATCCTCCATTAGATTCAATTCTTCAGCTCTTTCAACATTTGATCTTCTAGTCTTCTTCAACAACATTTGTAGGAAAACGCAAAAATAAGCAACAATAGCTGTAGCGACAAAATACCCGATAAGGAAAACCGCAGCGATGGTCAAGGCTTCTTTAGCACTAATCCATGAAGATAATGGTAAAGTGATGAAAGCCGGAGTGAAAAAGATATTAATCCATCTTAAACTGAATCCTCCAGGGATATCAATGAATTTGACAATTTTAGTAGTTCTTCTGTTTCCCAAGAACCGTTGACTTGATATCAAAAAAATGTATAGCAACAACATACAAGTGACTGAAGCTGGGAAATCTATTGTGGTCAAGATGATGATTTCATTAACAGCGTACAGGATACCCAATATCACGAGCACGCCAAAGGGCACTTTAACGTAGCTATCATAAATGTGTTTTCTGGATAGTTTGGTTCCCTTGGATTGGATATTAGTGGGAATGCTCTAGATCTGATTGTAATAATGATACTCACGAGCACCGCTCCATGGTACAAGTCGCTGAGCAGCAGGAAAGATGATGACTTTTTAGTGGACATTGCTATTACTTCTTCTCAGTGCAAGCAGGTTTCCAACATCCATGGAAGTAGCCTTTCTTTATATACTGCGCTTTATCACCAACTTGACTCTGACTATCAAAAACAAAAGAAAACCTGATCGTCGTTTGAACGGAGGGGCCACGGTACACGCACGCACATAATAGACTTGATTTACAGGTACAAACACATAATTTGGTTAAATGAATTCAAAGTATATACAGAATGGGTGATGATGGCTTGTAGTCGTTCATTGGATGCCTCTAGGATCCCTGTCAATGATGACTTCTTTGGCCGGTTTGGCTCCAGTGAGGTTTATGAAGTCATTCAAAATATCAGAACTGTGCTTGTTTTTAACATCAACTTGTGCTGTTTTACCATCAGCTAAAGTTGGAATGTTAGTAAAGACTCAATTAATTTTGACTTTTTAGATCTTGACTTACCATATGTAACTTTTAGAATGGCTGGAACTTTTGCATGCTCTGAAGCATTTGCAACTTCAACTCTTGTGACTTGAATTGGTAGAGCTGGATTATGAAACTGCACTCTTGGTAAATTCTCTCTCCAGAATTTTCTTTAACTGTTAGTTTGACACACTGAGAATAATCAAAATCAATTATACTCACCTAGCACCCATATGACCATCGGTATTTAATCTCTTGAAAAGTAATTCAACATTTTTCACATTTTGACCAACTGTAACGGACCCTGGTCCACTCGATATCAAGTTTAGCCTGGTTATTTGTCTTGTGAATCTTGAAGCTGTCAAGCCTGGGAACATAGATTGGGCTGACATGATGTTAATGATGAGCTGTATATAAAACTGATCTGATGTTAACGTTGGATTAGCTTGGTTATGGTGCTCTTTTTTTTTTTTCAATCGCCAAAAAAAAAAAAAAAATTCGAGATCTGACACTTGTATACGGGTCAATAACTTATTGAAATTGTATAAACTTGGTTAAAACCTCTTTGATTCACCAAATGGGTTATATTCAAATTGTACAAGATATTATGGGTGTAACATTTTTTTGTCGCGTTGATCTAAAAGTTCATCTACGGACTCCTTAGATCAGTTGAAGTCTTGATCAGACGATCGATTTCGATATTTGTTGAGAGAAATATATACCTAATTTACCAAATTGAAGGTACGATTGACAAATTCAATTTGAATATCAAATGTGGAGTTTCCTGGGCTAGACGTGTATAATAATCCCAAAGGTGGCTACAACACAAACGGCTTCAAACTTAACTTCTTTATTTTATTCTCAATTGGAATTAGACAACTATAATTAGTTATAAAGTCTATAACACTTGTTAGTTGATTTCTTGAATTTCGAAACTAGATTCAATCAAACACATTTTATTTAATCTAAGTGGAATGTCAGAGGTGCACTAAGTTCTACTAAAACTGGCAAAAGACGTTTCTCTTCAATCAAAGTCAGTTGTCCCTATCTTGTGACTCATCATTCTAGATCAATATCGTGCGATTGTAATTCAATTGAATGTTTAAACTTACCCAAATAAAAACAATTGTACTTATTCTTGTTACACTTCAAAAAATGAGAATAATTAAAGAAAATTTTTTTTTCCACAATTTTTTTTTATATGTAGTCCATGAAGTCGCGAAAAGTAAAAAGGGTAGAAAACATCCAAATCGTGGACATCTATTACAGGAAAAAATAAATAAAAAAACAGTGTCAATTTTTTTTTCTTAGGTATTTAACTTATTCAAGTGGTTCAGGTTTAACAGAACCTTCTTTCTCTAATCTTTCCTCAATTTCTCTTAATTCACGTTCCCTTGCTAACAATTCTTGTTTCTTTTGTAATAAATCTTTTTGAACTCTTTCTTCAAAAGCTTTTAATCTTTCCTCTTCCAATCTAATCTGTTCCTCACGAGCTAAATAAGTATCATTATGATTATTGTTTAAGCTTGGTGTACTGATTGAAGCATTATCTTCTTGTTTAATACTTGGTGATTTCAAATCTTCAGCATATGGAGATCTAACACTTGCAGATGCTGAATTTAATTGTGTACTTAGATGTTCTGGTAACCCTCCGCCACTCAAAGCTTCAGTTCTATATCTTTCATACAAGATTTCATGTGTATAATCTTTCAAGTCTTGTAAATGACTGATCAATAACAAGTTTCTAAGTATCACAAAATCTGATGATTCATGATCTTCAATATTGATAAAACCCCAAGGATATTTTCTCCCTCTAATCAATTCTCCATCAACTTCAAACACTTGATTTGATCCAATGACTGAAAATGGAATTAATGATCTTAGATAAGAATTTGTATCGATGGTTTCATTATCATCGTTTTCTAAATCATATGGGAAATTATAATATTCAATTTGATGATATTTTAGATCTTCCAATATCAATTTCTTGTTTAAAATCAATTCTTCACGTGTTAATGAATCTGATTTACTAATAACTGGAATAATATTAGCCAATCCTGATAATTGTTTTAATAAATGAATATCCAATTCTTTTAACCCATGACCAGTTGGATTAATGAAATATAAAACAGCATGAACTCTTGAATCTTTAAATCTAGGATTTCTTCTAACTCTACTCTCTTCCAATAAGATTTCATCATATTGATGTTTGAGATAGTCTGTTATAATGTTGAAACTTGATGAATTATCTAATGAATCACCAAAACCTGGTGTATCAATTATGGAAAGTAAAATCTTGACACCTTCATTATCTTCCAATTCAACTGTTTCCTCTCTCAAGTTGAAGTCTCTTTCAGTAGAATCATCTGTTGGTAATGGAATTGTGCTACTGGTATCAACAACTTGTTGGCCACATAAACTATTGATAAAAGTTGATCTACCAGTACCAGATTGACCAACAACCATAACGGTGAATTGAATACCTTTTTTCAAGGTCTTTCTCTTTCTTAAAGCAGCAGATGTAACAGCAACCATTGTTTTATCAGTGTTTTATGGGAATTAAAAGATACAAATGAGTGCTAAGTTGTAGTTGTGCGTTGGTGGTGGATGGTACCTGAATGTTGTTGATGTTTCAAGCTGTTATTTTTTGTTGATTTGAACTCGAAAGCAAAAAAAGAACGCGATCTTGAAAATGATCTCTTGAGTGGTCCTACCGAAAGAGATCTCACAGTCACGTGTAAAGGGAGGGCAAGTGGTTAACTATGGAATGATCGGAACGGCCACAATGTATGGCCATTTTTTTTTTCCTTTTCGTGATGAGGTTCGAGGAAATCTAGTGTTTTAATGAGTAATAATATCACTTTTACACTTTGATTGTTGAACTTTTATAGAAGATTAACGAAAATGTCAAGCAAAGTTGTGATAATTGACAATTACGATTCTTTCACTTGGAATTTATACGAATATTTATGTCAAGAAGGAGCTAGTGTGGAAGTTTTCAGAAATGACAAAATATCGATTCAAGGCGTTGAAGAGTTGAAACCAGATACAATTGTGATTTCTCCAGGTCCAGGCCATCCACTAACAGACTCTGGTATTTCAAGAGATGTGATTAAGCATTTTGCAGGAAAAATCCCAATTTTTGGTGTTTGTATGGGTCAACAATGTATTTTTTCAGTTTTTGGTGGTGAAGTTGGTTACGCTGGTGAAATTGTTCATGGTAAAACTTCTTTAATCAACCACGATTCAAAAGGAATGTTCCAAAATGTTCCTCAAGGTATTGCTGTTACAAGATACCATAGTTTGGCTGGTACAAAAGTCTCTCTACCTGAAGATCTTGAAGTTACTGCAAGAACTGATTCGGGAATTATAATGGGTGTTCGTCATAAAAAATACACAATTGAAGGTGTTCAATTCCATCCTGAAAGTATATTGACTGAAGAAGGCCATCGTATGATTAAAAACATTTTGAATATTAGAGGTGGTTATTGGAATGACAATGAAAATTGCACTATTTTCACTGATAAGGAAGTTAAATCATCAACAACTAAAAAAGTTAAAACTTCAATTCTTGATGAAATTTATGCTAAAAGAACTTTGGATGTTGAAGAATTGCAGAAAATACCTGGTTTCACATTTGATGATTTGAAGAAAAATTTTGATTTAGGATTGGCTCCACCTCTTGTTGATTTTTATGATAGACTGAAAAATGGTGGTACTGAGTCTTGTTTATTAGCAGAAGTTAAAAGGGCGTCTCCATCAAAAGGACCAATAGATTTACAAGCCAATTCTGCAGAACAAGGGTTGCTTTATGCAAAAGCCGGAGCTTCTGCAATCTCTGTTTTAACCGAACCTCATTGGTTCAAAGGTTCAATTCAAGATTTGAAAAATGTTCGTCAAGTTGTATCTTCATTACCAAATAGACCAGCTATTTTGAGAAAAGAATTTATTTTTTCGGAATATCAAATTTTGGAAGCAAGACTTGCTGGTGCTGATACTGTGTTATTAATTGTTAAAATGTTAAATGATGCTCTTTTGAAACAATTGTACAACTATTCAGTGGAATTAGGAATGGAACCTTTAGTTGAAGTGAGTTCCGCAGAGGAATTCCAAAGAGCTTTAATATTAAAACCAAAAGTTATCGGGGTTAACAATAGAGACTTGCATAGTTTCCAAGTTGATTTAAATACAACTTCAAGCTTGGTTTCTTTAACCCCTAAAGATACTTTACTCATTGCTTTATCCGGTATAACGAATGGTCATGACGCTGAAAAATATAAAGCTGAAGGTGTCAATGGGTATTTAGTTGGTGAAGCATTAATGAGAGCTGAAAATGTGGAGGAATTTGTCAAAGACTTATTGAGTCAATAAATTTATACACAATATAAGCAAATTAGATTTATCAGTCATATATATAAAAGAAGGAATAATAACAATAAAATTAATGATCAAAAGCAAAAAAAGAAATACGAATATTCTGTGTAAACTTCTTTTTCTAGTCCTTTTTAGCTTCATTTGGTGAATGATATCTATTACTTTTAGCAAATCTAACACCACTAAACTTACCATCACTGAAAATGTCCCTCTTGGCAAGAAACTCCATCTCAACCAATTTTGGCCAAAAAACATATTGCATACCGTTCTTTAGCATATAATTACCTGAAATTCCCAAAACACTTAAACATGAGGCCAACAAGAACATATTTTTCAAACTAAAGATTGAACCTTTTGGAAACAAAATAGCTGCAAAGAATAAGATTGAAGATGCTATAAAAATATAAGGAATTGATTGTGTTAATGGAGGTCTTTTATCCTCAAATGGAGAATCAACAGCACCATATGGTGAGAATAAACCCAAGAATAAATCATAAGAGTCTTGTCTAGGACCATCTCTGAGATTGTTTTTATAATATCTTGTTATTGAATTCATCAAATCACTTAATGCACCCTTCTTGGTACGTTTACCAGTTCTTGTGTAATCAGTTTTCAAGGCTCCAGTCCCTGAATAAGATTTACTAACAGCATCCGCATTATCTGCCCATATGTTTTGGAATTGGAATAATAATAATTTATCATGTTCCCAAATTGATCCTGGAGGTAAGATTCCACCAATTTCAAATTGTTTTTGTAAAACCCAATGTCCTAAAGTGGATTGGACAACATTAGTTCTATCCAAACAATCCATACAATTTGTACGAACAACTGAACCTTGTTGGTTGATTAACTTGACATTATTTTGTGTTCTTTCTTCATGGTAAAAGTCGGTGTTACTTAAACCCAATTGTGCCAAATGTTCAATCAAAATCTTAACTCTATGCCATTTCAAATTACGACATTCATGATGATAATCAAAATAAACGTAATGAAGTTTTGGATCACCTAAAGCATCGACAATATTTTCATAAGCATTTTTAACTGGCTCTTCATAACCTTTGGAATTAACCAAATTTACCAGATAGTTGTCCCCATATAAGCTGATTTGTTGATCAAAGTGCTTTCTAGCGGCTTCCAAAGGAGGTTCTCCAATACTTAGGTCTGGTTTATATTTCAAATTGTTAACCTCAGCCCAATAAACAGGAACTGATCCCCTTGTTTGAATATAACTAAAAGTTTCATAACTTTCTCTAGAATGATGCAAAATTAACAATTGTTCAGTTTCATTATAATTTGCAACATTACCTGAAGCATCGATACCACGACGGAAATATCTTGTACCAGCTCTTAGTCTGCTTCTTCTAGTAATCAAACCGAATGAAATTGGCTTAGAGTTTGTTGAAGTGTGAATTATATTAACATAACCATAGATCAGAGGGACAATAAATGAGTTATATCTGTAGTCATCTGTAGCATTATTGATGAGCTCTTCAGCAACATAATAATTCCAGAAAAATCTCTTATCAGCTAGCTCCCATAATGGTTTGATAGACCCTTCATTTTCCCCGATTCTTTGATGAGAATTTGTCAAGTCATATGTGTATGAGAAATAAAGTTGAGCTGAATCCAAATGAAATTTCAATAGTTCCAAATATTTTTGTTCATCGTCATCTTTCAAAAATGAGTTGGATAAAGGCAAAACTTTGTATTCCACAATTTTGTTGACGGAATCTTGACGTAGTTGACCAACTTCCTTGGTCTTTGTTGCAACAATGATATAACGAGAAGAGCGTAATCTAATAACACCGATAATAGCAGCAATTGAGTTTATACCAGTAACTGGGAATAGTTCTAGATAAAATAAGTTAGCGCCATTTAAACACGATTATGGAAAAGTGACATACCTGGCTTGACCAAAGTTGAGCCATTCAATCCGATTTGCAACACTGCATCGTGACCATGAGAGAGCTTGAACAGGTAGCCATCATCTGCTTTTGCGTATAATAAAGGAGCAGCCATTGTCAATGATTATGAACGATGAGATCTGTGTAATACTGAACGTGAACCTAAACAAGTTAAACGGGTTTTTCAATTCGAAAACAACAAAAAAAATTAAAAAAAAAAAAAATGGCAAAGCGGATATTCCGACTTTACTCATGTGATCTCAGCTGACCTCGGTTTTCGTTTACAGATCCATTTCTATAGATTTGCCACGATTACGCCCAAGATTTTAACCAATTGAAGAAGAAAGCAGCTCAAGATGTCTAGTTTCAAATTGTCAGCTACATTGGAGGGACACGAGAAAGATGTGAAGGCAATTGTGTCTCCTTTCAACGATACAATTGTGTCAGCTTCTCGTGATTCTACCGTTAGGGTTTGGACTCAAACAAATGGTGTTTGGACATCAAAAGTCAATTTCACATCCAATGGTTTCGTCAATTCGTTGGCCTTTGACCCAATCAGCAATCAGGTTATCTCTGCAGGTCAAGATAAACTTATTAACATCACAGATATCTTTTCATCTAGTGCAGATGCAATTTATGTATTGATTGGACATGAAAGTAATGTTTGCAGTTTGGATTTTTCCGATAATCAAATAATAAGTGGTAGTTGGGATAGCACTGCTAAAGTTTGGGAAAACAATCAACTTAAATACACCTTGTCTGGGCATAATGCTTCTGTTTGGGATGTTAAAATTTTAGAAAATGATCGTTATTTGACTTCATCTGCTGACAGAACAGTAAAATTATGGCAAGGATCTAAAGAAATTAAGACTTATATTGGTCATTCAGATGTGGCAAGAGGTCTCGCACTGCTACCAAATAACCAAGGGTTTGCTAGTACTTCAAATGATGGAACCGTTAGGATTAGTGATTTTGAAGGTAATTTGATCCATACACTTGTTGGTCATGAAAGTTTTGTATACTGTGTTAAACTGCTATCAAATGGTGATTTTGTTACATCAGGTGAGGATAGAACAGTAAGGGTTTGGAGAAATGGAAAAGCCCTACAAGTTATCACTTTGCCTTCAATTTCTGTGTGGACTGTTTCGGTATTACCAAATGATGATATAGTGAGCGGTGGAAGTGATGGTGTCATTAGAATTTTCACAAGAGATCCAGCTAGAGTTGCTCCTGAAGCTGAAATTCATGCTTTCCAGCAATCTGTTGAGAATATCTCTATCAATTCTCAAACAGTCGATGATTCAAAGGCAGTCGGTCCTGAAGCATTGACTGTACCTGGTACTAAAGAGGGTCAAGTGATTATGGTCAAGACTTTACAAGGGATAATCGAGGCATATCAATGGTCAGAAGGTAACTGGATCAAAATTGGTGAAGTTGTTGGTTCTTCAGCTAGTGAAAAGAAGCAACTATTTGATGGTAAAAAATGGGATTATGTTTTTGATGTTGACGTTCAAGAAGGCGCGCCACCTTTGAAGCTTCCATACAATGCCAATGAAAACCCATATACAGCAGCTACACGATTTTTAGAAGCCAATGAATTACCAGATAGTTATACTGAAGAGGTTGTTAGATTTATCACCACAAATACACAAGGGGTCAATATTAATCAATCTGCTGACGTTTACAATCCTTATTCTGACTCTAGGAACAAAGTCATACCCCATACAGACTATTTGGGGTTTACAGCTAATACTTCGGCTACCATTTTGAAAGGTTTAGAAAAGTTCAATGAAAGTGAAAAAACTTTCACATCGGAGCAATTTGAAAAAATTCAAAAAGATTTTTCCACCAATAACGAGGATGCCCTATTAGATGTTGCTAATAGTGTTATTGAAAGCTGGAATAACAAATTACCAGGGTTTGATATATTGAGATTGATTGTTCCTTATTTAAAAGAGCGACCTAAACAATTAAGTGGGGTTTTGAAGATTGGATTATCAAAGACTAGTCCTCAAATCTATTTTATGACTTTGAGATTCTTGTGCAATTTGTTCCTAAATAAAGTATGGGGTGAAACTGTTGTGACCGATGCCAAAGTTTTCAACCAAATCATTGACTCAGTTAATCTTGACACAGGGATTGATCCAAAACATTTAATCAATATTTCAAATGCAGTTGCTACTTTGATCTTGAACTTTAGTGTCTATATTACTAAATTCAAATCATCTTCATTGTCTTTAAGATTAAATGAAAAGATCATTGAACAAGGTATCGCATTGGCAAGTTATTCGTCTGAGGCTGCTTATAGATTGAGTGTTGCTTACGGAAATTTGATTTATGTCAAACCTGGTCTAAAGAATGAAAAGTTTGCTGCCTTCAAGAAGGAAATACTAGAGACTCATCAAGAATCGAGATTTACGGATGTCTTCAAAGATATTGATGAGATTTGAATAAAGGCTACCTTCAATTTGTGGAATCCAAACTTTGTAGTGGATATTGATCCGCGAATTTTTCATCGAGAAAGTACTTTGTTGATTTTTCGTTGATTCGTCACAACAGTAAACAACCTTCAAAATTACTGAAACAAACTATACAAAATGTCAGCTTTGGAAAAATCATTGGACGAGCTAATTGGCGACCACTCAAAGGTATGTCTCGCGTGGATGTTTACAAATTAATAGCATTTGGACTCACACAATAAATATAGCCTAGATCAAGAGACTCAAGAAGACCAGTACGTTTGTGTGTTTCTTTGAAGAAAACAATGAGTACTAATAGCTGAAAAGCCCAGCAGACCAAGAAGAGATAGAGAACGCTCGAGGGAAAGACGTCCACAGTCAAGAGACTTTAGGGATAGATATGAACCTCCAAGACAGACAAAGTTACAAAGATTAAGGTATGTTTTTATATCCAACTCAATCCAAAAATGTACTAACGTATTATAGCCATGGGAAGGCGTATCTTAAAATTACAAATTTGCATTATGAGATTGGTGAACAAGATTTGAAAGTGAGTTTTCATGAAAAAAAAAAAAACACAAACATTGTACAAATTATTAACAATAACAAGTCACTTTTTGAAACAGTTGGTGAAACTTCATTTGTTTTGATCGAATACAATCATTCAGGTCGAAGCTCAGGTGTTGCGTATGTTGGGTATGAGGATCAAGATAACAATGAGACAGCTGTACAAAAATTTGATAAGAAGAAGGCTGTTGGTGAAATAATTAGTGTTGAGGAGATCAAACCACTAAATGTTTTGATTGCACCAAGAGGCACTAGATCAGGCACTCCAAGAGGATCAAGAGCCTACAGGGGCGAAACTAGAGGGGGTCATAGAACTAAGAAACCAAGTATGGACGATTTAGATGAAGAATTGAATCGCTATATGAATAAGGAAGACGATAAGCCACAAAGACCTGTAAAATCAAACGGTAAACATTCAAAACCAACAATTGAAGATTTGGATAAAGAATTGGATGACTATATGAAAACCGATCAACCATTCCCAGCAACAGGTGCATAATAGTTTACATTAGAATCAAGGAAACTTCATTGTTTTTTTATATTATTGATTAAACATTAATCCTGTAACAACACAATCTCTATTAGGTTGATTTTTATATATATATGTACATCTTCTAATAATTATGACAAGAGATCATGATTTAATTTAGTGACCTTTACCACCAATTTCAACGGATGGAGGACAGTTCAAAGCTGGTTTTAATGAACCGTAGATGGTGAATTGTAGTGAGGTTAAAGTACCAACCATAACTAAACGGGTTGGTAAACCGGCAAAAGAACCAACGAAACCTAATTGTTTAGCTAATGAACCTAATAAACCAATAGTGGATTGACCTGGAGCTTTTTTAGTTTTGTTAACTTTTGATAATAAAGTATCAGCTGGTTGAGAAACAATGGCAGCAGCGAAACCGGCAGTTAAACCGGAAGCTAAGTTAACAACAGTGTGCATGGATTGAGATAATTCAGATTTTTTAGTTGGGATGAAACCATAGTATAATTCAGCAGCTCTTTCGTAAACCAAGAATTTAGCAATGTTGTATGGAATTTGTTTGAATAAGATTGGGGTGAAACCATTGTAGAAAGAACCAACACCTTCTTCTTTCAAGATTCTACCGAAACCACCAATTAAACCATTAGCAAAAGTTGGTTGAGAAACTAAACGAATTCTGGTAGCTTCTAATGGACATAAAGCAATATCAGCAAAGAATTCAGCAATGGCAGCAGAACCAATGTAGATTGAGTTTTTATATTTTGAAGCAGTTTCATAACCCAAGAAATCAATAAAAGTTTTTTTGAATAATTCGTAACCACCGAATTTGAAAGCACCTTGTAAAGAGTAACCGGCAACAGTTGGACCTAAACCAGTTAATAAAGCACCAGCACCTTCGTTGGCAATAACTTGTCTGAAAGAACCAATGGTACCTTTGTTGTAGGTAACTGGATCTAATTGAATTCTAGTTTTAACGACATCAATTGGAGTCATGGCACCGTGGGTAACACCACAACCAATAGCACCAGCTAAAGCGAATTTTGAGTAATCTGAAACGGTATATTGAGGAACAGCAGACATTGCGATGAACTGAAAGAATATATAAAAGGAATATGAATGGGAATAGAATCAATCTATCTTCAATACACTTATGATGAAAGAACAAAAGGAAGAAGGAAAGAGTTTTATATTTGTATCAAAGGGGCGAAAAAAAAAAATTTCAACAACGTTCTGGGATGTGGCGCGAACCGCGTCTTTATCGCAATTTCATTGGCTGTTCAGGGGAAAGCAGGACACGGAAGGAAAATTAGAAAACATAGAGCATTTGGTGAGGATTAATTAAGGTGGTGTATGGGAATAGTGTGGAGTGTATTATTTGAAGCTGGAGATCTTTAACTAGAGATCAACCAGCTTTGAACCATTTCAAAAGCTAGTGGTTTCTTTGATTTGTATCTGATTCGAGGATGTAAACTCCGTAAAGACCCGTATCGGGATGGCAGCGTTGGTATAAACTCATTCCTTTTGTCAAGCCCTACAAAGCCCTGAATTCTATATTTCAGCCGTATACCCCAAATAAATAATCATAGATATTCATAGCTCTTTCAATAAAAGTAGGTCGTAATCACAGTGTTTGCTCTGTTCAATATCATCTGCCAATGTGCCAATGTTTAGCCCTTTCAAAACCAAGCCATTTAATTCTTTTTCTGGATCATACTCTTGCACAGTGACAGAGATACTCAATATTTGACTTAATCTTGACTTGTAAACATTTTCTCCAACGATGGAAACATTAATCGATTTAACATTCGCTCCAAATGTTTTCAGCAAGTACAAAATCAATGAATCACTATGCTGATCATTAGAATCCAAAATAACATTCAAATGATTGATCTTGGAACTATTATTCTTGATTAAAATCCCAAACTGAGAATTGACAACAAGTGGATCAAAATCACTAATAAAGTTAGAGTCAACACCATTCATTGAATAAATTAAAAGATCATCACGGTTATCTGAAGTTTCAACAAATGTGTCAAACTTGTCTTCCATGACATAATATTTTAAATCACTAATGAAGGGAATTTCATTGAATTCAAAAACTCTTTTCAGTAATTCCAATTGTTCATGATAGCTTGAATCAGTTTGTGCTGAAGCACCAATCAAATCAGTTGTTCTTTCAGTTAATTCTTGTAAATATATGGCATGTATAGGAATAAGATTTGAATCTTTCAGTTTTTCTTGATGTCCATAAAACAATTCTAAAAAATTAAGCAAAGGTAAGAGTCCATTTAAATTATCAACATTATAAATAAGTTTGCTCAATCTATAATTAGGTTGTGTCAACTTATCATTAACTGTCATATCTGTAGAATTGGATTTCAATTTTTCTAATTCCCTACCATCCCAATCAATTTCACCTCTTAAAATTTTTTGCACTTTTTCACGATATGAAATTGGATAAACAAGTAAGGTTAATGGTGTTGTTAAAAAAGTACTCACCAATGTCATAACAACAAACATTGAAAACACTTTATGACTTATGATTTCTGCATTCAAACCAACATTTAATACAACAATTTCGACAATACCTTTGCATGACATCAACACACCAACTGCCAAAGATTCTCTCCAATAGAGCCCATTACACTTTGCAGAGACAAACCCACCGAAAACTTTACCAACAACAGCGATTATTATAATACCAATAATATAAGCCCAATCAATACCACGATTCAATTCACCAAAATTAACGTTAAACCCTGCTAATGCGAAATAAATTGGAATCAAGACAATGTGGACCAGATCTTCAATTTTATTTGTAAGATCAACAACAAAACCAAATTCTCTTGGAACAATTAATCCAACTAAAAACGCACCGAAAATTGGATGTGCACCTATAATATCAGTGAAGAAACTTGAAATGAAAACGAAAAGCAAAACAATCAAGATTGAAAATCTTGAAAGAGTTCCATTTTTCAAATCCTTCTTCATAATGACTTTATGAAGAAACCATCTTGCTGGGAAAACCACAAATAAACCCCAACCAATAACAACAAGTAAAATGTATAATGTATTAATCCCACTACCGGAATTGGCTAACGTAACACTTAAAGCTAACAACATCCAACCAACAACATCATTTGTAATGCCTGCAGCTAAAACAATAGTTCCCACACGATCTTTCAACAACCTCAATTCTGTCAAAATTCTTGCCAACACTGGGAAAGCGGTTATACACATCGCCACTGCAATGAAAACCATATAAGTTGTAAACTTGATAGTTGGAATATTATCATCCAAGATCCTATACTCATTGTAAAGACCTATCGAAACAGCACATCCAAGACCAAATGGAATGGCCATATTAACCAATCCAACACTTAATGCTATTCTCAAGTTTTTCTTGATAAAATTGACATCAACTTCTAATCCAACAAGGAACAAAAACAAAATAACACCTATGTTCGCAACTAGAGTCAATAATGGAACCGAAGCTTTAGGGAAACATGTATCTGTAAAGTTTGGCACATGGCCAAGTACACTAGGTCCTAATAAAATACCTGATATGACTTCTGCTATGACCCTTGGTTGTCTAATATAACCAAGCGGGATATGGATAATTTGGCAAAGCGATATGATGAAGATGGCCTGGAAAAGAAATAGAGTAATGGGATTGCTTGATGAGTAGACCAATGGGTCCCTTCCTGCAATGATCCCAGCCACTGAAGAAGTGTCAACAGCCATTGATGCTCAAGACGTTTGTACAGACTGGTGTTGTTGTGGTAAGGCTGAAACTTGAAAATAAAATTAGACAATGGATCAATTCAATACACATGGTAGGAACACCACTTTAGCTAATCATCCACCTGGACTTCAGCCTAAAACAGGTTTAAAATTGTTATTAGTATAAAAGAAACATGACACCTCAAGTTTCGTTATTATTTGCATAATGATTAATCGAATTGAGTAAAAGTTATCTATACATGTTTATAAATGATTTTTCGAAATGCCAACGAAAAACAGTGTAATCGCGAACGAGTATGTATCTTTTTAACAACTTTGTTCCCAAAACTCTTTCAAATCTTTTCCTCGAAATCTCATTGCCCATCCTGTTGTTGTCTCTATTTCGTCCATCAAGTCTAATATTATCTTGTGTTCATCTTCGTGTGTCAATAGTTTGCCTGCAACATACAATGTTTGAACAGAGTTATTCCAACATCCTTGATGATCATTATTGAGACTAATTGAACAAATCTGTTTTGCATGCCATGTTGGAGACTTTGAATGCTTAGTCTTGTACAATCTAGGCTTATTCTCCATTAAAATTATCATAGACATGTGGTATAATTGGTTAGAACCAATAGCTGGACCATTATCATATAGTATTTCTGGGAAAGGTGAAGAATCATACTCAATCAATGGTTTCATTTCATCAGGTCTATTTTGATGCCATTCATTGACTTCAGTCCATAAAAACTCCCATTCTTTCTCAAAATTTGTCACATTTGTACTTGAGATCAAATTTAAAACTCTTGAGCTTAAGAAAACACTATAATTTGCATACATATCAATAGTATTCTCCTTTTTGAAAAACTCACCAGCTGAATGTAAGGAAACTCCGTCTGGCAACCATTTTTCACTTTCAATCATAGTACTTTGCTCACCAATCACGGCTGAATTGACATCCATTCTTGCAAATGCCCAAAATAAAGCTCTTTCATATGGTTCACTGAATCCATTGATCCCAGTTGCCTTGAATAACGCAGAACATCCTTCAAGATGATATCTCCATTTTTCTGGAGTTCTTGACATCATATCAAAGATACATAAAGTAACACATGCGGAAATACCACCAATATCAAGTTTGGTTTTCACTGTTGGGATCAAATGTTTCAAAGAAGTTTGATAAAGGGCTGCACTTATTGAAGAATCATTTAAATTACTAGTTCTTTCCATTTGTCTTGAGCTTAAGGCAAGTATGGCATATTTCAAACAGGGGTAAGTTTTAGCTAATTGAACGGATTTCAAACCTATTTGCCTTGACAAATCAAACATATCTAACCAAGGTGCCACTTTGTACAAATAATTTTTCATCAGTTTTTTCTCCTCTTGTTTTGTTAAGCTCGCTGTGTGGTCAGGACCTTGGTTAACGACTCCAATATGTTTATTGAAAAGAATTGTACTATCAAGGTTTGGATCTTGGGCATTGGAAACATTTGCCAACATGTAGTCTCTAAATGTATCTTGTAAATCATTAAGGTCAAGTAAATTAAATTGATCGGTGTTTTGGGTGTCAATCAAATTGAGTGGGAAGTCGACACCATGCTGACTTGATATTGGAGAAACCTCTTCCAGTTTTTGGAGGGCAGATGCTGTTATGGGTTCTTGAGGTGATGTATTTGATCCTAAACTATGGGGTTCGGGTAATCCGTTAGGTGTAATAATCCATGATTCATTAGTGACTTTGTCTGTCGCATTCAATGACGACTCCATATTTTCCAGCTTTCTGGAGTAATCATCAATAGCTTTCAAGTTCTCCACTGCATTTGAAGAGCTTCTTGAACATTCTGATGAATTTGAAATTGGTGATAATGAACCAGTTGAAGAAGTTGGGTGATGCTTTTTCATTGGATGAGGTAACTTTCTTCTCTTCGCTCTCCTTGAGCTGGAATCAGCAGGAGCCGGCCACTCACAATCATCATTTCTTAATACACATGCCTTGCAAATAGGTTTTTGCTCATCACATTTTTTATGTTTTCTTCGACAGTTGAAGCAACCAGTACGCACCCGTTTCTTTGTTATTGAATTATGAACTGTTGTATTTTGATTCAGAATGTTGTGGCTGCTGGATCCTAGAGTCTCACTTGGATAATCTCGAGTCAAAGGTGACATGTTCTCTGTAAATATGATTTTGTTACATTTGTTTAGGTGTTGTTGAAAGAAAACAAGGCATAAGATCTAAAATCTTTATGCCTTTCTCCACACAACTCTTTGTTGAAGATTCGCGGGTCACTCAAATTGGGAATCCTCCGATATTAGGTAATCTTTGGTAGTAGAATTATGTAATTTATTGCTCTTGGAAGGTTATACACTATAAACTACAATTATGATCTCTAAAACGTATCAAACGGTATATATATTAGTCAAAAAAAAAACAAGTTAATCACAAAAAATAATTCAAAACAAAGTAATCACAAACAATATCTAAAGGTTGGATTCTCTCTATCAGTCAAATCAGCAAATTCAGAGTTTTCAATGGCATTGAACTCTGACAAGTCCATTGTTTGCATTTTAGCATCATTCTTTCTGTTTGAGTTCCAGTACTCAAAGTAAATTCCCAAAATCAAAGCCAATGTTGCAGCATCACAAACAACGATTGCAATTTTACCACCGGTATAAGGAGGTTCTTTGAAAGTTTGAGGACCAATCAAGTTACCAACACAATAACCAATAAAGAAAATGGCTGTAGTTGTAATTTTTTTGGTATGACCTGCAGTGTTAGATTGGAAACAAGAAAGTGCACAAATTGTAGTTGTTGGATAAACATATTGTAAATAATAACCAGCTAATCTTGCATGATTATTGTTATTAGCAAATGCCAACATACATGCAGAAACAAATGCTAAACACATTGCAGCAAATGAGATCCCCATTCTATGAGGGAAGATTTTACTTGAAAAAGCAAATGCAAGACAACCAACAAACTCAACAGCACCACAAGGCATATTCATCAATAATGATTCTTTAGCAGAATAATTAAAATCTTCTGATAACAAGATACTACCAAAGTTAGTTAGTGAACCATTTGGAATGTTTGAAGCGACTGCAAATAAGAAATATAGCCATGAGTGGTGTTCGGGTGTGGTGTTCGGGTGTGGTGTTCGGGTGTTCGGGTGTGGTGTTCGGGTGTGGTGTTCGGGTGTTCGGGTGTGGTGTTCGGGTGGTGTTAGGGTGTTAGGGTGTGGTGTTAGGGTGTGGTGTTCGGGTGTGGTGTTAGGGTGTGGTGTTAGGGTGTGGTGTTAGGGTGGTGTTAGGGTGTGGTGTTAGGGTGTGGTGTTCG